GCATCGTGCATGAGGGCTGAAATTGAAGCACTTAGTCTTACCGGTGTGCATAGTAGTAAGGCATGCTGCATGTGTAGTATGTAAATGTAATTCAAGCATTTGAGAGACGGCCTAAAGCACAGAACTTATGATGTGTTATCTGCACATTTATTATCAAAAGCACATGGCACCAAAATTTACATAATCACGTTGTCGGGGGCTCCTATTGATTTCGCTAAGAACTCTCATCAGAAATAAAGAACACTGGTAGCTGTGGGACTGACCGCTCCTCTGTTACTCTTTCGAACTTTTTCAGTTCCCAATAATTGAGTAACTTTGACATCCGAGCAATTCAGTTTACTAAGTTGTCTCTTTCAAGGTATGCAAGACCCCGAGGAGCTCGACTGCGTCCTGAAGCCGCTTCAATGAACCAATGACATTTATTACCGACTTCTGAGCTCAATTATAATTGAAAGATCATTGTCACACCTTCCTGGACATACTCATACACGGTACGTTTACGCACGCATTCAAGACCCTGTTCTCAGTTGCATGACGACTTCTCAAAATGCTTACATGGCTCATGTTTGAGCATAGCATCATGATCAGTCTTTTGGCACTCTCATGCTCTCTGGCAGGCTGACTTCACCCACAGGATTCTGAAGAATCTTGCTACTGAACTTTGCTGAACCCAAGGATGTTGATGGTGACTTCGGGAACTCCAGTCGTTCAACGTCGCTATCATGAAGCAGTACAAGATTTAGTGATGTTAATCAGCACCCTCCTTTTAAAAGACCGCATGTCTCCGTTTTAAATCACATTTATCAAGTGAGCAAAATGGCTTTAGAACTACACTGTTTTTAATATCCAGCTATTACACCAACTGTTGAGAATGGCCAAGTTACTGGACCATCAAAGCCCCGCTCTTTCCAGCTATAGCTGCCCTACTGCTGCCTTACCAACTACGCATTCTGAAGTTCCCTGTGTGTTGACTTCCAACATTAAGTCATCCGATAGCATCTGAGCCGGTGTGCTGGCATGCGAGGATTGTTGCTTCTGTCATAGAAGAGACAAACTCGAGCATGTACGCGAATTCAAGACATACCTGGTACGTCTATTGTCAAGTGTATGAAGATGATGCTTTAACTTTTCATAGATGTCTCTAGACGATGTAGACATTGAAGAAGATGATCAAAATCTTCTTTTCACTCAGTATACTATAGAAACTGTCCAAGCGAGTCATTTGGTGGCCCAGACACGCGTCAAACAGTATGCGAAGCTTTTGCAACTACTACAGCGGGAGGCGGATGAATGGGGGAGGAGGGTTGAGAAGGCTTCGCTTGTACTTCCAAACTTCAAGTCACGAATTGAGCCATTGTTATCAGTCAATTGATTATATCATGTTATTTCCGCGGCAATCATAGAAGGGTATAATTGTACTCCAAACATTCTGCAAGAAATGTGAACGAACCCGGTGACCAGGTCAACATCAGGAAAACATTAGATTCCTTTTCTTACTCATGTAACAAAATGACGAATGGTGTTCTAAGGAGGCTAAGGTTATTATGTAAGGACATCCTTTTGCTACTTATTGTTCTTATTTTTATACGAGTGGTTGGGGTGGATGCCGTCCAATTGCCTTGGATGTTGTTCCGTTGAAACAGGCAGGTACTGATCACAATTACTTTTCTCTTGCGTCACAGATTACAACAATGGGCCGTTGTCCCACCCACTGCTACCGTTACTGCAAGAACAAGCCCTACCCCAAATTGCGGTACAACCATGGTGTCCCTGATTCCAAGGTTTGGTCGCCCATGCCTAGTCACCCAAATCCTCACCTCCCCACAGATTAGGATCTTCGATCTCGGCCGGAAACGTGCCTCCATCGACGAATTCCCCTTCTGTTGCCATCTCGTCTCTGATGAGTACGAGCAGTTGAGCTCCGAGGCACTCGAAGCAGCCTGCATCTGCACCAACAAGTACATCACCAAGACGTCTGGAAAGGATTTGTTCCACATGCATGTCCGTGTGCACCCATTCCACGTCATCCGCATTAACAAAATGTTGAGTTGTGCTGGCGCTGATAGGTATGTGACTCGGGTGTGAATTCGTGCGGTGACACTTACATTTTTTTGTGCAGGTTACAAACTGGTATGCGTGGTGCTTGGGGCAAGCCCTATGGCACTGTCGCCCGTGTCAATATCGGCCAGATCATCCTCTCTATCCGTTGCAAGGACTCCAACTCGGCCATCATCCAGGAGGCTCTCCACCATGCACACTACAAGTTCCCCGGCCGCCAGAAAATCATTGTCTCGAAGAAGTGGGGCTTCACGAATGTGGCTTGTGAGGATTACATGAAGCTCAAGGAGGAGAAGAGAGTGTTGCAGTGCGTATCCTTTCAGGTTGTCTGGTCATATTTCTATTTTGACTCGTTTGACGCACAGGGATGGAGCTTATGTACAGTTTATTCGTGCTCAAGGCCCATTGGAGCAAAACTTGTGTGCGCAGCTCAAAACTTGAAAATATGGGGTCGTTTGACTGTGATGATACATATCATGCCTACATGGCATATGTGTACACTGTTCTTCCATTATATCTCGTGGAGCGCGCACGTGAGGTGGATGCGAATTGGTACCGTGGGATCAAACATTCAGTGTGGAACGTAATGTTTGCGCACTTGACTCGGAAGCATTGGTCATGTAGTATGTCTATTGAAGTGTATGATGTCTCCTCTTCCTCTAGTACTACCATGAAATCACGACCTAGGCTTCCCATCTCTGAAGAAGAGGTCTACCTAGGAGAGTCAAGGAGGACAACAGCTGTCATGGTGGGTATGTAAGGGCAAGATTGGTTGAACCGTTTTATTCATTTTAAATTATTTTCTTTCTTTTCCTCTACATTGCCCTATTATCAATATACCTGCTGTCTCAGTCTGACGGTTCGAGCCTGACCAAACTCCTGCCTTTCAGAAATTCCGTCTATCGAGTTCTCTGAGTGCCCTGCTATCCCTTGCCAGCAGCCATTGCAGCAGAGCACAGCTTCGTCATGAGCTGCCATGCTATTGTAATTTTTTGAAGCAATGATAACGCTATTTCCATGGCAGAGTCTTGAATGATAATATAATTTGAAACAGACATTAAGGCAAATAGGAATGCCCAACGCCGTTGACATGAGTGCCCTGCTATCCCTTGCTAGCAGCCATCGTGGTAGAGCACAGCTTCGTCACGAACTGCCATGCCATTGTAATTTTTTGAAGCAATGATAACACTACTTTCCATGGCAGAGTCTTGAATGAAAATATAATTTGAAACAGACATTAAGGCAAATAGGAATGCCCAACACCGTCAACATAAGTGCCCTGCTATCCCTTGTCAGCAGCAATCACGGCAGAGCACAGCATTTTCACAAACTGCCATGCCATTGTAATTTTTTGAAGCAATGGTAACGCTGCTTTCCATGGCAGAGTCTTGAATGAAAATATAATTTGAAACAGACATTAAGGCAAATAGGAATGCCCAACACCGTCAACATAAGTGCCCTGCTATCCCTTGTCAGCAGTAATCATGGCAGAGCACAGCATTTTCACGAACTGCCATGCCATTGTAATTTTTTGAAGTAATGATAACGCTGCTTTCCATGGCAGAGTCTTGAATGAAAATATAATTTGAAACAGACATTAAGGCAAATAGGAATGTCCAACACCGTCGACATAAGTGCCCTGCTATCCCTTGTCAGCAGCAATCACGGCAGAGCCCAGCATTTTCACTGACCCCTCATGCTATTCTATATTTGTGACCATTCATGGCTATGTACCGACAGCCCACATTTCTCGCAGTATAAATGGTAATGTTTAGTAGGAACACAATTATATCCTTCTATAATTGCCGCGGCAACAATACCAAGGACTCATCAATTTACTGATGCAGTGGTAACTTCCAGGAGATCTCCATCGTGCACGAATATTTACTGGTACACAGTCCGGTCCTCCATGAGCCCATGACTGCCCTCAAAATCGAGCAGCATTCTCCGTGGTGACGATCGTAAGTTCCAGTAACTCTTCAGCCGCACTCATTTGAAAGCCATGTCACGAAACGAGACAATATTAATGGCAAGATTAACTTGTAAGATGGAGCTAGGCAATGTACCAGGAGCTTGCGGATTTGGATAGAGCAGACGTGGTTGAGAACGAGCTGCTGCGACTCGGCTCTTGACAAGAGTGTTTAATTTCGGGTCTCGGGCCCAGGACACTTCCGTGCTGTACATACTACACACATCACCATAATTCCTTATCTCTCGTGTGCAGACCTCGCAGGTCCAGTGAGAGGTCGGTCTGCATGACCGGTAGAATGCGCATCTTGAAAGAGATATCGAGGTCAAGGTAGGTTCCAATGACCTTGCGTTTGGCGAAGTTCTCGGTCCGCTAGGACAATGCTGCGGATGATCAACAGGGCAGAAATTGGAGGCGTGTTCAAGATGCTGTATGGATTCATCGAGTTCCCTCTTATTTTGCGTCCTGTGGTATTTGACGACGTCCTCTGTCCCTAGCATGAATTCGTGGGCATCTCACGAGACTCGGATGTGGACTGCGAAATTCGAATCACGAGCTCTCAGTATCGGAATGTATTTAAGCAGGGCCGCAACCGTGAAAACCTTTGTGGCAACTGGGATTAGAACCCATGTACATTGTATTGAACGAATATTACAGGTCAAGATATGTGGCACGGGTGGTCTTTCCCTCGTATTTAGCTACTTGCCAATGTGAGAGGTTGTGCCAGGGCACAGAGTAAGGGTGATATCGGTGTTGTCGCAAGTATAAACGACATTGTTAGCCGGCGTATAGCCATCTGAATGACAATCATTAGTCCCACTATACCGATGCAGTAAATGAAAATACATACTCGAGCCGTCATTGTCAGGGAACGCATAGGCATTAGGACAAGTGTCATAGTAGAATTTGCTGTTGGGGCCAGGGCCCTCATTGTTGACGCAACCTCCTCCACCAGCGGGAAGCGCACCACCGCTGCATGCGCTCGCAGAAGAGCAGCAAGGGGAATAGCACGTGTCGGATCCAGGTCCCGGAACAGGCTGAGGCCAATATGAAAAGTGCGTAATGATAACATGGGTCAATTACTTACGCATCCGGATGAGATGGTGCAAGCGAAAGCATCACAGCTAGAATCAGCGGAGGAGATCTTCATTCCAACGTTATAGCCATAAATGAGCGAGATGTCATATGTCACCCTTCCGGGGTTTGCCCACTATGCTCATGCGGTTACTAAGTCTGAAGTTGATTAAATACCACAGCACTTGGACTCACGAAGTTAAATTCGGCTCTGCTGAAGGGAGTCTTACCGTTCCAAGTAGAGCCGCCAGTGGTACAACTACCACCGTTGCATCCAGTACCTAGTGGCACGGTCACGAAAAAGCTAAAGCTGAGGGGGATTGCACACTTACCAATGTTGATAGCGCCGTCCCAATTGGAGCTAATTCCCAGGTTTGCACTCCGACCCGAGGAGACGTTGATGTTGTTGGCGACAGAACCGTAACTTGTCTGCGTGTACAAGAAAACAGATTCGCTGCAGGAGTTGACAACGGTAAGAGACTGGGCTTTAGCCACAGTCGCGATAGCGGCTAGAATAAAAGCTGAGAGGGCGGTCATTGAAATTGATGATTAGACTTTCTGAGAGGTGGAGAATAATGATTCATGTTTAACTAGTCCATGGCCTTTATACCGGATGTCTGTGAGCGCGTCGGCGATTTGTTGGAAGTGCGTACCAAAAGACTGCTATGATGCTACCTGTGAGGGGCACGCTCATTATTTGCCCCCCGGAATTGCTAGCTAGCTTCGGAAACAGTGAGACTCGATGAAGGATGCAATCTCAAGCTAAAAGAGGACCGAATTTAAAATACTGCATGGAAGTCAGCTCATGACGGAAATTGGTTATACATAAGAAATCACACTTGTGAGACTCACTTGAGGCATGGAAGGCACGACGTTTAGCGCGCCGAGCGGACCCAAGTACAGCCGTCTTTGACGCCCAATATTTCCAACTCGGCGGCTTGTGGTTCACCTAAGTTTGCAAAAGAAAAAACAGACAAGCTACTCGTACGCCAGGTCGTTCGTCGTCAGTTCCTATCAATCATAGGCCACGGAGTGAGGATCCGATCCCGTGCATCTTAGTTTATGTAACGTCAATATCGACAGACTGACTGGTACGCGTAGAGCCCGAGACGGATTTGAGTCAGGCATATTACGACAACCGAGAGGAGCGGGGCTCTACTAACTGAGTGTTTATGGCAATTCTTGGTGCTTGGAACATCGTGAGGAAGCTGATGGGTAAAGACTTGCATCGCGTTACTATCCAACTTGTAATGATGGTGACCCAGATTTGTATGAGTGCTTACTGGTTGTATTGGTACATTCTCACAAGAGCATCAGTACTTCCGAGCACCGCGAGCAACAATCTAGGCAACACCCGGAGTCTTCCAAGGAAGTTATGGTGTCGGCAGCCTTCGATTGCTCACTCCTCGAGCTATTCCGGGACCACTTCCAAAATCTTGATCTCAAAATCTTTTGGCCAGGGTCCCTCGTCCTGTGGGGTTCTACTACAAGTATGAAGTGTTATATAAATATGAATGAGTCGTGCACTGGTCATATATATGTATTCATACCTTCTGAGAAGCTATAGTAACGGGTGGGAGATTAAGAACACGCAGCTTCGAGTCTTCAAGGAGCCGTACTCGCGCTCTTGCTGCCCTTTGACGATGTTTATACTCCAAGAAGTCGAACCCGACCGATTTGTGAGTCAACTAGAACCACAGTGACCATCAACTGCTCAGGTGCAAATTTGAAAACCTTGTACTCGTGTATTGACATCCTCTTTGACAACGTGGTACTGCATAATTGAGCGTCCTTCATACTGGATGTAGGTGCAGCTCTTCAAATTGACCTGATGGGCGTGGTGAAGGTGAGCGGCATATCATCAGTCGGTCGTCACGCAGCGTGCTCGATACCAATAATCCAGTGATACTCTGTACCCACAGGAGCACCAGAACCTTTGGGAGCTTTGTAGTTTCTGTGCTTCTTGGCTTCAAGCGTAATATACTCAAGACATGGTGACGACATGTGCTGAGCTTCGACGACAACTTGACCATACCTTCCACAAATCAGGTTCTTCCTTTGTCTCGTCCCATTGTCCACTGTCATACGACCGGTGCGTTCCACCTGTAGCCATCCCCTTGAAGCTTGTTTTCAGCTCATTAAAGCAAGACGATCACTTTCAACCACCTTGTTTTCTTTGGAGATTATATGACTGGTGCTCGCTTGAATTTTCTTCGCTGCTGGTTCTTGGATACCGCCAGGTCCGCAGAGGTCTTATTATCCACCTCCCAGATGGGATGGCCTATGTCTTGCTATGGTTTGGCAGCGCTCCTACGTACCTCACGAAAGGCACTCAATTAAGCCTTGTCAGCGAGGGGGGGATGACTCTTCGAAAAGTTCGCGAAACGACGGTATGGATTAACAATCATGATATATAAACAACGGAATAAAAGGAAACTACAGATTGCGGAGTAAAGTATATAATAAAAAAAAAGGGAGTGGCGGGCGGGAGTAAACAATGAATGTAAGTACGAGTGAGGATGCGTGAGCTAGTACGCTGAACGAGTCGACGCGGATGCAAGAAATCAACCAAGGAAGAAAGAAAAGAAAAGACGTGTTCCGCTCAGCTGGACGCGTGGTGCCGGGATACTCCGGCAGGCTACGTTACCCGGCACCTGTTCATGCTATCAACATAATTTGCACTTGGCGACTACCTGCTTACACCGTTTCTTTCTGTTGACCGCCGTCAAGCATTGACTCACTGACGGCAACGGTTATCTAGACCCGTCTCCCGATATGTGTTTGAGAAGGATGCTCTATCATATTCAAACGCCGGAACGAGTGTCACCTCGTAATCCTGTGTGGCGGTGCTAGTGTGACCCTGTGGTGGGTTGCGCCGGGGCAGGGTTGTACTACATCAGCCATCCCTGCAGCCCCTGCTCCTACAAGAAACAAGAGGGTAATGACTTCCGATCAGAATCGACGCGTGCGTTCAGGACGTCACGGGACGCTGAGAGAATTTCAAACTCCGGTCTCTAACTCTCAGATGTACCTAGCCAGACTGCTGGAGCCTAGAGTCAAAGTGGAACTGCTTCGGGCACTTCCTTAGAGGTCTATGGCTCCCTCGTATCTGTCAACGAGAATAAGTCGAGTCGCCTTAGACGTTCGACGGTAGTCAGGTCTCATCATGGTTCTGCTAAAAATTTCAGGCAATTCGGCTATTCGGACAGATTCAGTGGGCCTTCTTTTCAGTAGCAGCGGACCGAACAAGATCTGCATCTTATCCTCTTTCATCACAAGTGCGATTAAAAACACTAGATATGATACCCTGGGCCCCGAGCGAGAGCTGTAGCGCCGATAGGCTGTCGAGGGTCGTCATGATCTGTTACCATTGAGAAGAACGCGGTACGTGATTTACCTCACTTACAGCAGGGGCGCGCAAGGGAGCTCGACAATATCACCACTTGGGAAGCATAAAATGTGTTTTTAATTACGTTACGCTGCGTGTACGGCACTGTGGCAACCGAAGTAAGTACTTCGGAACGGTATCAATCACCCCCGGGGCAATTATCGAGGTAAAGCGATAAGGCGCGGGTGCCTCATATAAAGGCTTTCCAATGGAACTCAAGGTTGTCTCGTTTTGACCTCTCGCACAGGCTTGGCCACCCAACTTTCTGGCTCAATCTACAGCACCATGGATCCCGACTATAACTTGCCTTCCATCCCACTGGGCGTCCCGCTCAGGTCCAAGTCCAGCAGCAGCCCTCGCCATCAGTGGGATCTGCAGACAGCGGAGGTCGTCCACAGACCCAGTCATCGGCGACTGAGAAGCCATTACTTAGGCAGTTCAGAGGGACATTCACCGGCTCGTGGTCGCAATGATCCATATGCGGATTTCGAGCCCGTCCCTCAGGTTCCTGCAGCTACGAGAAGCAGGGAGGGCCATGCGATGCGTGGACCGCCGCGGCGCACACTTATACCAGGTCATGCCCCTGCCGATTCCTTCTGGCGTCGACTGGATAGTGCCCGTTAACGAGAAACCTCATGTTTGTGTTGCTTCGCACTTTTGGGTTGGCATTTGATCCTCAGCCTGACCTTACAGCGACGTACAATTGGAGAGCGACTCGATCCCACTATTGTCAACGCGGTGAAAGAGAAGGCGCAATACACTATAAAAGGTTAGTCGATAAGTCACTTTCTACTCGATATTTGTTGGGGTTTTATTGCTTTTGGAAGTATTCTGATGGTTCCTTTTGAAGCAAAATGGACAAGCTACGCCTTGAACATTGCGATAGGTGTACAAGTTCTGCTTGGGGCACTTACTACGGGTGTTGCGGCAGCACTGTCGGGTAAGCAGGTCAGTTTGAAAGTGTATGCATGTCAATTTACGATAAACTAACCCACATTCACTATCAGGTGTCGATTGCCACTACCATTCTTGGTGCGTATCCAGGTCTACATTCAAAGCTTTTCTGACGATTGCGCTCAGGTGGCGCGGCGACCCTAGTTGCTTCCTATCTCGCTCGGGCACGAGGATCAAACGAACCAGAACTATCCATCACTCGCGTCAAGGACCTAGATCAATTCTTGAGAGACTGCCTTTCCTTCAAAATGGACCACGGACATGAATATGGGACAGCTGAAAATGGGCTGAACGATCGGCTGGACCAGCTCAGAAAAAGGTTTGAAGAACTTCTTGGAAATGCTGATGGGTAGGTCATGCGCACTCGTGTTGTTCGGGTTGTGTTAACGACCTACTTTAGGCAGCGGAAACTTTCCTCACCTGTTTGAGTTCTCTTCTGGGCTTCATCTATGATGCACAGTAGACTTGTGACCAACCGCCTTACATGACGATGACAGGGAGTGGGGGCGGGTATTCGGTTTGTCCTGATGCTTCAACCCAAGACAAGGCGGCTGGTGATAAGACTAGTTTATTTTATACGTAACCATCCTTCTAGTAATTTCTCTACAAGCTGATATGTAGAGCTCTCCCAATAGTATTTAACGTTCCTTTGGCCGTCCCGAAACAATCACGGTAATTTTTTGCTGGCAAGTTGCTGGCGTCCAAAGCCTTCCTTGTTCACATTGGGGAAGCGGCTCACGTCTCAAGTATAGCCTCCAATTCAAGGAACGTTACAGCGCTGCCCTGAAAAATGCGTCATCGAGAACGACAATATGATAGTTGTGGTACTTAAGAGTGTTCAATCGAGCAAAGGTGGGGGATTTGTGCAGCAGCATCGTGCAGCCGTCATATCATCACCAATAAGCATATCCAATATCCTCCAGATGGAGAAATTCGTATTATTCAAAGCGAGACAAACGCCAATCTTGTGATTGGCATGATTCTCAACTAAGACATAGAGTCAAAACACCCCGTATTCAACCTAGAGAAACGTCCACCAAACCTCAGTCCAAGGCTACCACATTGGGAATATTACCGCACATGGAGGAAAAATTTGGTTTAGATACCCCTTGTAGATGACGAAGACGAGACAACCCATCCTAGTTTCGAGGCCAGGACCCTTGTGTCGACGCAAGATCTGGGATCCCTCCTACTGGTCATGTGAATCAAAGCGGACTCATACTTGGAGGTAGCGTCACGTCCTGACCGAGCGCGTCAGACAAGCCGTGCGTAACATGATAGACGGCGCGTAGTGAAAGTCCAAAAGCATGCAAAGACAGCAGTTCGTCCAGTGCGTGTACATTGGTACCAAATTAAAATTCACCTTGTTGTCAAGAAGGCGAACTCCATGGATCTGCACTTGAAGGCCAAGAACTTACCGAGGAAGCACGTCTCGAGCGCGCGAAGTGCCGTGAGCGTATGGTGCACATCCTGTGAATAAACATCTCGGCAGAAACCCAGATTCAAAGGACCTTCAAGAAGAGTCGATCCGGTGTTACAGCGCACAACAGCAAGACGGTTTAGAGGTGCTCGATAATAAGCGGATAATGACCAGATTTGGAGCGGCGGAGGGCTCCCTGAACACGGTGGGAGCACAGGTTAGTATGGAGGACAACGTTACAACCGAGCCATGTTGGCCGTCGATTTCCTTTCCCTTTCTTCAATCGAGACCGTGATCGGTGAACAAGTCAAATTCCTCTTTTCACTGATCTTTTTCTTCAATATCAGCATGACAGAAATTTGCCAGCTTAGTCCGTTCAGCTATAGAATACCTGTCTTAGCATCTACGCGACACGTAGGTTGACCGAAAGGCAGTACTTACCGCGGCTCGAGATCGCCGGCTTGCACGAAGTCGAAGTGTGCCTCCACATCTAGATGTCTTTGCGAATTAGAGTATGAAGAATGACATTGCGTAGTGAAGAAAAGACTAGTCTCGAACCTCGGACCAACTAGCCATCGAGAGACTGATTAAAACAAAAAAAAGAGGCTGCCCTGCAGAAAGAAAGGAGTCTCAGACACATCTGTAGGCTGCCGTAATTCTGTAGCCTAGTTAGCGAAGTCAAATGCCAAGCCTGATATCGGAGGTTGTCGTCGACGTTCCGAACTGCAACCCAGAATGGGTAGTCAGCGAGACAGAGCGCGTCGTGTTTTGAGCTACACGGCGAGCGAGTAAATAACCTATCCCAAAGACGGGCATTGACAATATTGTCCTGCGCATCATGTTCTGCTATGTCTCGTTTCGTCGTGTCGTGCTTCGTCACCTTCGAATACGAATAACTGAGACGATTCGATTCAACGCTGATGGTCATGAAGACAGTTGCTAACGGATATGCTACGCAGAACGAAGGGACTCGAAGAGCTGGTAACAAGTAAGGTCGTGGGCGCTGCATAGAGTAACGAATGAGGATCGTAGAGTCAAAGAGAAGAAAGCTCAAAATTGTCCGTGAATGCAAATCGTCCGTATCGAGTACAAAACCATATCCAGTTTGTGCAAGCGGTGTATGTGTACAGTAATTTTGAAGTCCATGATGATAACCTGAGGCAAAGATACATGTGCCGCTTTTCGCTGACAACGAGATTCTGGGCTGATCATTTACTCGGTCGTAACTGACTTGGCCCTGCAGGAGGAAGTGAGTATTAAATACCAAGTCAACACAACTCAGAAACTCACAAGTTACGAGGAAAGTCGACGTCAAACCCGTTCTTGATGGCCAAGTGGTAGCTCAATAACTGCATGGGGATAATGTTCAAGAGACCTTGCAAGCAGTCAATGGTGCGGGGAACACGAATGGTCTTCACCCCAGCCCTGATTCCGGTGTCACCCTCGTTGCAGACCACGATGGGATGAGCCTTGCGAGCTGTTATCTGTTCGAACGCGGACTGAACCTTGGGGTATAGCGAATCCTGAGTCATGATGATGATGACCGGCATGTTCTCATCAATCAGCGCCAAAGGACCGTGCTTGAGCTCTCCTGCAAGAATACCCTCCGAATGCATGTAGCTGATCTCCTTAATCTTGAGGGCGCCCTCGAGGCAGGTGGCATGCCTAGAAAGGGATCATTAATCAGTCTTACGGTTTGAGTCGTGGACGAGAGCTACGAACTGATATCCACGACCCATCAGCAACAAGCTGCGTGAGTTCGCGAGGACACCATTGGCGAGCTCCCGCAAGCTGTTGTCGCTTTCGAGAATACTCTTGATTTGTGCGGGGAGATCACGAAGGCCATCAATGATCTGGTTGCGGCGTTCGGTGAAGGAGATCCGATCCTCTGATAGCTGCAGCGCCATCAACATTAATGCAATGTACTGGGAGGTGTATGCCTAGAAAACACTCGTATCAGATAGTTAACTAATTAAAAAAGATTTCTATACCTTGGTGGACGCCACGCCAACCTCAGGGCCAGCATTGATGTGAATACCACAGTGTGTTTCACGGGAGATCGTCGAACCGACAGTATTCACGACGCCCAGACAGAGGGCGCCACGCTCCAAGCAGTACCGCAATGCCAGGATCGTATCAGCGGTCTCTCCACTCTGGCTGACAAAGACACAGACGTCGTCGCGGAAGATAGGAGTCTTCCTGTCCAGGAAGTCGGATGCGAGTTCTACGCTGACGGGGATTTCCGTCAACTCCTCAAAGATCGCACGAGTTGCCAACGCAGAGTGATAGCTCGTTCCGCAAGCGCAGAAGACAATACGGCGACAGCGACGCATAATGTGGAGATAGGCACGCAGCCCACCGAGCGTGATCTTGCGATCATCGAAGTTCACGCGTCCACGCATCGTGTTGACAACGGACTCGGGCTGTTCGTAAATCTCTTTCTGCATGAAGTGATCGAACTTCCCCTTCATAATCTCAGCGATCTCAATCTCGAGCGTCTCGATGTTGCGAATGGCGGGTGACTCGGCCTTGCCAGACTCATCCCGGCGCAGACGGTGAATGTGTAGCTGACCCTCAGCGATGTGAGCAATGTCATCATCTTCCAAATAGAGGACACGCTTGGTGTGCTCCACAATGGCGGAAGCGTCAGAGGCGATGAAGAATTCGATGGGCTGGGGCAAGGCCATCCTCGGACATGAAGTTGCGGGACTGACGACGGGTCAAATTGGGTACAGATGGAGGTGCCAATCGAGCTGTGGGAGAAGTGGGAGCAACTAGAAGAGCATTGTAGCAAAGGCTGGATCGAGGAGTGAGACAACCTACGAGTTTCCACAGTCTTGCTGTCAGCTTCGGCTCCAGCAAACTCGACATCGACGAAGTCGACTTTGAGCTTCTTCTCAGTCTTAACACCAATCAAGAGAGGCGAACCGCGGCGGGCAGTCACGATCTCGTTAGGGAAGTGGATAGACTTGAAGACGAAGGCGAATGAACCCTCAAGCTCTTTCAGGACTGTCTTCACGAGAGATGTGAAGGTCATGCGCTTGTCTGGCCGAGAGTCATAGACGTATTTTGTTAGGATGGCAACCGCCTCCGTGTCAGTTTCGGACTCGAACTTGAATCCACGCTTCTGCAGGACTTGCCGAAGAGCAACGGCGTTGGTCACGATACCGTTGTGTACAATAAGGAACTCATTGTTGACATCAGACCGAACGGGATGACAATTAATAATTGAGGGAGGACCGTGTGTTGCCCAACGGGTGTGGGCGATAGAGACCTGGGAAATCACTGTCTTCGTGGTGTCGATGGTAGACGATGCGATGCGATTCCGCAAGCCAGCCACCTTGCCGACCTCTTTGAAGTAAACAATTTCGCCGGGCTTGTCGCCATCGATACCAAGGCCAGCCGAATCATAACCGCGGTACTCCTGTCGGGCCAGACCTGTGCAAAGAATCTCCAGGATCTCCTTGCGGTCCTGTGATAGGTGAAGTTAGAAAACGGATAATCAGGAAACACGCCGCGAAACCGCCAAGCGAAGGTGTAGGTAAAGTTACTAAATATGGCAAGTAATCATAGGGAAGTTCCAGGTCGCGGCTCGAAGGCTCGATATTGAGCGCGGAGTTGTAGAGACAAGACGCAGGCACGGTGCAGGGCCAGAAATAGCTTGTATAAGAGCAACGTACCTTTTCCTTCAAGAAGTTGCAGTAGCCAAAGATGCCGCACATCGTGATTCAAGAGTAAACAGGTAACTATATGCGCATGATAATGCCATGATCAGCCGGTCAATACCACAGATAGCGAGCTTAAACGAACCTAACGTATAAAAGCGTGGGTGTGGATGGGCGTGGTCAAAGTCGATGAACAAGAGCGAAGGTTCTAAGCGACGCGCTTTAAGTACACTAATTCTGGGTTGAGGGTGCGACAAATAATACCAAACAACCCGTAGTGGTGGACACAGCAAATACATCGGTTCAGAACTTCAGTGCGATGGAGGCTGCGCAAAATGTACGTCCAAGCCTCTCGGTTCGAAAACTCAAGCGATTCGATCGGAGACGGCGATCTGTCTAAGACCATGTTATCAACACTTATTTATCGCTTCCGTGTGTATCACGTCTATTTATCTCATATTCAAGCCCTTGGATCACTGGATTACTCGTCGCTTCTCGCCATGAACTTATGGTACGTTCTCGACAAGACGCAACACTCAAGTTTAGGTACATACTCGTACCCTTTATCTTGTAATCAGGATCAAGTTTTCTGCCTCATTGAGTAGCAGCGCCCTAGCCAAAAATAGAAATCAACCTCGCAATCGGTCCATTTCAACATGTCAATCATGTCAATGCTTCATCTCACAGGTTTGCATCATTGCTGCGCAATACGTAAATGGGGACGGACGGATAAGAATATACACATCTTTCCAGGGCTAAACATATACTGAGCACGAAATTGCCACGAACCCTGCCAACAAACCAACCCAAGCAGAACCGAGCTCGTCCAGCTAGTGAGTGGAGTTATGGTGTGTCTTCTGGATGATTCCTTAGTGGTGTATGGGTCCTAGGGTACATTCGACATATGACTTCTAATAGTAAATACTTGCCTTAGGGTATGGACGCATGACTGACATCCCTGTCGTTCGTATTGTCTAGAACGTCGCAGGCGTGCCCGGACTCATTAGTTGAACCTCGACAGTTCACATAAGTGAGTACTTGAGGACAATTACGAAAGAGTGCTGGACTACCGCCGCAGCACTTGTCTTATCAACGAGGTTCACACTGGTTCACATTGAAGTTCTTGGAGCCTGTACCGTACACGGATATTCGACGAGTTGCCAAGATTCAATATTGCATTGTGACAGATTGTAACGATTGCCTCCCAAGTCCTCCACTATACCCAGTAACTGACTGGTGAACAGTACCTTGGACAGGAACACGTCATGAATAATTCAATAAAGCCTCAGAGTCAGTCGAGTTGCCTGACCTCTCTCCTCAAATCACGTCTCGGTACATTACTTTGGATGACCGTGATAGTCTGAATGTCCATATCCTGGAAGCGCTTCCAGATCCAAACAACCATCCGAGCACATCCTACCCTTTGATCCTTCTTCTCCACGGCTTTCCAGAACTCGCTTACTCGTGGCGCAAAGTCTTGGTACCTCTTGCCAACGCCCATACAGGTTACCATGTCGTTGCCCCTGATTTGCGTGGTTACGGGCGAACGACAACGGTGGTAGGACCCGGAAGTGCCGGCCAAGTGCAATACGAAGACGCGCTTTCCTCGTTTCATATGCTCAACCTTGTAGAGGACGTATGTTCCCTTGTACAAGCGCTCGGATACTCATCTGTCGCCATGCTCGTGGGTCATGACTTCGGGTCTCCTCTCGCGGGTCACTGCGTTGTCGCACGTCCTGAGCTATTTACATCGGTCGTGTTCATGAGTGCACCCTTTGCCGGTGTCGATAGCCCACCCTGGCCTCAAGCGAGCGGCGAAGATGGAGATGATAAGGCAAAGAAGCACTCCATCACGTCTTTGGCCCCTGACATCGCCACTGCGCTCGCTACGCTCCGACCTCCACGCAAGCACTATACGGCATACTTTTCCACTCCTTCTGCCAATGCGGAGATGCTTGGTCAAGGGGGAAAGGCTCTGTATGACTTTCTGGGCGGATATTTTTACATGAAGAGCGGCGCTTGGGATGGGAATAATATACGCCCTCTACCTTCTGCATTTTCTCCTTCGCCTAGCATCAGTGAGCTGGCAATGGATCTTGCCACTCTCCCAGAGTACTACGTCATGCCGCTGCACGAAAGCATGCCAGAGGTCATTGGTCGCCATATGTGCGCGGACGCCCGAATTACATGGGCCAAACATGAAGAAGTGGCCGGGGGAGTATATGCTGCTGAATTCGGTCGCACTGGCTTTCAGGGTGGGCTTAATCAATATCGGGGCGCACTTTCGCCTCCGCCACCTGAGCGTATAGCCCAGCTACGTGCCTTGGCTGGGCGACGGGTGGAGGTGCCTGCGGCGTTCATATCAGGAGCTAGAGATTGGGGAGTGTATCAAACTCCGGGGGCTGAGAGGAGGATGCGAGAGGTGGCGTGTAGCAGCACGGGAGGCAAGCAGGGCATGGCAAAGGAGGATTTCGTTTTGATCGAGGGCGCAGGCCATTGGGTGCAACAAGAAGCACCCGAGATGGTGGTGCAGGAGCTTGTGAGGTTTTTAGGAAAGGTAAAAGGTTTGTAGATGTTACCGGTATAATGCCGGGTTTAGATAACAGAATAAGATTGCAATCATCCTCTCTGTTTTTTGACGTGTTACAAAGCCAGTCGACGGGAGATAAAGTCGCCTGTGAATTGACAGACTTACGAAGTATTTGAGTTGAAGCGTCGTTCACGTCTGGGACGATATTCTTGCGAAGTGACTTGAGCTCCGAAACAAGTGGAGGAGACCAGAGGGCTATGAAAAAGCAACACGGTGCGAATCCGGGCCGAACTGTGTTCACCGCTGTCGCAAGAATCCTCGTCCTCAGAGATCTCCGTCGGGAACGCTCCCCAGATGTGACTCGACCCTTTGCGTACCGCTCGCAACTTCAAATGTGATGAAGCAACCGCGTGGCGAAATTAGCCCAGACGGGGTCCAACTGTTCTTTTCCATCTCAACCTACTGATATCTGAGTTCGCGCTAGAAACCGGATGGGCTGAGGGACTCAGACGGGGCGTTGTGGTGAGGTATTTTTGCGTGTAATGCCGTATGGCGCGCAGTGATCTCGCAAAGTCCGACCACGGCGAATTCATCTTGAAGTATGCATCATTGCATATGCAATGTAGCACCCAGCAGCTAAATCCGTGCAGCTGTACAAGCGCACCTGCATGGCATCCGTGATGTGAGTTGCGATCCTTCAGCAGCGGAATTTAGCCAAGTTGAGAACAAGAAATCTGAAACAGCGTAAAAAGCGTGTGCATCCGATCAACCACTGTGCTTACCGGTTGGAACGTTTAATATGTGATTTGTGAATGCTACTCACGACGGCGACGACGCTGATCATGAATTTTAGTTTCCAGAATTACATCGCGAACTTCGATAAGCACGCACCATGACGGTTATCACGTGACCCCGACGCGTGGATATGGTCGCCAAACTTTATCCAAAAAACTGAGCAACGGCGTGCACCACATGGTCAAGGCGAGCGCTCCGAGGTTCATGCGCCATGCTACGGAAAGCTCGGAGTGAACTCAAACCTCCGATCTACAAAACTAGGCGAGTCAGTCAACGCTTTACTGAAGTTCCGTTCGGAGTGGCTCGACTGGCGCGCTTAGCTGGGTTTTTAACAGTTAAACGCCTGCCAAGGCGATGGAGGGCGATGGTAAGGCTCAAGAACCAGTCCTTGCCGAACGTTTGTTTATTTGTAATAGCAAGTACAGCTACTTGAATTTTCTCGAAGCTCAAATTTTAAACAATTACTCAGCTTGTAGCGCATGGCCCAGGCGTCACTTCATGTGTTACGGCGATGAAAATAGCCCCACGATGAGGACGCGAGAAATTCATGCCTTCTCGCAGTGTTTACGGAGTGCTTCGCTACTCGTAAGTAACGTTGGACAAAACGTTCCACCTGCTTCCGCGAGCGTTCCGATGACAACACTTGTGGTACAGTACTTGGAAGCCATGCAGCATGATGCACGTACAAGCGGCTCGAACCGGACCGTCCACTGACGTGCAGTAACGCAATAGCCCAAAGGGCTGCTCAATTGTACTTGCCGTTGTTGGAGCGATCTCCTCCCCTGCCCGTTGACAATTCAAACTGGCTTCGTGGCATGCTAAACGGCGCACCCGAAAATGAATTTAATTGATAGTTGGTACTAAGCTGCACTCGTGCGTGTTGCCATTCGTATGCGTAGCAAACGGTGGGATATTACTAGCTAACGTCTTAAAGCACACCGTATCGGAGAATAACGGGCACCTGCGTGGGTGAACATCCTATTCGCCGCTGGCGCTGATGAAATGCATCTCGAGAGGCAGACACGTTTGTGTCATCAAAAGCTTCCCATCGATGAAGTTGGAGTTTTTTTTCAGAGTCACTCGAGATCGTTAGGCACTAAATATCACAAGGCATCTCCGAGTACACCGAATTCTACGTAGACTCCCCAAGTTTTTTTTCCGCGGATCTCATTGCAATCAGGCACCAACAGCTCTCCTGAGCTCTCCTGAAACTCCCCCGGAGCTGACGAAATAAGGACAAGGCTATCGATGTGCGGTGCAGATAACAAGGGGGAACGCCATCGGCAAGTGACTGAAGCCAGCGAATCACACAGTTGTCTGGTCCGCGGGCGCCTCGAGGAGTCTCATGGTTCTTAATGTGGTGATTGCTGATCATTTTGAAGCTGTATAACGAATGGTGAACATCACCGCCGACTTTCAGGCACCTTCGCGCCGAATAAGGCGGGTGGGATAGAGTACAGATTCGGTCAGATAGGGACATCGGTCAAGGTAATTAACATGCTTTATTGAGAACCGTATGTAACCGTTAAAGATTTGAAAAGACGTCAGAATATGAGAGATCGGGATCGGCGAAAGGAATCGTAGTTACGGCAGTCGAACCATGTTGAAAATCGGGAATTTTCTATGATTGACGGGAGAACATCCGGAAAGAGATCTATATGGATTTCATGTCGTGCTTCACGGGACATGCACTCTTATTTGTCTCTCTCGTTTACTTTTTCGGAGGACCATCCCCGGCAGATAGAGTATGGAGATAAAGTATCGAGGTTTGAGCGCTATTCATACCTGGAAATGGCGCCTGTGGTCCGCCGTATGGGAGACCATGATATCCGCGGCTGGCCAAGGGGGTAAACGGGCAACACGTGAATGCACGCGAAGCACACGGATCGGGTTTACTGTCGCCTCAGATCAGCGGCCCTGGTAATCTCGCCGGTCAAAAAAAGATTGATGTCATGTACTTCATCCCTTGAGAGTAAGAGAACATCATGGGAAGAGGTCAAGGGTGATCGATGCGCAGCCCGCTGCAGCTAGGGGAGCCCCAACCCTGGTCCACGAACCTATGTGGGGCGCCGCGGCGGCATGCAGGACCGCCGATCTGTTTTTAACACGAGGACAGTGATCTTACAAAAACCACATGGACAAAAGTCATGTGGGCCAGCATAGGAAGCAAGTTCGGTAGAACCAAGAATGTGAGAGGGCCGGTATTTAGATCGTGCAGAGAGAAGCTCAAAAAAAAGGTACCGGTGGTTGGAAGCCCGACCTTGGTAAGGGGTGCTGAAGAGAAACATACAAGTTGGACTGGTGTCGCGGCGGATCACGGCAGGGTATCTCAGACTCGGTCAGCGAGCCGGATATGATACAGGTGGACGATAGAGTACTAATCTTGAACCATGAACGTTCAACTGCAAGTGGCACGACTACGCGACGGATGGGCAGCTGATGCTAAAAATTAAGGCATGTGCAGAATGCATGGCAGATCTGCACATGATTGGTCGAAAGGATATGGGCAGAAACGTGCCAAATGATCCGTTTTTTGTACACAGTGGTCGTGCGTTAATGACCGATTTTTTCTAGGCCTTACGGCTAGAACACGAAGATTTGTATTACGGCCCCTGCGTGCTAAAGGTCGATGGGGGTGACATAAGAGCAATACAAGAAGGATTACGGCAGATGGTTATCAGATCATCGTTGACACCTGAAGAGCTAAGATCGAAGATCACCAGTCATATGCCGTCATCGCGACATTTGGTGATGATAATTCCCTGACGGAATTGAAGGAGGGATAAGGATGTGATAATATAATATTATGAGGAGAGGGGAAGATCCTTCATTCCGTGATAACCAACGGAATGGATCACGGGTGAAGTGATTGATTTACGATTCGATGCCAGTTGTTGCCCTAGAGTCCACGGCCTGAGGACTTGAGCCGAAGGGGTTTGATTCAAAAGGTGATCTGCGGTGGCGTACTCCTTGACACACCAAGTAAACAGAACAGCAAGCTGATTTCACACGGCATGCGAGCGTATCGGGGGCATCAAGTGTCGCTGAAACGTATCGGTATCATGGAGCTCGAAACGTTTACGCTCCGTCGATGGGTGTTAATCACCTTCAAGGAGCAGTAGCTTGGCAGAAAAGACTACTACTTGTGCCTTTTTACAAATGCGGGTCTCTCGGCTGCGGCACGCACTCCGAAGCGCAAGAGCTCTAAATTTGCGATGCGGTCCATGACAGCAAGCGCAGATCTTGAAAACAATCGATTTGGTGATAGTAAAGAGATATACCGGCCGAGCTCCGAGGCCGACGTCGTGATAGTTTATAATTGTGTCATTACTAGACCAATTTTGACACGAGATATTTCAGCGCTTTTGTTTATACTTGAAGGGGGCGCCAAATAAAAGCGGATCAAGTGAGCGCTTTGTTTGCCTTTTTGAGAAATCAACGTTGAACGACTCGATGTGGTAGGATGTGGTGAAGATTTCATGGATTTGTTGTATTTAGATGTGATGGTAGTGAAACATCGATGGAGCATCCGGCGTCTTTTTGGATTAAAGATTAAAGCAAAAAAGCATTGCACAGGAGTTTGCGGAGAAAAATGGGTGACTATTAAATTTTATAATTGCCGAAAACACATGACCTAAATAGGTCAAGTATTAGACGCTGTGGTGGATCCCAACAAGAAGACTTCCTTTTATAGTTCCCGACTTTACGGTGAGGAGGAGTTGAATGACTGCAATGAACGGGGGAGTTCACGTCTATTGGGTAGTAAGTTGACCGCTACTGCCGGTATATTTTATTGAATTGGTTAGTTTTTTTAGATATAATTTACTTGAAATATTGAATTGACCCTTTTCACACCAAGATGCTTCCATTCGGACGTGCCTCTGCAACGAGTCGAATCCAGATTGACGATCTGGGCGCCCTGCATACGCTCCTCCCGTTCTTTACATCATCAACAGATGCTCAAATGAGTAGGATAGATCTCATCCTTCTTTCAAACTTCATTTTCCGTCAGTTCTTATAGAGTCCACCCTTCTCCAGTTTAAACTTCCATAACCTCTTTATCAGTTCAAAACCCTTTCACCTACTTACTCTTTAAATCCCCTTTTTCTTTGTCTTTACAGGTCATTATCATCATTCACAGTCTTCTCAGATCAAGCCTCTGATGTCTTTGGATCATTATCCAATCCTCACCGACAGACGTTTTCAACCCAGCGAGTCTCGCTCCTCTTACCAGTTACATGACTCTATTTCACTCCCTCTACCTCAATGGAACTACTCATCCAGGTCACAAAATGAAATCACTCAGGATTATTCCTCTAATTCTTCCACGTGGAACGTCAATTTACTCAATCATAATTGGTCTAGCGAACCATTACCTTCATCCTCTCCCCTTCCCTCCTCCTCATCATATTCATGCCCACCTATCAATCTACGCCACTCCGGTTCCGGCACTTATTCTCACCAGTCTCCCTATCCCGAACCCTCACAGCGTCACTCCTCCCAATCCCTATCAGCCGGCTTATCCTCTCCATCATTTGACCGTACAGCACAACACCGTTCCCCATCAGCAGCTAGCACCTTCAAATTCGACGATGCTTCCTGGGGTTCAACTCTGTACACCATGGACGATAGAAGTACTCATTCCCATTCTCATTCCCTACCACCTACTGTCACTAGCACATCTCCTTCTGTACGCGCTTCGTCTAGAGCCTCTTCCTCCAGGTCATCCCCCGTAAAGCTCGAACAAGACGATGTTTCAGGTGCCGACTGCTTTGTCATGGAATTTGCTACCTCTGTCCCAGCTGCCCAAGACAGCACCTCCTTGGCACCCCCAACCGAAGTGCCCTTGCGCGCTACACAAGCAAGCAAAGCAATGCGCAAAATGATGGGCGTATTCCGCCTCAATCCGTTCTCAATGCATGAGGGTGGTGGTCAGGCAATGAGTACCTGGATGGGCGAGGATGCAGGCCCTTTGGACGAAGAACCTCAGATTTTTGAGTTTCAACTCGACGTTGGATATCACGAGTCTGATGAAGAGGACGACGAACAAGCACCTTCCCACCTTCAGACTCTCGTCGAGGTCCCAGAACCTGAGCTAGACGTAAACACGAGGTGGGCGGAGGGCGACAACACAGAACTCACTTATTCCTCGGTCTCCCATACAAGCTGGGCCACCAACGAGCCACCGTGTCCTTCGTATACATTGCCTTCCCTTAGGTCATATAATTCGCACCCTCACTCCCCTTCATTGTCTTCCGCTTCGTCTCGTAAAACGCCTCTGGATATGTCTGCGTCAGAGGTATGTTTCTAGCTAATAGTAATGATTATTCACTAATTGCATGTCGATGCAGTACACCAGCGCGTATACACTGCACGGCTCTGGCAGCTGCGGTTCTTCCACGGATAACCTTCCGTCACTCTCGTCTATGGCACGGCGTTGGTCCATTCCCGCAAATCTTCAAGCACCATTCATGATATAAATATACTCGCGTGCATTACATCACATTAAATCAAAGGGCCGACGGGCTCGTAGCGCTCTCCAACTCTTGGGTGATTTCATTCACCGTTGTCACTCTCGCTAGGTATACTGCCGATCTATTTCGAGGGTTGCTGAAGTGATCGATCCCTACTTTTTTACTTTGCTGTTGCATTTTTCTTGTTCTTGATCATCCTTATTCAATTGTCTTGGGTCGTTCTTCGCTCACGGACAGAACTCAAATCAACTTTCTGGCAGGTTGGAACGCATGTAGTATACTCTGCAAAACCATACGATACCTACGATAGTACTCATACCGCAATTATTGTTCATTTTGTCGCAATACCACATTCCGATCCTTCTTCAGATCGCACACCGTAACTCCGTTGAAGAGAATTACGTTGAGTTTGGGCGCGCCATCGTTTCTCTATTGAATCACACGTCAAAGCATAACATCATCGACCTTGTAAGGCTCGTCGGAGAGTGCCTCCGAATTTGTATACTTCACGTCACTTCATCGGTCAGCATCTCCGCCACCGTACCTACTCAAACCGATCCTACAACTCCCGCTATCATGTGGCAATCCATACCACGTCCTCACGAAAGAATATTCTAGAGTCACTCAGAACCATATCAAAATACGTGCGCATCGTGTGCGTACTATTCTCTATTCAGTCTAAAGAGGCGGCCAGATATCATATGAACTTCATATCCTCCATTCCAGATCAGTCTAGGCCATATCCCGCAGCTTGGACCCGACAACGAGGCGGTAAGATTAATTTCATTTTGTGAGGTGAAAGTAAAAGTGAAATATTCAAATACATATGTTCTGTCTCTCGTGTTGTTTTACGTCGATGCAGACGCGTTCTCCCCCTGGGATCCAAGGACATGTGATGGAGTGATCGATGGAAGGTCGCCAGGTTCGTCACTGTGCGGAACTAGATGTCACCAGAAGTTTGTCGGAAGTATTCAGCACTCGTAACTAGTAGTGGCAGTTTTAACAGGTTTTAACCGTGCATGCATGACACGACACAGACGTGAGAAATTCAGAAGCAGGCACACATGACGAGGTCAGCGGGCGCCTATGTAAGTACTTAGAGTCTTCGGCTATTGTACCCGGTCCAGGGTCCACTAGTATCCAGAGTATTCCAGTTCAGAGCAGGAACGATTGGAGTGCCAATCACAGCAGAGAGAAGCACGGACATACGTATCCCATTCACCCAAACGTTTTGACTTAGAACCTCATGATCAGTGCGGTACACTCCGACATAATCTAGAACCTGGGGTAGATCGGTCTACCTCCCCCAATGACTTGGAAAATGCCTCGCTCATGGATGTCGCCCCTTTTTTTGACAGGTCGAGCCAAGGCCCAACCAATACCTCAAGGCTCCCACGAACATTGGATATTAGCTAGCACATGGTGCGATACATTGACGACATATATATCGCTAACATAGGTTTACGCCCCACGAGGATAACAAGTAAGATTAACCCATGAAGCTTAAGTGAAGGGTGCAAAGTTGCGATACAGGGTATGTTCTAGAACGTGGGAATGTGCCAAAGATGTGCGCCAACTAAGACACCTGAGACATAGCCAAATAAGAGTCCGCAACAGACGCTGCTCAAATCGGGGGATATATTCGAAATCAATACATTCATAAATATGTCTCGGGATATGTATTGCATTTCTTTTCTGACCATGTCTCAGGTGAGATGAGCTCATTGTAAGAAGTTGCGAGTCGTAATGTCCGTGTATAAGTCGCCTAGTTGTTGCAATGTATCTGAACGAGTCCATTACGTGTTCTCGTCATTCAGTAATCTGTGAAGGGTGTGGGATCGTCGCAGCAGACATACCAAGCCCTGCTATGGTTGAGTTCAAACATCCTCATTGCCGCTTGAGGGATCCATGAAGATCTGGGGTGGCACCGAATTGGAACACAACACGCGCTCCGTGATTTCAGAGAATGACAGCAGAAGGTATTGAAAGACGATAAGTCGGTCTGTGGCGAGAAGTCATGTTCAGGGAGAAAAGACGGGAGGACACGGTTCTAAAACCTTAAAGATACAGAAGCACACCTAAAATGGATGAAGTCAGTTACAACGAGCTGAACTGCAGTCCTTGGAGGGTATCAACTCACTCCACAGACTCAAGGACGTATGAGTCTGACGAGACAAGAGGACAAGAGGGATGAGCATTTTGACGTCGCGTCCCTAATGAGATTCGGCAACTCAACAAGTTACCTCTTCGGACGCCTAATTATCAGAACGACCTTGGAGGAAGTCGACCAGTGTCGTCACGTCGTGTGAAGTGGCGTAAACTGACGGCCCACAGCGGCCCACAGGTGACACACGTCCGATCGCTGTGCAGTAGTGTGCAGTGCCTTGAAATACTCACGATAATGATCAAGATACGATCTGTAACAGGCAGGTAGCCGGGAACGCGACGGGCGACGATAGAGCCTAGGCCAGCCAAGGAAATCGTAACCATCACCTATAGAGCTGTAAGTAGCTCAAATATGACGCGCTCGAAAAAGGGGGGTTGCAAGATCGTCCGAAAGAAAAGCTACTTGTACAGTTCAGTCTGTGACATGAACAAAGGGACATACCTGGGAGGAGATTGTGAGCAAGAAAGAGGTTAGTGATATCCTGGTGGCATCCGGACAAAGGCGAGCCAAGCCAAGACCCCCATTTGATCAGAAAAATATGAGACCAAGCTTGAAGGAGGATGATTTCGACGGATGAGGTGGCGACATCGAGTAATCTGGACGATCAGGCAGATATCCAAACTGCGAATCTACCCGAAGACTAAGTAGCCCGTATCCCCCCTCAGCTGGTTATCTTGCATGATTATCGAATGCCGTAACTGTCTCACTGACTGATTTTTTTTGCAAGTAATATGGCAAAATTGTCGCTTAACCCGCAGACAAAAGGAGTGAAAGTCGCAGGCGTTGCCTGCTAATAAAGCAACTGTTTAGTCGTAGACGCGCACAGAAAATTTTCCCCACACCTCTCTGGCCCAGTATCGAGCGCAGTTGTATCTCTTCTGTGCTTCTCCAGAAGCAGGCGTCCCTTTGAGATCGATGTCAGGGATTTCCCTGAAGTCACAGTCAGAGGTGTTTTCACTCCCTTGTGTTTCACGAACTCCGAGGAGTCAGTCAACGTGTGTCGCCGGGTGTTGCTTCCCGTTATCGGAACAAGTCCGTGCGGGCGGAATCGAGCTGCAATGCCAGATCCAGGAAGAGAATGCGGCGAAGCGATTTAGTTGCAGGAACGAAAGAGGGGCTTATGGTTTTTCCTTGGACAAGGACTAAAGTGAGGACAAGGGCAGTACGGGGAAATCGGACCGAGAATTTGGCGGAGAACTAAAACGTTAGCCACGCGAGAACCACGAGAGTCAACGAGCCACGAGATCTGTCAGAACAACCACTACCACGCGAGCGAAGCAATCCGAGCTACTGGTAGTCTGTCAACCACATAAATCACTTGCCACCTCCTTAACTTTCTATTTTACTCATTGTTTTCCGCCATCGCTACCAAGTTCGCCAAGTTCATGCTAGATATCGAGGAATATTCCCATGGACGTCGAAGAAGCGTCGATGTCGGTGGTTTAGCGCTTGCACTAGGAAACCAGGGCTTGGGTCATGGCTGGGGTGGATGGGAAGAGGAGGAGCAAGGAGAGACTCGGTAAGCCATATCTTTGATACTCTTTGATCGGAAGTGCTTACTCTGTTTGATAATAGCTATGCTGAACTACTTAGCGACATGTACACCCACACCCAGACTACCGTCAACCACCATGTACATGACCTGTAATGTCCTTTTCTACCATTCCTCTGAGTCTTTTAATCGATCACTTCCTCAGTTCTCCAATCGTGATACCTCCCCATACGCGAGCGCACCTAATCGAATATCTTGATAGTTGGCATTTTGAGCCGCATAACCTGCCTGAGGAGGAAGTCTTATTCTGCGCACAAATTTTGTTTGAAAGCCTATTCCGAATTGAACACATGCGCGAGGATATCGGTGTTTCCCTCGGTCAGTGTTACTTTCGTCTCCATGTGACGACTCTCTTATCAATTCGACAGATGATATCTCTATCTTCTTGAAACACCTGCGGCCCCTATACTGTGGACATAACAGTTATCATAACTTTCAGCATGCATTGGATGTCTTACAGGCCTCCCAGGCATTCCTGTGTGCGGCAGGTGTAGTTCCTCCTGCATCTATATTGTTGAAGAGCGACGACTGTACATGGAGGCCGGACAAACGTGGAAAGGAAGGCCATCTTGTGTTCGACCTCAACAACACATGTCTTTTTGCTCTGTTTATTGCCGCCATTGGACATGATGTGGGTCATCCTGGGTTGACAAACATGTTCATGGTATGATATGCACACCAAACCGACAGACTTCCACTTGACATTCATTTGCAGAAAAATGCGAAGGCACCATTATCTGATGTATACGATAACAAGTCAGCTCTTGAACAGATGCACTGTGCCCTCCTCATACAGACAATGCGGCACCATGGCCTTGGCAAACTCTTGGATCGACCAGGCTCCGGTTTCCGAAAAGTGCTTGCCGGCATCGTACTGGCGACGGATATGAATGTCCACTTTGATTTCATAAGAGATTTCCAATCGCTTGTGGGCGGCAGAGAATATTCCTTGCATCGGCGCCGATTACTGCTTTGCCAGGCAATAATAAAGTGTGCCGACATCAGTAATCCCGTTCGTTTTCTTCGTCGCCTATATTTTATATGAATCCTAACTTGTATGTGGTGTAGAGTCGGCCATCCGGTGTTTCGCATTACTGGGCGAGTGCGCTGATGCTCGAATGGGCCGCACAAGCATCGCTAGAGAAGCACTGCCAGTTGCCGCCATCCGTCACGCCTTCCGAATGCCCACTGGACCAAGTGCGGGGACAAATATTTTTTATCGATTCATTTGCAAAACCACTTATGGAGCTTGTCACAAAAGCTGTTCCTGGTATTTCAAGTTTTGTTATTGCCCTCTCACGCGGCTGATATGTCTCTGTCTCAGAAATGGAGACCTTCGCTCTTCAGTGCGCTGCAAACTTAGCTATGTGGGTGACCCGCCAAGAGATCCTATCCTCCCCATCTGCGGAACCTTGCCCATATCCTCGTATGGCCATACCTTCCCCTCGTCCTCCCGAAGACTTCCTCACTTCTTTCCCCCTCACTCTCCCCTCATTCCTTCTTAGCGCCGATGCGCCTCCTGCCTCCGGCGAGTGGCATTCTCCATATCCACATTCGGATTCCTCGTCATCATCAGATGTCAGTTCGGATGTTCACGTCGACCGCCCGGTTGCTTTCCCATCCCTTTCACCCCCTGCATCCCCCTGTGCCATCCGTAGGCTCGTCTTACGCCCTTGCTACACGCAGTTCCTCGTCAAGTCTTGCAAGCAACGCTAGCGATGCTACGCAAGCGATGCGCGCTGCTTATTCGGCGGGCCCACGGAAGAAGAAAAGTTTTCCATCACCGATACTCGTGGAATGCGTCAACCAGCTCTGGATCATTCCCAGTCACCTCCATGCCGCTACCATTACTTGCCACCATTCCCAAAGCTGCACTATTGGTAGCCGAGTCTACTGTATCAAACGGAACTACCGTCACGTCAGTCACTGCCGTGGTGACATCCCCCATAGGTGACGAGAAAAAGGGAGTGCTGAAGGTGCCATGATCTCCCAACACAGGTGCCACATGGTTCACGCCGTGATCTCAGTGGCACTATATTTTGCGCAATGCATTTGACATGCGACAATGACGTGGTTCATGTCGGTGGATACTACCCGGACTCGCCGTGATTATCGTCATTATTCTTGGGCTGTCGAACAATTGCCGATAAGGGGGGAGGTAGACATATGAAGCGGGTGTTAACTCGCTTAATTCACCTACGCTCCATCGAGCTTGGGTCTGTTCGTTTAGCCTTCGTGCATTCAATCTTCCATTTCCTTTTTGTTGTTTGGCTTAGCAGCCCCAGCAGCCTTGATTAACACCCTGGCGGCTTATAATATACCACAATAAAGCCACGGCAGATGTCCATTGTACTAGGAGCATACAACGTTCGTCATTATTTACATAGAGCCTCGGAGGGGTCACTGAGTTTGAATAAGTACTTGACCTTGGCGAAGTGTACTTAACCCTAAGGTTGTCGGGGCCCTGGGCGCGATGGCTCCCCGGAAACGCATGGCCGCAAACGGAAGAAGCTTAAGTACCTGCGATATATTGAAGCCAAAACGCAAATAAGGGAGATCTGCATTATGAAACACATGCGGTAGTGGAACTCTCGTAGATTCCTGAATGGAATACCTGGAGTCATTCACGTAAATTTACACACGCATAGTCTCACATCTTGTCCACTGAAATAAAATAAAAATCATATTCAAATCACGGAAATGATAACACGCAAAAGCGCTCCAAGCCATCGTCCCCTCTTTAGTTACAGTTATTTACTAGAAAGTCCAAATTCATTTAGCTGCAGGGGAAGGCCGTCAATGTCGAGAGAACGCACCAGCTAATAGAAGAGGGGACTAGGCGGCGGATCGTTCCACTGTCATGGGTGATGAATAGATTTCCACCGTCGGAACCACTATCGGGATATGCCCTCGCGCACGCCAAGCTCACTAATATCTAGTCCACTCACTTACAACGTGCCTTTCCAAATGTGCATCTGTGAGTCATATGAGGCCTCCGTGCACTCCATCCAGTCAATCCCCGCGTCCGATGCCAAGTTGAAAAAGTTGTCGCATATATTTTGGGCGGTGTATTTGCCCGCAGCGACATATACCCAGGCATCGGCGGACTTCACAAGAAGTGATGTTAGTGTTGTGACTAGAACGGGGTGAGAACTGTCAAAGTGCAACAGGTCTGACATTGACAACGTCATAGCCGTTACTAACGGATAGACGTCCCGCATCTAGAGAGAGACGACTGACAAACAGCGGGATTAGTGACAGATCAGGGCTACGCGGACATATCTCACTGACAGGTGTCGTGTTGTGTCTTGTCCCCATTTGTAGCCCGCACAGTGGACGCGACATCTTGGATTAAAATTGCAATGATTCCTTTCCATCAGGCAAAGCGGCTGCAAGCAATGACGGGAGAGCACATCCAGCCCCCAGTTCAACGACTACAGGATCAAATTAAATCTCAGCATATTACGGGTTGCAAACACTTCTTGTCGCACAAAGCAATCAGATTGAATCACCCAGAAGCAGCGCCAGTGAGACAGGTGATCCGCCAGGAGGGCATTAACCTGAGACTGGTGAGCAAACGGCGTTAATAGCGCAATGTGGTGAGCGGACAAACCTTCCCTTCCTACGATTTTATCTGAGACTCATCTGCCATTACTCAATGTCAGCGAGAATCAGAATTGTTACCTTTGGAGCAACATTAAGCTTCAATGGGCCGTATTCCACTACGCATCGTTCCGTAACCTGTTCCCCACCCGTTGTTTCTAGAGTGTCTCATTCAATTTCTGATGCATCCGTCACGGTTTGATCTAGACGGCTGCTGCCTGCTGGACGAAAGTTTGAAATTCAAACTCAGCGACATTGGGTTCAATATCTTTCAGCTACGTAAATATGAAAGGCTGCAAGCTCGCCTCAAGACCCTTGTACATCACACCTGACTCGAATCTCCTTGTCCCGGTGGACGGTTATTTGCCCAGAATGAACTAACTCATCATGTTCTTGCCACAGGTTGCAAATGTTACGCAAGGGCGAATATACGGAATAATGGACACGGCGTGTCTCAGCTTGATTAAATCTGGTCGTTGAATGCCTTCTTCAAGATCGTGAACTTATGCATCGACTCAGAACGCCAGTCCATTAACAGGACCCTTTCTTTTACGTGCGCGGGAAGGCTGAGCGAGTTTGCGCTAAAGTCAGGAACCTAACCTGATTCTGGCGGGGAATCCGATGTCAATATTGCAACGCGCTTGAAATATTGCATCGTTTTAAGCCACGTGCGGTAAGTTAAAGTATATCTTACTGCAGAGACTGGTGCACCCTAACTTACCCTAATACGCTTCATCATTGACATCCTCACTAGTATGTATCGTGGAGATACTCGTGCTAACCACAGCTGCAGGGCCCGTCGACCATCGGAATACTACGAGGCACCGTATGCCCGCTATGCTGTGTCTAGCTGCGCTCTTCCGTGAGGTACCGACAAGTAAGGTAAAATTCTTGTCGGCGAAGGCACCTTATCTGATAACGAGTGAAAGAATGCTACCGGTCAGGATAGCTCATAATGTGAACCAGAATCAGTCTGTGTAATACATAAGTGAACGACAACGTATGATGACATCGTACATAGATCACGCGTGCCGGATAGTACACGGCGGCCGGGCTATCTGTTATCTGTATTGCAACAACCGCGCTGGTGATACGAGGGTTTCAGGACCAGACCGAGGAGATCCGTGAAGAATGGCGTGCACCGACTTGCATCCTTAATTAGTCTAACTGAGCTCGAGGTGCTTGATTTTTCCTTGACTCATCTGGCTCGAATCTGATCAAGATACTGGATGCGTTTTCATTGTGCCCATTTCTGTAGTCGTACCATCGGGCAGTCCAAGAGTAAGTGATACGGAACATTTATGCGCAGCGTGAGGGTGATAATCGGTGCAAGATGAGACCAAAATAATGTCACGAAACTAACGCTTTGGCATGGGGGGATAGTCATGATAAAGAACTTTTTTTCTAAAAAAAAAAAACTCTTCGTCATCACTGAACCCGAACGCATTCGTCTTACAAACTCACTGCATCGTAGATGACTACGCAACTACATAATCCATCTAAGCCCCGTATAACTCGAACTCCCATGGCACTTGTGAATCCGGGGGAAGGTCACTTAACCATATTCTTCGTAAACGGCATGTCGCATAAACTTTGATGTACGACAAGTGCGAGTATGACCCACTAGGGACAGGGATATTCGTCGTTGACATTATTGTTGGACGGTTGATATCATGATGACTGCCTTCATCGTCATCGAGCTGATTTCTGCCAGCAAGTGCGTTAAAATGTGGTATCAAGGACGGGAGGTTAAGCGTGATTGTGGACCATGCAGTCAAGGGACGAGACGAAGGCTGTGGAAATGAAAGAGGTAGATGAAGTACTGGCGGCGCATTCGGAGCAGGAGACATCGCAAGTTTGGGTTCTTTCTGATAATCAAAAGTCAGTGGATGGGCATGGGCATGTTACACTTATGTCTGCATCAAAGATCGATTCCATGAACGAGAAAAATTATAAATGCCATGCACCTGAAATGTCGAGCAGCGAACTACACCGCACCTCCCCGACTTATCAAAAATACCAATGTCGAAAGACCACTCCCTGCCCATGTTCCGAACTTGCAAATGAAGCCATTTATGCTTTAAGCCTAGGTCTCTGTCGCCAGAACCTGTATTAGGTGGAGACCGAATGAAGGTCATCCGGAGAGTTGGAGACTGAATATGAAGGACAGTTTGATGCAGGCCATAGCCAGCATTTGATTCATCGTGGTCATCGACTGCCGGCATTGAGCAGAGGACAGCAGGCGGAGACGGAGGTGGCAGCGAGGACTCATCATTCAGGAAATGTATGAATGAATCTGCGGCCAGAGACCCATCTTTCTGCTGCGAAAACAGTGAAAGGGGTTCGCTGCTTGTAGAAGAGAATAGAGAGACGATGTTCGGTTGTATGGTATTAGTGAACATTCAAGTCAAAGTGCCCGCCACTGCCACAGTGCCACTTACACGGTTATGTAAGTACACGGTTTGCAATTTCCTCGACCTCCAACTTTATGCAGACCACCGGTGAGACCCATCATCGGATGTCAAGTAGAGCTCATCAGTCCCTTTTTCTCGTGACCATGGTTGAAAGGATTGATCATATTACATAGCAATTTCTGTCAAAGTGAATGCACAACGAGAACTGTCAATGGTGAGGTGCTGGGTGTCAAGTAATGTACGGGCAGTGTATTCTATCAGTGGAGGTATAGAGAAAGCAATGATCGAAAGCAATGAACAACGCAATTACGAGCTGACATACGAACGCACAGCCTGCTTCAGTCCTTTGAGCAGTTCTCGCTGCTTAAACGGATCATCTGGCAGTTTCAAATTACCCATGGCAAGGGATAGGATATAAGCAAAGTCCGCTTGGGCGACCAAAGGTAGCCTGGATGCCAGCGACTTCTTTTTCCGGTCGTCAATCTTGGCTTTGAATTGCTTCGCGAAATCATCGGAAACGATTTCGGCGCGTTTGACCACCTCCTCGGGCACGCCTGCAAGCTTCGCTACATGCGTACCAAAGGACGACGATGCGACGCCATCAACTAACTTGTACAGGAAAACAAGCTAGGAAGGGGTTGAGCGACCGGCAATGACACGGATAGAGCTCACTTGCCTCGTGTTTCTCGTCATCAAGCATGGTGGACATGTGCATGTTTCTGATGTTTGGATGGTAGGCGAAATCATCGGTGAGCGAGCCATAATGTGTTGCAAAGAATGCTAGTGGAAGGGTGCGGGTAGCAATTTCGTGAAGCACCGCCTGGTATCATGGAAGGTCATAATCAGAAGATCCCATGGAAAGCAAGTGGGACATACTCCAGCAATTGCCATTCCATCCTGAATAACGAACAGTCAATAGTTGGTCGGGGAGAAGGGGACGTCTTCTCTTACATAGGTAGAAGTGCCTCTTCCCAGCTCTTGAATGTGGGTCAGCCGAATATCCATCAAAAAGGGGAGATGGCCTACCATCGAGGATTACCAATGACTTAGGCGTGGCATCCCGCAAGATCTTACAACTACTCCTAGTTTATAACCGAGAGGCCGAATTAGGGGATATCACTCACCACTCGTCCAGCTCAACTTTGAACGTGCTTGAATTGGAGAACATGTTATCATAAGCACCCATCCGCGTGAGAATAGCATCTATCGGACAAAGTCTGCATTGGCGTCGGTGAATGCTTGTCAAAGATTAACAAGAAGTACTCACCGAGCTGACTTGGCAGGAACGAGCATGCCCAACTGCGCCATGATGACACCTGTAGCTGTCATGCGCATAACCTAAGAAAAAGATAATCAAAACAGATCTCTGGAGAGGTGATTACCCACTGTGGATTTTCCGCTGCACACGATAGAAAGTAAGTGACACAGCACAAAAAAAGCTCAGCCTAACTAACCCCATGTTCGGACCTGTCAATAGCGCAATCCTGCCGATATCACCGCCCAATTTGACATCGTTCGCAACAAAGCCCTCTCGCAAACTCGCTAGCGTCGGATGTCTCAACTCTTCAAACTCGAAAAAGGCAGCATCGCCTTCCACGAACTCAGGGCGACAGCTTGGCTCGCCCATCGCCACAGACGCTTTCGCGAGACTGAAGAGACAGTCCAGTTCGGCGAGGACACGCACTGCGCGGAGCCACGTGCCTCGGTCTGTGTCGAATTCGGCATAGAGACGTCCTTTGAAGGACTTTACCGCTGCTGAACGGTTCTCGCGTGCTTCTTTGAGACTTCGGATGGTAGGTTGAAGGGAAGGCACTATCCAACGGTTAGCTGCCTGACGTATCACAGTAAGCTAAGTTCTCATTGCGCAACTTGGTTTACCCACCTTGGTACCGCCGCTCTTGACCCAGTCATTAGGCATCCCTGTCTCCTTCGCCTTCGTCTGAACCAGATAAATTTCCTACAAAAAGTATCACCACGAATGCTAATCATTACGACAAAATAAATCCTGACTTTGTTCCCCTGAGCGCTATGCCACCACACTAGATTGTACCTGCGCCGAGCCTATCAGTACGAAGCGCCATTTCAAGAAGCATAGACCTACCCAAGTTTTTTCTCAAACTTCTTGAGTTGCGCGTCTAACATCTTCTCAAGCTCTTCAATTTCACACATGACTTCATCATACGCCTCATCCTTGCCTGCAACAGGGAGCAGCTCATCTGTTTCTAAAATCTTATCATCAGTAACACCGAACAATAAGAGACACAACAAGAGCTATCCATGAATGACACGGTAATACACACCCTTATCCAGAGTAAAGCGCGATTCTACGTTCTTCAGATTGGGTGTCAGATCCGGCGCTGATCTCAAAAGTCCGAGGATCGTCTTCGAATCGAATGACTCAGAGCTGTCGGCGAGCTTCGCGAGGCCGCGGCTAAGCTTCTTGAAGGCCTAGGAGGCGAAAGGAAGTTAACATCAGAGATCGCACAAATATTGAAATATGGTATTCCAAGCGGGAAGGTCAGATGCACAAACATTGAACCTAGTCAACATCTTGATCCACGGATCTGATGCGCCCACAATACAAATTCATTTGCACGAGAAGATACGTACCGCCAGGACCTTCACAAAATCTTTCACCTTGCAATTATTTGCATGAATCCTGGAAACGATCCGCTCCAGATCGGGGAGTCCTTTTGCGAGTTCCGTAAATTCTTGCTCGAAAGTTGCGTGGGAGATGAGGTCCTCCACAGCATCCAAGCTGTGGAAGAATTTATCAACATTGACGCGACTTCTCTAACCATAAGGAATGCCGTACCGTGCGTTGATATCTTTAACTTCCCGCAAAGGAACGCACAGCCAGATCCTAAATAGTCGCTTACCTGCACGGTGCTTCAATACCTTCTAGAGGAGAATGGAAGTGCAAGGCCTACCAAACGGCGTGATGCATCTCCCCAGGAGTTTATGCAACGATCCATCTTCTGTACCTTCATTATTGAGCAGAACCTACGCCACCACATCAATCAGACTCCCGGGAAGCTGATGAATGATGGGATGACACCTACCTCAACGTGGGCAAGCGTCTGCCCATCTAGCACAACACTGCTTCCTCTCTTCATTGGATCATAGACATCAAAGTTCCGCATGCTAAGGAGGTCCTTGTCAATGTTCAACTGACGGAGGTACCTGTTTTTAGATGTTACATTCGCGTCCTGCATGAAATTCGGAACATCCGGGACACTCACCAGATCAGTGCGCCCAGGGCCTCCATCGCATCACGATAACTCGCCATGTCACGAATACTCTGCGGTACAACACCCGATAACTCGGCATCTTCATCCATCGCATCATCGTCGCCAACATCAACCTCAGAAAACATATTGTTCAGTTCGGTGATTGTCTGCGGGTAAGTAAACCCTTCGACGTCTCTGAGACTGGTCCACAAACAAGATCCAGGGAGAATGGACTTCAGCAGGCGCGTCGTTTGCACTGAAAGATTTCCCTGTTTCAAATAATCAGTCCGCAGGATCAAAGTTGAACGATAGGACGAAAAAACAGACCTTGGTGAATACTACTTCCTTTGGCCGCAGCTGTCTCATCATGGTCTCCAACTTCGTCGTGCACACATCATCCTCGAATGAACTCAGGCTAAACTGGCTCGTGGCGCTATCGAGCACGCAGACTCCGAAACTGCTCAGGCCATCCTTTCCTTCGGCGGACTCGCGCAAGGAGATACAATGTCCTGCTTGCTCATCCGTGAGGAGGTCCTCGTCCACGAGGGTGCCGTTTGTATAGACTTTGTTGAGCTCCCTACGGACGATCTTTTCTTTGTCTTTTCCGCCTGCGCCCTTCGTACCTTTGTCCTTGGCAAGACGCATTTCAGCGCCAAGGGCAGTCTCTGCTTGGTCCACACGGCCGACTTTATACCCTTCACCCAAATATTATCATCAATTTACTATCGCGGCAAATATCAACAATTACTTACCCTTGCCGAGGAATTTGCTAGTGTGCAGCGTAGTGAGTAATCGACCACAACTGCGAGGGAAGAACTCACGCAGCCCAAAAGTTGAAGCTCGTCTCAGGTACGCCGACCTAACAAGTCGTGTATCAGTGACATGCTCGCCCGTCGATGGGAACGGTGCAGCGAGGCCTTACCATGGACATCTTCACGCGCTGAGTGAGCTTCAAGTCAAACTCCCGATGCCCGATCCGCGCATCGTCTTCGTAGAGCTAGGTGCGGATGAGCACACAGACCTTGGACTTCCGGGTGATACCTCTAGCTCACCTCTAGGAATTTTCTGCGGGTGGAGTGGCCGTGAGAAGGAGGAATCAGGATGAAAGAAGGGATGGATGGATGACACACCCTTTCTGGAAGAATAAAATCTAGTAGCAAATACATGCATTAGCACATCAAATGGAACTTGGTTCAAGTGCAATACATACGGTGTCGAAGTGATTCTGCTTGATCTGTAGTGGAGGAAACAAATAATGAGCATCAAGGACGCCCTTACAACGCATCACGTTTCTACGTACCTCCCAAAACTGTATAGAACGTCACAAAAGCATTCAAAGTAAAACAAAAGATCAACTGCACCTGCTTCTCAAATGGCGTAAAGTCTGTCCATGCTTTCTTCGGGATGTACAGCGTGCGCGGGTCATATCCTGGTTCATCAGGGCGAACGCCATCTTTCTGCGTGCTGTATCAGCAACATGAAGCTACTAGACGGCACTCGAGAACATAAAGAGTGCATATCCAAGGAGGGCGCAGCACCGATTGAGGCCCAGATATGCGCATGTATGCGTTCTAAATCGTTTCCACTCTTCACAAAATAAACGAGGCGTTCAAAGACACAACAACACGATACATCTGCAGATATGAAGTTATTAGGATCACTCACATCCCGCACGTCGACCAAAAAGAAGAACGGATCCTCGGTAGCCTTTTTCTCGGTCTTCTTCTCTTGTGCGCGCTGCTCCGCCTTCGTCAAGAACATGGCGCTTCCTCCCAGTGCACTTGAGCTTTCTGTTTCACCGCCGACTGCTCCTGACTTCTTCTTCAGGGGCTGACGCTTTGGCTTCGCGGACTTCTTTGCGGGAGCATCCGATTCCTCACCAGACCCATCGTCCGACGCGGCAGACTTGGACGACTTTGAACGCGAGGAGGCGCGCGAGGAGGAACGCTCGTGCTCTGAGTCAGAATCAGGGACAATGAAGTCATCGTCATCAGAAGTTTTCGATTTCTTCTTGGATGCTGTTCATGGTTCAGATAGAGACGAGGTCGACCATGCAGCCACTCACATTTGGTAGGTGATTTGCGGAACTTGGTCAAGCGCGATGAGAACTGCGAGCGCACTTCTACGTCCTCGGCCTCATCCTCGTCCGAAGCAGGAAGCGAGGGTGTAGGCGTTATGCGCGGTTTCTTTGCGCGTCCACGTGAAGGAGAAGACTTTGTCGTAGTATTCAGGGGATGAGGTGCGGTAGGTAGCTTTGTGTTGTGCCCTTCCCTGTAAGACCCTCGTCCTCATCCGAGTCAGCTAGAACGATCTTGCGCTTCATTAGGCGCGTCTATACGGCAAGGGAAGTTGAACTGTCAGAAAAAGTCGCACAGAACGTAATTTTAGAATCCTCACATTAGCGCTCTTCTTTACCGACGCGTCCTCATCATCTGATAACATGTCAACATCTATAGGAATGGGGTCCGAGGTCGGCGGAGTGTCCTTGCCGCTCTCTGCATCGATGTCGATGTCAGAAGACGGCCTCGAGTCTGGTGTCTTGGGAGTGAATGTTGGTTTTGTTTTAGCGGCTGAAGAAGTTTTTATCGACTCAGAGCTTTTTCGCGCTGGCGTTGCACTGGTCGTCTTCTTTGTTGCTGCGACTGAACTCGACGTGGACAGGCCAGGTTTCGCAAAAAAGTTCATAAGACTCTTCTGCGCCATATTGTCGGTAGAGTTTTTCTTTGCAGGCGTAGGTGCCATTTTGACGTGTTCAAGGAATACGGTACTTGGACACTAGTTATAATTCTGAGTCCCACTACTACTTAAGGCGCGTCGGGGCGCGTTTGTACTTGTTTGGGAGCGCGGATCCAGCGCCATAAGTAATCGTGATCCTTAGTAGGTTTACAATGTACACGCAGAAGACATCAAACATCATTAACATTAACATTCTCATGCTATTGGTCCAGCTCTAAACAGTCTGGGTGGTACTGTACAGTATGACGTGCTTAAGTCGGAACTGGCAGTGGCAGGGAGTACGAAGTATTGCCAATACTTGATCACTGGGCCGACAACTTATGTCGACTTCGTGAATATCAACTTTCAAGTTGTATATTTTGTCTTTCTCTACTCGCCGATCGTGCCACATCCTCAGGCTCGTGTGTCTTGTTCTTCTTTCAATGCATTTCACCCAGGATCTGTCTGTTCAACTACGCTCACACCTTGGTCCTTCGTGCACCCGCCGGACCCCGGTGCCGAGATCGTCGAGAAAAATCGCAATCCCCGGTATGCCGCCGCAGTGATATCAGCTTAAAAGGCAAAATGCACGGGCAGTACGATCACGGCTCCCTACCCTTCAACATGCTGATGGCACCAGTGACCACACTGCGAACGGCAGTGGAGCTAGGTGGGACTTTCTCCTGAATTGATTGACTGGGGCAGCATTGGTGACAAGATTTGCTGACGTCAAATTGTAATTAGCACCCTCCATCATGTAGGTTTCATCTCTTCTGTCACTTGAAATAGTAACAGCGTAACTACCGCTCATTATTTATTCGATCTTCAAGCTCTACGTTGCGGACGGCCCGAACTGTGTGGGAGATCGGTCGTAGGTACGGGTAACCCAGAGCGTTATCCTCCAAGAAACGTTCTCCACCAGTCTACGGCCAGCACGACCACTAGAGTAAGGTAATATCAACGTAAATGTTTGTCCAGCATGATTTACTTACCTGATCCGTGAACTTCCCTTGTGCCCTAGTCTCCCCTACCCAGACCCAAGAGAAGGAAGATAGTCGGTTTTTCTCATAAGCTTGCGGCCGTTCCAGCCCGTGCCAGCACTGCGCCCGGTTATCATTCCCGATGTCAAATGTTTGTGCGGCTAACTCGGACACTGCTCACATTTATAATGCAATATGCGTCAGGTCGCGCAACTTCGTCACCCTGGTCGAAGCTGTCTCTCTCACTGCGCGACATAATATGAGATTGAAAATGTCGATTAAAGTCAACTTTTTGGCATTGTCGCAGGCTTTGCTTGCACTAGGGGCATTATCATCTCCGGCGACCACTACGTGTGCACCCATCATCGACTTAGGTTATGCTCAGTACCAGGGATCAATAGATACAGCGACAAACATCACCAGCTTTCTTGGAATACGGTATGCGGCTGCTCCAGTTGGTGCGTCCAGCTTTGCGTGTTGTATACAGTCTCAGTTTACGTACTATGCATACAGGCAACTTCAGATGGGCAGCTCCGCAGCCTCCATCGACCATCTTTGGGGTTCAACAAGCTACCACGCAACCAAATGAATGTTATCAAGCACCCCCAGGCAATTCTTCGACTGATCCCTATAAAAGTATCTCTATGAGGAAAAGGGCTATCAGTCAGTCTGAAGATTGTTTATTCTTGAAGTAAGCCCTGCCATGGAACGACGATGTTTCCATCTATGATTGGTGGTTGACTTGCATCTGGTAGTGTATACACTCCCGGAAGCGAAGTGGTGGCCACGCCGTCGGGAGGGCTCCCAGTGGTCGTATGGATTCACGGAGGAGGGTAAGTAACGTGTACAATGTTCCTCTGTCGATGAATCGATTTTTGGTACAGGTATAATCTAGGAGCTGCGAATTCATACAATGGCGCAGACCTAATCGTGGAATCAAATTATGGTGTCATCATTGTCGTGCTCCAGTACCGCCTTGGTTTATTCGGTATGTCTTCACTACCTCTTCGGGGTTTCAAACGTATACGCTGCCGACTAGGTTTTCTTCCTGGAGAAGCGGTCAAAGAAGGGGGTGCACTCAATGCTGGACTACGTACGTGATCATTATGGTCTGACAGTCCTTCAGACTCGGCTGAACTTGATATTCTAAGTTGACCAAAATTATGCGTTACAGTGGGTCCAGGCCTACGTGAGCAGAAATATCTACATGCGTATTGCACCTCGGCTGATGGAGAACTTTTCCTGGATAGATAAATAGTTTCGGTGGCGACCCCGCGAAGGTAACGATTTGGGGAGAGTCTGCTGGTGAGCTGCGTTAGTTACTCTTCGTCATTAGCCTTATTTACCACTCTCGTCGTTTCAGGTGCTGGTTCTGTGCTGCAGCATCTTGTTGCTCATGGAGGAAACACGCAGCCTCCCCTCTTCAGAGCTGCCATGACGAGTTCCACAGTCTTGGCATCACAATACAACTACAATGACCGAATTCCAGAGGTAAATTTTGTTCATAAGGTCAATGTCTGTAGCGTCCTAAATACCACTACCAGATGCTGTACAGTCAGGTCGTCGAAGGAACAAAGTGAGTCCTTCAAAGGTTAAATATTGTCATTCCCCCTAATGCCCTCAATTCACAGCTGTAGCTTGAGTTCGGATACCATCTCTTGTTTGCGCGCTGCAGACGTCAATACGCTGGAGACCTTGAACTATAACATCAACCTCAACGGCTTCTTTGGCACGTTTGTGTTCGTCCCTGTCGTGGATGGCACTTTCATCGTAGAGAGACCTACCGTGACGATTAGCAAGGGTTGTTTGAACGGCGTATGATCTGCGAATTCTATCTCGTCAGCGAAACTCAGACCTTTTCCCTTAGAATTACCTTCTTGCCATAACCAATTCACACGAGGGAAACATGTTCGTGAACCAATCGACGACATTGGATATCGCAGATTATGTCAAAACGCGTTTCCCGAACTTTGGTTCTGCTCAGGTTGCAGGAGCAGTGATGACGTACCAGGACCAGGGAAGCAACATCGACCAGGCAAATCTCGTGACGAGTGAATGTACGTGTCTTTCAAGGAATTCATCTTTGTCCTTGATTTCATGAGTCGATTTAGCACTATTCGTTTGTCCTACTTATTATCTCCTCAAAGCATTTGGAAAGCGAGCTTGGAAGGTAAGCTCGAGGCATGTCTCAATTTATGTATGTTCAACAAAGCAGGGCGAGTTTGCAATTCCACCTGGCCTGCACGGACAAGATATTGCATATTACTTTACTTCGTAAGTTGATGCAATGGGTCAACCCTACTCTGATGCATACTGCTTTAGGCCTGGTCCTGCATACAACAATTCCCAGTTCATCACTGCTTTCTCGAACTCATTCATGGCTATGGCCATGTTCGAGACTCCTAACGACAGATACACCCCAGGAGACACCACACCTTTCTGGAATTCTTGGCGACATGGTCCCACAGAGATGATGTTCAACCAGACATCCGCGGGAGTACCTGACGTTTACACTTTCAAGACTGACATGGCCTTGCTCGAGCGTTGCGCGTGAGTACCATACCATATTTGCGATGAGCCAAGGTGCTGAGCCAGACGCATGTAGATACTGGCGAAGCGTGTCGGCGTATACGGTGCAGTGAATAGACATTAAGCTCTGGTGTCTGTGTTAACAGAGACCAAATGTAAGTACGATATTGGCGTCGGCCTTTGCCCGACACTCGCCAATGGAGTACGCGTTGCACCATTCTCTGCCAGATACATTAAGTACTACTCTTTACGATAGATAGTGGGGAGTAAGGCCCGCGCGAAAAAAGTTATGTCCAACATAGGATCTACGACCCCAACAGACAATAAATTTATTTATTTTAATTTTAAAAAAAGTAAAAAAGTTGAGCTGAGAGTAGCGCGGCATGTTTATCATCCATATCTTCGACCAGCGGCTGGTCACAAAGGTTTCTGGACGTAGGATCTCTTTGCGGCGAGTCTTTGCAAAGCTGTTTATTTCATGTGAATTGGCAACGAATAGTACACCATATCAAGGAGTACTGTGATTCTTTCCTCCTGTAAACCCACAGTTTGGTTTTGTTGCACGCAACCCTCGGCCTGCTGGTGGCCTGCATTGCTGTAGTCTGCCTATCCCATTCGAAAATTATGGAGGCTTCTTGTTCGATTTTGTCTTGGCAGATCTTGTCAATGGTGGGCCGTGGCAGTGGGCACGGGAATGCTGTTCAACATGAAATGTCATTCTGAAATATCCGTCAAAGAGATCTGTTGGAGCCATCTAAGTGGTATCCACGATTTCAACGACTCAGCACTAGGCACAACTAGGCACGTCAGCAAGCGTCAGCATCGTTTCCATCTTGACCACCGCTTACAACTGACATCTGCCTACGTATGCGACAGCGTAATATTCCTGGGACCTGGAAAATCGATCGATGTCAGTGATCGGCGTGAATGGGAGTGAATCGGGTTGTCTGTAGAATCAGTTTATTTATCAGACCAGTCGAATACGAATGCAAGCCCGACACAAGTTAGGATGTCCCCTAGGCATGTTGAAGTTCCGTTGAGATCAAGATGTCCGAATGCGGCACTTATACTTAAACCATGTGAAGCAAAAAGAACGATCACGTTATAACAAAGAAATATTCAGACAACTTTTCTGCGAATTAATGGTGGCCTGTCCACGTCTCTCGGGCGATAAAGGACGGGTCGTCGTCTGTGACGCCAGCGAGACAGCAAATTTGAGGACGCCATGATGAACGAGATGAATGAAAATAGAAATTAAAAAATTGTACATACTTTGTTTTGCCGTGCTATGCTCGGCACCATTGCGGCATGGTGGGGACATGATGTAGTTGTGCCTGCGTGTGCTGTCACTGTGCTCGTTTATTCTCTCGTCTTCATTTGTTTCAGGCAGCTCCTTGCTCCTCTACATTCTTTCCCCGTTACGCTCACTTGTGTAATATCCATCAATAATGAAACAAATCACTCTGTTTAGTTCTGCACTTGCTTTCCTTACTTCCGCTTTCCTGGTACAGGCACAGCAGGGTGCTACTTGGTCAGTTCCCACTGTTACAAATTTCGTTGTGCAAGGCTGACTTGGCTTGATCGTGAAGCAACTCAACAAACACTTGCTCGTCCCAATATCCTTGTTGCAGTGCGTCGCGTAATTGACATAATCATACGAGCTTTATAATCTGACACCACTCAGGTGAATACGGGTTCTGCGGCGACGGATATGTGCGTCTTAAGTTACTTGTCTCAGCACGCTGCTGAATCGCTTCCATCGGTAGTACTGTCTTGGTGGATGCAACCCCCTTGCATCTAATACCCTCAACTCATGCAAACCCAGCCCAATATGTGAGAGTGCTAATGTATGTTCATCCGCTCCCCTTTCGCCTGAGTGGATCTAATGTGGACGACGCTTCAGTACACACTCTCGGATACCTCCCGCATCCTCAGTAATTCTACCTACTTCAATGGGAATGCCTCCGAATATGGTCAGCCCTCGAACGAATTACTTTCCTATTTTTTTCCACTTATGCGGCCTTTCACCCCTTGTCTATTACCTTCACAGACTGGGTCGTGGAACAGGGATCAATCATCAATGCCACATCTAATGGCGAGGCTGCAATTGCTGTCCTCCTCACTGAAAACGGTGGAGGTACTCTCCTGTCTTCAACCAGATACGTGCATTACGGTCAAATCACAGCTAGATGTGAGTGTTTATTTATTCAAGGCGCTTTCTCTTTAAACACGTGATATTTCCTTTCATTCGCTTGCTACACCTCTGTCTGGAAGTCTGGATTTCCCTCTACTTCTTAATCGGTGTTTTTTTTCACCGCCCATCCGGGAACAGAGATCTTTTAAGTCGATAGGGTCAGTAGTTATTATAGTGTTTTCTATCCATGAGCTTCCTCGACAATGCTTCCTGCATTCGATGAATCACACTTCCAAATCATTGAACCATTCCCTTCTCATTCACTCTCTTTTTGACTTCTTAATTTACTCTTCACTCATTCGAACTGAATACCTTAACAAACGCGCTAACGTCGTTTTTCACCTAGTAAAAACTGCCCGCTGGGCGGGCGTCGTTACCGCGTTTATTACAATGTCCAGCATTAAAGATGAAATTGACTGGGAATTCCCTGGCAACCAGACAACCACCGGACAGACCAATTATTTCTGGGAGGGAGTTATTCGTGAGTTTCTTGTAGTTGTGTCAATTCTGCAGGAGGTGCTGATGTTTTGTGCCTCCCCTCCCTTCAACTCTGTCCCCGCCTGGTCGCATGACTTTCAAAAGCTGCGCAAACCGCCGGTGTAATCGAAACTGGTCTCACGGATACATATTCCAACTGGCATGATTTTACCGTAAGTCTCCAATTTTGACCAGCTGCTCTCTTCATGTTTAGTCTCGCATGTTGGCGAACACGGTATGTACGCCTTTTACTGCTTCGTCCCATGAGCAGTGAAAGCGCACGCACTTACAGTTGAACACTCCCTTTGTGTGTATATCGTTTCGCCCTGTCCTCGGCATCTTTTGTTTACTTGAACTGCTGCCTAGTAATCGATGTCAGAGACTATCTGCGCCTTTGGTTCCATTTCCTCACTTTCACTTTCGCTCTCTTATATCAAAGCATCTACTAACTTTGTCACTCCGATAGATCGACTGGCAACCTGACTCGCTGACCTTCTTGGTGGACGGAAACGTGACGCGCACGATTACGGCTGCTCAGGCCACGAACAACGCGACGGGCGTTGTCCAGTTCCCCAATACGCCCAGTCGCATTCAGTTGAGGTGGGGTGTTCATACATTCGATACTTCTTATTTTGGTGTTTCGGGTATCACCTCCCGTCGTTGGGGTAGTGTGACCCTATTACTGCAACTTTTCTTCTGTATCATGTGGTTCATCGTTCGCGATCGCGGAGACATTTCTGACACCTTCATTGCAGTATCTGGCCGGCCGGTATCTCTACTGAGCCTCAAGGCACCGTTCAATGGGCCGGAGGCATGATCAACTGGAACGACCCTGATTATGTCTCCGCTGGTACGTTTGTCCTTCTTCCACCTCACTACAACTCTGAAATTCTCCCGCAGGTCACTTCTATGCGTACTTCCAGTCTGTCTCAGTACAGTGCAACGACCCCACCTCGCCGAACGCCTCAGACACCTCTTACGTGTACGGCACCAACTCTTCGCTCGACACGCCCAGCATTGCGTTCTCGAACGCCAGCACGATGACCAACGGCGCGTCTGCTTTGATTGGCGTGAGTGCCAATGCGATGAGCATGTGGCTTGGCATTTTGGCGGCGTTTGCCCTTGGGGGCTTGGTCATGTGAGCTGACACCAGGTGCTGCCATAGCTTTTTGGATCGCAGAGTGATGTTGTTTCTTATGTGCTTTCCTGTATGGCTACTGTGTAATTTGATACCCGAACATAGTTCAAGAAAATATCAGACTCCCGTGAAGCGTTTTGTCGCGTCGTATCGTTGGATGGGAGTTGATGTTAGACATCGATGATCGAGCGAAATAAATACATGACCAAGTATCTCAAAATATGCTACTCTCATTCACATCAGGTTCCAAGACTACCATGCTCTCGTCCAATACCTCTCGCCATGCTTCCCGTTCACAAAATTCCAGCTCTAGATCATGCATCTCATCCACCAAGGCATCAACCGCCTGCTTCATTGTCCACTTGCTTTCTCCTTCCTCTACTAAATGTCCTCCAAGCCCAATCGTGTCATCTATCGTGCTAGTGCTCTCAAATGCAGCTGGCAGGTGCCTTTCGAATGCTGCAGGCAATGGTAGCAGCAGATCATACCCCATGCATGCTTGCACAAGCCTTACTCGGCGGTATGTGGCACGCACGAGGGACCCAGTTTTCACGACCGTTGACATCATCAGCATACGCACATCCTCACTGAATGATGTCGAACGACGCAAGTCCTGGTGTCATAGGACCAAGGTGAACGATACGCGGTTGTGCACCGACTGGCGAGGTAGTTGGGCTGCGCTCAAACCCTGCCTTGCGTGGCGTGGATTCTAGCGTAGGAGGGCGTAACGTCATCTGAACTGGATTGAAAGAAGCCGATGGCGATACAGTGGAATGTACGCTCGATAATCTTTTCCTTGGCTTGGAGAAGACAGATGGAGGTCTATGTGCGGAAGAGTGATGGGGACCACTCTGCAAGCTGCGGAGCTGCTCGTCGAGAAGAGCGGCTTTTTCTTGTGCGAGCAACTTCAATTGGAGTACGAGAGGTGTGCGATAGCGAGAAAGGAGCTCTAGGAGAGACCAGAGCGCGTAGTCGATGACTCGTGGTTTACCTGGGGGAGGCGGGCGGCGGGCATTAAAGGATACGGACGGCGTGAGGAAAGACTCCGGAGCATTGAAAGGATCGATGTTAAAGCTTGACTGAGGTGAGTGGATGGGGGAAGGTGGGGCAGATTGCTCAGAGGATTCCAAGGCAAACCGCGCGTCTCCATCAGAAACAAGAGATCTAAAGAGGGAAGCAAGCCGGGTCCATACTGAGGGTAGAGATTCAGAGAGGTCATCTCGAGCTCTGACGATGATCACTTTGATGATTTGAATTGCAGCTATCAGCGTCAAGACCTGTTCTTTGTTGGATGATTTGGAACGACGTTTATCATCAGATTTCCTTCGTTCTAGCGGGGAGGTTGGTTGTCGGGACCGGCCTGGTTTTTCACAAGCCGCCATCGCGTAGGAAAGAAGCCGCAACCATGCACTAGTGCGGGCGCCACGCAGCCATGTATCGTGATCTCCCACCGGCGAGGCTGAAGCAGACGTTTCAAGCGAAAGAACGAGCCTGAAAACGACGGTAGACAAGAATTTATGTGATGGAAACTGTTTCTCGATCTCAGCAATCACATCGGCCTTTCGAAATGGAGATGGCTGTGGTAAGGAGCGATACCATAGCAGAGTGCTTATCCTCAGAGTTCCAACCTGCCTGAGACTCCAACCCACTCCTGCATATTTGTGTCACCACCAAACCGGAGAATACGACGTCGTTGGTGAGTGGGTTGTCAGAGATTAGATGAGAGATGATCTCGTAAATACCAGCAAAATTGATGGCCGACCCATAGGCGCTCATGATAGGAGCAAGGTCCTCAAGAAGTGAAATTGCTTCCTTGGGGCTGGGTGTACGATCAACAACACTGGCCTTTGAATACTGGCATAGGAAATTCACGACTTCATCTGCTGCGTGCGATGCTTCTCGTAGAAGAACTCTCGCGATATCGAAAACCTTTTCCGTTGCAGTGTTGGGCAATTGACCGCCAGCTTTAACGAAAGCGAGTGCCAGTCCGAGATATTCCATCCGCATACTTGTGAGATCGCTCGGCGCCTTCGCTTTCTTGTGGAGCTTGTCTACTAGAGCAGCCTCTTCCTGAGATACCTCCGTAGCCAGGCCGCCCACTGACTGCATCGTCAATGATTCAGGAAGTCTAGCCTTCGCGACTGCGCGTAGGATGATCGTTCCAACCGCGTCAATACCGTCACGAAGCACGCTCCTCGCTGATCTGGAAGCATTGTACAGTGCAGGCGTCGACAACTTCAGTAGTAACAGGAAATTGTGGGCCCTGGCGATGGAAGGGTCGTGACCAATGACAGTTAACAGCAAGCGTACGAGATTGTCCATATCAAGTGATCTCATCTCGTACTCCTCGGGAAGGTTGATAATCAGTTGTTGCGAATCCTGACTACCAACCCTTCGGATAGCAGCCATGAATGTTTGAGGCTTTTCATCGGCGGTGGTGACCATCAATGCTTCCTTCTCCTGCTGTCTATTCATGTTTCGAATGCCAGAAGCATCTGGGCCCGTCATCGGATTGCTACGATTCAGTGAAGACAGCATCCGAAAGACGCTGTCCACCAGCCAAGAGCTATCGCAAGTTGGTTCCAAGAGGGCGTGTACAACTACGTCTAGTGTTTGGAAGACAAAAGCCTCCTGGTGAAAAGCGTAGAAGCGACTGATAGCATACTCGATAGCCTGCCGGATTCCCTGATGATGCTCCTGCTCTGTATACACTTTCACGACAGATAACATAAAGAGGGAATAGCCGCCACCGGACGTGAAGAGACGCCTGAAGCGGGCACTCGCCACCATTAACGCTGCGGACCTGCGGTCAGATATGGACCACAGTAAGAAAAGAGTCTGACTCACCGATCAACGACTGGCTTACAATCCCAATATCATCTCCATGTCTGAGCAAGATTCGATTCAGACCATCTATGAAGACGATCAGCTCGCTGCGGTCGCTAAGATGCCTCGACATGGATCTGAAAATTTGGGCTATGAGGAGAAGATGACTCCGCGAAAGCATCAAGGAAAGCGTGGTCAGAATTTGCTCCGGGCCATCTCGTTGTGCAAACAACTTCTGTGGTACGAAATCTGACAGCTCCAGAAATTGCGCTGCTGTCGGGGCATCCATTGACGGCAGAACGATGTGTTCCACAGTCTTCCGAATGACTTGGACATCTTGCGGATTTCGATTTAACATGGATAGAAACAACCGATTCTGAGCTACGCGGATCATTGTGATTGATACCAAGGATGGTGGAACTTCAAATGGGGTTTCACTGAGACACTGAGCTTTCGGAAACATTGGGCCAGGGGGAGATGACGCCGTAAACCACAAGGTCCCGGAGGGAATGAGGAACAAATCCATCTTCGCTCGCCGAATCTCCCTTATGGACATCTCGCTAACTTGCGTGACTAGGTTCGACAATAGAGCAGCAGTAAGAGCGAAGTTGCGAAGTGCGTCTGTCGAAGTAACTTCGCGAGCAATGAATTTAAGGTATCCCGAAAGATGATTGAATGTATAATGAGCCATGGCGGGAGGGAGGTGCTGATTTAGATGTAACAACCCTCGGACAGCTGTCGTGGCCGCTTCTTCATTATTGCTGGAAAGCAAATCGAGGATGGGTCGAATAAGAAGAGCAGGCTCATGTCGTAGTAAATCCATAATACTGTCACGAGCCGCGCATGAGACGTCGATGCAAGAATCGAGAGTCAGAGAGACCAGTTGAGGGAATAGAATCCCAAGCGCAGGAACAAAAACCGCGCGTCGCTTGACGCCACGATTTGTAGGGTCTGACAATCTTCTACTGAGGTGGCTATCTGAAACATCACTATTGGAACGAGGTTTGGTCGGCGATGATATGGGGGATAGTACGGGTGAAGACTGAAGCCGCTCCGTGGCGCCAGCGTTTCTATCTTGAAGATTACTGGGCAGGAGTGATAATGGCGTCCTCACCCATTCGCGTTTCTGGTCCGTTGGTCGTTTTTCATCCAACCATCCCACTTCGGCTAAGCGTTTACGAAGTTCTTTGGGCATATCTTCGCGATCATCATCCTCCTGGTCTGGGACAAAGAGGCTTGAACCGATGTCGGTTGAAACAAACGGCAATGGGTCGCGAGCTAACTTGAACGGTCGACGACGGTTCTTATCCAACAAAAAAGGCTGGGATAGAATCTGGAAGCGCATATTCAGCAGTATATCCAATCGTTGGATTGCGGCGATCTTCACGGGACTGTCTTCACTGTGGAGTCACAAGAGAATGTTAAGAGCACGCATTACCAAGTAAAGGTTCTAACCCACTTCTGCAGGTCGTTCCTGATGAGTTCAAGTACGCTTTGTGGGGCCTTCTCCGCACATTGCATGACCAGAAAAGAAGCCTAGAGTATTCCTGTGAGAACCATCGCTCGGTTATATGGGCAGGGCACGCACCGAAAGCACTGCCCGAGGTTCCGCCCGGTCAAAACCTCGTGCCCACAAGTAAGGTCCCATGAGCGAGTAATCCTCCGACGTAAGGCAGGCAGAAATCACCACCAATAAATCGAGAGCTTGAGGGGCGAGGGATTGTGGCAGGGACAACAATAATACCATTCTCTCATGGAACACGTCCATGAGGACAGTCCTACGTTCAGTACTGTCCCCAGAAACATCGCTGGTGCTGGGAAACAGGAGCATTGTGCTTCGGCGCTGTATTTTTTCAGCGTCAAGAAGAACAAAGCAAACTGAAAACTCTACCTGATAAGATACTCGAAGGCTCTCCTGTGTGGAGGCGTAAATATGTTTGACTCTATCGAGCACTTGTGAGACGTCGCTGAACACGTCTTCATCTACAACCAAAGGTCCATCTTCATCCACCACAGCTCCAATATGCGACTGTAGCCACCAACTAATCGATAATTGCAGCCAGGTTGGACTTCCTAATTTTCAATCTTCGGTCGCAGCAGGGAAATAAAATAGAACATACCGCTTTACAGATCGTGTGAGCAGTCTGATTTCAGTGAACAAGATCAGATAGAGCAACCGCATGGATAGTGGTAGTGGAGTAATTCGTTCCTGTATAACGTTGAGTCATCCCTCGAATCCCTCGAATTGACGCGTGTCTTGCTTACTTTCGTTTCCAGTAGAACGCCTAAACGCGCTTCAAGCATACTGAAAAACCGAGTTGGAGCAATGTCTGAGTCATCAGTATGCTGTAAATTGAGTTCAGGACTGTCAAAGGTATACTAGCTTAGGATGGACTCACAGAAAAGTCTTTGATGATTCGTGGTACCGCCTTGACGCGCGCAATCAGCTCAACTAGTATGATCATCTGCCCGGGCCTTGCTTGCGCCCACTTCCTCTTGGAACCAGACTGTAAAACGGCAGTGGGCTCATTCATTAGCGCCACCAATATCATCTCCGTATCTCTCGTCCAGAAGTCGGGAAGGAACACCGAGATAGCAGCAATGACTCCAAGTTGATGGACGATCGTGAGCACCTTGGAAGACGCTGCACATGTGAAAAGCGGTTTGAAGAATACTTGAGGATATGTGCGCGACGCCTTGTCTAGGACGCTCGTGAGTTCCGGGATATGTAGAGGTGGGGGATCTGCTACTATTCTCTGATATTTTATCAAATATACACGGTCCTATCGTTAGCGAATCAGAACACCCACCTCTTGCAAACACGGTATGGCCAACGTGAACAACTGACCGCGAAGCTCATCTGGTAAGCGAAACAGCGCGGTCAAAATTCTAATTATTGCCAGCCATTCGCCCTCAGCAATCCGTTAAAGGATGAAGAGTTAGCTGTCTTCCTTTAGAGGGATACCAAGAAGCACATACAAATTGTTGCATCATGTTTTCTAACGATGTCTTCCACTCAGGCGTGTCCAGCAGCTGCACGGTGAGGCCGCAAATGATACCAAACAACTCGTGAGTAACACTTTCAAGGCAGAGTAACTCTATCAGAAACCGAGACACGCTGGCACGGGCATCCGATGCCCGTTTCCCGGTCAGACACGTCATCTCAGGAACTACACACGATTTGAGGACGTGCAAGACGCTCTGCATGTCCACATGCTCCAACTGGGCGGACACACAAAGGAGAGATGCAGTATGAGCGAATGTTATCACAACTCGGGAACGGATAGCTGAAATCATAGGCAAAAAGGGTCCTGAGACGGGCGGGGGTGTCCAGAACTCCTGCGTACATATGACTGTTCAGCTGTTGCCCAGTACACCGAGAAAGGAAGGTGTACCTGGAGGAGCTCATGCAAGACCTTTCGCTTCATCGGTAGAGGTCCGTGATCAAAACATCGGACCACTGCTTCAGCGACCAAAGCTTCCCTTACTTCCGACTCGCTCACACCGACCAACATCACTGGAGAGCCATCAATCTCAGCTGCAGCAAGAAAGCCCGCTATGCTCCCACACTTCCCGCTGCGAAGCTGCAAGATGATGTCCCTTAAGATAGCCGCTTCTTGGTCTTCTTGCGTCTGGAGCAACGTCATGATTAGCGCTTGTACTAGAGAAAGGAACGCGTGAGCGTTCTGGAGCTCAATGGGGCCTGTACGGGGAAACAGGAGGGATGTAAGAACGCTGAGAACGCGAGTTCGAAGGAAGGAGGGTATGGAAGCAGCGTCGCAACACCAAATACATCTCTCGATAGTAAGCTACAAACGCGTGAGCAGCTTGAAAAGGCAATTCGCAGTGTACCACGTACATCATCCGACGTTGCTTGCCAAGTCTGGACAGCAACCTCGAAAGCTTCGATTGCAGTCCACCGGTCCTCGTCCACGTTCTGATTGCTTTCGCTCGATAAAAATGGCGTCAACAGGGCGGAAAGGACCAGAGTCTCGTGAGGAAGGTAATTCGAGTTCTTCGACGCATAACGAAGGATGGTCTCATGTAGCGTCATGACAAGCGAGAAGTTCTGTCCTCCTGACACTGTGGAAGGAGGCCTTTTGGTATTAAGCCCTTTCTGAATGATCTGAGTCTGCACCATAGTACTCCCAGTTGCAAGCGAGTTCAGAGTCGTACTCGACACGAAGGGGAGGTGCAATGAAGAGCTAATTGTGCCCAACGTCCCATCTCGCTCATTCTTGTTCTGTCGTGAAGGATCCGGAACACGAATGGACCAACAAATTTGGAGTAGTTCATCTGCAAACCTGAGAGAGTCGTCCACTGCAGTCTCGCGTGCATGCTCTACAACTTGTCGGAAACCAAGCCGCGGAAAGCGAGAGAGCTTGGGCGTCTGTAATCGGGCAGGGCTTTGAACTATCCGTGCAGACGGAGGCGAGGCTGGACGAGGTGCTGCCAAAACATGTTGCCGCAGCTTCTCCCAGCGGACCTTTGAAGGAGTTCGGGTCGGAGCGTTCCCTGAGTCAAATCGTTCGGTGGCAGGCGGGCGAGCGCTGGAAGACAAACTTGACGTCTTGAAAGCGTGGGTCAACGCAGGGGAGAAGGACTTCTTTTGCAAAGGGCTGGAAATGCTGCCTCCCACTGAGCGCGCCAACCTCTGCTCGTCGTCCACGTACGACCTCGGAGACTCAACTGAAGGCTCTCCCATCCAAGTTTCTGAACCATGTAGAACTAGGAACGGGTCGCTGACGTCGCCTTTCTCAAAACAGGTGAGTTGTAATGTAGGAACTTTGGACGGAACACGAGCAGGAACTATCTGCGAGCTTCCAACGCCTTCCGTGACGTCGGATGCCTCGGGCTGTTGGCTCTTGCCTGATGATGACCGGGAAGTGACCACAAACTCCTTCTGTAAATCGGAGGAAAGCAGGCGTCTCTGTAAAGGTCTTGAGCCAATTGGACGACTCGGACGTGAATGCAGGCCCTGGTGTCCTGACATTCGGAAGAATACTGATTAGCGTTTCAGCTTGTATGTTCTGTGATGGTTTGATAAGCTGCCCGGGTCAGCGTGTGAGCAGTACGCTCAGCATGAAGGATGACAACTGTTTACAGAGGCCCAAGGCTAAGTACTTTTCCAGAATTCAATTTGAAAATCAGCCTCCACTTAGGCTTGGTTTTGTTTGTTTTTCGAAGACAGGACACTCAACAAAACCCATGATTACAAGCCCCTACAGGACGAACGTGTACAACAGCGACTACGGGGGGAATGCAAGCCAGATGTTACTAATTATTAAAACAGAATGGAATAACATCTTTCGACACGAACGGAATCCCGAGACTGAAGAGAGTGAGCAAATAGACGGATGAAAATTATGAACGACTTACTTAAACAAGAATCAATAGCATAAAGACTAGTGCACGCGTGCTGATTATTTGCCTAGAAGTCCGTCGAATCCATTTCTTGAAGGAGTGAAGCATTAGAATTACGAAGAGCACGAATGGGCGATATAGTAAGTCCATCCAGAGGAAAAGTGAATCGTTCAAGCATAGAAGAATGGTGCAGGTGTGTGTGCAGGTGTGAAAGAAGAGAACGGCGCGCGGGAAGGCCTGTATGGTCGAAGGTCGTTGCTCCAGCTGCGCGGAAAGGTTAGCTTTGTCTAATTGAAGATAACAGCTCTACCTCGAACTCGTTGCGGAGCTGGATCTGGAAATTGCATCAGCTACATGGGCCCTGAGGTGATGCGTAAGAGGGTGCGGCGCGAATGAGGCAACTTGAAAGGTATCGCTAGGAAGACCGAGTGGGGAGTAGAAGTCGTTGACAAACGAATCGTGTGCAACACAGCTAAGACCGGACGCCAAGGTTGGGAAGCGGCGCGAACCAAGGACGAAAGGAGCAGCAAAGGGATTAAGTCCGGCATCAGATGTTTTCGGTAGTATGGGAGACTGGGCGTACGCAGCAGCAGCAGATTCAACCGGATGGACGCTGTCTTGAATGAAACGGACTTCGAGGCGCGAACTCCCATAGAACTGCCGCTGAAGTGCGTCTTTGGCTTCCTGAGCGTTGGCAATATTGACATATTCAACTAGAGCGCTTGCGGTTCCATTGCCGAGTGTAGCAGAATCTAACAGATCCACCTCCTTGATGGGACCGAAAGGATAGAACAGAGGATGCAAGTCACTGGCCTGAGCAAAGAGAAGAGTCGGCAAATTTGATACCAGCAGCTTCGAGGAAGGCGCCAATGAGACATTCCACTGCTTGTTAGCGTAGTGAGACAAGCCGGTTGTCGGCCGTGCGGGTTGGTGATCGAGCTCCATTTCTGGAAATGACGTAGGGTTCGAGGATGCCAGCATCATCGTCCTGTCTGCACCATCTAGGAAGCCTGTCACAAAGAATCAGTAAAACGGAATATTTGCGATTGGCTTTAGCTCGCACCTTGAGAGCGTTGCACGACGGCCCAAGATACATCAAGGGTGTGCCCTCTGTGTTGTGTCAGCAAGTTGACCTTCGAATCTCGGAGTAGATAATACTTCATTTGCTTTCGCGACAGCGCATTCATCGCACGTTTGGCTTCCTCGTGAGATGACATTACCACAAAACCGCGACGGCGAGATGCGTTATCGACAGTAGCGAGAATCACGGCGTGCATGACAGTGCCGAAACGCGAAAACAAGGTAGAAAATTCAGCCCTAGTAGTTGGTAAGCATGAAAGATGTCAGAACCAAGAATATGCATACTTGGTAAGATCAAAGGGCAGACCGAGTACATAGAGATTTCGACGCGTATCCAAATTCTTGCCAGTGCTTGGGGACGACGTTCTATTATTGGTAGCGGGTGTCACGATGCTTTGAACGGCGCATATATGCACTATTCAGTTTTCGTATTGAAAAGCACTCACATCGAAGATCCACCGACGTTGTAACCAGACATTCGTAGCGCTTTCCTGTCATGCGGTCAGTCGATACGATCAAATGAGGGCATACAAAGCTTGCTTAAAGGCGTCCAGTGTGAGAAAAGATAACACGCAGTACGGCGTGTTCGTTCCATCACGATGAATCTCCGCACGCTGGACTGGACCTAGTACGTAGCATTCATAACTAGATCTGGTGCAAACAGGAAGTTGATAAAGAACGAACCAACGGCGCTACTAAACATGATCTCGACATCCTTCAGCTTGACTACGTCAACACATACAGTTAGATTAGCTTTTCCCCGCATATTCAGACCAACCATTTTCGGGGATATTCTCAACCTTGATGGCAAATGTATCGCGAGTCATTGGGGATGAAACTAATACTGTGATAAAAACAAACGATTGTGCTCGACAAGAAATGAAAAAGGAAGTGCAACTGTTTAAGGCTGTCGTTGGTGCGACAAAACCTACAGCGATGTGGAAGGAGAACAAGAAAGGATGGCAAAGTCCGCGTGTGGTTTGGTTGTATTTATGTACGCGTCTCCTCACGTGAATTTAACATTCTGCCATCTGCGACCATCAAGATTCAAGAAGCTTGTCTTGTAAGTACTGTAAGTACATCGTGTCCTTCCTGCAGGTTCTAGACTGAGGGTATCGGTAATCTGAGTAGCAAGCGACAATACAATTTGTGGAGCTGCCGCGGAAGGTCATCAAACTTATCACCACAGCATGTCCAGGAATATCTTCCTCCACCCAACCCTGCCGTGCTCAACCCAACTAGCACTCAGACGCGCAGGTTACGAAACACTCGACAATCTCTCCAGCACTTCCGCAGAAGCTCTATCTAAGGGTGCGTAGCATGTTCATTTCCGCTGATCTGGATGGAAGTAACTACAACCCCACAGAACTGAAGATAGCTATCTCCGAATCGCAAACCATAATCACCGCATCGCAGCGGCCTGCAGGGCCGCCTTTAAGTCAATCCTTAGCTTCCTTGATATCTAGATCACAGACATTTGCGTGTAGCTACGCTACTGTGAATACGGCACTCGGTGGCGGTCTTCCGAGAGGACGCATACTAGAAATATCTGGACCCCCGGGCAGTTTCAAAGAAACTCTTGCACTAGATTATACTCGCATTTTTGTTGAATCAAACGAAGAGGTCATATTCGTTGGTAATATATTTTGCGTTTGACGTGTCAGCTTGCTTTTCTGAGAAATGGGGTATAGATACCCAGAACACGACTAGCCTCGCCACGATCAAGAAGACTTTTCGCAGTGAGCAACACGCCATATACTGCCGGGATGAACAGCAAGAATAACAATGAAACATTTATAGCTTCCCCTGCAGCTGCTGACTATCGGGATCTCGTTCGTTATGCGCACCTCCATACCCTCCCAGATCTAATGATATTCATCCACAACCTACTATCGGAAATTCACCCGAAGGTACGTAGCTAATCGATAACCCCAAACTAGACATGAATAGTCAGACAGACGGGGCTCCTCGTTCTCAATTCGATTTCATTTCCGTTCCTATCTCATCCAGATCTCCAGTACTCGAAACGGACAGCGCTGCTGGACAAGATCCGTCAGGTATTTTTACGAGCAAGTTCATTGAACAATCTGACGGTGAGTAAAGAGCATGCGTCGTGATAAGTCGCCTCATTCCAATCACAGATTATCACAACTTCACAAATGTCAACGAAATTGCTCAATGCTGACGGCTCTCCAGGGAACTTTGAAACAGGAGCAAAGGCGGTGATGGTACCACAACTAGGTAAGCTCTGTAACACAACGATGCCGCACATACTCACACGTGCTCACTCATTTGCACAGGTTCGACCTATCTACCAAGCGGTCGATCGTATCGATTGGTAATTGTTCCAGACTCACGTACAACAGGGCAAGATAATATATTCACTCAGATGGTATCCAGTACTAACTTCCGTGACAGAGCGGTGCAACTTCTTTCATCTCCTGTGCCCCAGCCAGGGGAAGCGCCGCCTCCCCGGCACCAATATGATATATGCCACATCGACAATTAATTGACAAGTGTATGGCCAGCAAACCGTGAAGCCTGAAGCGTTCTTCACGGATCTTCACATCTATCTTGAGCTGCGGTGATGACCTCGTCGGGTGTGATGATCATATCCATCTTCCAATCATGGTCCAACATCGGCACTTGTCCCTCTTCTAAAAGTTGCTGTTTCAAAGCTAACGCGACTTAAAATCACCCGTGAGATTTTAGTTCCGCGCTAATCATGTTATACCAACCTAGTAATGGTTTCGATCGCCCAGTAGAGGAAGAATATGATGTTATGAATCGATCGTAGTAGCCCTTTCCATGCCCAAGCCGCGAGAGCGATCGGTCAAAGGCAACACCTGTAACAAAAGAGGATGATCTCCACGAATCGTGTTGATGCATGCACACTGACCTGGCACGAGGATTAGATCCAAATTGCTGCAGTCTGCATCAAAAACTTTTTAAAAAACAATAAGCATGGTGATTTTGCACGCAAATTTGACGCACCACTCTGGCGTTTTTTACCCAACCACTCAGGCGTTGGTTCCGGAATGCCCCATAAACCAGACGGAAAGCTGCGATAGTCCTCTTCAGTGTATGCTCGTACAAAGTCCATGTAGCCATTGCTGGATGCGATGCTAGGAACGAATAAAGTCTTCCCTGATAATCTGTGTATAAAAACAGGCTATCAGGGCGGGGCAGGGACAACGCACTTGAATCTCCAAGAATCTCCAAGATCAAAGAAGTCGTCTGAACCTCGGCTGCCGGCATACTGAGATAACAGCTGACGGTCTTGCATTGCTGGAATGCGGGCAGCGATAGGACTTTTTCGGTGATGGCCTGTGCTTCACGCGGAGCAAGTTAGTCATCAGTAGCAAAGTGTAGAGTGTTCTAGAGTCACATTGCGACTGGATATCGGACTGGGATAATTCCCGAAGGGTGGCGGTTAACGCCTTGCGCAGTGCTCTTTTATTAGTGCTTTGAAGGATCGACATGGTTCTGCCTGCCCTGGTCCAAAAATGTGAGAGAAGATCAGTGCTTATATCGCTGAGTCCAACACGTTGGCTCGGCTAAGAAACGCAATTGTAGATCCGCGAGCAATATTTCACTGAACGACGATGATCGTGGATTACGGAAAAGACGCGGGTATATAGTTCATCCGAGTCTGTTATATTCCCAACCTCTAAGTATAATTAGTACAAGCCTGTGATAAGCCTTTGCAGTCACTTACATTCAGCGCCCATGGAGCCCACGTCGCCAGTACCACCGTTAGCTCCATTTCCTCCAGATCCACCTGGTGAACATCGCAGTCGTGCACCAGAATTTTACGGCTTTGTAGCTTGGACTTCTACCTCTGTCGTGTTTGTCCTCTATGTGCTATGGGCCCTGCTCCCAGATGAATATATTGTCTGGCTGGGCGTAGAATGGTATCCGAGTAGGTGAGTCACACAGCCTCTCGCATGAGAAAACTGCCCTTACTACGCATCATATCGAGGGAGTGGGCTCTGCTTCTTCCGGCATACTCCATTGTACTCGTACTTTTGACGTACTCTGTCTATTTTTCCATCGCAATCGCACGTACTCCCGCCTTCTCTGATCCCAACACGCTCATTGGTGAGAAGTTCCGAAAATCATATTTGTCTCCGGGAGGTTAAACAGCAGGCAGATACCAAAGCACACCTTCCTGCGTTAAATGCAAATCAGTATTTTAAACATGCGGATCCGGATGCTATCCCTGAACTGTACGACATTCCCATCGGACTTGTCAATCGTGTGGTGTATACAAACCGCATCGCTTGCCAAATGAAAAGCGGCCGCCTCGAGAAAGTTTAAGCAAAGGTGACAAAGTTCAAGCATCCCCTAAAACCCCATAATTTAATGCTGCGGCGGATATAGTACAATTGCTAGCTAATAACTATCTATCGTAACCCATGCGTTGAGTGTCCAGTATTTGATCAAAACTAATCAACATGTGGCCAGTCTTTGCATTAGTAGGTAGGGCATCGAGCCTCCTGTAGAATAAGTACGTGATATGCGCACACCGAAGGGAGCTATGTTGTGGAACGGCGGAGTGGAACGACCAGGAAGCCATTCTACTCCGCTAGAAATGAGCGCGATGTGACCCTAGAGTCGGCGTGAGGACGGACCTGACTATGATGGTAGTGACGAGATCCCGCCTCAGCATAAGAATTATTATCATCATAATGATAAACCGATGCTTGGTTCGATGACGATGAGGGTGCCCCTGCCGGCAGCAGCACTGAGACTACAGGGTGTGCCGTGAGTGTCCTTTCCGATTCGTCCCCACCTGACGATCGGGAACCGGTCCAGTCAGTGGCGGATTGCGTCCTCGTGGCGAGGCTGTGTGGCATCCACCTGAGTCTCGTTGGTGGCTGGCCTGAGTCGTGAACATGGTGATTTACGAAAGGCTCTTCAAACCCAACTGTAAAGTTGGAGCCTTGGGATGGGCCCTCCATCGAAGAGGGATTGATGCCGTGCGTCTTCAGATGACGCTTGGCATTCGATCGAACTGCGAAGTGTTTATCGCACGATGGTACCGGACACTTGTAAGCTTTTGGAGTGAAGTCAAAAATAAAGAGCGATTTATACAGCTATTACGCACGTTTGGCTCCAGAGTGAGAATTCATATGTGTGTTCAAACCGCTGGGTCGCGGGAAGATTTTCGAGCAGAGGGAGCACTGGTGCATTTTAGATCTTTTGGACGATCCACTCGTTCTCGGCTTCGTATTTAGTGGAGCCAGCGTGTGTATGTTTCCATCAGGGCCACCAAAAGAATGTATCTCATCTGGAGTATATGACGAACACCTCTCCTTGGGAGAAGCCACTCCAATCATAGTTCCCATAACGTTTGCACAGCTTCCTGCCGTTGGCCCTTCATAAAAAGAACTGGGAGATAAAAGGGGAGGCGAAGTCGGCGACAGAGATTCGCATGATTCCTCAGATGCGTCTTCATCAGGATCGTCGAAGCTCTCCAAAATCTTTGCATTATCCGGATCTGTGACTGGCCTAAGAGACTGACGGCCCAGTCGAAAGGTCATAATAGACGGGATAGGTGACTCTTGGTCAGTCACGGGCCTTGATATGTCCACACTCGGAGGAGGCGTATGAACCTGGAAATGAACCATCATCTGGGACATGACGAGACCGGTCTCCATGTCCGAGTCGTCAGGACATGTGTATTCTGTGGATGCGCTGTCGGGTGACACTTGCACCCGCCTGGTGCCAGGGATTTGTCCGCCTGCATAGTTCAGTGGCTGGGTGTCGAGGACAGCCGACGGGTTTATCTGTTCGACATCCTGGCCACTGACCCATCCCCTGTCACTAGGGGGAATGTGGGGGGCACGAAGGACAGGTGCCGACAGCAATGTGGAAGAAGTGAAATAGTCGAAATTTTGAGGGCCATACTGCGCAGAGGATGGTAATGTAGAGGTTGTCCTCTGAGAGGACTCTGGATACCCAACGGACTGGGATGTGGCGGGGGACAGTCGTTGTTGGTGATCATTCACTTCGGGCTCGTTGGTGGTGCAAGAAGCCATGAAGCGTATACTGAGGCTTTGGGGAGAAATGTCGACGTCACCAATGTAGGTATATTGCCTAGAGGTGCAAGCAAGGGATGATTGAATGTCCAGTGACGAATTTTCTTCAGCCCCGTCGAACGGCGTGACTGACATTGGTCCAAAAAGCTGGAACATATGCCGTTGGCCTCTCGTAGAGCTGGGTATATGATGCCATTAGTTTCGAAGAGGAACATCGAAGAGAGACTCGACTACCTTTTTGTACCGTGGGAGGGGAACGCGCTCAGGATAAATTCAGAGAGGGAAAATTAAAGACTTCTGAGCGTCCAGGACAGTGGTAGGATCCAAGGTTAAGAAGGGTTCTGTTTTTGTTAGGCCAGTAGTCAGATAAAAGCCGGAAGGCGTGTGCTCTGCGTGCGTGTCCATCAGGAAACATGAGGGCTCGCGCCTGGATCTTGCGGGGTGATATGGACGAATTGAGAGACGTGGCTTGCACCCTTTGGGTACACAAAATCGGGAAAAGTTCACCCCCCACTCGTTTCCGTTTCGTGAACTAGCCCTATTTGACGCCCTACGTCCTTTATTGGAATATGATGAAACCCAAAGAGAAAATCTTGTCAAGATTCATCATCATATATCCATCCTTCCGGAAACTGCCCTGGATACCAAGAAATCATTGAAGACTAGCAATTTCACCGTTTGGCCATATGTTACAGTCAACGAGGCAATACATTGCATAATATCCTCTAACGGCTGGAAAAAAAAGGATCGTAAGGCTTCAGAAGCAGAATCATTGGTAGGTAATAATACCCCCGTTGTTCTGGACCCAGGGGGGCGGCTATGCGGTTTCTCGCCCGATCGCATGTCTCAACGACTCGTTGTCGTTGACGTAGTGCTTTCCGAGTCACAGATTTTACACTCCGCGACGCCTGCGTGGCAAAGGGAAGACGTTCGCTGTACACCTTCACGACCGTGAATAGTATTTGACTTTTGCTTCCGGAAGTTGAAAACCTGTGAGGATGCTGATCAGCTGATGGGCCTTTGCACATAAAATCCTAGACTCAAAAACGAAAATAGCCCCACAAACGAGTACTGGGTAGATCGCACAGTTAAAACAGCTTGTTAGTATTTCAGCGTTGACAGATTGTCGACCATTCAGCGGTTACTGGTCACACATCGAAGCTCTAATACCGCGTATGGATTAGATTCTGCTTTAACTTAACGGGAAGGACTACGCTATGAACTGAATGCGATGCGCATGCACGGCATGCTAAACATGAACTGATTGAATTACTAGTAGAAATTAAACCAGAAGGCAAGCTAGTACTTAACTGGCAACACATACATGCTTGTCAAGCTCGCGCTATTTCTAGTCCATCTCAAACCTGCTGTGTCATTTCACCGTCTAACAATATTATACAGTAATGAACGTGAAGTAGATATCGGAAATAACGAGCTTGAATGCATAACTTCATGACGCTTTGCACCTGTCGAGTTAATAACGGATGTAATATAATTATGAACATCACGATAGTGTCAACAAAACACACCTAAATTGCTCAAGCCCAATTCCCATCTGCTCTGGCCCCTTTCCTTGGCCGAGACCGGACGACCTAAATTGTGGGCTATTGCGGGTCGTCCCTGTCCCCACAGCCTTCAGGGTTCTTCCAGCCCTAGATGCTACTTCGGCAGACAATGGAAACCTGACCTTGGGCGGTGCAGACCCTAGCCGAGTGCGGCAGCCAGGCTGCCGGTCATCTGGAGTGATTGTAGTCTCGCGCCTTCTGAGCATGGTAGTCTTCTGCGGCCGTTAGATCAGATACGATAACAATCTTCACGGCAACTTCGACACGAACCGAAGTGCGTAGCTCCTTGTTCAGGGCCCACTTATTCCACCAACCACTAGCGACTACCTCGGTGCGTTTTGCACGGGCACTTGCCTCAGTTACTATATCTTCTTCGAGCGATCCATCTATGTCAAATTCATCATTCGTACCGTTGTCTTCCGGAGTAATGGGACCAGGAATGGATGATGATGATGATGCCGGAGTGATTCCATCCTCATCGATCGCATCGATATCGCCGAGCGCTTCAATGTCAAGAACACCACGCAAGTCAGGTCCTTCGATTTCATCGGCGGAACCCATGGGTGGCGGCGTTTCCCGAACGAGGACATTAACTTTCTCTTTCTTGGGCAGCAAGCATTGGCGCAAGGTATGTTGTGTGATTGTTCTGACTGCTGTGGGGCTGGAGATGATATCAGCGCCGAAGTCATCTCCATCACCAAGACCATGCCGTGAGGGATTATACGGCCGGACAGGTGAAGAAAGATCAGGTGTGGCTGATCGGAAGTAGGATGGGGAAGGTGATAGGTAACCGTCTTCTTGTGTGACGGGATCCGGGGGTTCGTCAATGATCTCATCCCATTCTTCGAGCATAATAACGTTGTCAACGGCATGATCGGGAAGGTTTTCTTTGTCAGATGGCGGATATGTGATACGTGAACTGGGCATCAGATCGTCCACGGCTTGTTCCTTATTCTGTTTCAAGGTTGACGGAGCGGGGAAGAACCTTGAATGTGTGAGTGGAGTAAGATGTGTGGAAGACGAAGCCTGATTAATTTTTATGCGCTTCACAGCAAGGTCCTCGTCAAGTACATCGACGAGTGTCCTCTTTCCGCTACCTTTACCAGGTACTGCGGTTCTCTTTGTCGGTGCAGAGTTACTGCGAGTAAGAGGGACTTTTGCCTTGGGAGCTGTGGGAAGATTGTCAAACAGGGCATCTTCGATGCTAAGGAAGCAAGATACCAAAGAAGGAAAGCAATCCGCCACTCTCAGGCTCGGCTTTTGCTTTGCCCTTTCCTTTGACTGAGCTAGGCCGATTAACATCAGTGGCCTGAAAGGGAAGGGCCTTCACTATGCGGGGCACAAAACTCGGGTTGATATCAATCATTGGTAAAAGTGTCACTGGATCAACATCCCCTTGAGCCAGCCTTTTCGCCAAGGAAGGCTCTATGGCACTTTTGAGAGAAATGAATCAGCGCTCAAGTCTCAATTATTCAGAGGCCTTACCCTCCGATATACGATTCCTCTTTATCCCCCCACTCAGCTCCTGGAGGGGTGTCCGTCAAGTTAACAAGTCTCTCATCCAGGGGACAATAAACGCGCTGGTGCAAAAACACCTTCTCCGCCAGATTATATGACTCCAGATACCCTTTCGGCACAGACTTCTTCCCTTCAAGCCTTATAGCCCGCACGACCTGTTCTGCGCTCCTATACTTCCGCAGCAAGGACCACGCAGTCTTTAGCCCGACTCCAGGAATGCTCGCCAGATAATCACATCCGCTAAGGATAGCCATAGCCCTGAACTGAGTATCGGACCATCCAAGAAGCGATATACCCCCCTCAGCAGCAGTCACGGATCCGAAGTCGGCCCTCGAGATTGAGACAATAGTACTTGAAATAGAGTCCAGCTTGAAGAGCACATTTTGGCATCCGAAGACGAGTAGATCCGAGTCTTCGGTGATGATACCATCCACAAGGCCAATACGCTCCAAATACGCCATTTGAGCGTCAGCCTCATACGGCGCGACTATGTATGGTACATTCTCTGCGCGCAGGGCCTAAAGTGAAAAATGTATCAGACGAATGTATGGCCCCAAGAATTGACAGCAGACTTTTATGAGCTGGTACGCCATCTGAGGGGTTACATCGATACATTTGACAAAGCATTCTCGGGCTTCTTTGTGTCTTCCCTGGGATGCCAACGTCTTTGCCTTTGCAAGGTTTTCTGCCCTCCGCTGCTTGCGCTCAGTCTCCGTGCCCGTCTTGGCCGGGAGTGGCCCACCGTCGAACACAATATACGGTCGTATTTTGTGATGACGCAGTAAGCGAACACGCTGCATGGCGTAATCAACATATCTAGAAGGTGAGAAGGTGAACATGCCGGCAACCGCGAGCTGCCTCAGGTTGTGAGAGAACCCAGACAAGGCAGAGAAACACTGACTTTGTGGAGTGTTTTCCTGTGGCTATCTCTGTGGCGCACGCGTAGACGCCTCGGTGAAGCCAGACATAAGCATCCACCGCAAGCGTTTGACCGGCGAAGTCTGAGAGGTGTCGGTGAACCTGAATTGATTTCAGCAAGGGTAAAAGCCCAGATATTCCCATGATTGAATATATCTATGAATCGGGTGCATCAATTTGGGCAGCTCAGAAAGCCCTGCCAGATGACGGATGCTCTGAGTAAGTATCAGTGGCAGTTTAAATTGGCAGACGAGGTCTTTGTCTGATTCTACATTGGACCATTATGAACAAACAAAGACAAAGAGACGCGTCGCGTCACCAACGCACGAGCTCATGACCGCGACGGCCAACATCAACTCCTCCTCAAGCACTAGTGTTCGGACTGTGTCAATTTGTATATTTATACAGACACGGGAGATGCTTCCTTGCCGGCAGTATTAGTCGGTTTGCATTCGACTTGATCTGCCGAGGCCTGTCGAACAATACTGATGCGCTCAATAAATACTACTCTGGCACAGGCTGAGTCGAGATCGTTCTGGGTACTTCTCGGACATATAGAAAGGGAGCTTATCGGCGGCTCTCAAGTGTCCTTATCCTCTAAACTGAATGTTTCATGGCTGGTGTCCAGGTTCGCTGACTCGTGAGGATACTTGGGAGCCACCGATAAGCTGCCCTTCTTTATGTCTCATAAACACGCTCCGAATATGTACTACTCTGGAACAGCGTTGAGATCGGTATCAGGTGTTCGTGGACATGCAGGTGATACATTAAATGCAATTCATTTTGTGATAGAATTAAGCTGACGCTCATTGGACAAACCTACACAACTCTTCAAGCTTCAAGGGTTGTCGGGCCTTCAATACAATCCTGAACCAGATGTCATGATCCACACGAGGCAATTTCGATGACAATCATTCATCCATAGACCCGGGACTGTGGCGAACCGTTCCCGACCCGTGCTTCTCTGGACATGAGTTTTTGAGTAAGCTGCTTTGAGACTGAGTAATACACCGACATGAGAGAACCCTCTAACGAAGCCTCAGCATACCCCCATCTAGCAATCCTAGCCCCTTCACCCCATTCCACCATTCCTTCGCGGCTAGAAGCGCACGATCTTGGGTCTTCAACTTCAGAACACTCAGCCATTCTCCATCAGCACAGCTCATATGCACTGTGCGTGTATGCGGCGAGTACACTGCCCAACCAGGCTCAGCAAGACCCAAATCGTGATGCCTCCCACAGACACTGACATCATGCAGCTGAAGAGCACGACCATCGGGCATCGTAGTCGTTATAGGGCGCTGGTGTGAAATGGCGCGAGAAAGTCGGACCATGTCCGACGCAGTTTGGGAAGTGAAATCAACCTGCGCGTCGGAAGCGGATATTGCAGGAGCATGTGGTGTAGTAGATGTGACCGGAAGTTGTGGGGTGCTGCAGGCCTGTTCGAAAAATGAACACTTAGAATCAGTCCACTTTCAGCGGACTCACCTCTCCCAGCATCATATCCCGAAGAACCGTGACGAGCACATCTCCTCCTGTCCGGGCCAGCTCCACCGATAGTGAGGGAAACGTCGCATTTTTTGGAACAACCTGCATTACAATGAGTTATGGATGATTGTTTAGCCGTCTTGTCACTTGCCATGCTCTCGCAGCTCCAGACACTGCCCGCATCAATCCCTTCCTTCTTCTCCATCATGTCAATGACACACACACCTGTTTCTCTTTCTCCTCGCATTAAAGCTCTCTGGATTGGTGCAGGACCTCGATATGCAGGCAGTAAGCTAGGATGAACATTAAGTCGCTGACCTGGCGGAAAGAGACGTAGGAGCGAGGGGCGGAGAATGCGTCCGAAGGAAGCAGTGACAAGAAGATGGGTTTGAGGAACGGATGGGTGAGCTTCGTTGATATTCGTAAATGGTGGGGGAGGCTGCGTGGAACATGGGACCAGTTCAGCAAGAACGAAAGTGAGACGCACCATCCAACCCCTGAAGTCAACTTTTCGTGGTGGTATAGTGTGAACTGGAACCTCGAGAGATTCTCCAAGTAATTTCAGCGGAGCTGTCAGTGCTACCGTAGGTATGTTATCGTTATGAAAAAGTTATATACGTACATATTGATAAATGAGATCCCCGTCGACCAGTTTTCACGTCTGGGTTGGTAGCGATTGAGATGGACTGCCAAACATCTATGTTACTGGTCAATATCAACCTTGGATTAGTTGTGATCCACACTTGCCTCGAGCGTCATACAATTTCTTGAAGACATTACAAGAGAATTCGTCGCGACCGAAGAACAGGATATCGAATGGCTTCTTTGTGGCATGACCACGGTAAAAAAGAACGTTCGAGCAATTTGTTAACAAGCGTCTCCGTTTGGAAGTGACCCGCACAGAGTGATAAAATGGCTGAGCGTACATATGTTGCGATCCTCAGTGGGCTCCACGTGCACCAATCCCAGCTGGAGAAGTCGAGGCGGTCTGCAACGACAACGTGACTAAGTTAGACATAGGGAAAATGGGTCATTGCAACTTGAAGCTTGTGTCCGCCGAGTCTCATCGGGTCGGCGTGCGTTGATATTACCTTCTTTTTTTTTGGCAAAAATGAAGGGGTCTCGGATAATGAGAAACGCTTTCCCTTCAAACCGCCTTGGTACAGCTTAGCACTAGGTAGTAGGTACTTCTTGCACTTATTTCCGCCTCGTGATGCATTAATCAGTGACTGTTCCTGCAACATCGCAACCGGCACTGTGACCATGCACGCCAAGCTTGTTCCAACCTCCTCACGCTCGTTGCTGTCCCGGAGTGCATATAGACATCGGTGCCAAGTGGCATACATAAGCGGGCCCTCGGTAGGCAGTAATTACTACATGTGTGTGATTGACTGTGAGTGGAACAGCAACGTAGGGGGAACGATTAAAATGACAGGAAGGCCTGATGGGGAGCTGGCAAATAACAGGCGACTCTCATAGCCACCCTCGGGTACGGGCACCGTTCAGAGGAGAGGCATAGAGACTCTTGTTGCGGTATTCCGAATTGCCAGCTGCGTGCATTTGATTACTGCTCTGACAATCGACCATCAACAGAGTCTAGATACGTACGTTTGAAGATTCGCGGCGCAGAGACATCACCACGCTGTATTACTGAGAGCCTTGAACAAGGTAAAACCGTTGTGGTGGATATCACATCGAGCGCCGGTGACGACAGTGAAGGTGTCGGCATCCGATTAATATCTGTTATTTTAAACAACTTAGGAACCTTCCGTCGCTTGATCTGAAGGTGTAACGAGGGGGAAACGCACCCTTGGGTTGGAAGGGAGTGAGGGCAGGTTTTTTCTGCTTCCTCCTCAGAACGCTAGCCTCAACATCATCCTGGCAGAAAGCAGCACTGGTTGAAGGAGAATGAATGTCATCCACATTCAAGTTGTCTGTGATGCTTCATCAAGTCCATGAAATAGGAAGGCGATTGACTCCTACCCTTGCAATTTGCGTATTGCTGAGATGGGAGTGGTGAGCGCAGATTGGACAGTACCTTGGTGTTGGAAGGAGCGATAGTCCCAACCCATTGGACACAAGGTGATGAAGCTTTGAGCACATCAGAGTCCTTTTGGTCAAGGAACATGCGTCAACAATCAGGAACGGCATCGACAAATTGAAACCCACCTGGAAGCACTCGACCGAAGGTCTTAATGAAGCCGCTGAAGAGAGTGAAGAAATATGGCACACGGACGAAAATTCCGCTCCATTTTCGTCATTCTGTGAGACGATGTCTTCGTTATCCAAAACACACTGCGGGTTTGCTCCGGACGTCGTAAGAGCATGTGAACGTTGGAAGGGAACTGATCAGTGGAACTTACACACCTTGAAGCTGCATGATACGACGACCCACCCCCGCCATTGCTTTTGCCCGACGGGCCTCTTTGGCAGCCTGGTCCGTCAACTGGACGCCATGAGGTACCTTCACGGCGTCCAAGGTAAGAGAGGACACTCGTGACTGAAATGCCCCAAATTTCTTTGTCATCTGTTCGCGCAAGAGTGCAACCTCTTTCTCAGTTCGGTTCTGATCCTTGACCTGATCGACCATCTGGCTACGGAGGTGATCCAATGATACATTAGTCTTTGTGTCATTGATCGAGACCAAGTCCGAGAGTTTTTGCAGGTCCTGACGCAAAGCAGCGCAATCTTTCTTGCACTCAGTGTGATGCTGAATCGGATCTTTGTAACTCCGTGTGTGTTCAGCACGTAGTTGGTGATCTGTATTGACGTGGACTGTACATGCCTGCAGTGCACCGACCATGTCATGCAGCGCGCTCATTTGGTCCTGCTGGGCGGTAATCAAACCGGAAAGGTGGTGTAATTGTTGGCCTAGTTCCTCGGTATCGCACGATGCCTGGGTACGGATATGATATGGTTCGTCCTTGAGCTGTGCCAAAGTCGATTCATGAGTGTTGGCAAGCAACGCGATACGGTCCTCGACTGCAGATAACGACGACCCGAGCGACGCAACGGAGCGACGCAAAGACGAGATATCTCGCGAGATGGAAACGAATTGACCTGAGAAGATAAGGAGCAGCCGGTAAAGCAGGGGAAAAGATGTAGAAGGTGTCTCGTCAAAACCTGGAGGATAGTCGGATTCAGGGGTGGATGGATCCTGTATGAGTTCTCTATGATCAAAGAATCTCGTACTTGAAGTGGCGGCGCTAGTGTTTGACAGTCCGCATGAAGAGCTGTTAGACATTCTGTTGAATGGCAAAGAGATGATCATATTGGTCAGACCGGTTGTTAGAGACACGCCGCGAGCCTCAAGGGCGGATAGGAAGGCAAGAAGGGAAAGGAGCTGGAGAGGATCGACAGGCATGGCGACCGAACGCGATAGAATACGAAAAGCTTGTTTCAGAGATTTGAAACGGACATGAGATGGAGACTCAAGGTGACACATTTAAATGGCGACTGGTCTGCTTTATGACCAGGCAGTTTTAGAGTCTGTCCCATCTGGCACTCAACACCACGTGGCCATGGCTGACTGTTATCAAGTGCATGCAGTACATTCGGACAGTCTACCACTTATCCTTTGTTGTTCCTTTCGTCAGTGTTTAGCGGAAGTTGCATGAACGTTGAGCTGACTCAAGAGACAGTCTACAGTGTGGTGAAGTTAGCAATTATAGCTTTGTAATCAGTCCAAATATTTAGAAAACCCTGTGCCCATCAATTGTCGCAGCCCAACGTAGAACTCACATGGCTCGGAGTCGCAATGCCTCAAGGCCAAAAGCTTCTTCAAGATGATGTAGTACGTATCTCATATTGCAGGACGTGCATAGTTCCTTTGCACTCAATGCCAGACTCGGACTCGCATCGTCCCTGAGAGTGATTGCTGTGGATGATCATATGCATACAAACAGTATAATGAGGACTCTATCGTTTCAAGACAACAAGATCAACAACGGCGATCAACGAATGAAAAAGCTGTGTGCAACTGCGAGCGCACAGACGCCCGCACATACCAGGAATCCGAGAGGATATCCTGACGGATCATCTCGTGTGCCAGCTGCCCAAAGCTACATTATATGCGTGAGGATGCTATTGTACCACCAGAGCGCAGAGCGAGTACTCACGTATCCGCCAAGGATGGGTCCGAAACAGCGTGCGAGACTGACTATACTCTGGGCGACACCGTTTGCAAAACCCACGGCGTGTGGGGGTGTCACTATAGACACCGTCAGTGGGAACTTCATTATCGCACAAACTCAACAAACGCACTATAATTCAGGAGGATGGATATGGCAGTGTAAGCAAATGTGTTTCCGCAATAACGTACAGCTCTGCATACGCGTCAGGGATGCGTATGTCAATTGCTAGACATCACTCACGTGCTCAGAGCCAGCGCTGACACAGAGGGATCAGCCATGGAACAGAATTGATAAAGATGACCACATCATACCTGCCATAAGAATGAAGCTTCCTTCGTCATTAGAACTTGCGAAACCCCGATACATCGTAACAGTAAGGTATGCCGGTATAAAGAGCAATGACCCCAGACGGAACATTGCGAGGTGGGAGAAACGCCCCCGAGGGGGTCTACGAGCAACTGCCATCAGGGAGACGTTTTACAAAAGAGGGAGAAAAAACTTGCCCGATATTTCTGAAAGCGGTAGGTCAGTAGAGGGGTAATCAAAAGAACAAGTGGCCATACGGATAGAGATAAAACTGGTACACAATCTGGGCGAGGCACATGAGAGCAACTGTAGGGCATTATCAGCAAATAACTTGATCTCCAATAAATCAACCCAACTAAGCTGGGAGAAATGTCCAGGATTGAGGTTCAGGCCTCCCGACTCGTAATCGCTGATTGGAGGTCAATAGTGATGCACGCAGTATTACCGGGACTACGTACGTAACAAGATATGACAAAAACACCTGGTCGTGTGTCGTGCTGTGAAGTGCTAGCAAACCGTACTGGAAAATGACAACCAGAGGCAGCTGCGAGGTCAGAGATGGAGGCTTCCCTGGGGGAGCCTCCGATTCTGTCACAGACTGTCTGTGTTCTAGAATTGGTAGGAGTGAATTATCCACAACAGACTCCTGGACACGGGCCTGGGCGTCGAGGACAACGGATGGCGTACGCACTCCTGGGTGCGAGAAGATTGTAGGAGGACGCAGTGCGAACGGCGTCCCATCCAGTGCGGGAGAACCCAGCGGTGTGGAGCGCATGCGCGAAGATTGCGCAAACGTTACCACAGATGAGCGCTGGCCAGAATTGCCGAATGCGCTTCTGAGGTTGCGGCCGATGGAACGCCCTCGCTGCACCGGAGATGATGTGACAGAACTTGGAATGTCTTCATGTTCAATATACTCCGAGTCGACGTTCATATCTAAGTCTTGCTCGGGTTCAAATGTCTCGTCATTATCCACGTTCATTGCAGCTGCCACCCAAAGATCAGCAATGTTTGTTACCGCGTTCTCGTTCGCCATAAGTAGTCTCTGAGCAAAATTGAGGTCGCTGGAATCCGTAACTGATGTCGGTCCCTCGAATGCACTTCCATGTCTTCTTCTTGCAGTACTGGCCGTACTCACACGCCTTATACCAAGGGTTGTCGTGCTGGCTATGCTTGTCGTCCTGTTGCCTCCCCCATAGCCATACGCAGATCCATTTGTGCGGGCGAAGCTTGAGAAGTTGTGTCGGCTATCTATTGGCGGCGATATCGAAGCCGTCAGTGGCACTGGCAACGACGGCGTCTCTTGTGCGGTGATTGAGTCTCGAGATCCGAAATAACCGGACAATTGACTAGACACTTTCCGCGTAATGGAGCTCACTAAGCCAGACTGTGCAACATCGTCGAGGGCGCTGGGGGTGAGAATATCTTCCTCTTCTTCAATGGTCGGGTGCTGATCTTCAGGCTTTTCTAGCGGGAGGCGAATTGCACCCTCCCGCGATCCGCCGTCGGGGCCCAAAAACAGCGACAGGAACGACCCTGTGGAATAGTGAGTGATCGCGCGCAACATTATCATTTGACCAGAAACGCACCGGTGAATGTGATGCTGGCTGCCACTGCGCACGGGAGTAGGTACGGGTACTCCACCAGCAGTGACACTTCGCCGAACACGTCTGGCCACTTGTCTGCGGGCTTCTCAACTAGCCGATCGTCAGTAAGACCAGTGTGGCCCCTGCAGACGGCACTCACATGACCCTCCAATGATAGCGCCCGCCACACCACCGAGTCCCCAGCAGAATCTGGTCAAGAAATCAGCATTGGCGTCTCAATCAGGCATTTGGTACTTGCCCCATGATAGCATATGCTCTCCCCTCGTTTGTGACGTCCGTCACCGCAGCAACGCATCCGCGTGCCACTCCGACAGCGCCAGCAAAGATGCCCTGCAACAATCTCACCGCTATGGCTTGCCGCAGGGATGTGCACGTCCCGAAAATCAACACCGTCACTGCGCTCCCAAACAAGGACAACGTCAGTACCAATCTACGACCATGTCTCTCTGCTGCGGTTGCCTATTGCTCCAAAACAGAGTCAAGCAAATGACGTTGCTGGAGAAGAAGGAAACGAGACATACCCATAATAATGAGGTTAGGAACTGCGTCAAGAAGAACGCGGATACTATAGTAGTCCATTAAGGAAAGTCAAATGTTAAAGATGTTCAGCAAGAATACCGAGTATTCCGGTCCAAAAGGCGATCTGGCCTTCGTCACTGATCTCGCCAAATCCTAAATCCAAGCTCATTAGTCAGTCAGCAACGATACCGCATACGATCACGCACCTTTGACCATGAAAAGTAGAAACGGCATAGCGACGTTGGCAGAAAGAAACTCTCCAAGCATGGTCTTGGCACTTCATTAGTGATGTCACAAAGGTGCGTGCAGAAACTTACGATGGACAGCACAGTCATAGACAATACAGGTAACGGAGTCGAGTCGGACTCGCTGCCGCGAAGAGCGTTGGGTATTGGAGGTCTTTCGAACATTGGAGACTTGATAGCACTCTCCGTGTCCGTGCTCCTCCTCCAGCGCGAGACAAAACTCGGTCTTCGATGGTTCTGACCACCCGCCGACGCCCGTCTTGTGCTGCGCTCCAGCCTGGAAAGCTCATCGTCCTCTTCAGTGTCGTTCCGCATGCCAAAGAACCTTCTTTGGGGCGCGTTAGAAGATCGTGGACTGCCTACGTTTGGCGTTTGGAGGGGGATACGGGTGTTCATCATGAATTTAAGTGACTCTAAGTGTCAAAGGTTCTGAGCCACAGTACCAATCTGGGGAACGTAACTTGCCGAAAAAGGAAAGCACTTCGCTGCTAATACCAGTAGTTATCCGCTCGCAAAAACTGCTCTTCAGAGTCAGACTTCTATTCTTTTCCAAAAGTTGAATCGTCGGGATGACCAGCAGCGAGCGCCATCGACTGGCGAAAACCACTCTTCGGCGTTTGAAATCATTTGAATATTTATCTTGATGGCTTGAAGTTACTCCGAGTCAGGTCTAGACGGTCCCAACCCTACTAGGCTATTGGAAGGCAGGGACAGCGGGAGCAGCACGGTGAGTACCTTGTAAGACCTTGTAAGACTCTCTGGGTTGACTTGTTTATTTCCACAATTAGGCGACAAGGAAATTTCGAGCTCCCTAAGTCGTCCCCAAGTCGTCCGTTTTTACTCTCTCAATAACTCACATAAAAGCTTTCAAAGATGTGACATAGCCCCCACACGTTGTGACTCACGACTCATACCCAGTACAGCCTTACAGATAGCCCACCATGATGACATGACTTCCTGATTCACCGGATGCGAATTGAGCATATGTATGCGTCCTACTAGTGACGTTGGGCGCTGCAGTCCGATGATCTTCGTGCGACTTGGTAAGGTATTTTCCTATTTCTTGAAACGAGGGTGCATACAAATGATATACTAGATAAGACACGTTTTATCATACGTTCTGCCGCCGTTCACGAACATTCTACCCTGTTTCTTTATCCTGAGTCGGCTCTCGCTCATCATACAGGGCTTTTCAACTCACAGCTTGCATCCGCTGTAGGAGTGAAGGCTACAAAACTTTCCATCCCTATCGGCGCTGAGCACTCCAAATGCTTCAGGGCGCCCACATCAGTGTTGTAATGTACCTGATCAGAAGGACCTTGATGTAAAGTTCTGCAAACGTTCTTCGTTAGCGATCTTACTGCACACTCAGTGCCCGTTCCTCCCCCTATTACGTGACTGTGATTGCCCAGCGCTGGACGAAACACTACGGTGTTCATCCTATGCAGGAGCAAGCCTGGTATTTCAAACCAGTATAACAACGTATTTCGTTCAGTCCGCGCGTCCGGTTTTAAATTTAACTGGGTTCCTGCCCAGCATTTAAACCCACAGCCTACTACGGACAACAACCTGTTCCTCTTGATCTTGCTCTCACAGAACGTTCTCGTCGCTCCTTTAGCTTTTTTGTCTTCCTTAGAAACCTTTCCTCCATTTCCTCAAGATGTCGATCATCGCCACTCCCCCCACCAAGTTCATCCTCCCTGACCTCGTCTCTCATTGCGATTTCAAGCCGCGCATGAACCGCCATCACAAACAGGCTACTACTGAATCAAAGCGGTGGCTGTTCCGTGGAGACAACCTCAACCAGAAGTCGCGCAAGGCGATTCACGGGCTCAAGGCCGGTCAGCTCACATCCATGTGCTACCCAGACGCGGGATTTTCTCAGCTTCGGGTCTGCTGCGACTTCATGAACTATCTCTTCCACCTGGACAACCTCTCAGACGACATGGACAAGGTCGGAACCAAAGTAGTTGCAGATGTTGTGCTGAACTCGCTTCATCACCCGTATGACTACTACTCGCCTACCCGATTGAACAGAATGACCAAGGAGTATGAATCTATATCTTGACCATGAGCCTAATTGATTGTGTTGCAGCTTCTACAGACGTATGCTTCCTACCGCCTCCCGTGGAACGTGCCGACGCTTCATAGAGACGATGGACTTCTTCTTCCAAGCTGTGCGCGTGCAAGCCATCGACCGTGCCAAGGGGGTCGTTCCTGACCTTGAGTCCTATATCTCCCTGCGCCGCGATACTAGCGGCTGCAAGCCCTGCTGGGCACTTATCGAATACGCCAACAACCTCGACATCCCTGACGAAGTCATGGAGCACCCGGTAATCCAGAGTCTCGGCGAGGCGGCGAACGATCTAGTCACTTGGTCAAATGCAAGTACTTCAGTCTGTCGCCTTTCTCTCGCTAACTCCATCTTTAGGACATATTCTCCTATAACGTGGAACAGTCAAAAGGAGATACTCACAACATGATATCTGTTGTCATGCACGAACAATGCATAGACCTCCAGTCTGCCGTCGATTTCGTTGGCGAGCTCTGCAAGCAGTCTATTGACCGTTTCAACGAAAATCGCGACCTTATTCCTTCCTGGGGTACGAAGATCGACAAGGACGTTGCAGTCTACGTCGGCGGTCTCGCAGACTGGATTGTCGGAAGTTTGCATTGGTCATTTGACACTACACGATACTTTCAGAACTCCGGTCGTGAAGTCAAAAGCACCAGGGTTGTCAGCCTCTTTTCTCGAAACAAATGATTCTCGAAAGCATGTTTCACCGTTGCTGGTAGGCTTCGCATATAGCCAATTACTCACTTGTCACTGAGTATCTACTGTCGCAGCCGGCCAGCCCCCCAACAATACTTGAAGACGGAATACACTCGTACATCTGGTACTCGGGACCCGTCTCTTCACATTCCTTTAGATTCTTTTCTTGGACATTTAGAGTATTCACTGTCGCAGCCGGTCAGCGCTCAGCTCCCACACTCTTTTGAAGACGGAACACACTCGCAATAGTCTGGCCCTCGGGTGTCTTGACTCAGCTATCATTTCACATTCCTTTAGATTGCTGGACATTGATAGACGCTATTCACGACTGCTACCAACTAGCCACACGCTCGTTTCTCTGTTTCCTGATGTAGGGTATATCACCGTATTCACTCTAGCCAATATTCCACGGCGGGGGGTTGTTGAGTTATTTATGCACAGCAAATGTATAATGATTGTGGTATCGTGCAAACAAAAGAAATAAGCAATGCGGGTAAAGGAAAGAAAGCAGGCTCAAGCGGGTTTTGTCAGATGTGCTGAGAGATGAAACACTTCGAGGCTCCCTATCAGGACATGGATCGTGGTCCACGCACGTTATCGAGTACGCTATCGTTATCTGTAGGCATCTTGAGCGCAATGCGATGACTTAATGAGTAGCTTTATACCTGGAGACACCAGATTGAACGGTCGTCCATCCTTGTCATCGAAACGTATGCCCCTTGAATCCCAATGTTTCCACCACCTCTGAAGGAACACGGGGTGTTCCGTAATATTTGCTAAAGTGCCAATGTTGCGGATCCGGACCTGTGCCAGTTTCGGAAGTTTGGACTCGTCGATCTGGCACAAGAGATCTTCCAACGGCTTCATGATGTACGCGCTGAATATCGCTTGAGGGACGCCAACGGGATCCTCGCTGATGGGGAAAATGCCAATCCGCTTCAGCGCAGGGTGTGATAGGAGATCGAGAATGTGATGAGGGAAGATAGTGATAAACGTGTCCAAGTTCGGACAAGTTGCGATAATTTCATGCAATAATGGAGTGAATGCGACGGTGCGGACGATGCGCACTTTTGACCCGTGAGTTCGTAGGAAGTCTGGACTAAAGGGGGAAAACCCCTCTAGCCTTTGCAGGGACGGAAGTTGCTCCGGAGACTTGGCAAGCATCGTAAGGAGGGCATTGAGTGGGACGTTGCCCAGTGACGCGTGCGAGAACGAAGGACTATCTCCGAGAACAAGGGTTTTTAAGTTGGGTAAAATAAGGTATTGAGATGGTCTCTCTGTGAGGGCGCCATATATATTCGCGAGCGTCAGGCTTGTTATACCAGTGGCCGTTCGAAGCACGCGCATCAGGTCACTCCAAGCGGGATATTCGTTGGACGTCCATTCCACTCGTCGTAGTGACCTGGAGCATGTATCGATGAGAGCGTCTATGATTTCCGTTCGCGTCTGAGCCTGAGGTGGTGTGACATTGAAATTTGGATTCATTGCCATGTAGTAGTTGCTATTGACTAGAATTTCGAGGTTTGGTGTACACCGTATGATTCGCGCAAGTGCGTTTAAACATTGATCGGAGGGATTAGACAGCTGCAAATCAATCCGAAGAGTGCACGTTCCCAAAGCATTCTGTTTTGAATGCCTGCGACTTTCTTCGAAGCGGTTGGCGATGGCAGCCACTTGCTCCATCGACGTCAAGTGAAGGTGCTCATGTGTAAGCTCTATGACAACGTCATGCCAATCTTTACAAACCAGAAGGAGTGCCGAGTGAGTCTTTACGTCCCGGTTCAAAAAAATGTCAACATCCCGAACTTCACAGAATGGGTCTTGTCGGTCGGACAAAAGAACACCAGGCGATCGGACAAGCGACGCTAGTATCGGTCGCCACACTTCCACAGGCAAATCACGCAGCACGCCCATCCCGCCAGTAGAATCGCTATCAGAGGTCAACATTTGACTTCGGCAACAAAATTGCAGCACACACAGTATGGGGAAGCGAGTAACAAAGATAACTGACACGTATGTCCTTTTTAGATCACGGGCTAAAATATTTTTTGGGTAAGCGTCTGACATATGACACGAAGTATAACGGGCGTACCGTGCAACTGTAACAGTACTCCGAATGCTTTCGGTAAGAAGGAAAGGGACCCACAATGATAACAACTTACGGTATGGCCGAAAGTGGTTGTTTGTTTTTGAGGCTTTTGCCAAACAACCGATATCTATTAATGTTTTCGAACAATTTTCGAGCAGAACTTACGCTAAATACGTATAAGGTATTATATTTGATCAGCGATGTCTGAAGAGTGCAAACCAAAACTGTCTTTGGTTAAACGGAAGGCCAAGGCAGGCCCTTCAGCATCCAGAAAACGACTCAAAATCCAGTACACGTCTTTGGATGGATTGCCTTGGAAGACAGTTCCTCGACCCAGGGAAACGGGCCTTGATGGCGACGATGGAGTACTGGAATTAGAAGAGGTGGAAAATGTGGAAGTGGTGTGCGAGGATACAAAAGGAGGGAGAGTCATGAAGTTCAATGTAAGTTGCAGGACGCAGCATCGAATAGATATTAATGAATGCTACTCCAGGTTCTTGAGCCATCGAGCAAGAAAAAAAAGATCCTTGAAGGCTCTGAGCACGAGGCAGACATGTCATCTTCCGCCGGCTTGGAACCACTAATCCCTTCGGTGTCGTTTGACTGTGCGTTCTACATTATGCAGTGTTGACATTCCTAATTTTCTGACCTTTCTATCCACTTCAGCCGAGTCTTTGCTGCCACATTGGCATGGTTTCTGTCTGCATTCCCATCTTTTACACGTCCTTCACTCGCGAGGGTTTTCTACACCAACCCCAATACAAGCCAAATCATTGCCAATAGCCTTAAATGGGCGGGACGTTGTCGGAGTGGCAGAAACCGTCCGTTTAACTATTATAACGACCCTCACTGCTCTTATGATATGCTTTTTAGGGATCTGGAAAAACGCTTGCATATGGTCTTCCCATTCTCCACCGTATTCTATCACACCCTCGGCCGCCAAGGACTAAACGAAAACTCCAGGCACTCATCTTAGCTCCCACTCGTGAACTCGCCCTGCAGGTCTCCGATCACCTCAATGTCTTCTCACGATTCACTGCTGTCAAGGTCGAACAAGACGTCGGTAAAGACAAACAACACGAAACCAAGCCGCAAAATGCTCCGCCCCTCGTCAGCATCGCCGCCATAGTTGGTGGAATGTCGGCGCAAAAGCAGCGGCGTATACTCGACCGGGGTGTCGACGTGTTGGTTGCGACGCCCGGTCGGCTGTGGGACATACTAGAAGAGGTTTGTGACCGTTCGAATTCACCTTTTGGTGCTTAACACGGTCTCCTCTAGGATGAGGGACTGGCAAAACAAATCACCCAGCTGAAATTCTTAGTGCTGGACGAAGCCGATCGCATGGTCGAAACAGGACATTTTGCTGAAATGGACAACATCCTGCGGCTCACGATTCGAAAATCACAGTTTGTGTTGTGAAATCCTTTACTCATTGAGACGTTAACATGTTCCACCTCCAGAGAAGATGAAATTGAACCCCCCGAAGCTCCGGGCGATTCTCTCGATGCTCAGAAAGGCGCAGGGAACCCTGAAGCTACCCCTCTGGATGCACTGCAAACATTTGTCTTCTCCGCCACACTCAGCAAGGATCTCCAGAAGAACCTGAAACGAAGTTATCGCCAGAAGAGTCATAAGATGAAGTTGTCAAAACAGGCTAGTACACTTGGTATGTTCATTCCCGGGTGTTCCCAAACGTTGCTCAGGAAAACGACATACAGACGACCTTCTTCTGCGCCTTGACTTTCGCGACCCGGATCCGGCTGTGATTGACATCAGCCCCGAGGGAGGTGTTGTCTCTACACTCAAGGAGAGCAAAATTGAGTGCCTCTCCGCAGATAAGGTGTGTACGTCAGGCACGCGCGCGGATGGCGCCTCATACCCCGCAGGATGCATACCTATACTACTTCCTTTTACGGTATCCTGGCCGTTCCCTCGTGTTCTTATCGTCGATTGATGGCATCAGGCGGCTCAGTCCACTGATGGAACTCCTAAACCTCAAGGCCTTTCCCCTTCATTCACAAATGGAGCAACGCCAGCGACTCAAAAACCTTGATCGGTAGTTTCAATGTCCCATCGTACGCCTGGAGTGTATATGTGCTGACACAATCGCAGGTTCAAGACGACCACGAATGCTGTTCTCCTGGCGACAGATATTGCTGCAAGGGGTCTTGACATACCTGCCGTTGACCATGTCGTCCACTACCAAATACCACGTTCAGCTGATGTGTTCGTTCACCGTAATGGACGTACCGCTCGCGCGATGCAAAAAGGTTTTAGCTTGTTGATGTGCGCCCCCGACGAACGTCGAGTGGTAAGGGCACTGCTAGCAAGCCTGGGTCGTAGTAAGTGACAGCAATTTTTGCTCCCTCGTTGTACGTTCAATGCACACGTTATCAGAAGACACAGATATCCCTGAGATATCAGTGGAGCTCACTCTTCTTGATAAACTCAAAAATCGTATCTTGCTCGCTCGGCAAATCGACTCCCAGCAACACAAGATTAAGAAGCAGCGTCATGAAAGGAACTGGTTGAAGGAAACGGCGGAAGCGATGGAGATAGAGCTTGATTCTGATATTTTGAGGTGACTATTCATTCTGCCACAACACACATGACGTTGACAAGTCGGTCCAGCGAATCCGCCGATGAGAGTCACCCATCAAAGCAACGAAAAAAGAAACACGACGCAAAGACAGCGAATTTAAAAGCTAAATTAAGAGAACTCATGTCCCAACCACTCCTTAGCCGAGGTGTCTCGACTAGGTACATCACCTCTGGAAGTCGACCCATTGCTGACGACATCATATCGGGAGATGGTAAGTCCTTGGTGATAAAGGTTTTTCCTGGATCTCACTGCGTCATACAACGTGTAGTCCATGAAATCATGTTGGGCCTGAAGAAATCGGAAGCCGGGGACGACTTGGTTGCCGTCGCCAAGCAAAAGCCAGTGAACAAAAAAGAATTTGATGAACCAGAGGAGTGGAACGGCTTCAATTCGTGAACCATGCTTTGGCCCTTGATGCATGAGGCCCTGCTATACATAGTACGTATTTTCATTATCATAAGCGCTATGGCATACATTCGTATTTGACCAGCGCTCACTGGCAGTGTGCGAGTAACTGCCACGTCACTTACGCGTGAGAGGCTGTGTCTCATCATTTCCATGAATCGATGTCAAAGGACGTGTTAGATTTCAGTTTAGCCTAAGTTCAGCCACATCATCATCCATGTCATTGTCAGGATTAGACTGGTTATGTGACTCATCCCAGTGGTCACTCGTAGTCAACAGGTGGCTGTTCGGGTAACACGAGCGTCAGCCAACATCCAAGGTATGGGTTATGATACACGATGCGTTAACTTCCTTTGAGACTATCGGCCATGCGTTAGCAGTTGTGAATCTTGGTCTATTTCGATGCCACGTCTTGAAGATTGCTGGCTCCAAGTTTGCCGCATGCCTGAACACGAGGTGATTGCCGCCAACCAATCTGTCACGGTCGTAAGTATACTTCTTACACTGTGCAGGGTCTGGTGGTACTTGATGCAGTGATGCGTTGCGACTTGAATCAATGGTTCATCACATCTTTGTTCGGGCGAAACATAATGATATCAATTTGTGACGGACAGAGGCTTAGAGGCGGCAACACTAGACCGTCTGCCGACCATGACGCATGAAAGCAGCATGTAAGGAGGCTTTGTTTTGTTTTGGAGTCTGAATCACATATGAACTCCGCTCGGAGCCGGTAGTACTTATAGAGTGAGATATTTATCGACTGACTGATAATACTCCAAATGCTATCATCTCCTCCATCTCCCATCAGAGTTCCATTGTCCATCTCCACCGTCACCAATGCATTCGTAAAACTACGACGCAGCACGTCAAAGGCTGAAACCATTGATTCGACTTCCGGCGAGCCGCAGACTCACCCCTTACTGCAAGGAGAGGGTGCTACATCCAAACGCAAAGTCCCGCTGGTGCAGAGCGATTTATTCTCTTGCAGGGATGCAGTGGATGTTAAAAAGCTGCTGAGGGGGTCGAGAGCAAGCTTGCTCGAGAGAGCAGAGTTTATGGGTGCAAATGTATTGGTAGATGAAAGGTGTGTGGAGCTCGTGGAGTACTTTTGTGTTTTTGTTGCTTATACTTTTAATCAGCTGGGAGTGTTCGATCCGTGTCCCCAGGGACAAACGACAGGGATATTTCAAAGTCCAGGTTCGTCGTGGGTTCTTCGTCCGCTTGACCATCCTAATGCCTCCTCGTGTAGATCCGCTACTGCGCCTCCGCTTCCCGGTCGTCCCTCTCAGATCCTCAAAAACCAGTTGCCTTGGATCGGGTCCAAAATGTATCAGGACTTATGACTATCGTGGACCGCGAGGAACTGTCTCCATAGAAGCGCAACGTCTCCGTCTGGACTCTTATGATAATCGTCCTTACCCTCATTTCCTGCAGACGTTTTCGCTACTATAACCGCATCACCGCAATTGTACTCTAACAATCATCTGGCATTGTATTCATTTCGTTTGTCTCCATTTCACGCATTTTCATCATGCTTCCACATCCGCGACTTTTACATATAGTGTAACTTATCCAATTTATTCATCTACAGTAATAATACAACCGGCTAGAATTTCACCGCTCCAGTACATGACGCAATCCGAGCGGCACAAAACATAAAACATACACAATTCAACATGCATTTGTTTGCTCCGAGTATTTCACCACCTCCTATCATATGGGTCAGTTCGCGAGGGATAACCTCCTGGCGCCGGGAAGGAAGACTGTTGCTGGTCACCAGCCCTGCGTCGATCGTCAGGGAACTCAGGTGGCCCAGGCCGGCCACCATACCCCGGCACATCGGGGAACTCATGGCCGTGCGCGTGGCCATGACCGTGGATGCCATGATGCTCTTCAGGGAACCCACCAAAGCCACCTGGAAGTGGGCCGCTCTGTGGCGAGTAACCGCCTACATGTGGACGGTGTGGTGATGGATAACCACCTGTGGGTGGAGCGCTTGGTGAAGGAACACCTGGTGGTGGATAGCCACCTACAGGTCTAGCAGTCGGGTACCCACTAGGCTCGCTCTGCACGTATGAGCTGCTCGTGCTGATGAATGCCGTGTGAGAGGACGGCTGCACGTAGGACGGTGCATATTGACTCTGTGCAGGAGGCGGACGGAACGATGTTCCGCTCTGCATAGACTGCATATACGAACTAGGGGCATACGCCGCTGACGGCGGCAACGGGGCAGAAGGTGGCGAGTAGCTCGAGCTGGTAGTGTGCACACTCCCATATGAGGTGCTTATCTCTGGCTTCGAGTAATAGGAACCAGCCTGCTCGCTGAATTGCTCTCGTCCTATCCCCGCACCTCCACTCGCCATGTTCATAAAGCCTTGCATCTGTGGAACACCAGGAATTCCTTGCACGAGGCCTTGAATGCTCTGTTGCATCTGCACATTCTGTCCCTGAGAAGGGGGAGCACTCCCATCGGCAGACAAGCGAGTGTTGTCGTGCGTTCGCACCGATTCCTTCGTAAGACGTGCGAGCATGGCGTGCTGTTTATTCCCGAGACTCTGCACCCACGATCTCATGTATTCCAGCATCTCACGCTGGACTACAGAAGAAGTTTGGGGGAAGTCGGGATGGAAGCTGCGGAAGATTAGTCGGTGCCGAGTCCAAAAAGGGCAGGGGACATACAGGCATTGCAGTATCTCCTCGGTGACCCCATTCACATTGAGTGAACTGTCATCCCATGCCTTCGTTACCAAGTTGACAGTATGTTTCTATTCGCGGATAATACTGAACACAGTTGTTTCAAGTGCCGGAGATTAACTCACTAGAATGATTTTTGCGATATTGCCGGCGGGTTCATTGAGGATCAAATTCTAGAAGCATTACGTTCAGTACCATTCCACAATCCCTCGAGATTGAAAAAAACAGGGTTTACGTACGAAATGATCTTTGCTAAGGAAAGAATGTGTGGGGTCGCTCTGTGTGGGGTCAAGGGGTGATAAGGGATTATTGCCGCACCAAGGGTATTCAAACTCACAGCATACGGGTCGTTGAACACCTGCCGGAGGGAGAGACGTCAGTCGATATTCGCATCAAAATCAGGAAGAAAGGAAAGATTGAAAGGTGATGCATGGACGAAGATGGATGGCGAAGAGTAATGCAACAAAATATCACGACGATCCGGGTTCTGATGGAGTTAAAAACAAGGCCACTCCAGATCGGAACACGAAGAAGACAGATTCGCTCGCGAACCATACAACTTCCTCCTTAGTAGTAAAACTCACCTCATATTGATCATGATTATCGATCACCTCTGATGAGGCCAATTGGAGTCCGGATGTCGCGGTCTCCATGATCGGTCTCAAAAAAGGCTACGTTCCGGTTAGTATCAGCGGCGAGGAACACATTGTTTCGGCATATTTCTTACCTCCAAAGTAGTAAAGACGAACGCTGTAGGAGCCGTCAGTACAACCTAGCCATCAGCTAATCAACGATGAACCTACTGGAAATCGAGTCTTGAATTTTCTCGACAACCGAGTTGAGCCCCGGGATCTTCTCTGCAGCATCCATCAGTACCAGGGCTGCTTGTCATGCCATAACAACACAGTTCACCTATCGTGCCCGATATGCTTTTCATAACTTTGGCAGAATCAGACACTACATGAAGAGCGTCAAAGCAAGTGCGTACCAGAATCTCTGAAGCTTAAGACCTGCCACAACACGCCGTGAAGCTCTTGTGGGCTCATGTCCTCGGGGCGCTTGTCCCCACGTGCTACCCCAGCGCGCATGCGCTCGATGCCTTCCATGTCGCGGCTCATCTTATCGCCGCTTCCACCAGGAAGTTTAAGAAAAGCATCGCGGAGTACGTCACCCGACGACGTAGACTTGGAGCGCGCACGATCTAATTCTTTATTGAGGTCCGTGACAGAAGCTTCACTCTAAAGTATGAGAGTCAGACATTGTGGCGCGTACCAAGGTCGTGAATCTTACGATGTGATCGGTAGCCTCTGCACGAGTGTGAGTCAATATTCGCTACTAGAACAAAGTATTATCCATACCTCCAAGCAAGCTGAAAATGAAATCACTCGATCCGAACGTCCCTAAACAAAAAGGGTTATTCCTCTACGACTGCCAAAGCGTAAAAAGACTCACCAGTAACAAGCGGCGCGACCATCTTTCCGTTGTGTGCACGCACTCGCACAGCGTCACCCATATGCACGAATACATTAGTATGTCCCATGGAAACAAGAGCAAGCTCGCAGAAGTTAGAATGCGCAGAGAAGTCTTCAAGGGTGTGGAGCTATGTGATGAGATGGATTAGCGTTGTGTTAAAAGAAATGCGAGGTGGAGATTCATAGTCAAACGTTATTCAACTGACACCGATGGTCATAAGCGGTTGTACCACAATATGGGTCGCGCAGTCGTACGCCAAAGGTGGATATTTAAGCTTAAATGTTCAACTTACACCTTGTCCAAGGAGCCTGAACGCCTCGTATTGATCTGCGTTGTTGCCGGAACTCTTGTATTTCCTGCCGAGGTAAATGCACTGCTGGAGTACTCTACGCACGAGCGCCTTGGATGTATCCCAATGACCGTTTTCTGTCGCATTCGTGAGCCACTGGAGGTCAGAAGGAAGTCGAGGTGCAGAGACGAACCATTCGCGATGTAGTTCTTCATCCCCGTCTGCGGATCGATGGCGAGTTCATCAGGCTGGAAAGAATGATATTGGTGAGTATGGCTAGTAACAGACAAGCGAAAATAATATGTACGTGGACAGGGCCGCGTAGTCTGGGGTCATACTGCCGTGCATCCTCTCCCTCTCCATAACCTTTCGGATTGTCGATATGTTCTGTCTGTGCGAATTGCGGATTAATACGTCTGTGATTGGCATACCAGGAGACGCTTACTGGCAAATAGGTACCGAGTCTCTCTGGCGTAACTTCAAATTCGCCAGTAGCATATCCGTTGGCCTAAAAGAGAGTGAGAACTATTTCGAGCGCAACGATGCGCACATACCATGAACCCGAGCACCATAACTAAATTTAGGATGGTCTGTAGAATAATTAGATAGAAGTATAGGGGGAAACCATCACGACGTACTTGCATATTAGTTTTCTTCAGTGTACCGATGTCAACAGCCTGTCAAACGTCATGAATTGATTCCGCTTCAATCAATAGGAGATTGTGATTACCTGGCTGTAATCTCTCAACCAATTGCTGTACGCCGATGAATTAGATCACGAAGAAGTCCATTTAGCATCTGAAAATACGCACCCAAAGTATACGCGTTTGATATCGAGCCCTCCAAACTTTGGACCCTTTCCGATAAGACTTGAGAGCGCGAATCCCCCGACCCCCTTCTTCACGAGGTCGGCGAGCGCATCCTCCTGAACAACACGATCAGCACACCGATATTCGGTCGGATTTGAAATCGCCTACGATATCTCCGTGCCTAAATGCCTTGCCTTCCACAAATGCATATCTGCAAAAGCGTCAATGAATGAATAAATACTATGAACTGCTGAGTTACGAAGGAATGTTGCCTGCCCCGAAGGCGTGCACGCCATTATTTGACAAACAGAACGCAAAGATAAAGAACAACAGAAGAGGAAGCGTTGGAGAAATACTGGCTGGCATTTTTTCTGTACTAGTAGGTACGAGTTGATGGATGAGCGAAAATAAGTCAACTAGGATGGCTGTGAGCTGCGGTGTCCACTTATATCATCGAACTATAAGAGGACCCCTGAACTGGCAGCCCTGCCGCACCCCCTATATAGTCACTGCCCCAACTCCAAAACCTGTGTTAAACGTCAACGTCCGACAGATCTAGACTTTAATGGCGGGATCGGCCAGCGGGAAAAAGAAGGGACGAGAATCTTCCGTTTTTCAAGGTCTGGCTTGGGGAGACTAGGGGAAATTGGTAATTCAGGCATGCGAATAGAAACAAGGTAGTGAATGAACGCCGTGAGGAAATAGTGAACATAAAGAATAGAGCTCGAGAGGATCGGCCAGTGGCTCTAGCGAGTGGTAATTCGAATCAAGGGAACTCTTCGCATAAACACTCAGAGTGCAGCTGGCTGGCAGAGGCTGGCAGTCCAAGGACCAATGTCATGGATGGCTTGCTAGCACCATTTGCCATTTAGATCAAAATTTAGACTTCGACAGACTTTGGTAGAATGATAAGATACGCCTGCCATATCATACCCATTGCCCTAAGCTGTAAGTAGGAACTTGCGCCGAACGCTTCTCAGTGATCTCGTTTACCTTCCACCATGTCAATGAGGCCCTCAGTGCTCACAGATAAAAAGAAAGTATGAACACTTCCCGGTCCTCATCATAGGGAGAGCAAATGCAGAAAAACTACTATCCTCCAGAGGGTTTGCAACACACGGGAGAACCCAGAAATATATAACAGCAGGTGCGTATCAGAATACCAGTACGAGTTATGATTGACCATCAAGATCAGGTCGATCCTGCCGTTTTGATGGCATCCAGAGAAGTAAGTTGTACTCTTATCAGATAGTAACATGACCTGACGTGTCCTCAGCGTGGAGAGCACGACATCAGCTCCAATAAAGGATTCGTCTTTCATGATTCAAGCCTACTTGGCAGTATCTGTGACTTCGAGTCGGAGAATGCTAAAACTGCTACGTACGAGAGTTCTGTTCAAATCGAGATTTGACATCCTTTTATAGACTCTCCCAAGGACATTAAGTCGACCGAGCCACCACTTTCTTGCTCGGCGAAACCTGGCATCAATAACGACCCTACATGATTAATTTACGCACCACAAGCTTGTTTATTTCTCACCCCAGACTAGGATCATCGATCTGAACTCGATGCTTATAGCTTGCCAAGTTATGGGAGAGGCGATCAAGTCCAGACTCTGCGCGCGGATATCAACATGCGATATTAATGCCAATGTTTGAAGAGCTGCTACACTGAAGCTATTTAAGTCAGAGATGAGTATTGCGAGATTAACGCGAGGCGCGCGTCTAGTAAAGAACGTGCAAGGGTATGTCAAATGAAGGAGATCTTGATTGCGCAAGAGCTTGACCTGTGGCAGTGTGCGGTAACGGGGCGCCACAAGTGCTTAGTCAGTGATCGGCAAAGACCGGTGTAAAATTCGAGTTGGTCTTGGGATTTTTCGTTTACGCTGTCTCTCGCATCCTCGCAAGTGATTAATTGTGGCCTTGCATCTGTTCGTTGTAATCTTTAGACTCCATCACGCACTTTTGATTCCCTTCTGGTATGTTTAGCAACTTTTTTAAAGTCTAGAACTGACCTTGAACTTCATACAGCATCATTCCCTCATAATGACCAGCACATCCGCTACTTCTTCCCCTTCTCAGATTCACCAGAACGTCGTTCCTTCTGAAGTCGGATGGCAATTTGTTCCTCAGTATTACACTTTTGTTAACAAGCAGCCCAATCGTTTGCATTGCTTTTACACTAAAACCTCCACCTTCATTCATGGTACCGAGGGCGAGGATGTCAAGGCATGCTTTGGCCAGCAGGTGCGCAGTATTCTCGTATATTTGCAATATCTCATAGCGCGCGTAGGAAATTCATAACAAGATCACTTCTCTTGGCTTCGACGATTGCAAAGTCTACATCCATTCAGTGGACGCCCAGTCTAGTGCCAATGGCGGTATCATCATTCAGGTCATCGGCGAGATGTCAAATCATGGCGACCCGTGGCGCAAGTTCGTGCAGACATTCTTCCTTGCAGAACAGCCCAATGGTTATTTTGTGCTCAATGACATCTTCCGCTTCTTGAAGGAGGAGACTGTCGAAGATGACGCAAGCGAACCTGAGGCTTCTTCTACTGCACCCTCCGAACCTGCACCCGAATCCGTTCGTGAACCAACTCCCCCGCCTCCTGCTTCTGAACCAGAAGTTGAAGAGCCGACTACCATGGTTCCTGAGCCCATTTCCCCACCCCCTGAACCGGAACCTGCCCTAGTTGAGGTCAACGGTGTCCATCATGAGCCTGAGCCTCAACCGGAGCCCGTCTCTGAGCCTTCCACTCCCGAAGCTGAGCCCGAGCCTGCACCTGCCGCTCTGGTTGTGCCGCCACAAGCGCCTGCACCTCCTCCACTTGTTGCGCCGCCACCAGCGCCTGCACCTCCCACTCTGGTTACACCGCCGCCAGCTCCAGCGCAGGCACCTGCTCCTCAACCACCAGCACCTGCACCAAAACCTGCAGCACCAAAAACGTGGGCTAGCCTCGCTGCCGCCGACTCTAAGCGCTGGGGTGCACAGGTAGCCACTGAATCAAAAGGGATGTCCGAGGTCCCCGCTTCTGCAGCATTCCCAGCACCCGCACAAGTGCCATCTGGCGGTGCTTCTTCTCCTAATCCACGGAGAGAGCACTCAGCTATCGCTACTGCAAACGCACTTACGACGCCACAGTGTTTTGTCAAGGTATGCCTTCCTCTTCTAACCATCCATAGCTATAACTCACCATGGTATTTTTCATCAGGGTGTCACTGAGGTTGTGTCGCAACAGCAACTGATGGTCCCTACTGGCCCGCTTTGGCACCGTCAAGGACGTCGAGATCGTACGCAGTAAAGCCTGTGCCTTCCTCGAGTTCAACAGCCTTGATGCTGCTAAGAAAGCCATCATCGCCTCGCTTCCTACGAACGTTGGTGGTGAGGGTGGACTGCGCTTGGATGGCCCTGAGGGAAGCATTCGGATCGTCGTGGAGACCAGGAAGGAGCGTGCAGACCGGCCGATCAGTCGGCCGCGGGGTGGTGCGCCTAACGGCGAGGCTAGGGGGGGTTCATTCCGTGGCCGTGGGGGATCTCGGGGCGGTCGTGGTGGTCCTCCACCCCCTAAGCAGTAAGTACGGGTGTGCATGATGATTCGGAGGAGGGATGGGGGTGGGGATGCTCTTCTGCGTGGTATACTTGTTGTCCTAAGCTTATTCCATTTGCTTTTGTCCATGTAGACGTGCGTGGTGAACGTGTTATAATACGAAAGTCACCCTCGTATTCATTTGTTTTGTTTGCTGTCATCGTGTTTTTGGTAGTGGTTCAGTTTATGAATTCAGGGGTTTCCAGTCATGAAGTGTCGCGATGTAAAATCTGAGTGACTCCTCCTTGCACGCTCCTACATGCACTATGTATATGTGTGTAGTACTAGCTACATGATGTACATCGTTGTGTGAACACTGGGAAGCATGGCCGAGATTGGGGCGAACAATCTCGTGGTCTCGAGTATGTAATGAGACACGAGGAGGTTGAAGCCGCTGTGAAGAATACAAGCACTTTTGTAGTCAAGACGCCCACAATCCCTCGAGCAAGTGATAGTCGTTCCTTCTTTAGACACAACCAAGGTCGACCAGAATGGCGGAAGAAGCAACGCAGGCCATTGCTCGATTCACCACACCCACACCCACTCGAGTGTTTGGAGACAATCGTATAGAACCGAAATAACTCGACTGGCGGTCTTGCCTGATAAACGTCGGATAGTGACTGGCTCGGCAGATGGGACGGTACATCTGTGGGATTTACAGGATGGGGTCGTATTGAAGAAAATGGAAGGGCATGACAGTGAAGTTCTGGCATTGGCGGTATCAGGACTCCGGGCGATTCATAGCAAGCGGTGATATAAACGGGGAGCTCATCATCTGGGACGGAGACACCGGGGATCCTCTCACTCAAACCATTCAAGCCCACTCCAGAGTGATCTGCACGCTGGACTATTCACCAGACGGTTCAGTTTGGCGAGTGGCTCACAATTAGAGGACATAGCGAAGCTGTGGAGCACAGAAACCTAGCAACTTCAAGGAGAACCAATCGATGGTGGTGGTGAGAAGGGCATCATCGACATCCCTTCTAAAGTTCTCTGCGTTCGGTTTTCGGACTTGCCTACCGCCGAAACGCTGCTAACACGAGAGATTAATGCTGACGCCAACAATTACCGCTCCTAGGCCAATTGTGTTTTTTCTTTTCATTATGGCGCGGAAACAAGATTGGGACAGTGCGCTTTATGATGCAAACAAGGTGAAATACACTGAGCCACCATAGACCGCTTATGAAAGGCTAAATGTGAAGTAGTTCATCGCCATGCAGCCCTCGTTGACAGGTTGTATCTCCAAGGGCATTGCTCTCTGTGGAAAAGGGAAGGTTCGAGATGCGATAAAAGCATTTGACATCACGTCTATGTTCACGCGCACGGACAGGGATGATTTAGAAACCAACCATTTCCTTCTATTGATCAAGGCAGGTTACTTTCTTCTTGCATATTCCATGCTTCATTAGGATTTTCAGGCCATCGCACTTTTAAACGCAGATCAACACGAGGAAGCAATCCAGCGCCTCCAAGAGCTAGCTGACATATGTCCGATGAACGATACCCTTGCGTATCGTGTCGTGGAAGTGAGTTTCATTTATATAATCAAGCCCACCTCTGGGCATCGACGCCGACCTCCGCAACTTCGCGTGTCAGACATATCTACGTGTGCAACTGGGAATTAATGTTTTGGATGGCGCGCATCACGACGAAGCTGCTGACCACTTCGCTGCCGCTGTCAAATCCTGCACTTTCTCATCTACATTGCGCATTCATCATAAATACGAGGACTTGGTGTTGGTTCGTTTATGTTGCGCATCAAAAATGCTCTTTAAGTTAAACCGCGTACTTTGCAGCTCTTCGGATGAGAACTCGAGTCCTTATGGCTGACTGCACACCAGGAATATTGTTAAGCTCTCCTTTTGGCGGGTAGACTTGACGATGCCCTCGAATCACACCGACATATGGTGGACACCATTGATGAAACTATGAAGGCTGCCTGTCTTGATTGGCCCACTGGTGAGTCTACATCACTGTTACCCTGGGCTACGATTCTCACTTCCAGTTCTCAGCTTTCCAGCAAAAATGCAATGCGGCTGCGACCGACCATCCTGTTTTTGGCGTATGTGCTCCCTTCTTCATCATGGGTCGCTACTGACCATTATCCAGATGGAGATTCTCGGTCAAGATGAACATGACGGCGCGGAAGAGGTAGAACGCGATTTCTTCTAGGACATGCATGACGTGCGTGCAATTGCGTATCCTGCGTCTCTCATTCATGTCAGTCATTCCAGCATCACCGAACGTCCTCGCTGTGACCCTGGCAGCGCCCGGGGCGCATCAAGAGACTTCTCGCTGTCGTGTGCACCCCTCGTGCAGCTCCCCCACCGCCGTCGCCTGCTAACCCATCTTCTCCCACCGCCCCTGCCACCTTCAAAGTCCTCTTACGATACCCATAAACCTGGGGGCCCTTTCACGCAGATCACACAGCGCCACCTGTAGTCGACGTTCCCTACGTGCAGGGTAAAGAGCGCAATGCTGCGGCGGATGCTCCTCATCTGAACGAAGGCTACATACGCGATCAAGACTGGGTATCGACCAATTTACAACAGCAAACACCAGCAGGGCAGAATGACACGGGCCAGGGAGAACATGGAAGTCGGTGTTTCTGCTTCCAGGGGTTTCGTGGACTTTCGCTAGGTATTTCAGTTCGCATGTTGTCGCTCTTATATGATATCAGCATTTCTAATTCATTCTCGATCGCAACTTCTCCATTCATCAATAAAACGACCCCTTCTCCTTGGACGTCCGCATCGTCATTTCCACTCACGAGGTTGATCGCCTCGCCTTGTGAGTTCATGCCACTGAATTATAATCCCTCCAAGGGAAACATTTTACGAGTTCAAGATGAAGTTATTGTGCATACCATCGTCGTCGCACCCTTGTGCTTTTGATAGTAATTCAACGAGGTCGCATATGAACACGGTCGCAATCCAAAAAAACGAATGAGAAGTTGTGCGCGTGACTTGGTACTTACGTAGACCGAGATCAAAGCTGTCAATGAATCGCTACGCCACAACGTGCACCTGACTAGCGCATTTACGGACCTCGTTCGTAGTAACCATTATATTGTTCTTCACCCTTGCACAAGCTTGTTTACCTCGTCATGAGGATGCGCAGTATGTAGATGAATGTAGTGACGCCATAGGTTCGTGACCAGTCTGGCCTATACTACTATAGGTCTACTAGGTAAGTCGAGTGGGGTAAGTACGTCAAAACTTTTCTCGAGCTCTCAATTTGGGACGTAGGAAAGCCATTCAATTCTGGTATCTCCATCACGATGAACAACTCGAAGACAACCGAACAAGATCAAAAAGCGTTAGACTTATGAAAATGCTGTGGCCGCAGCTGCGCAGCATCTTACACTTCTCATTCATGATCTAAATTTAAATTGATATAATTAGCCATAGGTTCTATCTCTCTTGAGGCGCCAATCAACCACATGTCGAGGTGCCATCATTATAACGATCAGCTGAGGTTAACCACTTCGAAGGTTATGTAACAAACTCAATACCCTTTTGCGAATGATTGTTGATAGACATTACAGTGATCCCCGTAGTATGTGCGTAAGTACGAGTGACGTGCTGCGCGATGCCCACTGTCCTGTTCTTAGTATTACCCCGCCACCATTCGGTTGCCAAGCCACAGCGAAAAAGCTACACATCACCGCACAGAACCCTCCTTCACAATCCGTGGGAGTCGGGATGTTAGAGTGGATAACCCATTTGCAACAGATATGTATAGATGGGCATGGCTATCACTATCCGGCATTCGTTATGTACTCGGCCTGCGGAGTATATAGTCATTCCTTTAGTACTGGCCGAATGAGCTCAAGCCTTCAGTCAACATTGAAATGTCTTCCTCAACGGAGGACCCCAACTCACAAGTCGACCTCGGGAACACGTTTGGGGCACTCTTTATCGGGGCCATCCTTGCAGCAGTGTCAGTAAATTGACTGTCTCCTCATGAAGCTCAGCGCTTCGCCGAGTTCTGTCGTCCTAACGTATCTCACGGAATAGTCTCTTTGGTCTAAGTAATGTTCAAGCTTTCCTCTACTTTCAGACGCACGGGGGCACTGGTATAACATTCCATAAGTTGGTTGTACGTCCATACTTCCTTTTTGTCAGTTCAGTTTTTGACGCTGCTAGCGAGCTAGGTTATCTGGCTTTGGTATGTATCCCTTCGAGCTGCCATCATCGAACGCGTTCAGATTACGCCGTCCCTTGAACTTATAGGATATTCGATGCTCTGCACCTGGCCTTGATCATCCATTCTGTCTATTATTATTTGGTGATCAACTACGCGAACATCGGTGCACTTACAGAAATTGTATGGAGCTTTAAAGTGGGTTCCTACCTTTGTGATCTGTGTGACGTCTATCATGATACTGATGGGCTCATGCAGTTCCAGATAGCCATCGATGTAAGTTGTATTTCCTACGCTCTGTGATCCGCCTCACGCATACACCACAGGTTGTACTCATCTATGGGGTACACATGTAAGTTCGATGTGTGCTGTTATATACAACTTGAAGATTCAAATGATGCTTGATTGGTCCGCAGTATGTATGTTCATCGCATATGGATAGGTACGTGCTCCCCTAACAATGTGTTTCCACGACTAATGCAATGAACCTAGTCAGCAAGGGCCGATCAAGAACTCTCCCTACTATAGTGGTGGGTTTGAAATACAACGATGACATTCGATTCTTACGATCCAATATTAGTGTATACTCGTGGTACTGGTTTCAGGTGGGTCTGTCACCTGGAAATGTTCTTCGCTCGATCTTGAAAAATTCCTCCAGGCCCTGCCATCGGTGAGGGTTTAATGATACTCTTGTTTTCGGTTCATCTTTTTTACCTCACGATAGCCGCTGCTTGGGCCGTGTGAGTGAGACAGCATTCTCCATGACTTTACGAAGTGTGTTGATAGCGAATAGATATCAGTGCCATGTGTTCACAGATTTGGTTGGAATCGAGTGGGCGACATTTATGGCTTTCGGAACGACTGTTTCCGTCGATTTCCTCATCGCATCATCACTATGCTATCTCCTCGCTGCCTCTCGTACTGGATTCTCCAAGTAAGGAGTAGTCCGTTTAACTGTCAGGATTTGATACACTAAATGGAGTACTTCAGCACCGATTCTTTCATAACAAAGCTCATGGCCTACACGATTAATACCGGCTGTCTGACGAGGTATTCCTCCTTCCAGACTATTTCATATATTAACTCATATTTCATGCAGTCTATTTTCATTGACAACTATGATTACAGTAAGCTTCTAATGACCATACTGTCCGTGTTGTCTCTGAGGGCCACCTGCAGTGCGCAGTGATGCCGCACAACTTCGTCTTTCTCGGTCTTGAATTTTTAGTGACTAAATGTATGACCAAAGTATTCTCCGAAAAATCGTGCTGACGACTGATCCCTTTTCAAGTATATGTCAACTCGTTCTTCGCACTCCTAAATGCGCCATACTACTTGCAGGCTGGCGCGAACACTACCAATTCTTCCGAATTTCATATGCGCCCCCGCCCGGAACTGCACATTAAGACGTCGCAAGACGGGGAACTCCAGGCATCTCGGAAGAACATGTTTCGATTTTTCGGCGATGAAGTGGTGCATTCTACTCTATCTGACAAGGTTGGTAGTTGTGTTACTGGCGGTGGAAAAGGACTGAATAACCCGCTTTAACCACAGCAGCCGATTGAGGTGGCCGTGGAGATGGATTCTTTCTCGTCAGCGTGATGGATCAGTACTACTTAGTGCGTGTGGATTATCGTCCGTCCGTCTCTTCACGAGATAGGACTTGGGGACTTCTTTAATGTTGTGGGGAACGAGAGAAATTTAGTCCACGACCAGAAAGATCGTGTAAGCCTGGTAGCTTACATACACCTTAGGTACACATATGGTTCATTGCATTGTAGACACCTCTTTCCCTTAGCTTGTACCTTGCCGTCGTCGTCGTCGTCTCGCAATCCAGAACGTGGTTCTGTTTTGTTTCGTGTGTTTCTTCAGTGTTTCTTGTCGTTGGCCACGACTTGTTTCCAGATCCATAAAGTATTGAGCGAAAGGGAAGCAAAGGAATGTATGTGTGAAAAGTGATAATTGAGACATCGCACAAAAGTGACACATCAGCAAACTGGAAATTTCCCCACAGACAATGCTATTTTAGACTGTTTCGCACAGTAGCTCACAGTGCGGACAGACGCCACAATGGACATACATGCACAGACACATACTTCGCACAACCTTCCAATCGCAGACAGAACTAGCCAGTTGCCAGCGGAAAACATTGAAGTCTGTAGTAATTTGAATTTTTAGCTAGTCAAATTTCCCCACAGACAATTGTTTTGCACAGTAGCTCACAGTGCGGACAGTACTAGTAGTGAAACACTTAAATTTAATACGCGGTACAAAACACTATTGCTAAATTTTGACAAGGTACTACAGAAATTCTGCGACAATCAAATCAACATAGTATCTCACATCAATCTAGCTGAATAGTGATGCCATGACTATCCCCTAACTCGACGAGAGAACCTGTGGCTTGTTAGTATAACACCGTGGATCTCAATGTATTCCCAGGCTTACTGTAGAGATGGTGCGCGCGGTGAGAAAGACCATGCGTTTTAAAAGCGATCCGCATGTATCCTAATCCTACATCCGCCCGGTTGAGTTTCTGCTCGAAAAGACTTGACTTGAACTTTGATAAACTCGCCATGAGTTCGAGCTCGCGGACCACGCAGTCAGCAAGCGACTTTTCAGCGAGGAGCTTCTCTCGTCTAGCCCTGGCAAGTTCCATGACAAGGTTTGCTTTGAGATCCTCTGTATCATCGATGATCTGTAAAATTAAATATAGTTATTGATAGAAACATAGTGCTACTACATACCATGGAATCAATAGCGTCAGCGATATTATACAAGTCAGAGACACCGGCAGTGCCAGAATTTCCAGTTCGGCAAGTGTCCGGTGGATGCTGCTGAGTGTAGCATGGAGAACACCAATGGAGTGCCTTATTTGAGGTAGACGGAATGTTGTGGTGGATATTGAGACTGACAGGCGAGGTCGACATATGTTACTATGTACTTTAGTATGGTGTACTTGATAGAAAAAGCAAATCCGGAAATTGCTGGAGTCAATGCGAGTATTAGTATACCGTCTACATACCTTTCTTCTGTAACTCATGTCTCTCCAGTGTCCATCCTGTGGCAAAGATGGATTCAAAACCGACACTGCTGTTGCCCGTCATATGAGCCAGCCTCGTTCTGGATGCAATAGTTGGCTGGATGAGTTAATTTGGCTGAAATCTCACCTACCACCTGAAGATGATCCTATGGAGTCAGATAATGATGTCGGGGGTTCATACGAAGAGGATGATGATGATGATGTTTATTTTGGAAACACTGACGATGGTGGTCGGGGCTCACCTGTAGGTGGAGGATGGGATGAGGCTAGCGGAACCCCAACAAAGGATATTGAAGAAGAAATGCACAGCAAGGTTACTGACTGCTTTCCAGGTGCTGCAGAGACGTATGGCATGGGCCATACGTTCTTGGGCCTGTTCAACACCGACGAAAATAGTGTCTATTGCAAGACAAACCTCTACTATCCATTTAGCTGTAAGCAAGACTGGGAAATTGCATCATGGTTACTGCGTTCCGGTTTGAGTATGGGGAAGATAGATACCTTATCGCTCGAGATGGTGAGGAATCAGCCGCTTTATCCAGATCTAACTCACTAACTAATATTCAGATTAAGGACCTTCCTTTGTTGTTCCGCTCGGCCAAGGAGTTATGAGGACGAGCAGAAATGTTACCCAGCAGCCCACGTTGGATGTCACAAATCATCGATACATTGCATTCAACAAAATCACCCGTTATTTTATACTGGCGCGATCCACTGGAGTGTATATCTACTATTCTTAACCATCCTCTCTTTCACAATCAATTGGACTTCACGCCTCGCAAGGTTTATTCCACAGCGCAAAAGCTCTGTCGTGTGTATACCGAGTGGATGACAGGCAATGATGCATGGAACATGCAAGTAGGTACCTTCGCATAGTATGTTAAAGTCTTATTAATTTTCAATAGTCAGCACTTCCCCAAGGTGCTACATTGCTTGGGACAATATTGTCTTCAGACAAGACAAATATCTCAGTTTTGACGGGCGATCGCGTTGCACACCCACTCCTTGTCAGCCTCGCAAATATATGCATGAACACGCAACTCAAATCATCATCCAACTCTTTCATACTCACTGCCCTGCTGCCAGTTCCAAAGTTTCTCCACAAGAATAAGCGCATGCGTGGCGTATTGGTGGATCGCCTCATCCATCAGTGCCTAGATATTGTCCTCAAACCGCTCAAGGAAGCCACTCTGCGTGGCGTAATGCTCTCGGATCCCATCGGACAGAGCCAATATTGTTTTCCTCCACTTGCAAGTTATATCGTTGATACTCCGGAAGCCATGATGTTGGCCTGCATTGGTGGAAAGACCTCTCTGGTCACCATGGCCATGTACAAGCAATTTGGAGACTCCTTTCGCCATGAACCTCACACAGCGTCAACCACCCTTGCACAACTATCCGTCGTTCGCACACGAGCTGATCCATCTGATCTACAAGCCTTCTTTCGGGAAGCGCAAAAATTCTGCTTGAATGGTGTCTTTGAGCCATTTTGGCGGGACTGGGTGATTATAGATCCGTCCCGCTTCTTCACACCTGAGACACTTCATGTCCTTCATAAGGAATTTTGAGATCATGACGCAAAATGGTTAATATTTGGTGTTGGGGAGTCGGAGATGGATTTCCGTTTTTCCGTTTTGCAGCCTGTCACGGGTTTTCGGCATTTCGCAGAAGGGATCACAAAACTCAAACAGGTTATGGGTCGCTGTCAACAAGACATCCAACGTTCTATCATCGCAGTTAGTGCAGATGTAGCACCCCGTGGAGTTCTCATCGCCGTACGCACACTCATGGATTTCCACTATCTTGTACAGTCACCATCCATCGATGATAACGACTTAGTGCGCATCTCAGCAGCATTGAACGAGTTCCACGCAAACAAAGATTCAATCATTGATGCTGGGGTTTGTCGTGGCAAGGGCAACAAAGTGATCAATAATTGGTACATACCGAAACTGGAGCTTATGCAGAGTGTCGTACCCAGCATTAGGAACTCTGGAGTCACAGCTCAGTGGTCTGCAGATGTTACTGAGCACGCGCATATCACCGAGATTAAGGACCCAGCGAGATCAAGTAACAACAACAATTACGATCCGCAGATATGTCGCCATCTCGATCGACTCGATAAATGTCTTCGGTTTGAGCTCGCTACCACCCTTCTAGATGAGAAGCAGAATGTCAAGGCATTAGCCGATGCAGCAGGGAGTCATATGGACAACAAGGACACTGACGATGCTGATTTGGATGATGATTTACCTGTTGAGTTCTTATCTACAATTCAGCATGGTCGCTCACGTCCAATTACGAATCATTTTGCAATTGCCCAGGTCCTGCAGCACAAACCTATGGGCTCTGTACCTCTACCGTTGCGTTTGTTTGTCGTTGGGCACACCACCTTTCATTTAGCTTATAAACCTTCCATCTGAAGCATCACTATTGATGATGTCGCCCTCAAATTTGGCTTGCCAGATTTGCGACCGGCGCTATCTGATTTTCTGCATCATGAGGCCAGTTTCAGACGCGACCACACCCATGCAATAGGTGGCCCAAGGAGAGCCGGACCCAATTCTGTGCTTCCTTTTGAGAAAGTTCAAGTATGGTTCAAACTTCGCTTGCAAGATATGGAATTTCACAACGTTCACAATATTTGGCCAGCCCAGACTCTCAATTGTGCGCCGCCAAGTGAACCTTGGACATACGGTCATTATGATTCAATCATTGTCAATACCGAAGCGGAACACTTGTGGCCTACTAGTGGTCTTCAAGGCAAGTCGTACTCATTTGTCCTTCCCCAATGCCTGTTATTAACCTCATCCCTCAGGACACACTGTCATCCAAATCAGACTTATTTTTCGCCCCCTTGGCAAGACCAGCACACAATGGGCATGGCAAGATCGGTTTCTTACCTACGTTCATCGCTTCGACATCATTGGTGTCCGCGAACCAACTACGCAGATGCATGTCCTTAAAAGGGCAAGATGGTCTAACTGGGACTTGCATAGGGGATGTTGTACCGATTTCACAACTGCACGCGCCCGTTAATCTAGTTCCTCGGTTTGGTGCCGCCGCAGACAATCACCTTACCGCTTATAATAGTGTTGAGCATGCGTCGGAGTTATGGCTGAATTGTTTTTGGGACAAAAGCACTTACTTCCCTCTTTCAATGTAGTTTTTATGGAAGAGTTTGTATCGCTTTTCACTATACTAGTCTTAGCTTTGTGGCTCGAGTTTGATTAGAGATAAGAAAATTTTGCACATATTCCCATGCCAACCTTTGACCATCATCACTGAGTACAATGCCCTCCAAATCGTCCAAGTCAAAATCAAAGTCGAAACAATATTTCTCAACACTAGCGGTTGGAATAAAACTGGGATCCTTCATCAAAGTTCCTCTAATTCACGATGTGCCGACAATGGACAGGCTAACTACTCAAGAGCTGAATCAACTAGTCCTCGAGGAGCCCGCGAGTCATATCAAACGAAGCACCCCCATCAGACATCTTCTATCCATCATTTTCCAATCCTTCAAGGTTCAAGTGCCTCGTGCAGAGGATCTTCGGATCCCTCTCTCTCAGATTCAATATCGTAATGAGCGGATTGATAATCAGTTTTGTCAACATCAACCGACAGACTCTGTGGAACTTTTGGATAGCAAGGCGAAGATGTGGAACTGGGGGCTGCCGGATCCGCCCCAAAAACAGTGCAAAAATAAAAAGGGTGAAAAACATGAGGAGAGACAGCCGAGGGGGGGGGAGTCAGGCGCCCAGAGGCAGTGCTTCCCATTCTAACTTGACTACTGAGCATGTAGTTGCAGGGCTTTTGAATGCCCTCACGGCGGCACTTTCTGAACACGGTGGACTCAAAACTAAGCAAGTGAATCGTGTATGGAGTGGGGCCCACTCAACCACCCCAATCAAGGGAGAAGACATCCCCTGCAAACCTGACATTGTTATGTCAGATGAACCAAACCCTGGGTGGGCAGGCATCAAGGTCGTCGCTGAAGTAACGAGCAGCAAGTACTGGCCAGGGAAGCATGCTGCGAAATCCCTTGATACCAAGGTGTACATCATCTTGAAGCACCAGCCCTGGATGTGCTTCACTCTCATGCTATCTTTATGCAACCACTATCGCGAACTTCGTGTCCACGTATACAACCACTCTGGTTCTGCCATATCCCCTCCATTTCATATCAGCCAACAGAAGAACAAATTTCTGCAGATCCTCTCGGCTATTGTCTTCGGCAATGGCGAGTGCATTGGTTTCAATACGACGATGAATATTCGACAGCTCAAACTCCCTGTGTTATCCCGTCGTTCCATTCCTCCTAGGAGATTGTGTGTTCAGAAAAAGAGGGACACCCACGGTGAATCTGGTACATGGGCCAAGACAGGAGATGCAGCATCAGGCGAGTCAGAGGAGTCAGGTGAGGAGTCAGGCGAAGAGTCAGGCAAGGAGTTGGACAAGGAGTCGGATGAGTCAGGATACGAGTCAACATCATCATACAAACCTTCGCCCTCACGTCGCCTAGACACTCTCGGCAGTGATTCCTCAGGCTTATCAAGCACCTTCTCCTCCCTTGAACAAGATGAGCGGCTTGATATCAGGACTGGTCTTCCTACACTCCCCTCTGAACTGCTTCCCTCGGCCACTCCTGCCTCACTAGCTCCTTTTATTGCCCAACATTTCATTCCTCCTCTGAATTTGTCGCCAATCGGTGAAATTCAAGTCAACGACAACTGGTATGATATCCTGGAGGTTTTATTTTCGAGTCATGGCCTGGTTGGTCATGGCACCATTTGCTACTTGGCTAGAAAAGATGACGAAGAGTACATCATCAAGGACCACTGGGTCCTTGGGAATGCAGACGACGAAGATATCTTAAATGAGGTTGCTATGTTGAAGAAGATGCAGGGTGTCCATGGTGTCCCAGAACTTGTAGAATTCAGCAAGGTTAAGCTGTCGACTGGTGAGGTCAACAACACGAAGATTTACTGATATCAAGAGCTACCCAGCTTAGTCGGCACTTGATGCACTCATTTTCGGCTCGTCATGAAGCCCCAGGGGCGACCTTTGCATAAATTTCGAACAAAGGTGGAATTTATTCAAGCTATATGCGACATTGTGGCCAGTAAGCATCCCTCCTTCGTGATATACATGTTGATACTAACCAGCGATTGTTCTCCCAGTTCAACAGGAAGCGCATCAATGGGGTATCTTGCATCGTGATTGCAGCCTCCACAATGTGATGATCGAGGATGCCAACGGTAATAGCCTTGGAATGTTGATCGACTGGGAATTCGCTGTAACTATCACACCAGAGAATACATACACTATCGGTGGAACAGTAAGTGGATCATTGATCCAGGAGTAAATTCACTGACTCAACTTGCAGGGCACAATTCTGTTCATGTTGCAGCGGCTCCTGCAGCAAGTGAAGAAGATCTTGGTCTCCGACACTGCAAAAAAAGGGGCGTCGTCATCGTCACCTTTGGCAATCGAATTCGTCAAGCAAGACTATTCGGATGATCTCAAATCACTATTTTACGTCTTTTCTTGGATCTGCATTGAGTACAGCGGCCCTCTTGGCATAGAACACCATTTGAACCCTTCGAAAGCATGGCTTCCGCATGCGTGGAGCAACCGGAATATTGGGGGATGCTTTGAGAACAAGGTCGTGTTTTACACAGTGGGTGAGGGCGAAGCTGCACTCCAAGCGCAGTTTGATGGCTACTTCAAGGATCTTATTCCGCTTGCACTGGAGTGGATGGACCTCCTGAGGCTCAATTTTCCAGTTCAGATCGGCAGTGTCGATGGCCAGGTTCTCCACTGACCCATTGAATTTGATGCACTGCTCAAGATCCTGGACAAACATATCACCAAACTTCTTAAGGGCGAGCCTGAGCTGGCCCCTGAATGGTTGCTCCGTAAGAGGTTGGTAGATAAGCATAAGCAGGATGTGCATGCATCAGGAGAGATCATGAAGGTAAAGGAAATGGACTGCACCACAGTGAAGAAGCGCAGTCTGAATGACAAGTGGACTGTCGAACCTGTGAAGAGGAACAAGACATCAAACTCGGGGTAGCTAGGCTGGTTTTGTCGTCAATCTTGATTTCATTCATGTACACAGTAGTATATGGTTTTCGCTCGCGAAGTGTTTACGTTTTTGCATTGTAGTATTCATTACATGTTTTACCCCTTCTTGCCATCAACTCAGAAGTAGTGACTCATCGCAGCTGTTCCCACAAATGTGTATGTAGTATTACTAATGTTACAACATTGAGCTCGTTCTCCTCACGTGATCCTCCATTCGACTATATTCCTGCAGGAATGCGGTCACTTACACTGCCGGTCAAGTCATACTGCCTATGAGTGTGACATGTTGCTCGGTTGAGTCAAATCCCTTAAGAGTTGAGTGTATTTTGTCTGGGTCTTGTCGCTTATATCCCTTCTGGTGTTCCTACCCTTTGTCAGTCTCAATCATGCCTCCTCATCCCCGAGCTACATCTAGCCCCAAAAGGATGAAGGCAAAGTGCAAAGTTGCGGAATCTGGTATCCCAGCGCTCACTGGGCAAGGAAAGAAGGTGCGGACAGCAGATGAAGTTGGTTTGGTGTCGCTGCAGCTATCTTCCGATGTCAATGCTCTCCCCATTCGTCGTTCTGGTCATCCTGGTGCAGGTACAGGAGGAAGGAATGCTCAACTAGAGAAAGTTGGCGCAGCTCTGGTGGCCCCAATGCGGACAAGCCAACCTAAGGGCTCCATGACCCTCACACTGAATATCTCAGCATACCCTCTTGCTCCAGAATCACGTCGAAAGGGCCGTGGCAGCCGTCCATAGGTAAGCTCAATTTTTTATCTGTGCAGTTGGGGCTGATGTTAAATGTTTAGAAGCCTCCTCTGCCATATAGCGTCTCAAACGGTATGGGCTCTACCATCACGAGTTCCTGTCAGAAGGGGAAAAAAGCCAAGGTGAGGCATTTTTTCTTTATCCATTCCTGGTGATACAATGGTCAATCATTCAAATAGACATCTTCTGTCCCTGACCCGCAAGCCGAACTGGTGAGGAACATCATATCATATTTAAATCAAGCATTCATTTTTACTTCAGGACATCACCCGCAGCGAGTCAAGCTATCAATCATTGCAACCAGGTTTATCACTTTGTGAAATGGGCAGACACTTCGGATTTCAAATGCCTCAAGGCAGCCCACCAATCGTGCCACCTGGAACAGAGCCAGATCTGCAAGCGCTTAACAATTCTTATGTAGTGATCATGATGGCCAAGAAAGACGCTAAGTATCGTGCCTGCAGCGCTGTTCAAAGCCTTGCTGGAGGCCATCAGTCTTCTTCTAGTGAGCCAGCCAATGATGATCTTCTATGATCAGTGCCACCTTCAGCCACCTTAAACTTACTTTCACATCCTTCATTCACTGTGTGCATTGTTCCAACTCTTTCCGAGAACTATTTGGACCCGTCCCTATGAACAGTCGGCTCTGAACCTGGGACTAACCTTTCATTGCAACAATCTGATTCCGAAGATTCGGATACTTCAGGCTCTGGTGAAAGTGGCACAGGTGACAAAGACAATGACTATTCTACTGACAGTGATAATGCTGGTGAAAGGGAGTTTGGTTGGGCTGAGGTTGGTGAGCGCCATCGTGTACACCCAGGTAAATGCCATCTTTGCATATGATGGTCACCATGGTCACCCTGATTATTTTGTAGGTTTTTCTCGGGAACCAGAACCTTCCCCGGTCCATGTTACTTCCACTCTTGCTCCTGACTTCGACTTTCAATACTCCCGCGACGAAGATGACATGAACACCAAGCAAACATTAGCTTTTGACAAACCATCAAGTAATGAGATTGCCTCAGAGGGTGCTCGACGTGTCCCCGAAGTCTCTGAACTTGAACTCGGTGGTTCTCAGGTGCGACACCAGTCTACCAATGAAACTCAAGGTATTCAGGAACCTGACGGCTCTCAGGTATGATGTCCTGTCTGGTGGCATATCCCCAAGCACTCAACAACTACTTCATTTCCAGCCTGCAGATGTAGCTGACAACCTTTTAAATCGGCATCCTAAGAAGAACAGGCGACCCCGTCTTCCCAACCCTGCTTCCCTAGAACTCTTATGCCATGCGGTCATGACAAAGGATCCGAAGAATGACAAGGGTCCAGTCAACACTGCAGCAACCAGCTAAAGCCAAATGTTCACCTGATGGGCCGAAGCCTACACAGCTGGCGTTCTACCCAGCCCGCTGGAAGAGTTTCCTCGAGGACGCAAAAGAAGAGTGTCATACCCAGCATGCACTAGAGAACCCATTCCCAGCTTGAGTTAAAGACTCGCCAGGCTCTGTCTCTGAGGCCCTTTAAGCTGTTCTTTACCAGTGGGATACAGCCGGTAAACAATTTGAACCTGGTAAGCTTTGGTCTACTCCAGTGCATGTGTATCTGACCCAAGTACCAGATTATTGGCCTATTCACAAGCCCGATATGGCGAAACTCGTAAGTATATCATCACCGGTCTTTTTGTTCGCTATTCTCTCATACTTCCTGTCATCCAGTTATATGAAGATCTCTCGACTTGGCGCTCTGAGCTCAAGAAGAATGTCACTGTGATTGCCTCAATCATGCCTGGCCTCGTCCCCCCGTCAAATATCCCACCTCAAGAACGTGCTTCATGGGTGGAAGGTGCGGCTACTGAGTTAAAGGTGGGCTCAAAGTTTCTACGCGACGGTATGGACGAACAGGTTTGCTGCCTGTATAATTTTATGAGTATCTAAATAACAAGGTGCTGCAGGGAAAAACACGAAACTTTGCCAACCCTGCGCTCTGCGACGCTGTCATCATGTTCATGTACACTGGACCGTATAGAATCGCTCGAAGACATCCAGACATTTTCAGCAAGCAGTTGCCTTTGTCATGCTTGGCTTTGGTCTCTGCTGTGGTATTTTATTATTATTATTTTCACATTCAATGACAAACTAACTTGTTTCATAGTTCGTTTGCGTTCTCAACAGCCTCGCAAAAAATGGAAATGGCAAATCATCCCTGAAATTCACCACCAAGGAATATCGCCCAACCTACACATCTGCGCTAAAGTTGCTCCAAAACATCATGGAACATCCTTATCATGGTCCCAAGTTGGTCGAGCAGCTCCAATCATGGGCTGAGGCTGGATGGCAAGGATATGCTCTCGTTTCTAACAAGTCTAGCACGCTAACTGTATTCATGCAGGGCAGCATCTTGCAAAGTTGATGGCAATGAAATGTCTCACCACGTTGATATTGAGATCGTGCTTGATTGAGGTCGCTCGTTTCCCCCTGCTTGTAGCTCGCTTATGGTTTCTACCTATTGTGTTATCGCATGATGTACTGCACTGCTATCTGTTATCTAATCAATATATGCTGGATATGAATTGAATTTTTGTCTGTTCATGTCCAGTGAGACTGGAAACCCACAGAGGATTTTGTCTGGTATCTCAAGACACAGGTAATTTCTGAGTACAGCAGTGTGCTCTGTAGAGTTTTGTACAGAACCCCACAGAAGAAGAAGCCTCTGTGCAAGCCTGTAAAGTTGGGACCAAGCTGTGTGCCTTGTAGGCTGTCTGGCACTGTCCAGAGTGAACTGATTTGCTGATGCATTTACATATGTCTATGTTCCTAGCTCGAAGTGTGAGATCAGGGAAGACAGGAGAATGACATTGCAATTAATGACAGGTGCAAGAGCAACATGTGCAAACAGAAAGAAACTACACTAGCTGTTAAGACCATGCTCATGGGTGAGACGGAGTCTGAGGGGCTCAGCTTCAGCTCATACACTGCGCCCCTTACCTGAGTATGTGCCCCTAATTTTGGATTGTAGTCTGACTCGAGTTCTACAAGCTCTGACAGGATGTCGGAGCGGAGGTCCTCCGAAGGAGGACCGACAGACTACTAGATAAGCGCAGGAACATCAGGCGGAGATTGGTCCGCCCTACAGGGGAGAGTCGGAGGGCTACTGCAGTCGGAGCTAACAGTAGGAATGGAGCGGGGGAGACTGCTCAGACAAAGTCCAAAGCAGAATGGAAACACAGAAGATAGAGGTACAAGAGGATTGGCCACAAGTCCGATGCATGGGAAAGGCGGTGGAAGGCATGGGAAGTCGGATGAGCGGAGGAGGCAGCCGACCTAGGGGGTCAATCCCCTAGGCTGGCAAACAGGAGTTGTCAAGGGTTTTGCCCAAGAACAAAGACAAGAGAGCAGGGCTTAGAAAAGGTAATATTCAGACTAAGGATCTACAGACAGATGTACATATGTTTATATACTCTAAGTAAGTAGCATAGCATAGCAGAAGGCTATGTGCTGAGTGTACAGGATTACAAGAGAGATGACTGAGACATACGAGAAGAGGCTCGGAGAATAGTATGTACACGACGGATCAGAAATCACTCGGGTATAGGGATTACCGGTGATCCGAAAAGCGGAACTATGATACTAAACGGAGATAGGACCAGTTGAGTGGTTCCTAGTCTAGGAGTGGACCAGTGAGGTGGTCAAGCGGACTAATTGTCGGGTGGGGCAACATGAGCAGAACTGAAGGAACCAAGCAGGTTGGAAAAGCGGAGGGAGTACAAATAGGATCGGGCAGACCAATAGTGTTAAGACCGTGCTCAGGGGTAAAGCAGAGTCTGAGGGGCTTGGCTTCAGCTCGTGTGCTGCGCCCCTTACCCGAGTATGTGCCCCTAATTTTGGATTGTAGTCCGACTCAAATTCTATGGGTTCCGACAGGACATTGGAACAGGGGTCCTCTGAAGGAGGACCGACAGACTACTAGGTGAGCGCGGGAAAGTCAGGCAGGGGTTGTTCCGCCCGACAGGAGGGAAGTGGAAGACTACTGTGGTCAGAACCAACAGTAGGAGCGGAGCGGAAGGAACTGCTTGGACAAAGTCCGAAGCAGAGCGGAACGGAGGGGACGGATGTGAGAGTGTGGGGTCTAGTTCCGATGCATGGGGAGTTGGAGGAACGGAGGAACGGAGGAACACCTCCAGAGGCGCTCCAACTGTTGAATTGTCATTTGAATCCTTGCTGTAGATACTATAATTTATTTATTTATTCAAATATCACAAATCATAAATTATATTTTGCTGCCCCAATTGCCCTACACCCTGAATGCACTGTCCTCCTGGGTCCCTACAATGGCAAAAAAAGGCTACTGACAAAGCTGAGAAAGCACCCAAGGTACCAAAGAAGAAGGTCAAGTCAAAGGCTACTAAAGTCAAAGTCAAAACCAAGCAAAAGGCCAGCAAAAACAACGGACATAACAGTGGCAGTGAGCTTGACCACAGCAAGGACGGTGTAGGGAGTATCCCTACACTAGGCTCGTATCCACTGTTTTTCCGTCCATCTGGCGTCCATCCGCATCCTATCCATTCCATCCGATACTCATCCACTTTTCGGATGACATGCAGATACCTTCGGATCTCCTCCTATAGCTCACGCATCCGCTGCATCCGTCCTGTCCACATCCATTCTACCTCATTGGTACATACTCACACGCATTTTCTTGTTACTGACTGAACACAGACATATCCTCTCACACTCCAGTATTTTTCGGATAGCTTATGGCACGGTCTAGACTCGCTACCTATATCTCTATGTTCCTTGAAAATACTGTACCCTATAAGCATGGAGGTTTTCAAAAAATACTTACTTCATGTAACTTCCTCCCACTTTTCCTGCACCCTACCAGAAGATTGCTTTGACCTATACCCACTATCCATCTAACCTTTAATGAACTCCCTTTGACTTTGATTCGCATCCCGTCCGATCCGCAAGTGCCATCCGCTCCATCCGACAAATCTGTACGTTTCGCATCCTATCTGTTTCATCCGCTTTTGCGGATCCTTCATTCTATAGGGTCGCTTTAGACAGAGACTAGTGTTTCCCCAGTAGCAATCCCCTTAAGGGTCGAACGTGCTTGTTTCCAAGTGAGGCAGCAGGCAGCAAAGACCCAACTGTGTAGTAGATTGACTTCTCTCCGCTTCACTTGTTGTACCCACAACAGTCAGCCCGAAGACAAGGCAGACATTGAGTATGTCCCTTTGCTGTTTGTCATTCCCTTGCTGCTTACAGGTCACACAGCTGGACACCAACTATGAGTGCTGCCCTCCTATCTGCCATCACAGATGACCCAGACATCAAGCAAGGGCTTTTTCCATCTCCTGGCACAAATCCAAGGGCAGGCGGCAAGACAAAGGCCACATACCACTGGGCACTATGTGTCATCCTCTTCAAAGAACATCCAGACTACAAATCTGCATTTTTGTGAGCCACGACACTGAAACAGAAGGCGACCTGGGCTAATAAGATCAAAAATTGAATCAAAAGGTGAGCATATCATATCATCATAGCAAATAGCAAGTAGTACTGACCATATCATTTCAGAATGTCCAAGATCACACGAAAGTATATGGACGAGATGGGTGAGACTGGTGCAGGTATAACACGAGAGGACAAGATCAACATGGATGTAAAAAATTCATTCACAACAAAATGGGGTCTGTACCTTCACGTGATACATCCATACACTGTTGAACATGTTTTCCTCCAGCAATAATCAAAGAAGCATGCCCTTGGTTCTTTGAAATGTACGAGCTTATAGCTGAGTGTCCAAATCAAGTTCCAGTGGGTCTTGGGCACAGCCAGATCGATTTTGACATGTCAGTCATGATCGCTGATGCATCAGAACCAACCAGCGGGTTTACATCTGACAACATAGCCCAAGAAAATTCGCCAGAAGTTAGTGAGGGTGTTGATGAGCTTGAAAATGATGATTTGCTGTCAGATTTGGGGAGTGCTGGACTTGCAGAAGCTGATGATGCACCCTTGAAGCAAAAGGCATCTACAGAAAGACAAGGCAAGAGCAGTTTGCCTTCAAAAACAGGCCCCCAACATACAGCATCAAAGCCTGTCACCAGAGCACCCAAGAACCCAGCAAAGAGGCAGAAGAAGGATGAATTTACAGAGATTGCACAGGCTGAAGCTAAGCCCCTCCATAACCTCCTTCCTACCCATTAGGCATTGTTCTGACACCATGGTACTTTGGACCAATGGTTGTAGTCTCATGCTCCACAGGTGGCTCATATCACCTCACAGAAGTTGACGGCTCAGTTTCCAAACTGAAGTTTGCAGCTTTCCAGATTATCCCTTATCACCCACACTCTCCCACCTCACTCAAAGTCACACAGTTTATCAACCCTCAAACCCTTGAAGGTGTTGACAACGAACAAAACTAGATGCATTGTTTATTTTCTATTTCTCTACCTAATCTGCATTTCTACTCTCTATTATACAGTACTTTTTTAGTTCATTTGTTGGAAGATCAACCAGGGACAGTCGATATTCAAAGTAGGGAGGTGATGTAAGGACATTGTGTCCTTTATGCACCAACCACACTTCAAAATGAAGATGCACAAACCATGCAGTCAAAGTCGTCCATGTGACTCATTGATGCGAAGAGCACAACTCTTTGCATCCAAGTTACATGGATACATTCTCCTATATCTCCTTTCATCTCTTTTGCATTATCTTACCTACTACTCACACTTCACTATACCTTTCTTTGACACAGTACTTTCACTCTTCCATATCCTCTACACACTGATTCCAGCCTAGTCAACCACTCAAAAACCTATATATACCACTCATGTCCTCTCATATCTACTAGTGAATTCTATACTAGATTCCCCACTCCAAGCACAACCAAAAGCCTCACAGCAAGTCTCCATCCCATACATTTACTATCTCATCTCTACTTTGTTTCATTACCTTTCCCCTTTGAACTCACTAACAGCCTTACATATGACACTGACCAGAAAAGATAACAGAACACATAGAGTGTATTTATATATTATATTATACATATATACACCAAAATACTACTTAGATACAAGGGGGGACCTATTGTGGTGTAGTGGTGAAGCTGCAGTGAGGTGGGGAGGTTGTGGGAATAATGTGGGGAGGCCAAGAGCAATCTATTGTGGAGAGATTCCCATGGTAGGTGGCCAAAAAAGTGATAATTAGGGGTGTGAGATTATTATGGGGATGTCTTGACAGCATCCTCCACTGATATATCAGCCCTACAGATTATAGGTGCTATGGATTACAGTAATTAATGTATTGCAGTTTTACTATAAGTTATAGGTATTTATAGGTATTTAATGTATCATTATCACAGTATGGCCTGGCATCGCCAGGTCTCCCATCATGCCATGATGTCGATAGAAGCAGTACTGGGCTGAGCATAGGCATACATTTTTGTGTCATTGAAAATGGCCAAAAATTGTGTGGGAAAATTCAAACAACACCGGTTTTAGAGGTAATTTGGCCCTCTGAATCCATTCCTGCACTTAATTTGGCGCCAAAAGATTATCCAGAGCCAAAAACAAAATTGGTGAGTTTGCTTGTCCGCAACTGTATACTACTATAGGCCTACTATCTCTGGCCCAGCCTAGTTGCAAAACTTTTTGATGTTCACGTGATAGCTCAACAACAACACAACATTTAAAAACGGCGACAACAGGGGGATGTAGGATTCAGTCCAGGCTTCAGCACTATGTAAAACACATTTGCAAATTTTGTTGAGGCTACATTGCCAGAGAGAAGCCAGCGTAAATGGTGTTTGAGCACAGAGTTGCAAAATTTCTCACCTGCATAGAATTGATCATGTCACACTGTGTCACACTGCCATTTTTACTCTCCGATGCCGTCAAGTGTTGATTGAATGAAGTAGGGCATTGGATGCCGAGCGGAGCTTGATGACTCTGACCACCAAATCATTCCTCCTGTCACGCCCTGTGTCTCGACAGTACAAAATTTGTGTCGCACAACACAGCTTGGTTTTTGTGTCGGAAAAAATTAGAGCAGTGTTAGAAGGTAATGAGGAATCATGCGTAAAATTCCTGATTTTTTTTGGTCAATGCGATGGCTTCCCTGTGATGGATTGGCGTGGAAAGTACACTTTCTGAGCAGTGTTTTACTCCCGCAAGCACTTCTCGTCCATTTTTTGTGAAATAAAAAATACAGACAGTGAGCTATGCATTGATCATCCTTCAGAATCATTGTGCAAAGAAAATGAGCGAAAGATCAGTGTGCTACATCGCATTTTGCAACTCTGGGCCAAAGATAGTACTAGGTAAGTCGAGTGGCGCACGTCAAAACTCTTCTCAAGCTCTCAATTTGGGACGTAGGAAAGCCATTCAATTCTGGTATTTCCGTCACGACGAACAACTCGAAGACAACCGAACAAGATCAAGAAGTGTTAGACTTATAAAAATGCTATGAGTGATGTTATCGCCGGCAATGGCCGCTGCGTCTTACACTTCTCATTCATGATCTAAATTTAAATTAATAAAGGTTCTATCTCTCTTGAGGCGACAATCAACCACAGACGTCGACTGTCGATTGAGGTGCCATCATTATAATGATCAGCTGAGGTCAACCACTTCGAAGGTCATGGAATAAACTCAATACCCTTTTGCGAATGATTGTTGACAGACACTACAGTGATCCCTGTAGTCACTATGTGCGTGAGTACGAGTGACGTGCTGCGCGGTGCCCACCGTCCTGTTCTTGGTATTACCCTGCCACCATTCGGTTGCCAAGCCCCAGCAAAAAACCGCACAGAACCCTCCTCCACAATCTGTGGGAGTCGGGATGCTTAAAAGGCTTCTGTGCTGGCTTAGAGTGGATAACGCATTTGTAACAGATATGTATAGATTAGCATGGCTATCCAGCGTTCGCTGTGTACTTGGCCTGCGGGGTATATAGTCATTCCTTTACTGGCCAAATGAGCTCAAGCCTTCAGTCATCATTGAAATGTCTTCCTCAACGGAGGACCCCATCTCACAAATCGACCTCGGGAACACGTTTGGGGCACTCTTTATTGGGGCCATCCTTGCAGCAGTGTCAGTAAATTGACTGTCTCCTCATAACGCGCGCTTCACCGAGTTCTATCGTTCTAACGTATCTCACGGAATAGTCTCTTTGGTCTAAGTAATGTTCAAGTTTTCCTCTACTTTCAGACGCACGGGAGCACTGGTATAACATTCCATAAGTTGGTTGTACGTCCATACTTCCTTTTTGTCAGTTCAGTTTTTGACGCTGCTCGCGAGTTAGGTCATCTGGCTTTGGTATGTATCCCTTCGAGTTGCCATCATCGAGCGCGTCCAGATTACGCCGTCCCTTGAACTTATAGGATATTCGATGCTCTGCACCTGGCCTTGATCATCCATTCTATCTATTATTATTTGGTGATCAACTATGCGAACATCAGTGCACTTACAGAAATTGTATGGAGCTTTAAAGTGGGTTCCTACCTTTGTGATCTGTGCGGCGTCTATCATGATACTGATGGGCTCATGCAGTTGCAGATAGTCATCGATGTAAGTTGTATTTCCTACGCTCTGCGATCCGCCTCACACATACACCACAGGTTATACTCATCTATGGGGCACACGTGTAAGTTCGATGTGTGCTATTATATACAACTTGAAGTTTCAAATAATGCATGATTGGTCCGCAGTATGTATGCTTATCGCATATGGATAGGTACGTGCTCCCCTAACAATGGGTTTCCACGACTAATGCAATGAACCCAGTCAGCAAGGGCCGATCAAGAACTCTCCCTACCATAGTGGTGGGTTTGAAATACAATGATGACATTCGATTCTTACGATCCAATATTAGTGTGTAATCGTGGTACTGGTTTCAGGTGGGTCTGTCACCTGGAAATGTTCTTCGCTCGATCTTGAAAATTCCTCCAGGCCCTGGCATCGGTGAGGGTTCAATGGTACTCTTGTTTTTGGTTCATCTTTTTTTACCTCACGATAGCCGCTGCTTGGAGCATGTGAGTGAGCCAGCATTCTCCATGAGTTTACAAAGTGTGCTGATAGCGAGTAGATATCAGTGCCATGTGTTCACAGATTTGCTTAGAATCGAGTGGGCAACATTTATGGCTCTCGGAACGATTACTTGCGTCGATCTCATTGTCGCATCATCACTATGCTATCTCCTCGCTGCCTCTCGTACTGGATTCTCCAAGTAAGGAGTAGTCCGTTTAACTGTCAGGATTTGATACACTAAATGGAGTACTTCAGCACCGATTCTTTCATAACAAAGCTCATGGCCTACACGATTAATACCGGCTGTCTGACGAGGTATTCCTCCTTCCAGACTATTTCATATATTAACTCATATTTCATGCAGTCTATTTTCATTGACAACTATGATTACAGTAAGCTTCTAATGATCATACTGTCCGTGTTGTCTCTGAGGGCCACCTGCAGTGCGCAGTGATGCCGCGCAACTTCGTCTTTCTCGGTCTTGAATTTTTAGTGACTAAATGTATGACCAAAGTATTCTCCGAAAAATCATGCTGACGACTGATCCCTTTTCAAGTATATGTCAACTCGTTCCTCGCACTCCTGAACGCGCCATACTACTTGCAGGCTGGCGCGAACACTACCAATTCTTCCGAATTTCATATGCGCCCCCGCCCGGAACTGCACATTAAGACGTCGCAAGACGGGGAACTCCAGGCATCTCGGAAGAACATGTTTCGATTTTTCGGCGATGAAGTGGTGCATTCTACTCGATCTGTCAAGGTTGGTAGTTGTGTTACTGATGGTGGAAAAGGACTGAATAACCCGCTTTAGCCACAGCAGCCGATTGAGGTGGCCGTGGAGATGGATTCTTTCTCGTCAGCGTGATGGATCAGTACTACTTAGTGCATGTGGATCATCGTCCGTTCGTCTCTTCACGAGATAGGACTTGGGGACTTCTTCTTTAATGTTGTGGGGAACGAGAGAAATTTAGTCCACTACACTTGTATTTTGTTGGTTTAGTATATAGTGATCGCTACCTATATTACCATAGACTCGTGCAATGCTTCGCAGCCGACTATTTCGTCCGTGACTCTGCACATTTCGCCTGTGCATCACAGCTCTCGAGAGCACTGACGCGGGACATGCCATTTTACTGTACAAAATATTGAACTTGGTTCGGTTTGTGGCTACCTTGATGTAGGTTGTATGTTCATACTGAACTTTGTCTTTCCTCAAAGCTTTTTCTGGTTGCAGACGCCTTCTTGGTCCGTGACGAACGTTCCAACGTTCACTCCAACCACTCGTCACGCAAGACAAAGCGATTGTCAAGCAAGATGATCACATCAAGAATCCCGCTCAGGCTATCGTCGATATCTCACTCGTTCGCTGCCAGTAAGTACTACTACCGTATACTATAGACTTTACTTTATTTCACCACCACTCCATTGCTTCATCGACCCACACCAGTGACCAGTCGTATCGAAGAGCATTGGTATGCATGGGTCACCGTCAACAGAGGCTTGCGATGGAAATGTTGTAGAAATCCCACTGCGTTCTTTTCCATCCCGTGATTCTCGCCCTCGTAATAGTGTAGCGTACACATTGAAAGGTGTAGTTCTGCGTCCCACGGTGTTCCCATGTTCATTATCGCGGCGCTGATGCCTATGCAGGCTAGTGTGAATTGTAACTAAAAATTTCTTCTGTTTTGAATCTGCCTCATTGATGCCAGTTATTTCGGTAGGTCTACATATAAGCAGGCCATTCCCTCGGACTCGAGAACATCAAGATGGTACATTACCGTTATCAACTTGGGTGTCGCGATAAATGTTTAATCCTTGTTCTACCGTTGTAGGCTGTGCTTCAACGTAAAAGGTATGCTCCCAGCCTATCAGCAAGTGACTATAATTCATAGAATCATCACAGTATTGCTCTACTATCATATTGATCATCGGGCTTGTACAGCTTCGGAAAGTAATCTCCGTAAGTAGTATTTCTTAAACTGTGATCCACAACTCCGGCGGGTTAATACCTTGTTCTGCATCGGTGCGTGTTGTACAAATTACACGACACACAGAACTCACTATTGCATGAAGCATGCGATGATGTACTACGCACTACACAGGTTCTCATCATCTATGGGGATCATCTGTAAGTTCATCTGCAGCGTTATATGCAACACAAGCCTCACTGTCCTAATCTGTATGTTCATCGCATATAGATAGGTATGCATTCCCCTGTCAATAGATTTTCCTCGACTTATGCGAGGAACCTAGTCAGTAAGGGCCGCTCCTATGACAGCGGTAAGTTCAGCTTGTAATCCTAGGCCCAGGTAAGTCCGTCATCTGGAATGCTCTTCGGAGTCTTCGCTCGATCTTTGGAAATACCTCCAGATGTTTCCACCGATGAGAGTTCAATGATAATCTTGTTATTGGTTATCATTTTCACATCACGATAATCGTTACTCGGACATGTGAGTGAGACAGCATACCCTGACTCTACGAAGTGCTGATAGCGAGGAGATATCAGAGCCACGTGTCCACGGATTTTATTGGACTTGAATGGTCATTATGCATGTATTTTGGCACGATTGCTTCTATCGATATTGTTATCACATCACCGCTATGTTATCTCCTTGCTACTTCCGGTACTGGATTCTCGTGGTAAGCTGCAGTCCGTTTACTGTCGCGGTCCCAACGCACTCAGCACGGATTCCTTTATAACAAAGCTCATAGCTTACACTATTAATACCGGCTGTCTGACGAGGCATTCCTTTCCAGCCCACCTATTAACCTGGCGACCTGTTCACGCAGGTCATGCAACGCCACCAGTCGTCAATGTTCCTTTCGCACAGGGTCGGGAGCGCAATGCTGCGGCGGGTGTTCCCCGCAATTTGGCCGATGGCTACATACGTGATGAAGACTGGGTATCGATCAATTCGCAACAGCAGCGAAATATGACACGGGTCAGGGAGAACATGAGAGCGGCCGGTATTTCTGCTTCTCTGGGTTTTTCGTGGGCTTTCGCTGGGTATTTCAGTTCCCATGTTGTCGCCCTTATTATGATATCAGCATTAGTATTAGTTCATTTTCGAGCCATTGATTCGGATGATCTAAATCTACACACGACCCCTTCTCCTTTGACGTCCGCATCGTCATTGCCACTCACGAGGTTGATAATCTCGCCTTGCGAATTCATACCACTGAATTATCATCCCTCCAGTGGACACTTTTTCCGAGTTCAAGACGAAGTCATTGTGCATACTGTCGTCGCCACACCATTGTGTTTCTGGTAGTGGTTTTTCAGGGGTTTTCAGTATATCGCGATATGGAGTCTTAGCGACTCCTCCTTGCATCCTCCTGAACATATGAAATTATGTTAACTTGTTCATGGCCAGACGCACTAATACTCCCTAGTACTCCCTAGTTACTCCGAGCGACCCTGTATCCTTGTTTGGTCGGGTTTGGCAATATCCACCACTTCTTGAGCACATCGTCAATGGTATCGACGGAGCCAACGTACGAACCAGAGGTTGACGCTGGGTTCACCGATGAAGAATATCAGAAAGACCAGGATGCTTCAGACGCACAAGCTCAAATCATCGCATCCCTCCGTTCCCAAGTAACTGATCTCTTCTCGCAAGTCACCGAGCTCAATGGCAAGCTCGTCAAATCCTACGACCGTGTCTCCGACATAGAAGATCAGCTGCACGTCTCTGAAAACTCTCTACGTAATGCGAGCATTACCGTCTCATCACTCGAGCTTGAGCGCACCCACCATCTCGCTGCGCTCAATACAGGGCTGCTCGTCGAGAAAGAACATGTCACTGCAGAACTGAACAGACTCATGGAACGTGCGACAGAGGAGGCTGCACAGCGCGGACAGGCAGAGACAGCCAAGAGTGACATCGAGAAGGAGCTTGATGATCTCAGTGCAACTCTGTTTCTTCAGGCAAACACAATGGTCGCAGAAGCACGATTGGGGCGGGCCAGGAGCGAACGCAAGGTGGCCGAGGCGGAGGAGGCGTTGAGAGGAGCTGAGGAAGCCGTCAAAGTTATGCAGACCCAGATGCAAGCCCTGCAGGCTGAAAAAGAGGCTGCTGAGCGTCAGGCGGCGGAGGCGCGACTTAGCATGGGGAAGGGCAAGTGGATCGAGCGGGACGCGCAGCTGGTTGAACAGCATCCGGCAGACGTCCGAAAAATGCGCTTGGTAACCGTGCATGTTCCCTACGCCGAGTTCATTGCGTTCGTAACACACCTTCGAGGACTAAGGGTTTCACAGGCTACTTCGCCCGCTATTTCCACACTTCTGGGCCTACCCTTCCTCGCACGGTTGCTCACGGAGGATTCGTAAGTGACTCACGCGTCTTGCTCTTCAATGCATCTGTTTATCATGGTTCAGAGAACCGACTGTACGGCTAGACTTGGCTCCCTCATTAAACTGGCTCTCCCGGCGGTCGGTCCTGACAGCGATCCACGCAGGGATGCTCATTCTTGAGCCAGTACCGTTCTCGTCGCTTGTACAGGAGCTGTACCCCCACTCACAGACAAACATACCCGTAACCATTTCATGTGCGCTTTGCGGGACGGTGATCGTACGTGCGCAGACGCACGAAATACCCCCGAGCCACCCGCTTGCATCCCTCGCGCGCAGCCGCAGCAGTGGCCGCCTCACGAACGGCAACCTTTGGTTCAAGAATCCACTCTCCAATTCCTCATCAAATCATGTGGGACATGATACAGATATTGAGTACCCTGAGCAAGTGTACGTATTTCGTCTTGCACCTGCAACCCCTGCCCCAGCTGTCGCGCCCACCTCTTTACCGCTTCACACCTCTGCGCTTTCTACCTCTGCGTTTCCCGTCTCCAGGCCACCAGCGCACCCCACTGGGGCAACCCGCACGAGCGCCATTCAAACACAACAACCCTATCCATTGTGCACATCTAATTACTGCCTGCTGCGCCTCCGCAGTACTTGTTCGCTCTGGGCTTTTGTCCGCACGTGCGTCGTCGAGCGTATATGGGAGGAGGAACTTGTTATACCCGATAAGAAGCCCGCGATTCCAGATGTCAATGGCATGGAGAATACTCAAGAATCAAATAAGAACTCTTTTTCCGCTTTGAATGCTCCTGCACCCCTAGCGAGTGAGAAGCCACCTGTTCCACCTCGTCGCCGACGACTTTGGGAGATGGCAAGTGCGCTTGGGGAGAGGGCTGTCAGTTGGACAGAAACTTCAAAGGAAAAGGACAAGGAAAAAGACAAAGGCGAGGGAACTACAAGGAAACTTCCACCAGCACCTCTAGCCCATCCTTCTGTTCCCCATCCACATGCCCAAGTCCCTCCGCTGCCCAAAAGAAGTGGAGAGCGTGACCATTCAATAGACACCCCTGCCACCGTAAACGATGCTGACAAGAACGCCGGTTCTGAAGCTGAAACATCCAATTCTCAAGAATCGTTCACAACCCCCGTTGATGAAATGACCTTTGCCCGCCCCGCTCCGTTCAGAGAGTCGTTTTCCTCAGATCTCCCGTCTCCGCAAACACAAACCCAGGCGCCAGCTTCGCAGCCAGAGCGCCCGCCCTCCCCTCATACCATTCCCCTACCAGAGACACCTACGTCACCTGCATTCCGTGCCACATCGCCTCCTCCGCGCCCACGCTCTCGTGTGGCCTCACCAGCTCCCTTGCCCTCACGCGTCTCTTCGCCGGTACCACAACGCCCTATTACACCTCTTGCCCCCAGTCGATCGAGAGCCGGCTCCCCAGCACCCCCGCGAACGGGCTCTCCGTTCACGCCCTCCAGGACCGCTTCGCCTGCACCATATGGTGCTCCGCCAGTCCCCAGGCGAGCTCCTGCACGAAGGGCAGTTCCTGTACCTCCTACCGCTGCACAGACTGAGGCAAAGGAGGGAATCCCGATGCCTTCACCTGAAGTCAGCAAAGATGATAAGTTAACAAACGCCGCGAAGGAAGAAGAAAAATCATCTCCTGTTCCTAAACAGAAAGTTGTGGTGTGTGAGGACAGTGCTGTAGAGTCCTCTACGACCAAACCTGAAACCTTCGAAAAACCCAACCCCTTACCTGACACGAGCCTGAACGGAAATCCTTCTCCCGAAAATCAGGTGTCCGTGGATGCGTCTTCCCATACCGCCGTCAACCCATCCTCCGAAGCTAGCCAAACCAGGAGTCTTTCCGAAGGTTCCAGCACACGAGAGACATCTATCGACACAAACTGTACGAAGCGCTCGTCTACTACAGATGGGGAAGGCTACGCTGGTGACGCGACTTGGGAGGACCGTACGTGGAAAGAGATCATACGTTTGAAGGAAGAGATGTTCTGGGCGCGCGTTGGAGGTGTGCGGTAGACTCGCATCGTTTGGATGCAAGATGGCGTGCCCGCTGCTCATCTATTTCGCGGTAAGATGTATTTTGTGTATACCCCATATGTGCATGTTGTTGTAGTTGTTGTTGTTGTTGTTGGATTTAATGTGGACCAACCGTTTCATCATCGTCACTGTGATATGTCATGCGTTCATGACAATACATAGCGCAATGATTGCATGTCCCATACACGTGCCATGGTATCTTGTCATTTTCATGTTCTATCGTATAGTTTCGGCACGGAGCACATGAATGCGCAGCCTTTAAGACGTGGCAGGGACAAAGAAGCACAGATTACCCCTCGATTGATACTTTTAAACGTCAAGTCGTCGACGTTGTTGCTGAGGAGATGATATCATGTATGATGTGGTACCTTGTGGTATCGGATTCGGAACAAATATACTTACTATCGAACGGATTCGCCTGGGTCAGATACTATACAACAAGCGAGTACTTGTCTGTCTGTCTTAGGCTCGAGAGTCGGGACTCGGAACCAACCTGGTCACCATGCTCGAGACGTAGACTAGTAGTACTCGGCGTAACATCACGAGGCTGGCTAGGAGTCGATGCTAGTGACCTCGAAACTATCTCTTCTCGCCCTCGAAACCATCAACTGATATGCGTCCGCAGCACTTCGCATTTTTGTATTGTGCATACTGTTAGGGAGCACTAAATTATTTTCGCGAAAGAGCCCAGGCCCCAGAGCGATAAATACAACACAAACTCCTATAGGGCTCGGACCGACAAAGGAGCAGATAGAGAACACAACAAGTATTGTGAATCTATATAGGTATCGCCATAGCAAAGGCCAAGTTTCATGTCGTAAGTAGTTGACAACGAACTGGTTGTCTTGGTGCCAATCAAGAGGTATTCGACAGTTTTGACCCTAAAATATACTTTTACAGGAATTTATTGTCCTTGATTTGCACGAAATAGTAGGATTTGCTTCCGTTTTCTTATTGTTCACTACAAAACTTGGAATTAGAACCTCCACAACATAAAGATTATACTTTGTGCCTCGCTTATAGTTCTCTTGTTCCCCATCCCTTGTTCACCTCCACGCTCCCTCCTTCTCCCATATACCTTCTCTAGATGCCTGAAAACGCTCAGCAGGCTCCAGCTGCAGCTGCAGCATCTTCCAAGTCAAAAAACGGTCATGCTACATCCCAAGCTCCGCCTGCACCGAGGAAAGTTAGATTCAACGTCGGTATGTACAAATACTCACTTATTATGTATTTGATTTCACAAGATACGTTGGTCAATAGGTACTCAGTATCAGGTGCTCGATGTCGTTGGCGAGGGCGCGTACGGTATCGTCTGTTCAGCCGTTCACCGACCCAGTGGCCGTAAGGTTGCAATCAAGAAGATCGCACCTTTCGATCACTCTATGTTCTGCTTACGGACACTGCGAGAACTAAAACTCCTGAAATTTCTCAGTGAAGCTGGAGTAAGCGAGAACGTGAGCGCGTCTTGGAATTCGTTGTTCATACGTGTTACTCACTCAGAACTTTGAAGATCATTTCAATTTTGGACATCATCAAGCCTCCATCCATAGACGCATTCAAGGAAGTGTACTGTGCGTACAAAATGCGTTGCGTAACTCAATTCCCATTCAAACTTTTGTATAGTGATCCAGGAGCTGATGGAAACAGACATGCACCGCGTGATCCGAACGCAAGACCTCTCTGATGACCATGCTCAATATTTCATTTATCAAACGTTGCGCGCACTCAAAGCATTGCACTCTGCTGATGTTATCCACCGTGATCTCAAACCTTCAAATCTCCTTCTTAATGCCAACTGTGATCTCAAGGTCTGCGATTTTGGGCTCGCACGATCAGTAAAGACCGCCGAACCATCAGGCACAGAGACCGGTTTTATGACCGAATATGTCGCTACGCGGTGGTACCGAGCCCCTGAGATTATGCTTACGTTCAAGCAGTATACCAAAGCAATTGACGTCTGGTCTGTGGGCTGCATCTTGGCTGAGATGCTCTCCGGAAAGCCTCTGTTCCCCGGTAGAGATTACCACCATCAGCTCACTTTAATCTTGGATGTTCTCGGCACACCAACGCTGGACGAGTTTTACGCCATCACCACACGTAGATCGCGAGATTATATTCGCGCTCTTCCTTTCCGCAAACGCCGGCCATTTGCGCAAATCTTCCCCAATGCCAATCCTTTGGCTGTAGACTTCCTGACGAAGACTCTCGTAAGTCATGATCTTCTGATCTGTTCGAGTCGTTGCTTACACATTCTCTTCTAGACGTTTGATCCCAAGAAGCGGATAACAGTCGAAGAGGCTTTGGCTCATCCATATCTTGAGGCATATGTACGTGCATTTCTTATTTCTGGAGCGCATGAGCTTACCTGTGATTCAGCATGATCCCGATGATGAACCTGTTGCACCACCGCTCGATCCGGAGTTCTTCGAATTTGACCGTGAGTAATTGTTTTTCACAAGCATGCATGTGTATTTATCGTATTTGGCAGTGCACAAGGACGATATCAGCCGTGAACAGCTCAAAGAGCTCCTTTACGAGGAGATTATGTCCTTCCGCCCCGCCCCGATCACGTAACAAACGATCGCAACCACTTATTGTCCATAAATCAGAGGATCCAGTGCTGAGTATCAAATCAATTGCGGGATAGAAAATGTACGAATGTTCTTTGGTTTCTTCTAGCTGCTAGCCGTGTACCGCTTTGGTGTAGACAGTACTCATTCAATGTTTTGGTGTATCTTTACAAACGGCAGTTCACGAACACGGATCTTGTAATTATTCGTCCTACAATTTGTCGCCGCGTCACCCAATATCCAATCTATGCTATTGTTTGCTCTATGAGCGCATATACAGACGGACATCGTTGCTGGGCGCCAATAGACACGCAAAAGAGGTCAGTATAGATATGTTCTTAAGATACGTATGTAAAATTACCGGAGAAGTGCTCTATTTTGACATCTGCTCAAGATCGAAGCGATTGGTGGAAAAACACAATATATTGAAGTCTTCGTTGCTGTGAAACTTCTAGCATGGTTGCTGCTATCGTTAAAAAGACAAAATGTACAGGCGATACCAGGGCTCGAACCTGGGTTTCGGGAACTCAGCACTAATCAGAATCCCGAGTGATAACCGCTACACTATATCGCCTTGGACATTTGTCATAACCGCTGCAACATGATGTTGCCGTCGAAGCGAAGTTACTGATTAACTTCAAATAGATCAACCATTATCATTACAAATCCAAAGCCCTCTATGCGCCTCCTATCTCTATCATATTTCAATGATAAAAACCACTATATGAGGCCTCTCATACATGATCTCGATTATCCGCAGCATGCAGCATGAACTTTCTGAAGTAAGTCAGCTGCACGGCAATTCACTTGCGACGGGAACAGTGCCTACACTGTATATCAGCATTTACAGTCCGCCCACTCCACAAGTGATCCTACATCCGTGTCTGCGCGATCATTGATGGCAAGATTCAGGCGCTTGACGAGGATCAATACCAGTGTTCGACTATGGATGTTTGACAACCTCGTCATCAACCGCCACTTCCCCCGAGCCCCTCCTTATCATTCAGCCAGTCGCCTCCAATGTTAACGTGTTAACGAGCAATTGCAACGGGATTTAGAGGAAAGAGGACAGATACTGCACGAGAATTGCAGCACTTCTTGATGCTGAACGCACAGCTGATATTGTTCGCTTTTGGACGAGTCTCTCGTAAGTACGTGCGCTGTTCAGTTGTTTTTTTTACCTGTTTTTTTGGAATCAATGGCATATCCGTATACAAAAAGAGCACATTCCCGCTGCTTTTTCGTATCGCAATGGATGTCCTTCCTGCGCAAGCTTCACCAGCAAAGAGACGTGCACACTTCGGCGTGCTAATCTATCATCATCGGTCCTCGAGGCACTACAAATCCTCAAGTTCTCTTACAAGCAAGACCAGCTGAATTCCACATCGGATTTTATTGCTGAAGAAGTGGATAGTATTTCGGGACCTGTGACTAGGAATGCCATAAACAAGCTCGTGGCAGCAAGCAAGCTCGATGCACTCAGCAATTTGCGAATAAGAATGAGGATTAGTACTTAGTCTCTTGGATTATATCGTAAGGCTATAGCTACATTAAGGCTATAGCTACATTTGGTCAATTTACTATTTCTGCCAACTGTCCCGCCCATTAAGCCGACTTCGCGACGTGGAACGAAGCGCACTTCGACTTCCTTCGTCCACGTCGAAGTGTACCGAAGTGTATCTAATTTCCACTTCGATTCGCTTCAGTTCGCTTCGCGGCAACACTAGCAACATGTACCGAGTCGCATCCCAGGTTCAGTGGCGCCATCGAGGGGGTGATTGAATCCGTCAGAAAGCAGCTTTTCGAACCTATCGCGCCTCCTCGTCATCCCTAATTATCGCTAATACCACTAGGCATTCAGCGACCCGATTTAGCAGTGAATCATGATGCAACCTGTATTCAAATGATCCGGACTCACGGCAGCTCTAACAGGTTCTGCCAGCTGGCTCGATAATGATCTCCATATAAGCACTTAGCAAGCACTGCAGGAGATCCGAAAGCGCAGCGGGGCAGCTTGTTGAGGACTTCCCCGTGCGCCCGTGCCTTGCAGACAATGATCGCCTTATGGGAATTATTTCTCCGACGGGGCAGGTTATTCGCGTGAGACTCCATCTGTCATGGGTCATGCTAAGCGCTGATGTTATTTTGAATTCACTGCTGTTAAACCTCATGCCTGTCCACCTGATTGGGTTATTCCAATATCAACGTGTGGAGTCGTTCGGGTATCTTGAACCTCTTCTCCTCTTACTTCTGGCCGATTTTGCTTCTCAGTTCGCGAGCGCTCAGGCTGCATCTTGAATATTGAAGGTGAAGTAGCCGAGATTCTTTGCTACTAGAGTCTACTCCGCTCGAGTCGGTCCACCATGCTTGACGAAGAAAAGCGCGTATCTTCCGACGAAAAGGAAACCCAGTCGAGAAGCGACGTCGTCGATCATAAATCCGCTGTTACGTCCGAGGAAGAGAAGAGGCTTGTGCGCAAGCTTGATCGTAGGATTTTGCCCATAACATGCTTGCTTTATCTCTTTGCTTGTGGGTCAAAATCTACCAATGCGAGCCGGCTAGCATGTTGTACTAACGATGAATTAGATCTTGATCGCACGAATCTTGGAAATGCACGCCTTCAGGGACTCGCACAGGAGAACCTTAATGGCGATCCTACTGGTACACTGTTCGATTGGGTCAACTCGGCATTCTTCTTTTCGTATGTGAGTAACACAAGCCATTCCTTTGTCCTAGTTGTCATCTATTGCCTCCCAGATTCTCTGCCTAGTGCCTGCAACGATAACCTCAAAGTTATTTCCACCATCTTATTGGATGGCAGCCGCAGCCGTTGGGTGGGGTATCTGTTCCACGTTGATGGTGAGTCATACTGCCATTCCTCTTCATGTGTACAGTTCGTTCTCGATTTCTTGGCTATCGGGAAATCCATGTCACTTTCTTGTTCGTAAAAGATTCTTGCGTGACGTGTATATCGTTAACAGCTCATCATCGCGGCCAATGTCTGCCGTAAATGCAGCTCATGACTTGACGTATGTTATCAGTGTCCCAGAACTTTCCATTCGATCTGTCGATCCGTCTTATTCGCATATCAATTAGACCTCGCGGACTACCCGATTTGAATATCCATCACAGGGATATTTTATATGTTTTCATCCACCAATTCTTTTGCAGCCTTCTTGTCTCCTTTCATTTATATTAGCGAATCTTGATCCCGAACCGCTGCTAATTATGCATGGCACTTATCCTGCAGGCAACGACATTCAACTTCGGAAGTCTCATTGCGGCCCGCGTTGGGCTTGGCGTCTTTGAAGCTGGCTTCGGCCCTGCAATTCCACTTTATTTCTGTAAGTCAAACATCATGCAATAGACCTGTGGAGAAACATCACTCCTAACACAACCATCCAAGCGTTCTTTTACACTCGCACCGAAATGGGCTTGCGCATGGCATACTGGTTTGGCTTTGCGGCGGTCGCGGGTGCGTTCGGTGGGCTCATTGCGTTCGGCGTGCAGCAAGTGGGGTACGGTCCGTACATCGCGGGCACCGGGGGAGAGTGGGACTGGAAAGTGCTGTTCCTTATTGAGGTTCGTATCTGGTTTACGCGTTTTTTTTTGACGAGTGATGTTCAGAATCTTGATGCGCTCGCATTTATGTGGCTGGTCTCTGAGAGGTGTCGGAGGATCGGTATCGTAATACCGATCCTCCGGGCAAAGCATGCAATGTTCGTTTTGCTAGCCTCTCGCACTGCACTTTATCCTTAAGATACAGGCATGCGAGTGGTACTATCTAGTGCTGTTCCGCGAGGAATGCCCTGAAACACCCATCAGGGGTATTTTAAGCCCCATGCATGATTTATATGTGCTCTTGTCCCATGTAATGTGGGAAGTCACTGTTTGCTAATAATTTACTTATTTTCAGGGAATTCCAGCTTTTCTTCTCGGTATTCTGACTTTCTTCGTGCTGCCTGACCGACCAGAGAGCACGAGATATTTTAATGCGAGAGAAAGAGAAATTGCAATGGAACGCATGAACAGGGGTACGAGCGCAGATGTTGGCGCTGTGATCAATAAAGGCGAGTCATTTCCCTATCCTCGCACTACGCAACGAGGGCTTATCGACCTGTCATACTCTAGAACACATCATCACAGCTCTCCTCGATTGGCGGATATACACCGGCGGAATTATCTACTTTGGTGTGAACTGTGCTCTGGCGAGCATTTCGGCATTTTTGCCCACCATTATTAAGACTTTTGGGTATAGTGCGTATCATGTTTGCGGTCTGATGAACGTTTTATTCACTGATATTATGACTTTTCTTTTCAGCCAACGCTCTCGCTCAGTTACTCACAGTCCCGCCGTATGCAGTGGCTGCTATTGTCCTCTGTATGACGTCCTACACATCCGATCGCATGCAGAACCGTGGCCTAGCGGTTGCGAGTGCCTGTGCTGTTGGTACTATTGGTGAGTGGCACCTGGTCTTGTGATATTCAAATATCTCATGTACCATTTCAGGCTATCTCCTTTTGCTCACAGTCCCTGAAAACGTCCATGTGCGATACTTTGCCGTGTTCTGCATCACGAGCGGGACATACACTGCCATTGGTGTGATCATTGCATGGTGTACGCTCTTCATCACTCAACTACGCTTCTCCCGACAAAACTAATACTTCAATAGACGCACACAATCTCGGCTCTGAGACTAAGAAGGCGACGGGCATCCCGATGTTCATGGCCATTGGGCAATGCGGGAGTATCCTCGGCTCGCACATATACCCTTCGACGGACGGCCCGAAGTACATGTGCGTCCTACCCTCTCTACTTGCCTTGTGTCAGCATGTGTTGATTTATTACATTTTTACAGTCGCGGCTTCGCTATATCATGTGGCCTTGAGGCGTTTTCCACTATCTGCGCGCTAGTGCTCTGGGTGTCGTACATGTACGAGAACGCGAAACGCGATCGCGAATGTGGGCGTCCGGACCCGGGTGCGACGGTGGATACAAGTGAATTGGCGGATAAGGTCAATGTCGTCTCTCCTCGAATGTAAGGTTGCTGACGCCTTCTACAGGCACCTATGTTCAGGTACATACCTTAGTGAAGAGGAACGTCCAAATTTGCAGAAGTGTGAGACGGAAAACAATGTGTTAAGTGCCAATCTCTCGTTACACACCACACCACTATTTGAAACATGTATGTACGCCCTCCTGGAAACAATGCGCGTAAAAAGCAGGTAGATCTACCAATAACTTGTACTTCGGAACATAAACTGTTCGTGACGTCTACAAGCCCCCAGTTATTTTTGATACGCCATAGGTTGCATGTGAACATCAAGTCCGCGGGAAGCTTGAGGTGCGAGAGGTGAACGCTGAACAATTTTGAACACAGTTGAATATCCGGTAGAAAACATATTAGACTACTACGATAGTAAAGAAACTGAGGAAAATGAGATGAAGATATAGAGCAAGGAAAATACAGAGCAGAGAGGATAGAGATATATGGAGAAAGAGAAGGAAAATGAGACGATACAAGGAGAGAGAGAGAGAGAAACTGATAGAGAGAGTGGGGAGAAGGGAAAAAAAGAGGGAGAGATAGAGAGATAGAGAGATGATACAGAGCAGAGAAAAAAAGATGAATCATAGAGATAGGAGAAACAGAGAGAGAAAGGAAACAAATACTGAGGCTCTAAAGGGAGGGGGGGAAGGGAGGGTTGTGTCGTGGTGTGCGGTTTCCGCGCTCAAGTACGCGGAGTACCAAGAGACAGGTTTCAAGCCTTGTTCCGTGCAAGGCCTATGGAACATTCGAATCAGTGGCACATCCAAAGAAAGTACGAAAATACGTACTCTTGAAGGGAGGAACCGGAAGAGAGTCGTCGTCGAGGAAGGACATCGAGTCCAACGAGGGCATCGTCCCACACAAGTCGTCGAGCGATGAAAGCTGCACAGCAGCGTCCAAAACTTTCATTGGGGGAAGAGTTTGACCTGAAACTCCCTGACGCTTGATACTTCGAGTCTTATCCCGGCCAAGACCTGCGGAAGAATCAAATCAGGGACACGTCCAGAAAAGCGTAGGAATACATACTTTTGAAGGGAGGGACCGGAAAAGCGTCATCGTCGAGGAAGGACATCGAGTCCAACGAGGGCAGCGGTCCGCGGAGGTCGTCCAGCGATAAAAGCTGCACAGCAACATCCAAAGCTTCCACTGACGATAACGAGCAAAGAGGTTGACCCGCAATCTCGTGATACTCGTCAAGCCAGGACATCGAGTCTAATGAAGGCAATGGATCACGCAGATCGCCCAGCGAGTGGAGCTGCACAGCAGCATTCAGCGCATCCAAGGATGACGACGACGACAGGGGTTGACTAGCAACGCCGTCCAATCCGCCAGTCAGCCAAGACATCGAGTCCAAAGAAGGTAGTGGATCGCGCAGGTCGCCCAGCGAGTGAAGCTGCACAGCAGCATCCAGCGCATCCAAGGATGATGCCGATGACAGGGCTTGACTGGCAACGCCCTGCGATGTTTCGTCTGGCCGGGACGTCGAGTCCGGGGCATGCGATGTGGTGGCGGGAGTAACTGGCGACGAGGACGGAGGCAACACCTGGTTGGTACCTAAGGAATAGATGGATCAGGACGAAAGAAAGTGGGGTAAGAAGATGAGCACTGACGAGGTTTCAGCACTTTGCCCTTGGCGGCGGCGGCTCTCTTCTTGAGAGAAGCACTAGGCTCCTTCACATTGCCCTTGACGACATTGCCGCTCTTCTCGAGAGGAGCTCTAGGCTCCTGCACTTTGGCCTTGGTGGCAATGCCGCTCTTCTTGAGAGTCGCGGACTCTCTGCGGGCAGGGTTGTTAGAAGACGCGCCTATGCCTGTCTCATTTGAGAATCGTGAACTGTCATAGCGAGAACCTCCTCACCTTTGGATGCGGGGGTCTTCAAGACCCCTGCTTTAGGCGCAGATGACACCTTCGTGACAGATATCGCAATCTTTGAGCTCGGCAGGACCTTAGGAACCGAAGACTTGACAGTAACCGGACGTCTGGCGGAATCAACCGTCGTAGGGGTTTTCGGGGTGGTGGGCTTAGTAGGTACTCCAGCTGCCCTTGAGCTGATTGGCGCGGATTTCTCTGCGAGAGTGTGTCAGTTGAATACAACGTCGTATGATGAACGAGAAGACATACGGATATAAATTGATTCACGATCAATGAACCGAAACGGTGGGGTAAAAGTTGAAATACCTGATCGTTGCTTCTTCGGCAATGTGCTCGGTGGCGTTGGGAGATTTTGATGAGAGTTAGGACGTACTTGCTCTGGCAGGGGGTTGGTATCGGCAAACGTGACACTTCGTACCGGCTTGGAGTTGCAAACAACGTCCTGAGGTGAAGCAGGCGGTTTGGCCTGAGATAACGCGACTTCCAGAGTCGATATCCTCGTGTGATATAGGGATAGTGTCTTCGGGATGTCCTTGCGAAGGTCGGCGACGTCGCTCTCCATTCGCATCTGATCCTTGACTTGACAGATGAGTTGGCCATGCAGCCGTCCGTGGAAGGCATCGAGTTCCTTGCGAAGGTCAGCAACGTCATTCTCCGCTCGTAATTGATCTTTGACTTGACGGGCGAGTTGTCCGTGCAAACGTCCGTGGAAGGCGTCCAGGTCCTTATCGCCTCGCGAGATGCGAGAAGTAAGCTTTTCGAGATTCTTCTTGATATCTATCGAGAGTTCACGTTCCTCGTGGAGTTGTTTGCTGAGGTAGTCGATCTGGCGTTGCTGATCAGCGACGAGGCTGGCGAATTTTGTAGTCTCGTGAGCAAGTTTCCGTTCGTGGCAATGCGACTGATCCTTAACGGAATCGAGATCTTGCTTGACGAGCTCCATTGCGGCGTGGAGGTTCGTCGTTTCCAGGTCGGTGGCCTGCTCGAGGGTCACGAACGAGGAGGAAAGAACATCGACGACGGAAGAGATATGTAGGAGTTGATGTGCGAGTATCGCAATTTGGCTTATGAGCATGATGAGAAGCTCGATAATACCGTACGAGGATGAAGGCGGAGAAGGAGAAGTGTCGAGCGTAGTATTATCTTCATTCGTCGCTGATGCTGAGCTGGAAAAATCCTCGGGAAGGGCGTGAGGGGTGTCGGAATCAGAATCAGAGAGGGGAAAGGCCGTAAGGTTGCACGATGCTGGATGTACGATACCAGAAGCGGCAGAGTACTTCGGGTCCCGCATAGCTGCGAGGACCAAGACGAAAGGAAGGGCCTTGGCGTAATCGAGCATGATAGCAGCGTGAAGTAGATGATGCGCGACGTCGAAAAGCTGGAGGATGGCGTACGACGTAGAAGAGCAAGGAAGAAGCGCAAGATGAATTGAATTGCTCACCTGCGCTGATTTTATACCCTGGCAGGGGCTTGCAATGAAATACCAGTAAGTCTAAGACCTCGTAAAGCGGACCAACCGACGATTCAGAATTCTGAACTGTCGGTCAGTCCGTTTTACAAGATACAGATTGCAGCTAATCGAGAATAGTGATTCTGCGACATCACTACCGAACAGCTGCGTCATCTGAAGTCAGACTCAGATTCTTGGCGGTTGGTCTGCTCGATGAACATTGAAATTCAAATTGATTCAAATTGTACCGCGCCCTCGCTGACTAAGCGCGCCTCGATGCGTGGGAGACTTATCCCAAAATCGTAAAAATCCATTAACAAAGGTCATCGACGCTCTCAAGCCAACCAAGTTCTGCTTTTGTGCAAGTCATGGCTGACGCAGGTGCGTTTTATTTACTGAGTGCTTCAGGTCCTGCTCACCGTCTGGAATATTTAATAGGATTCTTCAAAGGCACTTCTGCCGACCAAGACCGTCGCTTCTCTGACAAAGAAATGAAGTTGTTGAAGTCAATGAAATTTCCACCAGAGTTTGATAAAAAGGTGTGCCACCCCAAGTCTGGTCCTGTTAATGTAGTTCTTATCCCGTTCTCCAGGTAGACCTCAAAAAAGTAAATCTCAATGTCATACGCCCATGGATCGCCAAAAAGGTCACAGAACTCGTCGGCTTTGAAGATGAAGTGGTCGTCGAGTATGCAATGGGTCTCCTCGACGACCCAAATCACACTGTAGGTATTGTTACCTGTCCAAGAATTTTTCGTATTTATTATATTTTCCGTTAGACTCCAGACCCAAAGAAAATGCAAATAAACCTGACAGGTTTCCTCACTTCGTCGACGGCCTCGTTCATGCACGCTCTCTGGTCTCTACTACTCGAGGCTCAGGAGCATCCCGCAGGCGTGCCACAGACGTTCGTGGAGGAGAAGAAAGAAGAAATGCGCAAAGCTCGCGAGGGCGATGTGCGTGCCATAGGTGAGAGAGACAGGAGGGCCCGTCTCGACGAGATAAGAGACCATGAAAGAGGTGAACGTGCAGGCCGCGGACGCGGAAGAGGAAGGGGCAGAGGGAGAGGCGGACTCGAGGGTGGTGGCCGAGGCAGAGATAACGGCTGGGGTGGACGCGGTGGCGGTGTAAGTTCACTCACTGCTGTTTTGAAATTCTCTCTCATATGACGTGTCAATAGCGTCCAGGCCGCAGACCCTCTCGCAGTCCACCGCCCCATCGCAGGCGCTCCCCGTCCCCGAACTCCCCATTTGACGCAAGGAGTTCTCGATCCCCACCTCCTTCCCTCAGACGTTCCCGCTCTCCGAGGCGTTCCAGATCCCGCAGTCCCGTTTACCGCCGAAGCTCCCCTCCTCCTCGTAGATCTCGGACGCGCTCACCTCCCCCTCGTCGTCGACGCTCCTTGACGCCTTCTCCCACGCCGCCGCCGACGTTCGCCTTCGGTCGACTCCCGATCTTTGTCACCCCCGCCACCGAGGAGACGTAGACGGTCTCCCAGTTACTCCCGCTCACCACCACGGAGATATGGACGTGAAAGAAATAGCAGAAGCCCCCCGCCTCAGCGTCGTAAGCTATCGCACTCTCCCTCTGTCGCTTCAAGTCAGTCGCGGTCCCCGCCGAGATACGGCCGTCGCAGAAGTCCGAGTCTTCGTAGGCGAGGCAGTGTCTCTCGCTCGCCCGTAAGGCGACGGAATAATCGCGATGAAGCTGGTGATGGAGGAAAGGGAAAGCGTCCTGCGAGGCGTAGTTCTTCGCCCTCGCGTATGGATGTTGATAGGCCGAGAATGTCTGACGATTCCCTTCCGCAAAATGCCAAAGGTGAACTGAAAATTAAGGGTCAAGCAAGGCGAAATAAGTGGGATATTGCGGACAAGGATGACGTACGTTTTGCCTTACTTGATTGCTTCTACCCAGACACTCATAGTGACTTTCAGGACAGGGAAGGCTTAGATAATGCTGACCTAGAAAAACGAGAGAAAGAACTGAAGGAACGAGCGTTGAGAAATAAGGTGGTCAGGACCCGTAAAGGAAGCAGCGGTGCTGGCGGTTCAGCCTAACAGACCCTCATCCGTTATTGCGATACGAAGCGCCTCTTCGCGGGCAAGTGCCATCTCGTATCATTTTCTTTTTGCTGTGTTTGAGTTTCGATGTACTAAATTCCTTATGCATCTAGTGTGTCCTATGTTTCATTGTGCAACGACGCTTGTTCGTATTCTCCGATAAAATATATTCTGCTGCCAGCGTCAAGTCCGCTCTAAGCCTCGCCGCGTATCCTCTCTAACTTTCGGTCTTTTGAGCCCAGAGCTCTATAGTTTAGGATCACTCCGCCAGTTAGTCTCCGAGTTGCACTTGCATGTGTCAGAGGCCGTCCCTGATCTGAGCGCTAGTTACGGGAGGAGCACTGTTTCAAAGACTTGCAATAATCACCAAACAGTATTGGAACAGTATCGTTCTATTCTTCCACCCAGCATACTATCAGAGGAAACGTTAATGTTAGCTCAAAGTATCCCGGCCGTCTCGCACATGTGATGTCCCTTCGCGTATTTAATTTGAAGCGGACCGGTGGCGGAAATGAATATGACGTAGTATCCCGATGACGGAGCCTTGGAAATTTTGTGAACAGAAGAAGACCAGTTATATGTGATCACACTGTTATATCGAACATTATTAATTGTCCAGTTAGTTTTGCTGAACTGAGTCTGCGAGCGGGCGTAGAGAATAGCGGTTGCGCGAGCTCGGGAGAGTCTGCGACACAAAACCGAGTTATATTTCAAACGTGCGCGACTCGATCGTGCGAACCGCGCAGCTCAAGCAGGTCTAGCGAGACCTACGGGCTAAAAGGCTAGGAGGTAGCGTGATTGGAGTGTCTTGCTACATCGAACATTCATCCAATGATCAAGAGATTTATAAGGTCGGGTGTATATGTACTATAATGTGATACAATGTGATACAGTAAGATGCTATGCTACAGACAAGACGTAAGATGAGTCAGGAACGTGTGGAGAACGTGCAGAGCGACTGGGGACCTACCAGTGGCCGAGTGTAACTTCGGCTCTATCAAAACCAATTTCAACCCAGTGCTCCGCTCCATCAATTGTAGGAAACCCTTCACTAAGACCCTGGAAGCCCACGCGGTCGTACACTTTCTTGGCGTGATTATCGACGCCGACGTACAAGACAACTTGCTCGTGCGTCTTCAGCAACCTGGTCAAGAAAAAGTTAGCATCGTGTTGCAATATCATAGTCGCTATTACGTACTCTCTGCAAACACGGCGAACCAATCTCTCGGCACGGCCCTTACCCCTCCAGATGTCTGGCGTGTAGACCTTCGTGATGGCCGCAACGGTTGTTGAGTCCCGTGTCACAGCGACAATGCTCGCAATGTCGGTTTCATCATTGGACTCTCGGACCTCGTATACCCAGGCTTGATTGTTGTCAATCAAGAGCGCAGCTTCTTGGGAGGCTTGTTCGGGGGTGAGGACGAATGGATCCTATAGATTCTCGTTCATTAATGCTTGTTTGAGGGAATGGTGAAGCAGACGTACCGAAGTCCCGGAAATTTTTCACAAAGTACAGCAATCTTGTCGGCATCCTGTGAGATAGCTCGACGCAGCTCGATCACCTCATCCTCTGTGGGAGGGGCAGCGCGGATCAATGTCTCGCGGGAACACGTCATGAAAATTGCATCATAATATGGTTTCGGGATGCAATTGATCTGTGTGAGCGTCTTCCATGCGCTAGCGAACGCTTCGGCGACTGGTTTCACAGAAAAGACAGAGAATACTCTCTGCTTCCTGGAGTGAGCTCCGTCTAGAAGCGCCTTGCAAAACGCCTCCATAGCGCTTTGAAGGAGCTCGGGGGTCAATTCAGCGATGGGAGCTGTGGGAACGATGAAAATAGGGTATTTGCCCTGTGGTCCCTCTGTGCAGGATAGGATCAATTTGATGTTGGAAGTTCCAGGCTTCGAGTAGACAAGCCAAAGCTGCTCAGAACCGGGTAAGGAGTCTTGGTCATCGAAAACCTTTTTGGCGTGTGGAAGGATAACATTTGCGCGAGCAGCATTGTCACGTAGAGTTTCCCAGACATCATCTGGGATTTCAGTGCGATCAAAGCGCCGAATAGATGGGAGCAAGTCAGACATATCTTAGGCGAGGATTCTGAGGCTGGAAGAGCAGCTGAGTATGAAGGAGTGGATTCTTGAGCTTTATATCCATAGCTGCACCTACCAGACTACGTTGTGACTTTATCTTAGCGTTGTGATATTCAGACAGAACACAGGGTGGCTTAGGGAGCCAGAGAACGTGAAAACGTATCGCCCCGTACGAGAAGTATATGGGGACACAAAAATGCAACAAAAACGTAATGTAGAGAATGGAAATCTCACCTTTGGTCATCCTGTTCGAAGAGGGGATGGCTCGACATTCCAGCATTCCCCGAACGATACTTGCGGTGACTCCGGTTATGAATAGACGTCAATTATTCATAAGACAAACAACGTTGATGGATAGTATCCAGGGATTCCCCAGTGGCAGTTTGCCATCCTGTGGCGGCGCGTGAAGAGACCCTGCAAGTCTCGTGCAACGTTATGAATTATTCTGGTATACAATGTATCAATGACGACGCTTCCAACGTATCTCAACGTGCTTACATGCGTGCAAAGGAGTCATAGGAGACTTAAGTCCACTTTCAAGACTGCTCAAGCGACGAACGGTAAACGTGCTTACCCTGGTCATTTATGACATGATAAGTACAATAAACCTACAGCTCGTGTTGTGTTCGATCGCCGTGCTCGTACCAAAAAAACCTTCGCGAGGAAGATCGGGAGAACGTCAATTGTCGCGAACGCACTTCATGGAACCGCAGATCAGACAAACAACTCTGGCCTCTTGCAAGGCAATGCCTTGGAGCGCTTTCCCTAAAAGGTATTTAGCACAGCCCGCAACTTCTCCCCGTCGTACCCGCGAGTGACTAGTCCGACCCAGCAGCTGTGGATATGAGAGCCTTGTCATATGTGGCTGGGTTCCATTGGCCATTAATGAATCATTCCCTGACGATGGAAGAGATGGCAAGGTGGCAGATATTTGAATTTGAAGCGGTAAACGGGGGAAGACAAAACCCGACAAGTCCAGTAGATTACAATGCGGATTAGGTTGTGGGGGGCAGTGCCAACGTGGTCGCAACCGAATACAGGATAGCGTCCACAGGATACCCACTAATTAGCAGGGTATTGACGTTGCATTCCAGGGTGCAAATACTTTTGAGCGGAACGTCTCCCGTTCTAAGTTTAGCTCGAATGGCTTCGCGGGGCGTATACGGATCTCACCCCTATGCAAGAGCATTGAGCGAGTATCCATTCCGTTTGAGGTACATCGGACTCTTCTCCTGCTCCAGTGGTTTCCTTGTATCTGCTGCGGCATGTACGAAATACCGTTGCACAGTGTCACCTACGTGATGTGATTCAGAATTGAACCATGAGATTTGATACTGGATAATGGCGGCAACGTACAATAAAATCCCGTGAATTTTGGTGATCCAGCGCTTTTATAATTACGTCGTACCCAGCATGTAAGTAGAGGCATCCCTGTCAAACTTGAAACTCGAGTCTGGACTCTGGCTGCAGCGGATTCGGATTACTTGCACTGTGAAGCTTATTTGGCAATGCCCTGCGATTTACACAAGGCCAAACTTGGGCCAAACAATGCTGAGTTACCCTCCCCAAGCCAGATCTTGAAATAAGGAAGACAGATCCTTCTTTTTCAAGTCCAAGTCCCACATGTCCGATAAAGCAGCTCGGAGCCACTCCCATATGTCCAATCGGGCAAAGGCACGGATCACCATAGAACGAAAAGACGTTTTCAAGAGTGTCCTTGAAAACCCTTTCCGAATTCAATGGTTATTTTGATTTGCCGTAACTTAAAACGCGTCTAAAATCTTCAGCTAGGCCCTCAATCCCGCAAAATGCGCAAAATTTATTCCTCGCGAAACTTATAGCCGCATTGGAAAGTACAGTCAAGCGCGGAGGTCAGAAATCTGCAAAGGCAGACGCTAGGAAAGCTCTCGCCCGATCGCAAACTGCTGATGTGGTGGAAGGAATAATCCCGAGTTCTGAGTCAATGGTATGCTCAAAAAGCTTTGCATGTGCCGATGGTTCTACTCCTTTGCCACCTCCGGCCGTTAATAATCTTGAAAACCTTGTGCCGCCTTCTGGCTACATGACCATTGGCATCAACGAAGTAACAAGGAGACTTGAATCGCAGCTGAAGTCTCTCCGACATTGTGTTACACTCAATACCGCGTCTCATGCAAATCCAATTTCCCCCGACATTTCCTCCATTGCTATCGTCTTTGTATGCCGTGCTGATGTCAATCCTCCAATCTTATTGGATCATATCCCTCACCTTGTGGCCGGATGCAACTCTACACGCCCTGGATCCAGTCATCTAAGAGCTCGACAGCCCCTGAAACTCGTCATCTTACCAAAGGGCTCAGAGGCCGCACTTGCGCAGGCGCTGGGTCTGAGACGAGCAGCCGTAATAGCCGTTCATGTAAGCATCTCAGATGTCCGAATCCTTACTTCTGACGGCTTCGATCAGGATAATTCCCCGTGTTTACCATTCTTTTGTGACTTGCTTCAATCTGTGCCTGTAATCAGTGCACCTTGGCTTGTGCCTCCTGTCCAGCCCAATCCTCCGAAATGCTTGATTCCCACTCATATCAAACAACTGCGCACCACTGCACCGAAAGATATGAAAGCTGCAAAAGATCAAAGGGCAAAGGCAAGAGCTGCAGCTAAGAAGGATAGTGCAAAGCCCAGGCCTAAGAAACGTGTCGTCCTTACAACAGCAAGATCAGACGCATGATGAGCCCTCGGTAACGTTCGGTGAGTATTTACGATTCGGCATTCATACGATTAATGTGACATACGACAGTCGTTGATTAGATTCACCGCCCTACTATTTGAGTCTGATATCGATTTTAGATACCACCTCTGCTGCCGCATCGTTCGACTACCTCGAGGCTTAGAGATGGCTATCGTTAATCAAATATTCATACGGTGAACCATCATATTCGTTTTGATAACACCTTCTACTTTGTCTTGTGTGTATATCGTGCCCCGATGTTTATTGCTATCATCGGTTTGCGTTTTGGGGGTATCCATCTGGTCAGCCGGCGTGGTCATTGAGTTGAAAATAAGCTAGTCTGACGAACACAGCGACTCTCGAAGACTTCGTGTGAGATCTTGATGGCGAAGGGTTCGGCGACAGAAACCAGCTCATCAGAGGCAGTCTAGGCCAGCGGGGTTTCACTGCGCCGCGCAAGCCTGCAGGTCAAACTCGAAATTGCATTGCAGAACTCCACTGAGTCTCAAATATTACGGGTAGTACAGATCGCCCTCTCACAGGTCAGCGTTCTGGTCGTATGAAGCGCCGTACTGGTCGATGAATATCGTGTTGTTGCCACAAGAGCGAAGTCAGAGACGATGTCTTTCCACGTACACAAATATTATTGCTGGTGTATGCCTTCCGCGTACGTTAATCAACAATTACAGGTGCCGTTGTGTTTAGGCCGTGAGAGCAATGTGTTTTTTAAAAATTCACGAGTCAGACCTGGCATTCTCGTTGACGATTACTACCTCACGGACCATGGAACCCATCTTTGATAAAGCCTCCAGTCAGAAGTTGCACGATCCATCGGAAGGGAATCCAAAAGGGATGCACTTTCCATGTTACCATTACGTGCCTAGATGTTGTCATGTTAGGAGCGACCATGGCACAGTGCTTAAGAAGGAACGACTATCTTCATTCGTCTATCATATATGGTCTGCCTAGGGGAGATTACTGATACACGAGAACCGTGAATTCAACAAGGAACGCCACTCACAACGCGGAGTCAACAGCCTCTTGCCCACCAAACCTTATCACATTCCTTTTACACCAGTCATTCAGACGTTCAGGCAAAAAGAACTCACCAAGGAATAGTTTACAGCGTCGACGTGCTGGTGGGATTTTAGTTCCTCCTCAAACTAGATCATTTTCGATGTTATAGGATAACTACTGTGGCTCACTTCAATCGTGAACACGGCTCAAGTCACCGCTCGGCAGCTGGGCATCACAGGATATCATCACATTACATAAATTTCTGTGTCGAGGTAGTCGAGGTCCTGCCCTAACTTACAGTTGAAGCTGACTAACCGTCTTAAACTGCGAGTACAGACTATTTGTGTTTAGCCCAGTCCGAGGCCCCCTATCTCAATATCTTCCTCCACGTCCACACTCATAGATACCGGCTCCAGCTCCGACTCGATGCCCCGCATCTCGGCTCCCCTTACCTTTCTCATTATATCAGGAATACTTCTGCTCATGGTCGCTGGGTGCTGTCATTGGCGGCGCGGTACGCTCCTCGGCACAACCTCGGATACAGATCCAACGGTGCGGTTGTATGGACTCGGGGACGGGTGGGGACGAAGGAAGTTTATCTTTCCGGCCTTTTGGGAGACTTTCTTGAGTCCTCCCATATCGACCGAGAAAGTCGGGGGTGCGGGTCAGTCCGAATGGCCAAGCATTCAGGTGTGTATGTTTTTATTGCACCAGTGTTGTGCCACCTGGTCGCGTCTAATGATAGCTTTCAACAGCCTGTATCTGTGTCTCTCATCCGTCCGTGTCGCTCTCGAGCTACATGTAAATCTGCAGTGGATGTGTCGGAGTCCGCAGCACATGCAGACCCCTTTATCGTAACATTGCCCCTTCCAAATAATTCCCAGTCTTCTTCGACCCAACCATCACCCCCACGAAGACAATTTGCATTCCCTCGCGTCCATCCCTACATCTTCCATTTGTGGCCACGGCGGCGCTCGCACGCCCATCATGGCTCAGCACCATCCGAAAAGCCTACAGAAGTCGAGACTGAGAATTGCCCTGAAGCTGTGAAGATCGCCGTGATAATCTGCATGCCTTCTCCCGCCTTACGATGTTGGAACAACGGAGAGGGTCCTTCGTGTCACCCTGCTAACCCAGGCGATGCGCTGCGGGAATATCAGATAGGCGTGACGCATGTCCCATGGACGCGGTGAGGTACGTACTCAATGTTGACGTAGTCTGTGTTTTTCTTTTCCGCTGCTGGCCCCAAAATGTGTGGACGTCGCTGCTCGTGTTGTTGCTTGTGTAATATAGCAATGCAAGCATTTCTGCTAGGTAATGTACTTCATGAGACAGACAGCTCTGTAAGGGTCCAGGAAGACTAGCGACCTGTAAAGGTATGCGGTTACGGCAGCGCTGAAACTGGGGTCTTTGTTTTGTGTATCCCTGGAATTTCGAAAGAGCTTGTTCTGGACCGTCGTCCCGGAATTGCAACTCTGCAATTGCACCTCCGGATGCCCCAGGGCGCCAGATGATTATGATTATTTGTACTTCCACTACGCCGCTCGCAATTCACCTGCCGTTTGGGGATACAACAACTGCTTGCACCCCGCCGTGGTGTCCCTTGAATGCCCCTAGTAGACCTACCATGATGCTCCGCATTTCAAATTCGCAAGGTGTAGTCCCGTGAACCAGCGTCTTGGGAGAATGCTACTGTCATCACTGTCGACGTGTGCCTTTTGCGCTGGCACCCGTCGTCAATCATAATAAGATAGTATGCATTTATTGCTACATCAAGCACCACTGACATGTCACGTTGGTCTAGACAAAGATATAGACGGCCAATAGCATTTCATGTTGACGAGGAGTGTACTTAGGCGTATGGTTACGTTGTGGATCTTGTGTGTGGTGAGTAACATTTCCGTCCATAACCCAACACGTATCACGTATAGGCGCTTATTCACTGTTCTTGTGGGCTCTATACTACGCTACCACAGCGTGGATCTGACTGATTTCATGAGATGAGAGATGTAAAGAAACGCGCAATACATATAGACAAGTAATTGCAACCTAGCAACATACATTCGAGGATAACACTGAAGACCAGTGGCCCGCCAGTCTGGCGATATACTTATACATTACATATGAAAACTAAGCGCCCAGGACGGCCAGTTACTGGACATTGTCAAGGCCAACACAACAATCTACGCTAAAAATCTTAAGTACCATCCTCCCTTCCAGATCTGAGAGCTCAGGAATGACGTGAAGTTGTCGATTCCTTATGTCTTAGTCCTACGAAGGAAGCAAAGCGCTCTAGGCGGGAGGGCTTGCGTGAAACAGACGCTACTGTCTGGACAGGCTGAGGGGTAGGGATGCAGAGGGGCTCGGACGTGGGGTCAAAGTCCGCCTCGTCAGACTGCTCCGGCACCCTTGGGACCCACGCATCGTTTTGCAGTTCAGTGTGATAAGGTGACACTAAGACGTGGGGAGGGACATGATACGGCTGCTGGAAGGGATATGGGTACTCGGGGGTGTATGGGGGCTCGGGGGCGTATGGGGGCTCAGAGGCGTATGGATACTCGGAGGCATACGGCTGCTCATAGACATATGGTGTCTCACGGGTGCCAGCCCTAGGCAATTGCACGTTGATGTCAGGGATGGGCATAGAAATTGACATGGAAGGCGCAGATGAAGGGTCGGGAATGGGCGGAGACGAGTCAGCTGTGGCTTAACGCGCAGTCAGTCCAACACTGACGGGAAGAGAAAGTATCAGCTTCTACACACCACGACGACGTCCCATGGTATGTATAGTGGAAGGCAGAGATTGAGCAGGACGCTAGCTCAAGAAGGCGCACCGCAAGGTGGATGAAAAGAAGTGGGAAAGTGCGATGGGTGTCGTCCAGATATCCCGCTATAAAAGCCATCGTCCATGGGGGGACAGACTGGCAAAGGGTCCGTTCGAATCGAAATTCTGGTCCTGGGGGCTGCGCTCAATGACGCCCGCGAAGATTCACGTCTTGATTCTGGAGATCTTCTTCCGAACGCCTCCCGCATCATAACCTTGTGTCGCTCACCAATCGCCATGCGAGACTTTGTAGAAAATAATATTTTGTCGGGGGAAACGTTCCAATGGAGGAGTACAGCATCTGCAGAGATAGGCCCATAGAGGCGTTTGTGTTTTCGGTGGACATATTGGGTCCTGCCTGATCCGATACAATAAGCGTCAAACCTTGTCGTAATCACGGTCATCCCTGTCCACATGCATAGCTCGCGTGAGATCTTGTTGATATAAACAATAACTATGGGTTGAAATAAGTGATGTCAGTGGCAGTAGCTGTCGCATGACAAACATGAGGATGCGACAGTTATGAAGCGCGCACGGATCCGACAAATTACGGGCTACGCCAACGCTTCATAAAAGTCACAAAGGGACGAAAAAAACAATGTCCAACACAGCTAATGCCTGACGTAAAAGTCATACAGCATCTGCTTCAGTCCACAGGGTAATGAAGAAACCCTATGCCCAACTCCTGCCCGCGCGCCTCCCAGCTTCTACGCAGTCACCAACGCTCACACCTCCTACACCGGCGCCAATCACCTCCAGCTTACCGCTCCATGGCTCTCCCCGAAGCACGCCGCTCAGTTCCTGCATCCGCTGGAGGTGCCCCACACGCAGCAGGGGGATGCAATGCGCGTTATTCTGCACCCTCACGAGGAGTGGGTCAGGCAGACGGATGCCCAACTGCTCAGAGAGCGTCTCTATAAGGCGAGGGACCGAGGCCACAGGCTCACGGAGCATCGCAGTCATTTTCACGATCTCTGCGCTCCACGGCGCTTCTTGTTCCGACATGGACGAGGAATCGAATACGCAACCCAGGATCGCGTTTTCCGCATGCCCAGACGCTGCTCGGGGCACGAGATACCCGAACCCCACGGGGTGGAGTGCATGCCCTGGAGGCGCTAGGAACACGAGGTTCACGACTGTCACCGATGAATAGGGATTGGCAGTCAGATGGGGCAATGGCGTCTTGGGTGAGAGTAGCCCTTTCAGACTCGGGAGAGGTACAGCTGAAACAGCGTGTGTTGCACGCACTGTTTCGCAAGACGATGTCGTTATCTGTGCACAAGTATTTCCTCCATCAACAAAAATCTAGTCTATTCGAGGGGCACCACGTACTTCGAACTGTGCAGTTCTCAGGTTCATTCGGAGTGCCGTCGCGGACACTCCGCCAAGTAAGCGCACGTTCCGGCGCGTCCTCAGGTCTCGCAGGAGTGCGTTTACTAACTCACCGATCCCTTGCGAGAACGAATACACAGATATTCCGCGCATCTGCTGGTCTACGCCCCCCAACTGATATGGAGCGTCATCGATTTCCGCTATTACAGGAGCTCTGGACGGCCGGAGAAACCCAGTTACCAAAGAGCCACGACCGCGTTCTTCGGCGTCCCAAAGCGATGGGAACGCCGCGCGGACGCTCAGTTCTCGAGAGTCCGCTGCATAAATGCCGCGCACAAGTGCACTTCCGAAAACCCTTGCAAATTCGCTCCCGAAACGCCTACTCAAAAATTCGTCTACAGACTCATCCTCAATCGTAGAGGGCCTGTTCCATGGGCGAAATGGCTCCCGTGCGACCGCTGAAAGAAGGATATGGCCAAGGGGGGAATGCAAAGGAGAGGATTTTGGGGAAAGCACGGAAGTAAGAAGGCTGAACGGAGATGAAGGAATGTGAAGGAGACCTTGTGCCCCAGGTAGAGACAAGAAGCGATTTCGAGCGGCCGGGGATGATTTCGAAACAGTTAGAAGTGATGGCGATAGGTCCAAGAGGTTAATCTAGCCTGGGACTTGCCCGATGAGAAGGTCTTCGGGGATGTTGCATGAGACTGGTCAGTCACCCACCAATTCGAGGATACTCTTTGAATTTGGTCTAAGAGTACGCGGGCCAGCTTCCAAAAGCACGGTGGTCTCGCGACCGTCTTTAAGGGTAATCTTAGTACGCCTAGAATGTACCCATCCGCCAAAGTGAATATCCTTGTTCAGCAGAGTAATCTGAGTTGTTGGAAACCGACGTGAAAGGTGAAAAGCTGCAGAAAGGCCAGTCAAACCACCACCAAGGATAGCGATTGAAGACGGCGCCATGATAGTCCTTGCACGACCTAGTGTCACCCACCAGTCAGTGGCAGTCACCGACACATCTTCTCAAGAGTCTTGTTATGGCGCTCTCAGTGGCTATAACTTTAAGCAGCTAGTTGCTGTTTGAAGAAGTATTTTCCCACATATACTCAGTGACACGTTCTCCCAGTAAGATGCCTGTACTTCAATACCCCCCAAGTTCTTGACGCCTCCTCAGAACTACCATGGTACCTCGAAAGAACGCCAAGGGACTTTCACCAGCACCGTCTACACCAGCTCGTCGTCTAAGCTCAGCTGCTTCCTCTCCAGAGAAACCACCTGGTCCGTTGAGCGTCACTATCTCCCCAGAAGAGCGCGAGGTTATCAAGGTCAACAATCACAGCGTTTCTGAGCTCAAGAACGCATGTGACGATGCTCTAAAACGAGTGCGTAACATTCTAATGGTCGCTCCGAACAAATGCTCACTCCACTCCACCATTACAGTATTTATCGAGACCCGTTTTATTTAAACAAATACATCTTCATACCGATGTGCGACTGGCTCTGGGATGGGCAGGCGTATTCACAGCAGCAACCACAGGCCTTTATGGGTGGAAAACTGACTTCGAAAAGTCGAAGCCAGGAGTCTGGGTCGGGTTCATACTGTAAGCGTCCACTTAAACGTCATGGTCTTTTCCTGAATAGAACCAAACACAGCTACCTGGTCCTCACATCTCTTCAGACATTATACTCCTACTTTGTGGAGGGCGATACCGTCTTTGTTGGCCGACGGAAAACATTCTCAAAGAGAGTGAGTCTGAAACGATCACGCGATTTCCACTCCTCTTATTTCTCTTCAGATAATAACGGAACGGATTACAATTTCCTCGCGCACACTTCCAGTGCCATCCTCTAAATTATCTTTCAAGCCAAGCTCCACAAATTCACCATCATACACACTTTCCATTAATTATGTCCAGTCCACATCAGGGGGGAAGTCACTACTTGCAAAAGGCCGAACACGCGAAGCCAAAGAGTACACAGCCTTCTTCGATGAGAAGGGCGTGATGGCACAGGAGGTCTTCGAGCAATGGATTGGGGAACTGGTAGAGGCGGTAATGGAGGGGAAAGGGGCATGATTTTTATGTCTACGCAGATGCCTTTATTGTGCGGGTTGATACGCTGGAAGGACGCATTCATGTGGTCCTTTCGCACCAATCTCTGGACACGAGGGATGCTGGCATTATATCGTAATTCACTTCTGATGCTGACTCCGGTGAGATGTGGACTACATGACAATTATTTCAACATCTATGTACTCCTGTTCAAAGAGATCATCAACTTCGTTGGCTCGACAAGTAGAAATAGACTCACAGTCTCGGTGTTCGGTCGGGTGAATAGCAACACCCTATCCTCGTCCAGTATGATATCATCGAGATCGCGTGTGCGGACCACCTCCACGTAAGGGAGGTAGGTCACATCCTGCGTGAAGCCGTATATTGATGCGTGAAAAGTCATAGGTTCCCGAACTACCTTGCCAAGGCCATGCCACGGCGGAGGGATTGAAGTTGGCCATATGCATCCGGAACGATGAATTATAACGTGGGGCGGGGTCTGCCCATATCACACAAGACCCTCCCACTACAAATTTAAGGTGTACGTCTCCCGGGAAGTAGCGAAAATTCTGTGGACCCCATGATAACCATGGAACAGTTCGGCCATTTTCTGAGGTCGCATCAAACCATGTCCGAGGGATGTCCGTGAAGAACAGACGAGCAGATGTGACAAACATCGACTAAGAAAAACATATTTGCACGCATATGACTCAATCTACAGGGTTTGTTGTCCAAATCCAAGGCTCATCTGGTGCCACGAGATGTACGCAACTCAGGGCACTATGGAATCGAAACCAGAAGAGGTGTCCAACAATGGGCAGTATAAATTTTGCCTGAAGTTGGGGTGCTGTTGACAGGTCCTCGACGTCGTATAATTCTATATGACCAAGTGATGAGAGAGCTAAAAGCTTCTCTTTGTTAAGAAAACGGACGCCAAGCAACTCGTGGCCTTCGCCCAAAGACATACATGTCCTTTCGAAGCGTTCACATCAAACTTTTGAATGATAGACAGAATGGGACCTACAATAGGTCCGCCTTGATGCCAATTCCATACATGCAGCAACCAGTATAGGTAAGTCCTTTGGTAGTTCGAGTCTTCGGTCATGGTAACATTGAAAGCAATGCGATCTCCAAGGACAGTGACCGTCGCATATATTGATTGCAAAGTTTCATCGAAAGTGGCTTTACGAGTGACTAAGTGGAATCCACGGCCAAAGGATGGTCCTCGCCGGTGGAGAGCGCGCGAAAATCTACTTGGTACATGAAATCGGATGTGCGGAAGTCATCGCCTGGTGTATTGACGATGATCATAAGGTCTTGTGTCTCATCTGCAAACCTAGAGCAGACAGACGTGCCAGGAACTGGATTCTAATCATCCGTACTCCATGTGGAAGGAGGGGCACTGGTCGTTTCAAACGTGCAGGTCTTGAGATCGATGACTTTGGATAGTTGAATACCTCCAAGTCCATGCGCGAACAAGGAAAGACTGAGTTATTAATGGGTTATAGACTTGGAATTGAACCCATCCCGGAAACGAAGCCTTTTCGTTACATTGGGTTCGAATGAGCTCCATGTGTTTGCCTTGTCTCTGAGCGTGCATATGCACTCCGCTACGGAGACAGTAGGTGGCCGTGGATGAACCGGCATCAATTGTTGGGCCCCAAGTTCGATGATGTATTGTAGCTCGACAGAATCTTTGACTGTGTTGAACTTGTGTGACAAGTCTTCAATGGGGCAGGTCACTGCATGGGAAGCCCATAAGATGAAGGGCAAAAGGTGACTGAATGCACTGCTCACTAACGCACAGCATATGATTTCATTACATGAAAGAAAACCAAGGATGTAGCAGTGCAACTCCTCTGCGAGATCACAAAGGGTACTGACCCTTCCAAAGTGAGAGTACATCGTCCACAAAAATGGGAGCCTTCCCTGTGACTTGAATTGTTCCGGTCGAGTGGGCATGTACTATCATATATGCACGTACAGGAGAGTGCGACGCGCCGACCTGATGGTGATTAATATTGTCTTCGATCGAATTGTGCTTGACTAGGCATTTATTACCATTTATGTAAGTAGTCTCCCCCTGGGCAGACCAGAATATCTGGAGTGATTAACATCCTTGTATTCACACTCAATCGCAAGATACTTAGTGCTACCCCCCTCCGGTTCCAGTCTCGTCTAATTCAGTGTGGGTATATGCCGGTCACGACAAAACCCCTCATACAATAAGCGGTTCATCTCGTTTCCGCGCCAAGCTATGAATGACTTCCGTTTATCCTCGGCGGTATTATCAAGCGCATTACCACAAACATCAAACTGCCGACAAGGCAGATGAACTTATCATGGCAGGTAACAATTTCAGCACGGCCGGGGAAGTGCGAGAATGGTTTACGACTACTCACACCATTGAAGAGCGACGGTGTCAACCACCTATATTGAGATGAAAGCAAAGCGCCTGATATCGGACCGCCTGAAAAGTTCAATTGACAGATAAAGACCGGGAAAAGACTACTCACTGAATAATTCACCAAAGGCTGAACATTCACTTTCCGTCAGGAGTTTCGCAACAGAGCTGCAAGATACACACAAACGAAAGCAAAGCATATGCCCATTCGCGCCCTGTGTAGGAGGGTCAACATGATTGGTCAGACTATGTTAGAAAAAAACTAGCCCTAACTCCGACAAGTCGGGCGTCAACACAGTCACCAGCGGGACCGTCAGCGCGATGTCTTGGATAATTAGTGCCAGGAATTATACCAGCGACAGTGTGAAACGTACAAACTCCAGAAACGTAGCCATATGTAACGCCTATCACAATCACACTAGACACCTTACTCAAAGCTATCATGGATATGATGAGGGCACCGGATATGACACTGGATGCGAGGGCCAAGTTCAACAACCCCGTATACCCAGAAATTATGCCTGCCGTGCAGCGTCCGATAACGCAGGCAGCATTCATGATCACAAGCTGAATCAAGTTGAGAGTCGACGAAGAAGAAGAGGAAGAAAATATTAAGCGTACGCTGTAGAACGAGAAATCAACGTCGATCCCATGTTTGATAGAGTCCAGTTGTAAATAGAAAATAGGGAAGTTGAACCCAAACTGACATAGCAGCATCCTAGGCCCGATCAGTCAAAGAGTTCAAGTCAGTTTGTGCGCTCGCCAGGGAGAAACATACCCAGCAGTCATAAGAATGAAGAGAGTCTCACGAGAGCATTTTTGTGCCACTGTACTATAGCTGGCAGTCGGTGTCGACGTTGACAGTGCTCTCGTTCGCATGGATAAACAAGCGATCAGTAACAGAGCACTGACAAAACCTGCACTGGCGCGGACGCCTGTTGCAAAGCCAACAGTGCCATTCAATAGGTGATTGAGCATGATGGGATGAATAATGGCACCCAGTGGTACACCGGACGCGACGAGAGACATTACCAGTGTACGTCTTTTGGAGAAGTGCTGAGAGATGACCGACATGCTGGGACCAAAAGTCAGGCCCACCCCAATCCCAGATAGGGCGCCTTGAACCACAAGAATCTGGTCACTAGATATAGGTGGCCCACGAGATCAGCGGGGCTGCTCACCAAGTAGAACTGACCAGGCTTTGCGAAAGACAACGTGATCAATGACAGTGACTGGAGCGACGACCCCAAAATCATCAATCGATAGCTATCGGCAATCAATGCAAAAGAACAACTGAATAAAAACATATGGCAACTTACAACCACCCTCTGTCGTACAGAAGACCTGAGAGCCAGGTAACATTGTCTCCGAGGAACGAGGCCAATGCACCGATCCATCTGACAGTGACTGAGACAATAAACTCCAGAATATAAGTGCATCCTCTTACGATATTGTAGATGGCGATTGGTTAGTCAGATAAATTCGTGTGTAAAAATCTTCCCAGGTTCGTTTGTCAACCATGTATACAGTCAATCATGCGACTGCTGTGCACCTTGATAGACTCCCAGAGATGATATGTATCTGTTAAAGTACTGTTAACTGATGTCTCTCGAACGAACGGTGCTAGAACCAACCCGAAGCCACAAAATTGTATCAGGAAACTGAGCATCGTTGTGAATATGCAGTTTAGGGGTATCACATTCGACACACAACTTACCAACCAAAAGCAGTTGCCCAAGCCCCAAAGCCACCATCTGGAAGGTCCGTTTTTGAAATAAGTGTTGTGGAATTGGATGACTGCATATGTCCCAGCTCTTCCACATCATCTACCTTCTCATGTGCCGCGAGGGTATTACGGATTCTGGACTGAGTCACAGACATCGAAGGAAATGGTGGGTGACAAAAAAGTTGCAACAATAAATGCGGGCTGGCAAATTATAATTCCAAGTTCGGCTTGCTGCATACAGGATTAGGCATCTCCCTGAGTCAGGTGTGCTAAAGAGTCTCGCAGGGTCCTTCTGATTGATGACAGATACCTAACGGCATGATAACAGCTGCCTTGTTAGGGAGATTGAAACAGTCAACTGTTCGGCTTGTGTGATTTACAGGGGGCTCGAAGGAAAGAAGATCCAATATCCGATCCGCCCTGCCGTGAAGACTAGTGAAGACCATGATCGGTTCCACTGGTTACGCACATAGAATAGTTGGCCGCAGTGGAAGCGCAGAACGCTGACAGCTGACCTAAGGAAGAGAATTGGTCCAAGTGTGTGCCATTCCGTTGAGTGCTTTTCTGCTTGTCATTCACTCTGCCTCTTGACCAGTTTGACGAAATATACATGATGCAGATGCTATTCGTGGGGGATGGAGTTGTAGTGATAGCATCTCACCTGCCGTATTGTTTTTCCGTCCAAGTGCAGAAAAGGTACGACATCGAAATTGCAGGCGGTACTCGATGCACGATTTACCCGTTCAACGTTGGCACGAGTGGTCAGCAGTCGTGGTCATGGAGGAGTATTAAATCATTGCTTGTCTCCAGTAAGATATGATTTACATATCAATTATCTCGACATCCAACATCCGCCCCTATTCAAAGAGATACGGTTAACATCGCTAGTGCGACAGGCGGGAATGAACTCACATTCTCCTCAGTTGTCGCTCGGGTGAATAGCAACACACTCTCCTCATCCAGTATGATATCTTCAAGGGAGTCATCAAAATCGCGATAGCTTCGCATCTCCACGTAAGGGAGGTAGGTTGCCACATCCTGTGTGAAGCCATATACTGATGCGGGAAAAGTCTTAGGTTCCCGAACTACTTTGCCGATGCCACGCGCCACGGCAGAGGGATTGAAATCGGACATATGCACCAGGGTCGATGGATAGTAGACAACAGCTCGTACAACACGAGTTCCACCTACTCCAAATCTAGGGCGTATCTCTAAATCTTGCAGAAAGAGGCGAGAATTCTGTGTACCCCATGATAACCACGGAATAGTTTGTGCGTTTTCTGAGGTCGCATGAAACCATTCCGGAGGTATATACAGACGAACCGGTATGACAAAAATCGACCAAGGGGAGCACGCCACCACGGATATGACTCGATCTGCGGGGTTTGTTGTCCAAACCCAATGTTCATCTGGTGCCGCAAGATACGCACAAGTGGGGTCGCTATGGAAAACCGAAGGAAATTTGAACTAGATGGACTGCCGCTTAATGGGTAGCATAAATTTTGCCTGAAGTTGCGGTGGTTTTGATAGGTCCTCGACGTTGTATAGTTCTATATGACCAAGTGATGAGAGAGCTAAAAGCTTCTCCTTGGTAAGAAAACGGATGTCGAACAACTGGTGACCTTCGCCAAAGACACATGTCCTTGGGAGTACTCACATCAGACTTTTGAATGATAGACGGAATGGGACACTTACATTAGCAGGTTGAGCTTGATGCCAATTCCACACGTGCAGCGACCAATATGGGTGAGTCTTTTGGTGATCCGAGACGTCGGTCACAGCACCATAGAAAGCAATGCGATCACCGAGCACAGTACCAGCTGCTCGTTTTGATCGCAACTTTAAGTCTTCGACACGGGTGGCTGCTCTACCAGCAACTAGTTTTAGACGGGATTCACGGGCAGAAGGATGTTCCTCGCTGGTGGAGATCGTGCGAAAGTCCATCTGGTACATGGAATTGGATGCGCGGAAGTCATCGCTTGGTGTGTTGACGATGATCATAGGGTCTTGTGCCTCATCTGCGAACCTAGAACAGATAGACTCTGTGCCAGGAGCTGCATTCGAACCATCCATGCCCCATGTTGGAAGGAGGGGTATTCGCGGTTTCAGATGTGCAGGTCTTCATATCAATAAGTTTTGCTAGTCGAACCTCTCCGTGCTCAGACGATATAGAAAGGCTGAGTTGTTGATGGATGATAGACTTGCCAGATGGGAACCAAGATGTGACACGAAGAATTTTTGGCGCGTCCAAGTCAAGCTCAAATAAGCTCCATGCTTTTGCCTTGTCCCTGAGAATGCGCAGGCATTCCGCTTTGGCGACAGTACGTGGATGAACCGACACCAATCTTTGGGCACCAAGTTCGATGGCGTATTGCAGTTCATCAGAGTTTTTTGACTGTTGTACATCGTTTTGCAAGTCTTTAAACAACGTAAGCATATCGGTGCGTTCGTTGACGAAAAGCCCATAAGATGAGAGGGTTGAATGCATAACTCACCAACGTGCAGCTCAAAATTTCGTTATACGAAAGAAAACCAAGGATACGGTAGCGCAACTCCTCCCCGATTGTACAGACGGTAGCCCTTCCACACTGAGAGGGCATTAGTGCACGCCAAATGGGAGCTTCATCCGTCATGGAGAAAATCGAAATGGCTTTGGTATGGTAACAGCACCAAGTTGCCAACCTGCAAAAACGGGGTGAATTTCGCCGTTCGGTTCCCTAACCGAAACACCCCAAAGTCAACGTAAGTATTACTCAAAGGCAGTGTCTGTTGTACATGTAAACGAGCCTTTTATCAGAGAGCGCATGTCTTTCAGCATGCAGCTTTTGTATGGGAGCGAGAGGGTTTATGCAGGTAGAATCTCGATTAGAGTCTAGAGAGCACTGCTGTACTAGGTACCCATTTCGGAGCATCTTTGAGACTCATTGGCGAAGTTCCTATAAAATAGCATCACCGCGGGGTAGAATGACCGGCACAATATTCTGTCTAGGGGTATCATAAGATGTGATAGGTGTCCGCGCTCGTAAGGAACCAACATGTCTCGTATAGCTTAAATCATATTTTGCCAAGAAGCAAATTCTTTATCGTCTCCCGGCCTGTGATGCGAACGGTGTGGTATAACGTCGGAATATCGAGGGTGGACGTGAAGGTATCCGCAAGACCGAAGGGCATCATCAACGGGATCCAGCCTGAAAAATAAATAAATTCTGAGACAAAACATACAACGCCAACATGAAATGACACGTACCACGAGCATACTCGAGCGCGAAGCACCCCTCGTGCATCTTATATTGCTTTGCAGTGCCCCTTGGGAGGAAATGCACGTCCCCAGGGCCGTATCTCTCCATCTCCAGTGCACCAGGTCTGAACGCCCACTGCTCCCCGACTAAAATGTGGAAGTAGTCATCTGCGGTATGCAACCCCGTGTGCCCTTCCGTGCCTAGAGGAGTACCGAAGATGATGAGGTACTCCGTGATGGACGCATGGATGATATACATTGCGCCCATTGCACCTCCAGCGTTGTTGAATACCCACTCAGAGGCGTTCAAGTTAAGGGAGAGAGCGGGGGACTCGAATTGCGGGTATGTAGAGGTAAGGTTGGTAAGAATATGGCTAATCATGCCTTGGGGGTCATTCGGTGAGGTGGAGATGGCCTCCTGCGCAAGCTCGTGGAGGAACTTGGGATCTAGAACATACCACCGATCCTGTGGTCATGGTCACTAAAGGCAGTAGAAGAGTTGGAGTAGTAACTGACCTTAATACCATCGAGCCAGGCGAACGTTACAGCAAGGAGGAGTAGTGCAGCTCCACGTGTTATCCACTTCGTGAAGTTGTTTCGTGGCTTTGGTAGGGCCTGCTTGGGGACTGCGCCTCCGTTCCCTGGTGGTGATTTTTCCATTGCGATTTCTGTGTTATTTTAGGGCCACTTCGTTGTGACGGGCGGCGAAATGAGAGAAAGAGTCTGGAAATTGCAACCGCAGCGGACGACCAAAACTTTTGGATTCAAGCGCCCACAAAGCTGAACCAAATTTCAGCCGAGACACGTAGAATCTGCACGTGAATTAACGGAAATCACCCGTGCTGTATTTACCAGCGCCCCACGTATCAGGAGTCGTCAACTCGACGAGATAATCCAGAGCGAAAAGAAAATGATATAGAAGACCGAATACTATAGAAAAATACAATACATCCTACACCCAATACCGATAATAATGCAGTCTAAATCGAATAAGGTTATACTTCCTGACTCTCCTTCTTGCCCTTGGTAGTTTTGCTGGGTAGTAGCTCGGGGTTGATGAAAGGAACGACACCGCCCTGTGAAATGACGACGTCCCCAAGGAGTTTGTTCAACCTGAGGGAGAGTTAGTTGGACATTGCTGAATGACTGAAATGCTTGCGTACTCTTCGTCGTTTCGGATGGCGAGTTGCAGATGCCTAGGAACGATACGCTGCTTTTTGTTGTCACGGGCTGCGTTACCGGCAAGCTCCAGGATCTCAGCGGCAAGGTATTCTAGTACCGCTGCAAGATAGACTTACAAACCAATTAGAACAAACGTCTGACGCATGAAATGAGAAATAAGCTCACCAGGTGCGCCGGCACCAACACGCTGTGCGTAGTTTCCCTTCTTCAAGAGACGGTGAACACGACCGACGGGGAATTGAAGACCAGCCTTCGCTGAACGCGATTGGGACTTTGATGAGGATTCACCAGAGGCTTTGCCACCAGACTTTGCCTTGCCGCCGACTTTGCCAGACATGATAGAGTGAAGTGTGTATGTACAAAGTACAGAGTTGATTTGTTCGATGGCAGGGGTGGGGTCAAAATATAGGAGAGTCGTGATCGATGGACGCCTGTATTTATACTAGCTACACGTGATTTTATAAAATAAGGTTCAGCAATCAACAAAGGTTGTGGACGCGTTGGATCGGGTGCCAAATAACACCACACGCGTCACAAACGATAAATACAAACGCTCGAACCCACCAATTATTCACACCGCACTTTCAACACTCACTTCATCAAACTTCAACACACTTCATCCTATCTTCATCCTATCTTCATCCAATGGCACCTAAACCCGTCTCCACTGCCTCAAAGGCCCCTGCTTCCACTGCTGCCTCAAAGGCACCTGCAAAGACCACCGACAAGGCAAAAAAGGCTACCAAGACTTCTGCCGCCGCTACTGGTGCTGATGGTGAAAAGAAGAAGCGTCGTAAAGTCCGCAAGGAGACCTACTCCAGTTACATCTATAAGGGTATGTAACCATTCATATCTGTTTGAGTCCTAGGTCTGACTTTTGGTTCCAGTCTTGAGGCAGGTGCACCCTGATACGGGTATCTCCAACAAGGCCATGGCCATTCTGAACTCGTTTGTCAACGACATTTTTGAGCGCATTGCCACTGAAGCATCTAGTATGTGATCTGATTGTCTTATTGATTATTCCTGACCCCATTCCCTTCAGAACTCGCTGCCTACTCCAAAAAATCGACAATATCTTCGCGGGAGATTCAAACATCTGTGCGACTCATTCTGCCTGGTGAACTTGCCAAGCACGCCATCTCGGAAGGCACCAAGAGTGTCACCAAGGTCAGTTCTTCCACCTGCCTACCGTCTTGATCTCTTACTTACTTGTGATATTTCCAGTTCTCGAGCTCATCAGCGAAGTAGAGTCATTGTTCTGCTACTGTTGTCTCGTTGGACAGCCTTCGCTGTTGTATATTAGGTGTAACATATACATTATTTTAATCTACTCTCTTCAAGCGGGAACGCGTTGACTCATTCAAATGAGTACTAAGCTTGACGTTGGGATCACTTTGAGGCGACCACAGACATCGACTTTCAGTATTGAGTTCTTGATGATAACAAAATGATAATATTTACAAGTCAAATGGTCATGCTAGTGAATCGGACTGCCGTCTATGAGGCAACTACATCGACTCTAAGGTTCCCAACTTGCAGGTAAATTTTGCAACTCTTCTATATGTCCTCTTATCACTGCTACTAGTTTAGCAGTGGCAAGATTCGTCTAGCACATCGGGTTGGACTGTTTCGTGCGTAGTCCGTTCTTGAAAGGCTCATTGGTCATTCCAGACGTCCCAGAATCCATTGGACTTCGTTTGGTGACCCTTACAATGTGGCGTGCCTCGAGGCCTCGTAGCACGGTGTCTCCTTCACAGAATACGCCCACTGTGACCTACGCTCACAATGGGATGACGGATCTACTTTTGTCCAGGAGCAATAATCTCTAGCATACTTCGTGACAAAGCCAGGAACCCTCCAGCGACCCGATCGACACGCAGCGGTGTTCATCCAACCACGCGTTTGTGCGCGCTATTTTTTGCACATCGATCCTCAGAAGTGATGGGCATGTAACTGAGCAAGCTGGCGCTATGGGGCTGAGTACTGATAAGATGTTTCGCTGGTATTCGATTCAGAACCCTTAGAAACATGCGTTATTAATGCCCGTTGGACGGCGCTAAATCCCCTATCGAGGACATAATGAATATTTCGTTCGATGGAAGAGCTATGTATGGAGCTTTTACGCCGATAGGCTCGAGCGCGCTGATTGGTGAAAGAACTCCGTTGTGACTAGAAAACGGTGCGTTACCTTGGACTATTCCCCCAAACGGTTCCAAAGTGACGAGAAAACTATATTTCTTCCGACTCCGAGTTCGGGACCGTCACGTTCTCTCGACTCTCGAGTGCACTGAATGATGAAACGAGGATTACTGCACGTTTCCTTGGACCAACCCCCAAAAGGGCTCGAAAAGTGACGAGAATGCTCATTTCTTCCGAGTTTGGGATCTTATATCTCTGCTGTCGACTTCCATCTTACGATAGGAAAGCCATGTCTTCTGCTTCAGAGTCCCACGAAATCTAGTCGTCATCGGGCGGGGGTGATTGAACATTACTGCCGTGCTGCTTCTGACTCGGATGTCGCCCTTGATAACGATATGCCCTGAGACCGGGTTTCCCAAAGTCCATTCGATGTGCGTTCCTTTCAAGCGTTCTGGAAACATTTTCATGACAAGCTAACGCGGTCATAGTGGATACACGCATCTGTTGGTCTCCGACCACCATTTTGCGCGACGACGTTTCGAGCCCAACGAATCACGATGCAATTTGCATTGCGCTTGGCTACTACGATCCTCCTACCCTTTGAAAATTTCTTCCTGCAGTGGTTCAACGGTGAGTATCACATTGTGCATAATAATCATGTCCCTCATGGGGTAGTCAATCCATTACATAAGTGGGCAGGTCACAAGGTGATCATTAACTCAGTAAGATAATTCGGTTCCTTGAACAATAGGCATGCTCCCCCTGATCACCAATGCGTTATGATCTTATATTTCGGTTCGTTAGACAGCAGGCATGCTCCGAGCTGTGGCAACAGTCATAAAATATGATGAAACGTCCTAGACCCCAGTAAGTTGGAGCCCATATTCGGGTGCTCAGGCGAACTTGCTCCCTAAATGTTGAGCTTCCCTGCAGGTAGATACCTCGTGCAAGTTTTGATCTCGAATTTCGTGACTTATTCAGTATTTATGAATTTCATATCTATCCAAACCTTCTGATGGGTGGGTTCAGGGTGGCCTAATCCCTGAACGGATTATTCGCCCCTGCTTATCCATCCATCTTTCATGCACGTATAAATGGCCTAGGAAATGTTCGCTTTCAATCCATTCTCACGAACTGTAGCACCATGGACAATTCCATCAGCCCGTCTCTGGCTAACCACCGCCTCACCGAGTCAGCGGCTCAACAGGGTATACCTGCGGAAGACCTTCACCACGACATCCACCATGAGGCAGGTCCCAATGATGACATCCCTGAAGAGCATGTCCTTCGCGCTGTATGTCAGCTCACTATACTCACCTAGTATCTGCAGGGACCTTGTCAATCGTCTCATTCGAGACAACCAAGACCTTTGGAACCAATTGCTCCACAACAATTTCGTCGAGGCCATGCGTATTGCAAGCGCGGATGACAAACCAGTCCTCAATGGTTTTAAATGGTACATGATTGTACGTTGATACCTGTTGAGGCTTCAGGTCGTTTTTCATCACTTTGCATTCGCAGCAAGACTTCTTCTACTGTGTGCAACTCATAGCATATAATGCCGATCGTGCGGCAAAAGCTCCCAACCCGACGGAGTACGCGAAATTGACCGAAACTCTCAACAACACGCTGACGCAGTGGGCTCCGAACGCCCTCAAAACTTGCACTGATGCGGATCAACTGAATATCCCGGATACGGCCGTTTTCGCCGCCAGGCGCGAAGAAGCTACTGAAAAGTACACAAAGTTTATCAGCGACACTGCTGAGGACGAGAACTGGGTCGTCTCGTTGTTGGCTCAAGTCCCAGGCATTCAGGTTCGTATGCCAAAAATCTTGTGTGGGTTACATTTGCGCCAATTGCTGACTCAATCTAGTCGTACTTTAGGATCGCCTACGATCTTAAAGAGAATGCTATCGACAAAGGTTAGTAACTTTTTCCGTAGTGCACAAGCTGTCTCAACTGACCTTGCTGTTCTCCCAGACACTGCATGGTACAAAATCTGGGTTGTCGATAACGCCAAGCACCGCAAGTCCACGGTCGAACAAATCAGTAAGAACTTACGCGCCACGTGAACTCTATTCAACCACTGACACTGCATCTACGTAGATTTCTTCAAGGACAACTATGAAAGCTGGAAGGACACCCCTTATGAGAAGTTGACCAGGATCTTTAGGCAGGCATGTCAATGCGAGATCGATTTGTGGGCTGTAGCACTGAATCCCGGTCCGGTGGAATGAAGAACTCAAATGTACGCACGAATTAGTAGTAGGAAATGGGAATGACTTGCTTCAGACTTCAACGCCAGGGGATGCTAAAATATTAATCTATCAAATGAACTGGGACCGATCGGTGATGATTGCGGACTCGAATGCACACAGTAAGCAAGTGGTAGATGGGGGTGGGTAAGTTTCTAACGAAGGCCGTGTGCAGACAAACTAGTTCGATACACCTTGTGAAGTAACATGTAAGAAACACCGGAAAGGGGTTGGAATGGGATATCGACAAGCAAGAAAATATAGGTATGCACAGAAATTCCGGTATATATAATGCTAAAGATGTACTATAAATGCAAACTCAAATGATGAGACCTACAAATACACGAGAACCGTAGTACAAGTTGATTCAGCGCTGTCTCCCCCCGCAGCTAGGGTCTGAATCTGGCCGATGCGGTAGTCCCATCCTTCGGGGTGTATGACTCCCTGTTGTTGTGAACTCCGGTGATCCCGTCCGTCGTGCTTCCCTATCCCCGCGGTCGCCGGCAGTCCACTGTCCCTGCGTCGATTCGGGCGCAGGATAAACCATCCCTGCGCAAGCCGAGGAACTCTCTTGCTTCTGCGCGCTCGAATGAAATTCACTTCCTTCTTTAAAAATCTCTTTCGCGATGCTACAGACAGGTGGGAAGTAACCCGTATCATCATCCGGTCTACTTTGTGGAGGGAAATAATCGCCCCCAGAGTTTGGGGGATAACCATGGTTATTCCGGTGCTCGTCTGCGTGCACAGGGGCTCCCGGAGCTGGGTTGATCCATGGTGCCTGTGGCCAGAAAGCGCCAGGCGTCATCGTCACGCCGGGCGTCAGCGGCACCATCGTCACCGACGATGGATATCCAGGGGATATGGGCACCATGATCCCAGGTGAAAGAGGAATTCCAGGGGAGAACATGTGCGGAGGCAGGTGTGGCGAGTACGGGACCTGGGAGTACGGCGGAAGGTGGTATGGGGATGATGGCGGTGGAAGCTCTGGTCGGCCTTCCGTTGCCTGACCCTGGTGGCTCCCATCGTTGGAGCCCGGCTGCTCTGTGGAGTTTGCACGCCCGTTTGTTGGCTGCAAGAACGTAAATGGCGGCATGCTTGGAGTGATGGGAGGTAGGCCGTGCGGTGTCATGACACCATAGTAAGGATGCACAGACGGATGGTGGAGCGGGCTTATCGCGGGGTGATGAATAGGGCTACGCACAGCCGGATGGTGCAACGGACTCATGGGATGACATCGCCCATAGCCTGCGTGGTACATTGGACTGTGTGGGTGGTATGGGGACAGCACCGGCGGATGTGGGAGCGTAAATGTAGATGGAGGAGGCAGCGTGATAGGTCCAGGTTGTCGACGGGAGGATGACTGCGATGATTTGTTTGGCGAGGTTGGGTTCTGCAAAGATGGAGATGCACGCTTCGCATCTAGTGAAGATGCCTTGCCTTTCTCTGCAGCTTTGGAAGCCAATGCCTTGGACCTTCGCATACCTAAAGATCCAAGAGCGGCCGCGATAGCGTTGGCATTTGCCGGCCCTTCAGCCTTGGCTGGCGTGGACCCTTGGCTTAATTCGATCTTGGGAGCAGTCCAGACGGACTGAGATTTGTTCGACGTTTCTGAACTGAGGGCCGAATGCGCAAGCAGGGTAGAGGTGGGCGAGGTCTGCCGTGGACTCGACACGCTTGGCCATCCTCCATTGGTTGGGGGCGACGTTGACACCGTATCACGACCCACGTTCGACTTAGGACGAGTCAGCGTAGGCGGTAGGGAAAATGCCGAGCTAGAACTCGAGCCCGAGTTCGCCCGCGACGTGCCCATACTGACGGGCTGGCTCATAGACCCCTGCCCCTCTCGTTCGTCATCGAAGAACGGTTCATTCAGCAGCGAGCTCGCACTGAATATAGGGCGCGGCGCAGAGCTACCGCTGAAGGAAGGGCGCTGGGTCGTGGAGCTAAAGCTGGGTCGTTGGGATGTCGAAGAGCTGAACGACGGTCGCTGGGACTGCGATATACCAAACGACGGCCGTTGCGAGAAGCTCATGTCATCAGCAAATGACGATGCCGTGCTAAGGCTTGGCCGTGATGACCCCGACGAAGTCGTGATATAGCTCTGCGCTTGTGAAGAGCCAGCGGAGACGCTTGGACGTGGTGAGCTGGAGCTTGACGTTCGTGACTTATTTGATGATAGTGGATGTATGTCGCTCCCGAGTTTCATATCTGTGTTTAGCGTCAAGCTGAGCAAATCAACATTTTTTCCAACACCCGAGTGTGAGGGCAACTTGATGTTAAATGTGTCGGTACCCAGAGGTAGGCTGAGGGGAGCGAAGCTCGTCGAGTTAGTGTTTGTGAATCCTAAATGAGGTGAACTCGTCAACGAATGAGGATGTGTGGGTGTGGGTGCTAGTGAATGAATTGCTGTCGGCGCAAGGGACTGCGTGTGTAGGAGTGCAGGTGAGGTGGAGGTGAGGGAGGCGGAAGTAAGGGGGCTTGAAGCGAGAGAAGGGTTGGAGGAACGAGAGCTCGACGGCGCGTTCGCACGGATTAACAGAACTTCTAGTTGAGATGATGTTAGTGAATCTATATCAACACGTCTAAGCGAATCCAGCTGGGGGCGGATTAAAGATTCTAGCTGCGGATGCGACAACCCATCCAGTGTGTGGTGAGGTAAATGTTCATTTTGATGGCGTCCCAACTGATGGGACTCGAGTTGTGTGGATTGCAAATGAGATGCAAGAGCATCATACTGCGATAGAGTGGGTGTGACTGGTGGTTGTGCGCCAACAAGAGGTACCGGAGCTGCAGATGGCGAGAATCTATCGTAGTGGACCTTCAGTGGTCGTCCATTGAATTCATACCTGAAATATAATCACGAACGATCAGCAAATGATCTAGAATCGGATGGTACAGCACGAGTAAAATGAATATATCAGCCAGGTGAATGGTGGCGCCGCGCAACGGCACAGAAATACGAGATTTTGAGGTCAAAATTTGAACAAAGGATAAATGCGTATGCGTGAAATAATGTGCGTGCACGCGCTCGTATGGCACATCGCACATTATATAGAAGGCTGTCACGTACCCATCAAACATCCTCCGCGCTCGCTCAGCACCATCCTCCGTAACAAAGTTGACGGTTCCGAACCCGCGGGAGCGCCCGTCAGGGCCCAGGGTAACATCTGCTCGAGCAACAGCACCCGCAGCACGGAACAGGTCCTTTAAATCCTGCCATTGGATGTGGAAAGGAAGCTGAAGTGGAAGAAGGGTGAGAAAATGACTTTGGGTGCTGCAAATCAAGAAGAAAATCATAATGACACATATATGTACAATCCCATACAATGATCATACGCAAGGGGAAAGAACCAATGGAGGAGGGAAAGAATAAACAGGTAAGAAGATTGACAGACTCACATTACCCACAAAGAGTGTTTTCATTCCAGTGCCACCTACGAGATCCTGTCCAAATGTAATTTCATCGTATATATTGCCTGCAGGTGGAAAAGCTGATGGGTGCCCATTTACGCCTCTCATTGCGAGACTCGCGCCCATTTCATCGACACTTGCGCCAAGCCTGTCGGGGCGCACTTCCAGGACTCTGTTCTGCCAGCAATATCCATTTAACATGTCGATTGCCCTTCCCGCATCCTCTGCGGTGGCCAGGAGGACAGTACCATAGCCTCGTGAACGATTATCAGGACCTAGTGATACGTCAGCACGCAAGACGGTGCCTGCGCGACGAAAAAGATCCTTAAGGTCCTGCCAACGGACACGATACGGGAGCTGCAATGTCCGGTCAGGGTTGATTAGGATTCAGGAGGGCCAAGACTTCATACATTTCCAATGAACAACTGAGTGCGGGTGTCTCGTAGGGAGACCGACTGGCGGCAATCCTGAGATTTGCTAGAAGATGTAGCCATTTGAATGATAGCCTCAATGTCATCATTTGTGGGACCTGGAGGCTCGGAGGTAAAACGAGCAGAGGAATCCTGTTGCGAGATGTGAAGGGGAGAGTTGGATAAAAAAGGCATTAGCACCTAGACAATAGTGGAAGACTGAAAGAAAGAGAAGGCAAATGGATGGACGTACAGAGAGAGACGCCATCTGGAGTGGAAGGCGCTAGTACGGCTGCAAGGGTATGGTTGACTTGGGTTTATTTATTTTAGGGTATGGTCTTCGCGATGAGTCGCGGCTTTATCGCCCGCGTAACGCGTCGGCTGCTACAAAATTGATCGTAGTCGAGTGTTTTACCAGGTTGGGAAATGCGCGGAGGACGTGGAGAACAGCGAGCTCGACCTGCGAGAAAATCAGGAAAGCAAATTTACGGGTATTGTAAATTAGGAACCAGAATAACCTAACGTTTCTTGCTGTTGCAGTGTTGCTGGGTGTCTGTTTCATTACACGGGTGCTCCACACCGACAAAAACAGGGTACCCTCCCTCTACGTCATTTTCCTTTTCTGGAAACTATATTCTCCACTCTCACCCTTCTTCTCATGACGCCAACCCAATCAGTTCTTCGATCTTCTTTCCTCCTACCTGGTATATGCCTCCACGACCTGCTGAGATGAGCGTTTTGCCATCATTCAGCTTCAGCTCCTGCGAGGTATGACATCGTCTTGAATCCTGGAAAAACACACTCGCTGCGCATTAAGTTAATGCCCTTTGCCTCGCAAATTGAATGACGATTCCATTCCTTTTAAGGTGTTTCTGTCAGGTAATTTGATTCCATTCGCAGTTCATACCGATAACTAATTAGGACCTCTAATATCGCCACCGGATCTAGAACAGCTACTAACGCCATTTTTCCACCTTCAGCTCAACGTGTTCAAGATCACCATGTCGATCCATAATATTTTTCATTTGGTGATTTTGGAACCGTTCCGAATGATCTATTGTTGGCAATGACGTTTGAGGACTACTGAGTTGTTGCTGACTGTTAGCTCCAGGACCAGGAGGCGAAGTTGCCAAAATTGGATCAGCGACATGCGCATGTGGTCGATCTATGTGACCTTGTGGAGACGTTTATGCGCGAGTGTGGACCATGCAGGGATTCAACAACGCTATAACAATTGTCGTTAATCTGATTGGGCATCGTCTCTGCATATCCAATCCGTGAGGCACTGGCAGTGGTATCTGAAGCTTCGGGCAGGCTCACAGACCGAGCAATATGAGGCAGTAGAAGCTTTGTATTACGGTGGTATGTGATTAACGAGGAATTGCAATCGATTGTCGGTGCACACACGCACTAAACGTCATAGTTGCGTGGTGAGTTTGGCCTAGTAGGTTATTTTTGGCGCTGAATCTCATGGTTAGTTCGTAGGTTTGCTGGTCTAGGGTTTACTATAGTCCATATAGTAATAATATGAAGGTTTTCGGTAACAACCGATCCTGAAGCCCTATGGATGTATTTTCATCAACTGCTCAACTCCCCGAACTCCCTGATGTCTTACAGAATCCACCTTGGAGAAAAAGTTAATCAATTGCCTCGCATTCTCGATTTCTCAGGTGTTGGCTACTGACGCATATCACGTATAGGTATTCTAGGCTGGATCGGTTCAGGGAGTACTCATGACCTTCTTCTAATTCGTAGAAGCTATATTGATTCGGAAAAAGCTTGCTACTACTAGTTTCGTGGTTTTTATTCCCGGACTCTGCATGCGATGTTTTACTGAATTCGTATCAGAGGACTGGTGGTCGTTCGACGCTCGATGTGTTTGACGAGCATCAAGATGCAGAGGTCGCACGATTTATGACTGATGAAAAACTTTTAACACACGATCAACATTGGTTCGAGACTATTCGGCGCTTGCACTCTGACGATGACTCAGCAGAGACCGCTGCTGATCATTCGAACAGTTTCTTGGCCTGACTCTCATACATCCGAAGAAGGCGAGAACTTTGCTACTGTATAGTCCTGAGTCGCAAGCGAGAAACAATTGCTGTGCATGTTGCGTGCCATAAGCATTGAACATTCGAAGGCCCTCGTTATGGGTGAGGCATGCTGCCGTTTTTTGATACTAATCTGTGTAGGACCCAGGCAGTGTGACCGTAACACCAGATGATGGGAGAGGGCAAGAGTAAGCCCGCTGTGAGCGCCAAGTGAGCTCAGATTCGCGCTTGCAGGCGATGCCAAGAACACTCATTTGGAACTGGGCGCTCGACGGGCGCTGATAGGCCTGTTTAGAGAAGACTGGTGCGTCTCTGAGTTTGCATCGTTTCCGCAGAAAATCTGCTAAGGGGCCTGGCTCAGCAGATGCCGCCGCCAAACTACAGCCAACCTCACAATCCTCCAAAGTCCTCTAACACCTCAGCATCTAACTACGCCCAATTGCGTCTACAACTGCCTCATGCCCACCTTTCAGCACCTCATTACCTTCCCGCTACCTCTCATGACTCCTGCTCTCGGTGCGAAGTTAATTTGAGGATTGGCAAGATGTCGTTTTTGATATATAAACCCTGGCTTGACTCCTGTACCCTGACCTGAGCCCCGGCCTGAGCCATAACCCAAGCCCTGCCCAAGCCCAGGTCCAGGCCTGAGCCAGGCCCGGCGCATCACTATTAGCGAGCGGATCTAATCGTGACAGGTAACACATCACTCCTGATGTACGTACTCCCCCTTTTCTTGTTCCGTGATAGAGATCATTTGGCAGGAATAAAAGACGACTCCAAGGTTCGTTACCTACCATTCTCCTACCTTCCTCACAAACACATATTCATCTGCTTTTTTGACCATGTCTGATCAATTTGTCCTTCCCGTCCAATACAGGATTGAGAGTGCCCGGTGGGAGGGGCAGTTAGTTTCCGTGGGAGGCGAACATGGCACTACCATCGTTGGCAACAAGCACAACATCGGTGGCACGCAAATTGTGAGTCGGACTCTAGTCTCCTGTCTTGCTGCTGCTGATCAGACGTGTAGTGGAAAGTCAAGAACAATCCTTCAACCGGCATGGTAACGTTCCAAGGCGTGCATCCGTACCCGGGGGAAGGAAAATACATTGCTGTCGGCAAAGAGGCAAGATTACTGTCCTTTCTTGATGTGTGCAACTCATACTGACTCGTTTCCATAAGGGCATATTGGTTTACAGTGAAGAGGCGTCATGGTTCCGCCTGGTCAGAGTCCCGACGGGCCTGGACACTTTTATGTACGTGCTCTCAGTGATTAGCGACTCTTGGCACAGGACCGACATTAAGTCTCACATTTTAGGGTGGAGGATGCCAAATATCACAATGGCTGGCACCTCCACAATAACCAGGATGGCTGCCCTGTAGGTCTTGATGTCAATATTTGAGCGTCTGTCCCCGCTCACGAGGCATACAGGTCACTCTTAACAATGTCTTGCTTCCAGGAGGGGAATGGAAGTTGACACCTGTTTTCTGATGTACTGAATAACGAAGTGATCATTTTTCCGTTTATCGTGTACTATTTGTAATCAAACACCTTTGAACAAAGCCGCCTTGCTTGCATCCTAGTCCTCAATTCCCCGGGCCATTTATATAATCTTGCGTGGTCTGCCCTATAAATAATATCTATCAAACTGATTAGATCGACTTTGAACGAGCGTGAGGATGTCCTCGAGCTTCCTTTGCTTGATGACCTAGATCCATGGTCAGGAAATGAATTCGAGCACTACTTCCCGCTTCCAGCGCTCAAAAACCCTGAACGATATTTGTAAATTTTCAATTGTCCTTCCATTGCGGCCAGCACGTCAGTTCGGGCACTAGATCCCTAACGCAGTCGTTGACATATCTAGTATCCTCATCTTCGTCCGCTCGCCCGTACATGTCCTGCGATATTGACCGCGACGACGCAACCAACAGCCTGGCTGCCGCAACCTCCAGCTGTCTGCACTGGTCCTGGATACTCTCCTACCTGAACAAGCCTTGAACTTTAAAGACAATTTGCCTGTCCACGCTCATGTACAGGCTGCTCGTACATCGGTCAAGAGAATTCAATGTAATTTATTGATTGAATTACAAAACACAGTGACGAGTGGGCTACGCTGCACATTGAAGTTCCGCTTCCGGGAAAGGAAGCAGAGAGCCGACAGGCGCCGCCCCACGAAGTGCGCTCGACCATTGAAGGAGGGCAGTAGTCCAGTCGAAGCCGTCTATTAGAGCTAGTTCGATCACGGTAGTGGAAGGGCGGTAACGGTTTTAGGCCGAAGTGCAGAATGCCCTGCGCAGTGGCGGCCGTTCCATAGGTGAAGGCAGCGCAAAAGAGCGGGCATTGGTTGCGACGTGAAAGTTGAGGTAGATGATATCGATGTCGAGCTAAGATGATGGGTAGCGGCGTGATATTTTGCAGTGGCAGTAGCGCAATACTGTGATTTTGGTACCAAGTCGCAGGGTGGGGAAACGTGGATAGGGAGGGGGGGTAATAGCAAGAGTAAAGAACGGAGCAACCAAGTTACCAAATGCTTGAGTACTAGGTGATTGGGGGTCTGGCAGTGACAGGGGGAAATCCAAACAAACGCCTTTTTTGTACTGAGAAGCTGATCACTCTTGAGTCTTGCTACTTTCCATATTTTTGAACGTTCCGAAAGATCTAATTGTTGGTGATGACATGTGACATTTGAGGCCTGCCAAGGACTAGTGAGTTGTTGCTGCCATGGGCTCTAGGTCCAGGAGGCGAAGTTGCCGAAATTGGATCAGCGGTATGTGCATGTCCCCGATGTTTATGTGTGAGTGCTGGACTCCCTGCAGCAGAGCTTCGATAATCGTCGTTATTTTGATTGGGCATCGTCTCTGCATCTCCCATCCCTGAGGCCTGATGTTGGACCTGAATAAGAATATATCTATGAGGTACTGAGAGTGGTGTCTGAAGCTTCGGGAAATGCTCACAGACCGATCGAGTAATACGAGGCAGTAGAAGCTTTGTATCACTGTGGTAAGTATCTGATTCATAAGTATGTGAACATTGACTAGGAATAGTGATCGGTCCATCGCTGGTGCCACCACGTACGCACCGGACGTCCTAGTTGCATCTGGTGAGGTCAGTTTTGCTGAATCCCATGGTTGGTTAGTCTCAACTATCTTCATTCTATTTGGTCTGCCTATGGGAGACTAGTCTGGGCTCAATCAGGGGCGGTCATATAATGATAGTATGAAGGTCTTGAATTCGAGTTGTATTCAGGTAAGGTGACGTTAGATGCTCAACGTTTGATGCATGTGTTTTCATCAATATCATATACTTGTTGTGCGGTCCACTTCAGCGGCGCTAACCCCTAGCCAGACCTATAACCTGAGAAGAATTGTTACCTTTACTCTCTGCTTAATAGTTCTTGCTGGATCAGGTGGATAAGGTTTATTTTTATTTTATATTTATTTTAAAAAATCAATTTATTGTCCTTTGGGCTCGTACATAGACCATATGTTGGACATGGCCCTGTTCGCGGGGGGGCTCAGGTGGATAAGGTTATGAAGGACAATCCAAGGTCCGTATGAACGGTGTACGGCAGAATCGGCTATAGAGGTACGTTTGCAATCATGCCTCGGTTCATTACAGCAGCGCTCCCATCGCTTCTGCTCCCCTCCCCCCTCGTCCTGAACCCCTGAACCTGAGCCCTGGCCTGGCTCAGACCTACGCGAAGTCCCGACCCCAGCCATCTAAATCCAGACCCGGCGCACCACTAATAGCGGAATGGTACACATGTAAGTTGTAACGTATCGCTCTTTATGTACATACTCTCCCTTTCGCCGTTCCGTGATAGAGATCATATAAAAGGCGACTCCAAGGTCTCGTCACCCAGCATTCTCCTACTCTCCTCATAAACACATTCATCTGAATTTTAACCATGTCTGATAAAATCATCCTTCCCGTCCAATACAAGATTGAGAGTATCCGGTGGCAGGGGCAGTTCGTTTCCGTAGGAGGTCAAGATGGCACTACTATCGTTGGCAACCAGAAAATCATCGGTGGCACGCAAACCGTGCGTCGGGTTCTAGTTTACTACCTTGCTGCTGCTGATCAGACACGTAGTGGAAAGTCAAGCACGATCCATCAACCGGCATGGTGACGTTCCAAGGCGTGCAGGGTTCTTACCCGGGGGAAGAAGGAAAATACATTGCTCTCGGCGAGGAGGCAAGTGTACTTTATTCGATGTGCGCAACTCCTACTGACTCTGGTCCTATAAGGGCATGTTGGTTTACAGTGACGAGGCTTCATGGTTCCGTCTGGTCAAGCTCCCGACGGTCACAGACGCTTTCATGTACGTGCTCCCAGTGACTAGCAACTCCTGGTATAGGATTAACCTTAAGTCCTACATTCTAGGGTGGAGGATTCCAAATATTCCATTGATTTTTTCAATGGCTGGCACCTCCACAATGACCAGGATGGCTGCCCTGTAGGTCTTGATGTCAATATTTGTTCATCGCCACTCACGGAAGGCACACAGGTCACTCTTAACAATATCTTGCTTCCTGGAGGGGAATGGAAGTTGATACCTGTGTTCTGATGTACTTAATAACGAAGTGATCATTTTTCCGTTTATCGTGTATTATCTGTAGTCAAAGTACTGCAGACCTTTGAACAAATCCGCCTTGCTTTCCCCAATGGCGTGTGTAGCTCTGTTGTCTTGAGTGAATTACCTTGATTAGCATGCATTGAAACAGCCCGGCATTTTCTTGGTGCTACTCTGTACTGTGGTTGTCGCACTCGTCAGGAAAAGTTCAGTTCGGATTGCAGGCGCACCCCGCAAAGGTAATACAAACGATACTGCACAGATGTCCTTGTAGCACTACGGGCTCCACATCTTGCTCTTGACAAACTCTAACAAGCGCGTGTCATTCATTCTTTTCAGATCAGTTGAGTTGTCCACGCACTAGAAATTTATTTTCAGCCTCTGACTGCTTGTTAGGCTCGTAGCCAACTAGACATACCGCTCTCTGCGCTGCACGTATGACCTTGACAGCGATGTCTGCACTGATCTCCCTGATGCGCTCGATACGGGGGTATACGAGTTCCAGTGCCCGTTCATCCCACGAAAGAGAGCCCGCCAATCCGAGTGCAGATGCTTCTACCATACTGTCCGTTACGCTCTTGGCGCGGCACAGTATCGCACCCAAACCAAGCCCTAAGATTCAGCAGTTAGCTCAGACACAAGCATAGAACGAGAAAGATAACTTACCGGGGAAGATGTACATATTATTACCCTGGCCCGGTTCCCTCCTGACGCCACCAATTACCTCGCTTCCAAACGGCGAACCACTCGCAAAGATGGCGGTGCCGTTACTGTGTGTCAGGGCCTCGGCGAAGGTGCACTCTGAGAGATGAACGGGGTTGGAGAGAGGGAAGATGATGGGACGGGACGTGTTCTGCGACATGACACGGATGACTTCTGGGGTAAAAGCACCCTGAAGGAGAGTGAGCACGACAGTGAATAGGAATATAGGTTTGCATCATACCGTGATGGTTGAGAGACCAAGAAGTGCAGTTGGCTTCACGAACTTGACGATTTCTGTGAGGTCCTTCATTGGAAGACCTGTGTAATGCCTCCTTGCGAAATCTGCGGCGTAGCTTGTCAAGTGTGAATCATCCTTCCAAATGAATACAAAGCATACACATTTTATAGTCAGCGACCTCTTCCCTGCCGACGTACACGAGTCCCTTCGAATCGACGAGCCAGATCTGACGCCTGGCTTCTTCCTCGCTCATCCCAGCGAGTGTGAAGAAGCTCATAAGCTGCTTAGCGACGCCTACACTAGCGCTTCCTGCGCCAAAGAGCAAGATTCTATGTTCATTGCGCGGGATGGGCACCAGTCGTGCAGCGGAAAGCAACCCCGCGAGGACAACAGCACCGGTACCTTGGATGTCGTCGTTGAACAACGGGAGACTATTCCGGAAACGCGCAAGGTAGGAGAATGCATGGTCGGTGGAGAAATCCTATCGTCCACTAGGGCGTTCATATCTGCAGAATGAAAAGTTGAAGGATGGGTACGAACCTCGAATTGCACCAAAACCTTGGGGTAGACACGTCTCATCTCAGTGACGAACTCATCCATGAAGGCATCATATTCCGCTCCAGACGGTCGGCGCTGGCGCAGGCCGAGGTACAGGGGGTCAGAAAGATTACCGGAGTTCTCGGTTCCGAGGTCAAGCGTGATGGGGAGAGTGGACGACGGACGGATGCTAAAGTCTATTAGTCGGAGGTCACACGAATACTTAAGACTGGGGGCGTACGCACCCAGCACCGGCGACGTAAAGAGATAATTTGCCAACAGCAATGGGCATCCCATTTACACCAAGGTCACCAAGCCCAAGGATGCGCGAACCTGGTGCATGTTATCAAGCACCGATCATCTGATAAAATGGGGTGACACGGACCATCCGTTACAACGCTGATCCGAGCCTCGTTCACAAGGGGCCAGTTGCGCAGAATGTTCCCAATTTTGCCTTTATCCTTGAGAGAGATGAACTGCAGCTCCATTAAGAGAAGGAGATCGAGGAGATGATTGAATTCATACCAAACCCTCGGGGTGTCTGTAATTTTTTGAGTACTGTAGACATGCGTCACCGACAGTTGGTGTGTAGATTATAGGTGTGATCTCCTATGTATATGTACGCAAGATAGTCATTTGTGATTTCCAGACTCTGACACGGGCACAATCATACCGGCATGTTCTCGAGGCATAGCTTGTAAAAGGCCTCAACATCTGCTTGCTTGAGTTGCGCGAGGAAGCTATATTTCTCGATCGGGGATAACTTGGAACGCAATTGGAGGAGGGTACGATCCAACTGAGCTTTTACACTGAAAGCTGGTGGGGCGAGGCCTGGCACAGCCAGGGCTTTAGCTGAAGACAGTAAAGATTCAGCGCGAGGTGAGTATAAATGGGTTAGACTAAACGCACCCCGACCTTCCATCTTGAGCTTCTGGATGCCCTCGTCGGGCGACCAGTAAGGAGTAAGTACAATAGTCATGTTATATAGTTTACGGTAAGAAAGATGTGGAAGGATAGTTACAAGCTTGAGAAGGGAGACAGAAAGGGAGAGAACAGTTAGAACGGACAAGAAAATGAGAAAGTGTTGAGCAAGAAAGGATCGTCACGGGGTATATATAGACGTAACTTAGTGCTGTGAATAGTGGTCACTGAGCGTGTCAATGGGCGGTGTGTGGTGTGAATGCAGATCTGGTTAGCTGCGACCATGGAAGCCGCACACCACATTTGGTGACGCCGTGATGAAGATCGCTCTGACACGCCCACGCAAGAGGTTACCCGTCCCCAGTGGTTGCGCATGGATTTGAGAAACATTCACAGTAGTCAAGTACTGCATCAACTATGAGTGACAAATACACAAACACCCTTGATCATGTAATGATCTCAAAGGTGAGGGAATGTACTTCCGTAGACTTCCGTTCGTCAGGGTTCCTGAGTAGTTCTGTCTTCAAAAAGAATCGGGGCGAGGATTCTTACCCCCATAGATTATTTATCCTGCATACATTGTCCCATCTTCGTCCGTCACAATATCCGCAGGGGTTGGATTATCCAGGTCATGACTCTCTTCTCCTCGAGTAACGAACCTATCAAGCATCGTTGGTTCACTCTGACTCTCCGCATTCTGCAATGCCTTAGGCTTGCGATTCTGCGGCGGTTCCGTGGGTTGAAAAGCGATGATCTCTACATGCGAAGCTATGAAAAAAGAAGGAGATGATCACGGCGAGGAGCAACATACCCTCGAGGAACATGAATTCCTCTGCTCGCCGCACTACACTTGCTATGAGAGAACGAAACTGAGAAACGAAGTATAGAAATGACACGCCCCAGACGCACCGACATCCTTCTGTTGCACAGTTGCTCTCTTCTCCCGCTCTGCAAGCTTCTGGCATGCCTCTGAAAGTCTTCTAATGAACTCCTCGGTGGCAAGTGAGATTACGAAAGTCGCATCGCGCGCGACTATTGGAAGTTCCTGCAATGCTGAATGACACTGTATACTCCTTGATCGTGGTCCTTTATAAAAACGCACCTTGTCCGCTTTGATTATCTTCTGCACTCTTGAGAATGGCAATATTGACTTCCCCAGCTCGCGCTCACGCTGCGGCTCCTTGTCTTTTCGTTTCTTGGTCAGCGCACCTGAGCTCGATTCGTTTGCGGGCTCTTCGTCGACAACCTCTACGCTCTGCATATCTTCCGTGGATGTCAAGTCATTTTGCTGTGTCTGTGCTTCAGGGACAGACATTATCGATCAGTGGCGGCGTTGGCTAGCCTAGGACAAATTCAGCCACAGACGCGTCGCCGCCGCCGCCTGCCATGCCTTGGACCTAGCCATGTTGTCACGTCCGCGCACTGCTAAATCGAATACAAATTCACCGACGTCACTTCTAGTAAGACCAGTTCCTCAAGGAGCATAGAATGCAGGACTACATAGTTCCCCAACTACACACTGGCGCGTATCCTCTCAGCTAGCTCTTCCGTACGGTTTTTCCAACTCTTAATCATCCCTATGTCGAACTCGCGCTGGTGCATCCACCCTTCGAATTTTCTCTCCAATTCCGCTCCTTACTCGGAGCAGGTGATGACACAGATGATACAGTAGTAAACCTAGGACTGAGGACTCACGTTGTCGTTGTGACCTTCCAAGGAAATGTTCAAGTCGGCAAGCAATACCGCCGTGCATACTTTTGAATCTTGGTCACACACTTCAGGCCAATACACCGCATGCAACCACATCACTCCCCGTACCCTTCGTGAGGCCGTTCACTCCCTTCGTTATGGCTTGCACCACCACACTACCATTCTGGTGGAAGTTCTGATGCCCTTCAATGATAATCTTCGAGAACGCGAGGGTATGTGGTTTTCTCGCAGGATTGATATAGGCCAGTACATTTGACGACGTAATCTCATCCAGCGCAACATTCCTAGATAGTAGGATCATTAGGACCTTCTCACCTTCTCACCTTCATATCATCGAAGCGAAGATCCTGGACAAGGATCGCAGCAGCTCCTTACAACGTCATATTCGTGCCGCTGCGAGACGTCGCAGAAACTCGTCGCTTAAGACCTTCAATCGCAGGTTGACCTACGTCCATGTGACCTAACAGGCACTTGATGACTGCGGGAGGCCGCTGGGACGTTGCCCAACGAGGCCAATACTATCAATAACAGACTGGTGAATGCCGCTATGGTAATGAAATCCAACACATCCTTGGACACACGATTTATGCGTTTCAGCTTCTCGTGCATAAGGTACGTGGCAGCTACTTGTACACTGAACACTGGAAAATACTCGCCACTGCGCATTCCGCCCATGATAGCGAAGCTTCGACTTCGACTTCCGCTTCTGTAGCGGATCAAATCAGTGACTGCGCAACTGCAAAGAAACTAGGTCACGTCTTGAAGATCACTGTATGTGACTCTATGTTGGTTGCTTTCAACGTCTCGCATCGCAATAGGAACAAATGTCGCATATGAAGTACACATTAATTGTATACATTCGTTTGTAAATTCGCATCCAATTGATATGAATATGCAAGACGTGAAGTTGCTTTCGGGCAAACTGAGACTTGCATTACTTATGCCAGTGTGTGACTTAATACACGCGTGACGCTTCCTCACGTGTCTTTTGTCACGCAACCGCGTCAAGAGAGTCTCATCTATCGTTAAGACCACCGTGATCGATATCAACAGAAAACTTACTTACTGTCCCTTCTTTCAACAATGACCGACTCTGCAGAGACATCACCGGAGGTGATGCTTCAGTTCTACCGCATGCTGTACCCGTTCAAATCCATCTTCACCTGGCTCAACCAAGAGCACACGCCAAAAGATTTATTTACAAACCGCGAATTCGCATTTACTCTCCAGGGAGATGTGTATCTACGTTACAACTGCTTTGCAAACGCAGAAGAACTCAAGAAGCAGGTGTGCGCACTCAATCCGACGCGTTTCGAGATCGGGCCCATGTACTCATCTCGGGTGAGTTCATCCATCGATTTGCCTAACGCTCGCGCTGACGAATTGAAAGCCAAGTGAGCGGAAACTGGCACGGTCTGTAAAGTCGGGGAAGCTCTTCACTCCGCTGAAGCGCGAGCTGGTATTCGATATCGATATGACTGATTATGATAGCGTGCGCACATGCTGCACCTCCGCAGGAATATGCAAGCGCTGCTGGGCATTCATCGCCAACGCTGTGCGCGTACTCGACACGGCCTTGCGTACGCAATTTGGGTATCACCAATTGTTATGGGTGTACTCGGGTCGTCGAGGTATCCATTTGTGGGTCAGCGACGACGAGGCCATGGGGCTTACCGACGAACTACGTAGAGCCGTGGTTGGGGCGCTTACTGTGATAGAGGGGGGTAAGGAGATGGCCAAAAAGGTGAATGTGAGAGGCATCGTCACCAAGAACCACGCGGGAGAACTGCCACCTTCTCTGTGGCACGCGCGCGATGAAGGGAGTAGGATGTGGTATCCACTGTTGGATGACCAAGAATGCTTCTTATCTGAGGACGGCTGGCGGGCACTGCTTAAACTCGTCCCGGACAAGAAAATCGTTGAGACCCTCGAGCAGCGCTGGGAGAAGCAGCCTGACATCAAATCGTCAAAGAAGTGGGACGAGCTGAAGGCTGAGGTGAAGGGTACGGGTGTATGTCCCTCACTCCCGCTATCCATGCCGTTCCTGACTCCTCACAGGTCCGAAATCTTGCTGCTCTGGAAGATATTATCCTGCAATATACATATCCACGCCTCGACGCCGAAGTATCCAAGCACCGAAACCATCTTCTTAAAGCACCGTTCTGTGTGCATCCTAAAACCGGTCGAGTCTGCGTCCCCGTGGACCCGAACCGCGTGGACAATTTTGATCCTAATGCAGTTCCCACAGTCATGCAGCTCCTTCAAGAACTCGACAAGGCAGGCGAGGGTGCAAGTGAGTGCATTGTTTGTGACGAGCCTGTTGGTTTCACTCATATTCTGATTCAGATTGGGAGCACACGAGTCTCAAGCAGTACGTCGACATGCTAGACAGACATGTTGCGGGGATTTTGGATGATGTCCGGAGGAGAGAACGGGCAAAACCTGTGCTTCAACGCGGTACGTGGGTTTGGTGTATTTTAGGGACATCCAAATTTACTGGCATTTCGCTCCAGATCTCAACTGGTGATAAAAAGATTCATTTGTGTCTTATCATACAGTATTGTAACAATATCGTTTGCTCTGTTGTATTGTATCACAACTACGATCTCAGTAGTTTCTTCATTTAAAAAACATCCGCGAGTGACGCGTGATGTCACGTGTGACAACCTGATAAGAGTAAGACAAAGGGTGGGATGCATTGACCAATCCCGATCGGAGGGCACTATCGTGCTCACGCTCAACATTGTATGTTACATACTTATGCACTTGTTGTCCTTGGGAATGCCCCCCTCCACGCTAGGTGTCGTCGTTGAATAAAGCCATGACTACGTCGTCAACGAATCATTACTCGCAGCTCTCATCAACGTCATTGTCCGCCCCCACTTCGACGTCGACAAGTGATGGAAATTCATTGAATAGCGGTTCAGCGCTACTCTTTGGCTTCCTTGTCAGTGTTTTGTCCCTCTTTGGCCTGTTCATGGTCAGTGGGCTCGTATGGCATCGTCTGGTCATACGGCGCCGGATGATCGATGACATGTTACGGGTCAATATCCCCTCGCAGAGGAGGGATATGCGGAAGCCTTCACTGTGGGATGTACGGGCTTTGCTAGGTCAGGACTGTTCACGATGGAGTGACACGCAGGTAGCGCCCATTTCTCAATATTACATAGGTCCTTCTGATCTCTTCTCACCGTCACAGCCGCTAGCAGCAGAAAAGTACGACATGCCATTGCCACCGCTGTTGAACAGCCAACCACCAAGAACTTCTTTCTGGAAACGTCAGGTTCTTGACCGCATACCACGCGAGATAACCTATCTCTTTTGTCCTCCCACCCTAGCCCAAGTGGCTGACTCCCCACTTTTGAATCACTCGAGGGTGGAGCTCCCGGTGGATCAATCTGACGTTCAGGTTTCGGTCTTGATAGCTATGCCGCGACCCCCAGACCCGCTGTTACCTTCGTCGAATGGTGTGGGATTGAAGAAGCACGAACCATTGTATGAGATTGTTATTGGGACAACGAGCGTGTACTATCAGGACTCGTACTCTGACTTGGACTCGCGGTAGTCGTGGCGCTTGTATTGCCTTTTTACGATTGATACGTGTTTCGTGTTATCTTTCTGCTTTGACGTGCCTTACCAGGGTACTTATATTAACTGTTGCACTATTATAGACTTGGACTCTTGGCTATTCTGGGTTGCGCTTCGCCCGCCTTGCAATGCTTGAAACTTGAGGCGCAAGTACCAGGTTGTTGTTCGTTGTTCGCACAGTTAAACGGGTTGACAGCTGCTGCTATTGAGAGCTTTCCTAGGGTAGTCGCATGGTTATTTTTGTGGCCTGACAACCTTAACGCCTTTTGCTTACGTCCTCATCAGCGGCGCGTACAGCAAGACGATATCATCTGATAGGTCCTGCTAACAAGTAGTGTCTGTCTAGGGTCGCGTGCTCTCTTGAACCGGTTCTTGCAAGGTAACTCTGCCCCGAACTCATGAGTTATATGGGCGTTCTCTCCTTTCTCCACGGGAAACATGTCCGCCCCTGTTTGGAAACGGCGGCGCCGGCGCCGTCGGATATTCACCACTTATCTCTCTCCACAAAAGCCTCATGTTATCGGAGCGTAACGTCGGACCCGCATCCATTGACTCGACTGTGACTTTTCCATCAATCTCGAGGCATGTCAGTGATACATACGTGCGTCATTATCGACCGCATTTAGATTCGGTTTATCTCCTTTCGCACGGGAAATCGCTTTGCGCTAGGCTTTGACATTTGCAAATTCATGTTTTCACTGAGTATTTGTGTCCCCCCACTCCGCTCGGCCTATGCCCCACACCGCTTTCTAGGAGGCGGTGGAGTATCTTCCACTGCCTTCCTCTTCCTCGCACTAATACAGCATGTTCCCCCCTGTTCTCCCCCGCGCCTGCCATAACCATTTGTCACTTCACACACCCAACATCAGAACGTGGTGTGGCTGGTGTGCTTACAACAAGAATGTCGTACGATCATTAATAGCTATTTCTCTTTCTGGTACACGAAGACGTCAAACTCAAACAAGGCGCGTTCACGCGTCACCTGTTTCGGACAGAATGCGCGGTGCGCTCTTTGAAGAGGCAAGTACGTCACATTCTGTTGGTACCGACTGCGGCATTTTGCATTCTGCAGTGGGGCTCTGATCATGATCACCGCGAGGCATCAATACCAGGTATGGAATTTTTGTTCATGTATAAAAACTCTTCTTGAATATGTCCTCCCGCAACCTCCCAAACTACGTTCCACATTTCACCCACCATGTCCCGCACGCATGGTGTCAAGCTCAATCCCCTTATTACTTGTCCTCCCGCCGGGGAGCGCTATTACGTACCAGTTCCCCTACAATGGGACGTGCGCTACCATCCAGCGCGTTCTGCACACATAGCAGATATGCCTCTGTTGCCATCCCACTTGTCACAGTTTGCAACTAATCCCCCTCTTCCAAAGTTGCACCTGGTCTGTGACCTCTTATCCCCAGAATGGGTGATTGTAGCCCGTAATCCCACCGGGGTGACGGTGCAGGATGTGCTAGAAGCGATTTATGAGACGCTCCACCGCCTTCTGCAGATGCATGAGTGGGAGAGCATGTCGCTCAAGCAGCGCTGTCGAATTGAAGATGTACACCGTGCGCGATGCAGGGCGTCTTCGAACCCCGAGCGCACACGCTTAGTGGGTGTCAGCAGGACAGACTGTCTGCTCTCAACTACCATGTTTGCCGGACTGACCTCGTTGGTCAGGAGGAGAGAGCAGTGGCAGGTGGTCCTCACGCTGTCACGGCATTTCAGACCCCGCGTCTACTAGCCGTGTCCCCCTATATTCCTCGCAGTGCTGTGGCGCATTTCATTATGAACTAATTTGCTCAATTGTAGGTTTATTGTACTATGCCAGACTCCTCCTGTTCGACATCGGGTTTGTGTTGTTAGTGTCCCATCATCATCTGTATATCATTTGCCCTACGTATCCCGTTATCGCTTGTATCACTTTCGAATCATGTACTTATGGCTTGCCTGTATTGTTACCCGAGTCAACGTTGAACGTTGAAGTATACCGTAGTATTACAATTCTCAAAGTATGAACTGGTTGACGATCGGAAATTGGATGTGATCTGATTGAATTCTGAAGTGAGACAAGGCACTGCATATGCATTTCGAGATGAATCTCAGGCCCCATGTTTCTGGTTTTATGTACTAAGCACTTGCGTTCTGGGTCGAGGCGGTAACATGGTGATCACGACGCTGGTAGCTAGGCCTGGCCAAAGTTGGGCTGCGCTGTTCGTTCTAGGCTCGTGACCAGCATGGCGTACTAAGTAGTATAAGTACTGCCATGAACAAGTCGAGTGGTGACTACATCAAGCTCTGAGTCCTAACATCTCAAAGACTGGCAGTCCAGACTGGTTAGTACTACGAGTCTATGTTCATTCAACTTCAAGTTTCATTGAAGGCCCATACGCCGGACTCAACGTGTAGTATTAGGTCTAGGGGTATAGTACCGTACTCAGCAGTCAAGGGCCTCCGACGTTTCTAGGCAAGTGTTACATAAATCCCTCTAACGTCCGTAAGGATACAGAACTAATAAGTAAGCAATAGGTATCCCCGTGCCATACATAGATCTAAGATAAGTTACAGCATGCGATCATCTCGACAAATGAACACAAGAAATCGAAGATGCGGCCAAGCAGTCCGAAAACTTCCATAAAGTCCTCTGCTCCGTCATCCATCTTTACTGCATGACACCTCCATCGACCCTATGCAGTACTCTCCCAACTCCGTATCATGGAACAGCTCTGGCGTAGACCCTGGATCCGATGCTTGAGAGCTTGCAGCAGTGTCGCACTTCCTAGGCGACGGCATAGCGATCGTGAAGGACATCACAACGGACGAGCCCTGCGTCAGCAATAAAGCACTTGACCCAGGCCGTTCAGACATATAATCAAGTTCATGCGCTGGAGGCTCTGGCGGAGGTGGAGGTGTGGGATTCGGAGTGGGTCGGAAATACTGTCTGATAGCGGACCTCATCGTAAAAGATGAATGGGAAGAATTTCGAAGTCGTGGCTCGACATTTTTTGTCAAAACCAATTCTTCTATTGGACAGAACAGCGTGGCACAAAAAGGCTAGGGATCGGCGAGCCAATAGCAAATGAGCCCTATGTTTTATCCACACCGATTGCGGAACTTGGCGCACCGTGATATTTTCCCATCTCGTATCGATCATCACCCCCTCTTCTCTTCGTGTCCACATTTCCCAAAGTGCAGGTTTCTCTCCTAACACAACCGGTTTCTTTCCTGGGCGAGGAGCTGGCCTGACAGGGTGTACCATGAGTCTCCCCCTGTGCATCCTCTTCCACCCGAACAAGGCCGCCATGGTCACCGTAAATAGCCCGATTGCCAGAAAAGCGACCACAAGCGTGGGTGATCCATTCATGGTGAAAATACCACCCATCAGCGGCCCATTGTTGTTGTTAGAATGGTTTGTGCTAGAAGGTTGTGGGGAGAGCGAGGTAGACACGCTTGCTTGACTGCTCGTTGATGACATGTTGCAGTCTTAGCATGGCGCGAGGCCGTCAGTCAGGTGAAGTAGGGCACTGCACGCAGCCTTGAGGCGGGCTTAGATGTGATATCCTCAAGACATGCTGCAGGCTCCGTTATATAAGAACCTGCAGGCGTGCGTCCCACAATATTGGTCTCCAGTGCCTTGGGGACGATGGTCTCACAGTGGAGAGCGAGAGCAGGTACTGAGAGCCATGCCGAGCAGGGAACAACGCCAATGGAAGGGAGTCCCGTGATAGATCTGCACCCTTTAATGCACGGAACTCCACTTTTCAGGGTAAGATTGGACCGATAAAACAATAATAGAATCAGCCCATAGGGGCCCATAAGAAACATTGGGAATTCGCCGTAAAGGTACAAGTATCCCGATCCACCTATCACAGCTACAGTTGAAGGATATTGTACAAGGAAATAACAGAACAACGACACAAAGAGTAGCAGAGGAAGTGATGAAAGCTCGAGGCCTCGTGAGTGCTCTTAAGGTTTTCATCACTGCCGACGCTTGATTCCCACCCGGCACTCCAGTGGCTTTCGCAGGAAGCCTTCCCGGGTTTCAAACTAGGTCACCGAAGTGAGTTCGTGTGATATGGCCAGCATTCAGGGAACATACCACTTTATCCGGGTCAGCCAGGACAAACTGGTAGCGTCGAAGAATAGATGAGATGATAATCAATAGTTCCATAGACGCAAGGTTGCGTCCCACGCATGCTCTGAGAGTTAGATAGTTAAAATCAGCAGATCAGTGATCATATGATATGAAACACGTGTACCTGGGCCCGTAGGAAAACGGATTGAAGCCTTTTTGCAGAGTGGCATTATCACGCTCGAACCACCTTTCTGGACGGAATACATCCGCATCTTCTCCCCACACTTTGGTGTCCCTATGAATCGTGTAACTTGGAACGCTCAGAATAGTGCCTTGGGGGAAGTGAATATCTCGGATGGTCAAGCCGCCTTCAGGAGTGATACGAGGAAGACCCAAGGAAGATGTCGAATGAACGCGTAAGGCTTCATTGATGACTGCTTCCAGATAGGGTAGACGTTTGACCTGTTCGTACGTCGAAACATATTCATCTTCACTGCCGAGGGCATCGTCAAGCTCCTTCTGGAGCTTGTCTTGAACACGAGGATTGGCGGCGAGGTAATATGTGATGGCACATGACGAGCTGAGAGGAATGGGGAAGGTGATACCATGATTAGCTGGAAGACTTACTTGGAAGTAGTGTCGGAACCGGCAATAAGCTGAGTGAGGGCTTCTGCAGTGAGCTCTTCTCTGCCCATGAGATTGCCCTCATCATCGCGGCCCTCTTGCAGCTTACTCAAGAGATCGACGCGGTCCGTTGGAGTAGTAAAACGTTTGGCGACAGCAGCGACTGCAAGACCAGCTAGATTCTTGACGGCTATTCCACCTTTGCGGTACCAGGGAAGCAGACGGACCCAAGGTCGCCACGCGGGAGGTAGAGCGCCCATAGAAGCCGAGAACTCTCCACGATCATTAAGAATCTGAACGGCGGGAATGTCGACGAATGTACACTCATTCTGTGACCCGTAAGAGTTCATGACATCTTTCTGGGAGACAGCAACAGGTGCAGAGTCCTTGGCGTTTATGATCATTCCGAACGGTGAGCCGAATGCCAAGTCGCCAATGATATCGAATGCCAGATAGTTGTACCCTGATGTGACAGGCACTGAGTGCCACGGAATTTAGACGCGGCAATTACTTACATGGAAGACAATCAAGCCACAAACGACCTCCCTTGCCGAACCAACCACCTTCTCCGTCGGAGCCGGACTGGGTTTTCAGGGCTCCGTCGAACAAGCGGTCCCACTGATTCATGAACTGGCCGACATAGAGACGGATAGAAGGCTCGAACTCTAAGACATTCTTTTGCGAAAAGACATGAGAAACGATCTTGCGCTTACGCGCATGGTCAGCGCGGTTCCTAGTATTGAACAAACCACGGTGAATGGAGACGAAGGCGTCATAAAAGTTGGATTTGAGGGTGCCGTTTCCATGTGCGTATACAATTTGCAGTGCGTCCGGGTCGGCGATAGAGACATGATTTGGTGCAAGACGGACAAATGTTCCTATAGGGTGTAAGGTGAGCTGAAGCCCGTATAGGTCGAGTGATGAAATGGCTACCGTATTTTTTGTGTAACTGATGTACAACGTCTGAGCGGTGACCTTGACTCGCTACCCAACCTAGCCAGACATCGGAAAAACGTGCAAGCAACGGTCCTGGTATGCTCCGTTGGTTGTAAGGATCTCTGAGATAAGGAATCACATGGGCCAACAAGATGGGTACTGGGACCAGCAACAGAACGGAAAGGTAGTTGAGGTCTTCAAATGGGAGAAAGAGAGATTTGATGACGGTAAGCAAGTCGGACGACATTTCTGACTGTAATAGCCTTCGTTGAAGAGACGAAGAAAGGACCCTGTTCACGCGGAGCTATGCAATTAAAATGTCTTTCATATATTTCACATTGTCACGGTGGGCGCTCATGTACATACGGGAAAGGGGATTATTCGGTACCTCCCCTCACATCAGCTGTTCTTGAAATTGATTTACACACTTTCTTGCTAATATCGCGAGCCAATTGCGACGTGTCTGTACTATTGTAAGCTATTGCAAGGCCATTGCCATAGGATTGCAACCGCATTTCTATGGCAATTTCAAAGATGACTATTATAAAAACCCATTTCAAACCCCATTTTGTCTTTAAACCGCTGAAAGCCAAATTAGGAATTTCCGACACAGCGCATTTGCATAAAATTTGATGAAAGGCAATCACATTCGAAGCAAAGTCATTGATGAAAATTCACTTATTTCCCTACTGATCGGCAACACTGTGTGTTATCAAAAATTTCAGCCGTCTGAAACGAGGGCAGAACCTGACCCTACGGTTAGGTCTCAGCCACGTCAGCGCCTTCGTTGGATACCAGCGTCGACATGGCGGTTTTGTTGCATTCCCTCCATGTGGGAGTCAAGGTTTCGCCCTCTCGTCAATACCAGCTGAAACCATGGTCTTGTTGGAATCCGGTGAGACGAAGGAAACGGAAGACGGACTGTAGAAGATGAGAGTGAAACAGTACGAGCACAACCAGTGAGTACGACGAGGTGATGCGTCGACGTCGGCCGAGGCTCGTTGATATTGGAATGTCTATCTCTAAGTAATGGACAATTTACTTATCATTTACTTATCTATCCTATCCATACTATAAAGGACCGAATGAGTCGTTAGAACATCTCAGGTCTTTTCATAGAGCCTGAGATGTAAGTCTCATATATTTTTTGCGTTATTCTACAGAGCTAACATACCATTAGATATTTATTCTACTAGGTACTTTACCCGCTCTTACTGAGGTCTTTTCATAGAGCCTGAGATATATTTATTCTACTAGCTCCCGCTTCATGCGCTGCTCGCCTGAACTCACTTTAGGTCTATCCTCGATAGGGCGACCTCGTGAGGTTTAATATTTGTATATTGTATATTAATATATATATATATATATTGATTAATCATACAGTGCCTTGATCCTGCATGCACGGCTGCTCGGATTCAGCTTCAGCCAGCCAGCCAGGGCATTAAAATACTGGATGAATCAATGGTATTTGTACTTGCACCCACTGCTCAGTGCTAGATACAGGATGCATGACTATATAGCAGGGGTAAACCTGTGGTGCGCAGACATCAACCCATACCCATACCCCCAGCTCTGAATCGTGACTCTCGCCTCGACAGCCTTTCCTATCGCGCGCATATATTCTCCAGCAGCGTGAGAAAGCACTTGGAGGCATATGGCTGCTTTTGTTATCATGTCGTCAGTCGAGGCCATCAGCATCAAGAGCAATCTCACTCACCCATCCAAGGTTGATGTTACCAGTGTTCAGCTGTTGAGTTTGAGCCTATGCTGGAAACAGTGGGGTGAATGACACTTACAATGGTCGCCCAACAGCCCATCCAGACAGCCCAGAAACATATGAAGTAGTGAGAGACCCTCACTATCATGTCGCCAGTTGCATTGGGGCGGAAATAGGTCCAGTAGATGCTGATGTATGAGGTCATTCCCAGCAACAATGTCAACGACATGTGTCACCTACTCATACAAACTGATCGTGTACGATCAGGTGATTGCCTTGGTGGAAGAATGACCCAACAACTCACAATAGACTGGATATGCCAATGAGCTCAGCACTCGCAGCTGAAGTCACGGCCATACTGATATCCTGTCAGAATATTGCATCTTCCCATCATGGTCTATATGTACAATACTATGAGAAGCACAGTGATCGCAGGAGCACAGCAGCTGCAGCAGGAGCTGCAAGACCTGTGGTAATCTGACTTGGAGAAAGCAGAGAAGGATAGGTGGGAAAGTTCGGCTACAAATTTTGGTGAGCTATCATCCGTGGGGTATACTGGAACTGGACTTGCATTGGTCAGAAGAGCACAAGCACTCAGACCGAGACAAGATGCAAATGCCCATGAAACAGCGAACCAAGAAATACCACCAAGCATCTGTCAATCTGTCAGCGTGTTTCAAAGCCCGCAAATGCGAAACTAATGTATGCCTTGGTGGTCGATTCTGGATGGCTTGCTATTGCCTACTTCACTTAGCCAGGTCCAGTATAGAAAAGCGGGAGGCTCACCCTTTGCCAGTAACCTACGCGGAATGTTTCGTTAGAAAAATGCGGACAAGATACGCATACATTAGAGCCCAACCTTGATCACAGATGACTCCAGTTGTTAGATACCGTGCCGACTCAGGAAGCAGAGGGGTCGGGGCTTGGCTTCAGCTCTTGCGCTGCGCCCTTAGCCGAGTATGTGCCCCAAATTTGGAGCGGGTCCAACGTTGTCCGACAGTAGGACAATTGGACCGCTTTGGTCTGCTCTGAGGGTTGGGGAGTAGGAGCTACTAGCGGTGGGCCGCTTAGGAGTGGAGCGGAGAAGGCGGGGAGTGATGCGGAGAGGGGATAGGAGCAGGGGAATGTTGGTAGGGGCGGGAAAGGCAGAGGATAATGCAGAGGGGCGAAGGAGGATATTTGATAGGGGCGGAGTAATAAGGGGAAGACTTAGAGCACAGCTCTAAGTCGGAGCGGAGGGTCGGAGGGTCGGAGGTGACAACAAGTTGAGACTTGTGTCCAGAGGAGGCAAGGTCCTACTGAGAATTCTCACAGGATATAACTGCGAGAAGACAAGTAATATTAAGACTGAGGAAAAATATCTAAGTACATGATATGTTATATACTACTATGTATGAGGCAGTGATCAGGATAACTATGCAGTAAGGCTATGTACCAAGGATATAGTTTGTAAGTATTTTACATAGGTGAAGACATAAGTTGGGGCGGATATCAATATGTATGCATCGGATCAGCGATCGAGCAGTAATAGGAATTACCGGTCATCCGGAAGTAAGGGTCTATGTACCAATAGAGAAGGCATATATCTAAAAGGGGAAAGAGCTCCAGTTGAATAGAGAGGTTATCGAAGGGGACCGGTTGAGCGGTTGAGCGGAAGCGTAGGGCAGAATGCAGACTTGTGATAGGACGGAGTGGAGGATGAATGAGGTGGAGGGGTCAGAAAGTGGAGCGGATATCAATATCGGAGCGGTTGGATCAGGTATATGACACCAGTAGAGGGAATCGTCATTCTAGGAAGTGGGATCTGCCAAAACACGGATGTCGTCATGGAAGTTGAGAGCAAAGGTAATTTCAAACTCTGCGAGTGTGGGGTTCTCAATTAACCTCTGACTCTATACAGTCTGCAAGTGCATACATTCGCAGCACTGCAGAGCGCATCTATGAGTAGGTTGCTTTAGTTTATTTGCTGTATTGAGGACTAACCATAACCATAATCAGTGCGTCTCGGTGACCTTTTGAACGCTGCCTCTTACAGTGTGGAGCTCCAATATGTCTTTCCATCTGATATGACAACCAGTACTTCAGACGAAGCCGACACATCAAGCTTCACTTCACCTGTTACCCCTTGCTCTGATTTGGAGCCTGAGCAACTCACTCGTCTTTCCAACCGGTCACTTGATTATCAACATCAGTATGCCGAGCCAGACTATTTTGTAGACCCTTCCCTGCACTCTGATTCTCAGGACGATGTCTCTTCAAAGAAGCGAAAGATCAAGGCACTGAGCACATACCCAGAGGCAACCACACTTTATTGCTCTTCTCATGTCCATATCGAAGACCGTGGCCACTCTCATTTTCGTTCGCCATCACCTGTAATGGCAAAAAAATCGAAACGATTAGACGAGTCATGCATGAATCAACCATCAGTGAAGTAAGCTTGGGGTTGATGTTATCTGTACTACTGCTGATTGTGAAATTGCAGCAAGCAATCTCAAGTCCTTCAAAGGTTAAAGCAGATGCAACGCTCCAGGTGTGCCTCAGTCTATTTTTGATTGCATTTCACTAATTAAATCATATAGAACCCCAGCGACGCAAAATCCCACAGCAAGCACACGTCCCAGTTCTGTGATGCCACCCCCATTGGGGCATCAAACTTTCTCATCTAAGCCAACTTCATATTTGAAACCAGCTGCACCCTTGGCGCCTCGCTCTGCTCCATCATCCCATCCACCAGCAGTTGCAGTGGTGGGCTGCACTGCTGCACCAAAACCAGTCCCCTCAGCGTGTCCCTTCCTCACAGACAAGGGCCTGCCCTCAAAGGCTTCAAAGTCAAAGCCAATGAATGGCGCTACCAACCTGATGCAGCCTGTTGGGTTTGCAGCACCCCGTAACACAAATCCTACAACATCTTCGCAGTGTATGACTGAAGTTTCATGCACCCCCCCTGTTCGCGAGGATGACACCGACGACGACTTGCTTGAGTCATGTACCCTGCTTGGATCGGCAAAGGGACCAAGCCAGAAGGAATGAGCCTCTGCTCATTCAAAGACTCAGCTCCAAGCGAGTCGCCAACACAATTATATTGAGAGCTCGCAGTCAGAGATATTACAACTTCGCAAAGAGCAAGCCAGGCTCTCAGATCACCATGCTGCAACAACAACACGGCTCGAGGGAGAGATTGAAAGCCTCATCAAGCACATTGAGGCCCTTGAGATATGTGAACCCACAGCACTTGTTGCCACTGGTGTTCGGAACAATGCAATGAATGTACATCATTTTATCCTTGTCGACTGCTACCTATCTTACTGTGCTTCTAGAGTGCCATCCGTCAAGTGCTGTTTAAGATGATGGGCATCGAGTTTAATGAAGCTCTTCCTGACCCTATGGATGGGAAGGATACCTACTGGACAGAAATCGATTTGCTTGACGTCGATGGAACAACAACAGTGACTTCTGTTCTTCAACCAAAATGGGCCAACTCATGGACCCATAATTCCAAGTGGCACAAATCATTCTTTGAGCGGTTCTGTTGAGATGCGAGCAACTATGAACCAACTCTCTTGCAGGATGCAGTCAAAGGCATACCCGATAAGATGTTGCGGAGTGTTGCTGGTAAAGTATTCAAGACGTTAAAGGAGGGCTATAAGGAGGGAAACAGGCCAATTGGACTTCAGTCTCTGAATGTCGCCATTGCTTGTCGTGAGAAGCGCCAAATTGATGTGAGCATAAATGTATTGACATACCTGCACTAACAAACTATTGATACAGAAACCCAAACTCGCAATTGAGGCTTGCAGAAATATCCCAGACATCAAGGACCAGACATACGATTTTGCTTTTGCACCAAAATGGCAGTCGACAGATTATAGTGCCTCCAACACTTCACACCAGAGTTCAAGTGACGAGGTCAACATTGTTGTTAACCAGAGATGCAAAGCTTACAAGAAGCCAAAGAAGGAGGGCATCTTCATGACACATCCTCCAGCGTGGCGTTCAAAGGATGTAGGTCATGTTTTTATTGTATCTTTGATTATTTTCTTAGCTCTGCCAATGTAGTATTGTGCTCTTTCTCAGCTTATCAAGGACGAAGTTGAAAAGATTGTTGCAGAGAGGGAGGCTGATAAGAAGAACTGGATGAAGAAACGAGTGCCACAGATTCAAGGTCAACCTCGGCCAGCAGACTCTTTGCCACAACACAACAGCCTCAAGACTCCACAATGGGCAGTCTCGACACGATGGCTCAAGAGCCTGATGCAAGAGGACCGCAAACAGCAGGAGGCACTTATGACCAATAATCACGACGCAGACATATCATACTCCAAAAGCTTGTCATCCGAGTCAGTTTAGGTTACTCACATTCATGGACTAGATCAGGTTTGCTATATTTTGGACTCAGAATTGCTCGTTATCATTATACTACCATAGATTCTTCTTTGTAACAGCATCCAGTAATTGATCAACTCTCACGAGGCTCACTCACGAGGCTCGTTGTCACTGCTATCAGGTTCTTGAGTGGTCTATCCGAAGTTCAGCTGATTTGACAGAGGTTATTCAACTCGTGCACTCACAGTGTCCAAGGAGAATGTAACTCAGAAATGACCAGCATGAGGAACATGGATTCATGTGAATGCAAACTGACCTGTAAAGTCCTTGAGATGACAAGCTTCAAGGTTGCCGAGTTCATTGTATTTCCAAGCCGCGATTCCAAGATCAGTTGCCGACAAGGACCACAGATGTTCAATGTCTAAAGCAGGCTCTTGAAACCATCGGATAAGAGCCAAATTGACAATTAGAGGAGGATTTTAATGAGGGATAGTGACAGACAGGATGTAGTCGACTTGAGCTGCATGTCTGCCATCGACATAACCATAGCAGAATCCCTTGCTGCGGTGATGAAGTGAGGACCCATACTTTGTGGCCCCGATATTTACTATAGCATATGATCTCACACCATGGGATTCAAACGGAATCCCATGCAATGCTTCTCCAGCATCCGAGATCAAATTTAGGTGAGGGAACTGCAGTCGAAGAAAATGTAGGACAATAGGATAGATGTTGAGAGGTCGCAAGGCAATTATCTTAAATTGATTGGGGAGCATGATCTTGACTAGTAACTCTTGACTTAATTCATGTCTGCGATTGATAAAAAAACTCACGAACCTGAGTCTTCCAGTGCAGATAGAAGGGCAAGGTAGTTCATGAGTGTTCCTCTCTGGCGATCGAGTTCTGCACCACCTTTGACTGCTTTTAACAATAACTGGACAATTTCTTCGTCCTCGTCTGTTGAATTAGGCCGTGCCTGTAGGTGCATCAACTAATGGACAATCAGTAAAGACACAATGAATTACTAGAAACTGTGCCCCACCAGCTCCTGTATCAAAATACTTTTCCACCAAGCCCTCATGAATGTCCCCTCGACTTCGCCACCTCCATGTCCATTGTGGTTAGCCTTTCCAAGGACACCAATGGCTCGCTCGTATGGAAACACCCACCACGCATATGCTGGACCGTATGTATTGATATACTCGAGCACATGGCTGGTGAAGTGAAAGTTTGGTGTTAGGTGGCAGTTCATTGCAGCCCATGATTGTGATGCTTCGGACATGAAATAGGACGCACAAGTTGCCTCTTGGGGTGTGATGGATCAAGAGGCAAAAATCCATGTTGCAGTACAGTAGCACAGCACATTTTGATAGTGATCATGATAGTTGCGGCTTACCTCGATGTCTTCAAGAGCAATGTAATCATCGCCCTGTGCATCCTCATCGCGAGCAAGGTTTTTGATACGACGCTTATGCAGCAGCTCTTTCAATTTAAGAACAGCTTGGTGTACCTTAGTACATTTACGTGGAGCAGGTGCATCTTCATCTGGTTGACGGGTCCACATTTGCCAAGCAACTGCGAGTGTAACTGGATAAACTCGCATAAAATTGTGCCATTCATCAGCTTTTGGATGCTCTCCTCCACTGGCAATCTTGCCATCATAATTTAGCATCATCGTTCGAAGCTTGTATCAAGCTTACCTTGATTTGGAACCATCCAGAATTGTTCGGCCACCACAACAATTCCAGAAACTCAGTAAGCCGATCCATGGGTGTGATTTCTCCCCGTTTTCCGGTCCCTGTGAACATGGAACCCTCAATGAGAATGACCCTATGGATCTGGCCAAAAGCACCTGTAAGAGACTCAGAGTTTCAACCATGGTACTCATAACCGACCAGAGAGTTTCGAAACACACCTGGGCCCCAGAAAAGGTGCATAATTTCTGATGGAATGCTCAGAGCTCCATTCCAGGTCGGAAGCCTGTCAAGAATTGAAGTACAGACACCCTTCTTCTCCACAATGTTCTTTCGAGTGTCAGCATCGGAATCTCTGTAAATAAATTTCCATTTGAGCTGCTTCTCTGGGTTCCGGTAGCAGAATTCTGCGAAACCATGAGGACTCAGTACATATGAAAAAAAAACACCTACTTGAGCGATCAAAGCAAACTGGATCAACTAATGACGAGAATGGTGCATTGCAACATGGACATATATGCTCCTCCGAGTTTTGTGAGACAAATCCAGCTGTTTTGAGGCGAGCAGGTGTATCCATAGTTCCAAATGGAAGCGCGATGTGAATTTGTTCAAGGTCCTGATGTCCAAACACCTTGAAGAACTCTTCTGTTATCTCAGTTATCAATGTTGATAAGCTACTACATAACTGCTGCAATGTACGTACCTTCACTGAGATCTTCGAGCTCTCGAACAAATGGCTCAAGAAGCCCATTCAACTGGTCTGTGTTCGGTTCTGTTGGGCCAGGAATGACGAGCAGAAGGAATGTATTTTCACAAAGAGATCGAATCGATCATGGCAGATTGTCAATAGTGAGCCAGACTGTCCCAGTAGAGTAGTTGGCACGTTTCAAAGCTCGGAACCTAGAGTCGACATTAACAGAAGGTAGAGCTAGAGAGTTTGAAGATCACATACCAGTCAATGTTAATATGCACTACAATACCACATTTTAGCGACACAAATCTTTGGTGGAGATTTTCGATGTTGATGTCTTTAACCTTCTGATTCCTCTCATCCCACTCGTGTGTCATGCCTGTTGGAACAGAACACCACATCCAACCATCATAAATGTTGCAGAGTGGCTCGTCAAGTGCCTTTGTTGCATACCATTCTTCACGTGTGATGGGTGGTGCTGGCTCATCATCTCCTTCTTTTCGCCAGTGCTGCAGCTTGTCCCACTGCCCTGGACACATAAGAAGCCTTGCAAGCACAGTTTTCAATGACGCGACCGGCATGACCTTGAAAGGAATTTTTTTTACGCCCTCGGATGTTGTGCATTTGGTTTGAAACAGCGTTGTAGAGCAATCTGGTTCAGCGCAGGTCAGATTGCATAAGGTGCAAAAGTCAGAGGGATGGTACATTTTCCAGCATGACGGACAAAGAATGTAAGTGGTGATAATCTTGCTGGTGTCAACACCAAGGCGTTTTTCCATGGTGTGAAGAGTGTGAGCCATGTTATCTAGGTCAAGTTCTGGTGGAACTCCGCCAAGGTCTCGATAACATGTCTTGATTGTACTGCGAAGGAGGGTGAGTGTTGCCTCTGTGTCTGCATGTGTTGCATGTCGGTATGCAGCATTGACAAACACGGTCAAGTAGCCATTGAGAAGAGCTGGATGCTCCAATAATGCGTGCGGGAGGATATCCTCCGGCTCACTTTGGTCTTCTCGTGCGGGGCCATCCTCGAGGATGGCATCATTTGACAAGTATTCAGGATCCCCCTCTGGATCCCAAACTCACTCATCATCTTGCTCGTCACCTCCCTCAATATATTCACTGGTACTGACCCATTTGTGATGCTTGTCATGTGTGATAGCAGGAGTGCCGAGATTGAGAGAAAGTACACTTTGGTTGTCAAGAGACTCGTCGTCAGATGGTGGAAAGTATAGAGGAGGAGAATCGGGTTGGGAAGGGTATTCGCGAACATCGTCGTCAACATAAAAGTCCCTGTCAATAGGAGCCACGTCCATGCCCATGTTAATATCAGTGTCTGCTTCGCGATCAAAGCACTCATTTTCCTCCAGGGTAGGTGAGGGTGGACATTCAAACTTGGCAGCAGGTTGCGAGCTTTTGAATCCCTGATCTAACTCGTCTTCGAACACAAGCTTGTTTGGACCTGGCTGACGATGAGCATATCTGTTTCTCCTGACATGGAGTTTGATTATTCAAATCATCTGGAACAGACCCGCTGGTGTACACACAGTGCAAGGACACAAGCGCCGTGGTGGCTATGAATCAGATACAACAGATGATCAAAGAACGGTCTTTGAAAGACCAGGTATATTACAAGCCGTACATTAGTCTTCATACGTGTAATTATCCTCGAGTCAACGGCCACGATAGACGTTCAAATCCGAGGTAAAACTTGCACAATTTGCCTGTGCTATGGTCCTGGCCCAGGTGGAATAGATCAAAAGACTGATAAGGTGGTATCAGTAAGAAGTACCTGTAGTATTGAAGGCAAGGTACTTACATAGGAGAGTGCTGTGGTGTCGATTGTGTTCGAGACAAGCAGTGCCGACGACGCTGGAGTGCAAACAAAGAACAAGTTCGAGTTGCCTTTTTTGTCAGATAAACCCTAGCTATGGGTTAACATTATACATACTAATGTGGTAGGTCTGCAGCTGGGTATGCATTGAGGTGTGTTGAAGGGTTGAGTCGATGCTGTATATACCAAGCAGAAATCAAGGTGAGGAGGCCTGACAATATCCGCCATCGTTGTGTGGAGCATTAACTTAGAGTATCAAGTTGACGACTCAGTACCGGCTGGCTGATACTTGCAGAAAGTCTGGGACCTCGGAATTTTGCCCAAGGGGTTCCCTTTGCCCCACTAGGTACCAAACAATACACAACAATACCTCCATTTTTAATAATAATATTTGTCTCAATATATTACATAATATGCTGTTACCTCAATGAGTCAGTATTCCAATCATCAATAGATAAGGCATGTCATGGCTGCATATGACTCTTGTCTTCAACCATCACCGTCAACTGCAACAAATGTCCCGCCCACTCCCTTACTACCTCCCAAAGGCACATATCATTGCCCGCCACCAACTAGACAACAATTAGTATGTTCATTGAACTAGTGCATGCCATTTCTCTTTTCTTCAATACCATGAGTTCAATGCAAAGCTCAATCTTATAGGATCTTGGGCATGTGACGCATTTACCTATGATTCATCACAACAGCAAATCCAGCAAACTCTACTCTTTTGTATGTACTCCCTGCAATAGGGCTTCATGTATGTGTCTCCTTGCTTCACAGTTACAGCGCATCTCATGTAGTCCCTGAGCAGTTCTACATGACTTATTGACTATGCTCTCTCGCGCATACACAGCCACAATGTCTGACGTCCCACCAACTACACCATTTATGAAGCCTGAATGGGTGTTGGTCTGTGGTGAATGTGGTGATGAGCTGGCATGGCGCGTGGTTAGTTCAAGCAAGAACGACAACCTTGGGTGGTGGTATGCTATGGTAAGGTTTTTTCATTTCATCAGTATGAATCTACCTATTGAATGTTGATCATGTTAGTGCTCTAAGAAGATGCCTGCAGGAAAACCTGAGTTCTTTTGGTGGGGGTCTCCGAAGTCTTCACCAAACCAATCTCCCCCTGACCTATCACCGACTTTGCATTCTGGCTTCATTGTCACCTATTGCCATTCCTGATGCCAGCTCCGATACTCACCATTGCGCTGTTCTTGGCTGCAAGTCATGCCATGTTGCTGTTGGTTGCGAGCATCAATGCTGCCGCAAACATTGTCTTGCCTTTGGCAGGTGCCACCTTAAGAAGCATAAGCTATCTCCAGCTGAATGTCAACACTTTGCTGCCATCGATCCTGCGTTATTGGTCCCACCAAATCCTCACCACCGTAATTCAATGACTCCATTGGACACCCCAGATTCAATTCAACCTATGCTAGACCTAGATATGTGTGCTCCTACCCCAATCCTACCCCATGAAAGGTCTTATGCCACCCTTCCACCGACATCTATGACTCCTGCAACCACTCAAGAATCGTCTGCTGGGCCATCCAAACTTCCTGTCACATGCACAAAGAAGGGTAAAGCTCGTGCTGTCAAAGATGTTGATATGCTCACACATTCTTGCCATCCATCACAACTTCCACCGGTCTTCACGCAACGATATGCTGAACAAGAGCTGATCCTCCAGCAGCAGAAAACCCAAGATGCTGAACAGCATGACCTTGCACGGTGTGCAGCCAACACCATTCATGCCTATGGCTGGTCCAAGGTAGGTACTCAAAGCCATAGTCATAGAACGCTCCTCACGATGGTTATTTTATAGGATGGCAACGAGGCCGAGATGTTTGAGGTCCAGAATGGATTTACCTATCCCCAGCTCTGGATGACTGCCTCCATCCTTTCTGCTCTAGGCTTGACTGCTGGTGAGGACGGCTCCTCCATGCTGCAGTACTATAACTCAGCAAGGAGCAGATGGATCAATATCGTCCAGGGTCATGTCATCACTCTTGACATGCACCATATCTTCGTGTGCAACATTGGTGTCTCTGTCATGCCTGACTTTGATACCATATTTCATGGCTGTGATGCCAGTGAAGCTGGCGTCCCAAACATCCGAACCAATCTCCAAGCCAAGCGTGCAGCTGTTCGCAATGCCAACAACTGTGATCTACTGAAGCTGACGTCCACAAAGAGACTAGGTTCAGTAATTGAGGTCTCTAGCAGTTCAGACGATGAAGTCGTTGCTCTGTTATGACCAACGTCCCTTAACCTAACTAGTAGGTGTCTGGAGTTTGGATCACACCACAGGACTCGTCTGAAGAGGATAAAGCAAGGATAGATTTGAGAGGGAACGTCTAGGTCTACGATGACGTAAGAACGAAGAGGTTAAGTCTAAGGAGTACTACTGACTACGACCTAAACTATATACTACTCTCTAAGCGGAGATAGCTGAGTATGAAAGGTTGTGATATATCTATATACGGTCATAACATTGCGCCTAGGGTTCAGGGCGTCTTATCAACCAATCAACTACAAGAAGGGTAAAGGGTTCATAGGGGTCAAGGGTATCGGTGATTAAGCAGGGTTCTCAGGGACTGCTTCTATTCAGGGTAGACGGAGATTAAGAAGGGTGAGAGAGTTCTGTGACAAGAAGTCTCGAGCGGTAATTAAGGATCTCGATAAGAGATGGGATCTGGAGATGTATCGGGTACGATCGGATCTAAGGGTTCTCCAGGGTCTTCAGTAATTAGCATGCTTCTCTATGAGTGGCGCTTCTGTGATAGGGGTTCGGTGAATGACAGAGGTAACTCTTAACATGTCATGTGTGGGAAGTGAAGGTCTGCGATGTGAAGGGATGATGACTCTTCGAGAGATAGCTCGTAAAGGACTCTCAGTTATGGTTTCGTCATAGAGGTGTGTAGATGCTTATGATGTAACCCATTGCCTATTCGTAGGACTTCTAAGGATATGATGAGTTCGTATGTCTAGGGTTACGGATATAGATGGATGACGTTGATGTAGTATAGATGTGAAGTAAAGATAGTGATCGTTAATTGGTTATCCATCTTATCTTATCAGGGATCTATCTAATCTAATCTTATCGGATAAGGTGACTTAGGGTTTGATAATTGAAATTTAGATGCAGTTGGTAACATTCATGACATGCTCCTGGCAAATGCAAGGCTGCTGCCCGCCGTCAGGACCAGCATGGCCCTACCCGTCATATATGTACCAATACTGGTGGATCATCATGTACCAATACTGGTGGATCATCATGTACCAATACTGGTGGATCATCACGTACCAATACTGGTGGATCATCACACCCTCCTACCATTATGGTGAAACACTCACTGGGCACCATCGAGCTTACTTCAGATGATTCCGATGATAGCCTTCTTATGACCGGTCGCTTATTCCGTCTTCCTGTCATCACAGAATGAAATTCACTGGGCACCGTCAAACTCACTTCAGATGATTCCGACAAAGCAAATGAGCACTATGGTTTATCCACACCAATTGTGGAACTTGGTGCACCGTGATATTTTCCCATCTCATATCGATCATCACCCCCTCTTCTCTTCGTGTCCACATTCACCACACCCTGGCAGGAGTATTAATACTATCTGGCTATTGTAGAAGGCTAGTTATGCATACTGGGCAGTGATCCCCCATGCTTCTTGTATGCATACTTTGCTGGGGAACCAATGCCCACCCCTTTGAGTGCTTCCTGGTGCTTTCTTGTGCTTCTGCAATTTTGGCTTCCAAAAGAGGAAATTCACAATACACATCCCATTTTGGTCTTCCCACATTAATATGTTCGCATTTTTCAGCCACACAGTGTGGGAATTACCCCACAACACCAAAAACATTGCCCATTTTGGGAATCTCCACAATATCAATTCTTCCCACACCCTTCCCACCTCACTGCAGCTTCACCACCACACCACAATAGGTCCCCATCCATATATAAGTAGTAGTTTGGTATATATATTTATATTATAATATAATAGTCCGCTTTTTTGTTTATTTGTGCGCCTCCTCCTCCTCCAGGGCTCTTCAAAAGAGCCTAGGGTGCAGAACACTTTCGCACTTTTACCTCTTTGATAGGGAAGTGTTTTAGGGCATTCAGGACATATTTAAGAGTGTATATGAAGAGATTCCCCCACTTGTTTGACCCCCTGAAGTGCCCTACATCAATAGATATAGCATATATATAGGAAGATACAAAATATGTTCCCATGTATCTATTTCTAGATGGATATACTTGAAGAAATCATCCCCAGTGTCTATTCAACAGTAGGAACAATATACCAGGAGTACAGAACCATAGGACAAGACCCTGTGATGCAGTACACCTACCCTCTCCTGATGGTTTAGCCCCTGTGAATTTTTTTCCTGGAGGACCAGACCTCAAGTATTGTAGGGGGTCTATTCTCATGCACATTTAGAAAATATGTATCCCCTAGATACTCCAGGATACCTACACAGTCCTTCTACAGGAACATAAATATATAAAATCGCACTTTTGACATTTTTGATGTTTTTCAGTATCTTACCCTTGAATATATGGTCCACCCTGCTCATATATCATCAGTGGCATTTATATAAATTTATTTATGCCAAGGATCAGCTCAAAATATACTGGGGATTTGAGTTAGTGTATATACATGTTATTTCTACTGATAAGGGGCCCATACCTTCAGGACATTGAGATTTAATAATCAGACACCCGGAATATGTCTCACATATGTCCTTGATCATAGCCCTCAATTATCAGAAAGATCCACTAAGTATTGAGTGATAGGGAAGCAAAAGAACATATGTGTGGGGGTGACAATTAACACATATCACACAAAAGTCACATTTACATATGATATAAGCCGAAGATTTCATTAAATTTTAATAGGATGTATGTTAGATTACACAAGGAACCTATACCACACTTTGCCCTGAGGGTGGAAGATATGTGGAAGGGATGTGGTGGTAAAGTAAGTTGATGCAGCATTAAAGTCCTACCACTACTCAACTGGCCATTTTCGATGTTTTGGGCATTTGAAGTTTCCCACACTCAATTTCTTATCTATTTCACTTCCCCAGTCCTCAATACTTTATGGATCTTTCTGATAATTGAGGGCTATGATCAAGGACATATGTGAGACATATTCCGGGTGTCTGATTATTAAATCTCAATGTCCTGAAGGTATGGGCCCCTTATCAGTAGAAATAACATGTATATACACTAACTCAAATCCCCAGTATATTTTGAGCTGATCCTTGGCATAAATAAATTTATATAAATGCCACTGATGATATATGAGCAGGGTGGACCATATATTCAAGGGTAAGATACTGAAAAACATCAAAAATGTCAAAAGTGCGATTTTATATATTTATGTTCCTGTAGAAGGACTGTGTAGGTATCCTGGAGTATCTAGGGGATACATATTTTCTAAATGTGCATGAGAATAGACCCCCTACAATACTTGAGGTCTGGTCCTCCAGGAAAAAAATTCACAGGGGCTAAACCATCAGGAGAGGGTAGGTGTACTGCATCACAGGGTCTTGTCCTATGGTTCTGTACTCCTGGTATATTGTTCCTACTGTTGAATAGACACTGGGGATGATTTCTTCAAGTATATCCATCTAGAAATAGATACATGGGAACATATTTTGTATCTTCCTATATATATGCTATATCTATTGATGTAGGGCACTTCAGGGGGTCAAACAAGTGGGGGAATCTCTTCATATACACTCTTAAATATGTCCTGAATGCCCTAAAACACTTCCCTATCAAAGAGGTAAAAGTGCGAAAGTGTTCTGCACCCTAGGCTCTTTTGAAGAGCCCTGGAGGAGGAGGAGGCGCACAAATAAACAAAAAAGCGGACTATTATATTATAATATAAATATATATACCAAACTACTACTTATATATGGATGGGGACCTATTGTGGTGTGGTGGTGAAGCTGCAGTGAGGTGGGAAGGGTGTGGGAAGAATTGATATTGTGGAGATTCCCAAAATGGGCAATGTTTTTGGTGTTGTGGGGTAATTCCCACACTGTGTGGCTGAAAAATGCGAACATATGATGTGTGGGAATAATGTGGGGAGAATGTGGGGAGCACATGGAGATGCCTGAGAAATTCCAGAAGGCCAGGCTTCTCACCTGTATGCTTCCTGTATGCTTCTTCAAGTGATTCTCCACTGTATGCATACTTTATGGAGGGTTGGGGATCCCTGCTGAGTATGCATAACTGTTGTTCTACAATGCCTGACATTGTATCAATAATTATGACAGTATGGCCTCCCACATTTCCCAAAGTGCAGGTTTCTCTCCTAACACAATCGGTTTCTTTCCTGGGCGAGGAGCTGGCCTGACAGGGTGTACCATGAGTGTCCCCCTGTGCATCCTCTTCCACCCAAACAAGGCTGCCATGGTCACCATAAATAGCCCGATTGCCAGAAAAGCGACCACAAGCATGGGTGATCCATTCATGGTGAAAATACCACCCATCAGTGGCCCATTGTTGTTGTTAGAATGGTTTGTGCTAGAAGGTTGTGGGGAGAGCGAGGTAGACACGCTTGCTTGACTGCTCGTTGAAGACATGTTGCAGTCTTAGCATGGCACGAGGCCGTCAGTCAAGTGAAGTAGGGCACTGCACGCAGCCTTGAGGCGGGCTTAGATGTGATATCCTCAAGACATGCTGTAGGCTCCATTATATAAGAACCTGCAGGCATGCATTCCACAATATTGGTCTCCAGTGCCTTGGTGACGATGGTCTCACAGTGGAGAGCAGAGTAGGTCCTGAGAGCCATGCTGAGCAGGGAATAATGTCAATGGAAGGGAGTCCCGTGATAGATCTGCACCCTTTAATGCACGGAACTCCACTTTTCAGGGTAAGATTGGACCAATAAACAATAGTGGGACTCAAAGCAAATTTTGATGCCCGGCTAAAGCTTCATGAAACTCGCTAAACTTTCGCTAAAGCCTCAAACAAACTTGCTAAACCTTTAACAAACTTGGTGAGAGACACGGCAACACAGCAGCATCACAGCGGACTTTGAAATCATACTTGTGAAATTTCGATGGATGTAGAATACATATACAAAGAAATAGCTATTCAAATGACGAGTGAGAGGGGCGGGGGGGATTAAACTAGCTATAACTCATCAAGAGCATGCTCCTGGCACCAGAAAGTGTGCCACCAGTGCTTTTCGATGGTGGAAGCCCTGGTGTGATGTCAGTGAGTGCTGCTATGAGAGTGGATAGTACATACCAACCATTTACCTTAGCATAACTGTTAAGACCGTGCTCAGGGGTAAAGCGGATTCTGAGGGGCTTGGCTTCAGCTTGTACACTGCGCCCCTTACCCGAGTACGTGCCCCTAATTTCGGAATGTAGTCCAACACAAATTCTATGGGTTCCGACAGGACATTGGAACAGGGGTCCTCTGAAGGAGGACCAACGGACTACTAGGTGAGCACGGGAAAGTTGGGCAGGGGTTGTTCCGCCCAACAGGAGGGAGGGGGGAGGCACTACTGCGGTCAGTAACCAACAAGTAAGAAGCGGAGCAGAGGAACGGCTTGGATGAAGTCCGCAGCAGAGCGGACAGATGGGATGGATTCGAGAGTGTGGGGTCCTAGTTCCGACGCATGGGGAGTTGGAGGAGGACGGAGGAACGGAGGAACGGAGGAAGGAACGGAGGAAACGAGGATCGAACGGAGGATCGGAGGATCGGAGGAACGAGAACGAGGAACGGAGGACGGGGACGGAGAACGGAGGAACGGAGGAATCGAAACGAGGAACGGAGGAACAGGAACGGAGGAACGGAGGACGGAGGACGGAGGATCGGAGGATCGGAGGATCGAGGATCGGAGGATCGGAGGATCGGAGGATCGGAGGATCGGAGGATCGGAGGGTGGCTGACCTAGGGAGTCTATCCCCTAGGCTGGCTAACAGGAGTTGACTAGGATCAGGCCCAAGTCAAAGAACAGAAGAGCAGGGCTTAGAAAAGGTAATATTCAGACTGAGTATCTACAGACAAGTGTACATATGTTTATATACTCTAAGTGATGAGCATAGCATAGCAGAAGGCTATGTGCTGAGTGTACAGGATTACAATAGGATGACTGAAACATATGAGAATAAGGCTCAGGGAACAGTATGTACACGACAGATCAGAATCACTAGGGTATAGGGATTACCGGTGATCCGAAAAGCGGAACTATGATACTAAATGGGGATAGGACCAGTTGAGTGGTTCCTAGTCTAGGAGTGGACCAGTGAGGCGGTCGGACAGACTAATAGTCAGGTGGGGGAATACGAGCGGAACTGAAGGATCCGTGCGGGTCAGAAAAGCGGAGGGAGTAGGAATAGGATCGGGCAGACCAATAGGGCGGAGGAGCGGAACCCCAGATAGGGTCAGATGGAAGGGGTATGGGGTCGGAGGACATAGGGGTAGTGTCGGAAAAGCGGAACGGGGTCAGGCAGAGGTAGCAGGGCTAATCCTGCTGAGATGCACTTCATGCATTGTCAGGGAAGGAGGGATGGAGTGGATGGGGAAACAGGGGGTCAGACCAGGGGTGGGGATGTTCACAGGTGGTATTGGAGGTGCTCGGATCCGGTATATGACAGCGTGACACAGCATCGGACTGGATACTCTCGATCTCATCAGTTACCTTGTCAACCCGTTCCTGAATATCTGACTTGGCTTTCTTCTTCTTCGAGCCTCCCACACTGGTCGGCAATGATGTCTGAGGAGTGGGACTGATTAAACAATCAGATGACGAGGACATGTTGCGAGTTGTTGAAGAAGGGATTGACATGCTGCAGGATATACCTAATGACGTGACAGATGGTGTTTTTCTGTGCTGTCCCCCGCAACTGGAGGGTCGCTGTGCTCCAAATGCTGCACGGCTGTCATAGAAGGACGTCGGTGATTTCTCTGGCACCTCAGCAAGAGGGTTAGGAGGGTCAGGAGGAGGAGAAGGTGATGCTCATTGACACTTGTTCCCAGCAGCTCTAGCAGGACTGTCAAGGGTCATGGAGTCATCCTCCAAGTGGCGCAGCGCATCCCCAAGGGGGGCGGACAAAGGACCACTGAGATATAGGTCGTCAGTGTCATCATCAGGATCATGCATGTAATGGTCCATGTCTGCGTCATTATCAATGTTGTTATCAGGGGGGGGAGGAGCGGCATGCAGAAGATGCAGATCGATCAGAGGATCGTTCAAGTTGTGGGTATCGCCACCACCAGGAATGGCATTGGGAGGGAGTATAAGGTTGGGGGGCTGAGTGAAGTTGGGGCATTCAGGTTGGGGGGTGAATGCGCTATGGGATGGCTGATGGGGGGGCTGCAGTTGGGGGGAGAATGTGCTGTGGGATGGCTGAGCATATGGAGGGAGCTGCAGTGGAGCACCAGCCTGAGCGGCACCATCAAAATTTGTTGAGGGACCAGCCCTGCCAGGGCTGCCATGTGGTTGCACAAGCGCATACAAATCACCTGTGTGATCAACCCCCGGCCTGGACGAATGTGATTTAGTTGCAAATGATGGGATTGAGTGCCAGATGCTATCGAGATCAGTATACCATGGCAGTTCGGTGGTGACTTCATCTACAAAGTTAAATCAGCCGAGAAGCATGAAATCAGTACGAACAACTCACCCAGTAAGTTTTTCGAGGTAGTCTCATCAAGCAGCACCACACCAGCACCAGTCGCATTGAACCAGCCCTTGCATTTTCTATATTTATTTCTGAGACTTTTCAAATTTTATCAGTGCACGTAAGAACAAAAGAAGGAGACTTACGATGTGATGCGGTTTGCGACTGACATGCGGAACTTCTTCAGATCTTGATGGTATGCGGCCTTGTATTTGGTGTGGGTCGCAAAGATGAGCTTGGCAATAAAATCATGTATTTCGTTCTTGTCCTTGCCTGAGGGGGCATCATCAACAGAAGGCATTGCTTTCTTCCCATCAGAATAGAACAGGATGCAACAATCAGGCGGGCGAGTAGTCAGATGATTGACGAGGATTGTAGTGAGAGCATGATCTCTTTCCCACTGGATTGTGAGTTTGGGTATGCCTTGAGAGTTTGAGTCAGATTGTCCTTGCGAGGAGGAGGCCAGAGGATTCATTGCCCTCGAGTACAATCCTCGAGCGTTGGCAGTTGGCTCTAAGCCACGCTGAACGGCGAGCACGTTGGCGAAGTGCAGGCATGGAGTTTGAAACTCCGAAAGCCTGACTTCCAATTGCGGTGCCATGCAGGCTGTGTTCCTTCAACTTTCCTGACGCTTTAACCGGGAGTAGAATGATTTAGCCGGGCGTCAAAATTTGCTTTGAGTCCCACTAATAATAGAATCAGCCCATAGGGGCCCATAAGAAACATTGGGACCGTAAAGGTACAAGAATCCCGATCCACCTATCACAGCTACAGTTGAAGGATATTGTACAAGGAAATAACAGAACAACGACACAAAGAGTAGCAGAGGAAGTCCAAAACAAGTGATGAAAGCTCGAGGCCTCGTGAGTGCTCTTAAGGTTTTCATCACTGCCGACGCTTGATTCCCACCCGGCACTCCAGTGGCTTTCGCAGGAAGCCTTCCCGGGTTTCAAACTAGGTCACCGAAGTGAGTTCGTGTGATATGGCCAGCATTCAGGGAACATACCACTTTATCCGGGTCAGCCAAGACAAATTGGTAGCGTCGAAGAATAGATGAGATGATAATTAATAGTTCCATAGACGCAAGGTTGCGTCCCACGCATGATCTGAGAGTTAGATAGTTAAAATCAGCAGGTCAGTGATCATATGATATGAAACACGTGTACCTGGGCCCGTAGGAAAACGGATTGAAGCCTTTTTGCAGAGTGGCATTATCACGCTCGAACCACCTTTCTGGACGGAATACATCCGCATCTTCTCCCCACACTTTGGTGTCCCTATGAATCGTGTAACTTGGAATGCTCAGAATAGTGCCTTGGGGGAAGTGAATATCTCTGATGGTCAAGCCGCCTTCAGGAGTGATACGAGCAAGACCCAAGGAAGATGGCGAATGAACGCGTAAGGCTTCATTGATGACTGCTTCCAGATAGGGTAGACGTTTGACCTGTTCGTACGTCGAAACATATTCATCTTCACTGCCGAGGGCATCGTCAAGCTCCTTCTGGAGCTTGTCTTGAACACGAGGATTGGCGGCGAGGTAATATGTGATGGCACATGACGAGCTGAGAGGAATGGGGAAGGTGATACCATGATTAGCTGGAAGACTTACTTGGAAGTAGTGTCGGAACCGGCAGTAAGATGAGTGAGGGCTTCTGCAGTGAGCTCTTCTCTGCCCATGAGATTGCCCTCATCATCGCGGCCCTCTTGCAGCTTACTCAAGAGATCGACGCGGTCCGTTGGAGTAGTAAGACGTTTGGCGACAGCAGCGACTGCAAGACCAGCTGTATTCTGGAAGGCTATTTCACCTTTGCGGTACCAGGGAAGCAGACGGACCCAAAATCGCCACGCGGGAGGGAGAGCGCCCATAGAAGCCGAGAACTCTCCACGATCATTAAGAATCTGAATGGCGGGGATGTCGACGAATGTACACTCATTCTGTGACCCGTAAGAGTTCATGACATCTTTCTGGGAGACAGCAATAGGTGCAGAGTCCTTGGCGTTCATGATCATTCCGAACGGTGAGCCGAATGCCAAGTCGCCAATGATATCGAATGCCAGATAGTTGTACCCTGATGACAGGCACTGAGTGCCACGGAATTTAGACGCGGCAATTACTTACATGGAAGGCAATTAAGCCACAAACGACCTCCCTTGCCGAACCAACCACCTTCTCCCTCGGAGCCGGACTGGGTTTTCAGGGCTCCGTCGAACAAGCGGTCCCACTGATTCATGAACTGGCCGACATAGAGACGGATAGAAGGCTCGAACTCTAAGAGACTCTTTTGCGAAAAGACATGAGAAACGATCTTGCGCCTACGCGCATGGTCAGCGCGGTCCCTAGTATTGAACAAACCACGGTGAATGGAGACGAAGGGGTCATAAAAGTTAGATTTGAGGGTGCCGTTTCCATGTGCGTATACAATGTGCAGTGCGTCCGGGTCGGCGATAGAGACATGATTTGGTGCAAGACGGACAAAGGTTCCTATAGGGAGTAAGGTGAGCTGAAGCCCGTATAGCTCGAGTGATGAAATGGCTACCGTATTTTTTGTGTAACTGATGTACAACGTCTGAGCGGTGACCTTGACTCGCTACCCAACCTAGCCAGACATCGGAAAAACGTGCAAGCAACGGTCCTGGTATGCTCCGTTGGTTGTAAGGATCTCTGAGATAAGGAATCACATGGGCCAACAAGATGTATACTGGGACCAGCAACAGAACGGAAAGGTAGTTGAGGTCTTCAAATGGGAGAAAGAGAGATTTGATGAGGGTAAGCAAGTCGGGCGACATTTCTGACTGTAATAGCGTTCGTTGAAGAAAGGATCCTGTTCAGTGTTCACGCAGAGCTATGCAATTATAATGTCTTTCATATTTCACATTGTTACGGTGGGCGCTCATGTACATACGGGAAGGGGTACCTCCCCTTCATCAGCTGTTCTTGAAATTGATTTACACACTTTCTCGCTAATATCGCGAGCCAATTGCGACGTCGGTCTGTACTATTGTAAGCTATTGCTCCATAGGATGACTATTATAAAAACCCATCTCAAACCCCTAAACCGCTGAAATGCCTAGCAAGGCGCTGAAAGCCAAATTAGGAATTTCCATAAAATTTGATGAATGGCAATCACATTCGAAGCAAAGTCATGGATGAAAATTCACTTATTTCCCGAGTAAGGCCTTCCCAGAAGCTTAGTAATCAAAAGCCCAAGGGTTGTTACTTGCACAGCGGGGATACTGACATTTTACCACCTTTTGCCGCCAGTGAAATTACATTCGAAAGATAATCCAGAATGCTCTAGCCAGGTCTAGATCTGCTTTTGATTGAAGAGGGAAAATGTTGAAACCCCCGATGTGTTGGTATCGCGCAGACTTCGGATCTAAATGAATGAAATACGGATTTTATTATAGCAAATTACATCATCGTTTGTAAGCCTCACTCCGCCACCGTTCGTCATAGGTACGTACCGTAAGAACGTATTGAAATGACCTCTTCGAAAACCTTGTCGACTACATTAATGATAATTCATGAAGCGAGGGAAGCTTGCCCCCAGTCGTTCTCGACATTTACCCCATCCTTGTCCTTCGATTTTCCCTCTCCTGTGCCAATGGCTCCTAACCAGCTGTCACAATGTCGCGTTCTTTTTCCAGGATCCGGACTGTCCTCATGCGGTGGATTTTTCCCTCTTGCATCTCGCGAGTTGTACCTACTTAATTATCAGTATTACTATCTACTTCTTCATGTCCTTCGTGGTCACAATTCAATCATTTCCTCATATCTCACCTACTTACCAAAGATGATCAAGCCTCAAAGACAATCCGCTGCCCCACGAGTACACACAATCGCGGCAGTCCCGTCCAGTCGAGACCTGACCACTAGCGCCGCAAAGCATGACCGTTTTCGATGAGAGAAGGAAGTGCGGAGTAGGATGAATGATGCTGAATGATGGCAGCGAGATGGTTGAGGCTGGGGAGCCGATTCGAGTAGCTTGGGTGATGGAATGCGGCCAGCGGTGGCGTCATGCTTGGTGGCGTGCCAATGCCTTTACGTTGACAAGGAGTACTTCACGCCAACAGGCAGTTGCTGGTGGAAAAAGTCGTGGTGAGGACCGCGACGCGCGACGACGGTGAACTTTGACTTATATATGACCTGAAAATATGCTTGTCGAGCGGTGATGGAGGTCTTCGCTTCTGCTGTAAGTGAGGTAATACTGGCACCCGAATAATTTCGGAGTATTTGGTAACAGGTTTTCAGACATCACTCGAACGCTTCAAATTCGCACCAACTTGTTTAGACAGCTGATCAGACGCGACTGCTAGCCAAATCCAGCCCAGATAGCCGTACGCTAGCGGTGACTAGTTCAACTTCGAACTTACAATGTTACATGCTTGGGTACAATCTTTTTGGTCCAACTCCTCGATTCATCAATCTTCCTTAATCGTAATGCCTCAGGCCTCATACGGACTCTAACGAAGGCGCATTCTCGATTCAATAAAAGCCTCTTGAAAAGCTTCGCGTAGTCTCGTTGAACGAGCCGTTCCTAGTCCTATTTTAGATACTGCTGAGCGCCCATCCACTAACATCCTCTTATCTTATTGATCTAGCCCAGACAACAAGCTACACACCACAAAATGAGTCCAGGGTCGAACTTGTGATTTTGCGTAGGTCAAAGATCGCAACGCTCGTGATGTCACTCGGTGATTAGTACGTGCTTGTCTCCGCGCCAGTCTCACGACATGTCAAAAACACGCCTGAGCATGGTGTACTTCAAAGACGCCCCTACTCACTATAAGTGAGCTACAGGCGTTTTATGAACGTACTTACAAAAGCACAACCAGGCTGCCGAGGTCAACATAGTTTTTTTTCTCACTTTTCCTTCTCTCTTGCATTTCCCAACGCTCGTCCGCCAGGAGTATTGCCCTCTATGTTTCAGTCTATCCCATTCGTTGCACTATCTTTGATCCTGTCGGCCTATGCTCAAAGTCCCACTTATTCCGCAACTTACTTGCCTTCAAACGCTCCCTATCAGAGCGAGCAGGGTCAGACAGGCTACAACAACTGCACAACCGGCTATAATCAGACGTCACAGTGCCAGAATGCTTACGGTACGCCACCAATCCCTGATAAGCATCCTCACCCTTGACTTGGCATGTCCAGTCAACACTGTTCAGGACTGGTGTGTCTGGGGACCTCATCAGCCAGGCCCTGACTTGGTCATCGGAACTATTGAGGTACGTGTGTTCACTTCGTTGTCAAGTAACCGCGAAGAAACAACGTGTACCCCTCGCAGCGAATCCAAGTAGCATGGTGCATGCAGGTGATTTGCCACTATATTAAGTCCTTTGAACAACATAGTAATTTTCCCTCAGAGTGGGTACGGAACACGACTGATCCCGGATGGCTCTATCACTGGTGCACACGTCGTGGTCACTCCAGACTACGTTCAGGTCACAGGTAGGTATGCATCATAGTGCTGATTGAGCATCCACAACTCCAACGTGAACCCAGGTGTTGGAAATCTCACGAATATCAACATTCCCACCAACGATACTGGCGGCGATGACAACCCTATCGGCGGCCTCGTGTTCTCCAGCGCGTTCGGCGCGCTTGAGGAAATCTACGAGTGGACGGTAATTTACCGATCGCTCGGACAGATTTCCACAGCGTCCTGATTAAGTTCTTACTTTGCGCACCCAGAATTTTGTTTCGGCTGATCAGTTTTGCTTCCGCGCGTGCAAGCCCGCAGTAAATGCGTCGACGATGTGCCAGCATATCTATGACGTCATGGGGTGCGAGTGGAACATGCCTGCCAATTACTCTGCGGGGGTGTTCGAGCAGTGCTTGGGTGACTCGGCTGAGGTGGGAGTCATTTTTATTCATGCAGATTTGTCTGGTTAAACATTTAAGAAGGCTATGGGCGTCTATGGGACGTCTACGTTCTACCAAGGGGAGCCTGTTACTCCAGCTGCGCATCCCATCCCTGCTTCCTCCAGCTGCACATTCTATAGCACAATCAACAATGGCCAGGGTGTTTTGGTTGGAGATATCACATCTACAACAAGCACGCCAGCATCAACAATTATGGGTATTCGTCACGCTTCTCGCTATCATCATCATCACTCGTGCTTGAATCACCATCATTGTATTTCTTCTGCGCATGCTACGACTATCACATTTCCCGACGTAACGGCATCTGTCACGTCTGCTTCACTTTCATCGACCCTTTCAAGTTCCATGCTTTCACTGCGTTCTTCGTCATATTCAAGTGCCTCTTCTTCGTTAAGTTCTGCGAGTGCACAGTCATCCTCTCTTCCTCTTCCGACTTCTTCTCCATCTCTTCTGACATATTCGTCACTTCCAACTTCCTCTGCGTTTCCGACGCCTTTTTTGTCTCTTCCGTCTTTCTCTGCATCTATTTCGACACCTTCGTCAATTCCAACTTCCTCTGCGTCTCCCCCGATGCCCTCTGCGTCTCCCCGATGCCTCTTCTCTCCGTCTTTCTCTCTGTCTCTTCCGTCTTCCTCTGTATCTGTTCCGACACCTTCGTCTCTTCCGACTTCCTCTTCGTCTATAAATCATTCCCTCCCCCCTTCCTCCTTCCCCTCATCTTCTACTCCAACCGTCGTATCTTCCTCTACACCGTATTCGTCCTCCGTGTTAGGTGGTCAGAATAGCTCACAACAATGTCCTCGTTTTGTACAGGGTTCCTCCAAATCTTCATCATCAGCTGCTTTACCGGCCACGCCTCTTGTTGATTGGCAACGCCTAGTTGTCATTGTGATCGGGTCCTTGATGGGCGTCATCATGACTTTGTAGCGTATTCACTTCGCACTCTCGCTGATAGTTGCTGGAACTTTTGGATGTTTATGTCAGCTGTACGGCTTCGCATATCTAATCCTCTCGAGTTACTGATCATATCTATCACTCCATATGGGCGCATCAAAACGCATGTCATCAAAATACATACACTGTTTTTGGGATGCTGTTGGGATACCGTGGACTTTGTTGTTAAGTTAATACAAGTCAATGAAGTCGAACTGGCAACTTTTGTCACCGAATGGGATGTATCGTGAAGGGAATCGTAGGACTCGGAGTTGCATCTGACTGGTAAGTGCTTACGTTAAACAAACCAACTTATCTCAGATTGACGTGGTAGTACTAGTCCGACTGCTGACTGGTTACGTATACCAGTCTAACTTGAAGCTGTTGCAAGCCCTGCCGCCGATCTTCATATATTCATGCTCTTGGACATATGCTCACGTCACAATTGACAACACGTTTAAGTCCAAGAAAAAAATGGTATAATGCAACCGCCAGCGGCATCTTGGGGCCCTTTCGTACATGCATCGCTGATTATGATACTTTGTTGTAGTATTTGCTGCTGGTCAGTATGGTATGCCTCTGTTATCGGAAAATAGCTGATGTTACATTAGGACGCAGATGAGCTCCAGGCTAGGGATTTGAAGGAAAAAAATGGAGCTACAAGTTCAAACTTTCTTCTTACGCAATGTCTGGGAACCGACTCGGAGGCTGCAAATATAATTCGATTCCTATATTGCTCGCATCCGGTGCGAGACCATGGAATGGAAGTCCCTCTCGTCAGCTGCTGGCGTATAAAGGACTGGACTGAAAGGCCCATCCGAATCTCCACCTTTATACCTCCAACGATGCTCATTCAGGGTCTTCTGAACTGGCTGCCCCTAGCGTCTCTAACGTTCAATTCATACAGACATGAAGATGAGGATCCACTCAAGAGACTTGCAAATTTGACTCCGTACCATGCAGCTCCTGCTTCTCATAAAGTCAAGGCAGAGTTGCCCGGTGATTGTACTGTCAATCGGGTGATGCTTGTATGGCTTGGTTTCTCCCTGTGAAGCGGGTGTATTTGACGCAGTTGCAGTTGCACAGACATGGCTCTCGTGGACCTACCGGTACCGGACAGACGAATATGATCAACTCGCTTGTCCAAAAGCTGAGAGACGGTCATGATGCTATCCAGCATGTCGATCTGCCTGAGAATCTCCGTTTCCTCGAGAAGGGATATGAATCACACCTCGAGCCAGAAAAACTGACCATCATTGGGCGTCAGCAGCTTTTCAACCATGGCGTGGAGTACGTTTGTCTCGTCTATTACTTATTTGTGTCAAGTTGAACTAATCTGTCATAGATTCGGGTTGAAGTATCCAAACTTCGACACGGACACGCTACTGTCTAGCAATGTACAAAGAGTGATTGACTCCATGTTACTTTTTTGCTCTGGGACGTTTTGGTCGCGAAGTCGACGACAAGACGCTACTTACTGTCAATGATATGCCCGATCCAGTTTCTTGGATCACCCCTTCATGTCCTGGCCTCGACCGGAATCACTCGTCGGAGGCAAGTGATCGAGTTTTCGTTTTCTTAAACTTTGAACAATGACATTAATTACTCAGATGACGCGGGAGTGGAGCAGCATATACCTCGCTAGTATCACTAAGCGCCTGAATGAGCTCCTTCCTGGCGTTGACCTGACTGATGATGATACGCATGGAGCATTGTATGCATGCGCATATGACCTAGCCGCGCGGGATGAGTCGCCGTGGTGCGACGTTTTTAACGCGGATGAACTTGCAGACTTCGAGTAAGGGTATTCGATCACTGTGATGTGCGACACTCACATACCATACTTAGGTATGAAAAGGATCTAAGTTTGGACGCATCCTACGGATACCTTGCACCCAATGACGCTGGACGTGTCATGGGAAGTGTTTTTGTCAACAAACTCATTGAAAGGTACGTTCCGACTGCTGGTCCAGATATCTCTCATAACAACGCTTGCTAGATTCTCCGATACTAGTGAAGAAGCACCATCCCTCTATCTCGAATTCGGACATGATACTACCATCATTCCTGCAATGGCTGCAATGGATCTCAATAGGTATGTATCTATTTCTACCGTATCGGATGTTGATTTATCTATTCACCTGTAGGGATGATCCTCCCGTGTCTTCACAAGGACCACCCCGGCATCGAAAGTTCCGAACCTCCTATCAAACTCCCTTTGCTGCCAACATGATCTGGGAAAGTTTCACTTGCGAGAAATCGTGGGTCTTCCTTCGTTAGACCCAGTTGCGATCTGATAACTAATCTTCACGTCAAGATTTGATGGACCACAGATCCGACTCGTACTGAATGACGAGACATATCCACTGCGTACTTGCGCAGAAACTAAGGAAGATCGCCGATACGGCACTTGCTCACTGGATGCGTTCACCAGAGCCAATCAATTTAGCACTAACATCAAATTCGGTGATGATACGTGGCAAGCGGCTTGCGGTACCCAATGAGAGGTTCATAGGTGCTGATCTTAAGGAAATACTTGCACACGACCAAATTTTCCGCCTTGAAGTTTTGCGTAATATACATTCTATTGCCTCAAGTCTCTGTAACCAGATTGATCATGAAATTATTCTGTGATTCCATTCGTGATGCGGGTTTACTGCTCTCCGATTGTCGTCTCCTATTTCCATCTCCATCTTTTCTCTTCACATTCACGTGACGACCTCTAGCCATGGCGTGATTGGCATTTAGAATGCCAGCAGGTGTCAGTATGCGATGGATTTTAATATTAGCACAGACAGGAGAGTCACGCGAATTGGTTCCGCGAGATCAAACGTTTCGTCCTTACATATATTAGATTAGATGTAGACCTCCTAATGCGTTGTCAAAATGTTTCTGGAATTCAAGTGACTTGGCGGACACAATGACTATCGCGCCGGCAGCTATCAATCTGTAGCATACATGTGTTCTTTCGTCGTATAAATACAAGCTGAAATAAAATGGCTTCTTTACAGAGCCTCGATGTGTGGAACTGGGCCAGCGGCAACTACCCTGGAGGGGTTTACCTGTCGTGTGTGAATATAGGTGCGCTCGAGAACCCGTAGCACAACGCACCTTTATCTGAGACCAATAGTAATGCTCCTTGATGTGATCGAACTTGGTGCACGACTTGAAAGCATCGTTGTTCCAGTACAACTTCCTCATCCAAGCTAAGGAACATTGAACATGAGTCCATCAGGAATCCTATGAAGATGTTTGACACCTCACAGATGGATGTTAGGGTACCCGTGGCGAATGTCACGCAAATTGCATTTGAAGTGGCCGACGTACACGGGATCGAAGCGGATCTGAGCAGAGCAGAAAGTTTAGAGCGCAATTGGGGTATTTCAGGATCGTACATACGGTTGTAACGAATAACCTGATGTCCGCTTCGGTGAGGGTGTTGCCCACGAGGTAATCCTTGCCTTTGAGCATCTCCTCGAGTCGGTCGAGGGATTTAAATAGAGGGTAGACGGCGCCCTCGTACGCAGACTGGGATGCTGCAAATCCAGCTTTGTACACACCATCTGCAGCGCACGATCTCATCAAGACAAGCCCCATCCATAGAGACTCAGACGCACTGTTCACGGTGTCATACACCCACTCGTTGATACTATCAATCTCCTGGCGGTGTGCCTCGGGGTAGATATCAACCGCCGCTTTGTCGGCGGGAAGCAAGTGATTAAAGGCGGTATTGAACATGCGGATGATTTCGGAGCTTTCGTTGTTGACAATAGTATTGAGCTTCTTGTCCCACAGCACGGGGACCGTAAACCTGATTACAATGTAACAAGTAATGGCAAATGAGAGGGGAAGAAACGTGCCTTCCACCATAGTTCTGATCAGCAAGGAAGTAAAGATCTTTGATGTGCTGGAGATTTGGGTGTTCGGCGTCGTCATCTGCATCCTGCCAGGTCGGATCCGCATTCTTGAATGGCCAACCATGCTCGCCCATGTGAGGGGATACTGCGGTAACGGCTGCAAGGAGGAATTATAGATTCATGAAGTGCATAGATCGGTGACGACTGACGGATGAAATCTTCCAGTCCTTTCAGTTTTCGAGTGATGATAGTCCTCGTAGCCCATGCTGAGGAATGTTCAGTCAAGATAACGCTGTATAATGTCACACTCCTATCACTGACGGCATGAATAAGATATGTAGAGGCGGTATCTCCCTGAATGTTGAATGAACTTCTCGACTAGATAGATTTTCTTTACTTATTTACCTTTCTCTGGAAGGAATTTGCCATCGTTCTTGATGAAATTCCTAAAGCTTGACGCAGCTCTTTTGAAGGAGCCATCTGACTCTGTCTTCATTTTACCGATGTCACTCTGATCTGAAACGTCTTTTGTAGAAGTCATGGTTCGTATGCAATGGTAGATTGATGAAGGAGGTGATTGTGGGGATGAAAGTGCAGTCAGGGGTTTGGCGCGAGAGCCGCGACTTATAAACATCAAGAGAGAGCCATACATAGAAAGAAGTTTGCACAAGCAGACTAAGAAATCACATCATATCAGTAAGCAGCGGTCAGCAAGGAGTTTCAATATTACGGGGACTTGTTACCCGGCCATCATCCATCCTAGTGAGTCATCTTGTCGAATCATCGATTATTGTTAATCCCAGCACGAAAAGAATGAATTGGATGACGCATGATCGATGCGCAAGCCAGTACGGAAAATTACCCTTTTTGGTATGTTTTGTTTTGGTGACTAAGCTGTAATGTCAAAGTTCGCCCATCGGGAGCCCAGCACATTAATTCATGACGAAGGATATACGCTAATCCCCGAGAAGCGAATTATCGAAACATATGCGATGCGGAAGCCCAACTTTTCGAAAGATGCTCATTACTCTACGTGCCCGCCATCCCGACAACGCCCACCTGATCACGGATTTTCGCGATTTCACTGGCTGTCAACCCTCCTTTGCTTGCTCGGAGGAAGTCTTCAAACGCGACGAGCGCATCACCATCGTTACTGAACTCCGTTCTGATGATGTGTTATTCACGACATTCTCTGCGGATACACAATCATTTAACTCACCTCAGGAAGGAGTACAGACGATCCCAAAATCCCGGCTCAGAGATCACAGTCTGATAACTTGACCGCGCTGCGCGCGAAATTGAAGCGGTGGGTATCAAGGACGTGTCAAGAGTCAGATCAATGTCGTGAGGTTTGCCCTCCGGTTCGAGAGACACCACTGAGGGTGATGGTGACAAGACGATGGAGGGCGTGCGTGTATGTCTATGTCCTGTTGCCAGTTTTGGTTGCGGTGTTTGTATCTCGGGAAGATTGGAAGGCTTCATCTTCACTGACGAAATGTTGGATGGGGAAGGAGCTTTGGTAGGATCCCACTCGAACCCGGGTTTAAGCATTAAATTTATAGTGTCTCCCTCTTTCACGCCGTATTCCTTGAGGAGCTTTGCGTCAGCAAATGCCTTGCCCTTGAGTAAGAGACGCTGCGCTTCCGCGGGCGGTGCGTTCGGTTGAGAGGCAAGCAAGGCTTTAACTTCGGACACAGTATCTGTTGGCTGCACGGCAAGCGTGAACGACTGCGGAGGCTTTGTCGACTTGAACGTAATGCTGATTGATGCGGCTAGCGATCTCGTTAGATAACCATCAGTGATATTGGCGTCGAGATTATGTCTACCTGGCGGTGTGGAAGGCTCTCCTTTACGTTCTGGAACAGGAGGGAGCTCGACCTGAAATAAGATTCGCGTAAGAACATGCCATAAAACACGATCCTCGAGTCAGACACGCACTGGTAAGATAGGGACTTTCTTTAGTGAATTTTGTGGGGGCTGCCTGTAGTCGTCACTGTATACAATCGGCTGAGCACCGATGACTTTTATAAAGCTCCTGACGAAGACCAATTCTGCTTGATCAGCCATTCCTCTTGTCCTTGTACGATTGATTTGAGACAGAGCAGTGCAGCCTAGTGCTTTGGCTATGGAGTGTGGCGGTGCAGTTATGATGGAAGTTTGTGACCACTGTCACGTCCTCATTAGTGCATGTGACCGTGACCCGGAATCCATTCGCGTCACACTCGTCCCTCCTCCCAAAGTTCGATGGCTGTATGTTTCTCGTCTGGTAAAGAAAAGCTCTTTCACTAACTTTTCGTTTGCACACAGTCAGGTTTCAGTTACACTGGAGGTGTGTACAATAAATTCGCAATCAATCACGTTTGAATGCTGAATATGTTGCGTTTAGGCCGTTCGCGGTGTTTTGCCTACTGGCAAGAATTCTCGAAAGTAATCCACGAGAGTACAAATTCATGGAATTCACTTCTTACATGTGTTGGTGTTCACAGTGCTACGCTGAAGCTGACGCGCCTAGCCAATGCCGTCTGCCGGCGGATGACTACCTAGAGTGCCTCCACCACACGAAAGAAGTCGGTGTTCCTGCTTTTTGCCGTTTCTTGCCTCATGTCTAACCTTCTTTTCGTGCAGATTGCGCGTGCAAAGGCTGTGAAGGCTGAGTTTATTAAACAGGCGGAACACCATGCCAAAGAAGGCCGTAAAGTGGCCGATGTTCTTGCAGACGGCGTGATTGTTGGAGTGGGGCTGATACAACGAGACCAAGGCGGAGGAGGCAAGCACAAGTAGTATACTGAAATACCCTTTGTCGTTGGTTCGACTTGGACGGTTCCATCCTTCCGCATTCTTACTGCCTCGGGGCTGTCATGCGGAGCGTTAAGCCGATCAGGTGCTGGAATTCGAATGGAATCCACGTTTTCAGAGGGCATCCTTGCGGCTGACTGTAGTGATTATAATATCTCAAACAACGTGTTTCTTGCGTGTTTCCTGCATTTTCTGCTCGCCGTTGAGCTCGTTCCTCCCTCAGTGGCGGACTTTAAACAAACGCCATGAGATCGACTCTCAGAAAGTTTCTTAGTTCGATTCACCTTGGTCCTCGACCACCAAACAATTCTACTACTTCTCAGACCGCCGACCCTACCATGGTCACTCAAGGTGTCGGTTCCATCAGTTCTCCCATCGTCATATCCGATGATGAGGATGAAGCTATGATAGACCTCCAGCTGCGAGTTGATTCAGATTCTGTGGACACTGACCAGAGCGATCACCCGCGTATTTCACCAAATGGTAATTCAGAGGAGATTCCCGCAGCGAGCAAGGGCTATGCTATGGCCTTGAACATGGGTTATTGTCCAGGACGCGGTCTAGGACGCGGCCTCGACGGTGAGTGCAGTTGTAGCGTGCGTCCTTCACTCACCCAGATGGTCGTTGCTCTAGGCCTAGTGGAGCCTGTGTGTCTTGAGGTTGGTCAGAAACGCAAACGGATGGACAGTGGCATTGGATTTCAGCGATCTCAGCTTTACGCGCCTGGCTGGTCACCGAGGAAAGGTGATGGTAAGCTGAACAAGAAACGGAGAAAGGAGCAGCATACGCTTGGAGCTCCTCAGCGGGTTTTCAGGTCCCAGCAACATTGCGTGTTGCAACCCAAATTGCTCGCCGCCCCGACTGGCCCCGCGAATACTAACCAAGGGCCTTGGGCAGCGCTCGCATCAAGTAGGAAAGGCAAAGAACGGGAACGCCTTACGGCCCCATCGCCTCCAAAGCCAGCACCGAGCCCGGTGCGGCGGCTGCCTGCACCTCCTCAAGGCCCTAGGTCGAACGTTCCTTACAGTCCTCCGTTGCCTGCGGCTTCTCCGCCGAAAGGACCTCGTAGCTGGCTCGCGTCTCAAGGTCAAGGTCAATCCCCGCCCCTGGCTCCTCAAACACCACCTATTGCACCACGGACACCACCCACTGCACCACGGGCCATGCAGCAACAGCAGCAGCAGCACCTTACGACCAATGGATGTGCTGGGCCTTCAGCTATTGCATGCCCTGTACCGCAGCCTGGTTATCCTCAGATGCAAACACAGCCAGCGAACAGCTATGTTGACGGGCAGCCTACAAGCATATCATCTGCTCCACAATCTACGTTTCCGCAAGTGCAGCAGCAGCAGTCGCATGGTGTCATCTACAACCCTCCATTCGCAGGCCCTCCAGTTCCATATTATCCCGGGGCAGAACCGTCCGAGTCATGGCACACTCAGTACGGCATGGTGGCTGTTGCAGCACCTCCACCCCCACCCACCTATTTCATTGCGTACCATGACTACTCGAACCCGGGAGTATATACATACGTCCCCGTACCGACTACACCCGCTGGCTATGCACCAGCACCTGTCGATCCATACGCCGCCGCGGCGATAACTGGAGGTGCTACAGGTCCGAAGCCGACCAGCGGGCTTACTCCTGTGACTGCTGATACATCCACGTCTCCTGCTGGTGTCAGCCAGTCCAACGGGTACCAACTTATATCCGCTACCGACGCTGATCATGACGACGCCCGCTCGGACTCCTCAACTCCTGAGCCGCCCTCCTCCAGGAGGCTGCTCGCAGAGCCCATGCGGAGGCCCAGGCTCCTCCACATCGGGCATGCCCCGGAGGCCGACCCCAACAGCAAGACGGGGACGTATGCGAAGCGGCTCGCCTCGCAGCCGAACCCTTCATGTACTCTCGTGCTAGACAGCATCCCGATGCGGTTCCGCAATCCATCGTGGGTGCACAAGTGGGCGGTGAATGCAGGGGAGGCAGAGCCAGCGTGCATTGATGTAGATGCGAAGAGCGGGAAGGCGCTGGTGGAGTTTGTGGATTCTGCGTCTGCGCGGAAGGCGTTTCAGAGTAAGCAGCTGAAGGGGAAGGGGAAACATGCGATTCGGGCGTGGTGGTATAGGGTTACGGGGGTAGGCTCTAACGCTGGTGTTGGCGAGATCGAGGAGGGCGAGGTGGAGGATGGGAGCACAAAGAAAAGCGAGGTGGTTGCTCAGATGAGCAAGAAGCAAAAGAAGAAGTTGCAGCGGAAGCAACAGGTTGGACCGAGCCCCCAGGGAGGTTCGAATGGCACACAGGTCATTGCGAGTGAAGATACCGCTGTCGACGAACAAGCGCACGCACCATTTACTGAGCGGGAAAAAGCGTCTGTCGATGCAGCAGCCCCCCGTGGACGTCGGTTCTCATTCGATGGTTTTTCCGTGCGCTTTGATGTGTCCAATGGCCCCCAGGATGGTGTTGGTGTTGGTCACTTCATCCAAGAGGACGATGGCGAGGATCGTGCGTCCATTGCATCCTCACGACCACCCTCTACTCTGCTCGTGATATCTCATGATGACCCAGGGGAGGATGTGGAAATGTGCTCGCCAGTGACGAGCCATATGCCTGGCGATTTGCTATCGGCAAGTAAAGTCTGTGGAGATCAAAGCTCGACGGTGGACCCTCCTAGGTCTGTGGATGTGGACGTGGATTTTGAAGTGGCTTTTATTTCAGCAGACAATGGTCCATCCACTGACCCAGAGATGCAACGGGATATGAATTCTACAGAGGTCCCAGCGATGGCCTTGAGACTGCCATCTATCGAGCCGCAACCTGTCTGCTCTGATTCCACCTTACAGTCTAACCTATCGTCGTCTCTCTTGTCTACAGAAGCTCCTGCCGACGAATCAGTGGCACAGTCACACTCAGCCAAGGTCGTGTCACTCGCACCCCAAAAGGAACTCGAAGAAGATATTAACTCTCTTGAATCTACACCAAGTATGGAACTCAATCCCCTCGCATCTACTTCCTCCGTTTCCAGCTCGCCCTCACAACTCGTGGTACCCTTGACACGCGAACCGTCGGCAGACAAGATCGCACTTGAAATGAATTTGCGAAGGCTCGTTCGTGAAAGCAAGCAGAACAAGGCAAATGCCCTCAGTGCAACATCCTCTCCCTTGTCCACTCATACCACCGCACTACCCCCTGCCCCCTCCGCTCTCAACGGTGATGTTGCCCTTGCGCAATCCAGCCCCTCTGTTTCGTCAGCAACGTTTGTTCTACCTGTTTTTATTTATTTTGACACTCACTTTCGACTAGGAGCTTGGAAGAACTTGCTGTTACGTTCATTTCTGAGACGATAGAAAGCATCAGGCCGACGGTACCCAAAACCGCGGCGCCCCTGAGCACACGACAGCAGTTGGTTCAGAAGCAGCTAAAGCTTGAGCAGTACATTTCGCAAAGCAAGGAGCTTATCGCGAGGCTCAGCCTGGCGCAGAGCAAGGAAGAGAAAGACAAAATCGTCGGCGCGATGCGTGAGTGGAGCAGGTACGTGAAGTTTGAACATCAGGGACGATATGGTTAGGGCTGAACCACGCTGCAGAATGATGGAGTTGGATGAGGTGGGCAAGAGCCCGGTTGTCACGAGTAGGTTTTCTTGGCCTTCGTGCGAAGAAACGGTGCTGGTCATCAGTGATGATGAAGACGAGGAGTGAGGAGGTTGGATCGGGAGTTGTTTGACAGGCTTCGCAGGTATGTTGGTTTTTCCATCCATTCATTATACGTCGGCAGTTTGGGCATTATCAAGGACTCGGATACATTGTATAGTTTAATGACATGGAACATGTTCAAATCAAGCGATCTTGAAATCGATATCTACAACGCTTGGCGCTACATCGAGGAAAGCTGTCCTCGATTGTTATCTCGTTGCATGCCAAGCTTCATGGTCTCAAACCTAGACTTCAATGAAAGGGCTGAGGGTTGTGAGCATAATACCTCACTCGTATCGCCTTCCTGGGAGTTGTACTCGACCAGAACAAGGCTGCCCTGGGCCCCAAGAGCACTATAGATAGAAATAGTAGAACTCAATAATAAAGCTGCTGGGACGGCGTTCCTGCTTTTCTTGGCAGCATAGAGTATTGCCCGAGGTCAATTATTCTGAAAGCAGTTGGGTTGTCGCCAGTGACTGTATATCACACGGTATTAATATTACCAGGCTTGACACTCTATCTGAACTGTCTTATCGCTACAGATCGTCTTCGTCCGTGACTCATGAAGCCTTATGCTCATCAGGTTAATATGATCATTCGATGGAGCGTGGAGCTTGGGGCTCGTTCCGTCAAACGGTTATCATATGAACCGACATTCTGTGCGAGGTACAGAAGAAACTCGATTCGCTGCTTTTGTCAGCGACTGAACCAAACAGCGTGCAAACATCATAAATAGCCACAATCTCCTGGCTTTGTTACTTGCCCTTCTACCACCACCGCATCCCCGCTCATCGTCGTACAAACTCATCTGTAAGTTCTCTTCTAGTTTTCAAGGGCAATTTATCCTGCTCACTGTTATACCTTATTCGTGTTCCATTTTCCTGGTATCGCATGCAATACTTCTGCTTCTATGACTACGCTTTAACTATACCATCTGATCATGTGCGATTCCGGCTGATCTCTCGGCGATTCTTTCTGGGTTGTTGATACAGTCTCGAATCTTGTATAACAACTTTCTGCCATGGCCTTGAAGCGCATTAACAAGGTCCGTTTGTTGCTGCTTGTGTTCCTGTGGCGATGCGCTCATTTCCGGCATGTGGCGCACAGGAATTGATCGACCTCGGACGTGACCCACCCTCATCCTGCAGCGCAGGTCCTGTAGGCGACAACATGTTCTCATGGCAAGCAACAATCATGGGTCCCGTACGTCTTGTCTTACACTCGATTATGGTTCTATACTGATTGGGTCCCCCGGCATTATAACAGACTGACTCACCGTACTCGGGTGGTGTCTTCTTCCTTACAATCACGTTCCCCACCGATTACCCCTTCAAGCCACCTAAAGTCAGCTTTAGGACGAAGATCTACCACCCTAATATCAATGCCAATGGATCCATTTGTCTGGATATTTTGAGGGATCAGTGGTCACCAGCATTGACTATATCGAAAGGTACGCAAGTATGCTATATTCTCATTATTGTGGCCTACATCGCGTGTCATGCAGTGTTACTTTCGATTTGTTCGATGTTGACGGATCCCAATCCCGATGATCCTCTGGTACACGACATCGCCCACTTGTATAAGACAGACCGCACCCGCTACGAAGCAACAGCTCGGGAGTGGACAAGGAAGTAAGTATCAACAACCTCCAGTGTGATCTCATCTCATCTCATCTATCGCAGGTATGCCACGTAGTACGGTGTCCATTTACTTCTCTAAGCGGTACACATGAGTTGTATTGGTCGACTGTATGAAAGTGCATCAAGCATCTGTTGTACATCATTGCATGTCTATGTTTTTAGTATTCTCCCTTTCGCTTTTTGTACCCAATGAACGATGAATCGCCTAGGAATTTGTCAGTCTGATCATACGTCCGCGTCGAGTTTGCCCCTGCTGTATCATGCATGCGGGTCATGTTTCCCAACTATCATGTGTCCAAGGGTCGTCATTTTCGTGGGACTCAGTGGTTCAGCCTCAATTCAGCCTGGCAGTAAAGCAGGTGTTAATCCGCACCAGCCCACATGTGACCATAACTCGAAACGTGGGTGCGGCACTTGAAAATTATTGTCGTGCAGCGGCTTGTCAACGTATCCACAGTGAGAACAGCCAATGATCTTTCCTTCAAACTCTGACTCCGATTGGTTTTAGACACCATCACTATGGACGGGAGCTCAACGTTCAACGTTCAATGAAACGCTTTCGGATGAGACATGTTTTAGGAAATGTTTTGATACTTCCCAATGTACGGATGCTATTTTCAAACTGTCAACTACACCCAGTTAAAACACCTGAAGCCAACCACTCGCAAGAACCCATCGTCCGACAACTACGAATCCGATGTGCGCGCCGTGGCATGTCTCCGCCTTACGTCCAGCACCGCCGCCTCGTGTCAGATGCAGCCCAAAAATAGCCCCTGAGGCTAGCAATGACGACAGTATGTGCTGCGTATAGCGCCTCAACGTTGGGCGCCCTTCAAAAGTACATCCTTCGTGGGCATGCCGAATGCAACCACTTCGGCTTGTCACAACGCGTCCGCGGTCGACACTGCACCCGCCAACCAAATCACGGCGCTTTATTCCCCGGACTTGTATTATGCTGGTGTTGCATCCTACCTGGTTGCCCAGTAATGGAACGCGGCAGTTTTGAGCTGCTAGATCGCCGGTGCTATTGGTCTTTTCAATGACAAGTCGTAAATTGCAGTGTGCTCAAGAGCCTTTGCTCGTGCATCGCAATTCTTGCGTTGGATCGTATATGAGGAGGGTATGGGGACGCGCAAGTCCTTCATTCACCCAAATATTTTCCTGCTCACGTCCGCAGCCATGTACGGAAGTAACCCCTTCGCAGCGCAAGACGCTAGCGTGCCCCCGCCGTCCGTCTTCGGCGCCCTCCCTTACCCTACTGTGTCCTCGTCGCTCCCGGGCGCGGTGACGTTCAGGTTCACATCGTTCAGCCCAACCATCTTGGACTGCAAGGTGATCGGACCGCGCGACGATACGTATTTCCGCGTCGTAACGGACGCAGGCGGTTACACGATGCTGAAGGATGCACAGGGCTCGAATATTGCACTGTTGGAGTGGCAGGACCGCCCAACAGTCGAGGCGCGCGGTCTGGTCACGAAACAGCCCATGGGTCAGTGGCTCAGACTCTCGACGGATAGGAGGTGCGTTTGATGGAAATTTCTGGAATGCAGTCCGTTTAATATTTGGTAGTAATCGATTCATGGTCTACAACGGCGCTTGGCTATTCCTGGAGTCCCCACGACAGATTTCTGCAGGTACGCTAGCCATTTTCCCCGGCGCAACCGTGACTAACGGGTACTGCCAACCAGCTATCTATTCCAGGCTCATATGACGTACTTGCTCGAGTATTGAAGACACATGATGCCGTGGTGCTCGAATTGACACCTCATGCGATCCAGCTTGGGCTGCTGGAACTTGGCGTGCTGGCCACAATTCTATTGCAGTGCGGGAAGAGCATTGACTGAGACGCGTTTGAGACAGGCAAATAGGGGATAGATAGTAGAACGGTTTATTCTTTCATAATTTATTTAGTCAGAGGACTTGCAAATTTATATTTATTCTCGTTTAATGCAAGCACCTCCTGGTACCAGATTCTATAGCTAGGTGCGTCGGAGATTTGGTTTTTGTACGAGCAACTTTTCCAGCACGGGTATATGTAGTGTGTCAGTGCAGGTTGGCGTCGCTGCACTAAATGGTACCCAGATAAATTGAAGATATACAATGCCGTAGTGCTCGAATTGAGTAAATGCTCAGATCCAGCCTAGACTATTATTGCACTGCGAGAAGAGCATTAACTGAGACAAACGGTGAATTGCAGACTCGGATAGAGGACCAGTGTTTGCTCGTTCGGAATATATATACTCAGAGCACCTACTTAGAAGTCAACATTTATTCTCGTTTAATTGACTTGTTTGCAGTCACCTCCTCCCGGGACTCCAGTGCCTTAAAAATCAGGTCCAGCGTAGTAGCCACGAGATGTTGCTCCTTCTGGTGCAAGGCGAACCCCTCGACGATCACATCATTAAGCTGGGCAAACTTGCCCTCCACCACATTGGTAAGCTGCTCAACTTTCTTTGCTAGCACCTCCAGAGCGGCTACTACCGTTGGCGTCCTCTCGTCCGCTTCCGCTTCCTCTTCAACCTCCATCGGGCTCGGGTTCTGGCTTTGATGTCGACTCTTCTTCTTGCCCTTGCCTTCACGAGGTGATTCTACATCATCCGTGACCGTCCTCTTCTCCTGCTTTGGCTCCTTCACTTCTCCAGGGAACGTGCAGGCAATCTTCATGCTTCTACAGCGGTCACATTTATTGACCATGCTTCTCGTTGCCGAGAATATACAGGCTGTGCTGGACTTGGCCTTGGTGCATGCCGTGCATCGGTGCGCAGGCTTCGCCCCAGTCTTCTTGTTATTCTTCTTGTTATTCTTGTTCTTCGTCTCCGCCCCAGTCTTCTTGTTATTCTTGTTCTTCGTCTCCGCCGCCTTTCTCTTCTTCTCCGCCGCCGCTCTCTTCGTCTCCGCCGCCGCTCTCTTCTTCTCCGCCTCTGCTCTCTTCCTCTCTGCTGCCCTCCTCTGACCCTCTTGCTCGGCCTTCATCTTAGCCTCTTCGGCACGCTGGAGGTGCTCTGCAGCGCGACGGCTGGCCTCCTCTGCCTCTTGTTGCTTCATCGCCGCCAGCACCGCAGTGACTCGCAACTGCTCTAAGGTGTCGGGTTTAGTTCGGGGTGCCAAACCCGTGAGTACAGTCGTCTTGACGGTAGGAGGAGCAGACATGGTGGATGATGATAGAGCGGGTAAAGTCGTGGGCGGCGGTAGACGAAATAATCAATTATGTATTCGTGCAGATTCAGAAATCTCGGGACATAAGTCACTGCAGCTGGCAGGCTGGCCACTTCTACAATTTGGAACTCCGAAGGCGCGTTGTTTGGATTATGCCAACAAAGGCCAGCAAGTACAAAAGTTCATCCACTTGTATGAAGATCTGATAAGTAGTTCTTCACTTCACTAGTTACAATACGGGGAGAAAAAGGTATTTACGATGGTTAAATACAACGATAAACGCGAAGAGGCAACAATCTTCCCCAACAGTAATCACGAGGCTTGAATTGACCTTATATATTTTTCGAAAAATGTCGTTTGTATATGCCGCAGCTTAGTAGCCTCGTCGATTGAAGTTAACTTTATTTGTGACTGCGACTGCGACAGTGATCAGCATCCAGCCTCCTAGTCGGTAGAATACAAGGAAGAACACACCAGAGCCAAAGGCTTCACAAGATCAAGCACAGCTGTCAGGCCAGAAACCATCTCGGCTAGTGCGACTTTGTGTCGTGGGTCAGATGAATTGGACAATACGTCGGGCAAAATGTTGATAAGTCGGGGCACAGTACGGGTGAAGTTGTCCAACTCCTGCTCTTCGACCCCATCTGGCGCGACTGAGTCTGACAGCGAAGCATGCAATTCGGGGATGCGTGTCATAGCATGAGCATAGTCCATATAGGCCTGACCGGACAACAAGTTTCAGATAATTTGGTAGCGTGGAAGGAGAAAGGTCATCACCTTGCCTCGGGTATGCCACCCGTCGATGGTCTGATTGGCAATTCTTTCAAATAATGATATAAGTAGATCAAGGTCCTGCCGAATGACTGCTTCAGGTGCAAGCTCCACGATGGCAAGGTCGTGAGCCTGCTGATACAATCCTGCATTCAAGTACAGTTGGTAGGCCTCAAAAACTTCGCCTTCATAAATAGCAAATACAGCCTACGCAAGAGAGTGAGTACGGAGAAGAATAAACAGTGAAATTGCTGACTCTTGCTTCATTTACCCAAGCCATGGGGATCTTGAGGCTTCCGAGTATACCACTACACATCCACTCATCCAGTTTGTCGGCAGAGCGGTGAAGAAGGTCCTTGATCGCCTTTTCGCGACTGTCATCACCGTCAGTCGCTGAGCCATACATTAGCAACGTATCTCACCCCGCAGATCCTTCAATGTGCAAAAGCACAAAAACAGCCTCCTGGAGCATGCCAAGCTGCTCCAGTTGGTGTGCATAGCTGCTCGCAAGCAGGTCAGCGCTTGGACTATGACCTTCATGCTGATCTTGCTCATTGTCATCATCATCATCCATAGCATCCCTGGGCCGTCCCGGGTCTGCGCGATCCGCAAAGTCGCGAATGCGCATACATCGTGATAGGATGATATACAGATGCCATGAGAGTGAAAAGTCGCCTGGCGATGGCCCGAATGAGAGTGGGGAGAGGGCTTGTGATAATGAACATGCAGGGTCTGCATGCAAGCGGATTAGAGAGAAGAGAGCGTCGGAAGGCGATGGAGTGGGAATTTTGAATGGCAGCGATTCTAATGTGTGTTCGAGGTATGATGGGAGTGGAGGGGAGACACGGAAAGGCGACTCTTGCCGTGATCGGTTGTATGACTCGAAAACCTGTGATATTGGTGTATCCAACGGCTCAGAGAACCATAAGTGCAAACCGAAGGTCCGCTTCCAGTCAAGACCCTTGACAGGGTCAACGTCTGGACACTGCTCTAGACTACTGCCTTTTGAGCCCTCCACAACATCCAGTATTCCGGCCAGTAGGGCATAAATTTTGCTGCATGCTCTCCCCGATGTGTACGTCTATCCGCTGTTCACGCCAGAGCTGGATTTGTTCCTTCAAGTCTTCCCTGAACTCGAAGTCACCCGAAGCCTGTGATATCAAAGTTGCGAGTTTGATGTAGCCGTTGTCCATGGCTGCTTCGCAGGCTCTCTCTATTTGGTTGCCTGTAAGGAGTGTGTAAATGCATGCAGCAGAGTCCCCAGAGGCAAGTTTCTTGATATCAGCATCTACAAGATGACCTACAGCCTCCTCAAGCCAATCTGACAATGCGGCCTTCCGCCGCACTGCAGATATCCGATTGCGCACGTCAACAGTAATCTCCGACGCGAGGTGCAATTCGATGGTGTCGAATAACGCGCGACCGAGTCGGAAAAGAGACTGTTCATCAGAGTGATCGGAGGAAGGGTATAAGGAGACGAAAGAGGAGAAATCAAGGTCGGTAGATGGATCGGCGAAGGGGGATTCCACTTTCATCTTTAATAATTGGTGTTTTGCTCAAGTGGTGTTGTAGAAGACGTGAAAGCCGGTTGTTGACCTCTTTATGGGAGCCTGCGAAGAGCGGTACAATTGTCTTCGTGATGACGGAAGAATTTGCAGAAGTGTCACTGTCGCAATAGACCGTTAACGACTGAATATCATTTATTGCATGAAGGTGCATGAAGATGCACGAAGCTTACATTTGACTCGACGGGGCACAGAGTCGCCCAAGGTGGACCAAAGTGCCACCTGGTCCCCAGCCTACGCGGAAGGATCGACCAAACGCCAAACCAGCGTCTACCAGACCATCCTCATAGCCAGCCACGGCAGAGGCAGATGTTTCTACTCGGGCGTACTTCCTAGACGGTCGGTAAGCTGGCGGTTCTATATCATGCGCAAATGAGGCCCTCTGAAAAACATGGTATTGATTAGAGGTTTATGCTAAGACGGATTGAGTGACAGACCTCCTGGGAGTCCACCCGCAATCCGTCTCCAATGGAGTCACGACTGTGTTTTCGCCTGACTGTAGGCGGCAGCTTGAAATGGGGTCGTGTTGCACGGTTCATAGCCTTAATTGCCACGGCCTCCTCCGGTATACGAAATAGCGAAGTCTGCATAACGTGCATCTTTTGCGCATCCACACCGACTTGTCTAGCCCATGGTATCACTGCAATGTCCTCCCGTTGGGCTGGTACATCCACATCGGATTCACCAGACGAAGCAGAACCTGAACTTGTATTCTCCGACCCGTCTTCAGTCTCGTCATCGGAATCGTCCACCAAAGGGCGATTACGCAGTCAGTCTTGAGCGAGTGGGGGGGAGGGCGTCCTCCTGCATATCTGACGAGCTTTCTTCCGACGTTTCTTCATCTGATTCTTGGTCAACTCCTATGTCTTCGTCTGAACCAGCTTCGGTATTGTGATCTTTCAGTGGTTTCGGTGGCGACCGCACCGGAGACTTGTTGAAGTCCTGGACCATATGTATGTCGTGTTCGTCATCGCTGCTGTCGCTGACGGCGGCACTGAAACGTGTCATAGTGCACTCGACTCTGACTGCCCAGGCGTTGGCAGCTCAAACAAGGCAAACCGAAAATCTATGAAACACAACAAACAAGAACAAACTAAGATGTGAGGCAAGTAATCCTAATAAGTAAGCTCTAGTCTCCCCTACAAAATGCGCATGAGCTAGCATAACGCTATCGATATCGTTTGCCCTACCGAGCTTCTGCAGCCCCCGACCTGTGCAAAGTCTAACAATTGCCACTGGAGCTCGTGGCTCTGCGCGTCTCGCTGCGAGCCGCGCAGAAGTCGACGAAGCAACAGCAAACAGCATGGAGGTACAGACGTCAGCTCGTTGCAACACACACGAGACCCATTCTTACTCTTTCTAACACGCTTACATCTTCACATGCTGCATGAGTCATTAGGCTCATGTCTGAGCTGCTCACTAGCGCAGACCGTCGCTTTTGTTTCCATGCCGTTCTCCCCCATGGTATCAGCGGTATTGATTGGACCGACTTTTTTGCGGCTGAGGACTCTATCGTTTTGCTGATATTGTACGCACTACGAAATACATTGGATTCTATCTATTACTTTGCAGTGTACTAAATGATTGATTGGTATGAGCGATCCAAGAGTTGCAAGACTGGGTTAGCATCACAAGGCGCTCTAAGACTTGCATCTCTGCAGTCGACTGCCTGATGGCTAACTATCACATTGCCCACTTCTTTCGCAGTGGCTTCTTACTGTTGATCTCAGCGCTTAGTGGAATCAGGACCAGCGTCTATCATGCCGAACACCCATCGACAACATGGAAATACACGCGTAGCATGTCCTGAATCCTCATCTATTTCTCCTCTCCCTCTCACCTAAAAAAGTTCAAGCATCCACAGTCCCTATATCCCGTGTCGTTTACTTCATCGCCCCATCATGCCCGGTAGCTTGGAAAGCCAATATATCAGACTCGAAGGTGGGTAACTCCATTACTCCATTATCATCTTGTGATATCTTCACGCTCTATCTACAGTCATTAGCGGAAAACATCTCAATCTCCCCTCGTGGCGCATACCCGCAGGCATTTACGTGTCCATCAAACTTGATGAGACGAGACACTGAAAATCGGCCATCCGAGTACTATCATCCAGCAGTTCTGTGGCGTGGGGCGATACCGTGACCCTGTGAGTAAAGCAATACACGGTGACTTGCGGACGCGATTCGGGAACTGATCCTTGGTTTGTAGATCATCACATGTGTCACGTAAATTATCAGTAGAGATTTGGGCATCCTTTGAGCTTGATCGAATGCTAGGAAATGGGAATGTCATCCGTAGACTTGAAACGTCGTGGGATGAGCTGCTCCATCATGGAAATGAGCCTTTCGGTGAGTGCCCTGAAGCTTCTTATTCATGTACATCTATTAACTTTCGTAGATTTGTCCTTCCAACGTGTTCGTGGTGTCTATCCTTCTCTTCGGCAGAAGGCCACTGTTGGATGTAAGCGATGCTAGTATTTGTATTTTCAGCTGCCGCTAACAGACCGCACACTGTAGCCCATCGTTGAATTACTGCGCGCACGGATGCAGGTCACGAACAATTTCGAAAACACATCACAAGCAGGTGTACTTCTCACCTGAAAAATGCCATGAAATGTTTCCTGTGGGTTTTGGACCAGTGCCCGGTCGGTCACCCTGACCGTCTAGCCATGATACCTACTTGCATAACTTGGGCGTCTCGCTCCAATATCGCTTCGATCACCAAGGCGCATCTCGTGACCTCAACAGGGCTATCAGCCTCTGTCATGAGCCACTGACAGTTCACCCACCTGGGCATCAACTTCGTGACATCACGCTTTACACCATTGCCCTCGCACTCAAAACCAGATTTGTTAAATTGCATTCCAGCGATGACCTTAATGAAGCCATTGGTCTGTACCGCGAATCAAAGCAACACGATGATCCAGAGCGCCATAAATATCTTTTCAGTTTGAGCTCGGCACTCCGCTCTCGTTTCATGCAAACTCAGAAGGATGAAGATGTCGAGTAAGCCATTTGTCTTTGCCAACAATCACCGGCAATTTTGCCCTCACTGCACCCAGATAGATATCTCAGCTACATGTGGCTGAAGGAGGCCTATCTATCTCGTTACGAGGTACAACATAACCCAGCTTATTTGTCACTTGCAGTGGAAAACTTTAGACTGGTATCAAGACACCCCACTCAAGGCTTTCTGGCAAACCGCATCATTCAGGCATATAATTGGACTGTTACAGCGGAGTGGCACAGTCATACATCTGCACTGGAGGCCTACACGACATTTTTCGAGCTTCTTGATGGTCGTTTGGCAACACGATCATCTACTATTTCACGGCGCGAACTTGAAGCTACTGTTACCTTTTATGATTCCAGAACACTCCCTGTAGATGCAGCATCATCCGCTTTACACCGTCATAATTTAGTAAAGGTCGTCAAACTGGTGGAGCAGGGCCGTGGCCAGCGGTGGTCGCTGGCCTCTCGGCTTAGGACTCCAGTTGAAGACCCCAAACCAGCAAACCCGAAACTGGCTCACAGATTTTCGATGCTGGGCAAGCGCATTTCTGATGTCGCTCAAGGTTGTACAGTCATCACCGACAGAGCTGCTGTTAACCTAGCAGCAAGAAAGTACAGGAGACTCTTGATGCAATGGGAAGCTGCGGTAGCTGAAATCCGTACTGTTGAAGGTTTCTTGCTCCCACCGTCGTATGAAGACTTGCGAGCAGCAGCAGCATGGCTCAGTCATCATCCTTATCGCAAGTAAATACTCGTGCAACGCCATCATCGTCCCGACGTCAGGGGAGCCCCATCATGTTCCATTTCCGTCTCTCACTCTCGCAGATCTCAAGATGCTCAAGGGTGACTTCACCAGGGCGATATGGCACGCGTCTTTATGAGCCCAACGGAGTCGAGGACGGAGCTGATAGTACTCTTGTGGAAGATATAGGACTGAATCATGCTTCTCATTGTCAATGTAATCCGACATGATCTCAAAGTGAAGCCCCGCTCTCGAATCTGGCTGTGTCCAACTGCAGCCTTTATGTGCATCCCTCTCGGATGAAGGCAGATGGATGTGAGCGGGGGCTATGCCTGGAGGATATTTACGTTTGCTCTTATACTCCGACACTTTCGGCTCTCATCAGGTCTCGGCAGACGATGGAGACACATGTGACTCGGACTCCGTCCTTCGCGACGATCGGATAAAGTCTGCCAGGCGCAGGGCAAGGGACGGCGCTTGCCGCTATTGACAATAGAGCTCGCGTTTGTCCATAAATTCCTTCCTCCCAACATCAAGTTTACTCGTCTTTCTGGCGACAAAGCCACACAGGCAGGTGCACTCGAAGCTTTGCGATGCAACTCCTGGGTGCACCTCGCTTGTCATGGCAAGCAGGACCATGAGCAGCCTTACAGTTCGCGGTTCGCCATGAGAGACAAACCTCTCGCGCTGCTTGCCATCACGGAAAACAACGCTCCGCACGCTGAATTCGCATTCTTATCGGCTTGTCATACCGCTGTTGGCGATGATGAGAAGACAACCAACGGAGTCATCCACCCCGCAGCTGGACTGCAGTTTTCCGGGTTCAAGAGCGTCGTCGGCACTCTGTGGGCGGTGGATGATGCTGTCGCAAAGCACGTTGTTGAAGCTTTCTACGAGAATGTGTTCAAGGACTTGAAGGATCCGGAGGGTGTCTTGGACTGTACGAAGGCGGCCTTGGCACTCAACCATGCCACGTACGCCATGAAGAATAATGCCCCGCTCGAGCAGATGCTTGCTTTCATTCATATCGGTGTGTAGTAGTTCTATGGCGCATTGTTTTTGTCTGGTCAGATTTACAAGTTGTTGGTCTTCGATTCTCTTTCATCCCGGTCACCTAGTTCAAGTTGTAGGGATTACCCCGACATTCCACTACTCTTACGTTCTAGTTATCCGAGTCTTTTTTTGCGTTCCTTCTCGTGTTGTCTTCCAGTACCTTCAGTAAAATCATTCGTTGCGGGAGTCGACGGCAATATTGCAATGATTGTGCATCAAAAATTCGTGGCACCCAGGGATATGTCAATTTATGAGACCAATGTTGGTCCAATGATATTATGGTCCCAAGACGTATTAAGACAACCTGCTGACGCACATCGGCGCTCATAAACTATTACATGTGGTACTACTAGTAGTATCAAGTGCGTTTCACGACTCCTGGGTCTTGAACTCTACCCATTCATTGACCCACATATACCTGGAAAACGTCATGTACAAGTAGCGAAACCACGCCATCTGCGAGTCGTGCGCTAGAATGGCCCTTGCAGTTGTGAGATAGTCTGGGATTCCTGAAATAAAAACAGGGAGTGGATCCACCATTGGCTTAAAGGCCAAAAAAGCTTGGGAAACGACAGGAAGTCGAGCAAGAAGAGCGTAAGATAGCCCAGTGTATTTTGGAAGGACCGGCACTGTGACTAAACTGAAGAGACGTGGCACAGATGCATGTGAGGAAGATGACAGGGATTTGATGAGGTGGGATGCACCCAATGGGAGCGAAAAGTGATTGGGATGCAAAGATATCCCCTTGGTGTCAAAAGTCAGAACCTGCAAAGGAACGGTTAGAGCACACATTGAAACAATGCAAGTGAAAATGATTTCTGACAGACGTGATGTGGTGCTCGATTACATAGGGTCGAAGGACTTCCGCAATAATCTCTGCATCCCACTCCTGCGTTATATTATCTTGCAACTGTCTGAAACAACTCGTCAAGCTGTTATAAATTGTATGCAACGGGATGACGCACGGGTGTTCAACAATCCAACGTCTTTCTTCCTCAACTCCGAGGATGTCTAAACTGCGCCAAAGTTCTCCCTTTCTTTGTTCCCCGATACCATCAGCATTTCCGCTGGACAAACATAAGGAGAAGATTTCCGGCCTTAGGTTACTTCGCCGAAGCGCCAGAATGGTAGGCGCAAAGAAAAAACATTCGTCGTCAGGATGAGCGGTTAATAGGAGGATGCGTGGAGGCAACACAGTTCGCTGACGCTCTAATAACGCCTCTGCGTTAAATTCAGATGGCTTGTAAACGACAGAAAGCAAGAGAGATAGAGCTGCCAGAAGAAAAGGAAAAATCATGTTTTATATAACCAATCCAGAGTTCAAACCAGTTCAGTCATGGCGAAAAGCTTTGCATGCGGCTGCAATCAGGAATCAGGACATCTTTCATGCAATTTGGCCGGCAACCACCAAGATAACCGTACCTGGACGAAAAATATTGATAAGTATGGATCCCAACTACGTCCCAATATTGATCGAAGAACTATAGTAAGCCGAGTCTATGATGTATAATTTATCAATCCGATGTGACATGAGTAACCTGAAAACGATCTCTACAGGATGAGACACAAGCATCCCATCTATTCCAAAAGAATCATCCTTTCATGAGTAGCCTGGCCCCGCCTCTGATGCCGGGGTACGAATCGTGCCATTTACATCCCCCGATTCAGGTCTCTGGGTCACGGTGATCTTGGGTGGAGCCTGCCGGCTGACCGTCGCGCGCCTAAACGAGATGAGTGGTACGGATGTCCGAGTCATTTCTCGGGTGAGAGGTGGCGGTCCGCTGCGTACACTACGAACAGAGACCACCGAAACTCGCTTCTTGGTGGTGGCAAACCAGCCGCCCAAACGAGAAGCCAGACCATGACTCTTATTATCTTTGCGCATGTTGGTCACTTCGCTAGTCTCTTTGCTGACCACGCTCGGCTGGTCTGACTCCCACCACCATGGCGCACGCTTATCTGCTGCCACAGATATGCACCATACGACGAGCCCGCAGACGGTCAGCAGTACTGTGCCAACGGTGCCCCTAGAGACAGCATCTCCAGGGCTACACCATTCGTAGGAGAATGCCACGAGGAAGAAGAACATGCTGTGTTTATGCTCAGCTAGGGATTGTCTACGAGGGATAAGTAACTCACCTCCACATGAGCAGTGCGTAAGGGAGACTATAGATAATTGCCAACTTTTCCAGACCACGTTTACCATCATTCATCCGTTGCAAAAACCTCGCCTAATGACGTACAATAGCCGATGAATGAATCGATAAGGTACGCAAATAAAAGTGACTTACAGCCTCAGAGCCACGGTCCCTACCAGTAAGATCCAGAGCAATGAACGTCAGACCCAGAGCAATAGAACCGAAACTAAGAACCAGCGACATGTAACTAGCTATCTGCGTCGGAGAACGCCCGGTGCCCGAGTCGACTGATTGGATTGCCAAAAAACCAACATTGGCACCAAGGAGCACCGTACCCTAGAGGAATTCACATCAGAATGATACTGTGAGAGCGAAACTTGGCTCACAAGAAGGTTGAGATTCTGGAGTTGCCCATTTAGTCTCGTGATGAATATCTTCCACTCTGCGGTACTTGCGAGATCGTCTACAAAGCTGGTGTGCAGGGATCGCACGTGAGCGACGGGGGCCATGCAAAGGAGTGGAGCAAATATAGTCATGTAAATCGATGGCTTATAGCTCCAGCCTCGTACTGTCTGGTCGACGCTTAACCGAGCACATGGTTGACCATGGAAGTTCAGGTACTGGTTGCGACCTGAGGAGAACCTATTAGGGACATGTGACACTGGCTTAGACGAGAAGCTCACAGAAAGTGTGCATAATTCGCCCTGTTAATATATGGTCAGCGGTATTAGATGAGATGTGTGTCACCCGTACCTATGATAACCACTGCATGCGCTCTGTCGCCGGATGAGTTCACTGAGGATCCAAATTATCGCGACGAACAGGAAAGGTGGAGGTCACATTACCTCGTATCCACTTCACAATCTCAAAGTATTGCTTGAGCTCATCGGCGCTTAATGCTGCTGCGGACCGTGTGGTTGTGAGGTGATCTGAAATTGTGTTCAGATGATGAGCAACGTCTGTGGCTGAATACTGACCGCAAGTGGCATGGAGCATAAGTTCTCTAAGCTCATCCAATATATCTTGCGCAACCAGACAAAGGTTAGGAAACATTTCCCAGTGCTTCCTGGAACGGTGTTTGTTAACTTTTGGAATCCAGACTAGCAAAGGTTATCAGTAAGAATTATAGAACAATACGTCTGCAACGTACTTCGGTCGTGATACACACCAGTATTGAGCTTGCACTGCTAGTCCTGAGAAATACTCATTCTATGAGCCCAAGAGACTGGCTTGCCAAATGCACTTACGTTTGTGGGATAAAGCAGTAACCCCCCGACACTCCCCTAGCATATCCTCTGCATCATATTCATCTAGCCAGAAAAGACATCTTTCTGCAGGGTTAACGAAGTAGTAGCAGCATATAATCTCCGTGTCCCCTGCTTTCTTCGGTTCAAGGACCAGTTCCACCTCGTCGTAGTCAATGTCAATCTTCTTGGTGTCAATAGCGAGGCGGAGTTCTCCGTGAAGATAATTAGAGAAGTAGACGATATCGTTCAATACCTCCGGCGAACAGACATCTGACTCCGTGTATGTTCTCTGAGGGTGTCGAGTTGTTATTGAAATATACCGAAGAAAGAAAACACGACTTACCGTCTGATGATGCAGGAAGTAGCGAGCACCTTCTGGGTGTACGTGCGCCGTCCAGCCTATGGGGAGGTTCCCACTGAAATCACGATGAGGATATTAGTGACCTTGATAGCAGTTAGAAATTGTGGACTTTACTCGTGACTGGGGTATTGGACTTGGTAAGCTTTAATCTTGTAGTCAGATATTGAAGCGTCGCTAGCGCAATCTCAGTATTCATATACAATATTTGCAACTAAGAATTCGTACATCATGGCAAATTCCCTGGAATGTCGATCAAAACGTTTGACTCCATTCGCTGACATCGGAGCAAAACGTGGGCCAGTAGTGTCCCTTGAATGCGCATGGCCCGAAGATGAAGTGCGTGGAGCGAAGGGAACCTGCGAGCCATCACCTTCCGATGCCAAAGCGGCAGCGAGGGTAGCGGTGGATACGCCACACATATTCGACGAGCCTTCGTAGAGACTCGGCGTAGGAGAGCGAGGGCGTGGGGCTTGTCCATCATGTTTTCGATACGAATTTCGCCCAAGAGACACAAGTGACTGCGCACTGCCTGGTCGACTTATGGATTCACGGTCTGGTGAGTTCGGCACTGCCAACGTATGCCGACGGGGGCTCAGAAAAGACCGTGTAGTATATAATGGGTCATCTGAACTGCCACCGAATGTAGCTGCACGAGCAAGAATAGGTCGTGTACCGAATTCGGGTTCTGGTGACACAGGCGAACGTTGGCTCGGCGAAAGATCTGGGTAGCCACTAAGGAAACCCCTGTTAAACCTGGTGTTCACGGAAATGGGAGGACGGGTCGTAGTCGTAGGAGAAGTGAGGATAGGTGTGCGGTCAGGTAAGGGCTCCCTCACGTCTGCGGAACTCGGCACTGTCAAACGGTCAGGACTGGACATCAAGTCATGAGATGTCTGTTTCCTGGTTGGGCGGGGAGGAGGTATCACTAGACGCGCAGGTGCGTCGTAGGGAGCGTCTGATGGGGAACATGGTTCACTAGGTCTGGGATCTGAACTCGATCTCTGCGGCAATTGGCTCGCGCAAATATATTCGCCAGTCGGCCGCAGAGAGTGCACTTCATATATCGTCGTCGATGCCTTCTCCTCATCGTCTTGAACCTGTGAGTTACGGAAGTATCGAGTAAGGTTAACGAGGAACTCGATTGCGCGGCTCAGAAAATGGTGAACGTGTATGATGGGCGAACATTGTTGGAAGCAGCGTTGTATGCGCACAACGATAAGAGAAAGCATCGGGTGCAGCTCAGTGTGCAGCATCTGTTAGTGGATAGAGGAAAGAAAAAGGCCCGGTGCGTACGCGAGGCAAACCACTGAGGATATGTGGGCTATGCTACGGACCTCGCGCCGTATCATTCCAGAGAGACGCATGTTGTCCACGAGGTAATGCGCAAGCGGATGTTAGCCAATAATCACAATCGCAGCCGTAGAAAGAGGAGCTACTCTGTGAAAGCGAAGCGAGTGTGAGCGGTGCAAAGCGGAAATTGATCTGATACCGTCATGATCGCTATTGAGAAGTCACTGGAGCGGCGAATACTATCACTTTATTTTATTCTGAGTCAAGATGTGAAAGGTGATGTGATCCGCCATATCCTGAAAGTTGAATGTTAGGAGTGGGAGGCTAAAATCCCAATCCCCCTCCACGTATCAATCGTCGAGCAGGCCTATGATAGGGTTTTTGAGTGGGCACACGTGCAAACAATGTGCAAGACTTCGACTTCCCCCAAAGGTCGGAAAGGGCGTGGATCGATGACTCGCAGCACTCATCGATAGTAGAAGGTGAGCCAAGTAATAACATCGCCTCAGAACTGGAATTGCCTAATGCAATCCGATCCCTGACACATGTAGTCGACAAGGACTGAAATCAATTGCGTGCGCAATGATGGCAATGATGGCAATGATGGTGTGAAGCGAGTCCGACCAACCACGACCAAGGCTAAGAAACCACATTGTCAAATGCCAGTCGCTCGGAACCACGCACTTTGTCTCCACAAGTTCTGACTTCAACATCCCTTTCGGAGCAAGTACATAAGTTGAAGTATGGATGGAGCAAAGGCTACAAAGATCGGGAAATGCCGTGTTCACTCAAAAAGGTTCGTTCCTTTTCGCTCCTGTCCGCAACTCGCCATGACTAGCAAGAACCACAGTTTCCCGTCGCCTGCCGACTCGCACGACTACGTGTATGATTTTTCAGACCATATTCGCCGTAAACGCGGCGAACTAAATGAGGGCCTCGAAGCTGGTCATCGGATACGTCTACCCATACCAGATATCCGGTTCGAACAGACATACCTTACCCGCGTGCAGACGTGCCTTCATGTGGAAGAAACAGCGGGAAGGGGAGGCGGTGTCGACTCTGCGTTATCCACTGACGACCCGTTTATTGCTGCTACACACGTTTCACCAGTCATCACATCATCACAACAAATTACACGCATCGATTGGGGAAAACTGGCTTGGATCACTGTTCGCGATCAGATCGTTATGCCGCTGTTGCAGGGGATGCTTTGGTATGTTGCATGCCGTGGAATAAACTGGGACTTGATGGCTTCTCTTGTAGGGGTGTCATTGGAACATACTATCACCCTTTTGTTGGTGTTATGAAGAGCAGTCTTCGTAGTAAACCCTCATTACCCAATCCAGTGGAAGGGGAAGGCGTGGGATGGTTAAGAAATTGGGCAAAGAAATTGGGTGTCGGCGAGCTTACCATCGGCGCTGTTAGCTCAAAATCAAGGTTGTAGTTTTATTATGTATTTGCCATTTCACGACTTTCCATCCAGGATGTTGCATACTGACAGTTTACTCCTTTTACCGAATCATTCCCGACTTAGCCCCCTTTGTGTCCAGCACTTTGAACACCTGCCTTATGGTCCAGGATATTAGAGTATCGGTAGCAATGAAGTTTTCCGAACGTTCAAGGGACCTTTTTACATATCAGTGCCAGTTGATCCGATCACCTTCCTGGGTCAACGGGGAAAACGAATCACGTCCGCGGGCAGATTGCCCGATGGCAAATCGATGTTCCACAAAGTTTATGGTAAGAAGTTAGAACGCTCTTGAATACACGACAACAATGCCGTACAAATTGTGCGACAGCGAGGCTCGAGGAGTGCCAGTTGGCCCTGGGACCCGGATTGATGTCGATCAACGAATCACTGGGAATCACACAAGTAAAGCGGGATTGGGTATCTGCGACGAATGCGCATCACAATCAGCCTTAAATGACCGCAAAGGCTTTACAGCACCAGGGTTTTTATGCTTGTATTGAGTAGATGCTATGCTCTTCACTAGAAACGATATTCGAGGGCTTCCTGCTGCGCCCTATATTCATTCCGGGCGAAGCCCCTAACCCTGATGGTGTTACGCTCACTCATGACACCCCTACTTTCGTAATGCCATGCGTACTTGATGCGTAGTGAGCACGCGACGTATGAACTTCATGAATAAACAAGGCATCGCGTACCAAATTTGCCCACGGCGTGACAGCTCCTGCAATTATGAACCAAGATGAAAATGGTCGTCCGACACGATTTGATAGGTTTATTGACAAGAACACTGTAAACAATCATTGTATGGCGCAGGCGAAGGAACCGACATTGCCACTTGCGTCCCGAGTGAAAGGTTACATAAATAGGCGGCCGAGGTGAATTCTCAAACGGGGATGAATTCTTGGAAGATCGCTCCATGGTGTATCAGAACGATCTCAGACGATCGAACTGCTTTTACCTTGATTGTAGCTTGATTTTGACGGCTGAAGGAAGTATCATTTCATAAAATGGAAATACATAGCAGTACGACACAATAGATGATCAAAGGTAGTTTGTGCAGCAGAGCTGTTAAAAGAACCCTGGAATATTGTCAGTCGTTAATTGCTACCTTTCTCGGGAACGCTCACAATACTGGGCAGTGTATTTAACAGTGATGTTTGAGTCTCCTGCTGCACACTGTGAAGGAGGTTGACCTCCGTTGGTCTCAACCCTGAAAATCTCACTAGCCAACTCTCCCTCGATAGCCTTGACCATCAAGTTATCGATGTTGTTCGAGTTCGAGCTAGACAAGTCGCCAACTTTGACACCAATGACGTACGCATTCGGATTTCCAGCTGTCACCCCGGATGAGGTGAAGTCCCACTTTGGAGACAAGCCGGACCCTACAGGATTTGGAACATAATAATGCTGTCCAAGCACGGCAGGATTGTGCAGGCATGCTAGGGTGGTGATGACTTCGTTGACTGTTGCGTCAGGAGGCGCGGCAGACCATGCGTCATAAACTATGGTTGGAGCGCTGTCGAAAGCAGGAGTGCCATATAAGCATGAGCTGTCGAAAATTTCTGCAACAGCCCCGATAAGTCTGTATAGTTGTTTAGCAATGGTGTTCGAGGAACAGGACTTGAACTTGGCACCTGTATGCGGAGCTGGTGGTATTACAAGTGTAGTTTTGAGTTCCGACACCAATACCAATAAAGCTCGGTGCGTATGTCGGTGCAACGAGCTGCGCCTGACCAGCAGGCACCTGGAGTCTTGCACTAGACAGGTCACAGCTCGTGCTAAGCCGCCTTATAGCGGGTAATGCATTGGTCAACGCTCCAAGGATGACAAGAGTGAAGACACTAAATATTGGCAGCATCTCTGGTAACTGTTGGATAAACGAGTGTGATTAATGTTGAGTGGATGTGCGGTTGGCTCTTAGTAGCCTAGAAGCTCGGGGGAAGAATTGGAACAGACTGGGCAATATTGGGAACAATAAACACTTTGACATTTCAATTTTCAAAGCCGCCAGCGGTTGGTCCGAGTTGACAATGACAGTGGTTCGAACTTTGATCTCACGATTAGACCGCTGGCAGTGGCAAGTACATAGTGATAAGCTGAGAAGTGGTCAATTTACCGCATAGCTGGTCGAATAAACGTGTCGTATAGTCCAAAGCCTCCCACAGGTCGGAACCTCGCGCCCGCCCTAAGTGAGTGCCATTGTATTATTTGGCCAGGAACACCAATTCCTGAACCTACAGGTATAACAAAAAAAAATCCCCGTGACCTACGGATTACCGGGCCGCTTATTCTTCTTTCTCCTTTTTGTTGCCCTCCTTTTCTTTGCTGTCTGGATTTTTTACCCAACTTTTATATACGTCTCTCTCAGATTCTGCCCAACTAGCCACTTCTTCGCCGTCAACTCAACTTCCCCAATCGTCTTTGATTCCGCCTGTGGCTCTCGTGATTTCTGACCTGGAATTCAAGCATGATGTGTCTCAGCCGCGTCTACGTATCAACGAGTATTACGGGTGCGCTTTACCCGATACAGAAGGAACAATTATCTTCCTTCTATCAATGTCTGGTTACGGGAGACTACGGTTTACTGCTGCTCATTAGTTTCCCGTGTATCTGCTCCTGGCCTCCGGCATTTTTTTGATCATTTCCCGCAGTTTCCCGCGCATGACTCGAGCAGACTTCGTCGACGTGACCCAGGCGCACTCTATTCGTGTGGCGCTCTCAGACTCGCGTGACTACGTTCGTGGTTTGTTATGGGCTCATACCTGTACCAGTGTGATCAGATGTTCGTTTTCAAGCACCGCATTAACCCTCGACAGTCGCATGCTGCCGATCCCTTCTCTCGGTCTGATGAGGGGAGTCGCATGCTGCTGTTCAGCATGCCTCACACGCCAAGGCTGCTGAGGCTGAAAAATTACGCGTTCGAGCAGAGAACACTGTGATTTGTAGGTTGCGTCGTGTGCTGAGTCGATGAAGATGATCCTCTCTTTCTTCTGTTCGCACGGCTGACGAGAAGATTGCGAGCAGCAGGTTTGGATGTCAGCTGACGCGCAGAAACGGGGTGCGTGCAGTGTTTGCGCTCATAATGCGTCTGCTTCAGATTTGCAAGCAGTGTCAGTCGACAAACGAGCGTCTGCCTGAGCATACATTGCCGCATTCGCGTGATTTTGAGTTGTATCAGCGAGCAATTCTAGGGATTGACAGATTGCTGGGCTTTGGCTGCCATAACTGATACCAACAGGCTACAGGGACCGCATATGCTATTGCGAACGGTATTAACCTAGGGACAGATAGCGTAGAACTCACGAAAGTGTTCACAGACGCGGTGAAGATGGTACTGTACAACCCCTGTGAATCGCGAGAGGGGGAGACATGTAGTATTGTGGCTGTAATTAGTAATTGCAGCGTGGTGATTGATTATTATGAATAACAACAACAATAATACAGAAGGGTATCAAGGAAGTGAAAATGTCAATGCTGTGGAGAGGATAATTACAAGTAAATGCCGGGTCCAGGGGTGCCCGTAGGGCCATTGCGCATCATACAGTACATGTTACAGTATGATGTGCATGTTATATCGGCTTGAATCAATCAGTAATAGTATGAACAGGCTGTCCAAAACATTGTCAAGTGAATGAACCAATACAAGCAGCGATTTAATCAAGAAAACAGAAATACTTAGAAGATAGTATCCACCAGCTGATCCATGTCCTGCATACCGGGGGTCAAAGGTTAATTACGAAGCGAAAGTGTTATAGTAAATGACCTACTAATGGGTGATGGCTGGCGTACTGTCGTCGGGCTGGTCAGACACGAGAACAGTGAAAAAAAACAGAAACTCTACCCCTGGGTTCTGAGGCTGCCACTCATGCACTTCTGTTTTGCAGCGAGCTTTCCTGAGAGCTCATATACTCATCTAAGTCGACTACCTCCGTATTGCGTCGGAAAATTGGCTTTTTCTTCTCTTGGATCATCCTATCAGCGAGATCGGTAGCGCGACGGTCGACGATCTTAAGCTGCAGCTGGCGTTTCTCGTTCAATTGATCCACCTGATCCCTTGGGCATTTGTCAGAGAGAATCAGGCAAAAAAAATGGGGACACAAACTTGATATGTTTGAGCAAGGTGAATAACGACGGTTTGGGATCTTGCGCTATGTTATAATTGGATGTGTTCACGTATACGTTCAATATGTTCCGGAGCACACTTACATACGCATTCAATAAAAAACTGCAAGGAGCGTGTTAGGCAAACTAATGACCGAAATACTGGAACTCGTACCTTGGTCACAGTGCCATGGGTCTCATTGTCATCATACGCATATTCATTATCACGACATGCAGACAATGAAACCTAGTAACCTCGTCAATGGGTAAATCAACCAGGTGTAAAAACTACGCACTACATGGGCTTCTTTCTGCTCCTCTGGTTTCATCTTCTCACAGTCACCCGTGCATTTAAACCAAGAGTCTGGGGATAAAACCCGGCGGAGAGCAGAAGGCGAGGTGCTAATGAACATGCGTGGAAGCCAACTGGGAGTCGGAGATTGAGGTTGGATGAAAACACTGTTCAAAGTCAGCGATGGATTTCCCGCGCGGCCACGTGGTGGAGGTTGTCGTTGGCTGCTGGGTGCTGGTCAATGATCATAAAACGAGTCAGATGATTTTCCGAGGAAAAGAAGCACGGAGAGCTCACGGAGCGACCTAGGTTTCGATGCCGGTTCTTATTCTGATATCAATATATATGAGAGTGTTACACAAAAGCAACACATACCCGGAAAGAAGCGTCCTGTGAAGGACTTCCGTTGAGTTCTCACAGCATCCCCGGAAAATAACTTATTGCACTTGTGATGGTCCAGGTCTTTTGGATTCTTATTAGATCGGGTATCAGCTAGAAGCTAGTAGTACTGACCCAAAATCGTCTCAGAGTGGCAAGAGTCCCAGAGGGCCTGTCTCCCAAAAAGACAATGAGCTCACGCGCACGATGCCTTGGAAAATTCGCTCACGAAAAGTTTACTCCCTCGAGGCAAAGGATTTACTAGTAGTTGTCTTAGTTTCTGTGAATGCAATATAATCAGTCTGAATTCTATAACCGACGTATAAGGGAGCCGTACGTTATCGACAATATAGCGGCCGGTGTATGCGTATATGACTGGCAAGGAAATGCAATTAAAAATACGAAGAGCGAATGTGCTACCAAGCATACCTTCATCCTTTCCGTCTGTTTCAGTGTGGTGCTTGCAAGTTATTTGATTTCCATGACCAGAATCTTGTACATTCCGAGTGTCATCCTGATTCTTTGCGAGCTGACGAGACATCTTTTACTTACAATAGAAGAAGAACTGGTCATTTGCGGATGCACCTGTGACCATCTTCGTGATCTGCTCGAGCTACCAGAACAGGATATCCGTCAGTTCGGCAACGGGCCTCGGTCTTTAGGTGTCTTACTATGTTTTTCCGTGATGGCCAGAGATGCTTTAGGACCTCCGTGTCATGCTTCATCAAGACAACATTCGCTTCGGGGTAATTAAACTCATCTATGAAAGTCGAGATTCAGAACGAATAAAGCAAGTCAGGAGGCAGTACGACTTACCGATAAGGAGGCGTTTGAGCGATTCGGCGTCCTCGTGGGCGTGGTGCAAAGGCAGAAAGCCTTTTTTATCCACAGATCTCACTGCAATGAGCAGGGCCTTCTTATTTCCAGCATTGGTAGGATTTGCCATAAATACAGTAAATAACGGTAACCTTGTAGGGGTTATATGATAAGGTGATCGACTAGGATCGACCGCAGCAGGGGAGTCAGACGATTGGCAATTTGTTATCTATGCAAATGTGATATGATTGACTTGACTGTCGAGTCTTCCCGTTGCCAACACCGATGAAACCTGCCTGACTCCAAACGTGAGGGGTTATGGGGGTCAACGGGTGACAGGAGGAAGAAGGAGGAGGAGGGGGGGAAGGAAAGCTCGATGATATAACATTATACATATATACCTACGTCCTGGAGTCACAGCTTATTGTTCGTAGAAAGATTCAAGAAGGTCACAGGTTTACACAGGCTTACACAACATTGATACCGTACGTATATATAAATTACATACATATTTGATGAGCCACTGTGTTGTAGCTGTGACAGAGTATATTAGACAACACAGGAATGAACACAGGAAAGTAGAGCACATCGAAGGCATGACCTACTTGAGGACAGTCTGAAAACAGCACCAAGATCATTGTGGACAGAGAATAAATGACTAATAAAGCCAAAATAAAGCAGATAAGTTAACCTAATAGAAAACTTCAGGTTCTTCAGAGGTGGGGTATTACCCTCAGCCTTTTGCCGAAGGGCAATGTTTAGATGGAAACCTTCTTGTTCCAGTCCTTTTTGCGGTTGAGTGACGGGTATCAGGTGTAAAGGCAGAATACATACGAATGGGCAATTACTTGTAATCTGGGGGCTGATTGGTCATTGTTTCATTGTGTTAACCGAGTGCTGCACTTACTCGAGGTTCTTGAGTAGAGCCTTTTCTTGCGATTCTGCCGTCTGATGTGACCTCGAACTGTCTTCTTCGAGCCGGAAACCAGCCAAAAGTTAGTCTCGACATCTCTGCTGCCCTCTTTTTCTGAAGTTCTGCAACCTGAGACCTGGAAGAACATAAGTAAGTGATACCGAAGGAATGATGTAGTCTTAGAAAGCTAACTGGATATCGTCAAGCAAGCCTCGGTAAGAAATACCGGAGTTCTTCTCTGCGAACAAGGTTTGTCAGAGATCATCGTGTTACACGTGTACTGATATCTCGGACTTACTCAACGAAGACATAAAAAACTGTTGAACCATGTTAATGAGCATGGGGCAAATACGGCGCAATCTTGTCCTTCACCTTTGTCAAAGTTCCACCTGTCTCATTATCGTCGTGTTGCCACTTCGCTGTCTCTGCATGCTGACAAGCACACCTAGAGTGAAAGTTTTAAACATGTGTGTGCCGTAGATGTGTATTGACTTACCACACGACCTTGATTCTCTTCTTCTGCAGTCATGGCACAAGTACTGTTGCATCTAGCATTTGGGAAAATCGAGATGGGAGACAACACTGTCCGGTGTGGGGACATGAGCCATTGGGACTGAGAAATGAGAACAGTATTGACTAAGATTGATTGTCTCGCAGGCGCAGTTTGTACAGGTTCATTGACAGGACATGGTGTGCCCTTGAGAAAAACCTTCAGTATTCTCGCGATGCGGTTGTAAACTGGAGTCTCCATCAGACGGTAGCAACTGCAATAAAATTGAACTCACGATGCCCCATGGTACGATTTGCCAGCCCTATCATTGAAATGTCGAAATGGTAGGCTGAAGGATACATGAAACAGATACGTACCAATGACGGACCACGGAGATGGTATCAGGACGTTTTTGCTCAGCCGTGGTATGCTGACCGGAAGAGTACGATACTCTTTAGGAAACCATAACCACTTTTTAAGGGGAGGGGTTCGAGTTGCATCCGTGTTGCTTTCCTGGCTAGAGGTGATAAAAGATTTGACTGGCGACAGCAATCGAGAACAGCAGTTACAATGCTTGAGGTCTGTGTGGAATATTAATTGTCAGAGATGGGCAGAGAGATTGGAGTAATCACCAAGGATAGTCTCTGAATGGCAACAATCGAACAGAGCCTAAAATGACCAATATTGAATGGTAGACTCTGGGGAAGATACAGAATTACTCGCAAACAAATGACAACCCTTCGTTCTCAACACCGGATCCACCAGTCGTTGTTTGAGGTCCTAACATGGGATTTAATGCCACGGATAGCAGTTGTCCGATCCTCAAACCCTACGTTGTCGATAATCTTGCGGCCATTGAATCCATATATAACTGTGGAAGGGTTAGTTTGGGCGGAATTACTAGTAGAATGAACGTCACCTTCATCTTGTCCATCAACTTCGCTATCATGGCGGCATATAGTCTGGCCCCCGTGACCCGAGTCTAACGAGATAAGATGAGTCTGATCGGTGCAGTTATAGCTACAAGTGCAGACAAACAGTAGAATACCAGTCGGTCGTGCTCTCCAATATCTTCTACGAGCCATTTGATCCTCTTGAACTAAGTGTGGAGTGAGGATAGAGGTATCGAGACGAATTTAGTTCAAGCTCACAATATTTGCTTTAGAAGGCCAAAGCGATTTGTCTAGTTTGCGGTCGTCCACCAGCAGTATGACATCATCATCAGCGTAGCCATATTGATCTGGAGTAAGAGCGTCAGAATGCAAGGTTTTACATACAATGAAGATAACTGACCAATGAGAAGTTCTTTGAGCTCTTGAGCATCATAGTGCGTGCGGGGGAGCGAAACTTCGATCCCTACCACGTTCCTCACGGCGATGAGCAATGCCTTTTTCCTGCCTTTGCAGGATGCGGCTTGACTCAAAGACATAGAGCTGAGAAGCAGTGTATAGAAATCGGCTGACGACAGTCACAAAGAGAGGGCGAGACCACACTGGTAGGTGTCTACTTGATCCGCGATATCAGATCGAGTAAACCAATTTGTGATAAGTTAAAGGTCAAAGATATACCAAGCCTGGCATAACAGTCACAGCACCCACTGAGTCAACGTTGATCAAGGCACATAAGGGCACATGTGAGCACATGTGAGCAGACCAGTGAGCTCACAATTACTTCGGGACCTGGGCGCCGCCGAACATTGGCCGAACATCCGTCAAACTTTAATGCAATTACGGCATCACCTAAGAAGGACACTGCTTCGAGTGTGAGGGCGGCATACTAGGGGTGCGGCACTATCCGAGATCTAACCCCCCCCCTCTTCGTGACTTAGTGTCCGTACGACTACTGCAACTATAAGTATTATATCGACGAGTTGCAGTGCGAGCAGCATGCGCACCTAATTGCTGTGCCCCAAAGCTGTATTAGTATAAGCACAGCTCAGTATACAGCAACATATAATAGTGCGTATAACGTTACACCGGTAACGCAGGGAGGGGCATACGGAAGGCCGCGTCATATATCCGATTTAATAGTAGTCGCAGCTGTATATGATAATTGTCATTATGAGCACTAGGAAGTAACGGGTTGCTTAATTCATCTAATGATCTCCTTGGAGGATTCCAATATGTGACTTGACACGTTTAGAAAGACACTAAGAAGACTGACGGTTTCGTGGAGCCACCGCGTAACTGGATTATATTCGAGCAAGAGTTGCAATACCAGTTACAACTACAGGAGACAGCTGTTAAGTAGAATACAAAAGGACGAAGAGTTCGGCGCCGAATCGGCGGAGAACTGGTGCCCAGGAATATATAGGGTATGTACTCTAGCAGTGTGCGTTGGGCATAAGATTAGTGTCCTAAATATGATTATTGATAAGCTTTAAATGATATTTTCCCGAAGCCAAGGGTATGAAGGGAAATGCTTTGCGAAGGTCCGTCTGGGCACTTTAAGATTCAATCAATGAGGTAAACGTCGCAAACCGGTGTAGTAGCTGTGCCAGGTGATATTGCCTGTCTTATGCTTCATAATTCAACGATCTGCGACATATCCTGAATCTCATGAACAAACACTCAACACGCAAGACACTTTGATACACTCACCAGGCGGTACTGACTCGAGTACTGTACGAAAACTAGATAAGTATGACGAACTTGATTGCGTCACGTGAAACGTACCGCAGGCTGCTGAGAACTCAAAGTAGAAGCGTCATTCTCGTCATCGCTATGGCTACGGTGATGTTCGCATGTGTGCCAATTCTCAATTTCGACTTCGTTTTCCGGTAGTCTCTCCAGATGATGTGAGCGGTATGTTGTCTCGCCTGTCGGTTTTATCGCCTGCGTTCGTCTGCGTGTTATGACATCGACCTTTTCCCTGCAGAGTGCCCGTCAGCTCCTCACATGAAACAGTGAGTTACAGTGCCACCCACTGTATGTAGGAGAGTAGTTCGCGATAAGAAGCCTCAGGGTTGCGCTCTAGGGAGGATAAGTTCGATGCACCTGTTTCTCTGAATATGCCTCTCACCAAGGTATTCAATGAAGAACTAAGCGACCTTCAATCAGACTGGAAATGCTGAGCAGATTGAGCCCTACCTTCGTAACCGTTTCACCCGTGACGTTGTCATCGTATGCCAATTCATTATCTTTGCATGCAGACAAGGAAACCTTGGAGGGATCGAGGTTAGATTTTTCGAAATATATCAGTAAGAGAAACTACGCACGACGTAGGCCTTGACTCGGTTCTCCGGGAGTGTGATAGGACAGTCAAAAGTACATCTAGGCAAGTATGAATCAGGAGAAGACACCCTGTAGAGGGCAGAAGGTTCCCCGCTGTCAATTGCCAATGGTGCATTTCTTGGAGAGTCATCCTTTGACGAGGAACGACCCTCGGAGCTATCCTTCAAGATGTTGGCGCTGAGCCTCTTGCCTGCGTGGCGAACATTCAGGTGATGACGGATCCAACAGAGCAACAGACACCTACTTAGGCCTTGACCTATGCTTTTGGTTTTTCTCGCCAAACCTGAGATCATCAGTATTGTCTTGGAGATACGATCGCAATATAGCTCTCACCTGTCAGGACTTTCAAAGGCGCCCGCCATAACTCGTTGCAATTGTAATGCTCCAAATCTTTGACGCCCGTATGAGTGCAAAAACGAACACGAACGATAGACCTACGTACCCAACACTGTTTGAGAGTGACAACAATCCCAGAGTGCCTGTTCACAGGATGACATTATTAGTAAGACTTTTAGAAATCACACCGGAACACCGACGAAAAGCTTGGCGCCTTGAGGTAATGGATCAACAAGGCGTGCTTTCAAGACCTTTAAGAGGGTCATTCAGTGCCATGAACCGGACAACAATTCATGACCCGAAGCTTACATTATCGATGATGCGCTTCCCCGTGTATGTGAGGATAGCTATCGGAGAAATTAACGCGAGTTAGAGGGATGTGACTTGTACGCTACCTTCATCTTTGTTGTCGGGTTCAGAGTTATGTTTGCAAGTAACTTGATCTCCATGACCAGTGTCTGACGGAACATTAGCGCTCAGAAGTATCGACGCTTTGTCACAGCGTCGCAAGAGCTTACTTACAGTAGAAGAAAATCTGGTCATATTGGGATGTACGTTGGACCACGAGGTCAATCTCACGCAGCTGCGCAATATGATCAGGTAGGCTATGGAAGATCGGTACTTTAGCATGCTTACCATGTTTGTTCTGCTAGGATAAAACTTTTTCGCGACACTATTATGGTGCATCATAAGTACGATGTTTTCGGGTAGGTAGCCACGGGCTGCGGCAGTGGTCAATCGACGAAGTGTCCAGTCATAAAACGAACATACAGCGAATCAGGAATTCTTTCATTCTCACAACATCCTTGTGCGCTTGAGGGAGGTTGGGGAACCCGTCCACTTTTGCCACACCGACAAGGAGAGCCCTAGATACTCCCAGAGGCTTAGAAGATCCAGGAATGGCGCCCGACATTTATATTTATCACTGATGATTAGTGAGTGAGGCCGAGAACTGATGAGCTCAAGTTGCAGTGTCAGATGCCTACCAGCTAATACAGTAATGCTCGGATGCAATAACGTTGGTGTCCTAGTAGAGGGAAATGAAGATGAAATTTTGGGGTCGGCGGGGAACAAATGTATATTTTATATGTACTTCTCTGTAGGAAGCACAGCAGCGCACAGCTATCTTGAGAGCTGTACTAAGCTCTGAGCGGGGACAAACCATGAGACTTTCGCACATTTTAACAGGAAGTACAGGATGGCGGGACGCACCATCGGGGAATACGTAATTGTCAGTGCACGCTGATGATCCGGAGATGCATAGATATGGCATTGGCTTACAATGATTATCATGATGCTAATAGCGAGTCCAAGGAATAGAATTCAAATTGACCATCGTCGACTCTGGATTCTAGCCCGTCGTGATCAAAGATCTGCGTCCCGCATGGCAAACTCAGGTTCCCAAACATCGCATCCAACTTGCGTCAGCCATACATCCCGTCTCTCTCTCTCCCAGCGGCGCAGAGTCCGGCAGTTTCTGCGGTCCTCCTCAGGACACGCACACTCCCACCACGCTGGAGGTTTCCACGAGCCTTCGTATGGTATGTTAGCTGGTGGTATCAACCTTCCGGCTGAGACCTGCTCGCATGAATGCTGTGAGATGCGCTGTGTTCACCGGCTCAAGATCAGGATCATCTAGCTGTGGAAGTGTCCGGACATCTGCAGCAAATGCAACGACACGCATCCGCTGCCAGTGAGATAAATCCGGTGCCAGTAAGGCGATGATTTCTTGTTGTATTTCGTCAGGCAGATTGAAGAACATCGAGGGCGCGGAAATGATATTTGACTTGATGCTTGCTGAAATTCGATTGAGGGTGGAAACAGAAGCCAAGACAGGAACAATGTCCCGCATGCCCGACCGAAGGAACAACGCACGGCTGTACAGCAGTAGCGCAAGGGCTTGCTTTTTCACCCGCATTTTGCTCATGAGGTTCCTCTGCGCCGCGTTATTCAGGATCCGCCAACCCTCTTGCCACGCAAGAGTGCGTTCCTCGCTGTCACCATCATGTTCGTCAACATGTAGGTCATCAAGATTAGCCTTGAAAAGGCTATAGTTCTTGCACTCGATAGCGCTTATGATTTCGCGCGCACCGGGCAGTGTCAGGCTGTTCGCGTTGCACTGCAGTCGGTCCAGTCTGCAACGTGGTGACGTTACATATTCGATGATAGTAGGAACCACAACTCGGGTGATATTGATGGCAGAAAGGTCGAGTTGACGCAGATATCGCGTGCTGAGGCTGGGAAGAAATGCGCGAACGAAGGTGTCAGAGAGAGAGCCGTTATGGATCAACTGGAGCGTGCATAGTCTCGAGCTATTCAGTGCGGTGGTAAATTGTGCGATGACATCCGCATCGGTTGATAATGGGTTCTGCGTTAATCACGCGGAAAGAGTCAGTCTGAGAGACTTTAACATGACAACGTCGTAAGTTCCTGTACTGACACCGGATAAACATAGTTCCCTGAGCACGTCATTGTCCTTGATGAACTTCGATACAGCAAGTAGACCCTTTCCACCTATACCATTCTTTGTGAGGTACAGCTCGGTGAGGCTGTTTTTGCATCTTTGACCAGCAGAAGAGTCCAGAAAGTCGAAAAGCTGTACACAACCCTCATCGCCCAATGAACTGTCCCCGATATCCAATCTATGGACGATCTCACGGCGCTGTATGATACTGATGAGATTCCTTGCAGCTTCCGGAAAGTCAGTGGCGATAACTACGGAGAAACAATAAACAAGGCGCTCACCAATGGTCGATGCGAGTCGAGCGCTAACGCTCTTCAAGCGCTGATGATTGACAGAACGAACAGTAGCTGGATCTTTATCAAAAGAATGTCGAATTTTCGGGGAAGATAGCCTGAAGTGCATGATGATGAGGACCAAGTTGAGGGTAACTTGGCGTTTGGGACTGTGACCAGGCTGGCACAGGCTACAGCCCTTACGATTACATATGAGAGCGGAAACAGTAACCCGGGTGAGAGACCATTTGATATATGAAAGGGCTGGAATCCCAGGCTGTCCCTAGTACAGGGCTTAACGTTTATCGGATCCGGCTGAAAACCCAGAATAGACTCATGCGCGCAGAACTTGTATGAACATCGAAAGTCGGTGCATGAAACAGTTCACCGTTAACCGCAAGTTAACCGTGATGTTTAGCATGAGCTCAGATGCGTTCTAGTGTGTCAAAGATGATATCTAGTCCTGGGACGGGTTTCCTGAAGTGCTGCAAAGGCTGCACAGCCACAATCTTCTTGAATTTACTTTCAGGGAAGTTTGCCTTTGGTTTGCCTCGGTCAATCTAATTTCAAGAGGGAGCATCCACTTTCCTCCACAATTCTAGGTCATGAAGGTCGAGTCTTGATAGTTATAGTCAATATCTACTGACAATTCAATAGATTGCAGTGGAGGGATGCAGCCACGGCGCGCTGGACGCTATCTACCAGCACCTACACAATCTAGAGGCCAGGCACAACTACTGTCGTAGATTTACTTCTTATGTGTGGGGATTTTCAAGCTATCCGTAATCACAGAGATATGCAATGCATGGCTGTACCGCAGAAGTATAGGCAGCTAGGCGATTTCCACAAGTACGTGTCAATATCCCAGTTGGTGCAACAATCTTACAATAGTCCACTTCTCTCTAGGTACTATACAGGAGAAAGGACCGCTCCAGTGCTTACTATTGTGATAGGTGGGAATCACGAGGCGTCAAATTACATGTCAGAACTGTACGCACCTGTTTCGTATGCTAATTGTGTTCTGATTTCCTCGCACAGGTATCATGGCGGGTGGCTTGCACCAAACATATACTTCCTCGGGCATGCCGGATGCGTTCAAGTGAACGGTATCCGTATCGCTGGCGCGTCGGGAATATTCAAAAGTAACGATTTCAGTCTAGGTAATACTCCAATCACGTTATCGGATACTCTAGCATTGAATACACGCAGGTCTTTACGAACGATTGCCTTACGATCATGGCTCTATGCGAAGTATATACCACATCAGAGAATTTAATGTTCGCCGCCTGTCCTTGGTCAGTATTTTTTAGCCTTCGTAAGCTCTCGGTCTCACTCAAATACATCACAGCTATCCTCCCCGGATATCTTCCTTTCTCACGACTGGCCCCAATACATCGAGCAACATGGTGACTACTCAGGGTCTTCTTCGCCGAAAGCCATTTTTCAGACAGGATGTACAGACAGGCAACCTGGGTTCCCCTCCATTAATGGGGCTCTTGCGGACACTGAAACCAAGATGGTGGTTCTCGGCGCATTTGCATGTCCGTTTTCAGGCTACCGTGCAGCATGACCAAACTGGCACCGGGCCAAATTCCTCCGTCCACTACTTTGCCGCCACAGAACCCAGATGAAATAGCGATTGCAGATGATGATTTCGATGCAGTTGAACATCAGAATCTTCCAACTGAAGTTCCTCATTTGCAAGAGGCTCCCCAGAACCCTGATGAAATAATCCTGGATGAAGAAGAAACCGAAGTTGTACAGCCGCCTCTCGTTGTGTATCGGCCACAGCCATCCGTGACGGAGTTCCTCGCCTTGGACAAATGCCTTCCCAAACGAGAATTCATGGAGGTCTGTAGCTCTGAGTTTATGCGACATGGATCCGCTGACTTTCTAATACAGGTCGTCGATGTGCCTACTACATCGGACGGATCTGCCACGCCTGGCCAACGCTGCATACCGAAGTTCACCTTCGATCCAGAATGGCTGGCAATAACACGTGCTTTTCACCCATTCTTGTCCACGAGGCGGCGTCAAGCAGATTATCCTGACGAGGCAACAGCTCGCGCTAAGGTTGCAGAAGAAATGGAATGGGTGAAGTTGAATGTGCACGACAACGAAGCAAGCTCTTCTAATGCCTCTTTACCTGGGATCCGATCCATCTTGGACTGCCAGACGTTCGTGCAGAGTGCCCCTGGTCCAGGAAGTGAAGGAGCTCAAAAGAACCACCAGCGCGAGTGTACTACTAATTCTTCAAATTATCCTCATTGACATTGACGTTGGTTGTACAGCACCTTGGTACACTAATCCTCAGACCGTCGCCTTCTGCGATATGCTTGACATTCAAAACATGATCGATTTCTCCTCTGACAATCGACCCTAGGAAGCCTCTTGATAGCATTCGCCGGAACTTATTATTAATGTTGAAAAGGGTTTGTGACATTTGATATTATCCTCCCACGCCCTACGTAATTCTACTTATGTTCCTTTATCACACCAGGTCTATCACTTTAACAAGTACAGTTGTCCTCGCTTCCCTGCAGTACTCTCACTGTCATGCTACATAAGGCCTAAGAGTTCGTTCTGATCGATCATTCCACACGTTCCTTGAAAACATGCGTGTTTCTCGAAGTTCCAGTACAGCAAGTGCGTAATAGGCGCTTTGCGGCTGTGGTGACCGTGGTCAGGTTTGGATAAATGTAGTCAACGACCTGATAGCATGTTCTCCTTCCCTCCCTCGCCTGCCACTGTAAAATAGCTTGCCATGATAACAAGCCAACTCACCCACATTCTCGACATACTGAAGAAATGGCTTTCACGACTTGCACGTCGCTCTGCGAGTTTATTCTGCGCTGTCTTATCCTTCCTGCATCGTTTTGTTGCAGGTTATTTAAAGTTCGGTAACCGGAGATTGATAGCTCGTTTTCCCAGCAGGGCGCTCCCGCGATCTCAAGCGGACATCTGGGGAGAGGATGTACCCATTTGCTCGAGTCTTCTGCCTCCTGATTCCAATGGGGCTAGAAGCTGCAGGAGAGCCTCCATCTCCTTCAGACGATCCCTATACAGGAACCCATTCACAACATTCACGACCTTTGCGAAAGGGTACAGCGAAACCTCCGTTGGAAGCTACTCCAACAGCGACAGGATACCCCAGCGAAAATGAGCTCCATCAAGGCTCTACGTCAAGTGTGCACCTGCAGATGGGAGAGAGCTCGGTGACCAACAGGACGTTTCTCAAGGACCCATTGCAGGAATCCAGCAGTCCAGGCCCATCGCGCTTTTCCGGCCTCCATGAAGTATCCAGAACACATTCACGACCACACGGATACATGGATGATGCTCATTCTATTAATACAACGCGCACGCCATCCATGAGACATTTGGCGCCTGACATGCCGTATTCCCAATACGCATCCGGTAGTCGTCTTTCAGTGAGCACCGGTCGCTCCCATACACGATCGATTGCTGGTTCAGAAAGTCGACAAGCTGCATACCGAACACACAAGGGACCTGTCAATTCTCGCCCGGGTAGCATCCATAGTTCCATACACCACGAATACCCGAACACAGTTATTCCGCTGGATTCGTCTGCCCAGGCGGTGCCGGTATCAGATCCCGGTATCGACCACCATGTCCATTTCACTGCTCCGCCCGACAGTGACGAACAACCGGGCTCAGAGGTCGTCGTGGTCTATGACTACGATGGCCCGCCGATAGCCCCCATGGCTGCAGCTGAAGTCAAGCGGTACCAAAGGGGACGTCCTCGGTGAGCACGAGTCTGCTGATATGCCTTTACTCGAGAGCTCACCTTGCCCGAAGGGTATTAAACGCTTCCAAAACTACCGTCCCTGCTATGACAATCGCATTTCCTGCGCATGAGTAAGATTGTTTTGACCGTATTTTGCCACTCCTAAACTCTTTCAAGTATGGATGTGCCCAAAGGATGGACCACGCTCGTGCATCCAGAAGGATTCCGCTATTTTGTGCACAAAGAAAATGTGCGTCAAGTCCGTGATTTACTGAAGACCGACGATCTGAGTGGGATCTACAACCCGCAGAGAACATTCACAGACTTGGATATTTGTGATCCAGTAATATGCGATGACATCGAATACTACATGCAGTATTTGTTCGATGAACTCCGACGGACCGTCGGGCTTGAGAAGCTCGATATGAATCAGGTTGACCTTGTGCTTGAGCCAAAGGTCTTTGATGGCGACTCTGTCGTTTGTTGCTATTATTTCGTCAATCACCGTAACAGATGTCTCTTTTGGTTGGATGACTTCCATGCTGAACATAATCCTCTCCGAGTGTAAAGGCATTGAGAATCTTTCGCACATAGGTGGGTGATTAATAGTTCTTCAGTGGATCTGGGTTTGACGACATGTCCTGGTTTCCGCCATCAGGACTTGCCATTCAAGCACAATATTGGTGTGTTCCGGTAAAGGTCCGCATGCTGTCGTTTATCATTGTGCCATTCTTAACAAAATTCTAGGTTCGCATGTAAGTAAGCTCACATACAGCGTAGGAAACATTGGGATTACTTTCCTAGCCTGTGCCCAGTCGCACAAGATCTTGTCGATGAGGTCAAGAATACATTGGCGCATGCGGCATGTGGTCAGTACTCTCTTAGAGATGATAGCCTTGACCTAATGCATATGGTCGCAACGATCAGACCACTTAACATCGAAGCAGTCTTCTGCGGCATTTGATACCAGTCGAACTAAGAGACCACCTTTCTGTGGTGAACTCAATCACGGGTATGTTACCCTGACACCTTCCCGCGGATGTGCTAATCCCATTTCTCACAGTCCATGACCCTGCGGATCAGAGCATGCGACGATGTCACGCTGCCATTGTCATTGGTGAGGCTTGGGTTTGAGCTTCATCTCTTCCTGACGTTGATTATCATTTAAGGCCGGGTTATGTATTCGTTCAGTCAGTGCTCCTCACTTGTCTATCTAGCTGTGATTTACGGTCATTGCGAAGGTCACAATCACTTTGTGAATTATCATGGGGAGGACTGCGCGAGACTGATCTTTGAGCAGACCGTTCATGATACGAAATATCAAACATCACTATGGATGGCCATTCTCACACCCCTCCTGTTCTTTTACCCTATGGCTCAAATCCACGAACTGCACAAGATTTACGTTGACGAGATTGTTTGCACGGGACGGTGGAATGTATTCAGTTCAAAATTTAAAGGGCAGCTTCAGGACTCCAACCTCTTGGTAAGTCCACCCTTTCATCTTTGTCTACTTCCGTGCGATCAATGTTGAGCCAGGCCACTGTCTTGCTCAATGCAAATGTTGGGTTTCTCGCTATCAACACTGTTGATAAGGGCGGGAGAGATGCCATTCAGATGGCAAGCTATATGTCCTTGGTGACGAGCTTGGGCAGTATAGTTCTCGGCTTGTTCTTTGTCTCACACGGTCGAATCTCCGCACAAAACACAGCCGAGGAAGTGGTCAGTAGCTTCCATTGTATAACTAGCACGGTTCTTATGGCAATTGGTTTAGGCAAACTTTTTATCAAGCCTTCACGATGAAAAGCACAGTTTGGAAAAGCTGGCTGTAATTTTCAGCCTCCCCAAGGCGTTGCTGATGTGGGGGTGAGTCTGCACCCTAATGTAATAGGCGGAGGCCCTGATTTCAATATGTTAGCATGCTCTTCTTCTTTGCGGCGTTCTCGATCGATTGGTGGACTGCCGGAGATATAACTTCCAGGACTATTGTTGGTACTGTGACACTGGTCGTATTCGCGATGGTTTCAAACAGTGTCCTTCGCACCAGAGAAAGAAGATATTACTGGTCCGTGGCGGTCAACCCTGCTGCACAGAGGCATCGGCCTGACACTATTGTCTCGTCTGGGTGACGTTTGGAAGCAGATTATGGAGTTCACAGGCATCGAAAAAAATCTCGTAGGACCCTTGCCAGAAGATGCCGAGGTGGATGCTCCGGTATGCAGCATCCCTCCCACAACAATCTCACCCGGTTTTCAACGTGAAATACAGGGCCCAAACGATCGTGATACTTACCCCTACCCCATATACTCCCCCGATTCGACCATACCACCCCACCGCTCCTGCGGATTCACCTCAGCAACCGCATGACGTCGACCCCGTGCTGCCATCATCGGATTCACATACCAACCCAGGTTTTTTGTCAGGCGCTAGCTCTTTACAACAGATTCGAGAAGACACCCCGACTGTTTTCCAGGACCAGTCTACCATCGAGGCTCGCTGCGAGCGTGATATCTCTGCGTCAGAAGGGATGGATTAGGACGGCTGTCAATGCAACATTGCATTCCGAAGCTCTCCCAGGCCACAGCGACCATCCTGTCCGAGCATGAGTTACAAACCGCAGCGGTAGCCGTCGATACGGACGCCCCCATATTGCCTGGTTCATTTTGCACAGAAGAAAGGGAGGATGTGAAATACACCGAGAACGTGGTCGAGGAGCCTGGGGAACTCGACCATCCTCAACCTTCGCTGAGCACAACGCCACCTCCAAGGATCTTTGCTAGAAGTGCCACCAATGATTATTTCCATCATGCGCCAGCGGCTCCAAAGTGGACGCTAGAAGATGGTCATGACATAGAAGAGTGCCAAGAATAGGAGTACATATTAGCTCTGCCAACCTGGTGGTCATGACAGATCACGAAGGGCTTGAAAGTTGAGGGCCGTCTACCGTTGTCCAAGGAGTGGAAAGTCAACGTACATACTTATATTATTATACATCCAGACTGCATTAAACCTGTGTAATCACACGCACATATTAAGGAAACTGGCACTGCCAGTACATTTATGAAGAGGCCGAGTCCGAGTCGAACTGTGGATGACGGTACCGTCTTGCCAACCATTAATTGATTATTTCTCATCCATCACTATCGATCGTTGGCCCAGAGCCATCCACCAGAGTACCACTGAGTATCGTGCACGCCGCTAGCCTGATGGCTGTTCCTATCCCCAGTCGCTCTACTATAATTTCCAAAGAGATTCTTGAAGGTACTCAAGGTCCGTGAGTCCACGCGCGGTTCTACCAAACAGGACATTCAAATCTATATCAGGTGCACAAAGTATCATTTCTCAGCTGAACTCCTCGCGGTCCATCACCAAGCTCAAGTTAAACAACAACCGACTAGGTGATGACGGTGTATCTGCACTCTTTGCGTTCCTCAGGTCTCCGGCGGCCTCACGGCACCGCAGTACGATATCGGAGATCCATCTCAATGACAATGGTATAAGCTGTCGAGGTTTGCGCGATATCGCGGACTATATGGATGGAAATGAAGTAGTATTGAAGATATTGTGGCTCGCAAACGTAAGTAATCATTCAACCCTTGGGCTTCGCAAGTACGGATTGACGCCGTCATAGAACAAGCTGGGACCTGATACTGATGTTCTGGCCTGGTTTGCTACCGCAGTAAATCACTCTCGACTAGAGTTCCTTTCGCTCACGGGAAACCATAAGCTTGGCGATGCTGTCGTTGAGACCTTCTTTCACCATCTAAGGGCACCCCGCCTTCGGGAGTTGCATGTCAATGCTATGGGACTGACTGCGCGGTGTGCATCTGGACTCGCAGAGTGGATTTCATCGGGGCATAACGGCAGGGCATGTTCCCTGCACACTCTCAAATGTAGCGGCAACAACCTAGGGATAAAGGGCGTATGGGAAGTTATTCACGCCATTGAGATGGGCAACTGGTCACTTATGAACGTGGAAGTGTATGCGAATCAAATAGCAGGCACGGAAATCCCGAATGACAACTCTCCCATCCAACAATCAGGGCAGTTGCCATCCTCCGAAACGGAAGTGTCATGGAAGGATGCAGAACGCGCTCTTCACCGGGTGCTTCATCGGCGAAATGCTTATTGGAAAAGACAAACTGAGATGGAGGCATTGAACCTTCTAAAGTACTCTCGGACACTCATCTTTCGGTCGATGGCTTCTCTTTCATCCGCGGACCAACAAGCTTCGAGTCGTTCGTTTCCATTTCACTACCTTCCTATAGAGCTGCGCCTGCAAATAATTGCGGTCCTCGCTCCTTCCTTATCTTGTGCTCAGCGCACTCGTATCTATGATTATGCTACCGACCCTTCGACTCTTCCCCCACTTCTACCACGTCTACAGCGAGACATGGGTCACGGGTGTGTCGCAGATCCGTCACGACTGCTTGGAGCAAGTGTAGGATTTACATTGCACAATTCAGGCGGTTGTGCTGAGGGGAAGTGTATGGGTACTGGTAATAGTCTCGTGTGCCGTCGGGATGCAGAGCGCACCAGGTTTCTGGAAGCCGTTGGATGTCGTGCGTATGAGCCTGAATGAGGCAGAACGCTGTAGTATTTTCTCGATGATATTCCAATGATACTCTGTTTATCCGTACAGTTCCGACGATACGCGCCATAGTCGTTGTATTAACGACTCATGCATAAAGGGATACATATTTAAACCTGTCCAGAACTTCACAAATTTTGCCTTTGAATCACGAGGTGACTTTTGGATAGGGGCAAATGTATAAAAGAACTGCAGACAATAAGGTGTCTTGACATTCTTCGACGGCGACCTTGTACCAGACCCCACTATTTTCTGTGCGAAGTAAGCTTGCGCGTTATCGCACACTCAATCATACATTTATCTTGGTAACCATAAAGAGTGCATGCAGAAAAGGTCAAAAAAATCAAGTAGTTGCCAAAACGTCTTTCGTTCGAAACGAGATTCAAGCATATCTGCTTTTGATTTCCCGCGAAAATTCCTCCATGGTGTGGAATTTCACTCCTAAGTTAATTAATCGTGGATCAGGGATAGCGGTATACGGGTACAGCCCAAACTCGGACTGGAAAGCATACTAAGAGGGTATCAGTTATCAAGGTTCCAAACATACTCAACAATACCCACCATGTCGTCCAGTTCCTGTATAGCATTTGAGTATATGTTCTGTATCAGAGAGAAAGTATGTACGAACCTGCATTCCAGTTGAGGCGGAGGACACAAAAGACACCGGCTTCTCCAGTGCTAGCAGTAGCAGGAAAATTAGATCGACGACAAATTCGTACTTTATGATAACATACCCCGCTGAAGGATTGATGCAAACTGGGTGTAGCTCAACTTTGCACTGGCGGCATAGAACGTGTGGGAGAGAACTTCTGATTCACAATCTTTGTAGTGCTTTAGAAGTGCCAATGCACACTGGCCAAGATCCCGCTCAACCCATATAATATACTGAGGAGAATGGGGATCATATCTGGGCACCGTTAGTTCTAGGCAGTCGGAGTCCGGCACCGGGACAAGATTATTGTAACTGCCACAAGGTTTGCATCAGCTATGCACATACTTCATTACCAAAATGTCATACTTCCAGAGATTCTCTGAAAACCAGCCTTAGATCATGGGCGTCAACTGATCGAGAAACGATTCAAAGAAGAAGAAAGAAACGTACCGTTGTGCAGGATGGAATGAGGTACACCGGAGTCCCTGAGATAGTCCTCCACGTTAGCTTTGTCTAACAAGTATGAAATTAGCTCATGTTACATCCTAGACAAATAAATGAAGACCTACTATCGAAGTGGTGGACATTCAGATACTTTCCGTTGGAAACCTTCGTACAGTGCGGAAGAGAACTAAGGAAGACATACTTTGAGGCTGAAGTCACACTAGAAGACAGCTGGATTCACCTCCAAATGAAGTACTTGACATGCGTCGCTTTAGCAGCGTCAACAAGATTCTTCCCGAGTAGCATTTCGCTATTGTGACCTTGAGCGGAGTTTTTGGGATCATAATAGTCGGTTACCTGTTGAAAAGTTGTTAGTCATGCCTTTGGAGGGCGAACGGAGCAGTGTGCCATACCCCATAGACGGCCTCAACACCTGACAGGACTTGCTTCAACGAGTCGATGTCCCATAAATCGGCTTGAGCAACTTCAGCCCCAAGAGCCTTCAGTTTCGTCGCTTTCTCCGAATTCGAGTTTCGGGTGATTGCACGAGGAATGAATGTACCATCCAATAGTATGGCTTGAACGACAGACGAGCCTGATGAGGCTAATTAGCTAGAGACTTGAGCATGAACGTTACTATCAGCATGCCTTGAGTCCCGGTGGCTCCAAACACGGCAACTATGCGAGATGACATTGCTCAGGATATAGATGAGTGAAGTGGAAAATGTAAGATGCATTGTTATTCCACACCACGTAATGTCCTTAAGTAGCCGTCCTGAAATTGATTATGTCCTGTTGTGACCCGTCAGGTGTAGTATACTTTTTGTCCGATAATCGGGGCGCAAGCAAGGTCCCCAAGCTATCCAATGGCACGTATATTGATGTCACACTGGCAAGCCTGCAAGCTTTTTTTAGAAGGTGGATCCGAGAGAAGCCAGTGCGGATCCGAGAGAAAGGGACATCGGAGCCAACAGAATCCAGACCTTGCGACTCAGTGCACAACCACAACGAGTAAAGTTTAGACGGATTGCTCACATCAGTTCTGATTCGCCGGGCAAGGGTAATGATTTATTTCGCGAACCGGTCTCACCCACACCGGTGACGTCTGTTGCGGTGAACTTCAACAATCTGTTTGATCTGTGATGTCATTTGGCGCGACAGAGCCCGCTGCTTGTTTGTCTCACACCAAGTCCCCGGCAAGTCCATACCGAACACCCACTCCCCCGGGGCCTAATGTCGTGCGCATCCCCTGATTAAATACATACGCTAACAGGGTTACCCTACCTCTGCAGCTGCAGTAACAACCCAACGGCAGCTACTTCTGGTTTGGACGGGAAAGGCTTGTAAGGTGTTTCGTGTGCACGAGCAATATAATTATTTGCAGCTGCGCCGGCATATATGTGGTGTCATTGGCGATAAGCAGTCTTGACGGTACATCAGATGAGTTCTGACCGAATATACGTACTGTCATTGGAGCAGAGGTAAGCGCACAGTGCTGATATCCCACAACCGGTGTCAGATTTCGGGGCTGCATCGCCTGCATTGCTGTGTAGTAGTACTTGAGATCTATGGTCATAAGAAACAAACGCTGCAACGGCATCACTAGGATTAGCCCGGTAGCCGTGACCTAGTCACGGTTGTGTGCATGTGATCCACAATATTCCACTCGCTCACCTTATTAGTAAGCACTTGTTTGAGCTCTTTGCTCACAAATTGAAAGAGCTCAAACTACACGATGGCGACAAAAGAAGACCAAGAGGCCCTGCGTCTTCTCGTCCAACATGTCTCCCGAGGATTTTACGAGCCAAAATTCACTATCATCATGGACCAGCTAGCCCGTCATCCGGTGTAAGTATCTAGAATGTGGATGAAACAGAGCCCGTTAACCTTTTAACTACGATGTGTACCCATGACCACTAATTTGAGACCAGTCTGAAGGATGACGACTTGGCCGGGCGAATGGGCCTTCAGGCGAAAGAATTGAATAAACTCATGGCTGTTTTAGGGAACGACCGCCTGGTACAAGTGTAGGCATAGCCGCGTTTGTTTCTCTGCAACAGTATCTTATTTTACTCCGAAGGTACCGCCAAAACGAGCTCAAGGAGGGGGCACAGAGGTCTGTCGGAAGACAATACTATTACATTGACTACAAGCTTTTTTGCGATGTCGTTAAATGGCGCATCGCAGAAATGCGGAGAATTATAGACTCGGGTCTCCGTAATGTCAGTCTAGCCTTATTTTTTTTGGCCTGCAACGCACTGAAATAATGGTCGTGTTTAAAGGAGCTTGACAACAAAGGCTACATCTGTCCGCAGTGCAACAAATCATACACACCGTTAGAAGTCGACAAGCTGATGGATTTTTCGAGAGGAATATTTGCGTGCGAGGACTGCCATGCAGAAGTTGTGGAGAATGAGAACGCGGAGAACGTCAGGGGGAGTCAAGACCGCATGCAAAGGTTCAACCACCAGATGCGGTTTGTTGTCGAAGGTTTGAGAAAGACAGAGTCTATGGTTCTTCCAGCGTGCGTAAATCAACACATCAGCCGCATATTTTCCCCTCATGCTCCCTGTTACAGGCTCGATGTTCCCACTTGGGTCAAGAATAATGTTGGTGATGTTGAAAAACAAAAGTCGGGCCAGGTGTCAGGTTTGAAAATAGCAGGATCTGGACCTGGCGGGAGACAAGAAGATGGTGTTGGCATAGTCATGTCGATGGATAAGGATGAAGCAACGAGACGCCAGGAACGAGACGCCGAGGCAGCGGCAAAGCGGCAGCAAAACGCCCTGCCAGCATGGCATCTGAAAAGTACTATCACTGGAGACCTGACGGCTCTGGGAATTCAGGAGAGTGCGCGTGTCGTGGGGAGAGAAAGCGACGGTCCACCACTATCCAGCGACGACTCTCTCAAAGGGCTTGGAACCATTGGAACTTTACCGCGTCCAATTCAGCTGACAACGGCAACAGAAGATGTGAAACCAGAAGTCAACCAAGAGATGGATTGTACGTTGCTTCAATGAGGATTGTGTAATGTTATGTTATGTTCTAACTCTCAACAGATTACGATCAGTACTATGCCTCGTTGGCGGCATCTAACGCAGTATCTTCCCAGAATACGCCATCTGGCCTCGGAAGCGAAGAGTTTGAAGAGGAAGAGCAAAAGCCGTCAGTGCAATATCTGGACTCCCTCAATGATTACCAGAAGCGCTCCCGATCAAGAGAGGACGAAGGTGTTGCAGCGACGAAATTGTCCAAGATAGAGGTTCCAGGACCTCTTCCCAATGTGAGCATAGATACTAAAATGGAGGCGAATGGGGCGGACGATACCCCTGTATTGGGTGGGTTTTTGTTCTCAACATCAAGATTTTGTTATCTCACCATTATGCCACTTTCGCAGTTAATGGTGTCTTGAAGCCGTTCTCAGAAGTCACTGATGAAGATACCGAACTTATGACACCAGACGAGTATACCGCTTACTACGAAATTTTGCAATCACAGTCATAGACCCAATTTCTTGAAGCTACCGATACAAGGATACATATATTATAATAGTTTGTACTGATTCAAGATAATCAATGTGTATTATATGTGATAGAAGGAGGACACTTGAAGTCTGAAGAGAGTCGTTCCTTCTTTAGCGCACCAGCGCTGCTACGATGCAGTACGCAGTACTTGATGCGGCACTCAATGCGACACTTCGTCCGGATGCGGCAACATGGCCCATCAACAAAAGTGCGCGCATGGTGCATGCCCTTGCAGTGCTTCAGAGCAGTGAGTGGCAGGAAGCACATCAACAAAGTTTATGAGCGACAATTGAAATTTGTTAGCAAATTTTGAATTCTTCGGCGCAATTATTTGTTTAATTTTGTCCAGCGGTACCCCTCGTAATCTCTTCCTTCTATTTGATCTGCCTAATAGGGGAAACTAGGCATCTTTTCGAAAATCGGAAAGTGCTCGCAAGTTTCTATCATATCCTTGCGTTTTTGTGTGCTCCCATATTTATTCTATGTCTCGTAGTCGAATTGTTATGTATGTTTTTCCATTTATTACGCAAATGTAACGCTTGATCACGTGAGGTTCGATGAACGCGCTTGAGAACTACCTTATTTCCAAATGACCACCATGAATTGTGTGTCGAAGCAGCCGCCCCGAGCTTAGACCTCAGCCAACAGACAACTTCGATTCTGTAAAGTTTCGGCCATGGACTGTAACATTTTCGATCCAGTTGAATTACCTTGCGGTCGTACTGTTGAGAACAGACTGGTCAAGGTAGTGTATCTACTATCCGTCTCAATACTCTAAAGGCAGTTACTCAAACAAAGTCGTTGTCATAGGTAGCCATGTATGAGCACATGTCAAATTTCTCTGGTGGTTCACCAAACGAATTCCACTATGGCTTGTACTCTGAATGGGCTAAGCATGGATGGGGAATGGTTCTCACTGGAAACGTACAGGTTTCACCTCAGCATCTGACCTTGGGCCGTGACATCGTTGTACCCGCCACACTCAATGCGGAGGACCTCAAACCGTTCGAGAGGTTGGCGGAAGTCATCCATGGAGGCGTTGATGGCGCACGCTCTCTGGCTATCATGCAGCTGTCGCATGCTGGACGGCAATCAGCGAGATTTATTGGTGGTCGATCCCCTTTTGTTGCACCGCTGGCCCCAAGTCCTGTCCGTGTTGGGGCAGGGAATCCTGGAGCTGTAAGGGACGTAATCGCTGATTTCGTGTTTCATACGTTGTTCCAAGCTCCTACGGAGATGACCACACAAGACATTCTCCATGTTCAATCCAGCTTCGTGCGAGGTTCTCTCTTGGCGTACGAATCAGGCTTCGATGGTGTCCAGGTTCATGCTGCTCATGGATGTGAGTCCACATAATTTTTCATACTATCGCAGCTGGGTTGAATTTGAATTGTTTGCAGATTTACTGGCGCAGTTTATGAACCCTAAGGTGTGGGCATTGTGTACTACCCAAAACTGACTAAAATTATGCGCCAGAGTAATATCCGGAATGACGAGTATTCAGCGGCACCGGAAAATAACATTCGCATGCTGCATGAGATAGTTGAAGCTATCCGCAAGGTGGTACCGACTACTTTCATCATCGGAATCAAAATCAATTCGGCTGACTACGTGGCTTCCGGGAGCACCGAAGAAGTATCTCAGCAAGGCGAACAGTGTATTCTGGATCACATTCGCACCATTTCAAGCTGGGGTATCATCGACTTCATCGAGATTAGCGGTGGCGATTACGAAAAGCCTGGTAAGGGAGCGTATGAGGAAAATCAAAGTCTCACATCTGACTCGACCTCTTACTCAGATTTTATGGCGTCCGTTGGATCTCAGCAATCAGAGCGCCAGGCCTTCTTTGCGCAATTCTCCCAGACAGTCATGAAGGACCTTCACCGATCGCCTACCCCCTTCTCTTCGATCCCACTCGTTCTACTAACTGGCGGCCTCCGTTCGCATTCACACCTACAAACTGCCTTAGTGTCGGGGCATGCTGACTTACTAGGCATCGGGAGAGGCGCAGTCCTCTGTCCCGACCTGCCCAAGATTCTTCGATCACAGCTTCATAATAGTAAATCCCCTAGCACTTGGGCTGACAGACCATTTGCGCACGAACCAGCTGCAGTTCTTGGAGCTTCTAAATGGTTACCGAACGTGAAGCTCGTTGGTGCTGGCTTTGGGAGTGCCTGGTATATCATTAGAATGAGGGATATTGCCGTCTCCCAGATCAAGAACCCCGGAGCAGAGCCACCGCCCTTGGACTACGACCAAGGAGGATTGTTTGCTTTTTTCAAGATGTGGGCTTGGTTTGACTTTGGAAGAGCTACGGTCTGGATCCTAGGAATATCCACGGCGCTTGTGGTCGGGTTTTTTTGCTATCACTAAAGATCAGTATAGATCAGCATACTATGCTGGTGCGGCCTCCGAGCAGGGCAGGACGGCCAGCGAAGAGACACATTTATTTGTTCCCTTCTTTGTTCCCAAAATAGAGACCCCGTTACGCCGATTGTCACGACCTACTAGGAGGAACTCGTCCCCTTCACAGGACGGACTGCTCGTCATCTAAATGCATCCATATGCGTTTCACTTATGTGGCTCACTTTTCGATCCAGGACTCTGGCCAACTTGTCCCCAGCCGTCCAGGTTGATCTAAGAAGCGACTTACGATGGCCTCCTTATTCTCATCTTCCGACATATCTCCGCGCGCGACGTCATTGAATGAGTTGTGCTGATTCAATCATTCCCATTTCTGGCTTTGCCTTTTCATAGTTCTGCCGAAATCAGTCATGAATGATCGTATTCTTAGAAGCCTCTGCGACCTGCTGCGACTCACTCTTTGATTCAGGTAATGGACATTGTTGACCTTACGGAGGACACAAGCTATTGTTACTCCTTTGATATGCACCGGTTCCGTAGTCTTCACTAGGCAGACCAAATCTAGGGAAGATAGTCACCACTTCCGGTCATCCGGTATTGGCCGGCTGGAACCCTCTTGGTTTCTCCGACTGCAAGGAGAAAATCGTCAATGTGACTCCTTTGTCCATCCCATCCATATTATTATTCGCCAATGCATGCGCTTATCGGCACATTTGGTCCATAGAAGGCATAAAGTGAACATTGCGACTCTCGCGATTGTCACTGTTTGGTAAATATAGCTCTGAAGAGGACTATAAAGCCAGGACGTGTGGGGACATCGACCTGTCAATTAGTCTCTTGGATCGTGATATCAGCATGCCTGCAACAACATCAGTCTCGCTCAACACTGGAGCTGTCATGCCTACTGTTGGTCTTGGTAAGCACAGGCCCCGAAAGTGTAATCGTCTCATGTACTGAGTGCTTGTGAATGCAGGCACATGGAAGTCAAAGCCCGGCCAAGTCGAACATGCTGTTGAATTTGCATTGAAGAACGGATACAAGCACATTGACACTGCCGCTGGGTACCAGAACGAAACAGAAGTCGGTCAGGGGATCAAGGCGTCCGGTCTGCCAAGGGAGCAAATCTTCCTGACCACGAAGCTTGATAACCCCGATCAGAGGCATCCGGCAAAAGCTCTTGAGGCATCGCTCGAGAAACTTGACACTCCTTATCTAGACCTCTGTAAGCAGTAGCCCGTTCGCTAATCTTGACGAGTGAGCTAATTCCTTGAACAGGGCTCATGCACTGGCCAGCTCCGATGACGAGAGATGGCAAACCCGACAGGGAACATGACTGGCTGGACACCTGGAAAACTATGGAAGACCTATACCTTGCTCACCCAGAGAAACTGAAGGCCATTGGTCAGTGCTCCGATCTTACGTGCCATCTCTGTACTGAAAATGCATTAGGTGTTTCGAATTTCTCCGTGGAGTACTTTGAACGCTTGCTGAAAGTTGCTCGCGTCGTACCGGCCGTGAACCAGATTGAGCTCCACCCGTATGTCGATACATTTTTTTCGTTGGGAAAATTGATTGTGAACCATAATTCTTAGTTCGTGTCCTCAGGATGACGTTGTCGCGTACTGCCAGAACAAGGGAATCGTCTTGACAGCTTATTCCCCGTTGGGATCCGACAACTCCCCCTTGTTGAAAAACGAGATCGTTACAAAAATCGCAGCGAAGTACGGCGTGCAACCCGCCAATGTGTTAGTCTCCTTTCATGCAAACAAGCCAATGCACACTGGTGTGTATTCTTGCGAACATTCTTGCTGGAGGGCTCGGTTCTCAATTGTTAACACAGTACTTCCAAAGTCCGTGACCAACGAGCGTATCTTGAGTGAGGTGTTACTCCATCATTACTTCTGGCTGTCGCTCATTATTCTCCTCAGACAATGCGAAAATCATAGATTTGACCCCTGAAGAAATTAGCGAGCTTCATGGCATTGACAAAACGAACCATTTCCGTGCTTGTCACCCTGCTTGGACTGGTTTCGGTGGTCTTGGATTCCCTGATTGCAAGTAGATCAGTGGTTAGTCAAATTATAGACGTAGGAACAGATTCAACTTGTTTACTGTCATCAGACTTACAGCCGCCTTACCTTTGAACAGCGGGGAATAGCACGTAGAGACGAGTAGCTAAACAGTGGATGCAACTCGATGTCATGTCTTAGCACCATTGCTGCCGTGATGTCATGCGCGTCTGTCACCCATGGTCGAAAAAGATTTGTCACAATAACCTAATCAGGTAATATCAGATTTTTGAAGTTTTGGTAATGGCAGGGCCTGAGCTCCAGCCCGGGGCTTATATACACCCAGGCTAAGCCCAAGCCCTTATGAGGCCCATATGGTCGAGGACTCATCTGGGATCTCAGGATTTCGCCCCATTCGCCCCACTTGGTAGCTGCTCTGTTTGCGCCACGTCTCATCATGATGGCACCATCTAGAAACGGATCCCGGATGGACACAGGGACCCCACGGACTTTTTGTGGCCCTTGGGGCGAAATTCCCAAATCCCAAACTTTCTGATTCTTTCGATATATGCAGTGAATTTGGGTATAAAAAGTCGTGAGTTCCAAGGACCAACAGAATTTGCCAGCTAAGCAACTACGACATCATGGTTGAGTATCCCACCCGCAAAATTGGCGTCGATGATGTCTCTGCCATTGGTTTTGGTGCCATGGTACTCTCAGCGTTTTATGGTCAGACTGATCCAGATGAAGAGTGCCTCAAGGTAAAGCGGGGGATGATCCTATACGTTGCTGCTAGGCTACCAACTGTCTTTTTAGGTGTTGGATAAAGCGTATGAGCTTGGCTGCACCTTCTGGGACACTGCTAGTGTCTATGGGGACAATGAAGAGCTCATTGGCAAATGGTACGCCGTCCCGCACGCTGTAATGGCAAAACCCAAACGAAGAGCGTGGTAGGTTCAAGCTGAATCCCGAAAAGCGGAGCAAAATATTTCTTGCCACAAAATTTGGTATTAAATCTGTTGGGGTGGTCGACGGATCCCCCCGAAATGTCTACGAGTCGTTCGCAAAATCGCAGAGGTTGCTTGGCGTTGACAGGGTCGAGCTTTTCTACTTACATAGGTGCGCACAGCATGTCGAGATGATTATGCTCGAACCTCATTACATGTCATTCTCACGCAGACCTGATCCCCAAACACCAATTGAAGTACGTGTCCTGTTGATGGAGTTTCTGCAGGTATCTAAGGTCACTTAGGAAACGGTCGGCGCCATGGCAGAGCTTGTCAAGTAAGCAAACAGCTCCTGGAATCTTGGCTCTAGTTCATCCCTGTAAAGGCAGGGGAAGGTGAAGTATCTCGGATTGTCGGAATGCAGTGCGGATACCATGCGCCGCGCTCAGAAAGTGCACCCTATTGCTGCTGCCCAAGTGGAATATTCGCCCTTCACGCTTGACATCGAGGACCCGAAGTTTAATATCCTAAGCACGGCCCGTGAGCTTGGAATCAAGATCATTGCCTATTCACCTCTTGGGCGTGGTTTGATCACGGGACGGTATGTAAGTATTGCAGACTGGCAGAACTCATTTGAGAACTCACTGCATGAAAAGAAATCTCCGGATGACTTCGAATCTAAAGATTTCAGGCGGACAATTCCGAGGTATGCGTTATGTCAGTGCCAGGTGGGGACTTACGAGAACCGTACTTTGTTAGATACTCGAAGGAGAACTTCCCTAACATCCTGAAGCTAGCAGATGACGTGAAAAGAGTAGGCGAGCGGTACAATGCAACTGCTGGGCAAGTGGCTTTGGCGTGGCTTCTGGCTCAAGGCGACGATGTCATCCCCATTCCTGGTACAAAGAAGATCAAGGTTAGTGGCCGCATCACTGTGCACGACCTCGGGGTTTTATCGTATTGACATCGACAGTATCTCGAGGAGAACCTCGGGGCTATCAATGTGTCGTTGAGTCCTGAATCAGTCCAGGAAGTGCGTATGATTGCAGAGAAGGCGGATGGGGTGATTGGGGACCGCTATGCTCCAGCATCTATGAAGGGGCTGTATGCAGAGACCCCACTTCCAAAGAGCGCCTAGACTCCACCGTGAACTTGAATAATGATCGATAGCAATGTACATACCTGATATGATGTGACTGTCGAACGATGCTAAATCATAACCTTGCGCATGATTGGGCTTACACGCACCAGTTGGAACACCTGCCTGCTCGGTTTTTCCTAAGGGATTAGGATAAGATCAGGTAGGAATCTGAGCAAGATCTGACAGAACGCGTTAGAAACGTGTGAGTCGTCGCTGTTGAAACTCAACCCTAGTGTGTTCTCAATATGGGCGGCAGTGCTCAGAACTGTTCTGACGGTGAAAGTTTCTCATACCCATGGTTTGCTCGTGGTATTCCCTAGACAGATCATCGAAGTAAGATAATATCAATCGTTCTTCCCTTATCCCTCTGACCATTCCGAAAGATACGAAGACGATCGTCGATCATGGCGACACTACCTCGAGCCGCCAAACCAACTTCATCTGTAATCTCGGGCACCGATACGCGTCCACGTTCTGATGCTGCCTTCGATGCTGGAATAAACTCTTCGAGTGCATGGACAGAGCATTTGGAGCGCTATTCGTTATCAGACGACGAGCCTGATCCAACAGATGAACTCCAGCCGATTGAAGAGACAGTTAAAGCAGCCCGTGCACTCTACGACTTTGAAGGAAAGGCTGAATTCGGGGAACTGGCCGTCGAGGCTAGAGATGAACTGAATATCTTGAAGGAAGAAGTTGGAGACGGCTGGAGTTTGGTGAGAGCGAGCTCTGGTGAAATAGGGTTGCTACCCCAGACATATTACACGGTGAGTATGTACTGATCGCTTGTACGCCTATCTGGCTGATCCTGTCCATGAAGTACACGACTAGTTTTTTTTCCGCACCGTTTCACGGGAGGAAGGAGCGGTCTACCAGCACAATCACCCCCCAAGAATCTCTCCAGGAACAACCTGAGCCGGTTTCTATCGTCCCTCAGGATACTGGTGAATGGACAAACCCTCTCCCAAGTTTCCGGCAAGGCTTTCTTGGAGGCAAGAGTTTGAACCGGTTCTCTGGGTTCGTGACGAGTGGCGCAGAAGAATGGATTCTCGAGGGCTATGAAGATCCAGTCGCTTCAAGTTTATCCTCTTCACACCAACGGATCTCTACGGAAGACTCTATCAATGAAGATAATAGGCTCAGTAGACTCGGGCTGGGGGAAGCAGACAGGCACTATATTGACGCCGGCCCTACGTGGCAATCGAAAGTTCCAAAGTTTCGAGTCTTGGTTCACTCACCTTCCAAGCGCACGTCGGGCCTTTCAGGAGCATATACCATGTACAGTGTCACTTCACTATTTTCTTCGACTACGGGTGAATATTATGATCCATGCATCCCGCCGATTTCTCCTACCCGTATAACAGTCCAACGGCGGTTTTCGCACTTCGTTGTGTTACACACTGCGCTGACTAGACGTCTTCCTGGAATTGCGCTCCCACCACTTCCTGAGAAACAGTATGCTGGGCGGTTCAGCTCTGATTTTGTCGAGGCTCGTAGAGGTGATCTCGAGAGATATATTGGGTGCATTGTGAGACACCCTGTTGCACGATATGCCGAGGTCGTCACGTCTTTTCTCGGTTGCGAAAGTGACGTGGTGAGTGTGAATGATGTGTTTACTTTGGCTTTCTAACCCATGTCCAAGGAATGGAAGCGGCTGATGCCCCAATTACTTGCAATGCCTGCTGCTGGACCTTCATTCTTCGCACACGTCTTTCATCCCGCCTTTAACGTGGACGTGGACGATGCTACAGAAGCGATTGATCGCTTCAGTCGTCACACCCTTGCCGTGGGCAAGGGCACGGAGAGATTGAGAAACAAATTTGGTGGCATTCGCGAGGCAAGACTGGGTGAGTACGAACATGTCAATTGTGCCGGATCGTCATCGTGACGCGCTTCCCAGAGATGTCGAAAGCCGAACGATTGTTGTCGTATTCATTGTTGTCCTTGATTTCGTCGACGCCTTCGTCTTCTACTCCCCTGACTGGGATTAACGAGGATGCGGAGGACACGCCTCCACAAAGAAATGGACTCTTAAACGAAGAAGGAGCTTGGTGTTGGCGTGAAGGCTGTCAAGGTGCTTACGCGAATTTCTAGGGTTCATGATTAACTAAGACATGACTCGAAGATTGTTTGAAGCTTACAAAAGCGATGCAGAAAACATCAGATGCTCTGCAGATTGTCGCAGACCTGTATGACGATCATGTTGGTGTTATGTTCTTTCCGCAACGCTTGTGCTGACCACAAACGAAGGCCCGGCGCACCCAGCTTGCAACTCATGAAGCGCTCAAGAGCGTTGCTCATCCATACCAATCGTATGAAGTATCTCATTTTTATTCGATCACCAGCTTCGCCCTGAGTGTGATTATTCAAGGGCATCATCGAAACCCACCAATCTACGGTTTCGCGATATAAAGATGCACTCAAGTCGGGGGAGGTCAGATGCTTGTTTTTCGTCGCGGAACGCAAAGACTTGATGATGCGTCCAGTCGAACGATGAGATGACAGCACGCTGCGAAACTGTCCTGAATATCACGATGGCTGAGATGGACACATACCACGACCAGAAAGTGGAAGACTTCTGCACAATAACCAAGGATCATCTTGATGGAGAAATCGGCTTTTACGAACAGGTTCTGCACAGGTTGAAGGCGGCGCGGCGCACCTTCGACACTCCGCGTTTTGACGAGCTGAGCAAGTCACCTCGTCAACCCTCAAGACACGAACGGGATTTAGAAGCCCCCAAGCTGAATCCCCCACCATTGCCACAGCCATGTCCTCATATCTATGACTCGGCACCTATGAGACCAGTGAGTACAGCAATACAGGAGGGGATCGGAGCGCTGCTGGGAAAGTCCCAGCCTGGTATTAGGAGTGGGAGTGTTTTTGGGAGAATGTGGGCTGATTAAAGTGCTTGGTGCGATAACATGTGCCAAGTACTATATGTCAGGTGGATGGCATGGCTGCCCGGTCTGTGATATGTATCTACTACTACTACTGGAATGAGTTGTTTCGATAGCTTACCGTATGGCGCCTATTTGGGTATCCCATCGAACTTTTGTACCGATTGTCAATGATTGGCACAGCTTCAATCAGTATATAAGATAATCACCTTGGGCGCTAGACACCTATCCGTCATACGTTCATGACACTAATTTGACAGATACAGCCTAGGTCGAGAAACATAATGCCAACTGTTACCCCGCTCCCAACATATCCTTCTGCAGGCGCCAGAAAATCGTTATCGGCCTCGCAGCTAGCAATTTTCCATCGCAACCTATCAAGCGCCCTTGCTGAAATCCTCGCCCTACCCCCCGCGAAACGAGACACCCCTTCCACCCGTGCTTTTCTATCCAGCTACGCTAATGACATCGCCCATCAAACCCTGCAATCTTTGATCTGGCAAGCTCCCGCGCACTCAGATGACCATGTACACAGACGCGCCCTGCTCCTTGCGGAGAAGCTAGCCAACGTACCGTCTTGCATCGATGTGAAGATGCTCCTGGACATTGCCATTGCCTACTTTCCTTATCCAACCCGCGTGCGCGCGCTTTTCGCTGCAGCTCTCGCTAGCACACCAAGCCTCGCTACTGTTTTCAGCTCAGATATGGTCCCTGTGATGACCACCCTCCTCAGTCCATCCGGCTCCGCTGGTCTGTACGGCCTCCGCAAAACAGCACGCTGCTTGGTCAGTCTGCTATCTGGATGCCCCTCTGAGCTCCTGCGTCCATTTGCGAGGGACCAGGATTTCATGATAGGACTGGCACAGGCATACGACGAAGGCCTCGCTTCACTAGCACGTTCGTACGGCGGAATGCGCACGGACGTCGGTACACGTGAGCTGGATGACTGGGAGCGCATATGGCTCGAAACCAAGGTCGACCTCATCGACAGCTTCCACATCATCATCACCGTCCTGCTGCAAGACCTCTCAGTCGCATCCGGCGCAGCTTTGGCAGCAGAGTCAGAACGGACGTTCAGCATTATATTTGCACTATTGGACCTCCCGCCAGCGCGAATACAAGCGGGCGGTACTCCTGCGTCTACTCCTTTCCTCAGCCGATCGCTGATGGCGGACTACCAGCACTCGTATAACTTGTCTAGCACTCTTACTTCTGCTCTACGCCGCCCTGCACGTGAAGACGCCCGAGTTGACCTCCTCGAATCTACCCTTCGTTCCTTCGACATCGAATCGTCCACCGCTGGGACTAAAGATCCCGGTGCACTCAAGCTGATTCTCAAGTCATCGGGCGTTCCGCCTGGCACTTCTGCTTCTGGGAACGGCAAAGCGGCGCGGTCTTCGAGCATGGGCAAAGCTATAGAAGTTCACTTTGCGTTTGAGCCAGAGAAAAATCATGATCTCGACTTGCAGATCTCGCAAGTCATGGATATCTTCCCGGACAAGTCACCCGGATATATCCGGGCGCTGCTCGCGCAACCTGCGTTCGGGAATGCAGAGAAGGTCATCGAAGCACTATTGGAGGGCACTGCACCTGGGGAGGCATCGCTTGCGCAAGATGTCAGTGTGGGCAATAGCGCTCGTGCTATTTTCAATGAGCCCATTGAAAGAAGGAATGTGTTTGATGATGAGATCTTGGACGTCAGCAAGATACATGTGGGAAAGAGAAAGTACGCAGGGGTATTTCTCCTATCCATATCCTGTTCCTTATTATTCTGCCCTATAGCCAAGACGATGCATCAGTGCTCAGGGACAGAGAAGCCATCGAGCAGATGAAAGCCGACATTCTGCGACGTGCGGAAGCTATGTCTGACGGGGAGGAAGAGGAAGACGGCGGTAAACCCGCCGAAGTTGATGATGATCTTGACTTTGGAGGCGAGGTGAAGGTTGTCGGTGATGGTGAGGCTAGCAGCGAGGGTGAAGACGACGGTGACGAAGAGCCACCAAAACTCAATCCGGAGACCATTTTGGAACTTGCATATATCCGTGATGCAGAGTTGTTCAATAGAGATGCTAATACGCGGAGGTCGAAAGCACGCATTGACCTTAAAGCACAGACGGGCAAGCATTTTGTCCTTCTTGTTAGCTGCCTCGCTGAAAGTTGCACAGACTGGTCCGATGAGCAAATTGAAGGGTGGAAAATCATGCTGGAACGAAACGTATGCTATCACTATCCGTGTAACTGGTCAATACTAATACTCCTATCACCCGCGTCCAGCCAAACAAGGACAAGATCCTGCAGAAACACGAGTTTTCTGGAAATAGAGCAGGATATATCACAATGACCGGAGATGCAGGTGGATCTGGACCACCGTCTCGCGGTGGAGATCGCGGAAGAGGCAGGGGTGGGCGCGGGGCAGGGAGAGGAAGGGGTCGCGGCAGAGGAGCTGGGGACGGCGGTGATGCGAAAGAACGAGCATGGAAAGATAAGAACAAAGCTAGCAGAGGGAACCACAATCGGAAAAGGGGACATGACAAGAAGATGGCCAACGCCGGTCCTTCTTGATGCATGCATAGGGGCGACGGATGAATATGCTTTTTCAATTTATGTGGTGCGATGCGCTGTACGATACAAAAACAACAAATGCGACTATGCTAATGAATTAAGGTGTTTGCAAGCTGGGCTCTGTCGCTTAGTATCGAGGGAAAAGTTTGTCGAACCTCGATTGAAACGTGAGCTCAATCACGTCGTTGACCAGTTGCATATCTGCATAACTGAGATGGAAACGAGTCATACCATCTGTTAAAGATCCATACCTAGCTCGCCTTCTGAATCTAACGGGAGTGTCGCCATGGCTTTTATCGTGGATTCATTCACCACAGTCCCAATAACTTCGACGTAGGTAGCAGTCACATCCACATTCTGCGATCAACGGCGTGAGTTGTAAACCGTCGAGAGTGCAACAAGCTCTGACCTTCCTTTGGATCTCTACCTGGCCACCATCACTAGCTTCGACGATGGCGATGTCATCTGAAAGCTGAATCAAGGTAAGGGGGTGAGACGCGAACCTGGCAGACGAGAATGACAGTGAGCTGACTCGGAGGACTTTGCAGGGGAGACGGACTGTCCTGCCCTTTATGCCAGAAAGACGGGCGGCGTTGACGCGTATTGATAGATGGTCGTTCATGGCGAGCTCAAGAGTCAAGACTGGAATTTGGTGCTTCACTTGAAAGCTACGCGCCTGTGGCTGTGTTATTTAATGGTAACCGTGACTAATAGTCGGTCATAACTTAAAGGTTACCAAGTACGTTCACATGGATTCATCCAAACCTCCACTAACAAACGTTAGTCGCGCAGTCGTACTGCATAACAATAAGCAAAATTTTCCATATGGCACTGAACGCATCTCCTGGCAAAATCGGTCCCGCAAGGACGTTGAGAAGTTGAGAACGTATCATTGAACAGCATTGAACACGCTGTTAACGCCGACGAGCAATTTGAATCCGGGAGAAGTTCCGATACGTTCGTATTATTCCCCCTTTCCTACGTATCTATAATCTAACCCGATCAAACAGTCTTGGTTCTGCTTGCATCACAATATGATACCATTATGATTGCGTTCCTCTCTCTTATCAATCGCAATGTCTTCGTCACGGTTCTCTTGAATAAAAGTAACGCCTGCCACTTCCCGGAGCGCCAGTGCTGCCCCCTTCTTTTATCTTACCTGCCACTCCACCATCCTCCCCATGATGACAGAAATCCTAGCCAACATCATCGACGTACTGAAGAAATTGGTTGCACAACTTGCACGGCGCTCTGCCAGGTTTTGCTTATTTATCTTCTCTTTATTTCGCCGTGCTGCAGGTTGTTCAAAGTTCAGATATCGGAGATTGACCGCTTGGACTCACCTTTCCAGTGGAGCTATCTCGCGATCCCAACGTGACATCGCCGGAGAGAATGTACCTATCTGCCATAGTTTTCTGCCTGCTGGTCACATAGAACTGGAGGTTGCAGAGGAGCCTCCGTCTCCCCAAGATGATCCTTATTCAAGAATCCATTCACGATATTCCCAACCTTTACGAGGGGGCACGGCGGTGCCTTTGTTGGAGACTAATTGTATAACAGCGAACCGATACCCGGGTGCCCATTCTCGCCTGATTAGCGCTCCACGTCATGGATCTCCGGACATGCCTTCTATTCCATTTCATTCGCCTGTTCAGGCAGTACCAAGGTCAGATCCTGGGATCGACCATCATACTCATTACACTGTTCCGCCAGGCAACGACGAGCAACCGGGCCAAGAGGTCGTCATGGTCCATGACGGCCTGCTGATAGCACCTATGGTTGCAACTGAAGTCAGGCGGTACCAAAGGAGCGTTCCCCGGTGAACATAGTCTGCTCTCCCGTCTTTACTCCAGAACTGACCTTGCCCAAAGGGTCCTCAACGTTTCAAAAACTACCATCCCTGCTATGACAGTCACATTTCCTGTGCACGAGTAAGTCTACTTTGACCATTTTCTGCCGCTCCTAAACTCTCTCAAGTATGGCTATGCCCCAAGGATGGATTACACTCGTGCATCCAGAAGGATCCCGCTACTTTGTGCACCAAGAAAAAGTACGTCCAGACCACGATCTATGGAAGGCTGACGATCTGAGTGGGAGGTACATCCCGCAGAGAACATTCACAGAAACGAATATCTGTAACAAACAAACATGCGAGGACATCGAATACTACATGCAGTTCTTACTGGATGAACTTCAGCGGGTCGTTGAGCATGGGAATCTTGAGCTCGACATGAAGCAGGTTGACCTTGTACTCGAGCCGAAGACCTTTGATGGCGACTCTGTCGTTTGTTGCTATTACTTCGCCAATCACCGTGACAGATGCCTCTTTTGGTTGAATGACTTCAATGCCAAAGGTATTCTCTCCGACTGTGAAGGCGTAGAGAATCTTTCACACATACGTGGGTGGTTAATAAATCTTGGCGGGTCTGGATCTAACAACTTGTCCTTGTTTTCATAACTAGGGTTTGCCATTGAAGCACAATACTGGTGCGTTCCTGTAAAGGTCCGCGCAACATCGTTTACTTCAGCGTCCCATTTCTAACGAAATTCTAGGTTGACATGGAAACAAACGAACATATACCATAGGAGACATTGTGATTACTTTCCTAGCCTGTTCCTAGTTACACAAAGCCTTGTGGATGAGGTCAAGGATATGTTGATGCATGCGGCATGTGGTCAGTATTTTCTTAGTCTGATACCTTGAACTAATTATTGGTCCTAATGGCCAGACCACTTGACATCGATGCAGTCTTCTGCGGCATTTGATGCTATCGAACTCAGGGATCACCTTTCTGTGGTAGATAAAATAAAGGGTACACTACTTCGATACTTCCTCGCAGATGTCATGAGCTAATCCTATTCTGAAAGTCTATTCCCCTGCTGACCAGAGTATGCAACAATGCCACGCTGCCATTGTCATCGGTGAGCCTTGAAATCAAGCTCAATCTCTTCCTGACGTTGATTGGCATCTAAAGGCCGGATTATGTATACATTCAGTCGGTGCCCTCTCATTTGTCTATCTCGCTGTAATTTATCGTGATTTTGAAGGTCACAATCACTTTGTGAATTATCATGGCGAGGACTGCGCAAGACTAGTCGTTGAACAAACAGTTCATGGTTGGGCATATAAACGATCACCATTGATGGTTATTCTCGCACCCCTCCTGTTCTTCGACCCCGTGACTCAAGTCCGAGACCTGCACAAGGTTTTCGTTGACAAAATGGCTTGCACAGCACGGTGGAATGCATTCAGTTCAAAATTGAACGGACAACTCCAGGACTCCAATCTTTTGGTACTTTCCATTGTCGTGCATTTTGCGTGTCGTTAATTTTGAAACAGGCCACTGTTTTGCTCAACGCCAATGTTGGATTTCTCGCTATCGACAGCGTCGATGGGAGTGGTAAATCCTCCACTCAGGTGGCAAGCTATATGTCTCTTGTGGCGAGCATGGGAAGCATGATTCTTGGCTTGTTGCTTGTCTCGCACAATCGAACCATGGGTCAAGGTACACACCTCCACGCGGTTAGTAATAATGGCGTATTATCACAATGGCTTCTTACGGTAGTTGGATCAGGAACTGTTTCTATCAGGACTTCATGATCGAGAACACGGGCTTGAAAAGCTGGCGATCATATACAGCCTCCCAAAGGCGTTGCTCATATGGGGGTGAGTCTGTACCTTCATGTGATTGTAATAAACGGAAGGACTGATTCAAATATGATAGCATGGTCTTCTTTTTCGCGGCCTTCTCCGTCGATTGGTGGAGTCCTGGGGATACAACTTCCAGGGTCATTGTTGGTGCTGTGATACTGGTCGTATTCGTGATGATATCGTACACCGTCATTCTTATCATGAAAGGAGACTGGCAGACAAACCCGCTGCATGGAGACATCGGCCTGGGACTATTGTCTCGTCTGGCTGATACTCGGAAACAGGTCGTGGAGTTCATGGCGGCGACGTGTGCCCAAAGAGATGTTGCCGGTGAGCGTCAATCCGATACTGAGGGGGTCAGTCTGGTTCAGATGGGTATTCCTGCAGACCTTTTACCAGCAAATTCCGAGGCAAATACTGTAACATGCAGCGCTCCCCATTCATCGACTTCGCCTGGTTTTCAATCAGACATTTCAGACGCAGAAAATCACTCCAACCCCTCTATCTCAGTTCGGTGATGTCCCCCCACTTCTGTGGATTCACCTCTGTAATCACTACATCCACAAGCGGCACGAGAGACACACTGAAGTGGTAGTGACAGACATGGACTCTTCCATACGCCTGGTTGATCTCGTGCAGAAGAAAGGGAGAGTGTGAAATGTGCTAAGAACGCGGCCGAAGATATCTTCATCGCCGCGGCGTTCTTCTCTCTTATTATCACAAAGCCTCAACTCTTTAGAAATAATCCTTCATAGATTTAGATACATATCTGGTTTTCTATCATTTGCGCTTCCCCCGCTGGGCTGCGAATGGTGCGATCTTACCCTGGTTTACAGTAACATACAATATTGTAGAAACTGCACGTACTGTCTAGCATATGGCCCAGCCCCTATGTACAGTACATTATGGTTTCAAAAAAAAAGTGATAGTGCATGTCTTTATCGTCCACCAAATTTGAAATCGAAGTCTTTCAACGCTGACCGGTTACTTCCACGAGACCAGTCTCTCCGGCAGAAATTCCTCCCGGGCACATCTAGGTTGTGCTTCCGCATATAGATCATTCAGCAGGTGACCCTCATCGATGACCCTTTTCGGCTGCTCGCCTTTGGCTACAGCTCGCAGACGTCGACTAGAGACAACGTAAACCTTTTGGTCGGGTAGATTCGCCTCCGCAAGATTCGCCTTGACATTGCGGCGAGTTTCATCCACGAGCTGCTCTCTTGCAGCCATGTACAAGGCTGACCGTAGCGTCCGGTCGACATTTTCATCGTCGCTGTTGTACCCCATCTCCTTCATCATGTTCCGGATATGTTGGTCGGCTTTTGAGCGGACAACGTAAGTGGGAATTTTGAAACGACTGCAGTTGAGGAGAATAGCAATGTCGGTACAGGTGAACCGATTATCGAACAGAATGACAATGCAATTGAAGACGTAGAGTCCCTGAGCGTTGAAATACTGCCAATCCGGGACCTTGATCGTCCCCGCTCCAGGAAGATCGTACCAGACATGATGGCACCGCTCATCAGGGTCTGGATATCTTCCTAATGTCGAGGTGGTCTCCGTGACCCCTGCATGAGCGGAACCAGCTTCGCGGTTACTCATACCGCGGAATGCGTTGACGAGGGTTGACTTTCCCGCCCCCGCCCTCCCAGCAACAGCAAAATGAAACAAATTCTCCTGGTACTGAATTTTTGCTTTGGCAGCAAGAATTTCTTGAGGGGTGGGCGTTATGACGGGTTGGATGCCCTCCCTAAGCCGCCTTTCAGCATCTTCTTTGGCAGCTTTAGCCTCGCAAGCGTCGTTCTTAGCTGCGTTGCTTGCTGCCTCTGCTTCTGCGACGGCTTCATCAGCTCTCTTCTTTTCTTCTTTGACTGATCTCTGAAGACGCCCTGCGTCTTGCTTAACAGCCTCTGCCGCTCTTCGAGCTCCTTCCATAGTAGCTTGAGTACGCTCCTTCTCCGCCTCTATTTCTTTGGCCATCTTCTTAGCCTCCTCCGTTGCAAGTCGTGTAGCGTTTTCTGCAGCGAAGCGGGCGGCGTTCGCAGCTCTCTCGGCTGCGACTGTCGCCGAAATTTGTTCCAGAGTTCTCTGCTGCGCAATTGCCGACATTGCTGCTTGCTGAAACTGGAGTGCCGTACTCTGCGTCGCTTGATTTGACTGCACGAGCTGGACCTTCGTGTCGTTAAGGTCCCGGATGGCCTGATCCCGCTCTGCCTCAGCCTGTTGGCGGGCTTCGATCACGGCGTGGGCTAGGTTGGCCGAATCGCTGCCGCCTGAACTGAACACTGGCAACTTCGATATTAAGCAACCCCCGGTAGCTATGGCTACGTGCGCCAATACGTTCATTGTTGTCTGCGCGAAGATGTCAGCAACCTTAGGCCTAACAGTTGATACTGAAGGACGGATGGGAGCAATCTTTGAGTGACGCGACGGGCTGCCCTGAAAATGGGTTGTAGCAAAATGCCGGGGTAATATAGTCAGCGTTATGTTGGCCTTGCGGCCTTAGATCAAATGGTTATTCACAAGTACCTTGGGTTGTGGGTATAGGCACAAGTTGGTGTCTGACCACGCTGCACACGCGTTCTAGAAAAGTACTGGTGCATGATCGTCGGAAGCCCAAATAGGGGCTGTCGCAGATCTAGCGAAGACCATTGTATTACAACGTTTCCAGAGCGTTCGACCCCGTATAGAGGAAACGATCAAGCCCTGGCTAGGGCTAGTATTATTGTACAAGCCGTGCGAGCGCAACTCCTATCGTGCAGAGGCAGGCATGCTCATTCAAACGGTGAATGGACTTTGTTTGTCAAGGTTTGGCACAATCTAAACTTATGTGGCAGCACTGCCGCAGCAGTGAGCGCGGGTTGTGTACATGATATGCTACGAACTTGACGCCAAAGGGAAAGGCGAACGAAAAGTGGACGATATCGGTGACGACAATGACGACTTTCAGCAACCTAAACAGAAGAGGAACAAACAGCGTGTACTGCTACTATCCTTTCGGGGCATCACCCACCGCAGCGGCGGCATGAGACATCTCATGAATGATCTGGAGGCTCTGCTACCTCATGCAAAGAAAGGTAAGTGGAATTCATTAGTTCTCAATGGGATGTACAGTATTTCAGATTCAAAACTTGATTCGAAGTCCCAGCTGAATCTCCTGCCCCGAGATAGCAGACCTCAATAACACGCCCTATTTGAGGCAAGGAGACATGAAGATTTGTACATATGGGCTACCCTAAATACTGAGACTGGCCCCCGATTTGTGCTGACGCCCATCCGTGTTTTTGAAGGCGCTTTCAGTGATACAAATTGTTGATTCCAATCCTGGTTCGTTCAGTGGAACAGATCTGCCTGTCGCTGCTCACGAACTTACTCCATAAGTAGAATTCGTTGCACCTGCCAGTGCTTCCGTCCGCTCAATGATCAGGCATGCCACAGGAGGCAAATACCCGGCAACGGAAGGTCGCCCAGGAGGAGACCTTGAAGAGAAAGGAGCTTCGTAAAAGAGAAGAACATATACTGAAGTGTCCAAGGTGTTTGCGTAGACGCCTACGTATGCCCTTAATGTGATATTATGGCTGAGTCACAGTGCTATGCTTGGAGGACCGTTGTCACTTGGGATACGACTTTGCTATGTGAGTAGTCAGCTGAAAAGCATCTCAAGTTCTTCCGCACCCCCGCAGGCAACTACGTGTTCATCAAACTCAATGGCAATCAGCCATCTGAGTACGGACATCCATCATCCGACAGCATCTGTAACATGGAGGGATACCGTCAACCTTCCACTGCACTTTAACCTCCCGCGGTCCCTGTTGCTATAGCACTTCGACCTCGACGAACGGGGGGTCTATCTCAACTTGGAAGAGCAGGATGTCGAGGGGCACACGATCAATTGCGTGAACATCACTTTCCGCTCGCATAGGGCGACTCAGATACAGATATCATGGACCGGATGGCGCGCCTCCAACACTTCCACAACTAGCGAATCGCTTTTCGCCCATATCTGGCATCGAGAAAGCGGCGCCCTTGAAGTTAGTTAGGCCTTGAGATAGAGAAGACTTGAATTGAATGGGTGGAAGGCTGTGGAAGGTCAACTCGAGGTACTGGACCAAAAGAACGTACGCTACGACAAATACCGTATTCTTGAACATTGTCGAAATGAATTAAATGAATTTGCTGAAGACTCTAGAGTAGACAATGACAAATATTGAAGGCCAACAACTTGTAAATCTGTATAGACGAAAGCAATGAAACATAAAACTACACACCAATATGAATGAAAACAATCCGTTGCTCGAGTGGCACCTTCTTCTTCACGACATGCATAGCATGATTGAGTGCCTTGGCCGCCTTCGTACAGTCCAAGACACCTCCTTCAAATACTTGGACATATTCTCGTAGAAAGCTTCAACAATGTGGTTTGCGACTTCATCATCGACCACCCACAGCGTGCTAATGACACTCTTGAAGCCCGAAAACTGCAGTCCAACAGCAAGATGAATGACTTTGTCCGGTGCGAACCCTCGGTTCGGTTCTCCGTGGTCCTCGAATGTTGGACTGAACCGCAGTCCGGTTCACGAAAAGTCCGGTTCGAACCGCGGTTCAGGACCGAACCTTTCCTATCACTAATAACGAGGCGACGAAGAAATGACAGGGCCACGAAGGATCAAGAATCTCTGGCAGAGTGGTAGGACAGAGTCAATGAGGATAAGCCAGGGGGTATGGATATGGGGACTGTGGACTGAAGGTCAGGTGCTACTGAAGAAGACGAGAAATGGATGAGGGTTCAGGGATGATGCTGCACGTGTATTTTCATAGCTGTCGATGGCAGTTCGGCACGATAGACGCCGGTGTTGATTAGATTCCACTAAGTGATGAGATAAAGGACTAACAGCAGTAGGAGGGCAATTTCGTTGTCAGTCATACGCGAAAGTGGCCCAGTAGTGATGCTGACCCAGCCCTGTGACTCTCTTCAAGAGTTGGATCAATCATTTCGAACACTGCAAGGGAATAGATAGAATTCAAAGTATTTTGCAGTGCGTACAATATAAACTGTTGAAAATGATGTAAGCCCATAGAGTACGGGAGAGGATGATCGAGATCGTTCAAAATCGATGGTCTGTGGTAGTGGATAGCTCGAAGGTGAGATGCCTATAGAAGCCTCAAGCTCCAAGACTCATGCACATGCACCAGGTAATGCAATAACTGACGAAGAATGTGTAAGCGTGGAATGCGAGGAGTAAGAACGGGCGAAGTGGCGAGACATAAAGATATATATAGGCAAACTGATTGATCATTGCTGCCATGAGCCAGTGTTTGTTCCTGACGGGAGCCTGTACCTTCCTACTGTTGCCTGATACATTTGTTGGTTCGTCGACTTGGGCACGGCTGGCAGTGAGACACGTGGAGTAACAAGCTCCGGTGGCAGTTGACTGTGGCTTAGATTTTGCACTAGTGGTTGAAGTTAATTGGGACGAGTTTTGCAGTGCAAATGTTAATGAGGGGTGGGAGTCCTTCAAAGGAACGGTTGGAGCGGTCGCGCGCGCGTAGGTGTGAGGGAGACATGGTCGTGAAACGGACGGCCAGAGCCCAGGCGCACCGTTAGGAAGGTGTGCATGCCTTACTCAAAGGACATGATATGGCAAAAGTATCGGAGATAAATTGAGTTGAGGGTGGGAGGGACATCGACTGGTCAACCCAGTGATGCGCTCTGGTCGCCTTCAAGTTGGAAGGAAAGAAAGAAGTACTTACTAGAGCAAGCACGCGCTTGACAGTCCCATAGTGATCAACGTTTCGCCGATTCCATAACATGGGCAAGAAAAAGTCGGGAGCTGAGAAGAAACCTGCAGACAGAAAGCAAGAACACCGACAAAAGCGGCGGCACAGTAAACTACAACAGATCCTTCTAATCAATGAAAACCGCGCCTTGAGTCGTGTCCGGAAAGGATTGTTTGAAGGCTGTAACTGCAGTCAACGTCCGCCGTATTCTATGCGTATTTTATTTATCACTTGAAAGCGGCGACCGCCTGTATGAATCATAATCGAATCCAACCGAACGAATAGCATCAGGGTGTTTTCAACGACAAGTTTTTCGATACCCGAGTCAACGACTGGGTTACAAAAATAATTTAATTGAAATTATTAATTAATTTATTGAAACCAAAAGACATTTATGACATATCTAGTTGCCATAAAAGAAGGGATCTTGACTGTAGTTAAAGACAGAGCATCCGCGTGTGACAGTCTGATTGCACGAAAAACACCAATCCTTAGTAGAATTCACCGCGGTCCACTAAATGAAGCCGTGAGCGAAAAATCACGTGCGTGCTGTAAAGAGCGACTCACAGCAAGTTGGTTCACGAAACTGTCGAGGGTGATGCTCGTGTTGCCAAACATTTTGAGCTGACGGAACTCGCTGTCTTCAGTGCCGTTTTTGAACTTCAAGCTGACCTCATGTTGACCCTGCGAGTTCAGCGACAGCTCCAAAGCAACAACAGAAGCATAATCGACTGTGAACTGGTATCAGTCTGCGGTGCTGAGATTATACGCTATTGATACTGACCGATACCAGCAATGTCAGGATCAGTCAAGGTAGCGTTTGTCATGTTGAATAGACCCATGAATGGCTTGTAGTCGACTTCCTGGATAGACATCTTGACCGTGTTAGAAGGCTGGGTCATATTACCCAAGGCCCAGATTATATCCGGGAAAATAGTGCGAATGCCAACTGTACAATGTTAGTAAACATCATTTTCCTATGAATATATATGAACCCACTTAGGCCGATGCCAACAGAATCAGTGAAGACATTGTTTTGGACCCAATTAGCATAGTGGCGAGCTTGCTGGAGGAAAGTCGCAGGCAGTGTTTCATAATATGTCTTGTTATGGGTGTACTGGACGTTCACATGGTCATATATCTGCGAGACGATATGAACTCGGTGTGAAATTATTCAAAACAGCCCTTACATTCCACTGCACAATTATGTCATTTTTTTAATACAAGAATAGGATGGAATGACATACTATGTTCGTGAAGTTGTTACTGACGCCCCCCAAGTAAGGTTTCAGTGCAGTCAGGAAGGGCTGGGCTTGGATGGACATATTTTGGAATGCAGATGCGCCGTAAACTCGGGCTAGGTGGTATGGGAAGTACTGTCCCCGAGCATTATGAAGCGACCTTAGAAGAAATCACGATTCACATACATTGCACTCTATCCAACTCGTGAGAGACGGAGCTTGCCAGAACTCCAAAGATTCCACTACAGCAAACCAGTCAGAGAATGAAGAGCAGCCTTGACTGCAGGTCCAACTTGCCTGGAATATATTGGTATCCTCCAAGAGGAGAGATAACGGTTTGCCCATTCCCCAAGGTCACTTCTGACTTCTGTGTGGGCGGGTATAGACCCTGAAGCAGAGCATACGCAGAATCAAGGATAACATTTCCTCCACCAGCATCTGCGCGGACTGCCAACTGGTCGATATTTACCACGTCAGTGCTGATGTTCTGGATGAAAGATGGCGAATTGGGGTTGAGGTATGTGTTACGAAGGAAGGTCCCGAGGTCAAATTCTTGTTGCTGAACAATCACCATGAGCAATGATCCAACATTATGTGCTATGTAGTAAATAATCACCGATCCAAGGGGAGTTATGTATGCTTGGGTAGAGTTGTACGTGCTGGGGTCTTGGTAGTATCCTGTTCTGTCGCCGTGGCGAGCCAGAAGAACAACACCGATGAGACCCGCTGTAGTAGTGGTGTTAACCATGCTGGAGCTGGAGACCAAAGAGGCGCGGATGAAAGACGAAGGGGTGAAAACTGCGATCTGTCGAGTCTTGACCGGAACCAAGAAGCCCTATAACAGAATACTCATATGGCTGTGATGTCGGATAACTAGAGGTGTCGTGCATAACGGACTGATGTAAGTACTAGTTTGTACTAGCGGCGCGTTCCTCGCGCTCCCTTGCTGTAGTCTGTCAGTACTGAGCCCTGAACAAGCTTGGAAAGGATAAAGATAGCAGCATGTAACGGGCGCGACATCGCCGATCGAGTTGCCGGTGTGCCTAAGCTCGCCATCATCATCATAAACCGCTGGTGCGACGTCGTGAATATTGTCACGTGACAGGTCACGGCGCTTCGTTGTGAGTTTGAAATTGAAACAGAAGCAGAGCTCCGGGCCCGACCATGCTCGAATTGAATAGACAAATTGAGATCGTACGAATGATGGTTGATGTGCATTTCCCCTGTGGTGCCTGACAACCATAACGCACTGCAAGTTCTCCTCCCCTGTTATTGCCGCACCAGGTCCTGGACTTGACCTCAGTCGGACTCTCCTTAGGACATAAAAAAGTCTTTCCGAGTAGCTGCATACTCCATCGTCGGCTAAGTCATGGGTCCTCGAATGTCAGAGAACGTTCAAAGTCCGAGATCGGTGTATTCCTGTGCAGAAAGATCACATCAGGTCCTAGTTTAGACTCGTAACCAGTCTGGACTACGTCTTGAGATGTTAAGGGATTGACATACCTTTTTGGTAGTATACGCCACGAGCTTACGCTCAGTTTAAAGTTCAGATTGTATGCCTAAGTTCCAACATGGGTTTCATCATATCTTTTGACTCCGTGCCACACTAACCAGAAAGACGCACAACATGCAAGTTCCTGGACGGCAATATAATCAAATGATTGAGTCCGCATCAGGAACCCCATATGCCAACCAGGGCCTATCTGTGGTGTTGAAACTTGATACATAGCATGCACATACAGGGGGTCCCGCAATCGAGATAGCGGCTCACTTGGGTTGAATGACTTACATACATATTCAGGGTCTCGTGTGTGCTCGAGACAGCAGAATGCTGAGCCTGCACAGGACGGACATGTGAATAATGTTGCAATCACAGGTTTGAAGACCGACTTACTTATGTCCTGCTATGTCACTAACAACGAATCGAGTAGCGTTAGGTCGTTCACGCTGTTCTTATAAACGTCACTGTACAAGGACCTCGTACGCAGTTAACGTTGGTGAACAGTACAATCGTCGTCGCCTACGCTTACCGGTGTCGACAAGAGATATCCGTAGTAGAAGGCGATACAAGTTTTCATTCAAGGCAAACTGTAGTGGCCACTCCAGAACATGTGGGGGTTTCTCGAATACGTCGGAATGCCGCAGGTGTAGTCTGTCTGCGAGATCGTTGAAGCGTCCTTATTCGAACAGCTATTTTCCAGACTTGCGATGAAGACGTGATCAGCACCCCAACAAAACAAAAGTTATATCTGACATAATGAAAATTCAGTGTTGAAGTAAACGTGCGACGGACCTCGCCTGCATGAGGCCTCTGGGTGGTCATTTGAGGTGTCACAGCTGGTATTCTGCATAACTTGCGCATGCGAGGGGGCATCGCGATCGAGAGTTCATTACTCAGCGCTCAGTATTATCTGCACATACAATTGCACTTACTGGCCTAAGAAGGACCGATTTCAAGCGATGGGCAGATTATCGAACTCGGAACCATGGCTGACGGGGCTGATGGATGAGGACATGTATCGAGCGGATAGTAGTTTCGTCTAAGCACAACTCCCCGTCGTGATGAGATGAGTTATTAGTTACAGATGAGCCTAAGTTCCACTCGGTACTTATCTCCATATCATAACCATGCATAAGAAATACACACTAGGACAGGTCACAGCACGCGTATGGCTGGGCATGATCTACAATTGCAGCCTCTGTGCATACGCAACAGCAAAAAAAGTTCTTGACCTGCAACATTAAAAATATGCCTATGCCTTGAATATCCGTAAAAGCCGTGTCTTTTTTCGATGCGAGTGCGACAGAGTGGGCACTCGCGTGATGAGGCGAGGACTAGTTCCGCGCAGGTACAGGCACATGGCCAGACTTCTGCAGGTATAAGTTAGTGAAACGATGAGGATAAATAGGCACAGAAGCACTCACCCGTAATCTACGATCACGATGTTTGCTTCCTGATCCCGACATATCACACATGGAACCGAACGTTCCATGAACGTCGTCACGGGAGAAGAATGGGGTTGAGGTGGAGGAAGATGTATGTTAATCAGACTCGTCATGCATCTCGGCATTCTCGGAAGGGTGTTCTGGGCCATGTATATGGGCGTCTTCTGGTTCCGCCTCCGTGGCTGACCTTTCCACCTCCCTCTCTCTATCCTGCCGTTCCCATTATTCTTGTTCCCTCTCCTCCTTCTCTATCCTATCTCTGCTACTGCTTTCTTCTCCTCCAGCTAAGTACTGACGTGTGCCTCGAACAGTATCTGATTCAGCGTATGAATGGTAAACGCGGGAGGGATGATGGAGACATTGCAAGTAAAACAGAGAGTGGGGCGGGGTTGTGGCGTGGGTAGCGTGGAGGCTGAGGTGGCGAACGAGGTGAAGTTGATAGGCGTGGAGTCGGGCTAGCGGTAGACGCCGTGGGTGGGCGCGGAGTGGAAGGGGGCGCTGATCGAGGCGGCGATTGTGGCTACGGGGTTGTCCTGAATCGTGGCTGTGGTTGAGGTGGTGGCGGGGGCTGTGTAGGAGGGTATACGTTCTGTATGGTCGGGTCAGGGCGGGGGAACTTGGCCGAGCGGTGGTGCGGATGTGTGTGGCGCGGAATGATGCTTGTCAAGTACTGTCAGGTCGGAAGTGTGCCTCTGTCAGACCGTCCCTCGAGCTCCGAGGCTCTCTCATGAATGTACGTTATTATTTATTTCTACTTCCTCCCATACCTAACTCCCGGGTGCTAGCATTCAAAGTATTTCCAGCACGTCCTCATAACTCAAGGGATACAGGACGGAGAGTAAGTAATTGTTTATTTTAATATGTAACGCTATTCATCTGCAGAATGAAAGATGACAACTCTGATTACACCAGAGACAAGTAGCTGTTCGCTGCCAGATTATTCTGCAAGCCCTCGATATTCAACGACCAATTACTTATTCATGCTGCTGTTCGTCCGATCGTTTGTCAGTGGCACCATACTTCCCCTTCAGAAAAGTTCGCGTGTACCACTATTGCCCTATCGACAGGATCTAAATTTTCCCTTTCTCCACCTTGCTATCTTCCACCTTCCCGCTCACTCCGCCGTAGCCCCTACTTTATCGAACCACGAAGAAATCATAGACCTGCGCACTACGACTACAACTAGTATGAAATCACCACGATCTCTCACTCAAGCGACAGGTTTTATTCGGTGCCAAAGCCCTCTTCCTTCATGATGCTGATGTCCACATCTTCCCTTGTACTCTTAACAGATGCAGGGCGGTACTCATCACCAGGATACTCATTTTGTCCTTGCTAGTCTAAGACTGCCCTCGAAATTGTTATTGGGAGAACGAATCCAATTTATATTATCTTCGGAGTCCTGCACATATATAACGTAGGGGCAAAATGTTACAGTCAAAAATTTCACCATCACATCTGACGTGCACGACAAGCAGGAAATATGGAGGCTACCATGTCATTTTAATGCATTAATTAATGATAGTTACAAGACTAATGTAATGCATTAACTATTAGTAGTACTCAAAATAAGTTTCAAAACTTTTTGGAAACTCGGGTAGAGCACGGCTAAACCCTTCAAACACCGGCTAAAGGCATCAAAAAATCGGCCTCGATGGACTATGATTCAAGGTCAGGCCGGCAAGGCGCAGCGGAGTTTTAAAACATGCCTGCTTGCCAACGTGTTCGTCGTTCTGCACGACTTAGAGCCAACGCTCGAGTGCACTCAAGGAGAATGGATCCTCAAGAATCCACCTCCAAAGGACAACCCAATGCCCCTCCAGAAGCCCCTGGACCCAGGATGTCAATTCAATGGCAAAGCGAAAATGCCCTCACTGATGTCTTGGTGAACTACCTAACCACTCACCCCTCTGATTGTAGGATCTTGTTCTATTCTGATGGGAAGAAAAAGATGTCTCCCATTGATGATGGCCCCTCTGGCAGGGACAAAGGCGATATCCATGGTGTCATTGCCCACCTCATTTTTGCCAATCACATCAAGTACGGCCCCGCATACCATCACAACCAGAAGAAATTTCGTGATTCAGTCGCCAATCGCATCTCAGGGTAAGCACTCTCATTTTTTTTGTTCATGCATACGCTAATTAAATACATCTAGACTCAGAACTAGATAGAAGAAGAACAAGAGCCAATTTACTGCCACAGGTGCTGGCATTGTGCCTCTTGATGGGGCATCTGCACAAAATCTACTAGGTGAGTCCATCGTCCCTGGTTTTTAGTTCTCGGCGGCTGATTTATTTTTGTAGAAAAAGTTCATGCGGACCTTCCATGGTACTCGGATCTGGATGCGATCTGGCACAGCAATCCCTCCATGGCGGTGAAGACGCACTCGTCTAAGCCGGGTGTTGATCATGCAGGTGCCCTGTATTCACTTATCCAACCGCGTGGTGGGGCTGGTCCCTCCATGCACTTTGGTGCCGCTGCTGGGGCTGGTTCCTCCATGTCCTTTGGCGCCCCTGCTCAGTCATCACTCCCCCCCTCCCCTGCATACCCCCCCAGCACTCAGCCCTCCCCCAATGCATATCCACTGCCCAGCACACACTTGCCCCCCAGCGCTTATCCGCCCCCCAATGCACATCTGCCCCCCACCGCATATCCTCCCAACGCATACCCCCTCCCAAATCCATATCCTCCCAACGCATACTCCCCCTACACTGGCAATTCCCTGATTGATCCGCAGCTTCTCCAACCTCCTGCTCCCCCCGGTACCCCTCCTGTTCACCTTCCCGGCCTTAATAATTCCCCTGACATCACTATTCACGATGATTTTGGACCCACCGATGATAACGACTTGCATCTGGAGAGTGCTGGCCCATTTTCTGCCCCCCTCGACAGTGACGACATGATGGATGATGATGCGGGCACCCCTGAGAGCCCCCCCCCCCAAGCCACAGGGAAGAAATGCCAGCTCCTGACATCCCCATCTCCTCCTCCTGACCCCCCCCTACCCCGCAGACCTCCCTGCCAAACAGTGCGGGGGGCTGTCACAAATCCCAAATACGAACCATTTTTCATTTCTCGGTTTTCCTTTGGCTACTTCCAGTACCCAAGCCACTCATGTGACTCCTCGTCATATATCACCTGTTGCTTCTCCGATTGGCTCCCCTACTCCACGGGCTAGAACAATCTCGCTTCCTAAAGAAGAACCGGTCGGATCTTGGGTTTCTATTTAGTAACCGTCTTACTCATTCGCTTATATATCATGATGTCATACTTACTCATCCGCAGTATCGTACGACTCTTTTCTCATTGGTTGATTTCTTTCAGACTCCTACTCAATGTTATGTATAAAAGTAGGGTAGTTAGCGTAAGTGCTCCTTAGACTTAACCTCTTCGTTTCCTACTGTTGTAGTGACTTAGATGTTCACGCTCAATCCAATCCTGTTCATCATCATCTTTGACCGAGTCCTAGTGGTTGTGTTCTCGCCTTCATCATTATTGGTGAATGTTGGTCATAACAGGGGCTCAAAGAAGAAGAAAGCAAAGTCAGATATTCTGCAGGAGGTAGACCATGTTTGGGACGAGATTGAGAGCATGCATTCCGACACAATGTCACACCATGATAGCAAGCATCAACGCTTTCTTGAGAAGCTCGATGCGAAGAGTGAGCATAATCACGACTCGAAGAAATATGAATGGCTTCGCAGCTCCCGCAAGCATGAGGCCTCCCAAGCCACTGTCTCCCATCAACGTCTGCAGGAAAAACAAGACACCGAGATTTGCCTTCATGAGATGGATATTCGAGTGCACCAAACACATTCATTGGTGCTCGATAAGGAGGCTGAGACCATCCGGCTCAGAATCCAGTTCCACCAGATGATGCAGGGCAACAGGACCCCTGCATCAGATGGAACTGCGTGATTCGTCTGTCGTTGTTGTCGTCATTGTCGTCGCCGTCGTTTATTGTTGCTGTTGCATGTTGTCACTATCTTTTTTTTTCATTTGTTCTTACCGTCATATGTTTCTTTTGTTGTTGCTATGTTTTCATTTGTCGTTGTTGTGTTGTTATGTCGTCGTCATTGTGTTGTGTTGTGTCGCTCCGTCCAGTGCAGAATTCATTAAGCTAGCTACAAATACATATGTTTTGTCCTTAGTGCATTGAAATCATAGAAATCTACCAAGTGTTTTGAAGTCCGCTATGTTATGCCGTCTGTGCCACAGCTGTTGGACGCTGAGTTTCTTGATACCTTTAGCCGGTGTTGGAAGGTTTAGTCGTGCTCTACCCGAGTTTCCAAAAAGTTTTGAAACTTATTTTGAGTACCACTATTGTAATGCATTAACTATCGTAACTACCAGTGCACCAACCTTTGATTTAACATTTAACCTTCCAAGGCAGAGTATAATCATAGCTGACCACTAACTAATCACCAACTAACTCTAACTAACCACTAACCACTAACTTCTAACTAACTACTAACCTCTAACTGTCTAACAAACTGTCTAACATCCAACATCTAACCTCAAACTCTAACCAAAATTAACAGTTATCATTATGTAATGTATCATTTAGCCATTACAATTGTTAATGCATTAGCTGTGTCTTGTAATTACATTAAATAATGCATTATTACCTGTTACACTCTCCCGCAGTAGAACGAAAGAGAGAATCCTCTCGATGGGGAAAGTGTAAGTAGAGACTCTGGGCGTAAAACCAAACAGCGTTCATCTTGCGGCGTTTCAACACAGCACAGGGATTTTCGGACATATGTCGTGATTTTAGACGGGAGGATGACCTGACATGAATCGAACTGCCAGCGCTTCGTATGACTGGAAGGTTGACTTGACCTTTGTAGCGCAATGTGCAGGACTTGACAAGCAGAACTCAAAGACGATATCGTTGTCCAAAGGACTCGGACGTATTCCTAGGTATTACCACGAATATTCGATGCACAATCATGGTAGTTGAATAGCAAATAACCTTGCTGGAGATTCTGGGACACGACACGAAAGAGAATGTGAAAAGAGCTAACTACTAAACTAGAACGCAAGAGTAATAGAGTATCCGAGGAATTCCTACCAAAAAAAACTTGAAGTAGTTAGGACACCTGGAATCTCGAAGACCAACTGTCTGCTCGAGCAGCACTTTCTTTTTCACGGCGTCTGTAGCCTTGTTGGGTGTTGAAGCCGCCTTCGTACAATCAATGACACCCTGTTTCTTCGATGTGTTCTCTTAGAAAGCTTCGACAACGTACGTCGCGACAGCGTCATCTAAAAAGAAATCCGTCAGTTCACTCTAACAGCCCGTCCGCCTTCTAGACGTCTTCTGCGAGGTGCATCCTCCGTGATATCGTCACCATTCCCGAGCCCAGAACCCCCAGGTGTAGGGCCAGAAGGGAGGGAATGATGAGCCAATTGTGCTATAGGGAGAACTGGATACGTTGGTGGAGAATGGGCAGCTTCGTGACGCGAGCGGTTCAGGGAGAACAAGGATTTAACAACGAGCGTCAATAAAGATAGTGACGTCAATGTAAAAGCCTAGCACAACCATGCAATCAGCACAGCGCACTGATCGCCAGGGACTCGTGTATGCTAACCAAGGTTTTCCAGCTGATAGGCTCCACCAAGCTATTTGCAACTTCAGCAATGAGTTCCGCACCTACTCGAGCACGGCCAACCGTCGCCGTGTCACGATTCATGCATGTTTTCCAAGATGCACATTGTTGAATCATGGCAGGCAGAGTGTTGCTTTCACAGATGTTGCTTCTGTAGTGTGTGGCACACATGGCAATGTCTTGTACGATATCTGACGAATAGTTCATTTTAGCACGTGCATCAATCTCCTGAGGATGATCATACCCATCGAGTATTCTGAGACGCGGTGTTCAACATCATGTTGTACTGTGATAATGAACTGCACCAGGAAATAAAGAAACAACACAACCAGTGACAGGTAGAAAAAGACTTGTAAATATCTTGGGAAGTCTGATCAGCGTACGCGGATGGTGGGAAGGCAAACAACATCACCCTAGCAGGACCTGTGGTCTGTCTGGCTGCGGCGCCGGGGCAGACCCCATGTTGACAATGTAATTGTTTGTCGTATTGTGTGTCACAGGTCCAACATGAGCTGCACCGGTATCACTTCCTTCCTTCCTGCCGTACACTGCGTCGTTGCGTAACGGTACAGCTTGATGGCTTTTCGTACGAGCCCTCTGCCTCAAATTGAAAATTCTTCTGAGCGCCCCTGTGGCAACTATTCTCCCACTTTCTCTCTCAGAAGCCTCGGTATTAGGAGGGTCTGGCTCGGACGTATCCACATTCCGCGGCTCCTGAGGTGCGAGTGGGGGAAATGCTTTCTGAGATGAGAAATTGACGGGAGGCGCCCATGCGTGGACTGGAGGAGCCTGCGGTACTGGAGCCTGAAAAATGAATGGCACGTTGCGATTTCCCCCAAACATGGGGGTTTGAGGTGGATGAGGAAATGCCGGGCTTGTGGGTTGGAGGTGATCGAATGGACCTTGAGACTTGTCAGTCCGGTGAGAACTCAAACAGGATGAAAACCCACGTTTTTTGGGGGGATTTATGCCATCATCAGAAGCCCAGACTGGCTTTGTATTACTGCTTGGTCGGGACGTGAACTGGAAGTCCATTGGAGCCTCTGTCGATCTCTGCGCATGCAGGTGGGTATTTATATTCATCACGTCACATGCACTTTGGCTGAAGTAGACCGCTGCTAGTTCACGGCGAGTTTTGAGTCGTTAAACAGGAAGAAACTGCGAAAGGTAACGGGGAAGCTTCAAGCCACAGACACCTGGGTGAACGAGCCTGACACACGCATCTGCAACACGTGCCGAGTGAATGCGTATCTTGACGCGTGTTTCATATCAAATTTCATCCAGTCAACGTGTGCCATTGAGCCGTGTTATCTACGCCCGCAATCAATTCGTTACAGTACACGTCCTACGCCAGGCCCTGCAAGATCTACTGATAGTGAATAACCTGGTTTCGCCCATGGGGTATTGGTGACTGAGACCTTCAAGAACACGTACCCGGGGTCAACATTTGGATCCGCGTCGAAGGATTTCATCAATTGTTTCGTCCTCAGCATGCGTCGATCGTCACTCGTGGTGAAGGTAATACACGGTGTTCGAGAGTAATCGTGAATCATTGACCGTAGATGAATTTGCGATGTGATCCGCGAAACCTCTCGCATGGTGAATTGGGGTCAGAGCCAGATTCAGTGGTGTGGCATAACGGCTGTCGACTTGGATTCCCGATCGTTTAAGGAGGCTATTTATTCTTCGACTGATAGAATTCCCGAAAACCTGCAGTGACAGTTGGTCGATAATCGAAGGAAGGCCTCGTATAGCTCCAGCTGCCGCAAGAGCCCGCCTAGGCCAGTAGAACTGATGGCCGTGTTGTACCGCTACTTCTACGGCGCAAAATTCCGATGAGGATGGTTTTGTGAGGAAAATCAATAAACAGAAAACACTAAAACCAGTTGGACCGGGCGAAGTGAAAATGACGTGGTCGTGACGTGGAGGGTGGAGGCTTGAGGATGGATTGAGCAAGTACCGAAGATGTGTATTATCCGAAGAACTTCCACATTCTTCTGCTTTGGTTAAAGCAGTAAAGCGCCAAGGAATCGGCATGTGAGAACCTCCCCATGAGAGCAAAACCTCCGTGGTGCCGGCTATCACCATGCCTCGCTCGCAAATTAGCACTGTGTCGAAGTGGATGTAAGCAATGCACGAATGGGAATCAGATCACTCACCGAAAGATTCGGCTCCATGATCGAATAGGTCGTTTCATGTTTGTAAATTCTCCAGGGCCTAGCACGACCGCGTTGAAAGAAACGCATATGGTAATCTGCAAATCGAACATGAGCACCCGAATCGCGTCTGCAAGTCTCTGAAGAATGCTGTACATGGTTATGGTACCGTTCCACGCTACAGAGCTATCGCATGATAGAACTTGGATGACTGATTTCCTCGAGTCCAGTTTGATGGACACGTAGCTTGCAAGTATATATGCGGCCAAAGGGACTGGAAGAGTTTGTCCGCTGATAACAGCATGAACGTCAGGAAACGAACACCAAGGGGATATGGAGAGACGCACCTTCAAGTCTGATAGATTGGTCTTCCGAGCTACTGGGCATGATAGGATGATTAAATAAATGACGAGGAGTATGGAAAATCGGCTGAGTGGTGCGGAAGGACAAGACGGCGGTACAGATATGGGGGACCATGGATGAAGTTCAGGTGAGAAGGAGGGGATACATGGGCGAGGATGTATTTCCGTGTTGTCGATGGCTATTCGGTATGATAGACGCTGGTCCTGATCGCACTAAGCTGAAGTCAAAAGATGAGACCAACGGCAGCGGGAGAGCCTGTGGTAAAGAAGTGGGCAATCATGGTCATCAGTACTAGCGACGGTGGCCCACCATCAATATGCGAATGTCAGAGCGCCTTTTGATGCTGACCCAGCCTCGTGGTTTCTTTCAAAACTTGTGTTGCTCACACCAGTCATTGAGCACACGGCAATGTGATAGATAGAATCCAGTGTATTTCGCAGTGCCTACAATAGAAACCGGTGAAAATTCGATGGCAAGTCCAGAACTGCAACAAGACGAGGTGGAAAGGATGCTACTATGACGATTGGAATGCAAGATGAGAGCGTCTAGTACATTAGGAGGAAGTGCAACAAGCGACGAAGAAAATGTGAGTGTGAATGCGACTTGGAGCAAGAGTAAGAATAGGACAAGAAATTAAAATACCGTAGCAACCTGGGTATTGCAACGAGGCGGTGTCGGTTCCTGATGGTGCGGGAGCCTGTACCTGGGTCCTGATCCTGAATGCTGTTGCCCGGTGAATTTGTTGATTCGTCGGCTTGGGCGGTTGGTAGCGAGAGGCGCGCAGTGTCATGAGTTGAAGTGGTGATCGGCTGTGTGTTTAAGTTTGCAGGGTTCTGAGATTAATATGGGGGACGGGCTTCAGTCGGCGAATGAGGGATGGGTGTCCTAGGCGGACGGGGGTGGAGCGGTGGGACCTGGTAGCGATCACAAGTTGTAGAATGTACGCTAAGTACTCTCACCAAGGTTGGTTTTACTTGAGTCTCCAGGTCATATAGAAGAAAGACAGTCGTTCCTTCTAGTTCTGTTTATCCTAGTAGCGTTTTCGTTGTTGGCTCATCGAGACTCGAGGGTGCGGCTGGCCGTGGTACTAGGCTTAGAATTTGGTTGGAGGTGGGAATCTCAAGCTTCGAATCCTAACAAGGCCAAATAGTGAACAGTGAACGGGCTTCTAGAAGCTCAAACTCAAGACTTGGTCATGGAGATCTAGCTTGCCGTCTGACATAATATTGGATGTGCTCACCACCTGCTCACCATTTGCACTCAAACCACAAATACTGATCAGACGATTATTCTGTGTCCGGTCCATTTCGAGATGACCTTCACCGTCTCGACGTCCCACAACCTCACTTCCCCATCGCTTCCATCTAAAACACTCTTGCCGTTCGGAGACATCGTTATAGTAGTTGGCACTCTTGCCTCATCTCCATCATCCTTCCAATCTTCACCTATCCGATAGGCAAAGACTGGCGAGATGTGTGCCACTCCCCAGGTGATCTTCCGAACATGTGACAGTGCGTCGTCCGCCGTCCAGGTGCGCAACACCAAGTACACAGTTGGCATGACCGCTGCAGCCTGTCTGTCCTCACTTGTCGGGGAACACATGTTCTGCGCTTCGGGTCTCAACGACAGCACATCGCGCACTATGTATGCGAGAGGAGTCCGCTGGCATCTTTGAATTAGAACGGGTTATTCGGGAACGGCAAAGATCGCTGGTGAGTATCCGGGCCTTTCCTCTTTCACTTTAACTCTTTTTGATATAACTGAAAGCCTAATTATGGTATTTCAAATGGCTTTGGCCCTCTGAGAGAAATCGCAAGTGAGCTTTGCAGCAATCCGTAGCGAGTGGTCAGCTTTAGGAGCGTAAAGCATCACTCACGAGTCACATCGTTCTGTCCGACTCATACAGACGTACTCTAATCACAGATGCAACTGTCAGATGAGACGGTGGGAGTCGCGGAAGTTGATCGTTTTTTAGGCTGCGTACCATGCGTTATCTTCGCGTTCTCTTCACAGCACGTTGTTCCTGCGTGCTCTTCTCCGAATCTTGCCCCCTCATATTCTGCATCATTCTCTTCTAGACCTCCCCCTCGTCACCCTCGGCTCTCGACACCCACTTCTGTCCAACATGAACAATCATTGTACGAGGTGGTCCCGCACCTCGCGATAGCCCTACAGGTTTTCGGGAACAAGACGTGCGTGCTTTGGAAGGTTTCATTATACGAGTTTAGTGTAGGCGTGCCATTCTGGACACCAGGGTTATCCTCTATTCGCTCTCACAAGCTGCCCCGACAAATATGAGGCCCTCTAAAGTTTCAAGCGATCTTTCTCATCTCAGCCCGACATACACAGCTACGAAGTCTATGGTGGATGACGCCAAAAATGTGCCCAAGTACGCGTTACCTTCTCAGAGTCAGTATTTTATCGCAGTTATTTAAAGCGTCTTTTGAAGAAGGCCTAGCGGATCCTCAACGGATACCCCCGGATGGTAGTGTGTTCGCGTACCGCCATAGAGGAGTAACTTAGCCATCGACGATACATACCCTTCTCGATGATGAATCAGGAACAGGAAGACTTGAACCGAGCGGTTGGAAGGTCGACTCGTAGTGCAGGAAGTACTCAAGCAAAAGGATGTACGGCTACATATTCAAAATGTTCTCGTACGGGAACATAGTTTTCGAGAATGAATCAATTACCAAACACTCTAGAGTAGACGACAATATAACAGAGATTGCGAAAACGGACAGCTAAAAGCACGACAATATCATGGTAATTCCTACAAAAAAATAGAACAGCGATGAAAGAGCATCGAAGATCGACAATTTGCAAATCCGTACTAGATGAAAGCAATACGACGTAGAACTATACACCAATATGAATGAAAACAATTCTCTGCTCGAGAGGGACAAACTTCTTCACAGCATGCGTAGCATGATTGAGTGCCTTGGCCGCCTTCGTACAGTCCAAGACACCCTGAACATATTCTCGTAGAAAGCTTCAACAACGTGATTTGCGACTTCATCATCGACCACCCATAGCGTGCCAATCACGCTCTTGAACCCAGAAAACTGCAAGCCAGCTGCGAGGTGGATGACCTCGTCGGGCGTCTCTTCATCGCCGACTGCGGTATGACACGCCGATAAGAATGCGAATTCAGCTTCTGGAGTGTCGTTTTCCATGATGTCGAGCAACATGAGGGGATTGTCTTTCATGGCAAAGTGTGAGTTGTATGGTTTCTTGCGGTCCTGTTTTCCATGGCAAGCGAGGTGCACCCAGGTATTGCATCGCAATGCTTGGAGTGCACCTGTTTGTGTAGCTTCTTCTCCAGAAAGACTAGTGAACTTGATGTTGGGAGGGACGAGTGTATGAACGAGCTCGAGCTCACTGTCCACACTGGCAAGCGCCGTGCCGTGCCCTGCGCCTGGCTGGCTGGCTTTGTCCGATCGCCGCAAAGGATGGAGTCGCACGCATCTTCATTGCCCGTCAGGACCTGATTAGTGCCAAAAGTGTGGAAGTGTAGGAGCAAATAAAAATATCCTCGAGACAGAGTTCCCGCCCACTTCCGTCTGCTTTCATTCGAGAAGGATGAGCTACATGAAGAGGGATGGAGGCGAAGGCGGCTGTCGGATACAACCAGATTTGCGAGTGGGGCTTCACTTCAAGATCATGACAGAGTACTTTGACAATGGGAAGCATGATCTCATCCCATATCTTCCGCAAGAGTACTATGAGCTCAGTTCTCGACTCCATTAGGCCCATGAGAGATGCATGCCATATCGCCATTCTGAAGTCGTCTTTGAGCTTCGCGAGATCAGCGAGAGCGAGAGAGGGGAAGGGAACATGGAATGGCTGCCCTGACGTCGAGACAATGACGGCATTGCAGGAGTATTGGCTGGAAATGAGGATGATGACTGGTCCATCGTGCGCTGCTACTTGCAAGTCTTCATATGATGGAGGGAGCAGGAATCGCGAGAAACCTTCCGTATTGCGGATTTCCGCTACTACAGCTCCCCACTGCTCCATACACCTCCTGTACCTCATTGCCGCCTGATCAGCAGCAGCTCTGTTAATGATAGCTGAAGAACCCTGAGTGGTGTTGAAAATGCGCTTGCTGGGCTCTGAAAAGTTGTGAGCTAGTTTCGGGTGTGCTGATTTGAGGTCTTCAACAGGCGAGAGAACAATGACCACTGCTGGCCACGGCCCTGCTCCACGAGTTCCACAGCCTTTTGTCGTTCATGACGGCGTAAGGCACACGACGCTGCATCTGCAGGGAGTGTTCTGGCACACTGGAAGGCGGCAACAGCTCCGCGCCGCGAAATAGTGGATGATCGTGTTGACAAATGAGCGTCAAGAAGCTCGAAATATGTTGTATAGGCCTCCAGTGCAGATTCATGACTGTACCTCTCTGCCGCGACAGTCCACTTGTATGCCTGAGTAATGCGTCTTGAAAAGCCTCGAGTGGGATGTCGTGATGCCATAAATGCTCCACTGCCAGTGACAAATCATCAGGGTTGTGTTGCATCTCGTAACGAGATAGATAGGCTGCCCTCAGCCATACATGGCTGGAGCATCTATCTGGGTGGAGTGAAGTCAAAGCCACCAATGATTCTTGGCAGAGCCTAATAGCCTCCTCAACATCTTCATTCCGCCGAGTTTGAGTGAAACGAGAGCAGAGTGCCGAGCTCAAATTGTAAAGATTTTTACGGCGCATTGGATCGTCGAGCTGTGTTAATTGAAGGGATTCACGGTACAGCTAGATGGCCTCGTTAAAATCCTTGCTGGTGTACAATTTATCATATCTGGTTATGAGTGCAGTGGCAAGGTTGTTGAGTGCGGTGTCATAATTTTGATGCCCAGGTGGGCGCAATGTCAGTGCCTCGCAATAGAGGCTGATAGCTCTGTCAATGTCATCTATGTTACCACGTTGGCTGAAACGGTCGAGGAGGGCACCCCCTAGGTCGTCCAAAGATGAATCACAGGACTTGTGCCCGACAAGGCACAGGAACATCGCCTCTTCGCGTAGAGAGATGGCCTCGTCAAGGTCATCAGATTTTCCCGGGTGATGAAAGCGATAGTTGCTGAGTGAGAAAGCCAAGTTATTCAAGTAGGTACCACGTTCAGAATGTCCCTCAGGGCACAGAGAAACAGCTTCACGACGAAGTTCCATGCTCTCGCCTATATCATCAATGCAGCCGCTTTGATGAAAGCATAAGAAGAGTGCCCATGAAAGCTGGTCCAGCGCTCTTGGACAGTGGTGATGGCCCAGAGGACAGAGCCCAACGAAGGTGGACGCCTTCGTTAGATGCGTCTATCGGAAGTTTGTTGCATTCACCAATAACATAATCCACGCCATTTTTCACTTCCGCGATGCTCCGAAGATAGGTGCCTTCTGGATACAGAAGCAGTAGCGCATGGGAGATTTGAGCAGGTTCCATGCCTTGCCCTGCGCCCGGTTGACCTTGTCCGATAGCCATGAAGGGCGAAGTAACATGTGTCTTCACTGCCTGTCGATATCTGACCAGAGCTGAAAGGGTCGGAGTGTAGGAGCAGATGTAGATATCCTCCAGGCATTGTTCCCACCAAGAGCGACCTGGTTTCATTCGAAAGAGGTGGGCTGCATGGAGAGGAATGGACGTGAAGGCTGCCATTGGACACAGCCAGATGCGCGACCGGTGCTGCAATTTCAGCTCATGCTGGAGAACATTGACAATGGGTAGCATTATCTCATCCCATACTTTCCGCAAGAGTACTCGCAACTGCTTCCTCGGCTCCTCTGGGCCCATACCAGTCGTGTGCTGTATCTCCCTGGTGAAGTCGTCTTTGAGCATCTCGAGATCGTTGAGAGTGAGAGACCATGGTGTGGCCCCCCTGATGTCGGCACAATGATGGCGTTGCAGGAGTACTGGCTCGCAATGAGAATGATGACTGGGCCATGGCGCGATGCCGCTTGCAAGTCTTCGTACGACGGTGGAAGCAGGAATCGCGAGAAATCTTGAAGGTTGCGAATTTCCGCTACCACAGCATTCCGATCGGTCGTAAGTCTCCTATATTTTATGGCTGCCTGATCGGCAACAGCTCGGTCCACGCTACCTGCGGGCCCTTGATAATCAGACAGGTGCTTGCTAAGCTGCGAGAATTTGTGCGCTAGGTTTGGATTCGTGGACTCGAGATCTTCAAGTGGAGTCCTGAGTCGAGCAGTCAGTGACCACTGCTGGTCACGGCCTTGCCCCACAAGTTCGACAGCATTTTGTGGGTTATGACGGCGTAGGGCACATGATGATGCATCTACGGGGAGTGTTCTGTCATCATGGAAGGCAGTAGCAGCTTTGCGGTGGATGATCGTGCTGACAAATGTTCATAAAGAGGCTCAAAATATGGTGCGTAGGCCTCCAGCACAGATTGATGACAATAAGCCTCAGCTTCAATCACCCACTGCGATGCTGCTCGAATAGTGCTTCGCGGCGGAGGCTGATAGCTCTGCTGATGTCATTGATGTCACCGCGTCGGTTGAAACGGTCTAGGAGGGTGCCTCCTAGGTTGTCCAGTGATGTATCACGGGATTTGTGCCCAACAGGGCGCAGACACAGCACTTCTTCATACAGAGAGATGGCCTCATCGAGGTCATCGGATTTGCCCTGGTGGCTGAAGCGGTAGTAGCTGAGTGAGAAAGCCAAGTTATTCAAGTAGATACCACGATCAGAATATCCCCCAGGGCACAGAGAAACCACTTCACGACCGAGTTGTATGCTCTCATCTATATCATCAATGCTGCCGCTTCGTCGAAAGCGTATACTGAGTGACTGCGAAAGCTTGTCGAGTGCTCTTGGACGGTGTTGATTGCCAAGAGGACAGAGCTCGAGTACGATTCGTCGAAAGTGGATGCCTTCATCGGACGCGTCCTTTAAAAGTTTGTTGCATGCACCGATCACATAATCCACACGAATTCCCCCAACCGTGATGCTCCGAAGATATGCGCCCTATGGACAGAAAGGTAGTAGCTCATGGGAGATTGAGCAGTTTCGCGGATGTCGATAGCGGTACGCTCCTTGGTGTGGCGCCAACTCAATGCTTTAAGGAGATGATAAAGAGATATTGGACGATCAGGGTGGCCTGCGGACGCAATGCAAGGACGTCGCGGAATAGACGGGTAGTAGAGTCAATGTCTTGAAGATCGCTGCGAATATAGCCTTCACGGCGTACGCACACGAGGTTGGTCAGTGCAGTTGCGCAGTCAGGGTGGCCGACCGGGCACTGCTCTAGAACCAGCTGGAAATGCTGTACAGCATCATTCAGGTCAAAGACCCTCTTGCTTTTTATGTATGCGGCAAATGTTGTGTGGCCCGCGTCTGTGTGTCGAGTAATCCTGTAGTCAACAATGAACTACACTGTGTGATCTGTCAGCAAAAGTCGACAGCACAAAGGCTGGCATCACTCACGTCAAACACTGTGCCATCCTTATTTTTGCGAGGGTGTATGACAGCGGCTTTCAGCGTGAGGGAAGGGTGGACACCGAAAACAGCTGGAAAGGATAGATCTACGACATATGAGTAGATGTGCATGAATGAGAAGCAGGTTACTCACTGAAAGGCTCATTTCTATGATGGAGCAGCTCATCCCACGACGTTTCGAGTTTTCTGATGACTTCTCTCCATTTCCAAGCATTCGACCGAGCTCAAAGGATGCCCTGATCTCCACCAATAATTTGGGTGACGCATCCGGTGATCTACACACCAAGTACCAGCACTCAATCGTGTCTGGAAGTCTCCGTGGAATGCTTTACAGGGTCACGGTTTTGCCCCACGCTACTGATTTATCGGATGATGGGACTCCGAGGGCTGATTTCCTGCGTCTCCAGCCCGTAGCGATAGACACGTAAATGCCTGCGGGAATGCGGAAGGAGGGACGTAGAGATTTTTTCCGCTAATGACTGCAGATAGAGCGTGAAGTCGCGAAACGAATTGCAAGGTGACATAGAGTGACCCACCTTCAAGTCTGATAGATTGGCCTTTCAAGCTACTGGCCATGATGACGCGATGAAGTAAACGACAATGGACACAGAGGATTGGGGATGGGCTGAGTGGTGGGCGGAATACTAATGAGTGGTGGCGCAAGACGGGAGTATGTATATAGGGGATGCGGATGACAAGCGGATGAAGTTCAGGTGAATGGGAGAGGACAAGGGGATGCTGCACGTGTATTTCCATGATGTCGGTGACGACAGTCGCTGGACCGGGTTGCACTAAACGCGGAGACTAAAAGATGCAACTAACGGCGGCGGGAGACCCATTGCTAAAGGGGTGTGCAATAATGCCGTAGTAGTCAGTCATCAGCGAAAGTGGACCTCTGAGACTCGTATATCTGCTCTAGGCGCGCCTTATGACACTGACCCAGCCTTGTGACTCCTTTCGGGACTTGGATCACCCATACTAATCATGAGTACACGTAGAATTAATGGTGAGATGAGAGAGCATCATGACTCATGTAGGAGATAACGGAATGAGTGACGAGGATGCAAGCGCGTACATTGAATGCAACTTAGAGCGACAGGGAATATGAAGAAGGTTGAGGTGCAATATTAATGCGTTGTTCAAAGGATGGAGTTTCGGAAATCAATTCGAGGGAGGGCTGGTGTTGGCAGGAACGAATGCAGTACTTAGGTCTTGCCATTTTGAGCGAGGTGCCCCCTTCACCACTTCCATAACATGGGCAAGAAACAGCCGGGGTCAGCTGAGAAGAAGCCTGCAGACAAGAAAGGTGGAAACACCAAGAACGCCGACAAAAGCGACCAATCCGAGGGCAAAGTAAGCTCCAACAGTCCCTTCTCATGAAAACCGCACCTCGAACGGTGTCCAGGGAAAAGGTGGTTTGAAAGCTGCAACTGCAGTCAACGTCCGCCATATTCTATGCGAGAAACACTCCAAGGCGACTGAGGCACTGCAAAAGATCCAGGTCGAGCTGCATGTTCCTCTCTGAAGGTGCATGTGTCCTGATGAGCGGTTGCAGGAGGGTCAGCGCTTCGACAAGGTAGCACAGGAATACTCAGAGGACAAAGCCAAAGGTGAGTTCAATCACCGGATATGGACTTGGTGGAATGTCAAATTCTCGTCCCAGCTGGTGGCAGTCTTGGGTGGATGGTGCGGGGGTCCATGGTTGTAAGTCATTTCAGTCCTTGACCGATGCCCGAAACCTATCTGAGACTCCGTTATAAAGGGTGCATTCCAAGATGCCGCATTCGCCCTTACCCCGTCGACTGTCGACAAGCCCGTTTTATCGTCTTTGGTCAAGACGAATTTCGGATACCACATCATCATGGTAGAGGGCCGTCGATGACTTTTGTACCTTCCGTCTACCAAGTACCCGTTTGCTCGAGTTTACAATTAGTGATCTACTACAACTACCGTACGTGGGTGAGATACAAGCTACGGATATACGGATCAGAAATAACACCTGAAACGGGGGCAGCATAACTACTGAATCAGATAGTTAAACAGTGTCGAAGCCCCAGCAGGAACAGATGCCAACTCATCCATGTGACTCCTATAAGAACTGCTGACTTGCACTGCAGTCTATGACAGACAAACTAAGCCGCGCCACAGCCTGCCACCAGATCACCATGGACCTTGTGAGGCATGGAGGCAGCGATGTGGGGCACATTATCACCATGTTGAGATAGAAGCCCAAGAAACAAACCTGGGCTGAGATCAGCAAGCCGATTTCAGAGGCTGTGTGGGAGGGGTCTAACTTTTGTCCTCTTTGGACCACGGTATCGGCACTGAAGACGACTTGCGATCATCGGGAAGTTCTGGAGCGGGGGTGGCTTCCTCTGACGGAGTGGGGGCTGCGCGTGCTCTTGGCTTCCGGGGTCTCCTGCTTGGCTTTGGGAGAGCCTCAGCGTCTGGTTCCTGATCGCATCAAAACATATATATCAACAAAAGGGCGGGGAGTAGCGTGACCGGAACGTACAGTAGGTTCAACTTCTTCTTGAGCAAGACCCGACGAACGCGCAACCGTAGAGCGCCGCCGGCGCTTCTGCTCATCCACTTCAGGATCTGGCGTTGTCCCAGAAGACGTCGGGGTTTGGTCAGGCTGGACAGTGCCTCTGCGGGAGTGATTTCTCCTGGATTCACCATTGGTGCGCAGTATAGCTGCCCTTCTGCGCTTGCTGGGGACAGCCAAAGAGGTGGGGTGGGCGGCTAGTACCTCATCGTCATGACGGCGGATATCCGCAAGCAGCGCGTTGCCTTTCTGCTTGTTCGCTCCCCTGCCATTCCTCCGCCGTCGACCTGCACCGTACTGTGCAATAGCCTTGCGGAAGTCGATGTGCGGCTTGTGCAGGTAATAATACGTGACGCACTGAGCGGCAGTCTTATTGGGCAGATGTTGGGAAATAAGCCCGAATTGTTTCGGATGGGCCGCATATTTCTCCTTGAAGACAAGGCGCTCCTCTTCCGTCCACAGGTCAAGAGCCGAAGATGAGCTGTAGAATTCCGCAGGTTCGTCCACGATATTGTTCGTATCGTCATAATAGTATGGCCCACAGCCATCGGTGACAGAAACCATATCCGGTATCTTTGCGACGTTCTTGATCGCCAAGTAACTTGGATCCGTCAGCTCCTCCATCCCAAGATTCGCAATGATCTGCTCCATCTCAAGATCAGAGCGAACAGCATCGCCCAAAACAGCAGCTGATCGTCTGGTTGACCTGCCGCCCGCAGAAGGTAGCATAGATTCCTCAAGTAGACCGCCTTTCGACACGTTGTCGAGCCGGGCACATTGTGCTATCCATTGCTGATGTAGCTCAAGATATTCTTCTCTCAGCTTCTGTTGTTTTTCCTGAAGGGCAGTTTCTCGCTCCAGGAAGTGTGCTGATAAGGACGTTCTGATGGACTGAGAATGTGAAGCCAGACTGCCCTGACGACGCTGATCAGTTGCAAATTCCTGAAACAGCTTGTCTTGCGTGTCAGTTGGTGAAGGGAGAGAAGGCTCGCGAATCGCCCGATTGGCCCTAAGAACAGGAACGACACGCTCATCGCGTGTCTGACGATCACATTGAAGCCTCGTTAGGACTACAAAACGGAGGGCTTTTGTGGTCGACTCTGCAAAAGATGAACGACCATAAAACCACGTGGCGGGCTGTTCTACGTCAAGTGCAGGAGTCAAAAGCTGCTCTCCTGCCTCGACATGTGATGGACTGCTGATCGTTTCGGTGACAACGACTTGCGGAGCGGACTTCAGCAAGGGAGTATCTCCTATTAATGTTCGCGGAGAGTCGACATCAATATCTTTCTCCTGCGTTCTTGATGCCGGTGAAGTAGCCACGGTCACGGACGTTGGTGAATCATCAACGACCACCCCCAAAGATTTCAAAGCAGGAATGGGCACAGCCGGATTGATGGGCTGGGTATGCACTTCATCGAGAAGAGGGGAGGTTTGCGTTTCAGTCCCTGTTCGAGCTGAATCTCCCAAGAAGGCGAATTCTACGTCACTAGGAAGAGCATGAGATGATATAAGTCCAGGAGGAGACATCTCAATATCTAAAATTTGGTATACATCTTCAGGGTTATCGACAAGTAAAATAGATGATCGCACCTTCTCCCGACAATAGACTTGGAGGGGAACGCGGGAAGTTCAGCGGACCATTGAGCTCACCATTCATCACAGGATGGACCGATTTGGCATCCACGTGCAGCAACTCGTGGAGTAGAGGCTCAGGGTGCGTGGAACCTTTTCCAGAAAACAAGTTTGGTGCAGCGTAAGAATTCGATGTAGAACCAAGTCGATCAGGATCTCGCGACAACACATCCGTCAATACTTGGGGAATTGTGTTCTCTCGATTTGATCTCGGTGACACGATGTCCTTATGATTACGCACGGAGACGGCAGATTTATCAGCTCGAGACGAAGCAGATGATCGGGATGAAGATCTTGACTTTAATCTTTTAAGCGGTGGTTCTGAGGATATTGAGGAAGCTCTAGATCGTGCTACGGAGTGGGCGGGTGATGCACGTCTACCCAATGGCGAGCGTCTGCGGGAGTCGTGGTCGGTGAGACGAGGGTCTGGGGGAGGAGAGTTAACGGCATGGCGAGGCGGTGTGCTAGCTATTGAGGTTGAAGACCTTGTGTCATCGTGATCATAATGACTAGATGGTCGACGCGGATGGTAAATATCTGGCGACCGCCGAGTAATATCGTCATATTGTGGCCTGTACGAATCTGACCGAACGAATACGTGTGGTTCTCGACTACCACCACCACCACCACCAGCAGAGTAAGGACGATATGTATCACCATGAACAGGAGGATACGATGGTGACTTCTGGGGGGAATAATCACGTGCAGGACGGGCACGGTAATCTGCAAACCTTGGACTTGGGGGTTCCAACCTAAATACGATGGTAAGAGAAAATACCAAGTGAGACGAAGATGGACAAACGCTTCGTATCGGCCGGATCGATCGACGTGTGATTGCTTCCAGGAGTCTGATGGCTCAAACATTCGTTCTGCCATGGTATCTCTGCGAGGTTTCTCCCGTATTGGTGGTGGACTCGGAGATGATCTTCGATCTTGCCAAGACGACTGCCAGCGGGGACCGGAATCCCAGAAGCGCGGTTCTGTCGGACGAGACCGGTCATAACGATCTGGGGATGGACTGCAGCTGTTATAGCGTTCTGGTCTCCATGCACCGGGCCTGTAGATATTCGGATGATCATCACTACGATAACTAGGTCCCCCACGGGGGGCATAACTATCGTATGGGGCGTATCTCCTTGAAGATGGGCCAGGAGACGGGGACCTTCGACGTGCAGTAGAATAAGGTGACTAAGAAATAGGGTATTTGAACAACCCGAGAATGTAGGACTCTCACGAGAACTTACGTCGTACGCAGATGAGAAACTGCCACCTAGAGAGCGCCGTAGGTCATGTGCAGACGAAGGACTAGCAAAGGTAGATGTTTCGTAGCTTGCAGAAGTCATGCTTGAGAGGTTTGCGACCTCCAATATGCTGCAGCACTTGTCACAGGTAGGAAGGATGAGAGGTCGGTTCGAAAATCAGCCTAGCGCGTCGTGCTATTGCAAAACTTTGTAGAGCTATTTGAAAGCAAGTCAATGTCAGTTATCGAACATGAATGTTGAACTTTAATGCAGTTGCGAGCGAAGACGCTCAGGTCGAAGTAAACGCTTGAGGTAGATGAGTGATCTCTAGAAAGAAGGGATTGAAACTCCGACCCCCCATCTGCGGGTCGATGCTTGTTATTGCAAGTATTACTGGGCGACTGCTGAACTCTACTGTGATGAACTCTGCTGCATTCGCAAGTTCTGGCTTCAAGGATCCTCGAAAACTTAGCTTCGAACGAGATTGGATCCGCAGAGCAGTCCTGGCCTCATACTGGGCAGTCATTATTCTCGCTTTCCCATTCTGGTGGCACTTGACGAGTATCGAGAGACTTGCACTTCCAACTAGTCAAGTACGATCCCAAGTCCAGAATAACATCGTCTTCCCTGTCGTTGTTCATTTTGATGCGTCGATCAACCATCAAAATCCCAGCCTAATCTCTCAAGTCCGAACATTACTTCATAATTTTGCCACGAATGAACCTGGAAGGTGGAGAGGCGTCGACCTACATCTACAAGACAAAAATGATGAAGGTGTGTGCGCTCGCAAAAATTGTGTCAGTGGACAGGACATCTTGACGTGTTACTGTAGTTAGCAATAATGCATCTAGCCCATATACAGTTTCTCTTGGTGAACAGACCTCAATTGCCCATTCAAGACGCTTGCGGGTGAGCAAGACTGAGGCGCAGTCAGGTGAGTCAAGTAAAGTGCAGTATTTTGAAACGCATTCGAGCGCTCTCATGCCAGCATCAAGATTAAGCTCTATATTGTCCGACCTCATCGCTCCCCCAGAGTCGAGCACTTCACATTCGCAGCGCGTCGTTCAATACTCAGATCACTACCGTCTCTCTTTTACACTGCTGAACGAAGACGCAACCCCTAATCGATTTGTTGAGACATGGGACGTACAAGCTGCTTTCGCGGGTAATTCACATAGCCCCTGTATCTCGAGACCAACTCTAAAGACACTTTATCAGAATTCATATTTCCACTCATGTCCCGACTCTCTGCTTTGCACAATTTCACAGTTGAAAGCCAAGTCCAGTATCATGCTCCATTAGCCTTTGAGCCAAAACGCCTCGCCCTTGGTGACACTGAAGCATCAGGGCTGACTCAAGAAGACTTAACAGTATTCATCAACTCTGCTGAATGGACACTCTGTCAGTACTGCGTTGTGCTTAACAGTTTAACACCTGACCAGCTATCGTAGCATCCAGCGTCTCAAATGATCCTGTTCTCCACTTTGTTCTATTCGTTCCTTCAGAGATCCACTCACCCTTGAAGATTATTGACAATGAAGGTTAATGTGACGTATATCTACTTGTAGTCGTGTCTAACTTATCGATAGGCCGTCCGACAAATCAGAGCTCCTTCCTTCTGCCACAATGGGGAAGCATTTTCGTCCTCGACGATGAACTCGATTCCTCGTCGTTGCATCTTTCATATAACGATCTAAAACCAGTTTTCCGTAATTTTGCCACCCAGCTCGCTGCTCTTTTAGGCGTTCCACCCGTTCCTCTCGGCTTGGGCGTGGGAGAAAGCACCATTCTATCTGACTGGCAGTTAGATGCCCTGCTCCGGCGTCGTGCATTACAGAACGTGCAAGGCAGTCAGGACACATTACACAGCATTGTGAAGCTCGTGGATCAGATCAATAACATGCCTGTTGGGCAAGTGGTACGAGACGATGTCCTGGATGCCCTTGAATCGCTCCATGAGGTGCGTTCTGCATTTAATGTCCTATTAATGAAGACTGCTCAAAAAATGCAGGCCTATCGCACCGCCGCGACCTCGCCGGCGCTTGCTCTGCGGTGGTCCAGTAAGGCATTATCTGTGGCGTCGCGCGCTTTCTTTAATCCTGGGATGCTGGCATTGCTGTATTTTCCTGCCGAGCACAAGTATGCAGTGTACACGCCACTATTCGCATCTATATCGGTGCCTCTTGTAGCGGCCTTAATTCGAGATTTTATGGCATGGAAACGGGGCTCACAGGATGGTGGAAGGCGATGAGGGTGCTGATTACGCCTTTTGTGCGATAGCTTGTTCGTCCGCTAGGCTTTTGCCTACGCTAGAAAATAATGTAGTATAATCCTACGGCGGTGTATGGTAGCCGTCAGTGGTATAGAATATATAGATTACAAACACACGAAGTATAACTCGAACTACAGGCAACACTGCAGTCACTGAGTACTGAGTAGCGGTGATTGAGCGACGTTGTCCATGCTCAAAAAAATCGAGCGCAGTGTCCCCTTTGGTAGCGCGGAGATGTGTACATGACAGATATTTCCCGTCGCAGGAGGCTCGACGGCATCCCCTTGGTTCCCCTCTCTAAATACGAAAGTAGAATTGCTATTTTGCGGGTACTCCACTCATGCTACGTGATGATGACAGGGGCTCGCGTGGCGATTTGGGTAATGAGTGCTGGGACTCTGTTAAGTTCTCCGTGTGCTGCTCTCTTACCGCGTTCGCCAGCTGCTTCATTGCCCCGGGATGCCGGAATGCCCAGGAAAGTGAGTTTGCGCATGCAGCGAATTCTGTTCATAGCCCCCCCAGGCCTAAGACCAGCCTCGCCTTCCTCTGAATAGAGGCAGTTCCACTTCCAGAATTCAAGGCTTCAAACTTCAGCTCCCTTCTGATCGTACACTGCGTCATACTGGTCATTCCCTAAGTACCAAGTACTTGTGATACTTATTATTATTAATATTACTCCCTTTGAAGTCACGTGGAAGTAATAATACTCGACAGCACACTTCGATAGTCATTTCCACCAACGCCAGCCCCGACAAGCTAAGGTATCAAAGACAAGGTCTTATACTATTGATATGAGCTCAACGAAACTCAATTCTGAGGGTCTATTGTTATTCGAGCAACCTTTTGCACGGGTACGCAGCGACACCTACTAGTTCTCCATGACCTCACTACAATCCCACGTCGCCAGGTCCCTTATGAAAACTATCGGAAGGTATTCCGTGCAACACAACGGAACATAGAGCGCGAGCTCGGAAATGTCCAGACTTCCTCGAATGACTTACTAAAACGATCCAAGAGCCGCGAGGTCAACCTCGAGGAAGCCGCCAAGAGTGTAGATGGGATGATAGGTCGGGTGGAGAACCTCAAGCGCAAGGTACGCGGAATTATTTGCTAGCACAGATCTCATTTTACATCAGTGGGATTATCCACAGCTTTCTGAACTGCAGGATACCGCTGGAAAACCTACCCTTGATGTCACTCGGGAGAGGCTGCAGCATATCACGGCGGTAGAGACCCTGCAAACCACCAATAGCCTCGATTTTTCGCGGTGGGCAGACACGCGGCTTGACAGATGGCTTGTTGACTGGGCCCTTCGGTCTGGACGGGAAAATACGGCACGAAAGCTGGCACAAGACAGGAACATAGAGGTTTGTAGTTCCGCAAAGTGTTCATTCATATCAACTCATGGCACATACCGCTTAAACTAGACCCTTGTGGACATTGATCTGTTCACAGATATCCGAAGAATTGAATTCGCACTTTCCCAGCACAGTTGCACTGAAGCACTGGCATGGTGTAGCGAGAACAAGACGGCGTTGCGGAAAATTAAGGTGAGACTGAATGCTGCGAGAGAATCATTTCTATGAAGACATTTTCATTCTTCCGCAGAGCACACTTGAATTTGAACTTCGCTTACAAGAGTACATCGAGTTGGCGCGTGTTCAGAAGAAGCAGGAGGCCATGGCTTACTCGAGAAAGCATCTCGTGTCATGGCAAGAAACACATATCAACCAGATTATGCAGGCTGCCACGCTACTTGCAATAAAACCTTCTACGATGTGTGGTCCGTACCGCGTAAGATCACGTTTCTCCACCCGCGTCTGCATCTCATCGGACCTTGCAGAGACTGTATGACAATTCCCGTTGGCTTAATCTTATCCAAGCATTTCGGCTTGCGATTTACAATCTCAACTCTTTACCCACTGAACCCCTTCTTAATCTTGCTCTCTATTCTGGTCTCGCTTCACTGAAGCTTCCTTCCTGCAATGACCAGCTATCCCACAATGTGGACTGCCCGGTATGCGACCCCAGTATAAACACACTGGCTGAAGAAGTTCCGTTCAGCCACCACGCCAACTCCACTATTGTTTGTCGAATTAGTGGTAATATCATGGACGAGGATAACATGCCCATGGCGTTTCCCAGTGGTCAGGTTTACTCCAGAGAGGTATGTCTTTCACTCTCGAAATTTGACCTTTCACCAACCTCTCTATGTGGACAACTCATACTCACATTCTTCCGTCAGGCGCTGGAAGATATGGCTGCCAAACACAATGGCATGGTCACTTGTCCACTGAGTGACCAGAAGTGCGAGTTCAGCGCACTCAAGAAAGTATTCATCTCCTAGCTATTTACTTCGAGGTGTGGAATGCCGGACTCGTCGCCTCAGCAGTTTACTTCAATTCTCACTGTAATGAACCTACGCCCATTTTTTCATCATCGTGTAATAACATTCACAAAGCATACAATGTATTTCCGACTCGACAAAGGACAGGAAGGTGTCTGTTAAGAATCTTTGTCCCTTTTGTCCCTGCCCCAGCCGGAATCGACTGTATTCGTGAGTGAGCACTTTTTGGTGAGTGGCAATTGAGTGGTCGTTCCCCTTCTTGCTGGTTGATCGTCGACAATTGCCCACGGCTGAACAAGGTTAAATATCTTCCGTCATGACATGTGTAATAAACAGGTACTGACAGTAACAAGTTTCTGCGACCTTACGGAGCGCTGGGGTGACGAGAAGGACTTGGACAACATCATGCGCGGTAAATTTATCTCGATGGATCCCTGCCGTATGTATGGTGAGTGTGGTACACGGAGTGTCGCAGAGGCTGAACGGTGAAGCTTGAAGAAACAGCCATCGTTTCCAAGGGATCCCATGGTGATCATGATGGATTCGAAATTCGGAGATGGCGTTGACGGTCACACCCGGCGAAGTATCAGGATTCAGTATCCAATAATGAGCAATAATGCTACAGCGTGTAGAGTGGCATTCGACTACCGAAGTTGAAACTTATATCGGTGCCATCCTTGGTTTTCTATGGATTGTTCACAAGCAAAATCTTTAAACGCCGTGAAGGATATAAATAAGTTGTTCTTTGTGCTCCACGTGCCATCAAATTTAATTTTGTGACTGGCGAGCATAAATCGGAGTTGAGTTGATTTCACATGTGTGCCTGACATTGTGTCTTGCAATTCGTTTGACTTGCTGCAGGCACCCCTCTGGAAAGCCTACACTGACTGTACTCTCAGTCTCGGTACTTGAAGTGGTGGCCATACCGTATGTCCGAGCTCAGGGCACGCAAGCGCGACCTCGGCGACCAGAATGGAACTGGACACCCACTTTTGCACACTGGGCCTGACAAGCAACGAATGACACTTTCGTGGCACGAAATACCAGAGTGGCAGAGGGATAACGAGTACATTTTAACGGGATACAGACGGTAAGACCGGGCACATCGGAGGTGCAAGTTTCCTTGCTACAAAGCGGATGACTGATTGCTGTGCTATTAGAGTCCAGAACTGCTGGCCAGGCTGCATTGCGTCTATCTACAGTTGTGAGGACATCCGAGTTGCCTAACGTTTTATGCCATTGATCGATATTGGTCCGAACAGATCCCCATAACGAAACTGGTAAGTTTCTTTTCTCTCATGTGGTAACCACGATTCACTGCAGTTTCCAGTCAATGTCCTCAGCCATTTGGCTGGCGCTGTGCTTTTCCTGTGGATTCTGGTGACATTTCGTCAGCAATATATCTTGGCGTATAGCGATACCACTTGGCTGGATACTTCCGTCTTCGCTGTATTTTTAATCTCTGCAGTGTTCTGCCTCACCGCAAGTGCTATGTTCCATACTGCCACTTGCCATTCGGCGCAGGTCAGCCCTGCTCAAAGCTGTGACTCTATCTGACCTTCTGTTGATCATGATTTGAAACCAATCACAGGTGTCGACCCAGTGTCATGCCCTGGATTATTCGGGGATCGTCAGTAAGTGAAGGCATACCACCTCTATCTCATTTCGATCAATTTTTCTGTAGTCCTCACCGTCGGATCTTTTGTACCATGCATCTACTACGGGTTTTACTGCGAATCAGCCTTGCAAGTCTGTTATCTATGCTTCATCGTTCTAGTGGGCGCAGGTCGGTGTTGTCCATTGATCTCGGTCCATTTGAAAGCCGCACGTCATTCACCAATACACGTTTTAAGGGGCGGCGTATATCGTTCTCAACCCTGAATATGCAAAACCAACACATCGAGGTGCACGTACCGGGGTTTTCATTGGTCTTGGATTGTCTGCTGTGGTACCGGTGGCTCATTTATTGGTATCGCATGGAACATCCAAGCTATTTTCCGAGATGGGTTTTGGATGGCTACTCACATCAGGCGGACTATACATCATGGGCGCGTTGATTTAGTGCGTAGTGCTTAATTTCCCGCCCTCCATACATTTGCCTGACGTCTGCATGATTCATCCCCGCGCAGCGCTAATCGCATACCGGAGCGCCTGGCTCCTGGGAGATTCGACTTGCTCTTCGCATCGCATCAGATATTTCACTTCTGTGTGGTCCTGGCCGCTCTGGCCCACTGGATGTGTGTATTGACTGCCTTCGATCATTGGCATTCTGGTTTGGACGGATGCAAATTGTGACATACTGGTGTTACGTCGCTGCATCATGGGGCGTTGCGCTGTGGTTGGGACAGCCTGGGAAAGATTTTGTCGGAACATGCCCCAGTGGCGGTCTTTGCCTGCACAGCAGACTCACGCTTCCGGCGGACTCATTAAGTGGCACGGAGACAAAGTCCACGTTGCAGGGTGTATCCGTAAGCCTAATGGAAGTTTGGTCATTGTTATTTCAATTGACAAGTTAAATGGTTTTGATTGTATGCCTTCGATGACCGTGCACTGGATGCGGGAGTCCTCGGGATGTGTTTTTACAAAGGTGACGACAGATAGAGTTCGTTGTGAATGGGGATCGGGACTCTAGTCCACCGGCGTCCGACGGATGATGACAAGTATATGCAAAGATGCTTGCCACACCAAGACCTCGAGGCTTGGCCGAGCTTTATTTTTTAGGTATTGAAGAGTGCTGCGATGCAGGGCCGGGTGCAGTATCTCTAGCGGCCAATGAAGGTTAAGGAAATACACTATAATGGACGTACAACGAAAAGTACGTTAGGTTACACTGCAGAGCGGAGTCGTCATCGTCCGACAAACCGCGCAGACGTACACACGCAAGGTTTGGCCACGAGACGATTACGTATTAACCGCATCCTGAGTGCGGAACCGAAGCCATTCTTCTCACTGTGCTATTCCAAGATCTCGTTGTCGATCGCGATCACCGAAAGGCACTCATGTGCATGGCGAAGCTGCATGTTGGCGTCTCGCATACAGGAGATGATCCAGGGACTTGAGGTGGCATATAAAGTCGCGCCATCACGCTCGGTTTCGTTGCCGTTCTCAAGTTTTATCTTCCGCGTCTGACAGCTTGTATCATGTATACGGTCGGCCTACAATCCGCTGCCGACGCTTTTCTTCTTTCCAGCCTGAAGGCCCAAGTGGCTCTCGCTTCACTTGTTCTTTTTATTCTTCTTGTCTTCGGTCTTGGCTCTCAAAAAGATGGTGCCGTTGACGGTGCCCCAGTATTTCTCCCCGGCTCTCATCTCCTCGCCATCGCCCCATTCTTCCGCCGACGCTTCGAGTTTCTGAACGATGGTTTCCGCAGAACTGGTCAAACTCTCTTCCAGTTCAACATGCTCCGAGTAAGCATTATGATCGCGAATCTTTCTCCAGTGACGTTCATCATGATAACCACAGGAGACTGTCATCGTTGTTTCTGGAGAGTCAGCCCGGAAATCGTTCTTCGCCAACAAGCACTTCGACCTCACTGAAGGCTTCAAAATGCTTTCCGGAGCTGTCAGTACCTCCTTTTGCAACTGATTACCTGTGCGCCATTCCTGACGCCATTTAGATCCCAGTCGTTAAAGGGGTGACCTCCAATCTTCAAACCAAGCGCATCGCACAAATTCATAAACGTCTCTCCTCCGTCCAGCGAAATGAGCACCTTAGTCGACGTATGTCGTATTAATCTATTCATTTATTTCTATTCCGTTCTCATTTTATGATCATCACTAGTCATTCCCCCCATCTTGGAGGATTGCCGAAGGGTAATGGAAACGTGGGGGCCATCAGGAACATTTGACCCATTTACAAAAATTTACGAAGTTGGTTTTTGGATTTGTTAGGCTCGTTCGACTCCTGACCATGTACACTACAGCTTTTATTCCAAACCACTGTGCGATCGCTCTCCTGTGAGGAGTTAGCGGATGATCCTGCCCAAGTTGCGCATCTCAAGGAACTCTACGACACCTTGGACAGTGGAACAACGCCCGCGACTGTCTTACTCCCATGGCTACCCGGGCCCAGCATGCTTAAGAAGCTGTGGGCCACCAAAAAAATCTACGACATTCTTGTCCGAGCCATTGATGAACGGGAGCGTAGTGGAACATCTAAACCCGACACCCTGCAGATGCTCCTCGACGAACAAGACGAAAGGCTTGTCATTGTTGGTGTAAGTCTTTCCGTCGAGCTTGGCATTCCAACCTCTGACGTTTTAACAGTTCATTTTGGGTCTGCTGGTCGCTGGCGCGAGAGCGACTGGGACAACAGCTTCGTGGCTCATCACCTACCTTGGTGACCATGAGTCGAAGGATGAAGTAATCATCGAAGTGGAACAACTCCTGGCCAACTACGCTTCTTCGACCGTCTCCCACTCATTGTCCCAACAACTCTCGTCCATTCCACTTGAGGCTTGGGAATCCGAGACACCCGTTCTTGATTCTCTCATTCGCGAGACCCTCAGGATTGCGCAGCCACATACTGCTATGCGCCGCAATCTTGGACCTGACGTGACGATTGACGGAAAGACTATCCCATCAGGGGCATATGTAGTATATCCTTTCTCGGACGTCCATCTGAATCCGGAGCTCTACCCTGATCCGTGGAAGTTTGATCCTAACCGTGAGGAGACGACGGTTCCGTTCGGTTACGTGGGATGGGGGGGAGGTAAGCCACGTTGTGTTTCGCGTGCCTGTTGGCAAACCTAATTTCCGGTAACAGGCAAAACGCACTGTCTTGGCCAGCGCTTAGCCCGACTTGAGCTCAAGCTTGTCACTTCTATGATGCTACTAGGCTTCCGGTACTCCCTTGTCAACAAGAAAGGCGAGCAACTCGACGCACCCCCCCTACCCAACTGGAACGATATCCTACTCTGCAGACCGGAACAAGGTTCGTGTTACCTCAAACACGAGAGATCCGTGCTTTCATTGTGACGCAAGCTGGACTTGACTTATTGGATAATGCTTCTTACCCTGCAATAAACTTTGGATCGTCTTCATCCTTTTTCGAACTTCATTACACACAGGCTCGTCACAAACCCATTGGACACATCATTTATTTTACCTTATACTTCATTTCAAAACTGGACCGGTTCCGAAACTATGCCCAGAACGTACCTCGCTACCCGTCGTCGCTCCCTTCCCCGACCTCTCGTTTGCTAGATATCTAGGACGTACATATTAATCTAGGTTAGATAGAAGTAATATGCCTGTATGACAATTCCCATGTAGCGCTACGTGACGATGCCTCCTGTTTGTAAAGTTTGAGCTATATACATCGGACCTTTTGCATGGCCCTCCGATCGTTTGTGATGAACGAGGCGTCTACATGAGCAATGCCAATCCGTCGATCCCAGTCATTTTGTCAACCAAAGTATAACCTGTCCTTCGAATTAATCCCTTTAGGCTGCTCTTCTCTCCGATTAGGTTTCTCTTGCTTCGCATCCTCGGAAAACAGCTCCATGTTCTGTTTCTTCTCTTCAAGTCTACTTTGCATCTTCCGTTCCTCTCTCGACCGTCGCTCCCGGTCTGTAAATCTCGCTCGTTGCTCCCTCGACGGCTCCCACTTGCTGCGTAAGATGCGGCGGACAGCCTCAGGGCTAATCTTGAACTTCTCTGCAAGCACCGGCGTCGAAAATGTACGCCTGTCATAGATATGCATGGCACGGAGACCATCCATGGCTTCACGAGATAATTTACGTGGAGGAGACCACCCCTGAGGAAAAGCCTCTTTGATGGCGAGACGGTGGCGCTTCCACTCCTCTGGTGTGTCTTCCACCGGCGCGCGTTTCCGTCGCCTCGGGGGTGGTTCATCTTCGCTCAAGTCTAAGGTTTCGCCCTCTGCATCTTCTGCTAAGGATAGAGGCGTAGGGTGTCCAGCCAGTCTCCAATCCCTTTTCTTTGGCTCATTGGTAATGGAGTAGTATCTATAGAGAGAGATTTTGTGAAGCAAAGAATGCGAATGGCACTGTGAAGGTGTACGAAGTAGTGACGTTAACTGAGGATAGTTAAACCTCATTGTAAACTGGATGGCCCGCATGATTACCTGAACTGCACAGTGCAAATGTACAAGGTTGTGCAAACTTCAGTCATGCCGAGAAATTTCGTGTATGATCTTGTCACGGTAATTGCCGAGCAGTTTCGTGAGTGCTTCGACTTTCAAGCATCTCCTACGAAGGAAGCTATTGTCTTCAGTTCCCAGCTTATCGTATTGACCTATTCTCTTCCCCTTCTTCCTTGTACAAAGCGATTTATCCCGCCTGATTATACCCGATGGCCGACCTTTCCGATCCTAAAATCGATGAAGGTTAGTCTGCGAAGTTACAACGCATCGCTTAGTGAAATTGGGTTAACCAGCAGCGTGGTGCTGATTCTTACAGCTTACCTGGATGTTCGTTCCGACAAGTCCGAGACTAACTGGCTTTTGCTAGACTATGAGGTCGGGATTTATGTTTCCAAACGGGTCTGGTTACCTTGATGCGTCTAGGTCCTTGTCAAACGACGATCACACGCTTAGTCTGACCGCTCTGACAAGCTAACAGTCACACAGACCGGAACGGGTGGCCTGGAAGAGTTACGCGATGCACTTGGCGATTCCAAAGCGTCTTACGCATACGTTCGCGTCAGCTTCTCCAATGATAAAGAATCTCAACGGGAGAAATTCATTCTAGTGGTGTGGATCGGTCCTGGGTGCAAAGTGATGCGAAAGGCTAAGGTCAGTTCTTAGTCTGTTTCTTTACGTGGGTTGCGGCGTATAGGCAATATCTTTCTTTTTCAAAACACGCGCGGTGGCGATAGCCTGCGCTTGCACTGCCTTGCAGTGGTGGATTGATGACAATAATGATGTAGTATTTAGTCTGACACGACTCTTTGTTGTATTGTCTCGCAGATCTCCGTCCATGCAGCCGATGTCAAACAGGTGTTGCGTGTCTACTCCATCGAAGTTGCCGCTCGGGAAAGGGACGATTTAAAGGAGGATCCGATTGTGGTGAGGCTGCGGAAGGTGAGCGGTCTAATAAAATATAGAGCGGGAGATATCCGTCGGCCTCATATATTAATCTTGTCAGGCCGGTGGGGCTAGTTACGACGGGGTGTAGCTTACATCACGCAAAGTCGTGCTCTCAATTTCCTGGCCTTACGCTCGTGCGCCTGTGCCGTCGGATTTCTATCATTCATTTACCACTTGTATTGGATCAACTGTGCTCGAGATCGAATAGTCTTTTCGTCAATTCGTGCGTCATACAAAGACACCCTGACATCGCATTGCGCAACGGTGCCTATACCATTGCTTGGCATGGATACAGAAGACCCTGTTACATGTCATTCACGCCGTGTGGACGGCGAGCTTCTTCAGGTTCTCGATCCCCTGTTCCTCGAGCCGCATACCCAACCATTCCTCCATCGCTTTGGCCTCCAAGGTTTTTTCATAAAATGAGATCGATGGAGTGTTCCACTGGATGACATATGACACAAAAGTACCAAAACATTAATCCGGCGGAACAACGAAGGTCATGATTGGCCAAAAGTTGCTTACCTTGAGTACGGACCAATCAAGGCGTGCGCAGTCCTTGTGGCCGGAGGCTGCATCAGCAAGGTCCTCGGAAAGAAGTATGTGATGTTACCTTCTCCTGAGCTACCTTGCCCAGCTCCGCGAAAAGGGCTTTGCCAACACCCTTATTTCTTGCATCCGGGGATACAAACAAGTCCTCAAGCTGTACGTGAAGTATTAATAAATAGACAGCGACGCGGTGTGGCTTGGGTGAATCAAATTTGGACGTACGTAGAGGCCAGGCTTGCCTGTCCATGTTGAGAAATTAAAGAAATATAGTGCCATGCCTAATGCAACTCCGGGTGCCTCGGGCGTTCCATCGAACGCGAGGAGGGTGTGTGCATATTGTTTTTCGAAAATGTTTTCTCGAAACTGCGGGGGCATGTGAGTATGACTCCGCGATGTCTCGAAGGACCCCCACCAGAGCAGGGGTAGCCCTTGCGGACTCGGGTTCTTTTTCATAAGTCGCCTAGATAAATAGTGAAAAGTTGCAGTGCATGAAGATCTTTGAGGCGAGGCGATTACCTACAAGATCTTGAACCAACTTGAGAATGGCGTCCTGAATCATTAATCTTATCAGCTCTGTAACCACGCAAGTTTGCGATCATCAAGGATGCTCACCACGTCGTCTACGGTGGCCGGACGAATATGAAATATAAGGGTCATTTCTGGGTATCTGTTCCTTCCAACTGTTTTCCGACGGACTTGATGTTAAGTCCAAGGATGAGTGATACGTAGTTGATCGATTATCTGGTGAAGGACTAAACGCGTGTCAGGGTGAAAGATTTAGCTTGATCGCCATGCTCAAATACGTCGAGGTTTGTGGTACAAAATTCAGGGCCGCGGTACTGGCGTTTGTGTACACATATTTGTCCATAAACCTTAGTCTGCAACTTTTCACCGTCGCATCACCAAGGGTATCGTGATCCCTCGCCGCAAAACATTATGGATCCAGCAAAATTGGCCAAACTCCAGGCGCAGGCTTCAGCCAACAGGATCGGTCAGTGTTTTCCATCAAACCGCGGAATTCGTAGCTTCCATTATCTCCCTTCCTTCACATACATGTACTCAAGGCTGACATGATGACGCGTTCCAGGCGGCAAAGGGACCATGCGCCGGAAAATTGTTCGCAAAACCAAGCCCTCTGCCGCACAAGATGACAAAAAACTTCAAGGCGCCCTCAAGAAACTCAATGTGCAGCCTATTCCTGGTGTAGAGGAGGTTAATATGTTCAGGGAAGATGGAAACGTGCTGCATTTCACTGCCCCAAAAGGTACGTACGAATTTCTACGTCGCTTGCGAGTAGATAAGCTCGCGTTCGGCGCTCCGTCAGATAAGATTCGTGTTAATTTTTCTCCTTGCCTTGTGTAGTACATGCCGCGGTCTCCGCCAACACGTTTGCGATCTATGGAACAGGTCACGTCAAGGAGCTGACTGAGCTCGTCCCTGGAATCTTGAACCAACTTGGCCCTGATTCGCTGGCATCGCTCCGCAAACTTGCGGAATCATACCAGGCCATTCAGCAGGGTCAGCAGAGGCCACCTAACGCTGGTGCTGCTGAAGATGATGATGATGACGTGCCTGATCTCGTCGAGAACTTTGATGTTGAGGGTGAACAGGCTGCCGCCGAGGAGAAGAAAGACACCCTCGAGGACGTAAACTGAGTGCGCAGGCTGCGTGGTGTAGGTGGCGTGGAGGGGAGTATTTGTCATATCGGTGTCGAGAGTTGATTCAATGGGCAGTGGGGAGTTGGAATAAAATGACGGACAAGTATCCGGGTAACTACTAGCTTCTCTGCCTTACCATAAGTTTCCGTTCACGCATTGTATCGACAAGACCTTCAACTGATCTTACCCCATGCGTCGCTCTTTTTATGTCTTCACCTCATCTTGTTCTCTGTAGTTCCTATCCTCTCATGTGATCGCACAATACTGCATGCTGGCATTGTAAACCGGTATGGTTCTGTGACAGACATGGTTCGCAAAAGAGGTTAGACGTACATGCTTTTGGGACGTATTGTCACGCGTCCACGTCAGCCACCGCATTCGCAAACATTCTACAATAAATAAAGGCATCCGATTTACATACGTGCCTTTGACAGCGGTTGTGGTGATGATCATTATAATCGACGGCTACCGTCAAGCCTGGGAGGTCAAATATTCTCTGGAAGCAGCAGTGTAGACTGCTGATTTTACCCATCGCTAAAAATGAGGATTCAAGTCAATTATATTGAGGAAGACTCCCGTTCGTGACTGCTGACCTGGTTCGTACTAGTGCCCGGTCCTTGGACTGCCTTAGCTGAGTCCTGCTGAGTCGTATATACAGCGCTTGGCTAGCCATACCGCTACCAAGGCACAATACGCCCCGTGAACTGTAAAGTGCGTGCTGTAGAGAAAGTCCGGGATGTATGTTTTGGAAGACTTGGCAGGTTGGTTCGGACCGACGGACCGACAAGACATGAGCCTTTGGCGCAACATGCCACTTCAGGTTGCTGCCAGCAGTCAACCCCAGTGCCGAAGTATTGACGAATTTTCTAATTCTTGTCTTGTGATGTTTCCCTGCATGTGTCTATGCGTCACCTGGTCATCCGAGCGCAACACTCGTACCGGGAGAACATCTCAGCCCCACCCACAAGGCCCCATAAATACAAGCAGAGTGAGAGTACGCTGGCGCATCTTCCGCTGCTTCTCTCGCTCAAACCAAAGTCAACAACACTAACTCTCTTACGATGACCACCAGAATCACACATTTCGAAACGCATGGTGAGTTTCTTTGCTCACCCTGTGCGCGGGTTATCGCTGACCATCTTCTTTGCTGTGAATGTAGATATTCGATTTCCCACATCCTTGACGGGTGATGGCACTGATGCGATGTGAGCCGATCAGTCTGTGTTCGATTCCAGAGGTTCTTCTACATCGCACGTGCCTCAGGAATACAGATTGCGATTATAGTTCAGCATATGTTACCCTATACACCGATAGCGGACTTGTTGGTCATGGAATGACGTTTACGATTGGTCGTGGTACTGATATTGTGAGTGGAAAAGATTCGGCGTTTTGACATGTACATCCATCTTCGCCGCAAATTCCTGTACTAGACATCTGATTTATCATTGCATTGTTTCTATTTTTTTCTTACCTGTTGAAAATATGTTGCTGATCATCGCCTGCTTCCCGCGATAGGTGTGCCATGCCATCCGAGAAGTTGCTGGACGCTTGATCGGACGGGATCCCGAGAGCCTTTTTGAGAATATGGGCAAAGCTTGGGATTGGATGTGCTCCGACTCTCAGCTGCGGTGGTGAGTGTTTGAACCTTGTCTGCTAAATCGATGCTAGACTTTCACGTATCGTTTGCTGGTCGCTTCTCACTGAATTATTTTATGTTACCTTGGTATCTGTGGTCTGACTTTGAATCTGTTTTCAAGGATCGGTCCAGAAAAGGGCGTGATTCACCTTGCAACAGCTGCAGTGAATAACGCCTTGTGGGACATGTTTGCTCGTACAAGAGGCAAACCCCTCTGGAAATTGATTGTCGATATGACTCCTGTTTGTGACATTTATTTCGCACTTGTTGTTTTGAGGTTCACTACGAACATCTACGCAGGAGGAACTTGTAAACGCGACTGCGTTCCGTTATATCACAGACGTGCTGACGCGCGAAGAAGCACTCGCAATGCTCAAGGCCAAAGAGGCTGGAAAGCGTGAACGGGAAGCTCTTGTTACTGAAGTCGGGTAAGGTTTTGTCGACGTACATCTGAAACATCCACGTCTTACAATGTCCCTACAGATACCCAGCATATATCACATCAGCGGGCTGGCTTGGTGAGGAGGACCCTATTTATGCTGCTGACTTTCCTGAATCTGAATCGCCCCTGCAGGATATTCAGATGAGAAAGTGTCTCGTCTCACTAAGGAGGCCCTCGCAAGCGGGTTCAACCACTTCAAGATGAAAGTAGGAGCTGACTTAAAGGATGACTTGCGCAGAGGCAAGATGATCCGTTCGATTATCGACGACCCCGCAAATTATCCGTCTGGATTCAAGGATCCTTCAAGCCCAGAACTGACTGGGAAGAACGCGGGTCCGACGGGTGCTGTGTTGATGATTGACGCCAACCAAGTTTGGGATGTTCCACAGGCAATTGAGTATGTGGCAGGATTAGCGGAAATCAAGCCTTGGTCTGTATTTTTCATTTGATATTCCAGTGATCAGAATTGACCCTGGGTGCTATCAGGTTCATCGAGGAGCCTACGGCACCTGACGATGCTCTCGGCCATGCTGCGATCAGGCGTGCACTCAAGCCGTACGGGATCGGAGTTGCGACCGGGGAACATGCACATAACCGTATGGTGTTCAAGCAGTTGTTCCAGGCGGACGCGATCGATGTGTGTCAGATTGACTCCTGCAGACTCGCAGGTGTCAGTGAGGTGCTGAGCGTGCTGTTGATGGCTGCGAAGTGAGCACGAGGAGACTTCACTTTTTCATTCGGGCGACATGCTGAATGTCCGTGTTCGAAGGTTTGGCGTCCCTGTTTGTCCACATGCTGGTGGTGTTGGTTTGTGCGAATATGTCATTCATCTCAGGTCAGTGTCGGTCTTTTCGCTGAAGTAGCGTCCCTGACTGACTGGAACTGGGTTAAGCGTGATTGACTACGTCGCCATTTCCGGGACGATGGAACGAAATGTATTGGAATTTGCAGACCACTTGCATGAGCACTTTCCGTACCGGTGTACTATGAACGAAAGGGGGAGGTACAATATTCCGAGTAATCCAAAGGAAGGGTATAGTATTGAGATGTATAAGGAGAGTATCGCGGAGTTCGAGTGGCCGAACGGGAGTTACTGGGTCGGTTCAAGGGGTGGAAAAGTCTTAAGCACTTGAATGATATAGGTGGTCGATTTCTTGTATAAACAGACCATATGTGTATGTAGGCTATATACGACAGTAATCAAAGAGACAAGTCATGGTTTGTTCTTAGAGATTGCATCATATTTATAGAACCTGTTCCTCCCAGGTTGGCCCTCACTAGCTTGCATTCGTTATGGAAATTATACTATAGGTTGAAAGGCACATGAATTCTAAGCATTTAATGAAGTATGGCAACCGTAGCCTTAACGGTCCCGAGGGTGTTTGTGTATATTTGTGCATGTGATGCACGCGATGGTTAAGTGATTTATGGACAGCCTCGTCCGACACGCGGTAAGGGTGGAGACACTGAACATCTTGTAGCTAGTGGTTGGAGGATGGCATACACAGCGGCACCACGGGATAAACCACAATCTCAAGGTTTTAGATCAATATCACCCCAACCTGGATACCCGATCCAACACCCGACGCAGATCCAGATACCACCTCAAGTACTAAGATACCCCCAACAACCCCGACCGCCACCTACTTCTTTTCCGAACCCTGCACCAACTCGACGACCCCTTCCGACCCCAAAGTCACGCCCAGAATCCCTCCCCCCACCTGCACGTGCCGCTCAGACCCCAGCTCCGTCACGTCCGGCACCCATACCAGCCCCTGCCCCTTCACGTCCTGTCATTCTCGCTCATACTGCATCCCTCGAGAGCACTAACATTAATAATCATACAAGACGACCCCTTCCTAATCCAGGTGCTAAATCAACCAAACATGCAAGCTTGGATCTTCGTGCTCAGTTGCAAAACAATCCAACCGAACCAGATCTAAACGTTGCAGTAAGCCCACAAACCAGCGCATCTAGTTTTTCCTCGTTTTCTGCTGCAAGCGGTGCATCCAGCTTCTCTAGTCTACCTCCCTCCTCGGATTTATCCAGCGCGTCACAATCTTTTGCTCTCCCAAATTACCCACCTTCATCAGCCTACCCAAATGCACTCCCATCTGCAAGCTTTCGTAACACACCACTCCATAGTTTCAGCGGCCCGGGTCCAGTATCCAGTTATCCCCCTGCCGCTTCATCAATAGATGTGCGAGGTACGTTGGTTTTCGTCTTCTAAGCGACCTCATTTTTTCACACTCCCTTAGCTCTTCCCCTCTCTGCCGCTTCACCCAAATTTACCCCTCATTGGAAACGCGACCTCCCTGCCCCCGCAACACAACCAAATTCACCTTCAGAGTTGCCTTCTCGTGTGGGGCCATTCATGGAACGCAGAAGCACAGTTTCTGGTTCGGCTGTCCCACCAGCCCTTGGTGCTGCTAACGGATTTCTTCCGCCTGCCACTGCATTACCTTCAACAAGCTATCCATCTACCCGTTCAGTAAGCCCAGAGCGCAACCCCTCAAGGGTCATCGACCGTGCCCAGACATTCGTTCATCGCGCTCAAACCCAAACATCGTCCGGCCGCCGTCCCTTGCCGTCCATTGGCAATAGGTCCCCACCAGTACCCCCACCTCCAGGTCAGTCTTCCAATTATTACAATTACACAGCCACACTCACGGGGCATCTTATTCATAGGCAGCTCACGTAGTCCACCCGAACCGAGTAGTTCGCGCTCCCCACCTGTTCCAGGTAATATCAATTAAAATTAAAATACGTACGATATCAATGATATTTTCAGGGAGCTCGCGTTCCCCTCCAGCCATCCCAGGTTCCTTGCATAGTCACCCCATTCCAGGCAGTTCGCGATGGCCTCCGGAGTCAGGTATTTACTTGTCCTTTTAGGGTTTCGAGCGTTCATAAATTTCACATCTGAAAGGGAGTTCACGTGGTCCACCCATACCAGATAGCTCTCGATCTCCACCAGTAATGACATGTCGTTCTCCGATCAATTCAATGTTGCCACCAGTGCCAGGTACTGATGAATCATGTTGACCACCGCATGTACCTGACTGTTCTGATTGTTCCAGCGAGTTCTGTCCCACAGATGGCACGTACTACGAGTAATGCACCTTCCACCTCCTCCTCCACGCTCACCGATTCCTCCCATTTCTCGTCTTCCATGACCCATTCAGTGCATACACGGATGCCTGCGACTGCTGATGACGAATTTTCGAACCCAAGTGAGGTGGGTGATGAGTATGAGGAAAGGTTTGATAGACATCAAGAAGAAAGAGGATATAGTAATGCGAGGGAAGACCATAGAAACCAGCACGGTGGGTATAACGAGCAGAATGAGGCTCATAGGGAGCGCGACATACGTAATGTGGGAGAGCTGGGCAGCACGTCCCCGCAATACGGCATCCGCGACCTCCCCCAGCGCACTCATCCTTCTCAACCATCTCAACCCCCAGCGCAGATTCAGGAAAGGCAATGGACCCGGGCCCGCCCGACCCGCTCAGCGACTCTCCCAACTCCACCATCTCAGTCACCCACCGATTTCCAGGACAGTGAGCCACAATCGCTCACGCTGCGTATGGCTGCACTCGGGCTATCCCCTTCTCCCCAGTCACCCTCGCATATGCAAGGCGACCTGAGTAAACATCCCTCAGCGCAAAGTTCGCGCTCTTCTTCACCAAGCTTCGACCTCGGGAGCCACCCGCTACTGCAGCGCGTTCCATCTACGAAGGAACAGGAGCTTGAGAACATGCCCAGACGCCCACCCCTGCAGCGTGGCCAGTCTGTGGTCGAGGGACTTCAAAGGCATCCTTTTGCGTCTGCTCCCCCATTGCAGAGACGGGTATCGGGTAGGAGCCGAAGCTTGGTACGTGAACAGGAGTGGCGAAGCATGTCGCCTGCTCGCGAACAATCCCCCGTACGTGAGCCTTCACCCACGCGCAGTCAGTGGCCACAGAATATCCCACCACTTCCCCGCGCACCATTATCACCAGCTGGGAGCTTCCCTTTCTCACCAGGGTTTAATACCTCTGACGTAAACACCTCGCCTACACGGTCCGCTTTCGCGCGGCCCGCATCTCCGCTCAAGAATTCTGTGTTTCCGTCGTCTGGGTTTTCACGCCCTACATCACCATCAAAATCTCCCCTACCAACACCCCCGCCCAAATCCCCGTTCGCGCGCGCCGAGTCAGTGGACGCGTCTGTCTTTTCTTCCCCGCGAAAAACGAGCGGCGGAAAAGGCCCCTTTGGGCCACAAAATCAAAATTCCCCTTCGAATTCGCCACAAAAATCATCGAACGCGTATACATCGCCAACGCTGCCTTCTTCATCCTCCCCGCCGAAGCTAGCCTACCTTAGCAACTCGAGCGCCCGGAATGCATTCCCTCCAAGCGCGTTCCCCTCGTCGTCGTTCCCCACGAGCTCGACTCATACTCTCGCGTCAAATTCACACATCATGGAGCGTCAGCGCCAAAAACAGCGTGCGTACGTAAAAACGTACGACCTCGACGACGAGCCGCCTGCTTCGCCACTCCGTGAGCGTGTGGGCCTGCCTTCGCCTAGTGCGTCCCGCTCGCCTTCCCCTTCAGACTTTGGGGCGCGCGTGGGGGGACGCAGTGTCTCTAGGGGACGCGCAAACAAGGCTGATCCTCAGGACCATGGTTATGGCAATGAGGATGACGGAGACGAGCGTTCGCCTTCGCCCATACGTTTCGCGAAGCGCTCCTCGAACCAGTTCTCGGTACTGGAGATGGACTTTGTAGGCGGGCAGGAGGTGCCGAGGTGGCATCGCACGCCAGTGCCCAGAGTCGCGGGAGGACGTGCGGATGGTAGTGAGGGCAGACGCACGGATATGGGCGTGCCAGTTGTAACGCTCCCTGGCGGGCATGTTGACTTTGACGACGGTGGTGGTGGTGCGGTACCGTCGAGCAGGACACAGGACTCGCCGCCCAGGATTGCTGTTTCTAGCGCCACCCCGCCAAGAGTGGCGGTTTCGAGTGCTACCCCACCCAGGGTGGCCGTTATTGGGTCGACGCCGCCGCGTGTTGCTGTTACTGGGTCGACGCCACCACGTATCGCAGTCTCGGGCTCATCTCCACCTCGTATAGCGGTGTCGGGATCTTCGCCTTCCCCTCCTCAAATTTCAGTATCCTCACCGTCCATGCCACAGATATCAGTTTCATTACCCTCTACACCACAAATTTCTGTGTCTGTTCCCAGTTGCTCTTCAAGGCAGCCTAGTTCTAGGCACACGTCAGCGCCATCTCAGGAGCCGAAACGTGTTCTCCCGCCACCTCCAGGCCAGAATGGACTAAGAGGCGCAGGAGGACAAAATAATGGGTTCAATGTGCAAGGTGGAGGGAAAATCTCGGGAGTGCTAAAGGGGATGCGTGGGAACGGTCTGTCATGCGGAGGGTGTGGCGGTCCTATTATCGGACGCATCGTCAGTGCGATGGGACAGCGCTGGCACCCAGCGTGTTTTTGTTGTTCCGCGTGCAATGAGCTCCTTGAGCATGTGTCGAGCTACGAGCACGAGGGGAAGCCGTATTGTCATCTTGATTACCACGAGGTTCGTTCTCCCAACACCTCAAATCGATTTAAAGATCTTAACTCCATCGTCACACAGAACTTTGCGCCTCGTTGCTATCACTGCAAAACAGCGATTATTGACGAGCGGTTCATCACGCTTGACGACGACGCGCTGGGAAAGCGGACGTATCACGAGCAGCACTTCTTTTGTGCGGAGTGTGGAGACCCATTCCTCCCACCGTCTTCTGGGAGTGGCGGGTTGACGGTTACGGGTGATGGCGAGTTCGACCTTGACGATGACGTCGGGTTCACGGTGTACAAGGGCCATCCATACTGCGAGGCGTGTCATGTCCGTTTGCGTATGCCCAAATGCAAGCGCTGCAAGAAGTCGATTAGGGACGGAATGCGTGCAGTGGAGGCTTTGGGAGGGAAATGGTGTTGGGAGTGTTTCGTATGCGAGGTATGTGACCTCGACTTGTTTTGATACCGAGTCCATGACCGTGTTGCGTCTCCAGGGCTGCAAGAACCCATTTGAAGATCCGTCGTTCTTTTTGCGCGATAATAAGCCGTTTTGCGAGCCGTGCTTTAGTTTGATATTGCGGAATGAGGTGTAATGGTTGGTTCAAATAATTTATTGCTTACTTTCGTTTTCGCGCGTAGGTTCTTGGATGCGCTAGCTATCTTGTGGTCTGCTCTACACATATTTTGCCTATATTCAGGTTGCTTCAAGATATGGACTGGAAACAACATTGTAAACTAACCGCCCTCTGACGCCCACTCATTTTCGGCAGATGTCAACTTAAGGTTTTAGACATATAGAGATTTAGACATAGACGTTTAGACGCAAGTTTAAGTAGACATGTACACTGTCTGGCAGCACATAAGTAAACCAGTAAATGTAAATGTAACTCGTGCTAAGAAGTACAGCCTTGCGAACCGTCCCGTGTACATTTGCGCACAACACTCCATTGGACATTAATGCTAATATTGGATTTTTTATACCACATTCAAACTGGCAGAATTCCCGCGGCTTCCGCTGAACCACCCTGGAAGGCGTGCCAATGGCTGCGCAGCAGGCCAACCGTGGGATCGGGGTGATCAATAGACGTGAAATAGAGGATGCCATAACCCATTAGAGTTAGGAAGCAAACCCCGCCTGACGCCCAAAGTACGCCAACTACACGGGAAACCCAGAATACGAACTGAGCGACCATAAGTCCCAGGCTCCATAAGTAGAGTGCTTTTGGCAAGCTGTATACAACAGACAAAGGCAAGAAGCCCCAGTCAGACGATTTCGCTGTGCGAAGGAAGCGAGCCTAGAAGCAGAGTGAATCGAGTTATATTGAATGAAGAGAGAAGACACGAACAGCAAACGAAGCGGTTGCATCTTCGAAACCATAGTGTCTCAAGAGTAGGATTGATCCCGACAGGATGCTTGAGGATGCTGCAAGAATCGGTGCCATAGCAGATGTCAATGAAGCACGCGGTAGCATTGACATGAGAATGCTGGCACTGTGGAATGATCATCAAAATCAAGAACCACCAAGCCTCGAGATGAAAACTGACATCATCACCGAAAATGCCTAGACGACAAGTCAGGTATTGAAATTAACATACTTCACGATGCGAATGACGTACCCACAGAAGTAACCCTCTCCATTCCGAGGCACATGTAGTCATGAAAGTCTGCCAGTGATCAACATACACCTGGTCATGAACGAACAGATCATGAAGCTTGGAGTAATAGTGGTTAGGGATTCCCCACAAGGTCAGGTTCACTAGTGCACACATCCCAGGGCAGTCGACTATGTCTTCTGGCATGGGTGGATGCAATCTGTCTAATTGAGCATTTTCTTGCCCATGGTACGTCATGAACCGTTGGTTATCTTGCAGTTGTTCAGCGTTAAGAAGAAATCACAATATTTTCGACTGACTGATTGCACCCCAAAGACGAGCTTAGGACGTGTCAGATTGACATAGCATGTAAGCGTCAGGCTTCTTACCGGCAAAACATAGTGTATGGCCGTCCAAAGGTTCGCCTTTCATAATGGTGAGGTCGCGAACTCTTTTTTGCAACAATCGCCTCCATACCTCGCCGCAGGGATAGTGCCTGTAGAAGTTGACCACATTTTACCTCCGTATATGGGAATGTTGAGGTGCGCGACGTCATTCGATCTAAATGTGTCACACGTCGTACGCAATTGAGATGCTCCACAAAGAAGAGCACATACCTATCATACCATGACATATGACGCTGATCAAGTTCTCCACAATGAGTGGTGTCAACTGGGTGCAGACGTGCATCGGGAAAAACTCCACATGCACCCAGTAGAGTCTTTCCAATGCAGTATCTGTGGAAACTCAGCCATCTATTGTTGTAAAGGAAACCTGAACGAACCCAAGTGCGAGTCAGACACCAACATGCCCATGTCGAGCAGCTCCGATGAGGTAGGCTCGAGCCAGAAGAGGGAGCGGCTATGATGATCCACAAAATAATAGGCACATGTAGACGTTTGTGGCGGCTCGTCAAACCGAAGTTCAACGAAGAGCTCGCATGCCTGTGGCAATACGATGCCGTATTCGAGGACCCTCTTGTCGATCAGTGCCAGATAGGCGGACACCAAATTGTCCGTTTCAGTATTTAACACATTCTCCTCCGTGACAACCGAGAAATGGCCACGTTGCATGTGAAAATACAACTGGCCTTCTGGGTGGGTGAAAGAGAGCCAGTTGGACTTGGTGCTGGAACGTTAGTCAGTGTCAACTCAAGTGTGCAAGCCAGTCGGTAGGTGAGCTCACCTGGTACGAGGTCGCAAACCAGGTGCAGTTGTGGTATGGTATGCGTCCACCCTCGATGAAGAATGAATGAACAAATATTATATAATCTGGTTCGCAAGAACCTACCAGGGCAAACTGCCATACCGTCTGGTAGGATGTCGAAGTCACCGGCCTGAGTTCCTTGACTAGGCTAAGTGTAGATGCCATATCGCTGTGAGGTGTTGAAGGTGGAAGTACAGTGCTGTCAATGCTCGATATAGTTGAGTGGCAGACAGGAAGACAAAGGGCGCGCAAGTCAAGTCCAAGTGGCGTGCGTTTAAATTATATAGGGAAGCACAACTTGGCCCGGGGCATTTACCGCATGTTTTTCTCCATATCATGTCGACGAAAGTAGTACCGTACATGTAGCACATCCTGTGCAGTGTGGAGGTTTCGGTCACTATTATGTACGCGGGTGTTTGGGGGTTCTGATGTTAATATATGGACAAAGGGTAACGCTGGCAGCGTATTCGAGCCGTAAGGTCTTCAGCTTCCGATCTCTGGACGTCATCTTGCTCGTACCCGAGTGCCATTAACTGGCTGGAGCTCGAGGTAAGTGCGGTCGCGACTGTCGAGTGTCGGTACTTCAATGGGTCTTCCACTGACAGTTAGGTACCAACGGTCACATCGAAGGACAGTCACTCGGACTGTCGTTCAATTCTTTTTGTGATAGGTGCCACATGTACAGGGCATGCTGTCAGGGCATGGATGTGACATGGCTTCATACAAGCGCTGCCAACAGGAACAGCCAACTCACCATGCATGGTCAAACCACTGTGTTGCAGTGACTGCACTGGCAACATTATCTTCAGCCGATTTTCAAGTTGTGATAGTATATGCAGAATCACGAATTGTCAAGTTCGTCATGATCAGTAAGTCGTCTGCCTTGAAAGTTGAAGGTGCCCGGCTAACAAAGTTAATTTAGAAAATGTGAACTCTGCATGGAACTCGGGTGGTCTCCATGGTCTTCGGAGGCATTTTACCGCCACAGAATGTTAATACAGAACCTGCTGGCAAAGGGGCTGAAGCGCCATAGTCAGCGCCCTGACTAGTTCAAACAGCTTGCAAGTTGCAGTCATTTCCGGCCACCAGAACTCATGTGGGTTATCACACAAGCAGGACCATAAATAGAGAGCCATTGGCCAGTTGGTCCTTGGTCGCTCCTGCTTGTTCGGCATTTCGCTTGCGAATCGCGCTGTATGCCAGTGATCATGGCACGAGTCAGCCAATCCCCAGCGCTCAGATAAGCGTTACTTCTAAGGGTTTCATCAAGACTCGGCATCCAAGTGTGTAGTAGCCAATACAGCTCACTCACTGTCCGTTCGCAAACGTCCGTCAGACGCTGCATTAATTAAGTGATGTGGTATGGGAAAAGGCGCTTGCATGATGAGGACTAGGATTCAGCGCTTATACTCATGGCCAGAGCAAATTTAGCTCTAACCAGGTACTCCAGCCACAACAATCACGTTCCTCAGATAGCTCGCGCTTCTGGAGCTGCCCACTACTCGGCTTTCGTTTCGTTTCGCCTCGCCTAACTGCTTTTCTCTATTGCTCTGCCGCACAACGATATAACTGTACGCTAACATGACCAATCGCGTAAAAGACCCCCCTTATGGAACACCCTCTGCCCATCACCGGCAAGTACACTCGTACTAATCACGATAGATATGCAAGATCTTATGGCAACACAGGAAACGTGATGGGAACGCTCCGAAATTTCGTCATGATGAATAGATCGAGGAAGGTTCAGGCGACACATTATTGCCCAGGTTCAGTACCCGCGACCTGCCCTGCTGACGCTCATGCTGTATCTCTCAGTACCGCCCGGGCGTCCAGTGGTCAGACGAGAATACTTAGGGCCAGCTGGCCAGAGAAGGGGGAGAAAGAGAGATAATTTCGAAATTATGTGCGTTCAAAAAAACCCCAAGGATTGTATACATCAACCACGAAATACGAACAGACGAAGACATCTCCAGCATCCAAAGCGCCTTTACATTTCGGCGGAGCTGCAAGATGGCAGGAAGGCGTCTATCATCAACCTAATTGTTGGCAGAATACAACTACATATGTCCGGCGTTCTTGGAGTAGCTTCTGTGGGTGTGGTCTGGATCCAGCGCGCCTGTGGATATAAATCATATCGCGCACTTTGCTATGTTTCATATTGTACAAGCGCCAACGATACGTTTGCACGAACTGCTGTAGCCAGTCTCAACGTATGCGCCCCTGGGCAATTAGTACATATTTATCGCCAGCCGAGGATCGCATGACTATGTAGTATGCTAACTCATGATCTAAAAAGACTTGCGGTGAAGTGTAATTGCGGAGGGTGCCAACTATGTTGCCCTAGGGTTATCGGCAAAATAATTGCCCTCCAATGCAGTACCATAATCACACTGATTGGGCAGTACTCTCTGTAATCTATACTTTTGTACAATTTCTGCAACCTTCGCGTGGTTCACACCGTGTTGCTTTAGCATCTCAGGGTCCGGGACAGGAGGCAGTGTTGTGAATGCAAGCCGAGCGATGCCTACTTGTTCCAGATACATATGCTTGGAAAGGCGAGGCGGGAACTTGTCCTCTTGTGCGATAACGCATTCGATGCTGCCATATTCGCGGATGAACTTGAGTGCTCGTTGAGGACCAACGTTCTTGATCCGCTGTGAGAAGTCGGTGCCGAGGAGCAACAAGAAGTCTATATATGCAGACTTGGAGAGCTGAAGAGCGGTACGAACGTGGGACCCATAAACGAGGATGAGTGGGTCGTTTCTATTGGCGATGTTTCGAATGAGGGGAGCTTCGTAGACGAGAACGTCCTAGATGAAGAATAAACAGAAGTTCACACCTAGGCATTTAAGAAGGCCATACCGTATCTTCGCTTGCGACGTAGTCAGCTACGCCATGGATAACAAGTGAGGATGCGAGAGCCTCTGCTTCAAAAGGTCCCTCTGACTCGATACACGGCACTCCCATGGCACGCAACATCTCCTTGCTCTCCTCGTACGTCCGAGTGGTGGGAGCGTTCGATCGGCGAGCGTAAGACTCGGACATAACGCCACTCTTTTCAGCCAGCATTGCAAGGGCAGTCTCAGGAGCGTCCGCAAGTGTGTTCCATATTTGGCCTTCCTCTATTGTCATTTGAAGTTGGGACCTGGACATGATGTACTCGACGCGGGTCTCATCTGGTGACTCTGGGACCTCCACGGTAGATGGAAGTGAGGTGATCTGTGCGACGCAGTCGCGATATTCTTGATATAGGGAGGAGAGTGCCGAAAGCACATATTCTGCTGGGGGTACGGAACCCACGATGGTAGCGAGAGTCACATCCTGGGGTGTTTGAAAATCGGCATCTCGAAGTTCACCTTGCACGATCCCTGGACCAGGAGGAAAGTCTAGTCGAAGGTTGGATATGCCCTCAACAAGGGAAGAGCCCGGATCCAATATCGAACTGTTTATATAGTCTGGCCATGACTTGAGATCACTAGGCGGGATCGCGGCGACTGATTGACCTGTGCGAGCGAGAAGGATCTCCTTCATGTCTGCGTCTGACATGCGAACAGAATCATAAATTGCCGAAAGGGTATCTTCCTCCGAATATGATGATAGAGCACTGAAAACCTGCTCAAATGCAGAAGGACCAGATGGACGAGTCTGAGAGCGAGTGGCAGTAACTGCAACAGAGTTCGTATCATTATGACGGATATCCGATGGTGACAGAGAAGACTGGAAGTACGAAGGGATAGTCCTCGCAGCCACTGCTACGTGTTCTAAAGCGTCGATGACACGCTGACGGTCTAGCGGATCCATGGAACTATATTGTGGTAGTAATCGCATCAATTTCTGAAGCCTGCTCAGTCTCTCCACCTCAATGGATGAACGAGCCGCATCCAGCCTCCGCATCTCCTTGCGTCGTTCTACCTAGGAAAGGTGTTCATTTACAGCATCTCCTGCTACTGTAGCGACTTACCTCTCGAGCTTTGGCAATGCTGCGGTCTCTACCATCAAAGACACAAATTGCTTGCACATTACACTCTTTAAGCTCTGTGATTATGCGGTGCCAACCGAGGACGTGTCTATGCGGATGAGGCATAGGTGCAAAGTGAAGGCGCTGGGTTATAAGGGTACCATCACTGATTAGTCACAGATGAGTTGAAGGAATTAGTTAGACGGAGAGCTTACATGACAATGGTCTTACCGCAGAGAGATCTAAGGCGGTCTGGAAGTTTTCTAATAACTTCCGGGCTGACGTAGGTAAATTCATATGTGAATGAAGAAAGCTGGTTTGGAGCTCACCATGTTTTCTGCAAAAATGGGGTAAGACCCAGAACTCCCATGCGAACTGCAGATTTGTTTACGCGTCGTTGAATTATTAGCAGAAGGCAACCTCCTGTCCCATTGAAAAGTCACAGGCTGCAGTTTGCAGAAGGTGACGGTGAATTTCCTTTTCTAGCTTTTTCTAACTCCGCTGCTACACATTGATGTCGTGGCTCGCAGCGCCTTGGAAGCGAGCCGCAAGATCGACAACGACAGCCTTCCCTTGTGACTAACCTGGGTTCCTTGACCTATCGATACAATCATCTACAGCCTAGTAACTAGACAGAAAACATTCGTGCTATTGACGCGGCTGAAACGACCTCACGCCCAAGATGTCGGTGATGCTCACAAAGTTCGAGTCCAAGAGCAATCGCGTCAAAGGTATGGTCGTTTCCAGGCTTGTCATGAGTTCATGACGCATCTGCGTGTAACAGGGCTTGCGTTTCATCCCACCCAACCACTTCTTGCCGCAGCGCTTCACAATGGAAGTGTTCAACTCTGGAATTACCGTATGGGCGTATTGGTGGACCGATTTGAAGAACACGAAGGTAAAGTTCCTCAACGACTATGAGTTTATCACATCTCATCGACTGCTATATAGGACCTGTTCGCGGTGTCGCAATTCATCCGAGTCGAGCACTACTGGTTACTGGAGGCGACGACTACAAGATCAAAGTATGGGGTGAGTGGGATTTCTGCTTCCAAAAACCACATGCTTATGAATACCCTAAGACCTGAAACCTCAGAGCAGAAGGTGCTTATTTACTCTGCACGGTCACCTCGACTATGTCCGAACCGTTCAGTTCCACCACGAAATGCCATGGATTGTAAGTCATTCATTGCTTGGTATCACATAGCTTATTGAAGTTGCCTGGATATGCAGTTGTCGGCGTCCGACGATCAGACCATTCGGATATGGAACAGTACCTCGCGCCATTGTATCGCCATCTTGACAGGGCACTCGCACTACGTTATGTCTGCGCAGTTCCACCCAAAAGACGATCTCATCGTCTCAACGTCGATGGACCAAACCGTACGAGTTTGGGACATCTCCGGCCTGCGAAAGAATACGCCGAATAACGGCCCCAACAACTTTGAGACCTTTGACACGTTCTCCACTGTCAAGTACGTGCTAGAAGGCCACGATCGCGGGGTAAACTGGGCGTCATTCCACCCTACGCTACCATTGATCGTGTCCGCAGCTGATGATCGGACGATCAAGATTTGGCGAATGAGCGAGACCCGGGCGTGGGAGGTTGACTCGTGCAGAGGTCACTTTAACAGCGTATCAAGTGCCATATTCCACCCGAAGCACGAGTTAATCGTGTCTTGCGCAGAGGACAAGACTGTCCGAGTTTGGGATCTGGCCAAGCGGACAGCAATCCAGACGTTCAGGCGGGAGAACGACAGGTTCTGGATATTGGCTGCACACCCAAACCTCAACTTATTCGCAGCGGGACACGATGGCGGTCTGATCGTGTTCAAGCTCGAGCGCGAACGACCGGCGTTCACTGTGCACGGAGATATGCTTTACTACATCCGTGACAAGTATGTGCGCACTTATGACTTCAACTCGGGTTCGGACATCGGCTTGCTGAGCGTGAGGAAGTTCGGAAGCCCATACGTTCCTCCACGGACCCTGAGCTACAACCCTGCTGAACGCGCTGTTGTAGTCACCATCTCCTCGGATAACGGACTATTTGAGCTCTCTTCACTGCCGACGCAGTCTAATGGTGAGGTTAAGGACTCGTCCGCGGATGGAAAGCGCGGCTCTGCGCACAGCGCGATCTTTGTGGCAAGAAATCGGTTTGCGGTACTCAATAAAACCTCACAGGTAGTCGTTCTAATCTTCCGGTCAGAAAGCATTGGTTCTCATGACTTTTGCAGCTCATCGAAGTTCGCGACTTGTCAAATTCAGTCGTGAAAACCATCAAACCCCCAGCGCAGACCAATGAAATTTTCTACGGCGGTACAGCCTGCTTAATACTCAGTTCTACATCCACTGTTGTGCTGTATGATATCCAACAACAGAAAACGATCGCAGAGTTGAACAGTCCACCTGTGAAATATGTTGTTTGGAACGCGGACGGGTCTCTGGTAGCTCTGATGAGCAAGCACAGTGAGTCTATACTACTCCGTTCTTTGAGTTGAACTCAAAGCCCTCGATCAGCGATTACTATCGCCAACAAGAACTTCTCGCAGAATAGCCTTATTCATGAGACGATCCGGATCAAGTCTGGAGCTTGGGACGATGCAGGCGTTTTTATCTACTCCACGCTCAACCACATCAAGTACTGCTTGCCTCAAGGGTACTGAGCTTCCTTCCGCTAGCTTCCTTGTAGCTGACGTATGCACCTTCTCAGTGACCATGGCGTTATTTGCACACTCGATAATCCCGTCTACCTTACCCGTGTGAAGGGTAAGACGGCCCATTGCTTGGACCGATCTGCACGCCCACGCACTATCACGTTCGACCCGACTGAGTATCGCTTCAAGCTTGCGCTTCTGCGTAACAATTACGATGAGATGCTCCATATCATCCGCACGTCGACGTTGCTTGGGCAGAGCATCATCGCTTATCTTCAGCAAAAGGGCTTCCCGGAGGTTTGTTCTTGATTTGAGATTTGTGAAATATAGGAATGCTCATGCAATGTACAGATTGCACTGCACTTTGTGCAAGACAAGAACACCAGATTTGATCTTGCAATCGAGTGTGGAAACTTGGATGTGGCACTGGAGACTGCAAGAGCAATCGACCGGCCTGAATGTTGGGACCGTCTAGCGCAACAAGCCTTGAAGCAGGGCAACCACAAGGTTTATTTCTTCCCTTGCATGTCGTTGGACAATCAATTGATTGCACCCCTAGATCGTCGAAAAGGCATACCAGCAAACTAAAAACTTCGACCGCCTGTCGTTTTTGTATCTCGCCACGGGCAGTACAGAGAAGCTTTCCAAAATGCAGAAAATTGCGGACGCACGAGGGGACCCCATGTCGCGCTTCCACAATGCGCTTTATGCTGGTGATGTTGTTGGACGTATTACTGTTTTGCGCGATGTTGGGCTTCGTAAGTACATCCTTCAATCTGAGTTTTCAAGACATCACGTTTCGTTCCAGATCCCCTGGCATATCTTACGGCGAAGACGAACGGTTTGGAGGAAGAAGCAGCTGAGATCCTTGAGGCTGCTGGCCTTACCGAAGCTGACGTGGACGACGTTTCTACATTCGGAAAGTGTACCCTCAAAACCCCACCTATTGTTACTCCTACATCCAACCTCAATTGGCCAATAATTTCCATGGGAGAATCCTTCTTCGACCGTGCGCTCGCAAATGGCCATCTTGACGGGGACGATGATATACCCCATGTCAATGGCCTGGACTCGGGTGTAGGTACTTCTATCGCCCTGGATGAGTGGGCGAAGGATGAGGAACCGTCTGTAGAGGAAGATGGATGGGAGCTTGATGCAGAGGCAGAAGATGATGAAGATAAGGATGTAGATGAGGAGTTTGAGGATGCCGTGGAAGAGGACGATCTTGGCGCCGGCGCTACCCCTGGCGTGAGCGAGAACGAGCTTTGGGTCCGGAACTCACCGTTCGCAGCCGAACATGTCGCGGCAGGATCATTCGACACCGCCATGCAGGTGAGCTCAATGTTACCTTCCCTTTTCGAGTAGAGCGCTCAATTACTCGATATGACCTAGCTTCTCAACCGGCAGCTTGGCGTGGTCAACTTTGCGCTCTTGAAGCCATTGTTCTTGTCCATCTATCGTTCGTCACACGTCTACGTGTCGCCGATCGCTTCATTGCCCCCATTGCAACTGCACATCCGAAGGAATCCCGAGGAGACCTCGCCTGGACGGGTGCTTCCTGTTGTTGCTCGGACGCTGCAGTCGATTCGCACGGAGCTGTCAGAAGGATACCGCTTCGTTTCTGGAAACAAGTTGCCCGAGGCTCAGGCAACGTTCCGGTCGGTGTTACAGGCCTTGCTGCTTATGGTTGTCTCATCAGATAAGGAGGCAAAAGAAGTAAGCGTTATCAATTCACTGGATATTTACGCCACCTGATCATACTACCAGTGGCGAGAAACTGTGACAGCCGCTCGAGAGTATCTCCTTGGTGTCTCCATCGAGCTTGAGCGGCGACGTATTGCACAGGATGAGCCTGACAACGTTCGCCGGAGCCTGGAACTCGCCGCATATTTTACGCACTGTCAGCTACAGCCACAACACATGCAGATCGCGTTGCGGAGCGCTATTGGTGTGTTCGCGAAAGCCAACAACCATGCAACGGCCGCTAAACTGGCACGTCGCCTCCTTGACCTTAACCCTGATCCCAAAATTGTCGCGCAGGTATGCTCCCGATTCTTTTACTTCATTCATTGCCCCCGCTAACTCGTATGTGAAGGCTCGCCAGCGCATTGCAGCAGGGGATCGCAATCCCCGGAACACAGTTGAAGTCTCGTATGATGAGTTCACAGAGTTTGAGATTTGCGCAGCCACGTACACGCCCATCTACAAAGGCTCGCCATCGGTGCGCTGTCCATATACCGATGTGGCGTTCCTGCCCGAGTTCAAGGGCAAGTTGGACCCGTTGATGGAGCTGACTGAGATTGGGGCAACCTCGAGTGGCTTGCCTGCACCACGCTAGAGTTTTGTTAGATATGGATGGACAGTATCAATTCAATGTTGGCATACCTTTTTGTGACCTGGAATTTGATTGTGCCGGCTGGGAATCTTTCACGTGACTACAGACAGTGCCATCAACAGCTTGTCGTGAAGCCTACTCCGCTCTTTAGACACCTTCTACCATGGATGTCCCGTACGGTTCGTCGCCGGCCCCTCAAGTCACTGACAACACGGTGCCCAGCACTGAAGACGCGTCTACCGAAGCTCCTCAGGCACCTGAACCAGCCCAGCGCTCACCACCAGAGCCAAGCAGTAACCGAGACAAACAGCCTTCCCTACAAGAAATCCTTCAAATGACGTCCACGACAGTAACCTTCATATCAACCATTACAACACTCTTTCATGAGAAAGGGGAACAGAACACCTGCTTCAGAGAAGGTAAAACTCGATGCTCGGGGCGCATATAGTGACCTAGACGCGATTTTCTCCCAAAAAAATAGAGCTTAGAAGGAAAATCCTCTTCACCGCCATGAATGCACACGCCTGGGCGAGCGCGAGGATTGTGCACGAACACACGACTGCACGAGACACGCTAGAAACCGGGATTCAGAAACTCGTGGAAGACGAGAAGGATCAAGGCAGGTCATCTTACCCTGTTCCCAAGTCAACGTTTGGTATGCACGCCATCTGTATCACCTCAATTTAGGCTATGTTGATTTCTTGTTGTGGTTACTAATTATCGCTCTTTTCCCCCCTCAAGATCGCATGCGCGCGCGTTTGTCGGAGATGTTTGAGGCCATCAACAACACTGTCGCCAGCCTGACCGGGCTTGGTTGAGATCAGGCCTCATTTTTGCTGTCTGATATGGTGCGCTGCTTGTATTGGTGATGTTAGATACCTTGTCGACGCCTCTGCCCAATCCGAACGAGTCTTGTTGTATTGTCCCTGACGCTTTGAAGGTCCTACTTGATGAACTGATACATTAGCCTGATGACAGTTTACCACAGGTGGACCCCTATATCTCAGCTGATCCGAAACCGCAGTCTTTGATATCACACGGCGGCGAAGTTCGGGTAGCACCATTGATCAATGATCGCCTGCGCGTTTGCCTATGCATCCAAAATTCCATTGCTTTCCATTACCGCTGCACCACGCAAAAGCATATAAATCATGTAATGATATCTTGACAACGTAGATTGATTGTTTATTGGCAAAAATATGAGTGTTTCGTCGGCATCGAACCTCAAGTTCTAGGAGAGTTAATGCCACATCACATTCGCGTTCTTCGCCGCGCGCGATCTGAACTACAGGTCAGGGCCCAGGCCCGTCAGGGAGGGTTAACTATTCGTTATCCTGTGTGTAGTATGTGAGTGTGGCCGAAACGTCGATATGGACGAAACGACCTTGGTCTCGATACCAGGATGGTCAATATATGCTATAGAATAGCTTCTAATAAGCTTCTGAACAGATATTAATGCCTGTACATTATCAACGTTCTAAAAAAGGAAAATATTGAGCAATGTTTTCGTGCTTCTTCGCTCAACCTTCCCGACTCAAGATACCAGCCAACACCAGCTGCAAATCAGCTTTGTCGGGGATCAGATATGGCCGGTAAAGGCCCACATTGTTCATTCGTTCTTCTTGCCGAGTTCGACATTGATAGTGGTGCCCAGCTCACATACCAATTTCCTCAGCCGCTGGGAACAGACGAGGGGTGAATTTCACTTCACTTGGCCCGAGAGATGCTATTGATGAACTATTTCACCTTAGTTTACTCGCCAATCTTATGCTTCCGGATGGTGCAGAGAGGCACCTCGAGGATTGGACGATCTTCTTCCTCAACCAGACGCCGTTTAATACCATTGCTCCAGTTCTTGCTTTGGAAACAGAATCGAATGACAATCAGTCAAATGGAGAGGATGGCCATCCGGACCTACTGTATGTCCTCAACCTGGTGCGGACGAAGCATGACAAGTCAGTTCGGAGGTGTGTAGGCAGTTTTGAGTTACCACAGTACATCTATATGCGTTGCATTGCAGAGGTGCCGTAGTGAAAGCGATGGCTATTTGCACGCGACATCCATTCATCCAAATCTTCAAGGTATAGCTCAATTTGATGTCACTCCAATGATTTCTCACCAAGTGCCAGCCTGTTCTCCTGCTCGCACTTGATGACTATTTTGCAAATCCATCCCAAGAATGTCTTGCGCGTTTATTTGATGCGATCAACTCAATGAATATTAGTGCTGCTCCTGCACTTACACGATCTGAAAAGGTAATCATGCGCGCCTCAGAACGTAAAGACATCTTTGCGGAGAAGTTCTCCTTTCATGCACCCCCGCTTCCTCCCAAAGCTGCACACAAGACGACGGGCTCGAATGGCTCACATTCATCCGAAGACGGGATTCTCATTGGTCGCGCACGCTCTACAACAGCTGCCTCTGATCCTAACCCCACGCACCCGCCCTCTCCGTCGGACACCTCATTCAGCCTTGGGGGAAGTGCGGTATGGGTGAATGATGACAGCGTCATAATTGATAGCCAAGTAGGTGTTGCAATAGGTGCAGGCCCAGGAAGTGTCGGTGGTGCTTCAGTGAGCGGTAACAGTGCCCTTACTAGCCGCGGGCGGCGTAGCACCGATGCAAGCTCGAACTCGAGCCACGCTTATAGCGGTGGCGCAATACCCACATCATCTGACCCACATTTGCGGTCGGGGATATCCAAGGATACCCATTTTTTTCAAACTAGCATTGCATACAAAGGACATACCCTGCCAATCAAGCTACCTCTGGCCACCTTTCCTGAGGAAGTCGGAGAGGTGCGTCTCTTGATGACAATGAGCTTTAATATATAGTTCTGAATATGCGTTTTTCAAGTATTCCTTAATTCAACTAATACAAACATTTTCTACGCCTCTCATCACAATCTCCGGACCACTACATCCTCATCTACACACGAATGGAAGTCTTACACACCCGATAATTATTCTCTTTAACGCACTTGTTACTGGCAAACGCATCCTCTTCTTAGGGCACAACATCCCTGCTGGACAGGTTGCCAATTACGTCCTGTCTGCTTGTGCCCTTGGCTCTGGATGCGGTGCGGTACTACGAGGATTTATCGAGCGCGCATTCCCTTATGCAGGACTTGCTGGCGGCGAGGACTGGGTCTCAACGTATGCTTTTCACCATTTTTTTCTCGTGGAAGAACATAAATGTTATTTTTTCACAGGCCGGCATACATTGCAGGCGTAACCAATCCTATCTTCGAAACCAGTGGCTCCTGGGATCTTTTGATGGACATCGGCACAGCTCGCGTTGTCGTGCACAAGGACATCCATCTATCTTTCCCACCGACGACGGCCCCGCCTGCACTCGTCAACCCAATGATGCCACGTCCAATAAAGGTGGAAAACTCGGTCGGGAGCGAGGATGACATACAGCGTATTGCGACTCGGGATGGGAAGGAGGGGCAGAAGAGCGAGTTCGCAGCGAAGCCCGACAGCTTGGATAACGTGTTTATCGAAGATGTAAGTCTCGATAATACTGTTGCATTGCCTTGATTGCATCGGTAACTAACATCGCTTGGTGTTTTAGCTAATTTCGGCGATCACCTCGCACTTTGGGGAGACACTGGTGCGGATGCGATTTACGGAGTATGTCGCGCGCTTCGTTCGGCTGGCGTCGCGGTACGAGGAGGTTGCTGCGGGGTCGACGAAACTTGGATATGCTAGCGCGCCATTTGCTGACGGATCCTTGGGCAGTGGTATCGTGTTTCCGGACGAGGCAGCTGCATTTAAGGAGCTCGCTATGAACTCAAGTCGGATTGAGGGTTGGCGAAGGAGCAAGTCATATCAGTACTGCGTTCAGGTGCATATTTTCTCCTTCGAAGATTGCGTGCCCTGAGGATGTCTTAATAACCTCTGGGTCAATGTGTAGGATTTCAGGAAATCCCGGGCAACCGCTGCCATACAGGGGTTCGACCTATCGCATCAACTTTCAAGATTGCGGTTGATGAAGAACTTACCTGATGTGGAAGTTGAGCTCATCGTTCGTTCAATAACAGACAACTTGCGGAAATACGAACAAGTAATTGAAGTGAGCATTTTCATAATTGGACTGCTGGGAGTTTTTCGTAATTTTCTGCGTGCAGCTCCTCGCCTATATGCCACCACACGCTGGAGGATTACAGCCTCTGAGTTTTTGCCTGTTCCACCAGCAGGATTCTATTCGGGAAGCCACTGTTGATATTTTCAACGAGCTGCGTCAGTATCCCGTACGTCGTTCGCTCACTTCCCGTCATGTACAATCACTCACTGGTTTTTGTTATACAGGTGGGGGTCATTTTTCTGCAAGCTCTTAATCACTTCCAGAGGTATGCCTACGTTCGGCAGGCGCACGCCCGTGAATCACGCATGAAGGACCCGAACCATGGTCTGGCACTGCCCCCTCACATGACATCACGAACACCGTCCAACCGCAGTGAAGTCAGTCTAGGAGGGATATGAGCGCAGTTGACGGGGCTAGTTTGCAAGCTCTCTTGTCTATGTGCACTTACAAAATTTATTTCTGTATTGGAGCGCACATGTCGCACATGTAGAATACACAAAGATACAAGAGCTGTACTGGCTCAAGCATTGCACCTCCCCAGCCCCTCCATTGGGCAGGGGCGAGGCAGGTGCCCGTCCTTATGCAGAGGAACCTGCCTCAGGAGAATCCCCTTGAAGTGAATGCCAGCGACAGAGAATGTTACTAAGTATAGAACTCTGGTCATACTCATCTGGAGAAGTGACATATAGAGCCGCCCAAACAAGCAAAATCACAAAGCATCCTCCTCCAAACATTGCGAGTTTGCCGATCACGTGAGAGGCCAATAAGAGCAAGTGGCCTACCATAAAGACGATGCTCCATAGATAAAGGCCTTTTGGCAGGCTGAAGACAATGGCTGACGGGAGCATTCCAATCGAGCGTGATTTAGCGGCCCTTAGATAACGTGCCTAGATGAAACAGGCATGGTCAGCTGAGATGCAGGGCGTTAGAAAGAAGATTGATGCGAACCGCAAATGATGCGGTGGCGTCCTCAAGGCCGTGATGCTTCAGGAGTAGGATAGACCCGGTGGCGAGGCTTCCAGACGCCGAGAGAATTGATGGCAGGGCAGACGACAAAGAAGCACGGGATAAAAGGCAAGAGAGGATAGTGACGCTGCAAAGAAAGTGTCATGACGGCGTCATTAATGTCCGATGGTCAAGGCCTCTCACATCATCACCGGGAAAGTCTGTAAACCATCAATTAGAGTTCACGGTGGTCATCCGAAGTGTACGTACCCAAACTACCGCTGAATGCCACTCTGAAATAGATGCGGTCATGAATGTATGCCACTGATCGACGAACACCTGTTCGTTCGCAAACAAATCATGGAGTTCAGAGAAATATCGGCCGGGGATTCCCCACAAAGCCAGGTCTGCAAGGGTTTTCATCCATTGGTGATCAATATCCTCCTCGGGCGTCATGATTTGTAGCCTGTCTAACTGGGCATATTCTTGTCCGTGATACGTCATAAATCGTTGGTTATCTGCCATACTCATCAATATATTTGGCGAGAAAATTTAAGCACCCAACGAACCTATCGCGCCCCATAGGCGAGCTAGTAGAGTATTCGTGAGCTCGACTCAGGAGGGAAAATAGGTATGCCCACCCACCAACAAAGCATAATGTGTGTCCATCAAGGGTTCGACCTTTGCGGGAGTTTCGCTCAGGGAGTTGGGTACGCTGAAGATAATTGACTCACCTCGTTGCAACGAGAGAAGTTGTAACAGCTGACTACATCTTTCCGCGGTGTACGGGAACGTGGACGATCGCGAGGTCAAACGGTCTTCAATTAAAGCTCAGAACATGAAAACCCCTGCCAAGGAAGTAAATACCTGCTGCACCATGAGACATTACACCGATCAGGTCATCTACCACCTGAGGTGACACCTGCGCACATATATGCATAGGGAAGAATTCAACATGCACCCAATACAGCCTCTCTAAAGCGGTATCTGCTGACATGTGAGGATAAGCGATGGGGAATGGTTCGGATACACACCGATATGAGAGCTAGAGACTACCAAGCCCATGTCAAGTAGTTCCGTGGATATTTGCTCAAGCCAAAATATGCGCCGAGTTTCATGGTTTACGAAATAATAAGCACAGGAGAATATTGATTCGTCAAGCTCAATGAATAGTTCCGATGAGGAGGGCACTATAATTTGCCGGTGCGAGATTGTCTCATCGATGAACTTGAGCCAGCCAGTTACCTGGCGCTCGGTCTCTTGCCTATGAATATTGGCTTCCGTCACAACATCGTAGTTGGGAAGCCTTCTTTGGAAGTATGACTGGCCCTCGGGATGCGAATATGAGTTCCATGTCAAAGGAGTGGCGACCGTACTTCAAGGAACATTTGTGTCAGTGCAAATGGGCGATTTAGTAATAGACAACTAACCTCGGAGTACTGAGAAGAGGTCCTGGTGGAATGACGGTGTGATAAGAATAGAGACTAGCCCATCAATATTAATGCATGTATAAGCTTTGGCCATGTGCGCAGACTTACCTGGGCGACTTGCCATATCGTGAAGTAGCCGTCGACGTGGTAGCTCGCAGCATGTTGGCTCCTTCGTAAATGGGTAACTGCGACACATCACAACACTGAGCTGCCTGTTGAAACTGTGACATGAAGGACGTTTGGTAGCTAGTTCTCAAGTTCAGACCGTGCATACTACCACTTATAAGATTCCGCGATTTAGGCAGTGTGTTGCTGTGCCAGCTAAACACCTGGCTGCCTTCTGTACACAGGACAGCATTTAACAACGCTGTACTTATTCGAAGATTCGATTATACATGCTGTACACATCGGGAGGAACTTCTGAGAGACGGCGTCACGGCCTAGTTTACGTTCACATTTGAAGCTTTCTTTAGCCATAAGCGTGCGCTCTCATTGGTGGAGAGGTACTTAGGCGACAGTGGGATCCCTGAACTATCCCACTCTGAAGTGTCAGATCTTACATGAGTCCAAACATAGATGAACCTGGGAACCATGTCAAATTACATAAGTACTGCCTTGAGGTCAAGGACAACCGGGTACCTGGACTCCGGATTCTGGCCCTTTCTTGTCAAGTTTCGAGACTCAATGGAGATTCGAGATTGTATACGCGAAAGCAATGTTTGCTTGGCACATACCATAACCCGTGCTACTCGCATGAGGGTTCGGTTTGCCGACTCATTCTTTTTCGTTCAAGCCGCGCCTGGAAAAAAAAACGTAGTCTCTTCACCAGCCGCCGTGCATGACGAGTACTTGGTGGGAATAATGAACGTCAGATAAGGCATATTGTACCCTGGCAATGGTCACTCCTTCGTGGTGTATGACTAACTGGTCACGCGTCTACCAGGAATATCGTGAAGGTACCGATGAAAAGGTCACCCGCCAAGGGCCGCCCTGCCTATACTGTATTTGTTTGACGCTGGCTCGCTATTACTTCATTGGCTTATCAGACGCTGGAAGCCTGCCAATCCATCGTGATGAAAAGGCCAAGAAGCGCATTGATGGGCGGCCAAGGTTGTCAAAGAGTTGACCGTTATCGCAGGCTCCCTACCCTCATAAAAGTCGTCATTGGGCCTGATCTCACTGCTCTCTTCATCGCCTACCATCATTTCCTTGCCACTGATCTACTACTATGTCGTATCACACCTCAGAAGATCGCAAGCATGTAGACCAACGACGGTACCTATTTTCTACCCTACCATCATTGACTTGTGATTTAAGTTGCATAGCACCAGGAAACCCGAAGACGCTATCCCAAAGGTTCGCAAGACTAAGGATACAGACAACGTGGATTCCGAAGAGGAGTTTGATCCTAAGGAATATCTAGACAGCCCCTCCAACTATGACAGGTACGAATCTATCCCTCCTTGGGTCGAAAGCAATATTGGCTGCAAAGACACTAATCGTCTATCAGGTTCACAAGTCGTGGACCGCAGGATGACCATCTGAAACGAATCCCGCAGTCATCGAAGCCGCAACAATCTCAGAACTGGTCAAATCCTCCTAGTCAACATCAAGGCACGAGGTATGTTTGCATCAGACCAAACGATCCGTACGTTGAAAGGGTGTGCAGTAGGCAGCCACATCGTCAAGCCGATCCTGCCCGCTACTCTTATGGACAACACGCACCTGCACAACATGCTTCCTCACAACATGCTTCCTCACAACATGCTTCTTCACAACGTCCCCCCGCACACCACTCTCCTGTACAGTATGATCCTGCGCAATATTCTTCCCCACAACATGCTTCCTCACAACGTCCCCCCGCACACCACTCTTCTGTACAGTATGATCCTGCGCAATATTCTTCCGCGCAACATTCTTCCGCGCAACGTCCCCCCACACACCACTCCCATGCACAGCACGCCCCTGCGCAAGTTCTTCCCGCACACCACTCTCCTGCCCACCACTCTTCCGCGCAACATTCTCCAGCACAGCGTCCCCCCACACACCACTCTCCTGCACAGTACGCACCCACACAACATTCCCCCGCACACCACTCTCCTGCACAGTACGCACCCACACAACATGCTTCCGCACACCACTCTCCTGCACAGTACGCCCCCGCGCAACAAGCCCCCGCCCACCACTCTCCTGCGCAGTACGCCCCTATGCAACATGCCCCCGCACACCACTCCTCTGCACAGTATCCCCCTGCGCAGTACCCCCCTGCACATTACCCCCCTGCACACTACCCTCCTGCACACTACCCACCAACTCAACCAGGGCGAAGGTGAAGAATGGTTCGGGATTTGGGGCTCATCATTCGTACTGCGACTCTTCATGTGTCAGATGTACCATTAGCATATGCGTTCTACTTATCTCAAACATGTACAACATAAGAAAGGTGGTACATTGATTAGTACTTATCCTGCCCGACTTGAAGGCTTCATGTGTTCCTTGAGGATTTTAAGAAGTTCATTCCACATTCAATACAGTGCGGTGTTCGTCTTCCAGTGTCCGACGTTCAGGTGGCACCAACAATGCCATTTATGTAAATGACCTTTAGGAATATTTGCTCGAATGATCACTCACATATATGGTCGAGGTTCTAATGCCGATAATCACCGGGTTGACATTTGCCGCGGGGGGTGCACCCGGCACAGGTGCATATGCACTAATATAGACAAGTCACTGGGATCATTGGCCTCCTTCAGTTGCGCTTATGGTAATAGGAACGAAGTTCATTTGATACTATCTCTCGATCGAGAATGCATAGAATTTCCTATATTTGGTTGGAAGGTATTGTAGCTGCAGTGCTGGCCCCTGGGACCTAGTGGTTCAAAAATTCGTTCGTGACTTCACGGTGCCAATCAACACATATGTAGATGCACAGGATAGCACTGTACATTGACACACCGCGGTCCTTGTATGCTCGCTTCTTTCTCTCATCGTCTGGTCATTTGCTCAGAGCCTCAGACAGCAGTAAGTACTGTAGCATTTTTCTCAGACTCTTGAACAAGATTCAATACTGTAATGGCTAAAGTACTAGCAACTTATCACTCTTGCTACCTATCGTACGGTGGTTCTGTCCAAACGCGCTCAAGGGGACATCACAAGGTACTTATCTAAATAGCTGAACTTTAATGTCTTATCGAGGCGCTTACCCCGGACTTTTAATTGTTCCCCACAGCAGGTATGGCAATGCCTGGCAGGGCGCTAGTTGATACACAGGTAAGTAGAAAAAGAGCGCTTTCTTATCCGACGCCCATTCCAGTGCAAGAGATACCATTCAACCAGCTCGTCTTTGCTGTGTGTCAGATACATCTTTTGCCATATAACTGGCTTGAAACTCCTCTATCGTGACTTGTGAAACAACAATGACTTCAGAATCATACCCAAAAGATCTTCGACTTCAGAATCAAGGGTGAGCCAAATTGAATTCTCCTGTATGCGTCGATCACATTATTCATTTCCTCCAGAACCTTGCGAAATGATCCAGATGACTCCGATCTTTCGGATGAAGAAGAATTTGCTCCAGAGCCTAGAGGACTCAATCCAGGGTCCCATGACTGGGTTCGTTCATTTTAATACAACTAGTTAAAAGCGGCGCCCGATCTCAAACTTGGCGAATAGCTTTGCTGAGCGCGGGCCACAAGACCACCAACATGTTCGTGTCCCTGCCAAAAATGAGAAAAAAAGACAAAGACAAGGACAAGGACAAGAATCCACCCCCCAAGGATAATAAGATCAAGTACGTGCGAATATTGTAAGCGATTGTCACGCCCCATAATGACACATCTTAAAGGCATGGCAAGACCAACCAACCACCTCGCAACCCCAACCCAGACAAGTACAAATGATACATCAATAACTTGTCCCCCAAAGTCATATACCATTTCTGATGTTGCATTCGTGCTTCACGAAAGACTGGTATCTGGGGGGTTCTGTCGATCGAATATGTAGTTAGATACGATGTTCCATGTCTCAGTTCTCATCTAATCCAAATTGAAGCTATGTTTGACAAAACCAATTTCTCTCACAGCCATAAAACAGATGTCTGAATTGGAAAGTTGTAATGACAATGGAGTATGCAGTGCTGATGTTCTGCAAACGAAGCTATTGTTCAATGAAGCCTTCATAACTGCAGGCCTAGGTCGTGTTTTCAGCGTGGTGTTCTACCAGCGCAGTTGGTGCTGGGCAGAAGTAGACAGTGGCGCATGGGCTGGGAGACACAATCAGCCATTTGTAGACCCCTGGGGGGACGTCGGAGACTGCCTTCAGATCAACCACAGATCAACCTGTCATTTGACAGAACATGCCAACCCAAGGTTCGCACAGCTAGGAACACCATAGATGGACAAGTGGAGTTGCTCCACTCAACATCTAGGTGAAATTCCAAGACTGGAAACCCACTACTAATATCCTGCGGTAGAGGGTTCAAAAGATGACGACCGAATTGACAATCCAGGAATGAATGAACTCCGCGAGTGATTGACTGGACCTCTTACGCAGAGGCATTAGGGAACTGTCTTTACTAGTCTCTTGCGCCAGAAAATCCATTGGTGCACGAAGCTCCGCAATGTTGTCATATATGGGCCAATGTCATCACAAATTCCATAGCAGAAAACGCACCAATTGGATATTTGCTCCGCCTAACAACTGACAACGGGCAGATGTTCAATCCAGAACTTAGGTTCCATTTCTATGATAGAAATCATCCATGTAAGTAGAACAGCCCAGTTCAGTTGTCCGGACTCTTCAGCATGAGGATGCTTCTGTGTGGCAAGATACACTTGGACCTTCCATACAACAGCCTCTAGGGAACATGTAATATACTGAGAAGGCCTCGGAGTCTTTGATTCAACCGCTAAAAAAATTTGTACGAGCCAGGCAGCTGATGTCAATTTAAAAATCCGTATCGGTGAAAAATATTATCTGAAATGAGGCAGTTAGCTCAGTAAGACTCCTGCCACAATGTCTCAAACCTTTCGAAAGAGAACATTGCTTGTTATATACCAAAAACAACGTGCTATCTCCTGCGAGATACAGGCGTCCACGATCGAGGTTCATCGGATCCCTTCGATGCCTCTGCCCAAGGATCCCGTGTTTGGGATTTTGGTCTTTGATCAGATTCTTGAGGTTCCAGCTTTTGATCCATAGGCACGTTCTGCGACGCCGACGGAGACTGCGCTTCAATTTCAGAATTGTGGCTGGGGGGCACAGCTACCCGTCCCCTATCGGCACTTTCTGTCTGATACTTCGCTTCAAGGATGGCTGCATTTATCTTAACTCGTTGTTGACGTGCTAGATCCGCCTGCAACTCCTGTGTAATTTCACGTAAACGTGTCAGCATGAGGATAGTTTCTATCACGTTAGATGAGTGTGCCAACCTCGATGGTGGGCGGAATAGGCCTAGTATGCGTCAGCCATGCTGACCATTGTACTGTATACGATAAAAAAGAGAAGGTGGTATCAGAAAGAACGTAACGCCTGAATGCACAGACCTGGGAGGCGCCTTCCGCTGGCAACGTATGCCCACATATCTTCATTCTTTCTGTACTTCACCGTTCGTTTAGAACGTCCTTCATACATAAACAGCCACTTCATAAACGGGGAACATAATAGCGGTTCCATGACAATCGCACCTTTGTCAGTATTTGGACATTCAAAGTATTTGTTTCCTAAATTATCGGATCAAAAGACACAGGACAACGATATGTATTATGGGCGGAACATACCTTCCAAGTCTTTTCCAACAAAATATGACTATGAGGATCCGTTAATAGCAGAATTTAGATCGTGTTCGGCTGGTATCACATACTGGCTTCAATATTCGTTCCCACAAACGCCTCACAATTGACATGGTACCCCGTGCCGGCTGCGAGGAAGGAGGAATGAAATTTTTGAAACAGTTTTACAGCCTCAATTGAGAGGTCTGACTCTGACGCCTACTGTACTTCGCCGAACGGAACAAATCGTCTCGTTTGCCGTTGCTCCGATGTTGAACTAGTGCGCCACGGAGATTAAATATAAGAAGATCGGAGTGTGTATCAGTCAGCTTTTTATTTTCGGCAACCAAAGTTGCCGCGACGAGCGCTACTATCTGTGGCCCAGAGTTGCAAAACTTTTCGATGTTCGCGTGATAGCTCAACAACAACACAACATTTAAGCGACAACAGGGGGACGTAGGATTCAGTTCAGGCTTCAGCGCTATGTAAAACACATTTGCAAATTTTGTTGAGGCTACGTTGCCAGAGAGAAGCCGGCGTGAACGGTGTTTGAGCACAGGGTTGCAAAATTTCTCACCTGCATAGAATTGATCATGTCACACTGTGTCATACTGCCGTTTTTACTCTCCGACGCCGTCAAGTGTTGATTGAATGAAGTAGGGCGTTGGATGCCGAGCGGAGCTTGATGACTCCGACCACCAAATCACTCCTGTCACGCCCTGTGTCTCGACAGTACAACATTTGTGTCGCACAACACAGCTCGGTTTTTGTGTCGGAAAAAATTAGAGCAGTGTTAGAAGGTAGTGAGGAATCATGCGTAAAATTCCTGATTTTTTTTGGTCGATGCGATGGCTTCCCTGTGATGGATTGGCGTGGAAAGTACACTTTCTGAGCAGTGTTTTACTCCCACAAGCACTTCTCGTCCATTTTTTGTGAAATAAAAAATACAAACAGTGAGCTATGCATTGATCATCCTTCAGAATCATTGTGCAAAGAAAATGAGCGAAAGATGAGTGTGCTACATCGCATTTTGCAACTCTGGGCCAAAGATAGTACGTATAAGCTAGGGTTGAGCTAGGGAGTTTCGAGTGATCCGAGGACTACATGGCCAAAAACCACCAGCTCCAAAGTACAGCTCGACCAAAAAAAAATCGAGCCATGGAAATGCATTGCATTACTTCTACAAGGGGAAAGAAATTCTCAATAATCTCCAAGACCCTCGTCGTCATCTAAATCCCCCTCCTGGATTTCCTTTGCGAGCTCTTTCTCCCTTTCCCGTGCATCCTGCGCAGCAGCAAGCTCCTTCCGGTGTGCATTGAGAGGGTAGCGCATTGCCTGCAAGATCCAAGTATGAGATATGAAAGAGTTTCCAACTGAGAAAATTTTACCTTGACGCTCTCATTGTGCAAATCCAAGCAATACCCAATTCGTCTGCCAAACACCTCGCTAACCTCGGGGCCATAACCATTCTTCTGGCCACCGCATTCCATCCAACCTTTCTCATGGACGATTCTTCCCTCAATGACGCCGTCTCGAATAGCCTTACCCACAATATACTCCGCGTCTTCCTCGGAATCGAGGTGGAGTTTTAAGCATATATCACGCAAAGAAATCCTCGAGTACGATAGAGAAAGTCTCCGAATACCGGTCTTGATCACGTTCTGCCGGAGCCGGACAATCAGGGTGTAGGTTTTGTCAGCCTCGAACTGCGCCGCGTGTTTATTCAAGGTAGTCTGAAACTCCGATAGGGAGCCTGTCCGGACGGCTATTGAAATACGTCAGCGGTATTACTTTTGACGGCTAAAAATGTTCCTACCCTTCACGATATCGAAATAAGCACTCAAAGCTTTTTCTAACACAGGGTGTCGGAACAGACCGCGGTCCGGAATATCACCCATTAAAAGTTCAACGATCACAAAAAGCTTGTGCACGGCCTGGTAGAACCCTGGCGCGGTCTTTGCAGTCGGGGCGCGACGAATAGCCTGTTGCAGGTTTGTGTGCGCCGCAGTATAATTCAGTTGTACCGCTTTAATGCGACCAAGGGAATAGTGGTAACGGGCATACTGCGGGTTGCTCGCCGATGTGGGGAAACTGGTTTTGGACACTAGTTTGTCAGCCTGGTCGTAAAGGTTATAGTGTAGATAACCCCGCAGCAGGCGATTGATCAGCGACGCTTGCGTGTCATCGTCGTGGCGAAGGGACGCAGTGCGTTGCGCAGCGAGGAACATTCTGGAAAGTTGATAAGTTTGGAGCCTGCTAAATTTGCATAGATCTGAACACACGGGCGGGCATCTGCCAGTTCTCCACCGAGTTCGTATGATCGCTCCACGGCAAACCATATTTTGGCAGCTATTGGATCCATACTTCTGCGATTCATGGACTGCATTTTGTCGACAGTTTCGTGAGAGAGCTCGATTGATTTGGAGTATGTGTCTTTCGAGGAGTGGAGATGATGAATGATGAGGAGGCGCAGATAGATCTCAACTTCTGGTACAGGATCAGAAGCTGGCTTCGATGGAGGCAGAGGAGTAGAAGCATTTGTCTCTGATGTTATAGGAGCGGTATCAATCTCCATAGACTGTGCTGCGGGAGGAGTAGGAGGGAGCCATGATAGAATAGAATCCTTGACAGCAGAGTCTGCACAAGGTTGAGCATCTGAGCAGAAGGTGTGGATACACCACACACCTTTGGGATAATTCTCTTCGATGGCGTCACGCAAAACCTTGTCATTTATGCGCTTTCGCAACCCAGTAAGTGAACGTAATACACGGTAGGTGAACCGGGGTTCGACGTCGGTGATCGCGCGTTCGATGAGCGCGATGTTGGCCTTGATCTCCTGCGTAGACGTCGGTGGTGCGGGCCTGGGTTCTTCCTTCTTGTCATCCTTCTTTTCGTCCTTCTGGTCTGTGGCCTTCACCATCTCGACGTCGGGCATGATGGGAGGAATATGATGTTTGGATAATTGCGCGACGGTGACGCGTACTGCTGCTAGTCTTCTGCACGTGGCTGTGACTGGGGGTCGATTGGGGGGTTATTGGATTTTAGATTAGCGAAGTTAACGTGGACTCCATAGCTCAGTGGTAGAGCATACGATTGCAGATCGTGCGGTCCCGTGTTCGAACCACGGTGGGGTCTCTTTTTTTTCATTAGCCCGCGATTTCTTTTATTCTTAGAGCGTACGACAATAGTCATAGAATGAAATTGTTTGCCAAAGTACACTTCAAAACGTTGAGATGTAAAGCTGGCTGGGCTACTTGTTTAATTACGCTGTTGTATTAGGATCATGTATTATTATGAATAGATGATAAGCTTATGTATTAGTAGTTAACGCTTGAAGACACGTCACCCAAACTGGGACCACACACTTTGACCAAAACCATGGTATGGCGATTCTCTTGGCTGCTCCTTGCAGCGACTGTCCAAGCTGCCTCTCTGTCTCTTCAATCTCCTCGTTTCACAATTAGCGCATCGGATGCTACCCAGCTGCGTTCGGACACGTATGTACTAAACACGATCCTGTCGCAGTAGCACTCATGTACCACATAGGCTGTCCCTTACCAAAAGACCAGAGCCTCTGACTCTCAGTGCGACAGATACCCTCAAGCTTACATTCCAAATAACAGAGAGCAACGAGGGTAAAGGTGTCCAACCGCACCAAACGTTCCTACGATTCTATGACAAGGTGTCAGGCGAGGAGGGCATCCAACCTGTTAGGGTAACTCCTGGAGGAAAGGCCAAGTTTGAACTGGTGTGTTTCGTTAGTTCCGCTGTCGTAAGACACTTTCGACTTATCACTATATTAGAACATGGCCCGCCCACCTGCGTCCATCCCCCCAACTACGCACAATCCCCTTGAGGTCTCGCTCATCCTGGGCTCCTTCGTACACGAACCTGCAAAATACGATCTCTTCGACCTCTACATACCTGCCTCCCAAACGCCCGCCGAACACCCGGATGAAGTCTCATTCCACGTCCTCCCCGTCATCCAGCACACCTTCCGCCCCGATCAAAAATCACCTCCTCAGTTTATCTCTGCCGTGTTTGCGGCGGTTGTACTGTCCCCTTGGCTCGTGTTGATTGGACTGGTGCGTTTTTGCGCTGTCACATCACTTGTTAGCTGACGAACTGCGTTTCAACAGTGGAGTCAAATTGGCGTCAAGGTTCCCAACCTCTTCTCTCTTAGCATCATGCCCTTCACCGCCCTCCTTGGCGCCTTTGAGGTGCTACTTGTCTGGTACTGGGTAGATCTCAAGCTGGGTCAAGTGCTTCTATACGGGGGTATCCTTACCGTTCCAACCGTTTTCGCTGGTAAGCAGGCTCTGTACGCGACTGGAGAGTGGAGAGCTGGTCGGAAATGAAGGTGCTTGTGACTTTGTACTGTCTCGACCCCAGATACCTGTTCTGGCTTCGCCCTTATCATATTATTAAAATGGAATGTGACCCACCAGCAGGGTATGGCAAATCTAGCATTGTGAGACCAAGTAGGCAAGTGGAGATATCAACAGCTAGGAATAGGCAACGCATGAAGGCGTTCTATTGCCTCTCGTTCTCGAATCTGGCAGTGGTATCAACACGATAACGGTGTTCAAGACCAGATTGCAGACTTTTTATTATCAACTTCACAGGTCATGGAACTCCAGACATGATAGTTCTCGATCAGGCAAACCTCGATGGTTCCATTTGCCATCTGCTCTCGAAAGTCTCGGACCTTGGAGGTCTACACTTGATGACGGTCATGGGGCATTAGCCAAGACCCGATGTGCCACGTTGGCCAAGACTCTATCGTGACATATGTGCAACAAACGTTATATCAAATCATGATTCATTGTTCATCGCTCAGAGATGAAAGTATTTCCGCAAGTCGATTTCATCGCGTCGTCGCCTAGGACTTGATGTGATATTTTTGCACAGGAAAACACAGATATCGAGCCGACGTCAAGACGTTGCGCGCTCGTACTCCTTTTGGTTAAGCTCGTATCCTCGTCTATCCCCGAGTCGTCTCTCCATCGGACCTCTCGGACTCTTTAGGATGGTTTCGATTCCAACAAGTTCCAGGAGCGGCAACAACGGGGGAGGACGTGCATGCGTCTTAAGTATGGCTGCCTGTCAACACAAGGAAAGGAGGTCAGCCATCACTCCTACAATCCCGGTTATTTCATATTCATATTGAGCAGTCTCGAGCAGCCGTGACCCGTCACGTGACAATATTCACGTCGCGCGCGGCGTGATGACGGCCAATAACACCAGCGACTCGATCGGTGGGGTCGCGTCACATGCCAAGCTTCCAAGTCTTGCCAAGCTTGTGCTGCGTACGCCGGGCTACAGTGTAGCTAAAGAGACCGGGGTGGTCGGACTTTTTAACATTTGCGAATCGAGTAAGCTCTCCAAGAGTCATGACGTGGACAGGTGCTCGACACTCCTCGTCAAGTCAGGTCACGTCCGAGTTGTGGGGCGAAATTCAACACACAACCTGTCATTTGAAACATTCAAGGGATATACGCTTACGAATTTTCAAATGAAAGAAGAAGCAGACTAGCACTCGCATCAGATCATGTACGGCACCCAGTTATATTGTCCGACATCGCGGCCATATATAAATACATAATCTGTGTTAGAGGGTTTCTTGGTTCTAGTTAAGACTTAAAAGTCGCGTTTTTACCGCTTGCTCTCTCATCCGCGCCTCTTTGGCCTCGAGCTTTAGCATGGTTAACACCACTACTACAGCAGGCCTCATCGGTGTCGTTCTTCTGGCTCGTCACGGCGACAGAACAGAGTACTACCAAGACCCAAACACGTTCAACGCTACTCAAGCATACATAACTCCTCTTGGATCGGTGATTTTTCATTATTACACGGCACAATGTTGAATCATTGCTCATGGTGATTGTTTAGCAACAAGAATACGAACTCGGGCGCTTCCTTCGTGACACATACCTCAACCCTGATTCGCCATCGTTCATCCAGAACATCAGCACTGACGTGGTGAATATCGATCAGCTGGCAGTCCGCGCAGATGCTGGTGGAGGAAATGTTATCCTGGACTCCGCGTATGCTCTGCTTCAGGGTCTATATCCGCCCACAAAGAAGTCAGAAATGACCTTGGGGAATGGGCAAACGGTTCTCTCTCCTCTTGGAGGATACCAATATATTCCAGGCGAGTTGACCTACAGTCAAGGCTGCTCCTTCATTCTCTGACTAGTTCACTGTAGTGCAATCTTTGGAGTTTTGGCAAGCTCCGTCTCTTACGAGCTGGATGGATTGCGAGGTATGAAAAATGTGGTTTCTTTTGTGGTCGCCTCATAACGCCCGGGGACAGTATTTCCAACTCCACCTAGGACGACTTTACGCTGCATCTGCGTTCAAAAATATGTCCACCAAAGCCGAGCCTTTCCTGACTGCACTGAAACCTTACTTGGGGAGCGTCGATAACAACTTGACGAACATAGTATGTTATTCCATCGTGTTTTTGTAATTAAAAATTGACTTGATTATGCAGTGGAATGTAAGGGGGTTGATTTGAATGATTTGACACCGAGTTCAATATCATCTCGCAGATATATGACCATGTGAACGTCCAGTACACCCACAACAAGACTTATTACGAAACCCTGCCTGCAACTTTCCTGGAGCAAGCTCGCTATTATGCTAATTGGGTTCAAAACAATGTCTTCACTGATACTGTGCAGAATAGCGTCGGCAATAGTCAGTTCATATTCAATATGAAATTGCGCTTTACTAACATTGGGCAGTTGCCATTCGCACTCTTCTCCCGGAGATCTACTGGGCCTTAGGTAACATGACCCAGCCTTCTAACAAAGTCAAGATTTCTATTCAGGAAGTCGATTACAAGCCATTCATGGGTCTATTCAACGTGACAAACGCTACCGTGACTGATCCTGACATCGCCGGTATCGGTCAGTATTAACATTGTATGAGTTTAGGATCGCAAATTGATACCAATTCACAGTTGACTATGCTTCCGTTGTTGCATTCGAGCTGTCGCAGAACTCGCAAGGTCAACATGAGGTCAGCTTGAAGTTTAAAAACGGCACTCAAGACAGCGAGTTCCGTCAGCTCAAAATGTTTGGCAACACGAGCATCACCCTCGACAGTTTCATTCACCAACTTGCTGTGAGTCGTTCTTTACAGCACGTGCGTGTGATCTCTCGCTCATAGCTTCATTTAGTGGATCACAATCAATTCTACTATCAACTGGTGCTTTTCGTGCAATCAGACTGTCCTGCGCGGATGCTCTGTCTTTAACTATAGTGAAGATCCCTTCTTGCACCCGGGCACCTAGATGTCTTCAAGCTATCTGATGTCTTTTGATTTACTGTGATTCAATTGAATTGTTTTTGTGACTCAGTGTCAGAGTGAGAAAAGACGCGGAATCGACAACCACAACGACTATCAAAACAGACGACGTTAGTGAAACCGTAGATATCTACAAACATTTGAGTTGTACCTATCAAAACAGACGAGCGCAAGACTAAAGAAAGGAAAGGAGAAAATGTGGCGCATACTATACTAATAGGGAAACCAAAAAGGAAACTGAAATCCGTTCATGACACCAGTGTTCTGCCGGTCACTGACCACAGTGTTCATTCAGTGAACGCAAAGGGTGGGAAAGTCACTGACCGTCGGCAACATTCACCTGACTGTGAATTTGTAGGGTGCCATGAGTCCTCGTTGTCCTTATGTAGAAACGTAATGATCACAGATGATAGTAAGCGCAGTGCTTATTACTATCATGCATTGTAATAATCCATGCGGAGTCCTCATGCCTCGTCTATATAGTCTTTCGTGGCTCTCAACATAGAATCCAGCACCCGCTCTTTTTACTCATTCTCTACCTGCTCTTTACTCGTTCTCTATCATTCGAAGTTCGAACCGTCTCGTTGACTCAAGTCTCAAGTCACAGTGGCTGCTATCATGATCGGCAAGAAGAAGACTTGTAGTACCAGTCGGGGCTGGTGGTGGGCAGAGTTTACGGAACACCCTGGCTACGAGAGCTCCGAACTGGCATCAATGGTCCAGCAGAAGGCCAAAGTAATCTGCACTAGATTACTTGAACATCACATTGCAGCAGAACAAGTGTGTGATGAGCGCAGGGTACAGCTGGGATTGCGGGATCATGCACGAGATGAGTGTGCAATCACAGGAACAGGTAAAACTGTCTCAAATACTATCTATCTATTGCTAACACTTACTATTGTAGTATGGGCTACCGAGCAGCAGGATCTGCAACAGATCTGGCTTGTTGCCTGTCCTAGAACACTCATGACCCATATTCGAGACTGCGACCTGCATGTGGAGAGCGTTCGGTCGCGGGCACGAGGTGAACTTATGACACATGGCTCACCCAACAAATACACTTGCTTCAATCAACTGATGCAGCCGGTGGCAGAACTGTCTGTGCCTCAGTTGTATGATTCCCCTCAGATCACAGCTTCAATACCACCCCATGTTCCCTCTTCCGCATCTGCATCACCGGCGCTTGGTCTCTATATTCCAGGTTCTTCAGCATCTGCCAGTGGCTCCTTAGGGTTGTTATCTTTACCAAGTCCACTAGCATTTGACTCTCGCACACCCAGTCCTGCAATGTCTGATATCTCCCTCCTTCCGGTTCAAGTTCCCTCAAAACGCCAATGCATGAGCCATGCAGGGGCATACCGTTCTGTTTCACAGCCTGGGGCTCTTTCCTTGTCGCCTCACATTGGAGCTCACTGGACTGATGCTGACCAAGCGGATTTGGAAGCAGGGTTAGCTCAGGTGACTGCGAGCGCGGGATTACCACTCCAATGGGTTGAAAACCCAGAGTGGTTGAAGCTCTGTGTTATGACCAACGTCCCTTAACCTAACTAGTAGGTGTCTGGAGATCGGATCACACCACAGGACTCGTCTGAGAGAGGATAAAGCAAGGATAAGATTGAGAGGGAACGTCTAGGTCTACGATGACGTAAGAACGAAGAGGTTAAGTCTAAGGAGTACTACTGACTACGACCTAAACTATATACTACTCTCTAGGCGGAGATATCTGAGTATGAAAGGTTGTGATATATCTATATACGGTCATAACATTGCACCTAGGGTATAGGGCGTCTTATCAACCAATCAACTACAAGAAAGGAGAAAGGGTTCATAGGGTCAAGGGTATCGGTGATTAAGCAGGGTTCTCAGGGACTGCTTCTATTCAGGGTGGACGGAGATTAAGAAGAGTGAGAGAGTTCTGTGACAAGAAGTCTCAAGCGGTAATTAAGGATCTCGATAAGAGATGGGATCTGGAGATGTATCGGGTACGATCGGATCTAAGGGTTCTCCAGGGTCTTCGGTAATGAGCATGCTTCTCTATGAGTGGCGCTTCTGTGATAGGGGTTCAGGGTTTAGCTGTGACTGTGCAACAGGTTCTAATGTAAGGGGTTCGGTGAATGACAGAGGTAACTCTTAACATGTCATATGTGGGAAGTGAAGGTCTGCGATGTGAAGGGATGATGACTCTTCGAGAGATAGCTCGTAAAGGACTCTCGGTTATGGTTCGATCATAGAGGCATGTAGATGCTTATGATGTAACCCGTTGCCTAATCGTAGGACTTCTAAGGATGTGATGAGTTCGTATGTCTAGGGTTATGGATATAGATGGATGACGTTGATGTAGTATAGATGTGATGTAAAGATAGTGATTGTTAATCGGTTATCCATCTTATCTTATCAGGGATCTATCTAATCTAATCTTATCGGATAAGGTGACTTAGGGTTTGATAATCGAAATTTAGATGCATTTGGTAACATTCATGACACTCTGTGATAGGTTTATTCCTCGAGCAAAGGTTCCATCAGTGAAGGTCCTTACGAAGCGTGTTATGCCACAAGTCCTTCATGGCATCAAGGTCACCGCAATAGAGGAATCTCGTGGCGCAGTAGGAACCCTTCAGTGTGATGGCTGGACTGGTGAAAACAACCATCACTTAATCGGTTTTATGATGACGGTGAAACGAAAGGTAAGTATCATGCTGTTGTTTCACAATGTTTCCTGAAATTGTTTCGCCTTGCTACTAGCTGCATGCTGTGCGTGTTCATGACGCATCTGGTGACTCACATAATGCCGAAGAACTCCTCAAGCAGATCATCAAATCAATACACCGAGTCGAGAGCGAGTGGGGGGTAATCATTATTGCATGCACTACTGATGCGTCTGGAGAGTCTCGTAAGGCTCGGCGACTCCTTCGTGCGCAATTTCCACACTTTGTAACACCAGATTGTTTAGCTCATCAGGTGAGTTATTGATGTGGGAATCACATGCGAGTTACCTTTACCTTTTTTTTCAGTTTAACCTTATCGTTGGCGATCTTTTCAAGGCGAAAGACGACTATGGGCAATATGGTGATCTCGCACAGGAGTTAATCACGTGGCTCCGCAGTAAAACCCACGTTCTGGCTCTCCTCCACGAATTGCAGATGACGACTATTGGAAAGACCTTATCCATCATTCGCACGGTGCTCACTCGATGGCTATCACATTATTTAGCATACTGACGACTCTTGGATGTTTGGCCAACACTAGAGTTGTTGATAACGAAGCACGAGGCAGAATTACAATCTACTGGGGATTCCCGGTCACGAGCAAAAACCTCAGCCGCAATTGCGACCATCAAAAATGCAATGTTTTGGCACGCAATGGCTCGGTATGGATTTTTTTCATTTTGTAGTGTAATTTTAGCTGATGCTGAACCTTAGATGGAAAAACCTTTTGGAGCCAATCACATTGATGACAAACATTCACCAAGCTGCACACGCAAAACCTGAGTATATTCCAATCTCATTTGGGTTTCTATACCACCGTTACTCAAAAATTGGTGACAACACTGACCTTGTGGCTCAAAATGCAGTCCTTGAGAGTGCTGAGCGTCACTGGGCTCAAGTTGATCAAGAAGTCTTCATTGCTTCGGTTATTGTTGACCTGCTCTACAAAGACAAACCATTCAGCAACATTCCTCTGACAACCCGTGCGGGGCTAATGTCTCTCTTCAGTCGCCTCTGGAAACACTTTTATGGTGGAATGGCGCCACTTGAACTTTTTACGGATCTCAATAACTATCTGAAAAGTTCGCCTGAATTCCAGCCACTCGATATATACACACAAATCTTACTATCTCGTGCAAAGCAACAGGTAATACTACTACTCGAGCCCGTAATTCTGTGTCTAACATATCTCCACTTAACAGGGCACATCAGTTGATCCTCTTGATATTTGGGATGGATTTTCACACAGCAGCTCTGAAATCAGACCCCTCCAGAAAATCGCCCAGCGAATTCTCTCCATCTGTCCAAATTCGGCTTCATGCGAGCATCTTTTCAGTATTTTTGGTGCAATCCTCACAAAGTGGCGGAATTGGCTCTCTACTCAGAATCTCATGCTGCTTGCGGAGTTGAAGATGTACCTCCATGAGGAACATGTTCATGCAGGATCTGTCAGGAAGCGCCTGAAACGGTGTTTCTGTGAGAGCACGACAGGTGACTTGGTCAATGATCAGTCAGCAGAATCTTCCCACGTCACAGCCTTCACTGCAACTGCAGAGGATGGTATAGATGCCCTCAATGATCCCCAACAGACATGCAGTGGAGTTCACGAGCACAGAGGACTGCGACAAATTGCTGCGCACCTCATTCGAGTTGTTGAAGATGAGGAGGCATTCACGACATCCGAGATGATGGAGGCCGCTGCTAATCCTTCTGATTTTCAGCGCATTCCTATCAAAGATCTCTTCAATTTCTCTCGCGCTCAAGAATGGCTAGGGTCATTCTACCAAACAGCCGTCCGAGGCTTGGATGCCGAGATCGAGCTATACGAACTATTAGATTTGGACGCCGAGGGTATTGATGACCCAGAATTCCCGCAGGCGGATGAGATTTTGGACAATTAGAACTCGTATGACAAATTCGTGCTTACTAGGCAGGCCATAGCCAATCAGATTTGATTATATAATGCTTTCCCTCGGACTCCTGGTACTAGTACTATTCACATTCACCTGTGGACATGGAGACGTTCATTGGCGAACGTTCACTGACTCTGGCGAACGTTCGGCGACCGGCAGAACACTGCATGACACTCAGTCGCTTCGTTAACGTTGAGGCTACATATGTAGCATACATAACGTCCGGACTCCTAGGCTGGTTGTTGAAGTCCGAGCGATCCGTTGAGGAAGAGGCCGAAGGATCCGAGATAAGGTCCGAGCGCAATCTAGAGAGTGGCGGGCGAGCGACGCATTGACGTCGGCTCGCACCTGACCATATTGATCAAAGGACATGATCTATATAAATTTTCGTTTCTATCCTACCTAGCTTAAATAGCAGTTAGATTCGTACGAATATCTCAGTTCTGTCTAGAGACTGAGATTATTCATTCTTACTAGCTCGTTCGGTCCCGCTCTCGCCTAGATTCACTTTACTGGTAACCTCTTAGACGAATTAGATAAGTAGATAAGATAATTTCGTGCAGCCCTCCACCAGCATTGGGCTGGCGCACTGGGAGAGCTACCATGCTCGTCAACTGGGGCTGCCGAGCTTTCAGCTGCCTTGTCGAACCAGTCATTTCGATGTTATGAGTTACATGCGTTGCAATACTATCCTATCGGTAATCGGCACCCAACATGCAGAAGTCGGCAGCTCACATTTTGGCGGGAAAACGAATCGAATGCTGTAGACCGTGCACGTCCTAAGTATACTTGGAAGAAACGGCTATATTTTCATTCAATATTCCATCTATGATGTCTGTCTAGCTAAGGGAGACACACAACGCAAATATTATCCTACCCCTGACTCCATCACCCAAGGGTCAAGCCACCCTCGACCATGTCCATTATCGCCACCATCATCCTCCCACTCTGTAGTTCCTTCTCCCTCCTATAACAGTTGAACAGCGTACCACTGCCCTCCACTTTTATTGCAGCCTACAAACCCGGTGCTGTTGACTGGACTGCCGCCTTACTTATTGTGTGTACTCGCGGACAATGCTTCTCTTGTACCCTTCCGGCTTCCTCCTTCCTCCTTCCTGCTGCCCACCCCCAATTTCCTATCTCACTCATTAGCAAATCGATGAGTTCTTGCTAGCGATTATGTAGATTGCGGTGGTTTTACACGATCATATATTGCTTTGTATTCCAATGTGACGAAATGCGAAACTATATATGACTTTATATCGTGATATATGACAATATCTGCGGCTCACCGGTTCTCTAATGTCGCTATTACACAACGTAGCTGACAAGGTTTGTCGAAATTCGAGGTCTTTTCATTACATTCTTACATTACACTTACTAAGCTGCTGATACGCAGTTTGCGCCGTGGCTTGGGCCGCTTGGCCACAGCCGAAGTTGAACGTTGCAACAGTGGTGGAGTGAGAACAGAGCACCACACACTCCTCTGGAAGTCATAAGTAACTCCTCGTCAGTCACGGTCGAATCGTGGCCCTCCGAAATTCGACACACCAGCTATCATTTGAAACATTCAAGGGATATAGGCCCACGAATGTTCGAACCGTCGCAAGCGAGTCCAACTCGCCTCGAACACTAGTGCAGGCTAGCACTACTCGCTTCAGTCCATACGGCATCCACTGGTTTTTTTTTTTGAATCTAATTTATGTCCATTGGGGTAATATACCCTATGTCGGACACACTAGCTAGTCTAAGGGGCCCCTGCCCCTACGATATCTCAAGACTCGCGAATGCCCCTACGTGGGTGTTACCCCCGCAGGTCCGCCGGCCGTTTTAGACGCGCAGTCTTTCGAAGACTGTTCTCTCTGGTACGAAGTTATGTAGGTGTCTGTCGTAAGTGGTAGTCTGAAGCGCGTACTCGACCGCCGAGGCAGTCAGTACCATCCACTGGTTATTGTCTGACATGACGGTAAGTATATAATCTGCATTTGTGGACCGGGGTTCTCGATTCCGGTCAAGGGGTCACGTTTTCGCTGATTCCTCTTTCAAATTCGCGTCGCTTTGGCCTCCAGCTCCAGCATGGTTAACACCACGACTACAGCGGGCCTCATCAGTGTCGTTCTTCTGGTTCGCCAAGGCGATATAACAGAATACTACCAAAACCTCAATACGTTCAACGCTACTCAAGCATACATAACTCCCCTTGAATCGGTGATTGTTTTGCTACACGGCATAATGTCGAATCATTGCTCATTGTGTGTTTACTATTTAGCAACGAGAATTCGAACTCGGGCGCTTCCTTCGTAATATATACCTCAACCCCGGTTCGCCATCTTTCATCTAGATCATCAGCACTGACTTGGTGAATATCGATCAGCTGGCAGTTCGTGCAGATGCTGGTGGAGCAGATGTTGTCTTTGGCTCCGCGTATGCTCTGCTTCAGGGTCTATATCCGTCCACAAAGAAGTCAGAAATGACCTTGGGGAATGGGCAAACGGTTCTCTCTCCTCTTGGAGGATACCAATATATTCCAGACGAGTTGTCAATGCTGCTCCTTCATTCTCTGACTAGTTTACTGTAGTGCAATCTTTGGAGTTTTGGCAAGCTCCTTCTCTTACGAGCTGGATGGATTGCGAAGTATGAAAATGTGGTTTCTTCTGTGGTCGCTTCATAACGCCCGGGGACAGTATTTCCAACTCGAGTTTACAGTGCATCTGCATTCAAAAACATGACCATCGCAGTCGAGCCCTTCCTTACTGCCCCAAAACCTTACTTGGGGAGCGTCAGTGACGACTTGACGAACATAGTATGTTATTCTATCGTGTTTTTGTATAAAAATTGACATGATTATGCAGTGGAATACAAGGGTTGATTTGAATGATTTGACACTGAGTTCAAATCGTTTCGCAGATATATGACCATGTGAACGTCCAGTATGCCCATAACAAGGCCTGTTATAAAACCCTGCCTGCGACTTTCCTGGAACAGGCTCGCCATTATGCTAATTGCGTCCAAAACAATGTCTTCACCGATTCTTATGGCATCGGCACAAGTTGGTTTATATATCTTCAATAGGAAAATGCAGTTCACTAACATTGTACAGTTGCCATTCGCACTCTTTTCCCGGAGATCTTCTGGGCCTTGGGTAACATGACCCAACCTTCTAACAAAGTCAAGATTTCTATTCAGGATGTCGACTACCAGCCATTCATCAGTTTGTTCAACGTGACAAACGCTATCATGACTGTTCCTGACATTGCTGGTATCGGTCAGTATCAATAGTGTATAAAGCTCAGCACCGCAGACTGATGCCAGTTCACAGTCGACTATGCTTCTGTCGTTGCCTTCGAGCTGTCGCAGAATTCACAGGGTTAACGTGAGGTCAGCTTGAAGTTCAAAAACGGCACTCAAGACAGCGAGTTCCGTCAGCTCAAAATGTTTGGCAACACGAGCATCGCCCTCAACAGTTCCATTCACCATCTTGCTGTGAGTCGCTCATTGTAGCACCTACGTTGTGATTTTTCCCTCATAGCTTCATTTAGTGGACCGCAATCAATTCAACTATCAACTGGTGCTTTGCGTGCAATCAGACTGTTCTGCGCGGATGCTCTGACTTTGACTATGGCAACGATCCCTTCTTGCACCCTGGCACCTAGATGTCGTAAAATTATCTGGTGTCTTTTAGTTTGCTGTGATTTAATTGAATCATTTTCGTGATTCAGTTGCTTCTGTTGAGGGTATCTCTTAAAGAACTTGTCGTTGAACAGTGAACACCATCGCCGAGTGGTATATGGATGGTACTCCATCGTGAGTACCGGTGCGCCAAAGTTTATCCTTTTCATAAACAGAGCTCTATTGTTTAGCAATGCTAATGACTGCCCATGAAATCTCAAAATCAAAGGATAGTATCATCAATTAACGAAAGCTACTCTTGCAAGTCAAAATGTCAACGAGAGGTATTGTTCGAGCTAAAATAACGATAACAATAAACGAAGGACTGCTCATGCAAGGTGATATGTCCGGGCAATGTAATGTTAGAACCAACTCTAAACAATCAATGACCATTAGGATACTAGACTCTATAGGAGCGCAGGGATCGGCGAAATAGCTGGTAGAGGAACGCTGATGGGGCTCTCCGGGGAGAATGGTTTAGATGGCACAAGGTTGCCCGAGCCATAACAGGCTTTGGCAGGCGGCGCCTTGAAAGGGTGGCACTCCGTGTTGAAGACCCCTAGTAAAAGACGTCAGTTACTTAGGCTAGCGAGTTATGGAAGAAAAGCTTACAGTCATCAAGCGAGATGTGATCGGGGTCGTCAAATGTCAAGTAGCTATGCATTTTTATCAGAGGTCCAAGACTCTCACATGCAGCGATGCGATACTCACAGGTACTTGAGGACCTCGGCGAACCAGAAACTTTCCATGTCATCGATTTTGGTGGAATCCACGTTGTTAACGTCCCAGATACCTGTGTAAGCAACAGTTGTAGACAGGTACTTCTTGAAGTTGCTAGTGGCACTAGCAGCATTGTCGAGGTACTTGGTATCACCAGTCACACGCCAAGCATAGAAGTTCGACTCAAGGACTTCAGGACGAAGATAGTAATCGGCACTGGTGATATAAAAGCCATGCTTGTCGTAGAAATCGAGTTGATCTTGGTTAGGAGCACTGTTACCGGTGTAGTTGCCGTCGCTGGACTTGTATGCGAAAACTTCAGGGCCAATACCAGTACTGGAAACAAGGAATCAGCGAAGTAATGGATGGCGCGGTGGGAGGGGGCGTACGCAGTGCTCGCATATGTGTTCCAGCATGCATCGGTGAGCTGAAGACCAAGATTAACCAATGTGTCATTGTTGGTGAGTTTGCCGCCTGGGATTGACATCAAGCTCAAGTCTACAGGGGAAAGAGATGGAAATAAGTACCAAGAATCCAGTTGCCTCCGTAGAAGCAAGCTAAGTGAGACCCCACATGACGAATGTTCTTGTTATCGTCATAATCAGCAAGGTACAGCCAGTCATCGACAGTTGAAGTCTAACGCGAAGCATGAAAATGTGAGGCCACTGAGATGAAGACGTCTACATACTCTTAGGAGCGTCTTCATGGAGGTATCAACGGCGGTCAACCACGCATCGGCATACGAGTTGTCGTCGGTATTTGTAAGGCGGGCATATTTTATCAGATATTCGAAGTAAGAGTCAGAACCTCCGCCCCAAGTCTACAAAGGAGGATTAGAATATCCATATACGTAGCTCCTGACAAACAACCGCACTTACCACATACCCACCGATAGAATCACCAGTCTTTGGATTGATGCCTTGAGCAGGCATACCGGGGAGAGGGGCCGGCTGAAAGCATAAGGTGAGAACCAACATCAAAGTTGGAATCCTGCTTACCATTTGAATCATAAATTGAACAGATTTCTCAGCCAATTCCCGGTACGTGGAATTTCCGGTATGCTTACTTCACGTCCAGTTCATTGAAAGGGCTGGACAAGCGAACGATCCACATACCTGAGACGATTCCACTCCAGGGTAAGCTATGGGACAAATGTGAAATTGGCTCTGCGGTTATATAGTATAGACTCACTGTACCAGCCTCGGCGATGTTTGACTACAATTGAAGATGAGTAACATCGAAACTTAGACGTTGGTGAACTGCTTACAGTGTCGAGGGTGGGTTGGTGGTCCGTAAAGTCTATATAACCATACGGAATAGATTGGTTCTATAAAAGGGTTAGATACCATTACACGCATGCAACTCTATAACGCACTGCCGCAACCCATGCATAGGCCATTTGATCGGCGAGGTCCTGGGCCTTTTCAACCAGAACCGGATACTTCTCCCCGCTGAGCTCATACGCACTTAGGAAGCCTCCAACATAACGAATAGTAGTTTCAAACAGACTGCACTTAATCAGCGAGATAACTTAAAACTGAAAATAGGGTATCAGGGTCACCTGACGGTGTCAGAAGTTTGCGAAACGGTAAAGTTGGTGTTAGCAGTGTGCTCGACAGCTTTTTCAAACCAGTCCTGGTCACATTGTAAAGGTGAGTCAGTGTTAGTTCACGTCTTGCATGAGGAAACATACTGTCAACCCCATAATCCACTGCACCATGTGTACAAGTCAGTTGGGCTCTGGATGAGGTTCGTTACTCACCATAGTGCCCATAGCGTCGGCAATAGAAGCGCCCCATCCGTTCCGTCCATCAAAGTACTTTTTTGAAATGGGCAACAGATCATCATGCCCCCAGGCATACGTCCTGCACGCAAAATGGTAAGTGGAGGTCAAAAGAAAGACACTGAGACGTACTGGTAAGCCTCGTAGCTCGTGACAAAAAGATCCTTGACTGCTTCCTGGTGGGCGGCGGCACTGGCGGGAAGTTGCAAGCCTGATTTCTGAACTTGCTCGGCCGTGACGACAGATGCAGCGAGAGCCGCTAGGAACCAGCGTCTGAAAGACGCCATCAATGGGCAGGAAGTTGGATGGGGAAGAACGAACTAGATATGGTAGAACCAACATGAATTTATAGCCTATAAATTTATAGGCTTGGTGCCGTACGTTGCTTTCATCACCGTGGTTCGCGAGTGGCAATATAGTAGGAGCGCGAGCTTCGCGAATTCTCGCCGACTCATCCCTGGACTTCATCACCAGGCGTCAACCCAAACGTATCGGGGATCCCATGTGGAATCCATCCCCGGTATCATGATGTGGTTGGGGGATATCGGCATGACGGATTCTGACAGCAAACCCGTTACGTTACAGTTGCAAGAGAAGCTCCTGCAGATGCCGGCTGGAGTTAATTTTGAAGTACAGTTTATGGTCCAACTTGTGCGACTGTCATAGAGTCGTTTGCACATGAATTTCAGTTGCGAGAGCGCGCAACCGTATGAACGTGGTGCACATCACGGTATGTTTGTCCATGTGGTACTTATGAAAGTCGAAAATACAATGAACGGCGAACGGTTTTGATTGGCTACCTACCGACTACAACAATCATGTAATCGGACTTAGCGCGCTGATACAAGCTGAAGATCCTATACCAGAATTCGAGATGTGTGTTTTCCCCATAGACCGCACACTTTGACACAGTACACCGAGCTCCACCATCCTACCCACGTTCCAGGGACACTTCACAAACCATTCATCATACCCCTCGCTAGCGGCTAAACCCGCCTGGAGGCCAGATCTTGCGAAAGGACCGCTACATGAAATTGGCAGCGGGAAATATGTCGAGCAAACCTTGGACTTAGGCTATACGAGTAGCAATTGGAATCCTTGGATCAATATTTCTGCAGGAAAATGTTGGCAAAATGTTCTAATACTGGTGAATTTTCGTCCAATCATGAGCTCGTACGAAAGCATGACGGCCTTCCACCGGTGGGAGAGTTGGAGTTTCCACTGGGTTGGATGCACCTAGCGACTGCTGCTAGCTGCCGGCCACCTTGAAGTTCAATAACAGAAGCCAATGGTACGTGTGATCATCGATATCATTCTTCAGTAAGCACGAATGGTATTACTGCACGACAGATTCCATTGAAAGCCTGATTTTACACTACCGTACGATCTGGTGCGAAAGGCTCGCAAACTCTTTCAATTCTGGAGCCAGATTCCCGTACCACCCGTACCGACATTGTCGTCATTAGCTGCAGGAACCTCATCAATGAGTTCGACACTACAAAAAGGCGAAAGAAAGACTGACATTTGAACTACAAGGAAACATTTCGCGTCATGCAAGTCTATGGCTTGAATGTGCTACACTCACAACAGCAACAATCTTATCCTGGTCATAGAACTCAATCATGACACGCCCGGATCCCCCTTCTTCATACGGTGCAAAGTGCTGGTACCAGAACTTGTTCGTACCCGCCAACGGTTCTTTGCCCTGGAAGTACATTTTCCCATTCTTCATTATATTTTCTGAAATTTGAAAATTGTGAATTAGCAAATGAAGTCGACAAAGATCTTGCGTACCATGCAGATGTACGACGCCTGATCGAAATGCCATATCCCCAGCATCCAGTACAAGGCCGCTTTCAGTGACAAGGACAGATGCATCAAGATTTGGAACACCATCAGGCCTGTGAAGGAGTGAATCATGTGCAAAAACACCAGGGCTGTTCTGTGCAGCCCCGTGTTCTTGGTTGATGACAGGTGAGAATGCTGACTCTGCAGAGAGGAATCCTAGGCCTAATTTTCAAAGTGATGGCATGTCTGCTAGCGAAAAGGGGTAAAGGTGGAGGGGATATGTGCATGAATGCCCTCGTAAATACGCATGGTGTTACCGAGTTACTACTATTAATTACCGTTCTGCTCTAGCTCGGCCGTGAACCGAAGGGGAGCAGAGGAGGTGCTATCCAGGTCTCAAGCTAGGCCTCAAGAATTAAATAGGTTTAAGTAGGTGGTAACTGTGCGGAAATAGTGCGTCAAGTGATCACGACGAGCCCTTCAATTTGAAGTTGGTGTCCAGCCTACTGGTATATATGGATAGGTCTGCTGGTTACTGGCTATTCAAATGCCAGAACCAATTCCCGTTCTCCATATTGAAAAGAGAGACGTTCAGAACTCCTGTACCATGATCAACCTATCGATAGTTTATGACTTGGTTCAAACTTTCAGCTTTGCTTTGGGACGCCTGGCTATTAGTAACCCAGATCGAAGCGCGAGCAACGGTTCAGGCTGAACTCTCCCCCCATGACAATCCCCCTCTTCGGGATGTGAACAGTCAAAGTGCGCCCCCTGGTTGGTGTTATTTTGTTTGGGTCCAGCTTATATTCTTTTCGCAAAAATGACACACAGGGGCCGCAACGATGGGTTGCACACCAGTATAATTATGAGGAATCTCTTTTCATCTCTCTAGATAGACGTCCTATGCCATATATTTTTACTTGGTGTAGAGATTCACGACGTAACTGTATGCAGTGAAACGGTGAAGCTCCCGATAATGAAATGGTAATACACAGTTGGGGTGAACTATTAGGTATTACAGTATCTAAGAATTAAGTAGGAAGCCCGATCAACCGAACGCACAATAGTAGCCTTATAAAGAGAAAGATAGAACACCGCAATCTAGAGCCTAGACACTCCATCCGCCATCTCTCGCCTCTTCCAGCAGAATGACGCCTTTCGCGTTGAGACCGATACCCTCAGCAGTCGCATCTGTCACAAACCGATCAAATATTTTAGAGGCGCCGACTATACTCCCCTCAGGGATCCAGCTAGCTTGCGCGATCGCATACCTACAGCGGAAAGTATCAGGTCGCGGAGCCAGCACGTTACCAGAAAGAAGAGTACGTACCCCTCCCATTTCACCAAAAACAGGTATCCAGCTGCCCCGATAGTTTTCCGCCCGACTAGGCGCTCGATGATAAACTCTTCTGGTTCAAGCTGGGTATGTGAACAATCTGGACGGGCACATGTTCCATCGCGCTTGCGCATGGTCTGACGTTTTGCACCTAGATAATCAATTGAAGTCAAACATAGCAGGCAGTGGGATATCATGAACACCTACTTAAGACGCTAAAGAGTTCAAGTCCATTCATTGAACGGAGGAGGTATGAATCAACAATAGACACGTACCAGCATGGCGGACAGATGAAGACAGATTCTGGCTCCAAACGAGGATCTCCCTCACCAATACCAACACACCCAAAGTGATACCACAAGTCGCAGCTACACAAACTAAGGATCGACCATAGGGCAAAGCGACAAAAAGACACTGACTTATCACACTGTACAAACTGCCATTGAAACGATCCTTCCTGTTCGGGTCTTGCAGGCCACTGACACATCTGAGCCTCGTCCTGGGTCGCTAGTGACTTGGACTTTCTCTTCTGCGGCCGCCGCGAATTGGGCTTTCCAATTCTCTCAGGCTTCTGGGCTTTCTGGGTGTTGATTTGCTTCGCCTTCCAGCTTAGAGGTCGTACCCGTTTCTCAGGCGCAATTGAATCCATCCCCAGGCTCATTTGCAGGTTTCTCTGCACTTTTCATCTCTGACGTGGTCACGAAGGTCTGCGCTGGCTCGCTGATCGTTCCCGTACCACTGGCACTGGCACTGGCACCGGCATCGTCCACGTCCATCGGTGCCGAAACGCTCTCAACTTGGAGCGTCGTCACATTCTCCGCCGATGCGGAGGAACATGAGGATCGGCGCATTGGATCTCCTACACTTCGGCGTTGGAGACGATGGGCCAGATGGCTGAATGAAGGAGTCGCGTCATCCACGCTGAATGACGTGGCATTCACATCTCCGTGGAGCCTGGTTCTCTTGCCTGGAGACTGCGACTGGATCGCTGACTCCGATGAGTCGAACTTGCGCTTGGAGTCGACCTTGCGCAGATCCTTCCTCGCGAGCACAGAGAGCTCTTCGATGGATGCGCGTGATCCGCCTCTCGGAGATAACGCACTAGACTCATGCGGATCCGTAGATCTCAACATCCTCTTCTTCTTCTGATGCACCAATACCGAGCGTGTCTTGTAGAAACCAAAGTCTTCGTTTGAATCGAGACTGTCTGTTCTGCGCAACTCCACCCCAGTTTTATTTCGCCCTTCCCCGTCTCCAGCTTTGGTTTCCCTTTCCAGTGTCGGTGGAGACTCACCTAGGGAAGACAGTGGGGATAGGGAGTTAAATCGGTATGAAAGAGATGACGGTGAAACTGCGGGGGGTAGGGTAGTGACGGTAAGGGGGGAGTGACCGGGACGCGTGTCTTCAGGTTGGACTGAGAGCGTGGTAAATGTATGAATGTCAGATTCAACGTGTTCCTGGTGATCAGTGGTCACTGCATGTTCTTGCTCCACATGTATCTCTGCAGGATCTGACTCCGCAAGGTCCTCTGTACACGTACTTCTCAGAGCAGAAGTTTCTCCATCAGTGTAGCCGTTCATGAAATCCGCAAGCTCCGCAAACGTCGAGCGATAAGCAAGAAAGCCGTGCCCATCATCAAGAATCTCCCTTGATTCCTGTGAAGTAGGGCCGTCTCCTTGGTCCTGTATCCCTGGACACGATGCCTCCAATTCGGACTGTAGAGGCAAACACACAGAAACATCCTCCGGGGAGACCGGCGGGGGCGGGGACCCACTCTCACTCTCGGTAGAGGGAGATATTGCTGCGAGTGCTGTAGCAACGGCCTCTTCATCTCGAAACAGAGAATCTGCGGGCGATGGTTCACGGGAATCCCCAGCATGGAGAGGCTCGCACTGGTCCAAGTGGTCGGCATTAATGTATGGCAGATTTGAGGGAGTTGGCTGGCGTGGCTCAGACAGAATAGGTTCGGGCTCAGGCCTGCACGCTGTCTTCTGGGTTTGAAAGGTGTTCTTGATGATGCTCTTGTGAGCAGCCGTCTCGCGTGTCAGTCTGGCCTTGAGTGTGTCGTTTGGCATGAGTGAAGGATCAGAGCGCTCTTCTGCTGGCTCAACAGATTCTTCGAGCGCCCCATCGAGACCTCCACCCTCAAGCTCTATCTGCAAGCCCCTCTGTCACACGCTTTCCAGATTCTTCGAGCGCCCCATCGAGGCCTCCACCTTCAAGCTCTAACTCTCCAGAATGTTCACCGTCCAGGTTCATGCAGCTTATCAAGTTCTACCTTGCCTGATACCCCAGCATCAGGTGTATGGTCAAGCCGCACGCCCACTTCTGGACTCGATCCACGTGAATCCGCGTTCACATCCCCAGACCCATGGGTCCACGTTGATCCTTCACCACGAGGCTCTCCACCCTCGCGCATCCTAGCCACACCCAAACCAGGCCACAGCGGGAGTTCGCACCCATGTATGAGCCTCCGCAGTGCGTTCAAGTCCTCAGGAGGTGCCCGAGGTTCGAGCGCAGGCAGCGAGAGTTCTGGCTCTACTCCAGGCAAAGATGGCTCTTCAAACGACGGTGGCGGAGAAGAAGACGCGTCCGTATCAAAGGAGATGCGCGATGAATCACCGATCATACTTTCACCGCGCGCCTCAAACGCACGCAGAGAGATCACTCCCGACTCTCCAAGTTGCGCCTCAGGTACAGGCGAAGATGGGTCTTCAAATGACCGCGACGGAGACCCTATGTCGCCGGAAGACGTGTCTGTATCAAAGCACATGTGCGATGAATCATCGATTGTACTCTCAACCTGTGCCTCAAACGCAAGCATCGGGAGTTCTGGCTCTGCCCCTGACCGTTCGGGTCGTGCCTCATGTACAGGCGCAGATGTCTCTGCACCCGCTTCAAACGACGGCGATGGGGGACCCATATCGCCGGAAGACGTGTTCGTATCAAAGCACATTTGCGATGAATCAGCGATCGTACTTCCATCCTGCGCCTCGAACGCAGACAGCGGGACTTCCGGACCCAGTCCCCGATTCTCCAAGTTGCGCATCAAGCACAGACGCAGATGCCTCTGCATCCCGCTTCAAACGACGGTGGCGGGGAACCTACTTCGCCGGAAGATGTGTCCGCATCAAGGCACATGGGCGATGAATCAGCGATCGTACTTTCATCCTGCGCCTCAAACGCAGGCTCTACTCCCGACCCTTCAGGTTGTGCCTCAAGGATATGCGGGGATGCCTCCGCATTCGCTTCAAACGACCGTGACGGGGAACCCATCTCGCCAGAAGACGTGTCCATATCAAAGCACATGCGAGATGAATCATCACTTGTACTTTGAATGTGATCCTGGGTTTCCTCGTCAGGGCTTTGCTCCTGCGAGTCCATACACTTGTCACGATACTCCTCGTGTCCCCCGTGTTCGCGTTGTGTGTCACAATCCACACACGGTCCCTCACAATCCATTCCCCTTATATCCTCGTGGCGCAATACAGCCACGCGTTCCCGTGTGAGTGCGAAGACGGGTGTTGGGGGTGGGCTCGCGAGGTGCATGATATCGGAGTGGGCGGAAGAAGACGAAAGTGACGATGAGGGTGGAGTGGGTGGGATAGGAACGAAGTTAGAGGCAGGGCGTAAGATGGTATGGTTAAACGGGAGTGAGGTTGATGACGTGGAATGTAAGGTCGATGCAGATGGGAGATGTGATGGAGCAGGGTTGTATTCAGAAGACGAGGCATAGTTGGGGGATTTGAATGCAGGTGGCATGGATGCGCGTGCAGGGTTGTGAACCAAACCAGCAGACAAAGGTAAGGTGGGATGAAATGATGAGTGAGATGTGGCGCTGAATGACGTTGTGGATGAGGTTCGATCGGGACCATCCAGACCCAGTCGCGAGCCCGCCCAAGACCAGAGCTTCGACGCGGGCCTAATATTTAACTCATTGCTATCGCTCGCCATACTGAAACTCTCATCGTGAGGAGTGTCAGGGGAGGGAGTTGGGAGCGGTGAGGAACAGAAACGATCTGGTCCATTTGCGGGGACATCGGTGTGTAAGGGAGTCATTAAGCGAGAGGAAACATCGGTTACAGGAGAAGAGGGGGCAGTGTTGAAAACCTCAGGAAGCATGGTATAACCCGGAGTAGTTGAAGACTCTGTGCTCGCAGATAAGCTGGGATCTCGCTGAACACTGCGCATATATTCTTGCGAGTGAGCGAATGCTGTTGGGTGCGTGCGTTAGTGAGTTGGAATTTAGGGACTGGATATATGCGCGCAAACTGATGAAAGGATGAGAGATGGAAGGTTCTGGAGGCTTGTAGGGGTGGGCAAAGAAACAAAACCGAAAAGGGAGAAGAAAGCTTACCCAAAGGACGATGTGAGTTAACAGCTGCGAGTACGTGTGCAGGCGTTCATCAGGTAAGATGACCATTGTAGAGAAGTCGATGACCGGCGTGAACGCCACAGTGAAAGTAAGTGAAATATTTGCACATGACATGATTAGAAACAGCGACAAGGTTGTATTTACAGTCTCAGCATGAGATGAAGAGTAGAAAGGGAGAAACATACGGTTCGCGTTCCAGTCAGCAGGGGCGAGCCCGTCAGGAGAGTACGGCGTAGAAGGAAATAAAGGCCGAAATAGACATGCCGATGAGGACGGTGGCACGATGGCGGGGAGATGGTCATCTGTAGCCGTCGATACGTCAAAGTATTCTAAAGCTAAATGTATCGGCCGTCATCATCAACTGATATCAATAAGCGCACCTTTTTGAACTGGAGATGGCGTGCGTGTGTTAGTGCTTGCATCATAGGCATACCACAGGGTTACCTATTCGGAAAGTAAAGGTGAGAATGAAAAGTGAAACAAGGGTTGGGAAACGCACGGCGAGCGGTATCCAAGGTCGAAACATGTTCGAGCAACTCGCTGATCGTGTCATCCATCGCCGCCAAGCGACGAACTATGCCCCCCTCCGATTTTACTGTATCTAATTCTGAAATTTTGGCCTTCCTGCCGCCGCGGCCTACACTTCCACAAATGACACCTTCCAAAAGTTTGACCTTTGTGACCAACTCATTCAAGTTCTTTGACATCTTTTTCTGCTCGTCATTGGAGGTTTCCACACGCTGGAGCACGGTCTTGACATCTGTACAGAGCTGGGGCAACGAGAATACCAAGGGTGTGGGGTACGTCGGTTGAGATATCAGTGTGGTGGGAGGGGACACACCAGTTGGTGGTGTAGATGTAGATGAGATCGATGGTGATATATTGGGTGGAGGATTTGACAGAGACTGAGAAGGTGGAATTCGAAAGCTGGAATAAGACATCACAAACGACTGAAATGCAATGATATCACTGTCAGATCGATGGTTTCTACGAATTGACTACGTACGTACAATTGCTATAGAAGAAGATTCATCAGAAGTTCTCGAAACACTTTCAACAACTTCCAGATAATTCAATATCACGTGACATCCGAGCTAGCTAGCATCATCGCTCGGCAGGCCATGATTTCAACCTTCCTGCTCCATTATAGAGAATCCAACGAGGAACATCGTCAGTGAAGATGTATTACGAAAATATGACTACTTCTTTACTTATGTCATTATAGAGATCGCTGAGGGTCAGTGTATAGGAAAGAACACCTCGATGAATCGTGCAGTGTACGCGCGAAGGCTGTTGCGAGAATATGCCAGAATTAGTTGTGTCACACGGCCTCCTAGCTAAAGTACAGCTTATCCCAGTGACCCTCAAGAGTACAAATATTCTTCTTCTTCAGCTCTAGGTGCCACTTGTATGTCCAACTTCAACGGTCTCCCTTTACTCAGCGGTGCTTTACCGTCGCCTGCAACCAATCGCACACCTAACGCATGTAGGAAATGTAACAAGGAATTCATCCCTTTCTTTACGCGCGCAACCCGCTGTAATCACTGTGGTCAGTTCAACATCTGCGATCGTTCATTACATTGGCTAATGATTCAAAATCGCCTTCGATCGGCGTGGTAGGCTACTCATACTTGTCCGAGCTGCGCAGACTACCAAGCGCTCATGCCCCGACATGGCACAGCCTCTGGCTATGACCTAGTCCACGTCTGTGCTTTCTGTATCGAACTCCTTAACAGTACGCACCTCACCCTGCCATCAACATTCTCCGATCTGATGTCTTGCATTCAGTAACTGCTTCCAGTAAGTATCAGCTCAAGACTCTGCCGCTCTCCAAGCTCCGCCGCTATGTCGACGCATACAATATCCCCGTCAAAGGCCCTATCGACAAGAATGACCTCGTGGATTCCATCATCGCTGCAAAGGTGCATTCTATCCCACCCTCATATAACCTTATATCGCTGACTTCCTCCAGACACCATCAGGCACCCTTCCCCCGTCGAACGAATCCTACTATCGCACCAATGAAGTCCCTAGGCACCATTCTGCTCGACCCCGTGGATTCTTTAGCACCCGTCCTCCGCCCCCAACTGAGCGACAAACATCCACATCACCACCCGATTTCCCCCGTCCTGACCTTGAACCTCAGCCAGCATCATACACAACGTATACCCCCGAGCCCCCAAGACGGCACCAGACCCCACCTGCGCGGCCCCCGTCTCCTCCGCCTCCACCTCCACCACAGCCGCCACGATTCAGGACAGCCTCGCAGCCACAAACGCCCCCTCGACCAGCACCTCCTTCCACTCCACGCCCATCTCCAGCGTCCAACGCTAGCCCGTCTCATGCGCGTTCATCGACTTCACCTCGCTCGGCACCTCAGCCCTCCACGCCACCAACGCCTCAACCCCCGCCACCACTCTCTGCCTTACTGGCAATGTCCCCATCATCCCTCTCGCGTTTACCTATCCACACGCTGAAACAGATACTGTTCGAAGCACGCGTACGCCTTCCCACTGATATCCTTGAGAAAGGAGAACTCGTGGCGCGCGTCAGTACTTGGCTGGATGAGGAGAGAGCAGCAGCAGAGGAAAGGGATAGGATAGAGAGGGAGGAGAGGGAACAAGAGGAATGGGAACGGCGGGATAGAGAGAGGGCAGCGGAAAGTTCAGCCATGGAGACGGAAGCAGAAGCAGAAGCAGAAGACGCCCATGTGCATGGACCAGAAGACCCTGCCGAGAATGTCGAGATGCATGACGAGTCCCCAGCACCATCATTCACCATCTTCCTCATCACCTCAACCCAGTTCTCCTCCCAGGACGACATACACGGAACGTTCGGGTTTATGTGTGATATGTCAGGATCAGGAGGCAAATATCGCGATCGTGGATTGCGGGTGAGTATCTCTCATTTATTATTACACGCACGGCTTTCGCTAACTCATCCCTACAGACATTTGGCCATGTGCCGTACCTGCTCAGAACTAGTTCTCGCCTCATCTCGCGAGTGTCCGCTCTGTCGTACTCGCATCGTCACAGAGGCACGACTTTTACGGATATTCAAGACATAGGCATAGGGAACGACGAACTTTTTTTGTCATTGTGCATGCACAGAGGCTGCAATTGTAGATCATGCCCAGCCATACCCATGCTGTCCTAGTCTGTATTTCTTTTGCGTGATTAAGGTATAGAGATAAGTTCCGAGTGGGACTTACGCTCGTCTGTAACTAATAATCTAACATCATCAACTCATCTCGTCGCGGTTGTGCTAATTTGCTACCATCTTAAGTTCAAGCCTAGCCTGCCAGTCTGTCATCAATCTGCTCAGTTGGTGAAACCCCTACTGATGTCCCTATCCATCAGTCCGTCATGGTTCTGATAAGCTGATCCAGATTCCACCTGACCACTGCTTGAGGCACCCCCAACCTCCACCGACGCATTGAGGAACGATTTTTATACAGCACCGTCGTGATTGCATCGAGTCGAACAACCTATCGTCGAATGATTGTTTTCTCTCCTGGACTTACGGTCAAATCGCACAACATAGAATGATAAAACGACTGTCACACGATGACACCCCCACCTAGGGATAGATTGACGACATAATGAGGCACTATGTGACATTGCTGGTAGAAGCAGTGTAGCAGTAGAGCCAACGTAGCAGTCATTAACATCTGTGACAGCAGCACAGCAAGTATACTGCTCGAGAGACGACACGCAGACAACAACAGACAGCAACCCGATCGAAGGCCTTGGCGATCTTCAGCAAATGTGTGTCGTACGGTACGTACCTCCAGCGCAAACACGGTGGATGCTGAGCGCTGATACGCGACGATGACCTTTCGCGGTCTCTCACAGAGTGCACTCATACAAAATTGCTGCAGCACAATATATTGTAACAGTTGAATGTTACGTTCGACGAACAGACATAGCTCGCACTTTCAAACTCGTACGCCATACACGCCTAATCTCTGCGACAGTAGTCTTACATCCTTTCGACAGCTGACCGACGAACCACTAAGCAGGCTCCGAGAAGACCCACTTCCCTTCGTCGGATTCTTTCTTGTCGAGTATGACCTGCAAGCGCATAACACATGTCAGAAAAAGTATGGACAACAAAAGCAATGTCATGCGACCTTTCCATTCTGATCCGTCAAGGTGAACGCCTCCGCGTCGATAACGGCTTGGAATCTGAATCGTAGTATCCACGTCAGCAGGTAGGTTCAGATGACGAACAGGGCCCAGGCTGAGACAGACCTGAAGTTCAAGTTATCTAGAGTCGCTTTGACCGTCCAAAGATCGGGTGTAGAAGTGTAGGTGGCAGTCACAATGTGTTTTTTCTGGAAAAAAGGTGAGATTCGAATCAAGTAGAACAGTTCAGCTCGCAGACAGACTCACGTCCCATCCCAAGTATCGACCGAACCTCTCATTCTTGATCGTCGCCTGCGGTTTACCATTGAATTCCACAATCCACTGTCAATATCGCTTGTCAGCACGAGGGTCGGGACATGTCTCCGATGTAATAGCTGCGTACCGTCTGAGCGTGGTCGCCTGGCACGCGCGGAGCCAGCTTAACCTCGTCTCCGTCGGTACACGTCAACACATCACCAGTGACAGCGACATTCGTGAAAACACCCTTGAACGTGATCGGCATGATAGTAGTGTGTTTATTGTTGGGGAGAAGAGGGAATCAGAACTGGGTTGGTCCTCGAACCTGGGATTGTACCATCTTTTATATGCACGTCGTTGCAGGCTCGGCATTCTGTTGCGCCGAGCAGCACACGCACGCATGAATCATGTAAGCGATTCAATTGCAACTGACGAAGTTGGCACACAGCATCATCCTGGCACTTCCGAATTGCAAACATTCCTCGCTTCCGCTCGCGGGGAATGTTTGTCAATGGGGTACGAGAGGAATTGTATGGAGATCCACGATGTCTCGACGGTGACTATACTACTCCTGGCACTTCCATTGCAAAAGGAGTTACAAGCATTCCTCGGTTTCGCTCGCGCGGAATGTTTGTCATTGTGGCACAGATGAATTTTATAGAGACCAGCTGATTTCTTGGCGGCGACCACTGCTGGGGACTAGTACGCCTAGCACTTCCATTGCAATAGAAGTTTGTGACGGGAGTTGGTCTTCACCCTGGCATCCTCGTTGCACCTAGTATTCCAAACTGGTGAGGGATCGAGATCGAAGACCAGATGATCATGGTCGGCCGGAGCATAAAACTTGGTGACGAGGCACACGTTAGCCGTTGTACGGAGGCTGACAGCGACTTGGTTAAGTTGGCCTTTGCATACGGTATAGCTTGCATTCCCATGGAGAAATGATGTATCGCAGTTTTATGTAGGCTTAAAGTCCACGTTGATATACACTGCCAATACCACTGGCAGGTGACTCTGCAGTTCCGGTACTGCTTCCTTTCTCCCTCTGTACTGTGGTGTTCGTCATTACCCATGTTCTCTCCCGTATATTTCTCTTGCGCCTTCGATGGTCTTCTCTTGTCGTCGTATTTTCTTTTCGTGTCACTTTAGTATATGTATGAAATATATTGCATTGTTGTAAACTGTAACTTGAAGCCTGGGTCCTTGGTCAAGAACGCGTGAGTGAGGTTCAGCTACTGTGACACTCAACTCCAGTCACTACTCGAGATATTACATTATTATATTCACACAATATATATCTAACTAGTAAGGGGGTGAGTATGTGTAGCAAAGTGTGAAGAGAGGGAGAGGGAAGGTACATAAGATGGGGAAAAGGTGCTAAAGGCACGCTGAAGTGACGAGAGATTGCGGGCGGTCATTGATTGACGGGTAGCGAGAGAGGGCAGCGCCGGGGTGACAGGAAGGTTCGGGAGGTTGGTGTAGACAGCGGTAGGTCGATGTTAAGCGTGGTATTAGGTAGATGAGGACCGCGACTGGTCAGTGGGAGCATGAGGAAGGCTGTGGTTGAGCGTGTGCGGCTGTGCCACGCTAATCAAGGGTGGGGAAGGGTCGAGGTTGGTCCCAGGACAGCGGTCGGTTGCAGTTGCAGGAGTTTACTCCTGGGCATGCGCAGCAGCGAGAGGTTGTGGATGGGTGCGGAGGGCAACGCTAGAGCTGCAGGAAGGTGTTGGAGGTGGCGACTGAGCATGGGGAGCGGTGGGGAGTCCTGGTCAACAGTAGCGGGGACGAGGACTGAGCATATGTGCGGTGGATGGCGCAACTGTGCGTGGGTGGCGTCAGGGTCGCGGCAGGAAGTAGTAAGAGAGAGCGGCTGTCATCATGTCGATGAGGAAAAAAGAAAAACAGAGAAAAATATAATAACAATCCGCCAATGTCCTTGGGGTCGCTAAAGAGACCGGGTGCTCGGACTTTATTGCAGAGGTGGTTGCGGCAACCGAGCAAGCTCGGAGTTTTAACAAGGTGCTCAACATTCCAAAATTTCGCTCATGAGTCAATGGCGGCAGAGGAAGTTGGTAGATATCAGTCGATTAAAGTTTGCGTTACAATTGCTGATCACGAGGTGATGAGTTACTCAATACAATTACACTAAGTATGGTTCACCAGTGGATTGAATGACTTACACGATTTAGGGGTGCGAGAAGGATATACTCATTTCGACCTTGACCTTCATGAATAAGGTCGAGATTGCGGAGGTGAGTAGTATTAGCCACTTAATGGTCCTCAGCCTATGCCTGCGCTGGCATTTTGAACGAGAGTCTAAAGAGGATGAAGTGAGCTGGAGATACTGTGAATATCAATTGAGAACAGCTGCGATATTACAAAACAGGGGACATTATACTTCATCCCCGTTGATCCAGGGATCCCAGGCCCCCAAGGGTATGGTATGTAGAATCGAGGAATGTTTGTAAGTGTTTGTAATTCCTGTTGCAATACACCCTGGCGTGGTTCATATTATGTGGTCACTGCCGTGAAATTGGCTAACCTCTAGAAAGATCCCCTGACAAACATTCCTCGCGAGCGAAATGGAGGAATATTTGTAACTCCCCTTCCATGGAAGTGCCAGCAGTACAGTCACTGCCGAGATATCATGGATCTCTATAAAATTCCTCTCGTACCCCATTGACAAACATTCCTCGCGAGCGAAAACGAGGCATGCTTGCAACTCCTTTTGCAATGGAAGTGCCAGGAGTAGTATAGTCACCGTCGAGACATCATGGATCTCCATACAATTCCTCTCGTACCCCATTGACAAACATTCCCCGCGAGCGGAAGCGAGGAATGTATGTAATTCGGAAGTGCCAGGATGATGCTGTGTGCCAACTTCGTCAGTTGCAATTGAATCGCTTACATGATTCATGCGTGCGTGTGCTGCTCGGCGCAACAGAATGCCGAGCCTGCAACGACGTGCATATAAAAGATGGTACAATCCCAGGTTCGAGGACCAACCCAGTTCTGATTCCCTCTTCTCCCCAACAATAAACACACTACTATCATGCCGATCACGTTCAAGGGTGTTTTCACGAATGTCGCTGTCACTGGTGATGTGTTGACGTGTACCGACGGAGACGAGGTTAAGCTGGCTCCGCGCGGCACCAGGCGACCACGCTCAGACGGTACGCAGCTATTACATCGGAGACATGTTCCGACCCTCGTGCTGACAAGCGATGTTGACAGTGGATTGTGGAATTCGATGGTAAGCCGCAGGCGACGATCAAGAATGAGAGGTTCGGTCGATACTTGGGATGGGACGTGAGTCTGTCTGCGAGCTGAACGGTTCTACTTGATTCGAATCTCACCTCTTTTCCAGAAAAAACACATCGTGACTGCCACCTACACTTCTACACCTGATCTTTGGACGGTCAAAGCGACTCTGGATAACTTGAACTTCAGGTCTGTCTCAGCCTGGGCCCTGTTCGTCGTCCGAATATACCTGCTGACGTGGAATACTACGATTCAGATTCCGAAGCCGTTATCGACGCGGAGGCGTTCACCTTGACGGATCAGAATGGAAAGGTCGCATGACATTTCTTTTGTTGTCCATACTTTTGCTAACATGTGTTGTGCGCTTGCAGGTCATACTCGACAAGAAAGAATCCGAGGAAGGGAAGTGGGTCTTCTCGGAGCCTGCTTAGTTGTTCGTCGGTCAGCTGTTGAAAGGATGTAAGACTACTGTCGTGGAGATTAGGCGTGTATGGCGTACGAGTTTGAAAGTGCGAGCTATGTCTGTTGATGAATGTAACATTCAACTGTGACAATATACTATTGTGCTGCAGCAATTTTGTATGTGTGCACTCTGAGAGACCGCATCAGCATCCATCAGGCCATCGATCGGGTTGTTGCTGGTTGTGGTTCGCGTGTATGAAGTAGACTAATGACTTCTAAGTACGTTGCTTCTACCGCCATGTAGGAAACAATAATGAGGTACCACGGTGCGAGCACTCGATCTATCCCTGGGTGGGACATTAGTGCCATCGTGTCACGTCGTTCTATCGCGACTTCTCTGTTTTGTGATTTGACCGAGAAAACAGTTATTCGTAAGGTAGATGCCATGATAATCCAACGAACGTCACATGACCAGCGTGATGAAATCGTGACTATTCCTCACCTGGGTTACCCAATAAGTTTTAGAGAAACTACCTATTTTGAGGTGAAATGATTTCATATGCACGAGTTCTCATTCCAACTCGTATTGACTTGAATCTGCTTTTGTGCGGCTGCGGACTCCACTTTGCCAGTGTTGTACACACTACGAAATACAATGGTTTCTATTGCAGTGTACTAAATGACGCGTATGAGTGATACGAGGCTGGGCCATGGTTAGCCACTTTCGCTGATTACTGACCATGTCATCGCCCACTTCTTTACCACAGGCTCTCCCGCTGGCCTAAGTCTCATCTCTTGATCTCGGCGCTTAATGGAATCAGCACCAGCGTCTATCGTGCTGAACACTCAGCAATACACACGTGCGACATGCCCTGCACCCTCCCCTCACCCTCTCATCCAATATCAACAGTCCCCATATCCCTACCCTCCGTCTTGTCCCATCACTCATTCTGCCCACCACTCAATCTTCAATGCTCCAACGTGTTACTCGTCATTTGCGTCGTCGCGGCATTGTACCCGGTAGCTCGCATGACCAACATATCAGACTCGAAGGTGGGTTACTTTATATCAACTTGGTATCCATCTTCTGACCTTTCCGCTCTAACAGTCATCAGTGGGAAAAACCTTAAAGTCCCTTCCAAGCGCATACCCGCAGGAATCTACGTGTTCATCACACTCGCGAAGAAGAAACGCTGGAAATCAGCTATTCAAGTCCCATCATCCGATAGTTCTGTAGCGTGGGGCGATACCGTGACCCTGTAAGGCAATCCACGTAGACTTGCGGACGCGATTCGAGAACCTGATGCTCAGTTTCTAGATCACCACATGCATCACCTAAATTACTGGTCGAGATCAGAGCATCCTTTGAGCTCGGTCGAATGCTAGGCAATGGCGAAGTCATTGGAAAACTTAAAATGTCTTGGGATGAGTTGCTCCGTCATGGAAATGAGCCTTTCGGTGAGTGGCCCGCTTCTCATTCACGTATATCTACTGATGTGACGTAGATTTGTCCTTCCCACGCGTTCGGGGTGTCCACCCTTCTCTAACGCTGACGGCCGCCTCTGTGAATGGTTGCGGAAACAACGACGGTGAACTGTTGAGCGTGAGTGGCGCCAGCCTTTGCACTGTCGACTCCTACTGACAGATCGCAAACTGTAGTCCATCGTTGACTGCGAGATCGCTCGAGACACGGATACGGGTCACACAAGATTTGGTGAATACATGACAAGCAAGATGGTCTCTGACCTGAACGATGCCGTGGCACATTTTGAGTTGGTTCTAGAGCGGTGTCCGGTCGGCCACCCTGATCGCGCAGCTGCACTGACCAACCTCGCGTGCGCACGCCTTCAAGGGTACATTCGCAACGATCTTCAAGACATCGACTCCACTACCTGTCTATTCCGCGACATTCTTGCATTGCGTCCGCAGGGCCACCCTGATCATCCATCATCTCTGTACCATCTCCTTAAAGCATTGATCCGGCGCCACAGCAAGGAGCCTGCCGCTGTCGACATCCGCGAATCTGCTCAAATCTCCCTTGAGCTACTACCTCTCTGCCCAGAGGGCACATATCTTCGAACCGTCGTGGCAGGGGCAAGTGGTATGGATTATGTGATCCGCATATGCAATGATCTTCCGATAGACGCATCCGATGAAGGCATCCGCCTTCGACGAATCGTCCTCGAGCTCTGTCCCCAGGGCCATCAACACCGTCCCAGCTCCCTCTATAAGCTTTCATGGGCACTCGGTACACATTTTGGGCAACGTGGGAGCATTGTTGATATAGACGAGAGCATACAACTTGGTCGCGAAGCTGTTTCTCTGTGTCCCGAGGGACATCCTGATCGTGGTGTCTACTTGAATAACTTGGCTTTCTCACTCCGCTCCTACCGCTTTCGTCACCAGGGCAAATCTGATGACCTCAACGAGGCCATCTCTCTGTACGAGGAAGCACTGTGCCTGAGCCCTGTCGGGCATAAATCTCGTGATCCACGATTGGGCAACCTAGGGGGTGCGCTCCTCGACCGTTTCCACCAACGCGGTGAGGTAGAAGACATCAACAGAGCTATCAGCCTCTATCGCGAAGCACTGACATTGCGCCCACCTGGGCATCACAAACGCGACACCACACTTTCCAACCTTGCCGTCGCACTCAAAACCAGACATGGCAAATCACATGCCAACGAGGATCTTAACGAGGCCATCGAGTTGTATCGGGAATCAATTCGGTTGACGCGGCATGACCATCCAGAGCGCCATATAACTCTTTACAATTTGAGCTCAGCACTCTGCTCTCGTTTCACGAGAACTCAGAAGATTGAAGATGTTGAGGAGGCCATTAGGCTCGGCCAAGAATCATTGGCGGCTTTGCCACCACTGCATCCAGATAGGTACCACAGCTACATGTGGCTGCAGGAGGCCTATCTGTCTCGTTACCGGGTGCAATGCAATGTGGCTGATTTGTCACTCGCTGTTGAAAACTTCAGATTGGCGTCAAGGCACCCCACTCAAGGATTCCCAGAACGCATCGAAGAGGCTATTCATTGGGCTCGTCAAGCAGAGATCTATCAACATGGATCTGCCCTCGAAGCATACCGAACATGTTTGGATCTTTTTGACAACCATGTAATAACACGGTCCTCAATTATCTCGCGACGCAATGCGGCAACCGCATTTCGCGGCGCACAATCACTGCCAGTCGATGCAGCTTCATGCGCTGTTCGTCAAAATGATCTGCGACAAGCGGTTGAACTTGAGGAGCGGGGTCGCGGCCAACAATGGTCGCTGGCGTCTCGGCTCAGGACTCCACTGGATGACCTCCAGTCTGCAAGTCAGGCCCTAGCTCACAAACTCTCGGAGCTCAACAAGCGCCTGTCTGATGCTCAGGGTTCTGCAAGCAGCGCAGATCGAGCTGCTGCTGACCGGGCAGCAATAGAGTATAGGAAACTGTCAATGGAATGGGAAGCTACGGTTACGGAGGTTCGCAATCTTCATGGTTTCTCGCGATTCCTCCTCCCTCCATCATATGAAGACTTGCAAGCGGCAGCGCACGACGGCCCAGTCATCATCCTCATTGCTAGCAAATACTCGTGCAATGCGCTCATTGTCCCGACGTCAGGGGTGCCCCATCATGTTCCTTTCCCCTCTCTTACTCTCACAGATCTCGAGAAACTTAAATACGACATTGCGATGGCAATACGACATGCATCACTGATGAGCCCAAGAGAATCGAGGACAGACCTGATAGTACTCTTGCGGAAGATATGGGATGAGATCATGCTACCTATTGTCGACGTACTACTCGGGCGTGATCTCAAAGTAAAGCGCCGCTCTCGAATATGGCTGTGTCCAACTGCAGCCTTCACATCCATTCCTCTCCATGCAGCTCATCCCTCTCGAACGAAAGCAGATGGAAGTGGACGGGAATTACCCCTCGAGGATATTTTCATTTGCTCCTACACGCCCACACTTTCCGCTCTCATCAGATCTCGACAGGCGATGAGGACACGTCCGACGAGTCCATCCTTCGTGGCGATTGGACAAAGTCAACCGGGCGCAGGGCAAGGCACGGCGCTCGCCACTGTCGACAGCGAGCTTGAGCTCGTCCATACACTCGTTCCCCCCAACGTGAATTTTACTATTCTTTCGGGTGACGAAGCCACACAGGCTGGTGCACTCGATGCTTTGCGATGCAACACCTGGGTGCATCTTGCTTGTCATGGAAAGCAGGACCGTAAACAGCCATACAACTCGCGCTTCGCCATGAGAGATAAGCCTCTCACCCTCCTTGACATCATGGAGAACGACACTCCGCAAGCCGAATTCGCATTCTTATCGGCGTGTCATACCGCCGTCGGCGATGAAGAGACGCCTGACGAGGTCATCCACCTCGCAGCTGGCCTACAGTTTTCAGGGTTCAAGAGTGTGATTGGCACGCTGTGGGTGGTTGATGATGAAGTCGCCAAGCACGTTGTGGAAGCATTCTACGAGAATATGTTCAAGGACTTGAAGGATGGTGTCTTGGACTGTACGAAGGCAGCCAAAGCACTCAATTATGCTAAGCGTGGCGTGAAGAAATTGGTGCCGCTCGAGCAGAGAATTGTTTTCATTCATATTGGTGTGTAGTGCTTCGTCTTGTACAGATTTACATGTTGTTGGTCTTCGATTCCCTTTCATCCCTGTCTTTGTTAACGGCATAGGAATTTCCGTGTGCTTTTAGCTGACTTTTCTCGCAATCTCTCTCTACTGTAGAGTCTTTGGTAAATTGATCAGATTCAAAATTATTTGTCTGTCGCGTAGGTTCTCTTACTCGAGTACTTACGTACAACACGACTGTGAATCAGTTTCCTGCGCTACGTAGTACGAGTTGACCTTCCACCCATTCAATCCAAGTCATTCTCCACCTCTTAAAGCCTAAACACACCTGGAGGACGCCGCCTTTTCGATGTCAAATACCGGGCGAAAAAAAAGATGCGCTAGTGATAGGTTGCCCTGACCGAGTGGAGAGTGATGTCCACGCAGACGGAATTGATCGTGTGTCCCTCAATATCCTTCTCTTCGGAGTTGAGATAGACCTCCGATCGTCGAGGTCGAAGCGCTGGAGTACATACAACAGGAACAGGAATCACAGGTGATCTTGAATAAAGCAGAGTGGAGAGTTGACGGTATCGCTCCATGTTACAAATGTGATGACAGTCGGATGGACATGTGTTCAAAGACCAGTGAGGACCAACAGACTGCAGTGGTCACGCTAACTGTGTATTTGGTGTTGTGCACCTGTACGGCGGACGATGCACTGTCACATGTTCGGAAGATCACCTGGAGAGTGTTACACATCTCGCCAGTCTTCTCCTATCGGATGGGCGAAGACTGGCGAGATGATAGGGATGAGGCAGGGGTGCCAACCACTATAGCGATGTCTCCGAACAGCAAGAGTATTTTAGATAGGAAGGGATGGGAAGTGAGGTTGCGAGACGTCAAAACGGGGAAGGTCATAATATTGCAATGATTGTGTGATCGTGAAGCAGGTGGCAAGTGCATCAGCAAAACCACTGAAATGAACGCTTGGCTTAAGCGGGTTACGGACACTTACGAACACTTACGACTTCAGTAGCGCAGCCACATCAGTAAATTCACACATTGCTTATTTCAGCACTTATCACTACTTTTCGTCACTTTTCAACAATGGATCTACTTTTTTCCCTTCAACTAGCCTCCACCTTCAACTTAAGTACACCAAAATGTTTCTTATACATTAGAAATCCGTTTGACAACATGAGAATAAGTATTAGCTGTTGTGGTCCAGCAGAAACACCACAACAGTTGTTAATAAGTTCTTGACATAAATGCGCTCTCTAGTCAGCTACACATGAGAAAACTGTATTCTATCACAATGAAATATGTATTTGACATATTATTAGCAGTTTGAGATACTTGATTTGCTGGTGGTGGCCAGTTTAAGAGAAAAAAGTAGATCCATTGCTGAAAAGTGACAAAAAGTAGTGATAAGTGCTGAAATAAGCAATGTGTGAATTTACTGATGCATCTGATTGGTGGAGAGCTGGGACGCTGATATATTTCATGGAAATCGATTTGATTAGATGTAAATAGGCTAGATTGTACTATCATACTTATCAACACGATCAGATCAGAGCAGACAATCAATTGTACCACAGGTAACATGGCGCAGATAATCAATTGTACTACGGGCAGCAGGTAGGCAGTCTACATTAAACTAGAGTGCATTGTATTGAAGACCTCCTTGTCCGAAAATATATTCAAGTAGTATTCGTCCCAGATCTCCATCGTGTTCGCTGGCAGTTATTGTACGATCCATCTTCAAGCCATACACAGGAATAAGCTCAATGGCACAGGTGACTGACTGTTAGTGGAATTATGCTGCTGGGTCGGAAGACCCGACCTGTTCCATCCTGATGATAGATGCGTTTCATGCGGTACATTCCAACACTCATATCCTCAGTAGGCGTTGCTGTGATCTGAAAGTACTGAACGTATAGAAGGGGAGAGTCTTCAAGATAGTGGGGCAGTGTATGACCTTTCTTTGCAACGGCTTGAAAAATGCAATGGACTTGTGCGATGTAGGTATCTGCACAGGCTTGTAAGCACATGAATGACAATGGCAGTCAGATACTCACCATTGCTGGCAGGCAATTGCATGAGAACTGCATCGCAATTACCCAAAGGGAAGGTGTCCGATGGTGGAAATGCTTGGACAATTTGACTCAGCATCACGACTCGCGACTGGAAGGTAGATAGCAGTTGTAAACGAAACTTGTTCCATGTCCTGACTGAATCTCGTGTACATGTCCAGGCCGTTGTTAGAGTGTTCTGGGACGAATCATTGATATACTGTAGTAATTGACTCAATTCGACGGTTACACGTCACAGTCGGTGGTGTCGGTGTCGAAATTAGGTAGTTGTCACGCATAACATCAGCTTGTGTTGAAACCATTTGACATCACAACAAACATCAAATTTTGCTTCTGTGGCGACCCCAGATTTGCGCTACACGACACTCCGGATTTGCACTGTATCTGTGCGGTGACACACCAAATGTTTCTACTACTTACTACAAAATCTAGCTTTCATCATCATGACATGTCGAAAATTTTCGGCATGTCACACATCACAGGCCTGAGTGTTGGAATGTCGAATTGACCTGGCATGTCACAGTCACACGGGGGTGTCGAATTGAGTCAATTACTACAGTATTCTGCAAGCACCGCACCAAAATCAGGGAGAGAGTAGAGCGATTGCAAATCGGTGATAGAAAGTGACTTGCGATTGGGAGAGATGGTGACGTGAAAAGCAGCATTGGCTTCAACAGACAAGATTCCCTTCAGAAAATGGTTTCGGATGGGACGTGGGCCATGGAAGCGCTTCTGCTCACCGGGGAGCACACGCGCTATCCAGGCCAGGGTAGGATCTGTCTCTGCGACAACACTGTCTTCGGTTGCAATGGCATTCACGAGTGGTGTACCATACGAATGCAAGAGGGTATACAGATTGAAACGATGCATGGTTTCATTGCGATTGAGAATTTGGACAACCTGCAGGGTAAAATTTCTGGCTTGCTGACTAGTCCTTTCGAAAGGAAATTTACAGTGCGTGATCAGGAGCCGTTCACTGACATCTGCTGAGAACTGTATCAAACCACCGAGATCTTTGATAGACTCCACGAAGCTGTGAAACAATTCCATCTTCGGGATGAGGAAGTTGTTGATCGTTCCACTCTTGCCTCTCCAAGCACCAGCATCGAGTATCACTTGCTTCAGCCTATGAAACTCGCCGAGGGAGTGCACCATAGCATCAATGGATGAGTCGGTGTGCATGGGGCTCTGTGCCTGGTAGATGAACTTGGTGAGGAAATGAATAGCATTTACGAAATCGGGGGTTGTATTCACTGCACCAGCAATCATGGCAACGATGGTCCGTTCAATGTTGTGATGTTCCCGGCAAGTCATCTGGCTGATGTGGGAGACACCGGACCCAAAATGACGTGTCCCAACTTGTTTATGATGAGCCTTGTAGTGAGCATCAAGTTCGTCCTCCCCAACAACTTCCTTGCACCATTTTAAAGGATGGTTGCCAAAAAATTTGTGACACGTGTGAAGCAGTTCGCTGGGCAAAAAAGAACTTGGATCTGCATACGGCCAATCTCTCCAATATGGCTGATGAACACCGCTGAGCAGCAATGCTTTGGCTTCACGTTGGAAGAGCGGTACATTCCATGGATCAACGCGTTCGCATAAGTCGTAGATGAGCTTGAGTGTGTGGTCGCCTGTTCGACGGGGGAAAATTTGCGCGCTACCAAAGTCACTTTGGGTAGCCATTGTAAGTGGTGATGCGTTCTTTGAGACACAAGCGATGAGCTGTGCCTCAGGGAGATCGGCTGTATATGCGACGAGTGGAGTGAAGCAGTGCCGAAGATAACCCATGGGATCTGGCATGTATTTGCCGATCCTCATAGCCACCTTGCATTTGGCGAATATCAAATCCATGCACTTGTGGAACAAATGAGTGTGGAGGAGCATCTGAAAATCCGAGTGAATGTCAAACTTTGGAATTGGGATGAATGCAACACAACTCCATGTATGAGCAGTGGCCTTCATTTGCACTTCAGATTGTATATTGCTGATTGTAAGGAACACCGGGTGCATTTCTAATCCACCTGACATCCTGGTTACGGGTGTCTTGTCCAATGCAAGGATAATTGGTATGATGGTTGCACCTTCTGGAAGGTTGTTCTGCAGAGCGCTGAGCAATTCTGCCTTACTACTAACAAAGAGCCATACCTGAATAGCGAATGCCCTGTTGGCAGTAAAGAATTCGCCGTATTTGCGTTCAGAGCCGACCATAACAATGTGAGGATCATACATCATATGGTTGGAAAATATTGGGTTTGTGAAGATATCTTTGATGACTCTGAGGCCATCACACCAGATTAGCTCGATTGGCCTTATGGTTGTGTAGTTGGTAAACTTGAGTGTTGTTGATTGCCACCCTGGGCCACTTGGTAATGCATCGATCCAGCCAAATAGCTGATCTGCACTCTTGAAGGATGGTCTGGGTCTGGATTTAAACTTGTGCAGGGCTCAGGGTCAGTGCAGTCAGAACCAGCAGATACAGATAACACCGCTCACCCAATCTAGCTTCAGAAACTTGTTAATATCAGTTTGCGTCAACCGCTGGATGAGAAATTCTGCTAGTTGCCATTCAGCCTGATCAATGAAAGGGTATGATGGATTTATTGCTCTGCAGGCACTTCTGGTCTGAATCATGATCCTCCATTTCCTGCAAGACATTTCGTCCCCGTCCAAAAAGGTAGCCTGATTTTGAATGGTACTGGCCAGTGACCTCTTCCCGGTTGTTATCGCCTCGTTGGAAAGCTGGAGGGACTGGCAAGCGGTAAGTGGGCTCAGTGGCTCCAACAAGAATGCGCCTGATCATTGAGATGATCTACAACAGCAAGGTTTGATGCAAATCCTAGTCCTGCAATTTGGACATTGTACAGAGGGACCACTAACAAAGTCAGGTCAGTTACTGCTGTACCATTTGATACAACTCACCTGTGATTATGTCATATTTCCAGCCCAGTTGCAGCGCACCCTTCTGCCTGTTCCATTGTGGTGTGTGTGGTTTGTTAGAAAAAAAAATCACTAAGTTCTTCAAACTCCGACATCTCTTGCTGAATACTCACCACCGATAACGACGTCTAGACAGCATTATGATTCCAAGTTCTCTCAATAATGCTCTTTCATCGTCCATATCTGTTACATCAGGGTCCAGTGGTCGAACTTGTGTCGACTCCTTCCAAATTTCTAACCCTTCTAAACCAGTGGAAGAGAAGGTCATGACTTTGACCTCCTGCCTCCTGCCTTTGGAGCCCAAGTCATTTCCCTTTCCACGCTCAGTGACCTCCTCTCCGATTTCAAACCGCTCTGATGCTGAATCACTTATCGGCAGCACTTGCAGTTCCCGGGGCGGAGCACAATCTGCAAACAGAAGCCACCCGTACTCGTGTGTTGGCGCTCCCACCCAGTGGGAGCTGCATTTTGCCCTGAAGGCAATCCAAAGAAACCCTGACATCACCCTTACTGATGCCATAAAGGCAAGCAGGCCTTTTATTTTGTGACTGATAAGTTTTTTAACTGTAGCAGGGGTGAGACATTTTTTTGAGCTGTCTCTCATCTTTGTCAGATGACACCATAGCATTGGCAGCGCATGCCAAACATGCTACACGAGAAAGTCTCTGTCACAAGGTCAAGCAGCTCGGTTGGGAGATCCAGGAGGTACAATATAACAAGCTACTTCTCAAAGTGTTTGAGTGGAAGGAAAAGAAGCGACTGAACATGGCAGAGTCGGATTATCGCCTATTCCAGCAGCTCTTAGTGGGCCACAAACTTCCAGCCCTACAGCAGGATGCTGAATACTTGGAGGAATCACATGATTCTGAGCTCGAATCCCTAGCTACAGCTGACGAGCAGCTCTACCAAATCTCGTCAATCTCACTGCTTGCAAGAAAATACGTCTCCCACAGGCTACCGAACAGTAGTGACACAGAGTATGAGCCTGGTGAGGAGGCTTACAAGGAGGAACAATCTGACAATGGTTCTGTTAATAGTGATTATGGTGATTTGGATGGTAAGAGAATATTCTCTACCCCCTAGAGCACAAAAATAGCTCACAAACCTACCCTTTCAGGTTGATCGTCGCCCACGAGTGTGGTCAGATGCTACCCATACTACTTTCTTGGTACCAATTTAAATACTTCTGCTGGCGCACTGCGACTCATTCCTATCGCAAAACCCTATTCTCATTTGTACATTGTACTATAGTGGTCTGAATAGTAGAAGCATGCATTTCATCAATTATCGATGAGTGACTAAGTCCGTTGCATCTTCTATGATCAAATGACTAACTAGCTATCTTACACCACAACCTCGATGAACAACTCTCTGCCGCGATCAGCAAGATCCACTGCCAGGCGCAAGCCCAGCGCCACAAGAGTAAGTATTGTTTCAAAGTCTTGGCATTCTTTTACTGACCCCATTAAATCTACAGAAGGGTTTCCAGCCAGGCATACATTCAGACCTCAATCCAAGCAGCCAGTCCGTTGTGAATTAACTTGGCTTAGCTGACGACTGCGCAGCAACACCTGCAGAATATCAGGTTCGGATGCATCTTCCCCAGCACCATCCCCAACCCCAGCATCATCAACTGCCACCACCCCAGCATCTAGTATCAGCGCCTCAGCAATATCAAACACTGGCACCTCAACATCAAGCGCCGGCACCTCAACATCAAGCGCCGGCACCTCAATATCAATGCCGGCACCATCAGCAACCCCCACCTCAACCCCAGTACCATCAGCAACTCACGCCTCAACCTCAGTACCATCAGCAACCCCTGCCTCAACCCCCAGTACCATCAGCAACTCCCACCTCAACCCCAGTACCATCAGCAACAACTCCCGCATCAACCCCAGTACCATCAGCAACCCCTGCCTCTGCAATATCATGTGCCGGCGCCCCAGAACTATGGGCAGCCCCAACCTCGGTACCATCAACAACCCGAGCTTCAACAACAGCATACCCTACCTGATCAGTACCATGCTGAACGGAACGAGGATAGAGCAGTGGCAGAGGCATATGCAGGTGCATTTGCACTCCTTCGGAGTGAATCATCGAGGCTGCCGTCACAGTCGGATTCTGTTCAAGATGGCCCTTTGGCCCCATGGGGGGCTGCGCGGCTTGTTGCTCTTGCACCCCTCCACCCGGGAGAGAACATCCATGGGGAGAGAACCCAGGGTGTCATCCGAGTAAGTCATCCCACAAGTGTGTTTGTGATTGAGTACTTACCTATGATATACAGACTCAAAAGCATGCCTTTGACACTGGGAAACGACAACGTAATGTCAGACTCCCCCCCACACCAGAGATACCACTAGCCGTCATACCAGATCCTGCCGCTGCGTCAAATTCATCTGCGTCCATCGCGGACCCACCTGTTTCAAGATGCATCAAGTTCTCAATAACATCAGCGCGAAGGTACAAAGAGGCCACAAAGGACCAGCTTCGCGGCCTTATCCTGAATGTGGACCCCAAAACAGATGGTGCTCCCAATGACGAGCTTCGCAACAAGATGATCAGTACTGCACTGCAAATCGCAAAAACCAAAACTGGTCAAGGTATATTCATTAGATGCTGAATAATCAACACGCTAATGAGTTTTCATAGCGGAAATCGAGGACATCAAGGGGATCAACAACTATATGGTGGCTTCGTTAGCAGATATGCGACGCAGCTTCAAATCTTATGCAATGAACACTGTTCTGGTTGGTTATGGTCTACATCTACCATTATTTTCTGAGGAGGACAAGCTGGCGCACAAACAAGACAGAGTCAAAACTCTACTGAAGGATTTGAAGTACATGCACCAAATTGAACAGGTATGCATCTTCATATCAGTGGGGGTGTTTGGCTTACTTGGCCACAGACCATCAACGGCACAGAGGTTGAATGACTGCTGGAGAACGAAGTCCTCATCAACATGGTTATTGACCTGTTGAAAGGGGGCTTATCGGATGTCATACGTGGTCCACTCGATCATTTGTTTGCAGCATGTGGTGCAACAATTTTTTGCGTGCTACAGGCTCATCAAACCAGTCACTTTGTTGATGTCTCGGTGAACTCTCCTGCCTTTGACGATGCTTACCATGAAATCATAGCTTACATTACTACAACTATCCATGCCTCAGATACCTTGTGTGAAAGGTTTGATGCTGTACAACAGGCAATCCTCAAATGAGTACTTGCAAATTAGTAGCAGTAGATTTGTGTAGCCCTCATAATTGCTGATAATCGAATCAATGTCTGATAATCATTGAATCGGAGATTGATTTGATGCTGATAATGTTGATCTCTTCCTTGCTTCATCGCTTGTTGCAGTCTGATCTCCATTGCTACATTTTTGGTCTAGTTACATACTAAATACAGCCCGTCCAAGACTATACTAAATAAGGATTGTAAAACGATGCTTGAACAACAGGTTTAACTCTAGATGTGCATCCAATGATTCCAATGGTGGGACGGCAAGCTAGTGTGAGATCAAGTCAAGAGCGGAGAAACAGTCCTTGGTCAAATCAAGACTGGGTATTACCCAGGTGTAGGCGGTGATCTATGCTATTCAACAAAATTTACGACAGGTGGATTCATCGAGAGCTGCTCTCCCTAGTCTTGAGCAAGTTGGATGTCGGATAAAAATAAGCTGATTTCCGGGTCAGGATGTTTTGGCTCGATCAGGATATTTGATCAAGAGGCTTTAAACTTGCACTTTATGATTCAGGATATCATACCTCAATGTTGCTGCTTGGGTAAATCTACATCAACAAAAGCTGCACTATCATATAATCACATACCACGACATAAAATCAGTAGAATAGGTACCACACAGTACATATACGCACCAGGTTTGCACACACCCTTAAATTTCAATGCTTGTGAGTGCTTGCATTGATGTTCAGTGGCAGAATGGTATGGCGTGTATGCAATTTTATACTATGCAGGCTATACTGTCATAATGATGCATAAAAACAGGCTAAGTAGCAGATTTTGATGATGCATCAACCATGTTAGTGAGCAGTGGTGCCTGAACCTCATCTGATGATCCCAGTTGGCAAAATGATGCATAGTGATGTATCATTCACTGCAGAAACGACTTTTTAGCAAGACCCTAATTGAAGATAGAAAGCACGTATAATACGACCCTAAACACACGTAGCATGTAATCAGACCAAAATCCGACATGTGCTTGTTCAGTCTGAAGCAACATGAGTAAACAAACACTTTTCCAACTTCGTCAGTACATCTTTTCTGACCTCCATTTGTTCTCTTCAAACGTGTGCCATTCCACCACAAACCAGCCTCGGAAATATCACCTTTTGACGTCTGTATAGGTTGTACTTTAAGCAAGGTAGGTTTTTAAAATTTTCTCTAAGCCCCGTGTTAGTTACTACTAGCGCTATGGCTACCTGCAGTGCAATCAAGCTTGAGCTGCCCGTGGATGTGACAACATTTAAATTCACTTTCAAGTGCAGAACAGCAGGACCCATAGTAAGTCCTTTGTGCTAATAAACTTATGCTAACTAACTTTTTTTGTAGGCTATTGAAATATCTATCCAACAGCCTCTCCAGATGCTACGCCCACAAGCAGGTACTGTCAAGGGCCCTGATGTCAGTGGCACACACACCAAAGTACCAGGAGTATTTACAAATTGGTTGGGCACTGTTGAGGCGGGTCCCCCAGCGGTGGATGATAGTGTCACTGAACCCGAGTCGGAGCTGGGCACTGAAGATTTAGTGAGTCCTCGGCCATCTTCATTTTGAATGTTGTTGAATAGCACATCTTTTAGAAACATACTGCTCAAGCGCTTGTTAGTACTGGGCCAATAGTCGACGATAGCGAAACAGAACCGGAGTCAGACCAGGAGACCAAAGATGAGCCTGCCACACCAGCAGAGTTTTATCACTGGTACAACGAGGTATGTATCGGATTCTTTTCTATGTACTCTCCACTATTTTCTGACTTTGGCCTCAGAAAAAGAAAGCAAAACCTTGATGAATACTAGTAGCATACGATAGACTTTGTTTGTAAAGTAGGAGCGCTTGCGATGCATTCACGTGATCCCACTATATCGCAATGTGCGTGCAAGTTTCCAACTATGTTATCGCCAACATGCCCACCGTCCACTGCCGCTGCAAAACCAACAACTGTCAAGGAGCTCTCATCCCAGCACACACCGCTCGTGCACATGAGCGTGCAGATCTACGTAACTGAACTACTTCTGAACAGGGTAACTTCCAGCGTATCGGTGAATGCGTCATCCTAGGCCCTTGTGAAGATGCTGAACCCATTCTGCGAGGGTTTGCAGTCCCGTTATGTGAACCTCCAACTCCGATATCTCCCAACTTCGAGTTTTACGACTTCCCTCTGGATTTGGATGACATGGTGCTGGACACCAGGTATGAGCCTGAGGACCTTGGCTCTGAGAGACCAGGGGATCCATTGCCCTATTTTGGCCGCAATATTCAGAGTCCTGAGACCTTGCTTGCTGCTATTGACCACTTCAACAGATACAATGCAGCTACAGCTGCCGGCTCGCGTCCTTTGACTCCCCATGATGCCCACAATCTCCCGCAAGATCAAGAAGAGCATGATCTCCAATACCAACTCCAACAGGCCATACAACATGCTGAAGAAAATCCAGATCTCGATCAGGACGTTGATCCTGATACAAATCCTCTCGAAGATGTTGACGAGTACCAGGACATACTAGGCGAGGCTCAACCTGCTGAAGACAATACTGATCCTTTCTTCATTGTAGATGGACTTTGTGCAGAAGACACAACTGATCTCATGCACCTCCCAGGTCACCTTGTCTCGATTTATGCAGTTGTGTCATGGCTCCATTTGCAGTTCCACCTCCCAAAAGTTGCATGCAACACGCTGCTGGCCATATTCGCATGTATTCTACTCACCCTTTCACCCAATATAGAACCTCCATTTGTCACCCTGCAATCCAGCAATCGCGTACTCAGAGTCGACAAACCTATATACACTCTCCCCGTTTGTCCATCATGTCGGGACGTGTTTCCACCTGCATGCTCCCTGCAATCTCATGATCAATGTACCTTGTGCAACGAGGACCTCTTCCTACCTGACAAGACTGCACGCGGCAACCAGCGCTCCCTCAAGTCACCACTAATCAAATACCCTTACCTCCCGCTCTCCGATCAAATCAAGTTGCTACTCAAAGTTCCGGGCCTCGAATCTATTCTTGATGGCTGGCGTTCTAAGCCACGATCTCCAAATCAGTACATCGATATATTCGACAGCAGTGTATGCAAGACTAAACTGAAGGCACCGGACGGTAAACTTTTTTTTTCAAACCTTCCCCATGAAAAAGCTGGTCCTGATGGAGAACTTCGTGTTGGAGTTAATCTCGGTGTCAATTGGTGAGCTTTCAATGTGTTCCTCGTTTTGGTTTGCACTGAATCTCAATCAATAAGGTTCTCATACATACGAAGTAATATAGCGCCGTCACATTCATCATGCCTGACTTCCTTTTCCATCTGCAACCTTCCACCCGAATACCAGTGAGTTCTCAGCAGGATGATTTGATTGTACAACACCATCTAATGATGTCTATAGGTATCACACATCTAATTTGATGTGCACCAGCATTCTTCCTGGCCCCAAGGAGCAAAATCCGGATCAAATCCAGCGGTTTCTCCACCCAATCGTTTCGGACCTCCTTTGATTATGGAAAGACAGCATTAAAGTACCTACTGAATCGTGTCCCCAAGGTATGTCCCCTCCACTCACACATTTTTTGGTCACATCTCATTCACCGACTCGTAGGACAACTCGTACGTGTTGTTTTGGTGGCCGTTGTCTGTGATAAGCCCGCCGCACATAAGATTGGGGGCTTCGCTTCACATTCACATACTCACTTCTGTACCTCATGCTGGATCAACATCGCCAACAAGGACAAACCCTCAGCCATTACTGATGGAGGTAAGTAACTCTCTCGTATTGATTTATGTTAAATAGGTGACCTGCCCAGCATTCAAGGTTCGGACGAACGAAGAGCATCGCGAACTGGGCAAACAATATTGTAATCTCACTACCGCTAGTGCTCGCAAGAATTTCATCAAGGAATTTGCGACCAGATATATGCAACTGTCTAGACTTCCGTACTTCAACATTGTCAAACAGGTAATAATTGACCCTATGCATAACTTGTTCCTCGGTATGTTTATTTTGTCACACCATATACTATACTAACCAGTTTCAAAAAAAACTAGGCCTCGTCAAGACCCACTTCTACAACATATGGGTCCAAAGTAAAATACTTTGACCAACGCATGAACTCCAGACGCTGCACAAAATGCTTGCCAATGTACGTTTTTTCAGTATCTCTACCTATGGATCCTAACTTTAGTCTTAGTTCATTGTTCCTGGATCATGCAGTCGACTGCCCACAGATATTGGGATGCCATCAGGCGGTTCTTTGACCGCGGACCAATAGCTCCTCCTGGCGACTGCTTATGGCCCAATAATTGTAAGTTTATATTATCTATGCGCCAGCGCTGTAGCTAATATACTTCTAGATACCTCAGTTATGGTCTACCTGTCTACCATCTGACAGTGGCGACCAAATTCTGCATCAGCGGGTCGCTATGATACAGAAATTGGAGACCGAAAAGGAAGCAGATGCTACCCGCAAACTCGAAGACAGGACTGCACTTGCGGAGGCCAAAAAACATGGTAAGGAAGCTTTCGAAGCCAAAAAGGCTCGCATAGCCAGAGACAAGGTAGCTGCAGCCGAGGCAAAAAGCCAGGAGAAGATACAACTCGCTGCCATCAAACAGACCGAGAAGGCCCGACTCACTGCCAAGAAAAAGGCTAAGGCTGCTCAGAGAAAGGTATGAGTTCATTATTTATCTGATTTGTTGCTGATTATTCGAAGGGGAAACAGAAAGCCGTCGAGCAAAACGTCGAAGGTCTACCTGAAGGTCAGCCCTGATCCCAGCCACCACTGACATCAAGTGCGACAGCTCGAGAGCCAGACAATGGTGATTCAGAGCTGGCTAACACCAAATTCTCCCTTCACCCCGACGATCCCAGCTAACTTCTTGAAGTTGTGCACCGCCCTTCGAATATTAATTAAACATCAACTTTGTGATCAAGAACTTGACCACAGCAGACCGCCTCCTTCATGAATATTGTTCAGAGCTCATCCACGTAAGTCTCTCTACTTTTATCTCAAAGTCTCAACTAATGTCTCTTATTTTAAAGTTGTATGGATCCATGGTGATTAAACCTAATCACCACTATGCTACACATGTTGTCGAATGCACTCGCAATTTTGGCCCACTTCACGATTTTTGGACCTTCCTATTCAAACATGCTGAACAAAGTCCTCAAATCATTCAAGACCAATAATCATGCAAATGGCGAGTTGGAGACAGCATTCTTCACCGAGTTTCAGAGGACATGTCACATAGGACGGATGGTAAGGGTTTATTTTGCTAACTATACTCCTAACCGATTTTTCACTAACCCTAACTAACTATACTCCTAGACTTTTTCTTTACTCAATCACGGCAAGACATCACTTCCGTGCACGGTTGCAGAAATCATGCTGAAAGCCTTGAATGAAGAACGAGGTACAGTCGCTGGATTGACGGCGCTATCCAAAGACCTCAATGATGTAAATGCTGATGGTGAGTCTCATTTTCCTCGTGTATCGTTCAGAACTTATGAACGATATCAGCCAGTCAATCCTATGCCTTGAGTCCCCGCCATCAGAAGACATCAATGACGACAGATACTTATCAACTTCTCACTCAAACACTCTGCTTCCGATACCCTCTGGCACCAGTTCACTGCCTCTGTGATCGCCCTGTTGTCCCTCACAGCTTCCCGCTTGATTGCACTGCTATTTTTTTCAACTATGTGGTCATCAAGGGGAAACGTTACTACGCCTCTCGTACTGTCGGATCAAACCGTTCTTCCTTTGTTCATGTTGTTATCCCTGCTGACAATCCTATTCATCTATACGGCGAGGTCTTAGAAATTTTCCAGGTCGATCAGTCTTGGCGTAGACATGTGCAATCACTCTGGTTTGTGCGCGTTCGTTGGTTCAAACCATGGCAGGGTGATGCGGGAGTGGTATGGGATAAATTGTGAGTGTACCATTTACATCTATTCATTACGAGTTAACTAACACTACACTATTTTCAGCGCCGAGTCCGTAAGCGTGCGGCTGTGGACACTTGGAGAGTACCTAGAAGACGAAGTTCAGTTACCCTGGCTCATTGATCCTGACTGGATTAATGGTCAGTTAGTGATGACTACTGTGTCCGTCGGTGTTGAAAAGATGAAGGTATGGGCAACTATTAATCTTGCCAAGGTATGTCAAATGCTTTTTCAACAAGATAAATTGATCAGGTGATGTTTATACACAGTAAAATGACTTATGCTACCAACAACGACTCGCTCAAACTGCCGTCTCATCAGCGTCCATCTCTCCATCCATCTCTTTCTCGTGCCACCTCTGAAGTTCTTGCAAGTATTCCTCGTTCTCCTTTATCAACGCACCCTGGGCCGTTTTCTCATGAAAGCCCATCAGCCATTCAGTACCATCAAGGAATTTATCGTCAGCGTGGTCACAAGCCCAGACTGCAGATACCATAGATTTGAAGGGTACATTTTTCTTGTGTGACTTTGGCTTGTTGTCATTCATCTTTGCTGGCGCTAGGTCAAAGACCTTCTTGCGGTGCTTCTGCGTGTTGTTTGTTCTGCGACACTTGGTAGCTGGTGGTCGAGTGGTGTCATCTGCTGCGTCCATATCAGGCTCGTTGTGCTCCTCATTCTTCTGCATATTGCGCAAAGACAACCAGCGCAGGAAGGCCACATACTGTATATTTAGGTGAGCGCGTGTTTTTATTAGCAGATATACCATGATGCTGACTTACATCAACAGAATGCCATTTCGAACCTTCAACATAAAACGCCAACTTCACAAGCTTCACTCTCTCCCACCTGGATAGCGTGTCTGCTGAAAGGTCCTCCTCAGAATCATAGGAAAGGATGTCGGAGGCAAAGTCAGTATCTATCATCGCAACGGCCCCTTTGTTCCCTGATTGAGTCTCATAGGCCGATGCAGCTTGACGGCATGATTTTGTGACCTAAGATCATGTAAGTGACTGACATCTGATCATTAAATGAGACACTCACTGCTTGACGACGCGAACACTGTCGCAGTCTATCTTTTCATTCCAGAGCTTTGGCCACCTTATCATCATTGACCTGGTCACTTGCTTGCTTGTGAATGTTTCGAAAGTACATCTTCACGCACTCAGTGATGATAGCGTGGTCGTAGTCTTCATCAGCGATCTCATGCTTGTGTCATGAATGTTACCAACTGCATCTAAATTTCGATTATCAAACCCTAAGTCACCTTATCCGATAAGATTAGATTAGATAGATCCCTGATAAGATAAGATGGATAACCGATTAACGATCACTATCTTTACATCACATCTATACTACATCGACGTCATCCATCTATATCCGTCTTAGAAGTCCTACGATTAGGCAACGGGTTATATCATAAGCATCTACAAGCCTCTATGATCAAACCATAACCGAGAGTCCCTTACAAGTTATCTCTCAAAGAAGTCATCATCCCTTCATATTGCACACCTTCACTTCTCATGACATGTTAAGAGTTACCTCTGTCATTTCACCGAACCCCTTAGAACCTGTTGCACAGTCACAGCTAAACCCTGAACCCCTATCACAGAAGCATTGCTCATAGAGAAGCATGTTCATTACCGAAGACCCTGGAGAACCCCTAGATCCGATCGTACCCGATACATCTCCAGATCCTATCTAGATCTCAGATCTAGATCCCCAGATTCCATCTCTTATCGAGATCCTTAATTACCGCTCGAGACTTCTTGTCACAGAACTCTCTCACACCCTTCTTAATCTCCGCTCACCCTGAATAGAAGCAGTCCCTGAGAACCCTGCTTAATCACCGATACCCTTGACTCCTATGAACCCTCTACCCTTTCTTCCTTGTAGTTGATTGGTTGATAAGACGCCCTATACCCTAGGTGCAATGTTATGACCGTATATAGTTATATCACAACCTTTCATACTCAGCTATCTCCGCTTAGAGAGTAGTATATAGTTTAGGTCGTAGTCAGTAGTACTCCTTAGACTTAACCTCCTCGTTTCTACGTTATCGTAGGGCCTAGACGTTCCCTCTCAAATCCATCTTGCTTTATCCTCTTTGACTGAGTCCTGTGGTGTGATCTAGACTCCAGACACCTACTAGTTAGGTTAAGGGACGCTGGTCATAACAGCTTGGCGTTAGGATTCTCACGGCATGCCTTAACAACAATGTGAGTCTCATCGGTATCCATCAAATTGAATATTTCGTACCTTCTCATTTTCCCATACCAGGTTAACTATCTCATTGATGTACAGCGCGTTGACATCGTCATCAACATTACCAAGCCAGTTTGGGTGCCATATTATCTTGGTTGATACCATCTCGTGAGGTTCTCCATTGCCCAAAGGTTTGACAGCTCCCAACAGCTTTATGCACTTTGATTTGCTGAGGCATGGATCAATATTACAGAGTTCGAAAAAGTAAGGGTGGATTATTGGCTGCGCATGCATAGTAAGTCTATTGATCACTGTATAGTCTGATTGACAAGCATACTTTCAAGGCTGCATGCGAGTTTGATACATTTCTATTGCCGACTTTTTTCTTGTTTCTGTTGGTCTTCAAGAACTCCTCGATGGCTTCTTCATATACCTGAATGCGTGCCTTCAGTGAGTCGTTCGATTGTCGAAGCTCGTTATTGGAAAACAGCAGGTTCTGAGTGACATCCTTCAGGTTTTGCACTTCGGATACAAGACGGGCTACAGTTGAATTCAAGGACGAGTAATCTATGGGGGTATCAAGATTGTTATGAGGTGTGCTGCTATGATGTCCCATTTGACGCTGATGCATTGAATAGAACGGCTGGTTGCTGTAGTTCTGGGGCTGATTATAGCCATCCATCCCGCCATGCTGCATCACCGGACCCACAGACTGTCCTCAAGACGATGTCTGGCTTCCAGAGAATGGTGTCAGAGTCTGACCTAGGTGCGGTGTAGCCATCTGTGGAGTTGCTGGAGCTCGGTAGGGATACAGCGGTATCATCCCCATCTCGAGTGAACTCGAATGCGAAGGGCCCGGGTTTTGGTGGACATCCTGCTGGTGATGCTGAAAGGATCCAGGCGCAGGCTATATGTTCGCAAGTAAGTTTTTATCGAGTTGTGTTACTATTGGACTAATTACTGTTTGTGTAACAGGTCCATCCTGTTGTCCCCCCATCCCAGCACTAAAAAATTTGTCACGCCAGGGCAAGCTGTGGTTTGAAAGGCCGAGGGAGGAACCCCCAGGATTGAACTGGTGACTGTAAGGCTCTGGCTCAGTTCCATGGCGTGTTGCTGGACTAAATTGGTTTGGCAGGTCATTGGGAGCCCTACTAGGCTGTCGCTGTCCTTGACCAGGATACATGGCGTTACTAGTGGGCAGCATCGAGCTGTGGGGAGGAAGCAAGAGAAAATCTGGAGCTGCATGGAGGATCCCTAGGAAGCACAAGTAGCACATGCACGATAGTATTAATCAGATAATAATCAGACTTGTTTCCTATTCTAATCAGAAGTAAACTCGATGTGCAAATCCCTAAATTCTGATGCCGGATTAGACTGTATTGCGCTTATGGAGAGCCCGCAAATCCATTGTTTCCGGTGTTGAATTTGTGTGCCGCAAATGTACCTTTCCTGACCCTAACATCTGGAGAAACATCTATTTTCATACATCGTGTTACTATCCTATTATAGGTTCTATTCCTTCTCTAATCTGGCCTGATTATTTTCTCGTTTCTGCAGTGATTGATGCATCATCATGTCAGGCCTCCCCACATTATTCCCACACCTCACACCTCCGCATTTTTCAGCCACATGGTGTGGGAATTACCCCACAACACCTCAAACATCACCCAATTTGATATACCCCACAATTATAATTATTCTCACACCCTCCCCACCTCACTGCAGCTTCACCAGCACACTACAATAGGTCCCTGTTCATATATAGGTAGTAGTTTAGTATATATATGTATAATATAATATAATAGACCGCTTTTTTTGTTTATTTGTGTGACAGCTCCCCCTCCAGGCCCCTTTCAAAATAGGGTAGGGTACAGAACACTTTCGCATATTTGCCCCTTTGGTAGGGAAGTGTCCCAGGGCATTCAGAACATGTTTATGAGTATATATGAAGAGATTCCCATCCTTATTTGACCCCCTGAAGCGTCCTACATCAATAGATATGGTATATATGCAGGAAATCACAAAATATGTTCTCATTTGATTATTTCTAGGTGGACAGACTCATAAAAATGATTCCCAGCATCTATTTAACAATGGGAACAATGTATAAAGAGCCCAGGACCATAGGAGAATGCCATGTTGCACAGTGTACCCCCCTCTTCTGGTGGTTTACCCCCTGTGAAAGATTTTCCTGCAGGACCGGACCTCAAGGAGGGTGAGGGGCCTATTCCTATGCATATTTAGAGTATATCTATCATATAGCTAGCCCATGATACATGCAGGATGCTTCTACAGGAACAAAATAATAGAAAATCGCATTTTTGATGTTTTTGATGTTTTTCAGTATTTCACCCTTGCCCACATGGCACACCAAGCTCATATATCATTAGTGGTACACACATATATATGTCCTGTGCTAAGGATCAACTAGATATAGGGCGGAAATTTGAGATCTGATGTAAAGGGGGTATCCCTACTGATCAGGAGCCTGCATGGTACTCAAGACTGTGATAAGTGATCAGAGACCTATGATACCTTTCCTATATGTCCCTGATGATAGCCCTAAAACCTTAGAGAGATCCATGAAGAATTGACTAAATGACAGGTAAAATGACATATGTGTGAAAAGTGACAATTGACATCTTTTCACACAAAGTCACATTTATATTTGATACAGGTTGAAGGTATCATTAAAAATATGTAGGATATATGGTAAACTACCTAAGTAACCTATACTACCTAATGCCCTGAGGATAGAGGGTGGGTTGAAGAGATGTAGTGTAAATATGAGTTGACCCAGCATTAAAGTCCTACCACTGCTCAACTGACCATTTTCGATGTTTTGGGCCTTTGAAGTTTCCCACACTCAATTTCTTATCTATTTCACTTCCTCAGCACTCAATTCTTGTTATATTGTGCTATAAATTTGTATATATGATACTGAATATATTTGAAATGTACTCCAGATTTCTGATTATCAAAATTCGATGTTTTGAAGGTATGGTCCCCTTATCAGTAGAAATAGCAAGTATATACACTACCTCAACACTCCAGCCTGTTTTGAGCTGACCCTTAGTACAAGACACATATATGCATGTACCACTGATGATATATGAGCTGGGTGGGCCATGTGGGCAAGGATGAAATACTGAAAAACATCAAAAACATCAAAAATGCGATTTTCTATTATTTTGTTCCTGTAGAAGCATCCTGCATGTATCATGGGCTAGCTATATGATAGATATACTCTAAATATGCATAGGAATAGGCCCCTCACCCTCCTTGAGGTCCGGTCCTGCAGGAAAATCTTTCACAGGGGGTAAACCACCAGAAGAGGGGGGTACACTGTGCAACATGGCATTCTCCTATGGTCCTGGGCTCTTTATACATTGTTCCCATTGTTAAATAGATGCTGGGAATCATTTTTATGAGTCTGTCCACCTAGAAATAATCAAATGAGAACATATTTTGTGATTTCCTGCATATATACCATATCTATTGATGTAGGACGCTTCAGGGGGTCAAATAAGGATGGGAATCTCTTCATATATACTCATAAACATGTTCTGAATGCCCTGGGACACTTCCCTACCAAAGGGGCAAATATGCGAAAGTGTTCTGTACCCTACCCTATTTTGAAAGGGGCCTGGAGGGGGAGCTGTCACACAAATAAACAAAAAAAGCGGTCTATTATATTATATTATACATATATATACTAAACTACTACCTATATATGAACAGGGACCTATTGTAGTGTGCTGGTGAAGCTGCAGTGAGGTGGGGAGGGTGTGAGAATAATTATAATTGTGGGGTATACCAAATTGGGTGATGTTTGAGGTGTTGTGGGGTAATTCCCACACCATGTGGCTGAAAAATGCGGAGGTATGGTGTGTGGGAATAGGCCTGACATGAGGGGGTGACCAAAATGAGTGAATTTCCGCTTTTGGAAGCCAAAATTGCGGTCATCACATGACCAAGCTATACACTATAGGTCTGCTACTTAGCATGTTCTAATGCATCAAAAATCAGGCTAAGAAGCATAGATGATGCATCACCTGTGACTTGTAGTTAGCAGGCTTGATGCATCATAGCTACAGGGACTGGTGGTTTCTCTGTGTGCCGAGGGACATCCTGATCGTGATGTCTACTTGAATAACTTGGCTGTCTCACTCCAAAACTACCACTTCAGTCACCATGGAAAATCTGATGACCTTGACGAGGCCGTCTCTCTGTACAAAGAAGCACTGTGCCTGAGCCCTGTTGGGCACAAATCTCGTGATCTACAATTAGACAACCTAGGGGGCGCCCTCCTCGACGGTCTCAACCAACGCGGTGAGGTAGAAGACATCAACAGAGCTACCAGCCTCCGTCGCGAGGCACTGACATTGCGCCCACTTGGGCATCAAGAACGTGATACCACACTTTCCTAGCGAAGGACCAGGTGAACATGACGCCCCACCACAATAAAACATATGTTTTGAATCTCCTCCAAATATCACGCAATGTCGTTGGAAACACCTTGAAATTTCATTCTCAATGAAGTACATGAACTCGTACAGCGAGGATGTATCACCTTGTAGTACTGTATTCGTGCGTCAGTCCCATGCGAACCCCCACCCACTCCTAATCCTTGTGCTTCTGCATGAAACACGATGGAGATGAAAGTCTATGAGTGCGTCGAAGACCTAGGTTTAGCTCCGTCTTCACCGTAATCGTTCATGTTATGCAACATGCCTGCAAAGACCTGGGGCACGTACGATCATCAACAAGTGGTGCTAACGAAGTACCTTGCCAACAAATAGAGCGCTTACATCGTCCGTAAGGCCGCCCATTGTGAATCGCAACCCGCTATTCCACTCGTCTGGTATCAACAATTTAGCTTCCCGACAGTAAATTATACAGAGAGGCCGTTGGAACGGGCTATCGCAAAAAGTGTTCCAGTAGCCCATCCATGGTCACCTTGTTGAAATAAATCAGGGAAATCAGGACAGCATTATCTGCTGGTCTCGTCGACCTCGTTTCGCTGGAAAGAGTCAGCAAACGGTCAGTGTTCTGATACAATGCTCACCTGCAACATAATCCACAGATCAAGTCTACTTCATCATTGGGAAGTGTAGCTTGATACCCGAGTGACTCCTTCATGTCGGTAAGTTATCCGTCGATGATTCATTGATGAGGCCTAGACCTCCGTCAAAAGATGAGCACCACAAAATGCTGCATATGAGAGAAAGGCAGCGCGTGCGTGGGGTAAATCTTTGCATCATCGACCATAGACTTCCTGGGTGTGTGTGTGTCGGGAAAAATGTCGGAGGTCTCACAGCAGTCGGGGCAGTAAGAGTGACCACTATAGCATTGTCTCCGAACAGCGAGAGTGTTGCAGGTGGAAGAGATGATGGGAAAGTGAGGTTATGGGATGTCGAAATGGGAAAGGTTATAACAGCTGTAGTTCTCAAGAATTGCGACATGGGGATTCATCGAGAGGCGCTCTCCATGGCCAGTCTTGAGCTTGGACGTCACGGTTAAAAACAAGCTTATCTCCGGGGCTGGAAGTTTTGGCTTGATTAGGATATTCGATCGATCGGGAGCAGATCATACAACATCCCGTCCTGGCAGTCGGTCCACCTCTCCAGAACGACAATTATGTGGGATGCGCCGCCTTTTCCACTGATGAAAATTGCTGCTAGCACCGGTTGCGACGACATTGAAATGCGTACATGTGATGATGTGGGACGTCCATGCCATGCCTTGAAGACCTACTGCAACATTCCCGACGCGAGTGTGAATTTACAGCAAGATCATATATTGAGTAACCCACCTTCTAAATAATGACAAGCGATGCGGATCGGCAATGAACTAGTTGCTTTGTCGATGCGCTGAGCAGAATAATATAAGGCGTGGAATTTTCACATACTATGGACAAGGCATCAAGAAGGACAGGGAAGGTATCTATGAGGACTCAGGACGTGAGCCACATGACTCTCTCGATCATCCTCTTCCATCTCATCAACTCAGTCCAACTCGTATTGACTTGAATCTGCTTCTTTTTCGGCTGCAGACTTCACCACTTTGCTAAAATTGTACATACTACGAAATACAATGGTTTCTATCTATTCCATTGCAGCGTACTAAATGACGCGTATGAGTGATACGAAAGTTGTAAGGCCAGGTCAGCACATGTCTGCTCCAGCCGACTGATCACCAGCAGCCTGGTTTAGCCACTTTCACTGATTACTGACCATTTCATCGCCCACTTCTTTACCACAGGCTCTCCCGCTGGCCTAAGTCTCATTTCTTGATATTGGCGCTTAATGGAATCAGCACCAGCGTCTATCATGCCGAACACTCATCAATACACGTGCGGCATGCCCTGCACCCTCCTCACCCTCTCATCCAATATCAACGGTCCCCATATCCCTACCCTCCATCTTGTCCCATCGCTCATTCTGCCCACCACTCAGCCCATCCTTGATCCTCCGCGTCCTTCGTCGTTTGCGCCATCATGGCCGGTAGTTTCGACGGCCAATGTATCAGACTCGAAGGTGGGTCACTTTATATCAACTTGGTATCCATTTTCTGACCTTGACGCTATATCTACAGTCATCAGCGGAAAAAACCTTCATGTTCTTTCCGAGCGTATACCTGCAGGCATCTACGTGTTCATTAAACTCGACTCGACTCGACTCTGGAAATCAGCCATTCAAGTTCCATCATCCAACAGTTATGTAGCGTGGGGCGATACCGCGAACCTGTAAGCCAATCCTTTCAGGCCCGATTTTGAGAACTGATCCTTGGTTTGTAGACCATCACATGCGTCACCTCAAGTATCGGTTGAGATCAGGGCATCCTTAGAGCTCAGTCGGATGCTAGGCAATGGAGAACTTATTGGAAAACTTAAAATGTCTTGGGATGAACTGCTCGGTCACGGAGATGAGCCTTTCGGTGAGTAACCTGCTTCTCATTCATGCACACCTACTCATGTGTCGTAGAAATGTCCTTCCCACTTGTTCGCGGTGTCCACCCATCTGTCACGTTGAAGGCTGCTGCTGTGAATGGTTGCGGAAACAACAACGGTGAACTGTTGAACGTGAGTGACGCCAGCCTTTGCACTGTCAACTCTTACTGACAGATCGCAAACTATAGCTCATCGTCGACTGCGAGATCGCTCGAGACACGGATGTGGGTCACACAAGATTTGGTGAATATGTGACAAGCAAGAGGGTCTCTGACCTGAATGATGCCGTGGCACATTTTGAGTTGGTTCTAGAGCGGTGTCCGGTCGGCCACCCTGACCGCGCAGCTGCACTGACCAACCTCGCGTGCGCACGCCTGAAAGGGTACATTTGCAGGGATCTTCAAGACATCGACTCTACTACGTGTCTATTCCGCGACGCTCTTGCATTGCGTCCGCAGGGCCACCCTGATCGTCCGCTATCCCTCTATTACCTCACTGAAGCGCTGACCTGGCGCCACAACGAGGAAAAGACAGCTGCCGACATCCGCGAATCTGCTCAGATCTACCATGAGCTACTGCCACTCTGCCCAGAGGGCACCTATCTTCGGAGCATCGCGGAAGGGGCTAATGGCGTGGATTATGTGATTAGCGGATGCAACAATCTTCCGATAGACGCATCCGATGAAGGCATCCGCCTTCGACGAATCGTCCTCGAGCTCTGTCCCCAGGGCCATCAACATCGTCTAAGCGCCCTCTATAAGCTTTCATGGGCACTCGGTACACATTTTGGGCAACGTGGGAGCATTGTTGATATAGACGAGAGCATACAACTTGGTCGCGAAGCTGTTTCTCTGTGTCCCGAGGGACATCCTGATCGTGGTGTCTGCTTGAATAACTTGGCTTTCTCACTCCGCTACTACCGCTTCAGTCACCAGGGCAAATCTGATGACCTCAACGAGGCCATCTCTCTATATGAGGAAGCACTGTCCCTGAGCCCTGTTGGGCACAAATCTCGTGATACACTATTGGACAACCTAGGAGGCGCCTTCCTCGACCGTTTCCACCAACGCGGTGAGGTAGAAGACATCAACAGAGCTATCAGCCTCCATCGCGAGGCACTGACATTGTGCCCACCTGGGCATCAAGAACGTGACACCACACTTTCCAACCTTGCCCTCGTACTCCAAACCAGATATGACAAATCACATGCCAACGAGGATCTTAACGAGGCCATCGAGTTGTACCGTGAATCAATTCGGTTAATGCGGCATGACCGTCCAGAGCGCCATAGAACTCTTTACAATTTGAGCTCAGCACTCTGCTCTCGTTTCACGAGAACTCAGAAGATTGAAGATGTTGAGGAGGCCATTGAGCTCTGCCAAGAATCATTGGCGGCTTTGCCACCACTCCACCCAGATAGGTACTACAGCTACATGTGGCTGCAGGAGGCCTATCTGTCTCGTTACCGAGTGCGATGCAATTTGGCTGATTTGTCACTCGCAGTTGAAAACTTCAGATTGGCGTTAAGGCACCCCACTCAAGGCTTACCACAACGCATCGTCACAGCATTTAATTGGACTGTAGCAGCAGAGCAGCATAGCCATGGATCTGCACTGGAAGCCTACACGACATTCTTCGAGCTTCTTGACAGTCATCTGGCCACAAGATCATCAACTATTTTACGGTGGGAAGCTACTACTACCTTCCATTATGCCAGAACACTCCCTGTAGATGCATCATCATGTGCCTTACGCCATCATAACCTAGAAAAGGCTGTTGAACTCGTGGAGCAGGGCCGTGGCCAGCAGTGGTCACTGGCGTCTCGGCTTAGGACTCCAGTCGAAGAACTCGAATCAGCAAACCCAAAACTGGCTCACGAGTTTTCGGAGCTGAGCAAGCGTGTTTCCGATGCTGCTCAGGGTTCTGCAGCAATCACCGACAGAGCTGCTGCTGATCAGGCAGCAATGAAGTACAGGAGGTGTACAGAGCAGTGGGAAGCTGCAATGGGCAAAATCCGCAACATTCGAGGTTTCTCGCGGTTCCTCCTCCCGCTATCATACGAAGACTTGCAAGCGGCAGCGTGCGACGGCCCAGTCATAATTCTCATTGCGAGTGAATATTCGTGCAATGCCATCATTGTCCCGACGTCAGGGGTGCCCCATCATGTTCCTTTCCTCTCTCTCACTCTCGCAGATGTCGAGAAACTCAAATACGACTTCGCGATGGCGATACGACATGCATCACTGATGGGCCCAACAGAGTCGAGGACAGACCTGATAGTACTCTTGCGGAAGATATGGGATGAGATCATGCTACCGATCGTCGATGTACTACTTGGGCATGATCTCAAAGTAAAGCACCGCTCTCGAATATGGCTGTGTCCTACTGCAGCCTTCACATCCATTCCTCTCCATGCAGCTCATCCCTCTCGAACGAAAGCAAATGGAAGTGGGCAGGAATTATCCCTCGAGGATATCTTCATTTGCTCCTACACGCCCACACTTTCCGCTCTCGTCAGATCTCGACAGGCGATGAAGACGCGTGCGACGAGTCCATCCTTCGTGGCGATTGGGCAAAGTCAACCAGGCGCAGGGCAAGGCACGGCGCTCGCCACTGTCGACAGCGAGCTTGAGCTCGTCCATACACTCCTTCCCCCCGATGTCAAGTTCACCAGTCTTTCGGGAGGAGAAGCTACACAGGCCGGTGCACTCGATGCTTTGCAACGCAACACCTGGGTGCACCTCGCTTGTCACGGCAAGCAGGACCGTGAGCAACCTTACAATTCACGGTTTGCCATGAGAGACAAACCTCTCACCCTCCTTGACATCATGGAGAATGACACTCCGCAAGCTGAATTCGCATTCTTATCGGCGTGTCATACCGCTGTCGGCGATGAAGAGACGCCCGATGAGGTCATCCACCTTGCAGCTGGCCTACATTTTTCAGGGTTCAAGAGTGTGATTGGCACGCTGTGGGTGGTCGATGATGAAGTCGTCAAGCACGTTGTTGAAGCATTCTACGAGAATATGTTCAAGGGCTTGAAGGATGGTGTCTTGGACTGTACGAAGGCAGCCAAAGCACTCAATTATGCTACGCATGGTGTGAAGAAGTTGGTGCCGCTCGAGCAGAGGATTGTTTTCATTCATATTGGTGTGTAGTTCTATGTCCCATTGCTTTTGTCTTGTACAGATTTACATGTTGTTGATTTTCGATTCCCTTCTATCCCGGTGTATTTGTTGACGTTGTAGGAATTCTCTCTTGTATAGTAGTTGTCTGCTGTTCGGCAAATTGATCAAATTTGTTCTCGACGACAATGCTTGGCATGTACAGTAATATTTGTACTATTGCAGCGGTGCACATTCTTTTGCTCAAGTGCTTCCTGCAATACGAGTTGACCTTCCAACCATTCAATTCAAGTCTGTCTTGGAAAAATGCAGCTATTTGAGTTGTTTTCGCTGATGACTCGTAGTGTTAGATAGAGCCTGACGATCAACGCACAAATAACGGGGTCATATATCGAGTGGCCAATGAGCCGAGGGGAGTACTGAAGAAGTGTAGTGAATCAGTCTCATTGTTGAAGCGCTGAGCGAGGAAATGAGAATAAGAAGAGACGTGGAGTCATCACACACGGACAAAGGAAGGGCAGATCAAAATGACGCGGTACATGTTGATGCGACACTGCGACAAAACATACCTTTGGATCCTCTCCAAATATCACGCAATGTCGCTGAAAACATCGTTAAACTTCATTCTCAATAAAGTACATGCACAAGTACAGCGAGGATGTATCACATCGTAGTACCATTATTCGTGCATCATGCATCGTTCCCGCTGTGTGAAGCCTTGCCCATCTGGTATCAGTCCCATGCGAAACCCCACCTATGCTTCGTCAACGCCGCGTCAAGCCTCCCGAGTTCTTGGTCGTCTGCACGAGACAAACAAAGGAGATTAAAGTCGATTAAAGTCGATGAATGCGTCCAAGACATAGGGTTAGCTCCTTCTTCACCCCAGTTGGTCCATGCTTGATGCCACGAGTTGCGTGTAACGACAGAAAGATGAGTCACATAATGCAGTAACATATACCCGTCTCAGACGGGCAGCCGGGCGTGACAATGTACCAATAGAGACGGGCCACCCGGTGCCGGCCCATGGCAATAATTGTACCGTGTTAGACGAGTGGGCCGAGGGGGTGGAGTGTCCAAGGCAAACGGATGGGCCGGGTGTATATAGTATAGATGGTAGTATAGCAATGTACTATATAGGAAATTATGAATAGTAGTAGTGAATCCAGTGTGTGATAGATGAGTGGGCCGGAGGAATGGAGTGCAATATAGACGAGTGGGCCGGGGAACTGGGGTGTGATGGAGACGAGTGGGCCGGTAAATGAGGTGCAATGGAGACGAGTGGGCCGGTACATAAGGTGCAATGAAGACGAGGGGGCCGGAGAATAGGGTGCAATTGAGACGAGTGGGCCGGTATAGCAGGTGCAATGGAGACGGGTGGGCCGGTATAGCAGGTGCAATGGAGATGGGTGGGCCGGTAAATATGGTGCAATTAAGACGAGTGGGCCGGTATAGCAGGTGCAATGGAGACGGGTGGGCCGGTATAGCAGGTGCAATGGAGACGGGTGGGCCGGTAAAGGAGGTGCAATGAGGACGAGTTGGCCGGTGTTATTGGGTGCAATGAAGACGAGTCGGCCGGTGATATGGGGTGCAATGAAGACAAGCTGGCCGGTGATATGGGGTGCAATGAAGACGAGTGGGCCGGTGATATGGGGTGCAATGAAGACGGGTGGGCCGGCATTATAGGGCGCAATGGAGATGGGTGGGCCGGTGATATAGGGTGCAATGAAGACGAGTGGGCTGGTGATATGGGGTGCAATGAAGACGGGTGGGCCGGCATGATAGGGTGCAATGGAGACGGGTGGGCCGGTATTATGGGGTGCAACAACGACCGGTATTTATGTAACCGGTTGCTTGTGGTAACATAGCACTCAATCTGGCGATTCCACCGGTGGTCTGATCATGTAAAATGGTTAAGATTTGACAAAGTTATGAGCCCCTACAAGGGAAAGCCATAAATTTAGAGGATATTATGATATATTGTATCTAGACCATTGCAACCGGTATTTTTTGACCGGTATTTACATGACCGGTTGCTTGTGGTAACATAGCACTCAATCCGGTGATTCCACCGGTGGTCTGACCATGTAACATAGTTAAGATTTGACAAAGTTAGGAGCCTTACAAGAGAAAGTCACAAAGTCAGAGGATATATCATATCTAGACCATTGTGACCGGGATTTTTCAACCAGGTAGTTATGTGACCAGTTGCTTGTGGTGACATAGCACTCAGTCCGGTGATTCCACCGGTGGCCTGACCATGTAAAATGGTTAAGATTTGACAAAGTTATGAGTCTTACAACAAGAGAAAGTGACAATTTCAGAGGATATATCATGTCTAGACCATTGTGTCCGGTATTTATGTGACCGGTTGTTTATAGTAAAACATAGCACTCAATCTGGTGATTCCACTGGTGGTCTGACCATGTAAAATGGTTAAGATTTGACAAAGTTATGAGCCCTACAAGAGAAAGCCATAAATTTAGAGGATATTATGATGTATTGTATCTAGACCATTGCAACCGGTATTTTTTGACCGGTATTTACGTGACCGGTTGCTTGTGGTAATGTAGCACTCAATCCGGTGATTCCACCGGTGGTCTGACCATGTAAAATGGTTAAGATTTGACAAAGTTATGAGCCTTACAACAAGAGAAAGTGACAATTTCAGAGGATATATCATGTCTAGACCATTGTGACCGGTATTTATGTGACCGGTTGTTTCTAGTAACAGTACTCAATCCGGTGATTTCACCGGTGGTCTGATCATGTAAAATGGTCAATATTTGACAAAGTTATGAGTGCTACAAGAAAAAGTCACAAATTCACTGGCAGAGGATATATGATATCTAGACCATTGTGACCAGGATTTTTCAACCGGAAGTTATGTGACCAGTTGCTTGTGGTAGCATAGCACTCAATCCGGTGATTCCACCGGTGGTCTGATCATGTAAAATGGTCAAGATTTGACAAAGTTATGAGTGCTACAAGAAAAAGTCACAAATTCACTGGCAGAGGATATATGATATCTAGACCATTGTGACCGGGATTTTTCAACCGGAAGTTATGTGACCGGTTGCTTGTGGTAACATAGCACTCAATCCGGTGATTCCACCGGTGGTCTGATCATGTAAAATGGTCAAGATTTGACAAAGTCATGAGCCCTACAAGAGAAAGTCATGAATTTAGAGGATATATGATATCTACAGTATTGTGACCGGGATTTTTCAACCGGTAGTTATGTGACCAGTTGCTTGTGGTAGCATAGCACTCAATCCGGTGATTCCACCGGTGGTCTGATCATGTAAAATGGTCAAGATTTGACAAAGTCATGAGCCCTACAAGAGAAAGTCATGAATTTAGAGGATATATGATATCTAGACCATTGTGACCGGTATTTTTTGACCGGTAGTTATGTGACCGGTTGCTTGTGGTAACATAGCACTCAATCCGGTGATTTTACCGGTGGTCTGATCATGTAAAATGGTCAAGATTTGACAAAGTTATGAGCCTTACAAGAGAAAGCCACACATTCAGAGGATATGTTATATCTAGACCAGTGTGTCTCCAGCTCTACCTTAGGGTAGTTTACCTCTGTTCCATTTCTACTCCAGACTTGTCCACAGCAGTCTTACTCTGGGTTTCCTTGAACCTCTGGAGTTCCGCCGAACTCCCCTAGTGTCTGACCTCCGGAAACCTCTGGACTTTGTTGGACTTCCCTCCTGCCTCTCATAAATTAAGGGCACATACTTGGGTAAGGGGTGCAGCACACAAGCTGAAGTCAAGCCCTTTGAGTTCTCCTTCCTTTGAGCATGACCTTAACATCCACAGACAAAACCTTGTGATGCTGTGTACTCACCCTCTCCTGGTGGTCCATCCTCTGGGAAAGGTTTTCCTACAGGAACACAGCTGCAGAATGATATGGGGACCATTCCTAGACAGATTTAGAGTATGTACACCAGGTTGGTACATCAGGATACCTACAGAATCCTTCTATACAGGCTAAAACTTCTAAGATTGCAGTTGTCACATTTTTGGTGTTTTCCCCTACTTTACCATTGCATAAATGATCCAGACTACTCATATATTATCCTTACTACATATATACCTACTTCTCATCCCAAGGATCAGTTAGAAATATGGTATAATATTGTTATCTAAGGGAAAGGGGGTATGTGTACTGATAAGGGGCCTACATTCTCCAATGGACACAATCTAGTAATCAGATGCTTGCAATATATTCTAAGCATGGTCAATATCATGGTCTCAGATTTATAAAAGGATCCACTAACAGTTGAGAGCTAGGGCAGTGAAATATCTCTGAAATAGAGTGTGGGAAAGTCCAAAAGCCCAAAACATCGAAACTCACCAGTTTGGTGTATATGTAGTGGTTGGACTTTTACTTACCAATCCTAATATTTCCTCACCACACTCTTCTACAAAGACTTTACCTTCAGGGCAATGTGTATTTTAGGTTCATTATGTAGTCTACTATACATACTACTGCATTTTTAATAAAATCTTTGGTGTGTGTGATATGTGTCAGTGACTTTCAGTGACAGGGGTAAATTGTCATATGTCAAGTCTATGTTGTTTTACTTATCTTACCGTCAATACTTGAGGGATCTTTCCAGAATTTTAGGACCATGACTAGGGATATACATGGGACATATCCCAAGTGTCTGATTACCAATAACATCCTTGATAGTGTTGGAGGGTTCTTATCAGTTATGTTTTCATGTATATATGCTATATTGTTTGATGTAGCCCTTCAGGGGGTCAACTAAGTGGTGGAATATGTTAATATATACTCCTAAATATGTTTTGACAGTGCTAGAACACTCTCCTATCAAAGGGGCAAAATGGAATCCCCTGATTGAGTGCTACATTACCACAAGCAACCGGTTGCAAAAATACTGATTACAATGGTCCAGATATAAGCTGATACAACACTGTATCCTTTGAATTTATGACTTGGTCTTATAAGGCTCAGAACTTTATCAAATCTTAACCATTTTACATGATCAGACTACCGGTGGAATCACCAGATTGAGTACTATATTACTGCAAGCAACTGTTCACAAAAATACCGGTCACAATGGTCTAGATATAACATCCTCTAAATCTGTGGCTTTATCTTGTAAGGCTCATAAGTTTGTCAGATCTTAATGATTTTGCATGATCAGACCACCGGTGGAATCACCGGATTGAGTGCTATGTTACCACAAGCAACCGGTCACATAAATACCGGTCAAAAAATACCAGTTACAATGGTCTAGATACAATATATCATAATATCCTCTGAATGTG